CAAATAATCACTTGACTCGTCCTGCCGACGACGTGTCCCTCAATGCACGAGCCAGGAAAGTACCTGATAGTCTCGTGGCTGCTGCTTTGCAATCTGGTAGAACTGGTGATTTCGGTGCCTCGTATCCATCATCACCATCAGATATTGTTGAACCAGTTGAAGAAGGAGTCGTTGCCAAACCAGCTCAGAAACCTGGAGCTAAGGAAAAGCCTGTAAATTCAACAAAGGCCGCTGAAGTCAACATTGACAATGTCAACGTTGGAGCAGCGAAACCTGCTGAATTCAAACCAGCTGAACAGACCAGACCAGCTTACCAGGTCAGCAATGGATCATTGCCTTCTGCCGCTGGTGCACCCACTGCTGGTGCATCTGCCAGTAGTACTGGCAAAGTAAGATTAGTCAAAAAGCCACACGTCTTTAAGCTCAGGATTCGCACTGACTTGAGTGAAGCCCAAGAAAATGAGGTGAAACAAAGGATTACTGATTGGAGGAAAGAAGCTGAATCATCAGGTGTCACTGTCATGTCTTGCATTGACAAGCAGAATGTAAGTTGCATTGACATTTTCTTCTAGTATATTCTGTACATGGCACTAGCTAACAGAATTGACTTCTTAGGGTGTACTTGTTATTGGTCCAGCTACTTCTCGTGCAGTCATTGAACGATACCTTGGATTGTTGGTGGATTTGGAAGCTTCACTTGTCCGCTCGGTAAGCCATCTTTGGCTTATTCACCTGCATGTTGCTAATATCCTCTTTTTTTAAAAAAAAATAGCTGGTGGGAACTCGTTTACCACAACGCAATGAAGATGGAAGTCGTATCTGCCATTCAGAAACCATTAGTCCATCTGGAAGTGCATCAGGGTCTCAAATTGCATCCACTTCAGCTGCTCTTGGCAATGGAACAGCAGCAGTATCGGTTGCAAACGCTGGTGTCGCTGGTGCCACTGTACGATTGGCTACAAGTGTACCACCTACCGCAAGTGGCGCAATGGCTGCACTCGCATTTGGTGCGCCTGTACTCACAACATCAGTAGGCACTACTGGCGGTGATACCGGTATGGCTGGTCAACAAACAGCATACCCATATCCAGCGTCTCAAATGCCATACAATCCTATGCAAGGATACCCTGGATTCCAACATCCAGCATATCAACCATATTCACACTTTGGTATGCCGAATCAAGCTGTACCAAGGATGAATCAGCAACATCCAGTACCTCAAGCATGGTCTGGAGCCGGTGCTATGCCGCCTACTATGCATCACAACTTTGCCTATTATGGAGCTGGCAACAAATACAAATACAGCGATATAAGGAGCAAGGAGGAAATGTGAAAGAAGGGAAGAAACACATAGATTTGTGTAGTAGTAGCATTTGTACCCATGTAAGGAAAGAAACCAGTTGTTTTATAAAGCTCATACCCCCTGAAAATAAAGTTCTAGCAATACCCCCATTGAATATGTTGAATTTCCGTCGTCGCGTTGCCTGGTCCGTACGTCGATTCTTGCACACGACTGACTCGACTAGAAAAATCTTCAGCCTTGATATCTCGCCTTCGTGACGCCAGATCTGTAACGTACATCGCATAGCTCTTATCGGAAGCCAAAATTCCCAAAGCTGTCTTCTTTGAAAGAATCTCCTTCCTCATATACAAAACATCGAAATATCAAAAGATGGCGTATACTGGTAATTTGTCAACACTGGCATTGATTTATTTCGTAGTCTGCCTAATATGTGCACACGTCTCTTATTAGGAAAGATGTACCTCCCTCCCAGGTTCTCTGAGCAGCTTCAACAAATCTGCACGTGAGCTCTGCAGGTGAGCTTTTCATGTACATCGCACATTACAACTCGATAGCTCGAATACAAGCGTTGAATTAATTATTTACTGATGATACTCGTTTGCTTTTATTAGAGACATTGAAAAGGAAGGATGAGTTACAATCACATATGTCAAGGAGGGAAGGTTATTCCTATTACTGGCGATGAGCAAGATGGAGTCACAGCTGTGTAAGTTGAATGCTGATTTTGTTGGATTGTGTCGTGGTGATGATGTTTGTTAGCTGGCCGGTATTCTATATGCTGATTTGAATGTGCAAATATCACGTTCATGCTGGAGGTGTTTGTCGCTGGTCTTTTCGACAAATCTGTCAAAAGACCTTAAGCTATTTGAACATTTCTGTATATACAATTGCGCAGATGCACTATGCTGCTTTCAAAACACACGGTCACTAAAGGTTACGACAACTTAAACACCAATTCTTGTTTAGCATGGCTAGAATCAGGAATCTGACTGGACAAGCTCAAGCTCCTTCTATCAATTCGTTGGGGCGACCTGAAAGGCCGGATGGAATTCATTAGGGTAAGACAAGAGAGGGGAATGGCAACTGGATTTTGTTGCAATCGTGTGGTGGACTTATTTTTGCTCATCTCTCCTTTCTTCAAATAGGTCAAGCTGGAGTAAGTTGTCGCTGAGAACCCTTTCTCGAAATAACAATAATAATCGTCTCGAGATGAACGAATGGTCGACCGCCCCCTCTTGCCAAAAGCAATGCCTATGGACATGGAAAGTGCACGGTCTCAGCTACTTCTCCTCCTCAGCTAGGCAAATATAGATAATCTCCGCCTCAAAGTGAACTTGTAAACTGGAAATTGCCACCTTCTCCGATTGTCGGTAATGGACGTTTCATTGCCTTCTTCGACAGCTCCTCGTCTCCTTCTCCACTATCTCGTAAGGATAAACCTCAAACGGGACTTCAATTCCATCATACTCTCGTCCCACTGGTAAATTATTATCCGACAAATATGGAAACGACTTCTCATCAAACTATGATCGTACACCTCGACGACAAAGTGACACAGCATATAACCAGCCCCACCCTTCCAAACCATCGAATAATAATAACTGGAAAGATTGATATCGAGATGTGAATGGTCGTCGTGGTAGCACTGGTACCAGCACTACTGTCGCCAGTAATCGTAATAGTACTCGTAAAAGTTTCGATCAACGTACTTACTCGCACGTACAGTCCTCTCCTTTATGGAATTCAAGCACTTTGGTGTCTGAACGTCCATCATCAATGTCATCTCAACCAGGAACGACTGGCTCTCTCTTGACGTCTGAATACAGTCGTCATCCTTCAGACATGCGTGCTACCAACACCGAGAGTCCAGCTTTCAGGATGGGAAGTAATGCGTCGTAGTCGTACTGCCAGTTCTCCAGTCAGGAATGAATCTGGCAGTAGCGTGTCGGAGGCTGTTGCTGCACCATTTGGTCAAAGTAGTGATTTTGGTGCTTCGCATGCAGCATCAACATCAGCTACTGTTGACGGTGTTGAAAACGAAAAGGTCACTGAAGACAAGAAGACACTTGACGGAAAGCTTTCAAAACCAGCTGAGAGTGTAAGTCAATGTTGACAAAGTCAAAGTTGAAGACGCGCAACCCGATTAAATCAACCCAGCTCCAACGCTTACTGCTGCTGGTGTATCCACTGCTGATGCATCTGCTAGTAGTAGCCCCGACGAAGTAATAATAATCAGAAGACGCTTTTCCAAAGTAAGAATTCGCACTGACTTGACTGCAGACCAAGAAGGGCCTGTGAAGAAAGATTGCTGATTGGAGCCGAGAGGCTGAAGTATGAGGAGTCTCTGTTGTTTCTTGTATTGACAAACAAAATGTATGGTGTTGTACTCAACATGTGTTTGTCGATACGGACTGATGCGTGCTTTTTTGTAGGGAGTACTAATTAAAGGTACATCTTCTTCTCGTGAGATAGTTGAACGATATCATCAATTAGTGGTGGATTTGCAAGCTCAACTTGTCCGCTCAGTAAAGAATCTTAAAAAGAATCTTGGAATCAATTGGTTGATTTCAGCTGATGCGCAACATTTTTTGCCGAACCTAGCTTGTGGGAATTCGTATACCACAACGCAGGGAAGATGGAACTCGCATTCGCTATGCAGAAACCAACAGTCCATCTGGAAGTGCATCAAAGACCGCCAAAGGCGCTTCTACAAAAGCAGCTGAAGCACGCCAAGTTGCATCAACTTCAGCTAGTCTTGGCAATGGAACAGCAACAGCAGTAGTCGACACTGGTGTATCGTCAACTGAATTAGTTGAAACCACTCGTGTGACTGCTGCTGCTGTTGAACTGGCTCCAAATGTACTGGCTGCCGCAAGCCCACGATCACCAAAGCCTTGTCTCGAATTTGGTGCGCCTCCACTTTTGTCACCACCAGAACCCACTACTTCTGGTGATACTCTTCTGGGTGGTCAAGAAAGGACATACCCACATCCAATACGTCACGTGCCTTACAATCTCATGGATACTCTGGAATCCCACATCCAGCATATCGACCATACCCTTACTTTGGTGTGCCAAATCCAGCTGTACCAATGATGGATCAACACAATCCCATGCAAGGATACTCTGGATTCCAACGTCCAGCATATCGACCATATCCTTACTTCGGCGTGCCAAATCCAGTTGTACCAATGATGGATCAGCAGCCTCCCCACGGCAAGGATGGTCTGGAGCCACTCCTATGCCGCCTACTGCGTATCCCAGCTTTGCATATTATGGAGATGGAACAGTCAAGATTTGCCGGAGAACATTGGCGATAGGAAATGAAGGTACTAAGTACGGGTAAAGTAACATAAGATACACAGCAATGATAGATCAAAACTCTTGAATTGGTTTATAAAGACTTTCCTCCCAATAAATTTGAAGCATTTTTGCACGTAGCTCAATAAATCTTTAAATATTTAGATTTTCTCGAGCTGTTTCTCGCGTTGGTCTTCGATATGTGTCTTCGAGCTTCGTCTGTCATTCCTTCCAAACCTTCAGTAAAACCCAACACAACTTGACTAGCTCAAGTAAAACTAGACAGCAAAAGGCCCAGTAGACAGGGCTGTAGAGAGGGTCAAATCGCATTAACTTATATACCCCTCAAAACCCCATCTCATAGCTCCCTCATCTTCCAAACCCTCGTCAAAAAAAAATGACGGATTCAAACGCAATAAACACATATCCAACAAGACCTGAATTCGGGACATACAATCCAGATCAGCCCGATTCTCCATCACGACATATAAGCAGTACGAGTACAGCTATGAGAGAACGAGCTCCCGCCGCAGGAAGTCAAACAATGACCATTACAAATGAGCAGGAAGGAGATCATCAGCATGAGGTTGCTATAGCTGGGATGCTGCATTTGCAAGGTGGTGGTGATCAGAGATCTGATAGGAAGGTGAAGTGGAGGACTGGTGTTGTGGATAATGAGGGGATGGGAAAGAAGACTTCAAAATGTGAGTCTTGCTGTGAGCCATAGCATCCCTTGTTTGCTTTTCACGCTGAGCATCACTTATCTAACGCTTCCTTCGTATCTAGCATGCTGTATATATCACAAACCATACTCATTCGATGACTCAGATTCATCCGATTATTCAACATCAGACGAAGACAGTCCAAATGTACCTAATCGATATGAACGACAACCGAAATACCGCAACGCACCGAATAACAGTAGTAGTGGTAATGGTGGTGCTAGTGGTAGTAAATCGACTCGTAAGAAGAAGCATAGTCATCATCGTCATGACCATTATCATGAATCTTGTGATGGACATTGTGGAGACGGGCCAGGAGAGGCGTCAAGTGGTGGTGGTGCAAGTGGTGATCAGAATTTGGCCTCATCGTGATCTTCCTCATATGTATTTTATAAGCAAGCTGTATAGCAGGTTTAATATATCGTCGCCAGTGTCTTCAAAACAGATTGCCCGAAGCTTTTCACAGTTCCAAGTCTTTGATCTGCGAGGCTACGAAGCTGCTTTGTAACTAGATATGTCTACCATGAAAGCTGCCATGATTACTGGTGAAGGCATCTCAAATATTGTGGTTGCTGAGATTGAAAGACCAGTACCGCGACAAGGTACGTTTTAATAGCGATCACACACTAGTAGCTTGGTGTTTCTTGTACTGCAAGTGTCTTACCAATACTGATTTACATACGTAGGAGAGATTTTGGTTCGCATCCACGCAGCATCTCTGGTAGCTCTCGAAGTTCATCAACCCACGATTTTGCAAGTTTGTGATCAACACCGTTTACTCATCCTCTATAACACTTATAGAATCCAGCTGATTGGAAACTCGCTAAATCAGACGCATACAAAGGAAGATACCCAGTCCAAACTGGTTGTGATCTTGCTGGGGTTGTTGTCGCAGTAGGTCCCAACTGCTCCAAACTCCAGTTAGGCGATTCAGTAGCTGGATTTACGAGATTAACTACTCGACGAGGACGTGGAGGATACTCTGAATACGCCATCATGGACGAACTTTATACAATGAAGATGCCAGCATACATGCCATTTACAGAGGCAACAAGCTTTGGAGTCGGATACTTGACTTCTGTGCTTGCTATAAATCATCATATGAGGATACCTTTGCCACCTGCTAAAGTAAAGGACGCGGATTTCGTGTTGGTTTGGGGTGCTTCGTCTTCTTGTGGATTGTTTGCTGTGCAGATTCTTAAACTTGCTGGAATGCGGGTAATTGGGACTGCTTCTCCGAGGAATCATGACGTATGTATTGTTTTGAGGATTAATTGAAGTCGTGTGCTGCTGACAACTTTTTATTCGATAGTACGTGAAGTCTTTGGGAGCAGAATTTGTCGTAGACTCGAATAGTCCCAGTGTGTTGACCGAAATCAAACGTATCACTGGTGACTCGCCCTTGAAATGGGCTGTAGACTGTATTGGCTCAGAAACCGCTCTCGCAAGTAACGCCATTCTCAATTGCTATTTACAAGCACCTTCTTAACCAGATTTCACTCAATTCATAGCAATGCGCAAAAGCATTAACACCTGGCATACCCACACAACTCGCTACTATATCCGGTGCGCCGGCAATGCTGCCTTCGCCTAGTATCACCCATCACCCAGTCTATCTTGGTGATTACATTCACGTTCCAGCCAAGAAAGCCTTCCTAGAGAACTTTGTGCAGAACGTTGCAAACCCCCTCTTGTTTGCTGGCAAGGAGCCCATCATAATAGGGAATCGAGCTTTGATATTGGGAGGATTGGATCAAGTAGCGACTGCTTTTAAAATGAGCTCTGAGGGCCGAGTGTCTGGTCAGAAACTCGTTGTAATACCAGGTTTGACGAGGCCTGAATCTGTGGTTGCTAAAATGTAACACACAATTACCGCTAAATGTTTTGATATGTTTACCTTGATTGGCCAGCTTGATAAAAACAGAGGTATTTTGAGGGTGTGTGATGAATCGATCTGGAGTATTTGTTCTGGTGAATGAACACTGAATCTATCTCCTGATGTACTGGGAGGGCTCTGAAACCATGTCTTTTCACGAATGGCGGTTTGAGAGGAGGCACTTGAAGTTCGAATTCGAGAATTCAAACACAATTTGATTTTGAGGAAACTAACTGGAATAGCAGCAATTCTGTGTCTATAATAGGTAAGAGAGCGTCCAATCGCAGTAGTTCATGGGCTGTAATGTCAGTAACTCAGTGTTCAACCCGCTTTCAAGTTCAATGACATTACTCGATCGAGCTAGACCCTTCCGATCGAAGGATCTTATACAAGTCAAACCAAAGACTCAAACACCATACCGAAACTAGGTGCCTACTTTCGCTGTCTTCAGGACTTTGATAGTTGAGAAAGTCAGAAAGTCTGACTCTGTAAGGCTTTACGGCTTTACGAGCGAGTCAAGGTGGGTGCAAGCGAGGATAATATTATTCGAAATATAACAAAACCTACGCGTGACACGCTCGTTCCTTTCGTTGACTGTCGTTGAACTTTCAAAATTCTCACTTTTTCAAGTTTTTGCAAAGATGTCGTTTTTGGAAGCTTGCTGCCACTGGTGGATCGAAATCCAGACTTTCACGCTGCAGAGGACATCTTGTCATGACGAACGGTGTCATTCTATCCACCGGCAAAGGAGCTGAACGAATTTACAACTCTGTTTGCGTCACTTGAAACGGATGCAGTCACAGTAGTGTACATGCACTTATGAGATACCAATGGGGTGCCTTACTGAGTCCATCTTTTCGATGTGGTGTAGCAGAAAGGCCTAGCATATACAGCGAATTCACTCTATTCATGACGGTCGAGAATACTTCTGCACGACAAAATGTACTTCATCGATAATGACAAATCCAATGATAGGAGGGACCTCAGGAATAAGTGGATGTACACTACTAGTCACGTCCCAAAGCCAGCAACAAAAATCTTTTCGCTCACGCATCCCATCCCACTCACTGAAGCACTGAACAGCGGGGCCTCCAGCTCCTCGACTTTCCACGGAGTTATCAGTATTCCGAAAGACGACGTAGTCCCTTCTCCACCTCTCAACAATACCGCTCACCTGCAGCAAATGCCACAGCAAAATTAATTGGATTTTCACAATTTCACAAGCTCCTAGTACTGACTTTCTGGAAGAGATATAGCTCTTCAACCCAGTAACTCAGCAGACGAAGACTCACCTTCAGCAACTCCCACCCCAAGATTAATTGGAAGTTCACTACCTCCTGGTTTTGACTTTGGCGCTCAGATTTATTATGGTTCTGTTTGGATACCTTCATTCGAAGATTATTACTTAGCCAGGGTTGAACGCAAGACAGTAGAGAAAGGAGAAGTAGTGGCTAACAAGGACTTTAGAGAAAGAAACGTTGAAATTGAAATACCTCGAACTTTCCATGTCCAATTTGCCATGAACTGGTCCGTCTGTATATCAGCGGTGCATTGTTGGCCAGATGGACAGTTAGTTTTTAAGGAAGTCGTATCGAGCGAAGAGGAAGTCAGAATACCGCTCAGGCTATGGGATGAAGAAACGGAACAGGAGGTACTTATTAAGTCAACAAATCCCAAAGCAGCTCTCTCGTTGACCTCGTTTCACGTTTTACGCAACCCAGCGATGTCGTACTCTGATTGAGTTTAAGAGCTCCAACCCTGGGAAGAAACTGATCTTTTCGCTGTCATCCACTGCTAATATGCTGGTTGTTCATATTGCTCTACCTAAGGAAGCTAGGACCTTGTATACTTCGGTAAATAACCACATTAGTTAGCCAATTAAAAGTGTAGAGTCCTCACTGCTTCCCTAAATTATACAATCCAAATCCAAACCAGATGAACTAATGGAGACAGAATCATTGATATAGCACCAAAGAATCTGTTAATAGGACCGACGAAATACGTGTTTGACCATACTATAGAAACAGTGGCTGCAGTGTCGCTGGATTTTAAAGCCTTAGCCGACAGCAACGACCCTTTAAACCAGAACATTCTTGCTAGCCGATATGAAGTAGAAACGAAGCAATCGGTCGTGCAATACGTCTCACCTAAAAGGACGTTTGTTGCTTTTATTGACTTCTCAAATAATTGCACCGAGATGGCAGTTGCCAGCCGAGACTTGGTTGGTTTGCCTGAATATGTTTACCTCTACAGAATCTTGACTGGAGCCAAGGTCTTTGCTGAAAGTTATGCTAAATCTGTCATCTCAGATATCGCAAAACGGTCTACTACGACACGGCCCGGGATGTCCAGGACATTTCGTATAGCATAAATAACACTCTTCAAGTGATGGCATGGCCGTGGCGTGTCCGCATTGGTCCTGATTTCGGGTGCTCTGTAACGTGGCTGGATAGTCAGTTTCAGGCGCTGTTCCTTGAAGACGATACAACTCTTCAACAAACGTTGCTTTCTAGCTATGAATCGCAGTCAGTGAGAAGACAGTTTCCAGTTTTGTGGAATCAGCAGGTATCGGTTAACGAGCTTTTGACTGCATCACTACTGACGAACTGTATCTGGTCGGACGAAATCCCAGTGATTCTGAAGAAGTCACAGTCATCACCATCGAGGACTCTTGGAATTCCATGTGTTCCAAAGTGAACTGTATCGGATGGAAGTTTACAGATGCAAAGAGAGTGATTGACATAGTGGTTAACCGAATCTATGAGTCAATCCAGCGACAACGGGTTCAAGGCCGCTTCTGAAAGGATCAAGTCCTCTTTGTCTGCAAATCCTTCGGTAATTGGGCTAGTTAGAATTTCCCACTTTGATTTCGAGTGGACCACCTGATAGCTTTTGTCGTACGTAGGACCACACTCATTTCGAGTTTCTGACGCCTCTCTTGGACCAGAATTCTCAAAGCTACCCAGATTCCCGAGACCGAGAGGGATTAGGGTGATTTTATGGGAACTTGATGTCCTGACGCTGGTTTAATCTACGGTTTTCTTGATAATATGAATTGAACATTTTCCTGATGAATAGACGTGATTTCAGTCAAGACTTGATAATGTTTATTTGAAGAAGTTAACAGTGTCGAAACTCGTTCGCTCAATGGCCTTCCATTGTCATGGTGAATCGCCTTCGAGTGAAGAGTTAGTGTTGGATCTACTCAACAGACCGGCTAGACAGGAATTGTCCAGTTGAGTATCGTCATTACAGCTCTCACACGTATTTAGTACCCTTTTCGTTGGGTGCAGCAGCCAGTACCGATGTTAAACCACTAAATCGACAACAGTTCCATAACACGTATTGAACGCGTTCCTCGTAAGGCGATTTATACGATATCTCACGTATATTGTTTATATTCGCTGCCTTCAAATCACCAAAGAGCGATTCCTGATAAACTCTAGTTCCAATCTCTTTAACAAATCGCTAAAAACACACTTTGACTCAAAATGTTAGCCGGAGACAGCAAAATGAAGGCGGCCATGGTCACCAAGGCTTCCATTGAAGACGGCATCGAAGTTCAAACAGTTGATAAACCTGTTCCTGCCAAAGGTAACTACATTTGTTTTTGGTGGTTGCCAGTGTTTGTAGTTTCGGCAGAGCCCAGTCTGATACAGCTGTGAACTGCCTTACTGACGATTCCCATTATCATTATGCAATAGGAGAAGTACTTGTCCAAGTCACGGCATCTGCAATAAATCCCGTGGACTGGAAATTGGTAAAATATGGAGCTTACAAGTCGTATCCTGGTCCAGTAAGAACATCATTTACTCCTAGGAACTTCTTTCCAAGTTATCTCATCTTATAATCTGTCATTATTGTAGCTCGGTTGTGATTTCGCTGGTGTTGTGACTGCATTGGGAGACGATGTCAAGGACTTTGCTGTTGGTGATGAAGTCATGGGCTTTACAAGGCTTATGGAAGCTGGACGCGGTACTTTTGCACAGTTTCTAGTCGCGGAAGCTTCATGCTGTATCAGGAAACCAGCATCTATGCCCTTTGATGAAGGTAATGCAACAGCCATTCTTGACTCATGTATGTGCGCTCGTTTTTTGTCTTGTAACTCACGATCCTTACGCTCTAGCTTCGACATTTGGTGTCGGATCCTTGACTGCAGCCCTCGCACTGTTTTTCCATCAAAAACTGGCCAAACCATCAACGTCACCCAAAGACCAGGGTTATTATCTTGTTTGGGGAGCTTCAAGTTCTGTCGGATTGTTTGCAGTTCAATTGGCCAAAGCAGCTGGTTTCCAAGTCATTGGAACTTGTTCGCCCAGAAACTTTGATTTGGTGAAATCGTTTGGAGCTGATTTCGTGTTGGATTCAAACAAGGTATCAGTGATCTGTGAGTTGCTTCTTCAACTGATTCTAACTGTGACGTGTGATTTACAGGAAACTGCTCTTTTGGGAGAAATCGACAATATAATAAAGGACGTCGAGCTCAAATATGCACTTGACTGTATTGGAGCTGATACAGCACTTGTAACGCTACGAGACAATTTCCTTTTTCTTGTCAGCTCCCTGATACCAACGTTTCTATTCCTCCCAACTAGCATTGCGCCATAGCATTGGCATCTGGAGGAATATTGTGCACTATCGCCGGTGAACCAAAATCATCGCCTGAAGACATTGAAGTCATTCCAACCTTATTGGGAGGCTATGAAAAGGATGTCAAAAAGAAACGGTTTGTTGAGGATTTCATTTTGAATGATTTGAACAGTTTCTTGTTGAAGAAGGGTAAGCTTGTTATGGGTTGGCTTCAGTGCTGTTAAAGCATGCAATAAGCAAAAAAACTGAATGAACAATCGTTATTGATAGGTTTGATTAAAGGAAACCCTACACAAATTCTTGATGGTGGTCTGAGTGCAGTCAAGGAAGGCTTTGAGTTGTCCTCAACTGGAAAAGTCTCTGGCAAAAAGCTAGTGCTTTTGCAGCATACATAAGCTTGCAAGATTGACCTGTTTGTTTCAGAATTTTCAGTCCTTCACATTCAACATCAGCATCTACAGTATGTTATAAAAATCAACTAATAAACACAATCGAAGAGAAGCACAGCATCTTGCAGTTGAACAGAACCTTTTTATCGATTGTTTACGTTGACCCGATGTCCTTGTCTTTCTATTATATCATATCCACTTCTTTTCAAACACTAACATTTGAATACGTCCTACCTTTGTAGTTAGACTCGAACGTCAAACACTTTTTCAAAATGGTATGCCATGAAGCTGTGTCTACCGGACATCATGGCGAATGGAAGAACAATCATACCTGAACGTTTAAGTTTACTTTGTAACATACTCTCAAATCACCACCATTCTTCTTCCCCACTACACATAGTGTAGCGCCGACCACACTTAGCTGTCACTGATAGCGAAGCATCAACGAAGAATAGCGAGAATCTCGCAAGGTTTCTCAATTGAACTCAATTGATAAGAACCTTGCCCACAAGACTTCCTTCATAGGTATAGCCTGCACCGTTCAAACCACCTTGATATCCATGATGCAGTGAAGACTTTCACAAACACCTAGAGATACCTTGGCCGTTGAGTGCGCATATTGACTGAGGCTGCAACACTACCTTACTGCGAGAATCCCATCTGCTCCATACAGACTCTTGAAGAGAGTCAAGCGCATCTGTTTGATGATGATGGGTTTGTTCGTACATTAGTGAATTGCATAGTTTAATGTTGATGTCATCCACAAGAGAGAGAACCCGAAACATACCAAGAATCTGGCCACTATGTAGACTGCTGAGATTTTATAGTAGCGACTACTTTACATCCTCCATTAAGAGCACAGGGTTTGTCTGCGATGGATGGGTTCAAATATTTACGTGGAAAGAATTCTGTGTCAAGGCAAGTAATGCGACCGAAGCCCGGACATGACACTTGACTGGTGACTTGTCATGCGGAGGATGAGACTGGCTAGCAGTGCTTGTTTCTTTCTCCTCCTCTCCTACTTTGGTTGTATGTTGGGAAAGAATTTGTGGGGAAGGCGGTTCACGAAAGGTCTACAGCGTCTCAGACGTTCAAACTTATGCAGATGGAATCTGACTCTACTGTATGTGGAATTCCATAGCGACTCTCCCTGACAGGCAAGATCTTGGACGGTCAAGCACTTCAACAACTGCCAGTGTCGAAGCTGCTTCTACGCGAGACAGTCCTCTGAATGCAAAGTAGAGAAGCATCACGAAGTTAAGAATCTAACAGTCACGTAGTGGTTGAAATTGCATCAAGTGGCAGCCCTGCTTCATCCCATTAACAGCATGTCGTGGTCTGGTTCTATTACAGCAAATATTCTCTTTACAAACACTACTTCTACTACTTCTATGACTTTCCCCTTCACTGCTATATATAGTAAACTTCTTCTATTGAAGCTCCAACTTAATCTTGACATTCATAGCAACCAACTCTGTGCACAAGTACCTAAAGACATACGGAACAGCAATAATCGAAACATGTTTACCAGTCCCACAAGACCTACAAACAACCCTTTCACGTGGTCCCAACACACCAACAGCACCACCCTGAGGTTTCAACGACATTGTAGACAGGAGCGATCCACATTTCGAGCATACATATTGCTGAGAGTAATCCGAGCAATTCATTAATCGATCCTGCAAGAGGAAGGACACTCCATGAGCCAGCAACGAGTCACGTTCCATTTCACCGAATCGGATACCACCAGCTCGTTTACGACCTTTAACGGGTTGTTGAGTCAAATTATGTACGGGTCCTGTGGTACGTACTTGGAACTTATCAGACACCATGTGACGTAGACGTTGGTAGTATACAACTCCTAGATATATATCGGCTTTAAACTCTTCTCCTGTTATACCAGAATACATGGGCTCGTTGCCATGATAGTTATATCCTGATTGTCGTAATTCTTCACCAAAGTAGTCGGCTGCTATATTGGTTTCAGAAAATGTGAAGGGTGTAGCGTCCTGTGATATACCGTGCATGGCACCAGATTTACCGGCTAGAGATTCTACAAACATACCAATTGTCATACGAGATGGGAAGGCGTGGGGGTTGATGATTACGTCGGGTATGATTCCGGATTCGGAGAATGGCATGTCGACTGATGGCCATCGTTGAGACATGACTCCCTTTTGGCCGTGACGAGATGAGAACTTGTCACCTACTATGGGTGAACGTGGTACTCGTAGCTTTATAAAGACTTTGGTGACATAGGTTTCGTCACAACCTGAGAGATAGAACAATTTTGTTAACAGCGTAAAAGGCGACTTTGACGAATCTTCTACAAACAAATAGTCTCACCAACAATATTGACTTGATCCACATAAACATCTTCCGACCCTTTATAATTTACAACCTTCACCATTCCTTTAGCTTCATCCACATACGCATACATGGGATCCTTGGCAGTCAACTTGACTCCAATATGCGGTAACCCATCAATATCCAAGAATTTAGATACTTTGGCAAGATCGAAGGCAGCGGCCCGTTTAGCACCACGTGCGGTTCCATCTCGAAACTTTAGTCCAAAGTAGCATGGTTCGCCTCTCTTTGCCATATCAGACAAGTCTACAAATTCGCCCTTGTAGATGATACCATGTCCAAATCCACGATCGTGTGATGAGCGGGCAATAATCATGGCGTCTTCCATATCGTATCCAGTGTATGAGATGACTGCTACGACGGCGTTCATTCCGTTTGGGTAAGAGTCCATACCGTATTCTTCGTATAGAGACGGCTTGACAATGGGTACTTGAGGAGTTACGATACGGTATAGCTTGTTATCGGTACGATGAGGGAGGTTGTGAGCTGCTGTACCCATAGATTGCTTGCCCATCTGTATAGTTGAATAGAGAATAAATACAAACAAAAAAACTTTTGGTGCAAAGCTTTCAGCACTTGCGTCATACCTGACACTGGTACATGTTACGTGGCGACTGATTGAAATCAGAAAAGGGCGTCATGTTGGCTATTACACTCAACATGTTTGTAGGAGCCACTTCAATATGAGTTGTGAGACCTGGTACTATGTCTTCAGGTAGGCAAGCAACATCCATATAAACCTGAAAAAGATTAGAATCGTGTCAGACAAAACGAACATGTATCGAGTGACGATGTAAACAGATAATTCCTGTATCGATTTCTCACCTGCTCGAACGTTCCAACCATATCAACAGTTCCAGTTGGAATGTACTTGACTGGTCTCATCATTCTAGCTGGTGCTGAAAACAAGAACAAGCCAGGATATTGTCCACCTTTAGATGGAGGTACCCAACCAATCTCCAAATCCATCGGTATCTAAAGAAACGTTGGACAATTCGGTCAAACCTTGCAGATACGTTTGGACAACATTGGCAAAAAAAGAGTGACGAGTACCAATGCATGCACAAGACAAGCTGATGACGAAAGTGAACAAAAAACAGAGCCCGCCGACACTCACCCCTTTAATTCCTTTGACCTTCCATAACCTCAAAGTCTTCGATACTTGTTCTGCACATTTGGCAGTACAATATCCAACAACTCGGCCATCCAAGAAAATTGTCAAGATGGTCCTTTCTTGTCTAGCCTTCAGCTTAAATAGATTCTCGCCATTATCATCATCCACATCCATACGATCATCTCCATTTTCTAATGCTTCACCATCACCCAAAGCAGGTATGGTTTGCAATACTCCTAATTCAGCAACAGCATTCGGAACTGTGCTCGTATCAATAGGATGTGTGACGACTCTACAACTATGACTTAGATGGTTGAGTAGACCACATGGTGATCCATCTGGAGTATGTACTGGACATAAGAAGCCCCATGCTTCAGGTAAGAGTTTACGAACTGTTGTGGTTTTCAGTTCTGCAAAGAAGGCACCACGGTGTATGGATCGAAAATGCGACAGGTACCGTAGAAAGTTGAGTTTTTCGGCGACGATGGTATATCCTGATGTTTGCTGCAAGTCTAGACCACTATTTGTAACCAAGTTACCAGTGGCTAGAAAGTATTCCATCTTTTTACCGATATCAATATTTACTTTGCTCAAGGCTTTGAGTAAGTACTTGCCTATAAGAAAAGTAGTTTGAGTCGTCGAGTATCAATGCCAGCAGTAAGGCCTTCATAGACAACTTACGATCATGGAAGTTCACACCCATAGCATTCTTCCGCAAATCGATTTGAATCTGGGACTTCCATCCTGTAAGAATGTCACCAATCTTCTCCTTCATATAAGCCACATAGAGGAAACCACCCAACAAGACTTCTTGGTGATTTGGAGCATCTGGATTGTCGGGCGAGCATTCACCAGCAACCAGAGAATACAGCTTTTGTAGCATGAATCTAATAGTGCGAAATAGGAGAGGGTAGTCTAGACGCAAACATCCCAACTATTGAAGTTGTAAATTTGTCTTCAACCAACTCAAACTTTGCTGCCAGCCAGCACGCAGACTCTTCATAAAACCACTTAACGCAACAACTCACATCAATACATCAAACTTGTCACGAGGAGATTCCAAATGGACGAGAATGATCTGCTTCAAGAAGTCCAATCCAACTTGTTCTTCTGTAGCATCATCAGCAGAATCTAGCATGACTGCAAACTTGGATCCCAAATAAGCTAGACATGATTTACGAGTGGACACAGGGTACCTCCTAAACGATCGTAATAGTAACTCGACTCGATCCGTCAAGAAGGAATCATGATAGCGGCCCATCATGATTTTTTCGAATATTTCTTTATCGGATACTTCTTTTAGTGCCTTTAATACTAGGAGGTATGGTACCATGAATTCCTGTTTACGGTAGATGAATCGTATGGTGATTGCACCGTCTGTGCAGTAGTGGAGGGTGATAGTTTGGGATGTTTGGTCGTGTCGTACGGATCTCATTGCGACACCGAATGGAGTATATGTTGGACCTCTCTTTTGGAAGGAGGTTCGTATGATGGCTGTTGCGTTGTTTCGGCGCGGCACAATGAGCAAACGTATCAGCCTTTCGATACCGTTTACGATGAAGTAGCCTCCAAATTCATCAGGGTCTTCCTTCATTTTGATGAGCTCTTTTGGCGATTTACCATCCAGATGGCATCGAGTTGACTATTGGAAAAGATTGTTAAGAGTGTTTTTAGCCAAAACAATGAAGCATCTCTGAAAATTCCTACAGCTACAGCAGTAAACTCCTTATTGAACCACACGAGTACTTACACGGACGAGTATGGGAAGATATCCAGCAGTTTTGACTTCAGCCTGTACAGGACCTCCATTGACAGTCCAACATATCTTGAACTGTAATTGAGCTCGATATGATATACCTCGTTCTCGACATTCAGACGGCAGCACCCGTTTCGCAACAGCACCCTTAGTGCCAGGCAGTGATGGTTTACCTATATTTACATTGGCAATCCACACTAAAGAGAGTGAGCAGATCAGCGTCAATGTCAAAGATGTCATTTCTTCAAGCGAGAGGAGCGAACAAAGCATAAATCCAAATTCATATGAGGTGATAAATGAAGAATCTACAGCAATTCATACTCTCTAGTCTGTTTCTTCCACGTTCACCAGGACCATTCTCCGTTACTGGAGTATCAAACATGACTCTGTGACCTATATCAGCGACAGCCTTGTCGATGAGGCCGGCAGTTGACGTTCCCCATTGAAATAAAGCATTAAATGATTCTACATGAGGGGCGGATATTTTGGATAGTCGAGCGTAATGTGGTTTTTTGTCTGAAGGGTTTAGAGAGAGGGTTTCTCTCTTAATGTTTTCGAAAGATCCTACTCGTTTCTCTGCCTTGGATGGTGGTGCTTGACCAATCTCACTACTCGCCATCGTTGCTTTTCTCCTGTGAAGGAAGCTTACGAGGTGAACGTTTTGTGCAAAAAAAAGTTGGTTAAGAGGAAGCTGAGTATCCAGAACACGCACAACTTGAAGGTTTAGCATTATATCCAGACATGTAGCCTTTTCATATCGAGATTTAACGCGTCACGAAGCTTATACCGCTAGAAGATCCAAGCTCTATTGAGAGTTATTCGCAAATCGCCACACTTCTGCACATCAGCAGTCAGAAGAGACGTACGGCGAACTTGAATACCTTGATTACTTGCTTACTCGATCATTTAGATACATGGTAACTTCCGATCAAGGCAAAAGAGGAGTTTGAAACAAACAAGGAACGAAACGAAAAAGAAGCCACTTGTCGAGCACCGAGGAACACACCACGTAGCAAGGAACTACAAAGTCAAGCTCGGAAGTCTAGTATCGAAGCATACTCAGAGGCTTCATTTACAGCCGTCCTCTGATTAACTTTCACCGGTTAAAAGGTCTGATTTTGTGCTGAAAGCTCAAAAGCAGATGCAAACGTAGCCAGAGCCCAGACAACTGTATATACCTGTTGCCTCATATTGTGGATATCAATATCATTGTGGAAACGTCATATACTACTTAAATACCTCTCTGTCTCCCTTGTCGCCTCTTGTATTGATTTGGACATTGCCATCCCCCATCCCCGGAAAAAAATCTCACAAACTGTCTATAAGTTTGTCTATACAACTCCTCCGACACTCCATACTCCCTCTCCTCTCTTCAAATCCCTCCCATATCGATTACCTCCTCGTAGACCACCTACAAACGTCAAAGGTCTATTCGTAAACGTCATCTCCGAAAAAGTAGCTTACCGAACAGCGAACACACCCACCGAATCTCGCACCGTTTGTAAGTAAATATATTGAAGCATGGAGGAATTTGCTTATCATCAACCTAAACCCAAGAATCAGCCGCAAGGCCAGGTACGAATTGTTGCCCGACTTTTTTTTTTTGCTCTTGGAGCTTCGTTACAATTGTACTGCCATCCATCACAATCACCTGGCAGATGAAGCTGACACTCAATCCGTCACTCTAGCTGGCTGCCATGATGCGTCCAAGGCAGGATTGGGAGTCAGAAGTACCAGCCCAGAATGCCTTTGCAAAGGATGTAAATCGTTCCAGCTCAGCACCTCCATCCCAACTCGTCATGAATGATAGAGCAAGGGTATGTAATGGCCTGAGCGCTATGCCCTTATGTTTGGCTTTGATACTCACTGCCTTCAACAAATAGGAAATGGAGGAATCACAGTATGATGGAATGGATCCCCGAGTCGATCCCGAATACGCCCCATACTATTACATGAACTCTAGGCCAGATCCGAGGCTAGCATCACCTTCATATGCCCAACAGAACAATCAGCAATGGCAAGTTTGGGCACCACCTCCTCTCGGTGGCAAAGGAGAAAACAGCAAGAGAGAAGCTGTCCTATCACCAGCCCGATCAGACTATGAAACATATACTCATACTGGATATGAGGACGAATACTCTATCGGCATGAATGGCCCAAGAGGCAATGGTGGTGCTGGTGGTAGTGGTAATCCAGACGACATGTATCACGGCAATGATCAAGATGTACCAGAGCCCATGTCTGCTCGTGAACCAACAGGATATAAGACACCAGCCAGAGATGTAGGAGGTGACAGCAATGGAATGGTGACGACTCCTTCTTCAGCACCACCAGACTTTAGGATGCATCCGTTGTCTCCCATTCGTGGTGAGAGAATGCCTGCCGAGTACATGTCCCCTAATAGAGCTAAACCAGACTCTCGGATAATGGGTGAACGAGCCTGGAATGGTGAACTGGCTTCTCCTCAATCGTCATCACGATCTGCACCGCCACTTGTAGACGATCCCATGTCTCCCAAACGTCGGCTGATTGACTTGATACAGGACGACTTTCCACGTACACCTTCTCCTTTATTTGCAAACCAAAGACCATTAAATGATCCTAATACGCCATCTACACCGGTAGATGGAGACAACAAGAAACATGCTCTGCAAGAACAGCTCAGAGAGCAAATGAGAGCTGGACAGCATGATGCTCTGGACTTGGAGCGAGATGATGAAGATGCTAGAGTTGCTGCTGTGCTATCGGGTGTATTGGCTGAAGACAATCGAGCTGATGTGCCTCAGAGTCCATCTTCTCGTGCTGCTTCATCGCCTCCTGGCCCTCAGTCACCTTACATAAGACAGCAAATGCCTGAATATGCAAATCAAAATGCATTGATGGGTGCCATGCGTAATATGTCGCTGACTGATGTGAGTTTTTGATGCTAACATTTATATAGCGCTTGCTCTCGTTTTTGGCATATTCACCTTTCCTGCCCTTTTCCTTTCAGGACGAGTTCGACTACAGGATGACAGGACGAATGCCTAAGAATCCATATGATAGGAATTATGATCCAAGAAGTCCTGGATACGATGGTTCAAACAACTACATGATGGGTATGTTGAATGCGAGAAAAAAAACAAAGAAATTGTGAAGCAAACTTGCTTGTACTAATACAACAATACTTGATGTGTTTAGATCAAGGAATGAGTCCATCCGGTGGTGGTCCATACTCATATCCTAGTTCGCCGCGTGGTAGAGGTAAGCACTCCATTCAGTAGAGAACAGCATCCGAAACGGAAAAATGACCTAAAGATGAATCAACTCTACAATAGGACACGAGATGCAGCAATGGGATCAAAGAGGGACGTATGACCAATCCTTTAACCGACGTAACTCGAACAGTCTCGGCCTGTCGCAAACAAACCAATACGCATACGCCGAACATCGTAAATCACTCCCTGCCAACTTCACAGATTACGCAGCATTAGAATACGCAGCAGCTCAAGCTGCAGCTGGTAAACGAGCTTTCGATCCAGCTCTCATGGCTGCCTTCTCCATGGCCTCAGCAGGTGTCGATCCTCGTATGAATCCATACGGCGTCGATCCTCGTCGAGCAGTCACCGTCAACATGCCATTAGGAGGATCATCTGCATCAATGGACAAAAAAATGAGAATGCTGATGCAACAGCAAATGATGTTCCGTGAGCAGATGATGATGAGACGGGATTATAATAATGGACCACCGTCTCCAACGTCCATGGGTTATGGCAGTAGTGATCGTGGAAGTGATCGTGGTAGAGGCAGAATGCATCAGTCTAGTCCCCCACCAAGTTTGGATCCTGGTCATGGTATGCGAAGTCCTCTGTTGGAGGAGTTCAGAAACAACAAGAATAAGAAGTATGAACTTAGGGTACGTTGCGCTGCCATTCCGTCTCACCTATGTGGCCGTTTTTTGTCATCTGAAGTGTCGATCTTGGAGTTTATATTGGAGATGTCACAAGCTCTTATGAACTCACCCTCTGTCCTCTACTCAAATAGGACATTGTTGGCAGTATAGTTGAATTCAGTGGCGATCAACATGGATCACGATTCATCCAACAGAAGTTGGAGACTGCATCAAGTGAAGACAAACAGATGGTCTTCGAAGAAATATTGCCCAATGCCCTGCAGCTCATGACGGACGTATTTGGAAACTATGTCATTCAGAAGTTCTTTGAGCATGGTGTGTATTTGATGCGAATCGCTTTTTTTGTGCTGGCATCTCACAGCCTGTACCAACCCAATTAACCAACCCAATTATAGGCAACCAAATCCAGAAACAAGTACTTGGCAAGCAGATGGAGACCCATGTTCTCTCTCTGTCCCTGCAAATGTACGGCTGCCGTGTAGTCCAAAAGGCATTAGAGCACGTCTTGACGGATCAACAAGCTGCTCTCGTACATGAATTAGATGGACACGTCCTGAAATGCGTCAAGGACCAGAATGGAAACCACGTAATCCAAAAAGCTATAGAAAGAGTCCCAGCCGAACACATCCAATTCATAATCGATGCCTTCCATGGACAAGTCTACTCCCTAGCCATTCATCCTTATGGATGTAGAGTCATCCAAAGGATATTCGAACACTGCACCGACGATTTGATGCAGCCACTATTAGAAGAGTTGCATACGTATGCCTTGAATTTGATTCAAGACCAGTATGGCAACTATGTAATCCAGCACGTCTTGGAACGTGGCAAGCCGGCTGACAAGGCTCTGATTGTTGCCAAAGTCAGAGGGAATGTCTTGCAGATGAGCAAGCACAAGTTCGCTTCTAATGTAGTGGAGAAGTGTGTTGCATATGGCAGCAAGAAGGATAGGCAGATGCTGATTGACGAGGTGATTCAGACAAGATCGGATGGGTAAGCTTTGTTTTTGTTGCGTAGAGCGGTTGAAACCCAAGTTATGCTTGCTTTGATGGTGGTGTATTGTTTGGAATGATGGCATTTTGGTCGCAGATATGCTTGCTCAATCTCTATGACTTGAATTTTGGCATGGACTTAGAACAAACTTTCTCCTCTCACTTTAGCACCTCGCCTCTAATAACCATGATGAAAGACCAGTTTGCGAACTATGTAGTTCAGAAGATGCTAGATGTGGTAGATGGTGACCAAAAGGACATACTGGTCACGAAGATCCGACCTCATCTGCAGTCTCTGAAAAAGTATACTTACGGAAAGCACCTCATAGCCAGTGAGTAGCGCCCTCTGATTCTTTGAGATGATGATGAGATCATTGTGGCGCAACTCTTGGTTGCACTGGCAGGCCTCTTTGATATGTTCGAGCTCTTTGGCTCACATCCTTTTGTTTTTTTTGCAGAGGTGGAAAAGATGCTGGGGTACAATGCTGCTAATGGACTGGCATTAGGACCACCTAGTCCAACCGATGAATGATCGTATAGTCCTTTATTGTCGTCTCGTTTTTGGGGTTGGAGAGTAGAGTTTCTTCCCAAAAAATTCATGTTTTGGAAGGTAATTGTGTTATTGTGTTTGTTAGACCCAAAAGAAAATATTTCGTTGTTGTAATAATGTGTAAGATCAAGAGAACATTATAAAAGAGTTGAATCATAACAGTTGTTTTATTGGCTGCAAGCACGAAAAAATTGAGGTTCATCAAAACATTGTAAAAAAAAGGTACGCAGCTATGTTTCAACATGACCTTACGTGTTAAATAAATCCCGAATCGTGAAATATCAATGTCTTGTATATGGATTTAGGTGTTTCCGATAGTTAATTCACCTTCTATCGGCTTATGGGTGTGAAAACGCAGTTGCCCAAGGCTTGCACGTGGCGAGCAGAGACAGCTGGAGGAAGATTCAAGGGTGGGTATAATGATATTGACGTGTAATTTTGGTATTGGTATTGTTGTCTCGTTTCATCTGTCAAGAAAGCTTTTGTATTGAAAGAGTTACAAATACGACATGCGATATAATATTTGCTGGCCTAGAATTAACTTTGAACATAGGATGAAATTTGAGATGTTCGTAATATTCAATGTTCACTTGTCTTTCAGTACTAAGTTCTCATGGCCATCATTGCAAATCATGGCAAATCACCACCATCAACTCATCACTCTTCTTTTGTTATAGATAGGACAATGGACACCATTCGTGGACCTACAAAGATCTCAACAAGCAAGTCATCGACTACTGGATTTGCTGACAATGAAACTCAGATAACAACTCCAACTGGAGCAACGGCAGCTCCTGCTAACGAAAACGTGACGGTTGCTACAACACTACCTCAGTTAATTGCTCTTATTACTACCGAAGCTGCACGGGGAGAAAGTAGTGTGAATTTATCGCAACGAGACCTGACAGAACTTCCTCCAGAAATCGCCCTCTTGACTTCGAAAGAACGGTAAAATCAAGGAAACGACTTTTGTTTGGTGTTCATCAACGAGCATTGCCTGACTCTTTCTGTTTTGAAATGCCATACTAGATTGGGACTAAGTAGCAATCGGCTCACAAACTTGCCGTTTGAGTTCAAGTCGTTGAGGAAGTTACGGTACCTGAACCTGAAGTCAAACCAACTTCGAGAAGTACCTCAGATTGTAAGGACAGATATTTGTTAGACGATACGTATACTTCCACGCTTTTGCTTCCTTGATCATGACTGACGAATCCTCTTCATTCCACCAGTTATGTGAAATGGAACACTTGGAAATACTTGGTATAGTCGATTGCGATTCCTCGCTCATCTGGATCCAAAAGTGATCTTTCAGTAGCCACATTCCTTTCCTTGCTTACGCTCATCTCTCCTGCAGACATCAGTCGTAACAAGATTCGAAGATTGCCAACGTCATTCGGCAAACTCATGAATCTTAGGGTGTTGAGTGTTGCTAGAAACAGACTCGTCGAGCTGCCAAAATATATTGGAGACATGAGAGAACTGAAAGTGCTGAAGCTTGGTAAATCAAAGTTGAGCATCCTCGAGATGCTGGAGCCATGCTGATACTCCCTCTCGTTGCAGAATACAATCCGATTGAATGGCCGCCCCCGGACGTAGTCCATGCCAATTCAGACATATCCACCGATGCTTGGCTCAAAAATTTGAAGGACTACTTGCTGCGAGAAGGTTCTTTGCTAGTTCGATACCCTGCCGGAGGCACAATGCTAACCAGTCAGTAACTCTATTAGGTGATCGCAGAAGTGCCATGAGAAGGCTACCCTCTCGCGAAATATTATCAACGGAGAACAGGCTAGAGTCTGAACTGGGTGCTAACTGGAAAGAATGTGATACACTATGTGATTTATACTTCAATGGGCGACCGCCATTGAAAGAAGTGACAAGTCGAGGAGATCGGGTACTGGATATATGTAGAACCGTCGCCTTTGCAACAGCACAGTTATATCGTGTTGTTCGTCAGATGGTGACAAACGCTTCAGATCGAACCATCGCAGAAAAGGAAGCCATTGCTCTAAATAGACAGTCCAGAAGGTTGATTGCTCTCTTGATGGAAACGGAAGAGCAAACGAGTAAAAGTGGTAAAGCTGGTGATGAAGAACCGCATACTCGATTGAAAGCTGTTGCTGCTATGGCTGCCACTGAAGCACGTAGGCTAGTAGTTGAGGTGACAAAGCATTTGCCTGTGTTGCTAGTCAATCGGGATCCAAGGCAACTTAGGTCTATGCTTGTATCGTGGTATTCTGTCACACTCGAAGTCGGAGAAGCTTTGCAAGCCGCAACAGAGTTAGCAATTGCCTCACCTGTCGTCATGAGCGCCCCTCATTTAGGTCTTCGTATGGGCGGCTCATCGTCATCACCACCGCCATCACGTCGCAGTAAAGAGATTGGGTCCGTTGGAACCTCGTTACTGTCTCTAGATTCGACCACAGCCCTAACCCCATCTCCAGCCACCTTATCCGTATCGAATGCATATAATACCACAGTAGCAGCTATAGATTCTACGTTCTTGTCGATGGCCGATAGCGCAGCAAAAGCCACATCGCAGATCCTAGTCATGTTGAGAGATATTCCTGAGAGGTTGTCGGTTACTGCTCTGACTGGACGTGGTGGTAGTACGCCGTCTAGTCCTAGTAATACTCCTAGTAATTTCGTTTCTGAAGGTGATGCCGTGGATGGAGTATCGAGTGTTAACGCTGGTGGTAAAAAGTCCTTGTCGGGACCAGATGGTGACATGTCAGCTCTGATAAAGAAGGCCTCAGATGTGACCGCGTCGCTCGTACAGACAATCAATGAAGCAGTCAAGCAACAGAATCCTATGTTACAGACGCGAGTCTACGCTGATGTGGATAACTTTGTCAAGGTATGTGGTTGCGTTGGGTCGAGCAGCGCTATCAGTTTTGAGAAGATCTTCACTAGCGTCTTCCTGATTGTGGTTTTTCTGTTTTTGGATGAATGTAGACTGTAGTACAAGTCAGTGTTGGAGCCAGAGATATGGCCAAACGATACCCACTTAGTTCACAAGTTCGAGATGGGCTTCAGCAGGTTACTAGATCGACACGTGAACTTGCAGCTCATTTATCTAGAACTGGTGCCGCTGGTGGTATTGGTGGAGCTGGAACTGGTTCATCCATCACGAACGAGTCTGGTCCTCTTACATAATCAGTGTAAATAGGTAACATACATGTTCAACGCACTTTGCTTCTGTAAATAGATGTCTCATGTAAAGACACAGAAAGACAATAATTGAACCTGTCTGGAACGTTGCGGTGGCCAACCAAAAGAAAAACAGATAACACAATTCAGAAGTACCCTCCATTTTGCGGAAGTTCCAGACAACTTGATTTGATTGACATAAAATATTTCTATACATATATTCCAACTGCCAAGAATAGATACAGAGTTCCAAACCCTACCAACGAAGCAACAAAGGATGGCGTTTCAGACTCTATAGAGTGTCTAAAGCTGAAGTTTGGCATGAAGAAACATACCAACGAAGAGTGAACTCAAAGCAGCCAGGCCAATTTCCATAGTCCAGCTTCGTGTTGATTTGGTTTGCATGACTTCGTATCTGCAAGAAGTAGAAATGAGCCAGAAAACCTCTCAATGTTTTCCAAGTATACTTTGACTGTTTCCGCTTGCAACCACATGACTCTTTAATACACAAAGCCAACCAGACACAGAATGAGATGAAATTCCTTACAATAAGAATGCGCTTCCACCAGCGAATCCAATGAGCAGTAAGATTGTAGCTGCCAATGCGAAATTGAGGCTGGGATTTGATACTGGGATCCTAAGTCAGGCAAGAACATGTTAGCATTTACTATGCAATGGAACCATGACATTACGAATGCACAAGGATTCGACTGAAGGGTTGTTGGGCCAATGTGACGAATGTTCGAATTTAATTTACGTACAGTTCATTCCATTGCTAAAGGAGTGAATAAAGAGATAAGAACTTAAGAAATGCTCAAATTACAGGTTCATGACGTGATGAATATAACTTGTTAATCTCTTACTGAAGACATGGTGAGATTGATTCCCACACAAACCACTCCAACGATGAATGTCTTTACAAGGATTCTAGGCTGGCGAGAGCCTTCTTGGTTGATTCTGCTACAAGATACGGAAGCAAGGTCTGCTCTTCCTCTACTTTCTCCCTTGATCCAAGAGTACGTATTGATGTCAGGTTCGGAAATCGGAAGAAAGCGTCAATGAGCTTAAATGCTTGTAATGGTTTTACTGACGCGTCTTTATTCTAGTGTCGAGGACGTTTACTATGGATGTATCGATTTTGACCCAAGACGTGAACTGAGTCGAACCAGCCACATCAAACAACAGTTGAGCAAAATGTTGCTTCCTGATGCGACAAAAAAGAACACATTCAAATGTGATTACCTTATTAGAAAACATTTATTTGATCTGCAATCTTGCTTGTTCGGATTGCCGGCATCGAGTCATCATCATATACATGATGTGACGAGCTTGGATGACTTCAGATTACAAGTTGTTGCTGCTCATACAGACAAGAGTCCTGGTAAGCAATACGTCAGAGTAGTTTCGGTTGGCTTTTTTTGTCTGTTGTCTTTTTTTGTCTGTTGTCATGCGTTCCACTTCTGCAGAGCTCGATCGCTAAGCTTCTTTTTCTTACACAGGTCGTCGAGGTGTAGTCGTGATTGATAGCATCACGACCCTGTTCTTGTTTCATACAATGTCGGAAATCGCTTCATTCTTGATCGGTTTCAAAGATCTTGGAGGTAGGCTACCAAAGCTGCTTCAAGCCTAACGAGGGGGTCCTTGAAAGGAAGAGTCACACCATCACATATCTGTTAGATACATTCCGATGCATTATTATACATCACACCGACGTACCCTTTCCGAAAATGATCTTGTCACCTTCAATCATGTTGGCAGACATGTCAACTACCGTGTTGGATGTCACACCGTATGATGATGGTCAAGACTCTCGACTATTAAATCGTGGGCGTTTGAATTTCATGCATGCTAAAAAGTCAGGGAGAGGTGTTCAGGAGGTATGGTTGGGATGCTCCAGTCGCCATCGACGAACACCAAATGAGAACAAGTCGCCTAACAGCGCCTTTTAGACTCGATTATACTCTATTGAGTCCGATGGTCGTATACAGTTTGAAGAGATTGTGTCGGCACCTGCCTCTACTGCCATTATCATGTCTGCTCAAGAGACAAGGAGAGCTGCTAGTGCTGCTCCAGTGAGTTTGAATTTTTGTGCAGCGACAAATGCCAAAAAAAGATTTCGGACTGGACGTATGACTCTAAATCCCAATAGGATCCCACCGCTGGCCTTTCATTCGAGCTCAAATTGACTGATGAGCAACGCAAATCTAGATCAGAAGTTGCGTTGCCTTATATGGAAGCGCAAGGTATGAGTACGTACTGCGATTTGCTCCTTTTCTTGTTTGTTGGCTTACTCGCAATATCTCATGTTCTCACACTGAATGAATAATATTTCTTAGTATCAACACCATCCAAGGAGATCATCACAGTGTTTGATGAAGATGTTTCAGATGACGATGATCCTGACTTTGATTTAGAGATATGATGTTGAGAGTGGACTGTATACATGCGATGTACATGTTTGCAAGATTATATTGCTGTTTTTGTTGGCATCTGCTAGCCTCCACAATGGTACAAAAGGTGACCTTGTTTTCTGGAATTGAATTTGGAAATGGAGCTCTGAGACGGTTCAGATTGGTTAACTGACTCCTTTCAATTATACTCTAGCACCCAAACCTCATTATTGCACGGTATTTCAGAAAGCATCTTTTGTGTACATATGATTTTGTCGCAACTGTATACAATATAAACATACAAGTTACATAGCTTAGTTACATGGTCGTACAAGTTACATTACAACCCATCAGCGCTCATTGAATTCGAGACGTCACAATCTAAAACAGGGCGGATGCACCTTAAGAAGTAGCGCGCTGCACTCTCAAATCCTCTTCAAGCAACAAAAACTCGAGAATCCCCAAAGTTTCCAACGTCTGCCGTTTCGTTCCATCATCATACATATTTCTACGGCCTATGTCCTGCTGTTGCTGCTGTTGTCCCTGTTGATAGTCCCTCGGATTCGTGTGATAATTCCTTGGAAGCATTGGCAGGTGCTGCTGTGGTTGAATCTGTGGCAGCACATGTGGTATGTGATTGCTCCTATTATTAATGTCTTCATCGTGCCCTGTACTATCATGTACTGCTCTGCTATGAGCAATCTGTGCAAGCCTCATCCATGTCCGTGGATCCATGTGTCCGTTAGGAGCAGCGGAAGTAGCAGAAGGATGATTTTGCTGCTGCTGAGGCTTTATAGGGTCGACTTTGAACCTTGTGGTTTCCATTTTAGGTTTATGGGGTTGTCCTGACGTGCTGTTGTTCGTCACTGCTGTCTCTGGTTTACGTTTGGGAACTGGTGGTAATGGCTGGTTAGACTTAAGTGGGACCTTACGTAATGGGATGTGATTTTTGGGTGACAGTGGGAATGATGGTTTGGTTGATTGTGGTGGTGTTTTTTCGACTGTTGGTATGGTGATTGCCTTTGTACGGGATGGTGCAGGTACGGAGGATGCTTTTACAGGTGATTTCGGGGGCTGTTCTATTGGTAATCTAATTGGTTTTTCCTTTTGTTGTTGTGGTGGTTGTGGCTTCTGCGAATCAGCTTTCAAAGCTTGCTTAAAATCAGAAGGGATTCCATTCACCAGTGTACGAGGCGTAATGACTTTGAGTCTTGGGGGTGAATCTATGTTCTGCTGCTGCTGTGGTTTACCGTTTACCGTCTGTTGCTGCAGAGTATTATACTTCAAATCACCAACGTTCCTAAATCCAATATCGCATTCTTCGTCATTTTCTTCAACAAGCGCTTCTTGAGATTCCCAAGACCATACACGTATCCGTTTAGCACGTTCACGTTCGTCTGCTTGTTTTTCAAGCAGTTCTCGTTGCTTCTTGTCATTAATTTGAGCCATCAGATCCATTGAGTATTGTTTTGCCTTTGATCGTTGGTCTTCTAAGGCACTGTCGTCACGCAATGTCGATCGTCTCCTTCCATATTGTGGAGAGTGATAGTCAAAATCCATTTTGAATCGTGTTGAGACGTATGTGTGGTGGTTGGTGAGTTGGTTCGTATTGTTTGACAATTGATGTTGACCCTCTGATAGATCCAAGTGATATAACGATGTGTTCCAAGAGCAATCAATAAATTAGACACGGATTATCACTTAAAATTGAATATAAATCTACGTTCCAATACACCCTGCAAGCACAACTCCAAACGTGCAAAAAAGATCAAAGAGTGCACAGCAGTCACAGATCAAAAAGTGCACAATGTAAGAGAATGAAGTGTTTCTGTCACTTACCAAGCTAACAATCCTACCCCTTTATACTAGAACAAGCTACTGCTATATTACAAGGATGGAGGCCTTCCTATCTTCCCTTCCCGAATGGAACGATGATCAACGATTAAGAGCACTATACGCCTCCTTCCCAGACAAGACTGTAAACAAGACTGCCTACGAATCACGAATGGCAATATGGAAACGGATTCTAATATCTTCCATATCGAATCAGTGGTTGTCCGATTCGAAATGTTGTTTGCATCGACGTGATTTGGAGGCGAAGTTTAAGAGAAAGGGAACTACGCCGTTGGGACTGCAGACTGTTATCGTGAGCATTTCAAGACTGTGTCAACACTAGTGAACTATTGCTGTTGTCATATATTGATCCATCCCGATACATAATAGGACGATATGGTCGAATCTGGATTACTAGTCGATGTAACGTTATTCAAGCAAGATAAATCATGGAATATGTGGCTACTTGATGCTTTGGTACATGCACCCGTGAATTGGGCCTGGCAACAAATGTTTGGAAGTCAACAATCTGCTCAAAACGACAAGGTCTATGTTCTTGTATCTGCTGTACAGGTAAACAAAAGACCTAATCTCTGGTAATTAATAAGTTGGATTGACAGGAATCGCTTTGTAGGACATTGCTAATACGTTGTCCGAATCTATATATAACGGATCCCATTCATCAATCGACTTGATCTTCACACTACAGGATTTGAAGCTACAATATGCTACGAATACTTTATTGTCTGATGTATTGTTGGTATGCAGGCAGCTGGCATCTGAAAGCAAGATCTTGATACAGCTTGGTGCAGAGGCCGAGTCATCGGTATGTGCTACTGATTTCCCATGGCAATGTTGATCCATTTTTTCTCCCTCGACCAATTTTGTTCGTTTTACTAGATTATCAAATTCAAACCACCAAGAAGCAACCTGACACCGATAAATGAGACCGACAAGGGCATTGTCACCATTAAGACAACATTAAGTCATCTAAACAAGCAGGTGTCTCGATTAGATGAACGATCTGCCCAGTAAGTTCGCAAATTTTTTCCAAAGCTAAAATATTTATGAGCCTTCCTTACAGACCTTTCCTCATATTAACAAAAGGTTGATGGATCAAACAAAGCAACACATCAAGAACAAGGATAGGATAAGAGCCAAGTTTGTATTAAAGCAACGTAAAATGGTTGAGGATGTGTTGGAGAAACGGTTGGCGTCTTTGGCAACACTTGAGGCCATAATAGACAAGTTACAAGCTGCTGAGACTGATGCTGAGGTGAGCTCGAATCAAGTCACATCGGCTTGCTCTTTTTTTGCCCTCGTCTATTCAACAAAGCCTCGATATTCACCAAAACCTTTCAAAAACCAGCTCATTTCCGTATATCAAATCGGAACCAGAACTCTGCAAGAGTTTGTATCTCATACGGGACTCACAGTTGCCAAAGTGGACGCTACAATGGACGCATTAGATGACGTCTTAGCGGATCAACGTGAAGTGGAGGATGCTATGATGACTGGCAATGCCATGGTGCAACCTAACATATCTGAAGATGAGTTAGAGCAAGAATTGGACTCTATACTTGCTGAACAGGCCAAGCCAGCTGTGCCTGTCGCTGCTGTTAATGTGGTGACGGAGGGTACACAGAAGGTTGATGGTAGTGTAAATGATGAGCTTTTACGTGAGTTGGACGAGTTAACTGTGCCCACTATACACGATAAAACGACAGCAAAGTCATCACATAGACAAGAACTTGTACCATCATCATGAGTTTGGGTTGTTGAAGGCTCTTTGGAAAAACAATTGGATTGGGTTGTATATAGGGGGTAAACGAAGTTTCAACACATACACTTTGCATTATGAAGGGCCTCACGGGTGTTGCAGACTGTATTGTGGAGCTTTCCACATTGTTTCTGCGAGTTATCGTCTAGATTCGCCCCTTAGCGTGTTGCAAAATTCCATATGACTCCGTTGGCAGCGAATGGTTGTGAATGGGTTGTGAATATCGGACGGCGTAGAGAAAATGTCACAGTTGCGTCCATTCCTTCCTTTGTAAACAACAACATTGCCCTTTGGCAATTCTCACAATGACGAACTGCAGGAGGAGAATCTAGGTCAACTTTACGTATTCGCGAAGTCTAGCTTTATTTGGCTGGCCATCTTTATAAAGCAGTAAGTACTTTCAAACAAATTCTGATCAAATTCAGTCGCGGAAACCACACTGAAATCTCATGAACTTGTTGATTTGATTAGTCCATACACTCCATCAAGTATACTCGACAAGTATGAGCTCTGCCAGTGAGCCGGAAACGGCGTCATCATGACAATCCAGTGATGTACATCCAACATCAACGTTGCAAATCATTGATGCTCCTGATGATTCAACAGAAGAAGAAGGACGTCGCATTCCAAATGACATTTTCATCATCATCGTATCGAGTTTCGATATGAAATCACTATATACTGCAAGCTTTGTCTGCAAGGACATCTATTACCTCCTTTGAGAAGCCCTAATATGTTTGTTTTTAGTTGTATGACGACTATTACTTGCATACTCATTTGCAGTCATGCAGTGGACTAGAATGGTCAAAAGTGTATCGTCTGCAATGGAAGCAGAGCAACTACAAGCAACTAGATTGTTTAGGAAGCTGTTGTCAAAACGTATGTACCATTACACATCATACCCCCAGTCATTGAATTCATCCAACATGGAGAATTCAAAATCAAGATGCATGCATGTTGGGTCATCGTGAATGCCACAGCAAGAGCTTGAAGTGTGCCTGATGCCCATGATAAAATGGAACACACGATGAGACGGCGTCAACAGGACTGCAAGCTTGTGGCCATCTTCAGGAGGTTGAGTGTCTTTGAGGGGTTTCTTGCAGCGAGATATTGGCATTGTATGTATGGGGATGTCTTCAACACATACATTTGGGCAGCTTTCATGAAAACGCAATTGAGACTTTCATTGATTCAAGAAGCCCATACAGCTTTGAGGAAACGTGAAAATCAACGTGCTCAAAGCTGTAAGAGCAACGGCAAAAAAGCGATTACAGAGGACAATCACACTGCCAACCAGTATTTTTCGTTTTGTACAATTTCTTTTTATTTCTAGCAAACATTTCTCCTCCTTCTCTTTCTGTAAATCCTCATCATTTAGCAATTTAGCTTCTCTTTAAAGAATACACACACGACGACAACAACAACAAGACAAGACTTTTATGATTAAGTCGTAATATGGAGTTCGAATCCGGGGTGATTAGAAACCGTGAATTTTGATTTTATCCTTTGTGACGATTTCTTCTTGAGTCAGGAATGCTTGAATCTTCAAACGTTGATCTCCTTGCAATTGAATTACTTCGCCCAACTCTTCATCCTGCACAAGAGTGCCGTTGCATGCGAATTCCTAGTATAAAGTGAATGCAGGTGGTAATTAGATGGATGCTTGAATGGTAGGAATGAATGCATGAATGCAATGGAAGGATGATTTTCCAACTGATGGAGTTCCTGCGCAAAAAACGAAAAACAGAAGCCATCACAACTGCATGACTGACATGTATCCAATCAATGCTTTTACCACCATAGCATACCTTCTTGAAAGCCTTCAATAACTTCTTTTGGTCGAGTTCAGCAGGCAAGCCTTGGACAGTAGTCAAAGTCTTTCGACCGTTTCGTTGTTGGATCCGAATATCTAGTTATGATGCATGAATTAGTAAGATATTTGGATGAGTGAATACATCATCATTCAATTCATAACATCCAAATCAATGATCAAGTGGGTGATATGAATGATGGGGCATCAGTGTAACTATGACTATATAGAAACCATCATAGTGGAGAGAGGCCTTCATCCAGAACGGAATCCAGCCCCAGTATATTGCATCCACTCTGAATTTTCAGTGTGATATTGTTTTTGTTTCATCATTGCCTTGAGTCATTCATATCACCACATTGATTTTTTTTGCGTTTTGATGGGGATGTGTTGCAAGATGGAGATGGTCAATGCCGAGTACTGATGGATGAAAGATAGTATCCATATGGAATATTGCATTTATATACACAATAGTATCATCCCCATCCATCCCCATCGTATGTCAAAGCAAAGACTGAACATGCAACATTCCAAATACATACGAATATAGCCCTGGGCCTTTGACCCTGCCTCCTCGTCTCCGGTATCAGCAAAGGGGTCGTAAGATGCAAGGCTAAGCACATGATGGAATGAGTTAGTGGGTGGTATGCGTTATCCATTTGATGCAATGAGAAAGCCACACACACATACTTTTGGATGGTTTCGGACATACAAAGCAGGATGTAGTGAATGGGATTATGACCCTCTGAGATGATGATAGTGTAGGACTGCTGCTTGCTAGTGTTGTCTACTTGTTGTTTGTTAGGCTCGAGATAGCCCTTATTGATGCTTGTTGAATTAGAAAGCAACGAGATGTTGGGGGTCAGTGACGGTGAGTGACTAAACATATACAAGCAATAGACGTATTGCTTGATGATGAATATATCTACGTATATCTCTTTTGCCTTGTCTTCTTAATCAAGCTACCACTGAAAACGCGAAAAATTGAAGACAGTTTGCTTGAACATGACTTGACGCGACTGTACACCCTGAACAGTGCCATAGAGCATTTCAATCACTCTAGTAACCTGTAAATCACGTAATTACCGTCTTCCTTTTCCTAGCTCCGATGACAAATGTCATTCCGTTCTGATTCAGACTCCTTCCATCAGCCTCAATTCAAGAGAGATACTTCAACCATGCTTACCAGGAGATTGGGACTGGCTGCTGCCCTATGCGTCACTTACTTGTCACTCGCTACTTCTGCTTCCGATGTTGCGGACTTGACCAAAGGTACACTACAATTGTCGCCGTTTGAAATGTTGATTGTGTTGTGAAGTGAATGGAGGTCGATCAATGGAGGCACTCGACCACTGTATATGCAATTTCATTGTATTTCCTTTACCGTATCATCCTGCTGGTGGTGTAACTGTCACTTCCAACACAACAAAAACAGATTCATTCGCTGGATTCTTGGATACTTCGGACTTGGCATTGGTAGAGTTCTTTGCCCCTTGGTGTGGTCACTGGTAGGTCTTGTCCCAATATACGTTCTATGTCGTTTGTCTTTGATTGATCACCTCACAATCACATACCCTTCTTCACGAATCTTGACACCAAACACTTTCTAACCAAAACACTTACACCTGTATAGCAAAGGCAAGTCTCCCCCCACTCCAACTCTCAACCGGATTCTCATCTTTTACACCCTCATCATGTACAGCATTGGCACCAGAATACGAAGTCGCTGCTACAGAATTGAAACCTAGCAAAATCGCATTGGCCAAAGTCGACTGTACCGTCGAAACTGCATTGTGTGAAGAACACGGTGTTAAGGGTTATCCTACTCTCAAAGTATTCAAGAATAAGAATGCCATGGACTATGCGGGCCAACGTAAAGCTGATTCCATTGTTTCTTATATGAAGAAGTGAGCAGTAGAGTGTTGAGTATCATTAGCATGTTATTCATGGAGGGTAGCGATTGTGGATAAAGGAGTCATTGAACGCTTGGGTTGACAGATGACAAATTCTGATGTCAAGTGCAGTTGCGCTTTTTTGGCTCATTCCCCAGACATATTGATGGACAAAGAGTGTTTTGATGGAGTGTTGAAAACGTTGCCACATTCTATATTGTTGATTTTTTTTTGCTTTTCCTCCCCTTCATCAAACTGTCACGCAATCTACTCTTCTAACCACATCCTATCTTTCAACCAGATTGGCAAGACCAGCAGTCACAGAACTCACCGCTGACAAGGTCGCTGCATTCTCAGCAGATGACAAGGTCGTCATTATCGGCTTCTTTGCCAATACAACCTCCGAGTATAAATCATTCCAGAACGTCGCAGCTAAATTAAGTGAAAAATTCTCATTCGGTGTATGCTCTGATCCCGCTGCCAAAAAGGAATACGGTGACGCTTCAGTAGTCCTATTCAAGAAATTCGACGAGGGTAAAAACCTATATACAGACACCATCACCGAATCAGGCCTCGAATCATTCATCGGATCCAACTCGGTCCCACTCATGGATGACATTGGGCCAGAAAACTATGCATCCTACGTAGAAAGTGGCAAACCCCTAGCATACTTTTTTACAGCCACAGACGACCAAAAGGCCTCATGGATTGAATCCATTGCCAAAGAATTCAAGGCTGATATAAACTTTGTATATATTGATGCCGTCAAATTCGGTGGACATGCCAAAAACTTGAACTTAAAGGAAGACTGGCCGGCTTTTGCTATACAGCGACCTGCTGAGGGCACTAAATACCCCATGGATCAATCTAAACCGGTAGATGAAGCTAGTGTACGTGCATTTGTCACGGACTTTGTCAAGGGTAATGTTGCTCCCTCTATGAAATCGGAACCAGAGCCTGAAAGTAATGATGGGCCAGTAAAGATTATTGTGGGTACCAATTATGAAAAGATTGTTATGGATGCTTCCAAGGATGTGTTTTTGGAACTTTATGCTCGTAAGTTTCTTTTCTCGTTGCGATTGTTTAGGACGATTTTGACAGCTGGAGCATCGAAGGGAAAAAAATGATAGCTGTCTCATCTTCTGATGATCATGTCCTATTTAAAATCGCTACATATACATCTCACTAACCCACAACCATCCTATCCTTTAACCTGCCAATCCTTCAGCATGGTGTGGCCACTGCAAGAAACTCGCTCCAATCTGGGACGAACTAGGATCCACACTCGCCACAACAGCACCAGGAATCATCATTGCCAAAATGGACGCGACTGAAAACGACTTGCCAGTGACTGCAGGATACCAAGTCCAAGGATTCCCAACCTTGAAATTGATTAAAGCCAATAGTAATGAGGTCCTTGATTACTCTGGTGATCGGTCGTTGGAAGCCTTTTTGCGTTTCTTGAAGGAGAATGCAAGCAATGGTAGTGAGGTTGGTGGGGCTGCTAAGGCTGCTGCTGCTGCGGAAGGTTCGTCAGAGGGTTCTTCAGAAGGTATGTTTCGCAAGCGTCGTGTCAAGTTGGGAAGACATCCCAAGTCCGGCAAGCAGGTTTTTTGCTACATTATCATAGACTTATGCTACAGACTTATGCTCTGTTTTTCTATGTAGGTGATGACTCGGGTCCAGATCGGGATGAGCTATAAATTGTTTAAAAGTCTTTTTTCTCTCAAACACCAAAATATACTTCAAAACGAACATTTACAAACAACATGACCTGGTGCAAAAGGCTACTACGTGGGCTTTATAATAGCGACTCGTCTAGGAGTTCTTCTTGAGTTTCATGCTCCAAGATAACGACTCGTCCTGGAGTTATTATTCAAGTTTCTCCCAGACGTAACAAGAAAACAAAAAAGGCAACGCATCATGTCAAATCAATCCTCCATTGACTGTTTTTATTGTTCCAACTCTTTTATGAAATGTGGGCTTTTGCAACAACCGGTAAAACCTGTTCACTTTATTATTCAGCAGCTGTATCAGCAGCAACAGCCGATTCTTTGACTTCGGGTGATTCTGGCGCTGCGACAGCAGCTGCTGCTTCAGATGTAGGTGCAGCAGGAGAACCTGGGGCGGCAGTGATTTTTGCTTTTAATTGAGCTACCTTGGCTTCAGCCTATTGGAGAAAGGATTGGTGTGAGCATTGATGATGAAGACCAAAAAAACGGATCTCTAAACGTGAGATATAGTGCGACAACTGTCCACCAGCCACATCACACATACCTTCTCCTTATTCTTAACAGTCTCCTCAGCCTGACTAGTCAACCACGCGTCCTTCTTCTCCTTCAAAACTTTCACAGTACCCTCAACATCCCCAACAGAAGAAGGCAAATCAACCTTCAATTTAGAAAACTGAGAAATCATTTCAAAATCCAGTCTCAATTTTGATGGTGATGATGGTGTGCCTGAACTATTACTACCAATACCACCAATACCATTCACACCCCCTGATTTCTTTGATGATTTAGGAGTCTTTGCTTTGCCGAGCATGAGGAAATCATCATCCATACGATCAGATTTCTTCTTCATGATTACTGCACCATCTGGAATGGATTCTACAGATCGGGATGGGGTTGATGGAACTGCTGGTGCTGGTGCTGTGGTACTACCATTAGGAGTGCTGCTGCTGCCGTTTGATAGGGATGATGGTGGAGAGATATACGTGTTTGTGAGATATTTGATGAGGATGTCGGCGATAGAGATCTCGTCGGAAAAGGCTGGAATTTCTGCTGCTTCGAGCACTTTTTCGATATCCTTGGCAAGTTTTTGTTGTTCGTATTCTTCTTTTCGTTTCTTGCCTTCTTCGGCACGTTTTGCTCGTTCTACCTTCATTTGTTCGTAGTATTCCTACAGTTGTAAGGTAGTGCGTGTGAGCACGGAATGATGCTTTTGGTTATCTTCGTAATGTGTTCTTTTTTTGTCATGTCTGCCACACGTCATCCCACCAAAATATCTTGATTTACACGTACATCTTTACGTTTCCTAAAAGCATCCTGCACCTCCTTTCTCTTTGTAAAAGCAGCATCCAAACTGGCTTTCAAACTCTGTCTCTCATCATACAAGGACTTCATAGATCCAGATTGACTCTTTCGTTCAGCGTCAAGAGCATTCAATGCATCTCTGGCTTCATCCAGAGCAGAACGGTTGGTATTACGTTCTGGTTCCATTGCGTCCAATGCAGCACGACAATCTTCAACGGCCTTCTTGTCTGCATCTACAGAGGATTGGAGTGCTGCAGCATCGGATTTGACAGATTCTATTGCCTTTTTGGATTTGCGGAGAGATGATATTTCGGCGACAATCTAGTAGGATGGAGTTGTTGGTGGTGAGTAAGATGGCTAGGATCGGCATATCGTGTAATGGTTTGGCAACCTTTTTTTCTTCAATGAGGGAAGTGGTGCCAGACTGTTGTTGTTGTTCCAATGCACTAATACAGAGCGTTGGTGTGAGTACCTACAAGTCGAATCTCGTACTCCCGATGTACTTACGCAATCTTCCTGTCAATATCATCAGAAGAACTACTTCCTCTTGAACCCTTCAAAGTTTCAATCTAACAACACGTTCATCAGCACAGGTACCACTAATCCAACACAATACACTGTATACCTTCTTCTTAATCCCCGCCTGCAGGGCCTTCAACTGTTCCAGTGTAGCATTCCGTCTCTCGTTACCCTCATTACGTTTCTTTGTCAACTCGTCGATTTGGGCACGCAATTCACGTCTCTTGAGTTCGACAGCATCTTTGGGAGTGTCACCAGTCAGTTTCGTTTTGGATTCATTCTGTTATGAAGGGGGTGTGGAAGTTAGATAACAACGGCTATTGCACCCAACAAAATCAGACACGATTTTTTTGAAATGTGGTGTCCAAACCAAGGAGCAGATAGCATGTAGATGGAAGGAGAGATGCTTTCACGAAGCAGTATTTTACAAGGGATATATGTGACGAGTAAGAGACGTACCAGTTTGTTCATTGACTCCCGTATTGAATCAATCTGACGTGAAATCTGGTCTAGTTCGATGCGATACGCTTCCTCATCTGGTCGTTGAGCTTTTCCTGCTCTCTTTGGAGCATCTTCCGCTGATGCCATCTTGCTCTCTAATTACTTGCTTCCTTCTTTGCTGGTTGATGGGTATTCTTGATTGTGAGATACAACAGGAGGTGTTTGAAAGCGTTGGACGTGATTGGCACCAATTTGAGCATCTAGTAAATTTGAGCTTTGAGCTTAATGGTGGAATGCCGGTTTACTTCTCCTTTTACTGACCTGCCAACAAGAAGGTCGCGAAATCAATCTGGTGGAATGTCGATGTGATGTGGACGTGTTTTGCAAGTGGGAACCTTTTCAGACATCCATTTCCTTGATAAATTTCCTACGAGATCCATCTTTGCAACAAGTATGAACGCATTGCGCTATCTGGAATGGTGTGCCGTACCATATCTACCAGACCCTTGATTTTGGTTCCAAGCTACCTGCTATACATACAGATAGTCTGATACAATTGCATCGGGAGATACTAGCCTTGCCTTATTGGACGATTGTTAATCAGGAGCATTGTGAAATTGTTTGTCAAGGTTGTTTAAATTATTACACTAGCATTGACGTATAAAAAAAAGGCATGGCATGAACACATTTACTACTGATTATACTATTTAAGAATGAGCTATCGGTTTATGGCTTCTTACTGGTCTTTGCTCCCAGACCAAGTGAAAAATGGTATATACATACTGTCAAACAATGAGGCCGCAGTCAAACAATGAGGCCGCAGTCTTGCTTGAGATCGAATTCAAAGCGTTTATTGCATCTTCATTTCCCTGCTCTGCAGCTAATTGAATCCACCAACGAGCTTCAGAGTAACTTTGCTGGACACCCTTGCCGTGGTAATACATCCAACCGACATTTCCTTGTGCAATCGGATTATTCTCCTTAGCAGCTAATCGATACCATTTCAAAGCTTCAGAGGCACTTTCTTCAACACCCGTGCCATTCAGATACATCGACCCAAGGCTACATTGTGCATCTAAATGTCCTTGTTCAGCAGCTAATCGAGACCATTCCAAAGCTTCGAAAACTTCAAACTTGCTAATGTTTTATATCCTCTTCATCTTGAGAGAACCCCGAAGAGTGATATAATCCTACAACTTGGAATACTGCCTGTTAATCCTTATTCATTCAATCCATCGGTTGTTACTTTGACCAAACGAGATGAACCTTGCGCTAACTGCATCTCTCTAGGATTGTCCAGTTGCTAATTCGAGAACTAGGAATAAGCATTATGGGTGAGTTCAGTGGTGAAACAGGGAGATTGGATCACCATGTGTTTTTGGAAGAAACATATACGAACACAGTAAATTTACAATTTGATTGTTATTCACTGGTTCCGTGCCTTTCTAAACATTGCTTCTGTTAATAGACGGATGATTACACAAGGATACAATCGATTGCTTGCATTTCCACTTTAGCTGATACCTACTCGTCATTGCTGGGCCTCAGGCTGCATCTGTTTCTACACACTTGTTGGTCGTGCGGGCGGAACAAGCTCTACTAAACATCAAGACATTTCGCACTTGTGAACTTAAGGGCCAGGACAATATACGCCATGTCTAGTTTCTACGATGCAAGTGGTCTATCCTCACATTGATCTGTACGAGCACAACCGAGTCTGGTCGGATATTAGTGAATCTGATTCATGCCAGTTCCATGTGTAGTAATGTCTGGTCTAGCGCTTAAATTTCCAGAAGGTGCTTTTAAAGTGATTCCACGTGCCTTCAACCGCATATGTGGCCAATGAACACGAAATTCGAAACTTCGAGAGAACGAAAACCAGGCAAGCACACAAGCCCATGACAGACTAGAGCGCAAGAGCATCTGATTCCTTTCAATGACGAACTGAACAATATGGCATGGAACTGTCTCATTTGCATCGTTTCCTGAGTGCTGAACAGGAAATGAGAGGAAATGTCTCGGACATGCTCTCTCTACATCACAACAATAATCTTTCATGGGACCCGCCAAATCAATTGGCAGGACATGAGAAAGTGTTGTGGGGCTTTAGGCTCGAGCTTTCGTGATTGATTTGTTGGGTGTACTCGACACACTGGTTTTACAACCCCAAAGGAGAACATAAGCGAAGAAGAGGAGCTTCTCTTTGAAAGGTATGTGAAATGTATGTAGATTTCGTCGTGCATCAGTTTGTTGCTCTGAAAGACTGGGAGAGCACGGGGGATTGTTGAAACTTTAAAACATGTGTGACAAGTTCAAGAAGGACGTGCTTGAAATTATAAGCTGTTGAAAAATGAAGCTACTTGTGTTGCGTGATGAGATGCTAAACATAAAGCATAGAGCAGGGCAAGAGTACAGTGATGGGTATGGGCATTGGTTGGTGGAGATGTGGACAATTGTCAGAGGAGGTTATGGACAAAACAATAAACTGTTGCTGCTGAAGTTAGGGGAAACGGCGAGTAGTGCGAGTGCTCAACTAAATCGGTTGAATGGGGAGATTAGTAGATTAAAGTTTGAATTGAGGGCAGGGCGTGATCAGCTCTCTAGAACGGAGGCATCTCTACAGGACGACGAGTTTGTAGCAGTTGAACAGTATGTCGCGCAGATTCAACAGTATTATACCAACATAAAGTCTAAATTGGAAACTGTTTCCTAAACTCAATTTGAAACCAGCTCTAAACACAAAAAGCCATGAAATAAATCAATCAATTGTCAACCAGTACAATGCGAAAACTGTTACTGTATTTACACACAAAACTTGCAATAACTGTTAAATAACAGTCTAACAGTTTAAATTACTTGGCCATACTCGTAGCCTTAAAATTAAGCCGTCGATCAAGTGCAGCCTTCCCAGCAGGATTCACATTGTTCCTGTTTGCTTGCTTCTTAAGCGCCGATTCACGACAAAAGTTGGCATGTCGTTCTAAACTATCAGGTGAAAATTTACGTCCACATGTCGGACACTCGTTCAGTTCTATTTCAACTGCAACTGCGAAGGATCCTCTAGCACCACCAGCTTGCTTAGCTGCTGCTTTGATTGCTTTTACGGCTCCCATGTCTTTGGTCGAGTGTCGAACTGGGGCCCTTTTTATTCGTGTGTCCTCGAAGGTCTTTGTTGCCTGTCGATTGAGGTTGGAGGAGGTGTAAGATTGGTGAATGTGTGTATGATATGTTGGTTTGCAACAACAGACCTTGTCAGAATTCTGTTTCTCTAGTGTAGCCTTGTAGAATTTGGCTGCCTCTGTACCCTCAGTCCTCACCACACTTGAGTCAAAGACCTTTCGATGACTATTGGACATTTTGCGGCATGCTTCCATATGTTTTTCCTACAAAACTATGGAGTCAGATCCTTGAATGTAATGTTTATAACAGATAGCAACACGATATTACCAGCCTATTCGAAGCGAATTTGCGATTACACAATTCACATGCTACTCGTTCAGCAAATTCATCATATTCCTGTGTTGATTCGAAAGGCGAGTCAGTGACCACTTCATGTCTTTCACACTTTCACTTTCTTCTAATACGTACAGAATCAGCCGGCCTAGCCTGTATAGCTCGGACTTGATTCACCTCATATGCGTTTGGTTCATAATTGTTGACTTCATGTTGTGCTTCATGTATAGGGGAAGCAGGTTGCTGTATTGGCGAATGTGTCACCGATTCTTCTGCTGCCGATGCATATTCAGCATGAGAGTAGGGACGTTGCTGATACTGTTCCTCTTCTCTGTGGACTCCCCGCCCAATGTTTTTGGCACATCTTGATGTATTGATGTTGGCTGTAAGATTTCCCGTAAAAAGGTAAGATCAAGTGTGAATTGTGCTCTTACCGCATCTAGGAAGTGGAAATCATGTTAGTATCAGGGATCTGTACTGATAATCAGCTGGTAAATCAACCCTACCATATGAGTGCCGAATGACTGTTTTGAGATCTGGGCACCGCATGCAACGCAAAGTGTCATAGTGGAGAAAGTAGTTCCAGTAGTACGGCCTGCTGATCTAGTGGCTGCCTCTGGTTTCTTGCTAGTAAGTTTCCGTTAGGCTTCTAGCCTTTGTTATTTGTTGAATAATGAAGAGGTTGAATCATGACGGGCGATCACTAATACCATCCATATGTAGTCTAATGAAATTTTTAACGTAATTCTACAGGATAACGGCTTTCAAATTGTCGTACGTCACGGCAAGGTCTTGTTTTTCACAGTTCATCAAACATCAAACCCAAAAGCGCACAAGTGGTGCGGTGAGCCTTGCGTTTCGAGCTCGTTTTATCGTCAATTTAATGACATTGTTTTATATAGGTCATGAATTTTGAAGTATCAGACATATCAAAGGGTCTAGAGTCGCGATCGATCCCTTCAACGTCTGTACCAACACCACCCTTCCAGTACCTACGCACAACTGTCATATCCCAGGACTTTGACTTGTCGGACGACTTGCTAGTGGGCTGTGACTGTGAAAATGAATGTGAAACAGGTAGTTGCAGCTGTCTAGTCTCAAACAAACACCACTATCGGAACGGTACATTGATACAGGAGCCAGTATTTGAATGCCACTCTGACTGTAAATGCTCAGCAACGTGCACGAATCGGCTTATACAGCATGGCATTACGAAAAAGCTATATATCGCAAGACATGATACTAAGGGGTTGTGTTTACACACGTTTGACGATGTACAACGTGGAGAGTTTATATGTGAATATGCTGGACAGGTGATATTGCAATCTGTTGCAGCTGAAAGATATGAGCAGTATAGGGCCGAAGGACGATCCAACTATATATTGTGTGTGCTCGAACATGGACGAGATTCGATGGCAGCAACACGTGTAGATCCTACCATCATGGGGAATGTGGGGAGATTTGCAAACCATAGCTGTGAACCCAACACGCATGTTGTACCAGTGAGAGTTGGTTTGATGATTCCAAGGCTGTGCTTATTTGCTCTGAGAGACATTAAACCTCTCGAAGAGCTAACGTTTAGTTATGGTGCCGTCTTTGAGGAGAACGCTCAAGATCTCATTCCATGCTTGTGTGGGGCTGCTGCCTGCAAGAAATGTGAGTAGTGGGAGTTGATGAATGTCTTTGATGTGCTCAACCGCTCCCTTTTTACTAGTCTTGCCATTCAATCCGTGATATTCCGTAAGATTATGAAGCGGAATGAAGATTTTCTCGAACTGCTGGCCTGACTTTGATCTCTTAATTCGCCGAACGACACCAAACGGTGTTTGGCTGTAAAAGCAATGACTCGATGCTCGATGAGCTAAATACGCGTAAATACGTAAAAACGCGAAAATACACGTAAATACACGTAAATAAATAGTAGATTCATGTAAATAAACAGCAATACACTTATTGCCTCATGATTCGATTTAGCTTCATGTTTTCATGAACATCTCGAGAGCTTTTCAGACATTGTTCAGGATCAACCGTCTTATAGGTCATATGTACATTCGCCCAATGAGTACCTCCCCCATGTATCCAGATCCATCGTCCCTGTCGAATTCAGGACAAATCAAATCCACACATTTGCACTTGAAGCTTTCAGCTGATTTCAACTCCAAGATTCTACATGGCTCTGTAACTCATGATGTAGAAGCTACTTCTGATGTATCTGTCGTATCTCTGGATACCAGTTTCCTGGACATCAAGTCTGTCACATCGCATCATCACGAGAAATTAGAGGTTTGCTGTCAACGCATTATTCGGCACGCGTTGGAACGGTTGGATTCTAACCGCAAGCTTACTAGTATGAGCTTCAACCACGTAATGAAGTGTTTGGATCTCGTTTGGATATAAAGCTGCCTAAATCATTGAGTGCTGGTGCAAAGTCAAGCTTCACCATTCATTATCAAACTACTGGTAAAGAGAAGGCAACTCTTTTTGAACATTCTATCCAGTTTCTTATCTCCTCTTTTCTTAGACAAGTGCACCGCTGGTAAATATAGAATGGTTTTGACATATTGACCTTTCATCTCAAGCTCACAAAATGGTCAACATTTAGCTCAATGGCTGGAACCATCAATGACGGTGGGCAAAAAGCATCCCTACATGTTTACGCAATGTCAAGCAATCCACGCCAGAAGTCTCGTACCATGCTTTGACACGCCCGGTGTAAAACTCACATACACTGCTGAAATCACTGCCCCAGCACAATTCAGGGCTCTGATGAGCGCCATACCAGAATCAGACGCAGTGGAAGATTCTGCAACTTCAACCAAAACATGGAAGTTTAAACAACCTATTTCCATTCCTTCGTATTTGATTGCTTTGGCTATTGGTAATATCGTTGGAAAGCCTGTTGGACCGAGAAGTACTGTTTGGTGTGAGCCCGAGATGGTGGATGCCGCGCAGTGGGAGTTTCCTGATACTGAGACTTTCGTGGAAACGGGAGAGAAGTTGTTGACGCCGTATGGTATGTCAGAGTCGCATGATGATGAGGCATAATGTTAACTTTATTTTCTTCACTTCAGTTTGGGGCCGATATGATCTCCTGGTCCTCCCGTCTAGTTTCCCTTATGGTGGAATGGTCGGTTGTGTGAATCTGGACAACTGACCGGCGTGGCTGATGTTCCTCGATTTTAGGAGAATCCGTGTCTCACTTTTGTGACGCCTACGTTGCTAGCAGGCGATAGATCTTTACAAGATGTGGTGGCCCATGAGATATCTCATTCTTGGATGGGCAATTTGGTTACGACTAAAGATTGGCAAAACTTTTGGTATTTTTGGATTACTTTGCTGATGGTTGTTTTGGTGTTCTAACTCGCGTTCTGGTTCTGCGCAGGCTCAATGAAGGATGTACGACTACAACTTGTCAATAACGAAACCGTTTTCTCATCCTCGCAATCTATTTCGAATTAGTCACGATGTGGTGTGAACGCAAAATCATTGGTCGTATGCATGGAAATGCAGAGGCTGATTTCAGTGCAATTATTGGCATGAAAGCTTTGCAAGAAAGCATCGACCTGTATGAAGAAATCCACAAGCCAGAATTGAGCGCCTTGTTGCCAAACTTGACTGGTGGTGTAGACCCAGATGATGCATTTTCCTCGGTGCCGTACGAGAAGGGTTTTAACTTCTTGTTTTACTTGGAATCGCTTCTTGGTAAAGATTCGATGGAAGAGTATATGAGAGGTAAAATGCAACTGTTTTTCCGAAAAATATGTATCGTCTGTGTTTATCTCTTTATTTTGCATTTACCAGCACACGTAAAGAAATTTTCACACAAATCAATTGACACCAACGACTTTAAGACGTTCTTGTATGAATTCTTGGCTGACAAGAAGACAATACTGGATTCGGTGGACTGGAATGCTTGGTTAAACGGTACAGGCATGCCACCAGTGAAGAATCACTTTGATGAAAGTCTGGCAGTAGCTTGTGATGCGCTCGTGAAGAAAGTAGAGGCCGCTAGAACTGACTCGTCAGTCAAGTTTGAAAAGTCGGAATTTGATGCCTTTTCGCCAAGTCAAAAAAGTATGGCCATTTGAGCTTGGAATATCATGCACTTTTTGGCATTTTCTGACCACTCTTCCATTCGTAGTGGTATTCCTGGAAAAGCTGCTCACAAAACCACCATACTCCCATGCTATCTTGGCTACACTGGATGCAGCCTTCCAGATGATGAATTATCAAAGTGCTGAAATCAAGTTCCGATGGTGTTGGTTGTGTTTGCAAGCTAGCTATAAGCCCATTTATACTGTAACCGCTACATTCCTTGGACAAGTTGGACGTATGAAGGTAAGAACAAGAATTGGCATGCTTCTGGTTGCAATGTCGTGGCGACTGACCAATTAGTACTTTTCAGTATGTACGGCCTTTGTATCGAGCTCTCTCGAAAGCTGAAGACGGTGGAAAGGAGCTTGCCATCAAGACATTTGAGGCCAATAGGACCTTTTATCATCCTATCTGTAGGGATATGGTCGCTAAGGTACTTCTCTCCTGGTCAGTTTCAGGCATTTGGCAATACTGATCTATAGTTTTTTGTTTAGGACTTGGGACTCGCTGCAATCGCATTGAAATTGTAATGAAAAAAGGGGTTTCTAATGTGCTATTTTACAGAATATACAGAATAGTTACAGAAATTTACAGTGACAGAATGAGAACCAGAACAATGTGTACAAAATCCAGGACGGCTCTAAACGGGGCAGCCCTTGATTATATCGGCCATTCGTTCAGCTACGGCCATGACCGGAGCAGCTATCAAAAGATTTGACGTGAGATTCATCAGCCAAAAAAAGCCAATCTGTACCAAGTGGAGATCAGACGTCACCTGTGTTTCCAGCGGTTACTCGAGGGAAGACAGAAGCATCAATAACCCTCAAGCTCAACACTCCTCGTACACGACATTCTCTGTCGACAACACCCATGGGATCAGAATCAGCAGCCATCTTGCAAGTGCCGACACTAGACAAATCATTCATGAATACTCTGGTCATTGGACATGTCCTGGCCATTTAAACACTTACGGATGGAAGATCGTAACTGCATTCCTCCGAATGATTTCACGAAGATAGTCTCTTGACTTGATTGCGTCTTCTCGATTGAGTTTGTGTGCTCTCATGATCTATGAGAAAAGCCCGGGACTAAGTACGCCACTACAAGATCGTCATCGAATTCGATCTTACCTCTTCAACAACGGCCTCATCAGCATACTCTTCACCAACACGAGCACGTTTCATCTTTCGCATTTGCTCCACGATACGACGGACTTCCATTGCACAGTCAACCATATCTTCCAAATCGTCTGGGTGTGAGAGGTAGTTGGGTTGGATTTCGGGAGCGACCTAACACAAAAGAAGGAGGGTCAGGATTTGTGCTGGCATTCGTAGAATAGCTTAGTTTCTTTTGCTTACCCAAGCAGACTTGCTCTTGATTGAAATGGTACCCACAGACTGTGGTTTCAAGAGAGACGCCATAGGAGATATGACATTAGGATACTTTTTAGGTGGGTTGATTGAAAAGGATTTAAGCTTGTGTGCTTCTTCGTCGAATATGTCGTCGTCTTTTAAGGGGCCAAGTGGGACTGGTTTCGCAGTCTGGTATGAATAATATTGTTAGTCATGGTAGATGTCAGTCATTATGAAGAACTCTTACATTAATTTTAGTTTTCTCCAACCAAAGCTAAAAAAGAGAAATTGTCAGTCTAAACTGAAATGGTACACTCACAAGTAAGCACTTTCGATTCTCTTACATTTTCACTGGTACTTGGCGCAAAATGAATTTGCAAGTTTGGTGGTGGTGCTCTAGTTCGTCCCTCTACACTACTGACTCGATCAACATACGATTGTGACGAGAAGAAGGATACAGCTTGCACGAAACTAGACGCCAAGACTCCAGAACGGTGCCACGTGTAATGATGCAATCCAGCTACAAGTGTCTTGGGATCGTGCTTGTAGACTGGGATTTTGCTGATAAAGGGGATGGCAGCGAATAAATCTGTGAAGATAGATGTTCAAGTCAGAGCTGGGGGGTTTTATCTTCCTTGGAAAGTGATTTTCTTTTGGATGTCTGCTAAACGTACGATCTTGAAGATTCTTCCCAACCCCAGGCAAATCAACACGACAAGTAATCTGAGCGGCCTCTAATTCAGCTTTGGCACCGATTCCAGACAGCATGAGCAAATGAGGGCTTCCAACAGCTCCAGCGCACACAATGACCTCTCGTTTAGCGTATATTACACTTTTGGGACATCCAGGGCCACGAGTTACAGTCACACCGACTGCTTTGCATTCGAGTGCTGAGCTGTCGTCCAGGAGGATCCTGATTGAAAACCAAACAAAGCTCGATCAGTCGCAATTTCTATGTGAGGATGCTTTGCGCAATGACGTACTTCGAGACTTGGTACTCTGTAATCAGCGTAAAGTTGGGACGGTATTTCTTTGACCTTGGATCCAGCATAGGGTGGATGTAGGCAGTTGCCGTAGTCACACGTTTGCCATCAAAGATGGTGGTGTGAGTGACACCAGTTCCGAATTCTTTGACTCCATTGTAATCTAAACGATACGAAAATTTTAGAATTTGTCAGATTACCAAATCACAGGTCTGTTTTTTTATACCATCTCCTAAACGACAAATAGGCTTATGAGGCTCCTCAACAGCACAAGTTCCGTTTGGGCCATGACCAACGCCCAATTCTGATGCTGATGCAACCCTATGTATTGAATGACAATTAGAATCGCCAATCCATATTACTTGTCAGCTTTGTTGGCCTACCAGTCAAGAGCAAGAGGGTGAACATTCCCGTTCCCAGTACGAGAGATTTGTACTGGGCCTTCATATCCGTGTTCATCAGCATCGATCTCCTTCTTTGAGATCTCGTAGCTTTCAAACTTCTTATAGTACTCTATGTACAGGAATATTTTCAGTTGAATGTCAAAGGTCCATAACAGAGTTTTTTTTTACTCACCTTGCATGTTTGACCATCCCCATCCAATAAGTCCGAAGTCTCGCTCCCATTCGTTAAAGTCCTCGGGCGAGCATCGGGCGTATATCATGGCATTGATTGAGCCGGATCCGCCCAAGACTTTACCTCGTGGCCAGTAGGCAGGTCTTGATCGTAATTCCTTTTGGTCTTTGGTAGTATATCCTATATGCGCATGCTCCGAATCAGTATCGTTTCAATTCATGAAAGCTTTATAAGTCACAAATACCCCAGTCGATCTATCAAAAGCAAATGTTTTAGCACTTGCGACACATAGACCAAACAATCAGCAATCCACCATATACCTGACTATTCCAAGTCAGCAACGCCATTCCAGGCACATTCACAGCTGGCTTGTCCTTGTGATCTGCACCAGCCTCAATCAGACAAACGGTAACATTCTCATCTTCTGCTAGACGCGCAGCGATTATACACCCCTACCACAACTTGTAAGCTACTGATTTCAATACGGCAACGAGTTCAGAAGTACATACAGCAGAGCCTCCACCAACAATTACATCTAGACATGAGCGACCGCATAGTGAGTTTTCGGCCACAAAGTTGAAACATGCGAGTAGGGCAGATTTTGTAGGAGGAGAACTTACAGTCAAACTCTTGACATCCATTCTCAACACCAATTGTAAATGGAGAATTCGAGAATGTCTTCTTTGGTGCGGCTGGGCCAATGATGGCTCTTCTGACAGCTAACAAGCAAGATTCAGGGCAACATGTTAGAAGATGCTTGGGAATTGTGAGCAGTTCAAGAGATCCAACCTTTTCGCAAAAGACTGGTTTTCTTCATGGCTGATTTGGATTGTTCTGTTGGTGAGTCAAAGTTAGCCGTTGTTAGGTTTGCGTAAAGTCAAGTTTTTGCTTTTCGTTGTTCTTGCTTGCTGTGATTGGATCAGACTTTCGTTTTTGTGCAGATGAGGAGATTGGAGATCAAGGACAAGAAGACTAGCTACTAGCCAGAGATACTTTTCGTTTAAACTGCCAAAGATTTATAAATATCGTGGCAGGTTTTGTCACGGTCAAAGTCACAATTTTGATAAAGACAGCAGGGCAATATGTTCTCACCGGAAGTACACAGATCGATATTCGCATCGTATTATTCAAATTGTCAAGTTTGCATATGACTGAATTTATCATAACTGATTTTACTTTTTGTCTTTAAAAAAATATAACTTCAAATAACAATAGCAACGACCACGACTACTATATTTACTTTCTACCATATTCAGCTCTAATGATTTCAGCAGCACGTTCGCCCACAGCAATGGCAGGAGCATTAGTATTGCCAGCTGAAATTCGAGGCAATATCGAAGCATCAACTACTCGTAGGCCCAATACATTCCTTACACGACAATGGTTGTCAACGACACCTAATGGATCCGATTCAACAGCCATAGAGCAAGTTGATGTTGGATGATAAACCTAGAATTGCATTGTATGAATGGGTTGTTGTCACTGGTACTTTTTTTGCAACTTACAGTAATAGCATTTCGACGAAGGTATTCCTTCACGTATTCTCGAGACGCAATAGCACCTTCACGATCCAGTTTCGTGACTCGTTGAACTTCATCGACGATTGACTCATCAATTACTTCAGCTCCGATCTTTGAAGTTTTTGAATCGCTCTTTTGCATGATTTTCATGATTCGGCGAGCCTCAATCCTATTGAACACCACAAAATGACTTAGCTTGATACTGCCTCAGCTTCATAGCAAGACATTGCTTACATGCCATCAGCCATGTCCTCGAGATCTTGCTCATTCGAAAAGTATTTTGGGTCGATTTCAGGCGCATCCCAAGGACTCTTTGACTTAATAGTCACAGTTCCAAGAGAAGCTGGTTTGAGCAAAGTAGGGAATACGGATACAGCATTGGCGACCAATAGCTTCTTGTTGGTACTGATACTTTTTACTCGATGAGCTTGTTCGTCAAACACTTCTCCATTTGTCAATGGAAGTATGGGTCCAAAAGTTAGAGTATCAAACCGAGCGGTTGCTTGGAAGAAGGGGGCCCCTGATGCAGGAGCCTAGGAAAAGAGAATTGTTACTACATCACTGCCGCTTCTCCCGAGTGTCGGGATACTCACAAAGTGAAGTTGCAGATTCGGTGGAGGTGGACGAGACCTGAAACTGTGTGGCAGAGTCTTTTCGACACGTTCCAAGTATTTCTCGCTTGAGAAGAAGCCAGTTACTTGCATACCAGAAGACGTAAAGAATCCTGACTTGTTCATTACATAATCCCATAAGGTGTTCAGGACAAAGCTAAAAAGGTTCATCGATGATATCAGTACATGGCTTTCAAGTCATATCTTTGCACAATCATGACCGCAACTTCCACTTGACTTACAAAAGATTTCGACCAATGTGACCCTTCTTGCAATGATACACGACTGGAGCAAACAAGTGGTCTTGTAAACGCTTTCCAACGCCAGGTAAGTCCACCAAACACTCAATTCCAACACTTTCAAGCTCCTTCTTATCTCCAATACCACTCAAATTGAGCAAATGAGGACTTCCAACGGCGCCAGCAGACAGAATGACTTCTCGTCGAGCACGTATAGTCTTTTCGGGTGACATTGGTGATTCAGCATATGCGACACCCACTGCTTTATAGCTTTTATGCGTAGAAGGCTCCAATATAACTCTTGTAACTTGTTGGCTGGATAGCAAGTAAAAGTTGGGTCGGTATGTTGGAAGGTTCTCATCAATGATGGGGTGAATGTATGCTTTCCCGGTAGTCCATCGCTGGCCGTTGTATATGTTTGTGTGCACTATACCAGCTCCAAATTGTTTCTCAGAGTTGTAGTCGGCTCCATACTTTGAGAACTGTAATGCATCTTTTGGTTGCCCTTCTGGCCATCCGCATGTACCCAGTTTGTTTTGTCCAACACCTTTATGATACAAAATGTTAGGCAAGCTGAGTTTTTGTGGCTAAAGAGAGTATCGAACATACCTCGTTCAGCACAGGCCTTCAGGAAATCTGAGGACACGGGTATTAGTTTACCATTGCCAGTGCGAGTAATCTTCATAGGACCCGAGAATCCATGACCGTCTTCGAGTTGGTCTTTTGGAATGGTATAGCCTTCCATTCGTTTGTACACTGTATCCATATGCTATTCAATACAAAAATGTCATTCACTCTATCTGTAAGATCACAAAATAAGCAAAGCGCCAAACAAACCTTCCAGGACCATCCAGTCAGACCCAAATCACGTTCGTACTCATCCCAATCCTCATTCGAAGCACGAACCCAAATCATCGCATTAATTGAGCTGCACCCTCCTAGCACCTAGTTGAACAATTCCAATTATAGCGTTGTTGTTGCTATAAATTCAGTATATTTAGAACACACAAACCTTGCCACGAGGCCAAAAAGAGATTCGAGAACGTTGGTTGACTTGTTTGGTGGTGAAGAATGTCCAATCAATATCGCCTTCCCAGCAGGCCAGATTTAATCCAGGAACGTTGACCTTCCTGAATTTGTAAAAGATTGTGAGCAGCTAGTTCTTTGTGTGCGATTTTCAAGAGTGGCATACATCATGTTAGCATGGTCTGCACCAGCTTCAAGTAAACAAACAGTAGCATTTGGATCTTCAGCGAGACGTGCTGCGAGTGCTGCACCGCTAGAACCTCCTCCAACGACAACATCTGATTTGCGAAAAACAGAAATGTGATGTGTTGAGCAGCGACAAAAACCGAGGGAATAGTCGAATTTCTGCACATACAATCAAATTCTTCTGGAATTTCACGAGATTCCTTGCGCTTTGATGCTAAGTTTAAAAGACACAATTAGCGAAAAGAAGCCTGACTTTTCGTCTCAAACAAAACTTTCGACTTACCAGAGAGCAAAGAGAATGGAAAAACCTGGTAACGAGCCAGTAGATACACGGCCAGAGCACCTAGCGCGATGGCTTTGGGGTGCCTCTTTATTACCTCCATTTTTCTTAGCAAGATCTCGAAAACTGCTCTTGCGTCGCTCTGAGCGACGTGAAGCAAGGTGGATGATTGGAATTTGGCCATCTGACGCAGTTTGTACGGGACATGTTTCGGCCTAATGGAGTTGGACTTGGAGGCAATATAATTGAATCCAATAGGATTGTAGGTCTGCTAATTTGACGCTTGTAATGTTGTCAGAGGAAACAACACGTGGGTATTTCGGAGAAAGTTGACTTTCAACTGGCTGGAGGTTGAATAGATAACATTAGCGACTAGCTGTCAAAATCATTCATTGATTTTTTCGATTTGTTTGACTTTGGAAAAGCTCAGCAACCTTTGACGCGCTGCTGCTGCTGAATTCGATGCATATGGTGGAGCGAGTCATTCACTAACAGATTAGAAGTACGAGAGCACTGGCGACTGCTAATTCTCGGCTGCCAATACCAGCTTTTTCGCAAAGCTTTCCTTGCCTGTATGTTGCCTGAGCAAAATTCAGAGCCTTACCACGTTTGATAACAATTTCCAACTTTTGAATTCTTGCACGCAAATCAACCACATTAGCAGTCGATACCTGATCTTCGTAGAGTGACATAGTGTTACAGTCATGGTAACTGCCGACTTTGAAGACGAGGCGAGGTAAAAGCTTATTTCGTGTCTGCGCCAATTTGCTGTTTTGAGGACGATATATGTGAAGACCACATCTAGCATGGCGAAAGATACTAGAAAAATCTATCAAATTTATTCAAGCGGTCTAACTTCACGCTTGCGCCTCCACTAGACTACATCAATGCAACTTGGGTATGTCACAACAAGCAACAGATACGCAAAACCAGAATGCTTTAAAGCTTCAAGGTGGAGAATGGCGGATCTAGCCTTTTGGACAAATGAATTCTGAAGTCGGATATCACTCGCTTCGTTGCTCTTTATCAGTTGTGTTACTGGCAGTTTAAGACTTCTCTGCCCAGGGGTACAAAACATCGTCACCCACTCCGAACCACTTATTTTAATTTTCTTTTTGCAGATACTAGCAAGTGTTGAAGCGTGGCCAATTATTTCTCTCTTCTCTTCATGGTTTCCATGTTAATGTCTGAGATCGTCTCAACGTATCCGGTTAAGTTTTCTGTTCAATGACCGACTGCAATCGAAGACTCCTGTATCTACTCTGTTCAACACGTGGATTAACGAGATTGATTACTTGGACGATTATTGTGCTGCTGTCTCGTTGCTATCTGCTACTCAAACTTATTCTGGCTACGACTCGCAGGCAAGTTACAAAGTGACTGCAGTTTTCTGTAATGTTAGATTACCAATTAACACATGTCAACAATTCTTTCACATAGCCCGTCTTGCCGAAGAGACGGGCCATGTATCAACTCGAGGCCCGTGGGCTACAATGAGTGGCGTCCTAATTGCCTTCCCCATTGGATGGATTACGCTTGCCGTAATGTTTAGTAGCATTCCCCAAGATCAATACCGTAAGCCTGCTAGTACCTCGATTCCGAAAGCTGACGTAACCTCTCCATTGTCTCTAGTGTTTTTCGCTCCTGCACCTAATTACACCACCAAGATAACCGATATCAGTGTCGGCACCAAACCAGCAATGGCAACAAATGCCGGATTCATGTTCATCGCTTCGACTTGTGTCTATACATTCCAAGCTACTCATACCAAACAGACATATGCTTTCGGCAGAGATGGAGGTGCGTATTAACGTTTCGTTGGTCAGAATGCAATTTTTGACAACTCACATCATTTTCATTAGGTTTGCCATTTTGGAAGTGGTTGCATTACTTTGACCCAACGACAAAGATTCCGACTCCCGTTCTTTATGTTTTGGCTGCTTGCGGTGAGTATGGTTGAAGGCTTTGTCGAATGAAGGCGCTTGAACTAGAAAAAATCTGGTCTTGGTAGCTCCCATCACTTCAGTCAAGTTATTTTTTTCAACACTCGTTTCACTGGGCGTTATTGCTACGTAAATGTGCTATGCTCTTCCTATTGGTCTCCGAGCTCAGCGAGCACACGAGATGCCAAGAGAGTGAGCATCAACAGCACAGCATTTAGGCTTGCTGCATTACATGCAATGGGCGTTCTTGCAGCACATTTATACGTTGGAATGTTGGATTAAAAGCCCTTCCTCTACTCTATAGGCCGTTCTTCGCTCAGCTGGTTTGGCCCCATTAATGCTTTTAGCTGTTTCGTGTACCTCGTTACCGAATGTGTAATCTTGATTATGCCAAGCCATTACACGCCGTTCGTTACCTCCTGACGTTGATACGCCCATGTATCTTCAAAACTTGAACTGAACTGCAGTCATGGTGAGTTGAAGAAAGATTTTCAATGGCAACCATCCAAGCAGTCTGCAACAGATTACGTTCATAAAGACATGCATTTCAATCGTAACTACAAGATAATCATAAGATCTCTTTCAAATTACAGGCTGGTGGAGTTTTAATACTTTTAACAATTGGATGGATTGTGTACGTCGCTAGACACGCCCAAGATTGATACCGCGACTGCTGGTGAGAAATACGGTAGCAAATCTGAGAAGTAATGGGGACGATCAATCCAATACTCTGATATGTGTGTGTTTGTAGGATATTTCGCAGACGCCGATTTCAAGGTTTCTGGAGTTGAAGTTGGAATTTCGGATGCAGACCTCAAGACAGAGAATCACGCTTTGTATTCGCAGGAGGACTATTGAGGTAAACGTGCTGTTTGTGTGTTGACGCGTCAGTAATGGACGATTGTAGTGCAGTTTCTGGAGAGAGTTTGACGTGCGTGGACGGGTGTAATATGGTTTCTGTATTCAAATATGGAGTAACAATAGTAAACCTCTTAATACGGAACTGTGTGATTGCAAATTATGTATTCGGTGCCTGTGCCTGAACCCCATGTGCAAACCCTGTCACTTGTGTGCGACGAGTCTAGGGCAGGATGAAACCGTTGGAGAGGCTGTTTCAGCTAAGATCCGAGCTGCTTGCAATCTCATTCGAAAAGCGCGTGTCCTGCAACAGATGCAAATCAAGAAGGTATCGCATTGTCGCTGATTTTGAGACGAAAAAGAAAACCTAACAATTCTCGAACTTTAGGCTCAAATGCGATCAAGCGAAGCCAGAATGTAGCAGATGCATGGCGTCGCACGAAATGTGTGAATACTCGGGCTCGTCACAGTATGCTGCAAACAGCAAAGTGAGCCAAACAAAACATCAACATTTCGAGTCTTTTTTTGACATCCGTCCGTGACCCACACTGACGCTCCGTTCAATCTCCAGGGAACGGCCAAGTCAGGCTACATTCGCAAGCTGGAACGAAGGAAGGAGATCCTCTATAATAATATCGAGAGACTGATTGCTGCCTATAAATTCAATGAGCACCACCACCAACAAGAACCAAGCTCATACTTGTTTGACACATCCCCAAGCTCACTGGAAACCTCATCTCCGAATTCAGCAAGCTCGATCGAATGCTGGGATGAGAGCTTTCATAACTCAATCATGGAGTTGGCCACCGTAGCTGTTGCAAAGTAATGTTTTATTGATTTACAAATGAACAAGAGCACGCACTCACCAAAACCACTGTATATTTAGGGACATGGGCAAGTTCCCAAGCACTCCATTCCACGTCAAAGTCATTGAAGCGAGATACAATGACCCCAGCTACAGGCTCGTGCTCATCGGACTCGCAGCTCTCGGCGCACGACTGGAAGACACACATCCCGTCCGCTTCTCAAACGAACTCGTCCTATCTGGTGCCGAAGCCGCTGAGAAGCTTCACTGTATATGCAGGCAACAGCTAAACTGTAACTTCGAAGTCCCTTCAATTGAGATTGTGGAAATGTGTTATTTGAATGTGATTTATTCTGTGAGGCTTGGACGATGGGATTCCACATGGAGGTGGTCGAGTATAATGAGTAGGATGATGCGGTTATTGAGGTTAGACACAGATCCGGACGATTTAATACAGGACGAATCAGAAGGAACGACTGTCAAGATTGAAGTCAATGATACTAACCTCAAGCACCAGGAGTTGCTTAAAGCATTCACGAGCTGTATGGAATTACCAACAGCCGTAGCGCTCGAGAGTTGGTTTGGTCGTGAGCATAGAAGACGGTTGTTTTGGACATGGTAAAAACAAGAGTTTTTGGGAACATGCCCTAATTTTTTTGTGTGTATCGTCTCAAGATATGAACTCATGGCTTCCCTCCCGCCAATTCTAGCCACGAAACAGAAATAAAAACAAGCGTCGAAGCATCTCGTCCACCACCAATCACAAACGCACAATCAAAATGTAAATACCCTCGACCATACCAAGTATGGGCATCAGCAAATCCAGAAGACAATACTCCTCCTGAATTCGTAGATGAAATTGACTTGGCAATCCCCATGCTCATGTTTCATGAAGTGCTGCTCGACATTCACGAGTTGGTGTGGAGAGCGAAGCAGGAGGTGCTTGGAGTGGAGTACATATCTGCAATACAAAATTTGGAGAATCGGCTTGAGAGGTGTGTGTGTTGTGCTGCACCTTTTCGTTTCCTGTGCGGTGACTTTTTGTATGCAAGTTCGTAAAATATCCTCATGTTTTTCACGTCTAGTGTCTACAACCAACTTCCCTCCGCAGTCAAAAACGTAACGGCAGGAGACCTCATAGCAACCTCAAAACTCCCACCCGCTCAATCGGCAATTGCCAGTATTCACACGCTACTGACATACAACTTTTGTAAACTCTATCTTCATGAGCCTGTAAGTGCTAATATCTAAACCATGGTAGACCCATGGTGGTCGCATTTTGATGGTTGTGGATTTGCGATTGCCAGTGTGATGGCTTGAATGCTAAAAAACGTCAGAACACTCTCGTATAGTAAGCGTACTGACGCTTTTCTATCTCGCAGGGTGCACTATCAGCTCTACTACGTCATGGCGGTGACGTTCCTGCCTGTCTGAACAATCTACACGTCACAGCGTATGTCATGTACCACATTTTGATTGAAACGAAACAATTTGCATTTTTTTCACACTAACCTTCTTTTTTACATAGGTGGAATCGATCTGCATTAGCAATCGCAAACCTATCCTCCATAGTTCTCGCCGCATTACCCGCCATCACCCTCGCGAGCCTTCATTCATTCATGACGACGTAAGTTCAAAGATTTCAGCGCCAAAAACGATGAATGGTTTACTACCACATTGGGAACGAAAATAATATCCCCACTTCCCATCTGTTTCAACCAGAATCACCTTCTTTGGCAGCCTCTCGCTCGTCTCTACATTCTCAATCACGAAAGAGTCTAGCATGCGATCTCTCCCACCAGTTCTCAAGCTATGCACATTGCTGACTCGTGAACATAAAGACCACGCACTGGGGGGCATGATAAGTGCAGTTCTAGATCAAGCTGCATCAAAGGGCAATCATGAGATTGCTGTGTTGACGGAATTGGTAAAACGCTGGACCACCCTATGTGAATAGTGTCTGATTGTTTCGAAAGGGCTCGATAACTTATATAACTGATTTAGCAATAGTATTAGATGGAAATTGAATCGTATATAATAGTGGTGGCACACACATATGATAAACCTGACGCAAACATGAAAACTCATCCGCAAAACTACAAGATTGCTGGCTCAATGACTATATGTATTTTGTTTGTGCTGTTCTTTTCCGAGTCTTTAATCTATCTACAAAGGCTTACAAATGTTTGTGTGTTTCTCTACATACTTTTTAGAACGACACCAAGGCCTTTGCCATTGACGCCACCATCGGAAATGTGTATTACCTCGCCATCTTCCATGTCCAACTAAGTGAAGAATGTGTGGCGTTAGGTTTGCAATCATCCTAAAGCACCCAAAAAATACACTGACGAGTTGCCAGATTGCGTACATCATGGGGCGTGTCTGTAGGGTTGATAGTTTCACCACTCGAGGCAAGGAATCGGACGCTATTCTTGTTCTAAAAGGAAGGAGATGTATGGTGAGCTTCATCTGATGAGTAGACTTGACCCGTTTTCTCTCCGCGGTGAGAGTGAATGTACCTGTCCAGTCTATAAAGAAAAGAATTTTTAAGTACAGTTGAATGGAGCAAAAGTAATCAAATCAACATGAACATACATAGATCCTTGTTAAGTATGCGGTCATCAACTGTAATCCAATAAAACGAGAATTAGTACTGATGGCTGAACCTCATAGCAAGAGATGATAAACAATTAAATTAAGTCTGCACACACCCTCTCTAATGGCGTTGTTCGTTTGATCTTGAAAGCTATGAAACACAAAACAGAAAGTTTGAGCAAATCAAGACAGATGCTAGAGTGGGCAAATTGAGATAATGACGACAGTGGTATCCAATCAGTAAGCTGGCGTCATGTAAAATTGAAATTTCTCTTATGCGTTCAAACGGAAGCCCTACAGTCCTAGCAACATAGCTTACCGGCTTCAGGTTGGTCTCTTCCTACAACCCTGATATTGATGGGCTCGAGCTTCTATAAAATAATAACAGTGAGTTTTGATAGGTCTCGCAGGCAAAGCTCCTGAACAAAGGCTGCTTGGAAATAACATCAATAATCAACCTTTTGCTCCAGTTGTTTCCTAAGAAATTCTTCCTCTGCCTCCATATCCTCATCATCCTCATTTTCTTCATCGTCGTCGTCCCCTTCTTCATCGTCCCAATCTTCATCCTCTTCATTTTCCTCGTCGAGCCACTCATCTAGATCTTCACCCTCGGTGGTATCGCCATTATCCGGGTCTTGAATCTGTTCATAATACAAGACGGGCTCTATAAATGCGAATCTTTCTAGATGTGGGTCGATTCCCAAAAGCTTCCCGATGCGCTTCAACTGCCCACGATTATGGCGTACTACATTTACAATTCGTTTCTCTAGCTCTTGAATGTATAAACGAACCTCGTCCAGCTGAGCTTCTATTGCTTCAACTGAAGGGTTTGACAATGTCTGAAAGAGTGCAGCCGGTGCCGTAGGCAACTCTAATATACTCAGATCCGACGAAGATCCTCTATGAGAGACAGTTCTATGTGTACGACGAGATGGTTGACTAGCTAAACTATCGCCTACAGATCCTGTATCATCAATGTTGGGTGATAGTCGTGTTGTAGAAGCCGTATCGCTTAACGTGGGAGGTATGGCATCCTGTTTGGAAGCATCACTTTCGGGAGACAACTGAGATGGCAAAGATGGGCTACTATTATTGAAGGGACTACCTTCTTCACCAGTTACAACAATACCACGAACTGATTCCAAGAGCTGACGGAGATAATCGTTTCCAAATGGCAAACTTTGCTGAGATGGTGGTTTTGACAATCGTGGCGAATAAGCATTCAACCAGTTGCGCCAATAATTGACATCTACACTACGTTCTGTGTCTAGTTGGCCATATACACCGCCATCAGAAGCTTCTACATATCGATCATTTGACGATTGCAATTCGTCATCGTCATCATACTCCATTCCATCTGAATGACCTAGTTCACTTTCAGGTACCAGCAACCCATTGACAGCAGGTTGCACCATAGATATCATAGTAGCGACAGCAGCTTCGATCGATTGAAGTGCTGTAGTATTTTCACTCAGGCTAGTACGTTCCTTTTGTTTCTTTCTCAAATCTCGTGCTTCACGTACACGTTTCATGACCAACTCAACGGACTTGACTTTGGCTCTCCAATCATCAGTAGACCAAGTCGACGTGGTCGGGTTGATTGCAAGCCCATACATGGCGGATAATGATGCTACATTTTCATTCTTGTTGACTGAGCTTGAAGGTTTCATGGAATTATGATTATTAGGTGTACGAGACACGGTTCCATGGAGCTTAGAAGCCACTTCTTCCAAACGATTGACATGATCTGCTACCCTGGCCATAACAATATTGGATTTTACAGATGCGTCGTCCTCACTCCTCTTGCCTTTGCCCTTTGAGTTAGCCTTTTGAGATTCTTCCAAAAATTTTACTCTTTCTAGTTGAGCTTCTAATCCTTCATACAACACAGAAGCAGTAGCGGCCAAAGATTCCAAAGTTTGGTCGATAAACGTGCTTGGATCTATTAATCGGTACGAGTCAGGTCGACAATGGCGGTATAAACATAGAAGCACTAACAAAATCAAACATACCAAGAGATAAAGGCACGTAGCTTTTGCCACTTCTCTTTTGAGCGTCAAGTGAATCATGGAGCTCAACTGACATGTTACCCAAACTCTGAGCAAGCTGACTAAGTTGACCAAGATTACCAAAGTTCAAACTCAAAGTATTCAAATCAAGACTGCCAGTTGCTGTACTTCCACCAGGCATCAAGGAAACGTCATTAGGCGACAAGTTTACAGTCCAGTCAGCGGCAACGCGTGCTTCACCCGATGCAGATGGATCGATATGCATGGAGACCATGGCAGCTCTGGCATCTGCAGAAGCCAACACAGAAGCCTTTGATCGTTTAGATGCAGTATTAGTTTCGGGTTTACGAGGTGGCACAGTTGCTTTAAAGGCTGCATCCAGATCGTATAGCTTCTTTTGCAAGTCTTGCCAGACCTTTGATGGCATGCTAGCTGATTGAGCTTCATTCTTGGTGTCGGGTTTGGTTGTTGATGATGGTTTACTAGTATTAGTTGTGTCCGATTCGAGTGGTTGTTTAGGATTTACTGGAGACATTGGTGCTGAGCTTTCTACTGAATTATTGTTGGTTCCTTTTCTCTTGTTCTTCTTTTTAGAGTTGGAACCTCCAGGACCTAATACCAATCCAGACAACCATGACTCGTCAACTACAGTCTCTGGTTCTGTGCTAGCTACAGATGCTGTATCCAAGTTCTCTTGAGAACCCTTTGATGATAAACCCTGTCCAGCAATAGCAGTTCTAAGTATAAATTCACCATCATTTTTCACCTTCGTCTTTCGTTTACGACCAGCCAGTGGATTTTCTTCAATTGCAGATGGAGGAAGAAAACCACCTTTAGGTTGAAGACTTTTGACTTCAGACTTTGGTTTCTCCTGTTTTGAAGCAGACTCAGCCTTGAGTTCCGTCTTATCGTCGACTTTAGCTTCAACCTTGGCTTCCACCTTGGCTTCTGTTTTGACGTCTAATGCCTTGGGCAATTCCTTTGAAGCCGACGCAGGAGATTGAATCTTGGCCTTTTCAGTATCAGGAGACTTGACGTCTACCTTCTTATTACCATTACGTTGATCTGAGGCGGTTGAGATTGCTGTCACAGAACTAATACCGTTGGCGATACTAGAAGACTTTGCTTCAACAATCTTCTTGACTGGTGCTTGAGGTGTAGCCAATTTGGATAGCGTTGGTGAAGAAGTGAGTGACGACGACTGTGACGACGGTGCAGTAGCAACCACCGAGACAGCTTTAGCGGCTACGGACGACGCTGGAGTTGATGCGATAGATACTACTTTACTGCGTATGGGAAGACCAATAGGCGAGGATGGAGATGTCGGCTTTTCAGGTGAACGTAATGGTGGAAATGCTGTAGTCGAAAATACAGATATAACAGCTGGTTCACTAGATGGTTTTATCGGAGTAGATGATATAGATGTCGTTACTACTGGTGGAGTAGTGGATCGATTTAACGTAGGTTGATGCAATGATGAGATGGGCTTAGATGGTGCAGGAGACATTGTTCTTAAAGGTGTTGATGGCGGTTCTGGTGTAGCTGAAGAGGTAGACCGAGACGCTGCTGTAGACGGTGCTGGTGATACTGCTGAAGTTCGACTATTTTGACTATTTACATCTCGGACAGCACCGACGACCGCAGGTGACGAATCAATAAAGGTTTCTGGTCTCCATGCATTCCAATCGTTATGTGCTATTATTCTTGATGGTGATGTGGATGAGGCTTGTTGAGGAGACCGTAAAGGGTCGGGAAGAGAGGAAGTTCGTTCATTGCCACCTCCCTGGTCCTCCATTAAATGATCCGGCGGGACCAGGAGCGGTTGTTCTCCTCGAAAAAAAACCGCTGAATCTGTCCCGCCCAACCGAAAATCCTCCTCAACATTGATATCATTCACATGTCTTGCATCGCGTGGATGAAGCTGCCTATCTGGCTCACCTCGTTGCTGACCTAAATGAAGTAAACGATTCAGTCAATGTTCTCATGTAGCGATGAATTATTGCGATAGAAAATGGAGGTACATTCAGAAAAAAAGCGTTTACCCCAATCAAGATTTTGTCCAAACCCCATAGGACTTCCACTTCCACCAGCACCTTGCCCTAGCGCCACATTCTCAAATACTCTTAATCTCGACCGACCACCATCAACTTGCTGTTGTTGATACGACGACGGTGACAGAGGCGGCTGATTGGGCATTGGCTGCTGCGACATACGAATAGACATTATTGCAGGATCTCGAATACCATTATTATTCATCTGATCAGATCCATGCATAGATTGCTGGTGTTGTTGCTGCTGCTGTGCTCGTGACGAAGATACAGACCGCTCTCGTTCTCGATCTCTAAATTGTGCCTCCTTCATCATTTGAGACAATAATTCATCTTGAGAAGGAGGTGAGCGACCAGCTGCCAGATAAGCTGCTTGTACTCGTGCAGCCAACAATTGTTGTTCTCTTTGTTGAGCAGCTGCTGCGACAGCAGCTTGATGCTGTCCTTGTTGCATATATAGCATGGACTCACGATTCGGAGGTAAATTACCACCACCAAATCCTGGAGCGACATTACGATATTGTTGTAGATGTTGCTGCTGCTGTTGTTGCTGCTGTTGTTGTTGCTGTTGAGGATTTGCATATCGAGGCGCTGAGGACCAAGATTCTTCATCCTGAGCAGCAGACATTCGTCGTGATGGCTCTGGCCAACGAGGACCTGAATCATCGAACGATGTATTGGGAAATCCTCCAGGTCGAATTGATTCCTAATTAATTGCGATGATAAGCATTTTTCTTATCGCAATTCTGCTCGCAAAAAAAGGTCTCAGCCGGGTGGAGAATGTTTCATACCTGCTTTCGCTCTTGGGGTCGCATTAATACGACCTCATCTTCAAAGATATCCGCAGGATTACCACCAAAGAATCGTTCGAATCTACTGCTGCCATTTTTAGATCTTGGATCCGTTGATGGCGGAGATGTCGACGGCATGCTATCATTATTACGTATCGATCCAGCCATAGCAGCTTCTCGTTGTCTTACAGCAATAACAGCCTCATCACGGAATGGATCAAACCGAAAGTTTGCATTCGACGACAACATACCATTTGGCGTGGATGATTGTGAGGGTGACGGTGGTTGAGAAAACCGTTGCTGCTGCGGTGACATTTGTTGCGGAAGTAATTGCTGTTGCTGTTGTGGCGTTTGTTGTCCTAATGGTTGGATATTACTATTTGATGCTGATGATAATGGCGCGTCTTCATATCGATTTGGTGTTGTCGATGTTGGAGAAGCTCCAGTCAAGAACGCCAAAGAATCTTCTCTGAATGGATCAAATGGTCCAGAATATCTGGGATGCAAATTAAACAGTGCAGAATGGTCTGGTTCTTCTATCGGTGAGGTTCTGGATTCTATCGTTGTTGATGATGCCGACGAGACAGATGATGATGTAGGCACTGCCATTCTAGATGGTGCTACACCGCCAAATGACTGATTTAATAAAGTTACTGGTGGATCGTCTTCCGACAAGGCTCTGGATCCCAATATTGGCTCTTCTTCAATATGAGGCAGAGCATGATCTACAGCTGACATTCCTCGACCCATCAAACCAGGAGGCGGTGTTGGGTTTATGCTTGGTGGTTGCGGAGTGGTAGCTGATGTTGGAGTCGTTGATGATGACTGTCCAACTCCTCCTGGTTCAACAACAATCTTCCCACGTAATCTCTGCTTCCTTTCTCTCTGAGATTCTTTAGCAGGCACCAAAAATGGGAGATCTAGATCATTACCAAAGTCTCCCTCTGGCTGCTCTTGTACATCTGGCTCTGGTGTGCCATCTGGTAGATTTGATGAAGAAGACGACACCGAGGAGACACTAGCAGTAGATCTATGCTGCACAAGAGCAGGTGGTTGTGGTGGCTGTCCAGTCTTTGCCCTGTTGACATGATGAGCGTAAAGAAGCGTCAGTGGAGCCTTTTTTGCATCAAGTGAAAGCTAGCAAAACTTACCAACTTGCAGTAGCAGGCAAGGCACTAGATTCCTTTTCTTCTTTTCGAGCCTGCTCACTCAGAGTAGGGAATGGTGGACTTCTCCACGTTCGTTCTCTTGTCGCAAGACGTCTGTTTTGGTAAAGAAAACATATGAGAACTAGGATCACAAAGACAATAAGACTCCAAATTGACACATACACTATCTCTTCTTTTGCCCATGCTTCGGCTTCCTCTGCAGGCTCATGCATGCACTGGCAATTTATATTCGAGCATGGCAAATTCTTGAGATAGTATGTGCAATATTTGGTGGTTCCATAAGTAGCTCTAAAACAATTGGTACAAGTTTGTCAGCATTTCCACGTTTATGTACTCGACGGACTAGTAAGCAAAACGAACCGTAACGAGCGCCCATCCCACAGAGTCATATCCACAGACTGGAGAGCTTTGGCAGCATCTTCCTTCTTGGCAAACATGATATAGACACCATTATTCGCTAGACTAGCCAATGCTGGAGTATGACCATGACCACGTTTCCCAATCAGCACTTTGGTAATTTTGCCAAACTGACCAAAATACTCATTTAGTCGGATAGTCTAGTCAACATATGGATTGAGTTTCCGTGCTTCTTATACCATGAATTATACATGATAGTTTACCTCTTCTACAGCAATCTTTGTCGGCAATCCAAAAACGTAAACCAAACTCTTCATTACGACTCGAACTGAAGCCATATGTCGTTTTGCAGAGATTTCCTGATCCTTCTTTTCTCGTTCACGTTGTTTCTTTCGATTCTTGATATGAGCGAGTCTATAAAATATATATACTTTAGTAAGCGCTGCCTCCAATATTCTCAACATTTGACGTTTTTTTCTTTACTCCTCAGGAGGAACGGGTCTAAACTCCATGGTTTGCTCCGAGTAGACTCTTCGACAACCAGGACATCTTCCATCCAAATCATTCTTGATCTTGTTCCAGCAGAATCGACATATCTGGTACAGGAAAGAAACGGGTGGTGGTCAAATGTTCTGAAGATTGCGCAGACATTTCTTCTTCAGCACAACAAATGTTGAATCTGTCTATAAGCAAAAAGTACCTGATATCCACATGGACATGGCTAATGAATGAAAGGCATAGTTAGATTTGCTATTCACAACAAACTGGAACACTTTTTCTTCATATGTTGAAACTCCAACGAGAACTTTTACAACAGGCAAGACGAGGGGCTTACTTTGAAATACTTGTCCGTAATGTCGATTTCTTCCAGACATAAGGGACATTCAAGCTCATCTTCAATCTCATCCATTTTTTACAAAGAGGTTTGAAATGACTTGTCTGCAGTGTTTTCTTTGGACGATGGAGATTTGGTGCTGAGAAATTGAACTTGAGCAGAGACAAGAGAGATGATCGAGACATGTTCGTGTACATACAAAGTCTGTGGAGGAACTCCCGTATCGAGGACGATACGTGATGCGAGGAAATTCATCTCTTTGCAAATCGCGAAGCTTGAACAAAGCTTGAGACGTTTGGCGCTATAGAAGAGGTTATAGAGATGCTTACCCAACCGCCTGGAGTGCTTGATGAACTCATATTTAGGTATCGATAGATGTCTGACCATTCAGGTATGTGTATATTACAAGACCATTTTGTATGAATTTATACAGATAAAATGCAAATTATGCCCACTCATGTACTCAGCTCTTACGTGGATAAGCGCAGTACTTATCTGCAATGGAAACTACTCGGTAAGTTCCCTCTTGTGAGGTCTCGACTTCGTAATGGCGACTCTTTATATCAGCAACACGGAAGGTCTCATCTGGCTGTCCTGGTGTCGAGCGTTTGTACGTCATGTTGAACGGCGGTGTGCCCATAAAGTCAAATGTAATGAGCGAGGTTCCTCCTATACACATCAGGAAAACAACACAAATCAGTTGAGTACACAAGTCAGCTCTCAACAGACAGGCAACAGACCTTCTTGAATGTCGTCAATCGTCGCGTGTCCTCCGTCCACCCTTACAGAGGGGATTTCGTGTACGGTGTGGGATAGAGAGACTGGGCAGCACCTTTCTACTTGACCTAGTCCCTCAGCTCGATTACATACTTCGTCAACCGTTACCACACCGGATTGAGTAGCAGACACTGAGAATACAGGTTGCGATTCCTGTTCTGTCAATGTCTTGTTACCTACAACGACAAAAGGGGATGAGCCACAACACGACCATAAACGAAACCAGCTCACTTCAATGCCATTATGCTTACCCAGACGGTATTTGATAAAGAAGGGAGGAACACCTTGTAATGAGAAAAGCAGAGTTTCACCGACACATGCAGAAGCTGGACTTAGAGACGTTATCCGTGCTACATCTGTTACTTGAATTGTTTTTTGGTGCTCAACCAAACCTGGAAGAGTAAACGAAAAGTTGAGATTGTATAGAAAACTTGAGCGGTATTTAGCAAAGTACCTGGATCATAGTCACGCGGACATCCAGTTGCATCAGAAACCCTGAGCAATGATATAGTGAGCGAGCCAGCAGACTCAGCCATTCGAGTTAAGGGTAGTCCATATGTGGATTCCGTTATGTTGTCGACACGTATCTGAGTATGAGCGAAACCATCTTGCTTGACTCTCAGAGACAACACAAATGGTGGCTCGCCGGACAGATCAATCGTTAACAATGCCTCACTGTCATTTAGAGCGTCTGGACTATCCAATCCAGATGGACCATCAGAAGCACATCGAAATATTCGTACTGGTGCATGCCCGAGAGTCGCACGTGGCCTTGCTTTGACTTTATGTACCAACTGGATCTCATTCCGTTTAGGTACATCGATCGGGTAGTTTCCGTCTCGTACGCCTGTGATATGGTAGGTATGACGGCCTGGAAGACTTGACAATGGGATTGCGGCACGTTTATCGGTGTCTATATGCTTCGATTCCACTGAAGAACGCTTTGATGCGTCTTCAGTTTCTTGAGTCAAGTCTAGTGTAAACGGCGGCTTGCCCTTAATGTCCACATGCACGATTGACGTATCACCCTCACAGATTTCTGGAGTGCAGCAAATTCCTTCTTTGTAGTTGGCACATTGATTGTGATCCAAAATCAACGAGGGCCTTGGAGTGATCGTCACTAGGAATGAAAAACCTTTGTGTCAATGTGACCAAAAAAGCAGACTGGGGTTACTATAATTGTCGACAGTTAGCTTATTACCTTCACATTTCATTGGTGACTTTAATTTTCCATAACAGTAAGCATCCGTGAGCGATTCTAGTTCGTAGACCCCAGCTAGCCTGACAGGAAGCTACAAATGGAAAAAAGATCATTCAAGATTAAAACTCTCACAGGTCAAGACTATTCAATAGCACTTACAGGAGACTTGTCTGTATCAAATGTTTGGCCTGTTTCGACGTGGCGAACCTTGATCTTATAAGGCGGATGTCCTATTTTAAATCGTAATTTAGTGGGAGTTAGCTCAGCATTTCATAAGTGGTTTTTGTTACCAGAAAGCGACAAATGCAGGTTTGCAATCTGATTCTCCAATATCTCCACTGGCTTTGGACAAATGAAGCTCGCAGCAGGTCGTTGTGTCAACACAGACACTGATGCTTGAGGTACAGATAATGGGAAGTTACAACCATTAGCATCCGTAATTTCTACCAGATCGATTGTTTTCGTAAGCCAGCTTATAGTTCAAAATGAGACAGGAAAAATCATATCATCTTTACACAGGTCTCACAACTCACCAATTAGGTCAATCTTGACTTCCCCGGAAGAGTTGAAAGGCGGCGTGACTATAAATGCTGGGGACGTTGCAACATTCAACCTCGTGCGACCAAGTGAAGCACCATCTGCTATAGTATCATAGGTCAGAGTCCATGGACCAGATCCTTGCAAATCTACTCTAAGCTTGACATGGTCACCAATACACCTCAGCAACTTGTCGCCAATATTGAATCGTGCTTCAGATTGAGGATGCACAACTTGTGAGAAGGGAGGAGCAGATATCTTGACGTCTTTATAATACGCATCTGATATTGATATCCATTCATACTTCCAGCGTCCAGCGACCGCTGGCCGAAGTGGTAGATTGGCTCTAGACTTTGGTGAATCTATATAGTGGTTTGTGCGTGTCCCGGTATCTGATCTGATCTCTTGGTAGTCGAGACGGAAGGGAGGCTCACCAGCGAAAGTAAGATTTACACTGTTTAATGAAAATTAGGGATATAGAAATTTATTTAAAAACTTAATAGAGTTATGATTGAATTGGCTTACCTTGCACCGACTTCTCCAACGCAACGCTCCATAAGTGGTTCAGCAGCAATGGTGATACGTGGAGGGTATACACCTACTACTTCCCGTTGCGAAGGTAACAATAACGTCCCAGCGCAATACTGATCCTTCACTGACAGGAGTTCGTAAACTCCCGAGGTTGACACAGGCATATGAGACAAGGAAGTCCTTATATCGGACTTGATCAGAGGAGATTCATTATCTTTACGGTATGTAATCGTAAATGGTGCTGATCCATCAAGCACAAAAGGAAGCTCTGATCCTGATGCAATTGGTTTACCATCCGCATTTTGCATCAACAATTTGAATGCATCCGTCTCGGTGAATCTGGCTGTTGGCCGAGGATGTACTTCTACTAATTGGTGATCTCCTTGCGTAGACGCATGGATTACCATGCCCTTTACGTCAGGTACCGATTCTATGGAGTCTTCATAGAATACCAAGTTTTCGAATCTGTCTGATACAGACAGTATACGGAAGAAGTATGGGGCTGTCACGTCTACTCTGAGCTCTATACTGTGCCTCACTTTTTGAGGAGCGACATCTGCATCCAGGGCGATTTGCTCGTCACCAGTCGACGTATCTGGTGAAGCTATGTCTACAGTAGTCGTCATCAGCGAATCCGTTCTGGCAATTCGTTGTAGATATCTGAGCTGGAATGGCGGAGCGCCATTCAGTTCAGCTTCGAGCCTATAAAGTTCATCGACACATATATCCCGCTTCCTAGATGTATCCGTGAAGATCCATTTGGCTTCTGGACACCCGACGACGTCTGTCTCGCCATGGATGACACTGCCCAGAGTATGTGGGACTCCTTTTTTAAGCTCCCAGACACGTAATAGTCGATATCGACCAGGCTTATTCAAGAATAGCTGGCTTTTCGTGAGTTGGGATTTCGGAATGGGAGTTTCCGCAATGCTTTTGGATACTGGTACTGATGTCACCGTCAAGTTGTGACGATCAGACACTTTGGCACCATACGGAGTCCTTTCGTATTCTACAAGGTACTCTGCAAGCCAGGATCCACGGATAAGTAGAGGTACAGATACGGTGGTAGTAGTATCTGATAGACAGAATGACGTCGAGTTTGGATTGAGGCTTCCAACTATTGGAGGTTTGACGACTACGGTGTGAACTCCAACAATATGTGTTCCATTCCCATCTACAACAAACCAAGTGTAGGCAAATCAGTAGTTTATACAGTAGCATGATGAAAACTTCATAGGCCAATAGATTTTACCTTCAGGTATATGCTCAGGCACATGTCCTCCAATACTCATAGCTGTTCCTGGTATATGTAAACCATCCTACCAAAGCGATAATCACATCAGCACTCCAAAGCATCAGCCATATAAATACAAAAGACCTCAAAATTCATACTTGTATAGATGACTGAGAAGCAATCAAGTTGACAACGACGAATGACACGACCAACAATAGAGTAATTGGCAACGAGAAATCCAACAGAGGGATCCTCATGAAGTGGAGAGTAACAAAGAATGCTATATCTAGAAGAATCCATAACCAGATGATTTCGGTCGAAGCAAACCACTGGTGGACTTTCACGGCCTATAAAGCAGAATCAACAAGTCAGCTCTAGTTCGACTTTGTGCGAGCTAGCGCTTAAAAAACTATGAAACCGAGTCGATTGACTTACTTGTATGCCTAGAAATACAGCCGCAGCAACCTGCCTTCTCGCTACGTCGTCGAATACCACCATCATGTCCCTCGAATGGTTTGCGAAGTTTAGTACCTTTGACAGCAAGTCAAGGTTCGAGAAACAATCAACCAAAACGCGTTCATTTACAAGTACTTTGTTTAAAATATCTACATAATTTTACGCGTTTACAAACCACTGTAAACTCCAACCTTCACTGTTTCCTTGTCCTCTTGCAATATGCAGCCAGTCCACAAACACAATTAGTTCTTGGTCTTATTCTTCTTTTTAGGTGAATCGTCCTTTGCACCTTCCAACAACATCTGAGCCTCCTGCTGTTGTCGTAATAGATCTGCCTGTTCTCTAGCAGCAGCTTCGCGTGCCGTCCTCCATTCATCTACCTCTTTGGTCCGTTTATCACGATACGACTCTCGTTTCGCCAAATCTTCCTCCTTGAACTTTTCCACCTCACGAGCCTTCTGTTCTATACGTTCCAATACATGTAGTTTCAGTCCAGCACGTTGTTCTCTATCCAGAGATCGTTGTGCTCGTATCTTTTCTGCTGCTTCAATGGCTTCAGCAAGTTTATATTCTCGTTCAGCTTCTCTCATGGCAACTTCATTCATATTCAAGACTCGTGGCAGTGTTAGCGAGCATTCGGCTGCTGCTGCTGCTTTTGCCGCCGCTGCAGCAGCTGGCGTCGTCGGTCGAATGTTGCCATCTTGTTGTTTCAAGTACCCCTCTCTAAGCTCTTTTGCTCTAGTGCTTCGACCAGGTTGAGCAGCTTCCCAGGCATCTTTGATCGCCTTTTGGCGGTCTTCTCGTTCTGTATCTTTAGATGTTATCGCAGAGCCAGGCTCTGTCAAGAAGATTCGCAACTTCCAAAGGTCCGGAGTTTCGGTGGTGGTTGCTACTGGTGCCGTTGGAGCTGCTGTTGTTGATACTACTGAAGCGGCATCATCCATGGTGGATGTCGTTCTCTTCTTGGCAGCCGATGATTTGCCTGATCCAGGAGTTTTACTGGAAGCGTTTGCTACACCGCCACCAGATTGTGGCCTAACGTCACCTACGGCAGAAACCAAGTCTCGTCCTTGCTTGAGAAGGCCGAGCACGTCCACAGATCCTTGAATTATGTAACGATTCTTTGTCGTCTATTGACCGAATTTTTTTTAGCTTGCAGGTCTGCCGGCCCAGCAATCAATGCTTACCGAGTCATCAGCTACGACGAAGTTCAAAACTGTAGCTGCACTCATGCCTCCCACCGACACCATTTCCAAACCATTGTTTAAAATCTGCAATCGAATCGGTAAGGCAGCATTCGTACATGATAATTGACAGCCTATTCTCATTTCGGGTGTATCCTTCAGCTTTACGAGATACCTGGGCAAAACACAAATTGTTGGTGAGGACGATAAAAAACGAGATTTTGATGCATCTATACCTGAATAGGACATTCTGTCGATTTGGAATTAGCTGCTCTTCAAAGTCTTGCGTAACAAACTTTGTCCATGATGACGTGACGAGATCAGCAGGTAACGGTGGATCAGATACCAGTCTCACTTTCCATCTACCAGGTGGTCTAGCGACCACGGTTTTGCATTCGGCGATAATGGTGTATCCCGCCTACGTGGTGACAAAATAAAACGACTTCAGGTGGCGGGATGGGCTTTGTCCTTCTTGTACACACTCACTTTGTTCACAGGATACTGTCGCGGCTGTAGAGCAAATGACGGCTCTACTTCCTCTCCAGTATCATTATTAATGATATGTAGCCTTGCTCCTGACTGGAAAGGATCTGGAACATACAAGTCGGCAGCGAGGAACGTGGGTGCCGACAACATCATTATTTGCCTTACCAAAAAAAACAGTTGGGTTTGAGACAATTTCTTCAAGCAGGAAATTATTCACAAACTCACTTGTACAGCAACCACCAAGAATTTGCAGGTTGAGCTGCAAAGCTCTCATCGATATCTTTAACTTGAACATTCAACCGTTCTGTCAAGTACTTGGCTTCATCGTCCAGCAGAATATCGTCACGAGACCAGCATGAAACTTGATACGACATGCTACAATCCACCGTCAGTCGAAGCGCATGTGTTCTAGCAAGTGCAATGTCAGACAGCAAAAAAATGCGTGTGTCCATCACAATCGGTTTCTGTCATTACCCGGCAGGTATAACTACAAAAGTCCCAATAGTAGCATTTGTTGTAAATCTCAACAAAGATTCCTGTCGGGACTTCTTCCTCCAGTCATAGGATTCGATTGTAATGGCAGGCAGTCGTGGGAGACCTGAAGCCTGCACTCTTCCAAATGTCGATAAAGTGACCAGCAGGTTTGTATCACGAGAGGGATCTTGGGCGACTACATGAGCGATGCGTGATGAAGAACTCTACAACGACCTGAGATTTTACTATGAAATGATCTTACATAGTAGAGGAGGTATCCTTGGTGTATCCGCAACCTTTGAAGCATCGACGATAATATTATTGATAAGTTTTGGTGGCTTGAATAAAATCTGAGCATGATAAAACAAGAAACATCTAGACAATGACAAAAACGTCAACAACCAAACAACAGCTGATAGATGATTCTTGAACCAACCTATATCCATTGTTGACGAGATCAGAGTCCGTAAGCGTCCCATCACTCTCATATGCCAGATCATGCTGAGATTCTGCCATGGCGAGAGCTTCCACTGGTTTACCACAATTCGTACTATAATCTCGCACAACGAGGGTAAGACACGTCGTGGCCGGTATAACTTCATCCGTCTCCTTTAGATCAACGACACGAACCAGACTCGTTACATTTCGAGGAGTCTACGAGGAGCAAAAATGTCAGCACAATCATTTCAATTACAGCTTGAAAGTCCAACTCACATCACGGTATGCAAAGACAACGATAGGTTGACCTCTGCCGGATTGTCTGATATTAGTTTGACTACGAGCTGCGGAGGATCCTTGTATACTGGATGATCGTTCTGTTTTCGCTAGTGCAGCGTTCGATGTCAAGTAGTCCTTGCTTTTACGATTCGAGTTTGACGAAGGGATATGTCCATGCCCTCTGATTACGGAACCGAGATGGGACCAAGAGCTCTCAGACATGCGTTCTCCAATAGTCACTCGTTCGGGTATATAGCCACGGATGGTATGCAGTACATCAAAGTCACCGTGTTCACATGATTTTTCGACATTCTTGTAGCTAAAATGGAATTTCATGAAAGTTTGGTGACTTGCAAAAGTTTCAAAAACTGTGCATACCTCAACGCAGCAATTTTTATCAATGCTTTAGACAGCAGTAATGGCCACAATTCCGTCTTTTCCGGACTCGATATCAGTAATGGCCTTCCTTGCGAATCCACCGGTATCTTGTCATCAATAGTGACTTTACGCCAAGCCCCCATAAAATACAGCTTTACTATATACTTTCCAGCAGCAGAAATGACCGGACTGCCATCTTTCGAGTGCGGATAGATCTGATCCCATGGTGGAGGACAATCGTCGTCCTTGACATTGATTGACTGATCATATAGGAAATGCAGGTGTACCAAAATACTCTTCATGAGTTCTGAAGATAACAGATGAGAATTTGCTTGCATAAACGGTGTAATGGTGGCTTGTGGTTGTGGTGATAACTGTGGTTCTATCGGCGTAGTTTCACCGTCAGCATTAGACAGCAAGACACCGTTCGAGTCCGTGACAGATGTGGTTGGCGTGGATAATGCTACTATGAACATACTGGCACAATCCGTGGGTGATCTGGCAACTATGGGAGAATGACCTTCAGGTATCAGTTCAGTAGCCCTCTTGTAACCCTCGACCATATAAGACAGGGATCTGGGGAGAAGAATAGAGCCATCTGGATCTTCGAAAGCATGTTTTGCGACCCATTTCTCAGCAGCGACTTCTGCTTCGTTGAATTCGGGGAGTGAGACTACTGGCGACAAGATGGGCAAATCCAGGCTTCTTTTGATGGGATCTGCAGTTGGTGGTCTAGGAGTGAGCCTATATAAAGAGATTGTTAAATGTACAAGTAAAATTAAGGGATGACCTGGTGATATGTTACCGATCTTTTGATGCCGAAGCGCTTTTCTTCAACATTTTGTCAGTTGTCTATTTACAACAATAACCGATGATGCAGCTATTAAAACACGGGTCTTTGCTTATAAAATAGATACTAATTTGTCTAAGTTCTTCTACTCTGCGTCAAACACTTCACCTTCACCTTCATCCGTGAAAACACGAAAAACGCAACTTGCATAATCTGTCTGCGACAAACAATTATATAGTACTAGAAGAACAGACAACAAAAGGCGCTAGGTCAGAATGAGTAAAGGTACGTGAATACAAATATACACTGGATCTATCGCGTCGTGGCCCAGAACGATCAGAACAAACACTCTTCGTTTCCTAGGTGTGGTCCCAAATCCTATGATCGTCCTTGCCGAGGATGAGCAATGGATTGACCATTTAGCACAACCTGGTTTACGAGGTAACTCGAATTGATTTCCATTACTATTGTTTGTATACTAACCGTTTGTTCTCGGTTTATTAGTCGTCGATGCATATGGTATGGTAGTAATCATCAACATTTCAAAAATGTAACGTGGGAGACATTCAACCATCTTCAAATCAAATAGCAAAGTGGGCGGGCCCTTGTGAAGCCATGCAACCTTTGCAGAGAAAGTTAAAGTCGGAGCTGCAGGCAAACGTCACTTTTATTGCGGTAAACGACTCTTATGACAATCATATTTTTCAAGGTCGAATTAACCATTATGATTATTAGGCACAAACCGACGCTATAACTCAATTGATAAGATTCAGGAACAAGAGTCAGCCCTTGTTCTTGTTCTACTTTGTAAGGATCGCGAATGGTACTCAACCCTCCTCGTTCTAATGGAATTTGCAACCTCTCTAGAATGGAGTCTTGGTCAAAGTCTTGCACGGTGCTAATGCTCCTGCATTTGAGAAAGCCATCCGTGAGCAAATCGAGATTGAGAAGGCTGGTCATGCTCACGCTCCAGTATGTCTCTTATTCCTCTTGGAATTTTACAACACCTTATCGTACCTCTCCTTTCTCATCATAGTACGTATTCGAAGACGAAATGGGCACAATGTCACAAGGAGCTGCAGCAGCTGCCGCAGTCTCGCGAACAGAAAGTGTAGTAGCAACAGACAGACGCACTTCCCTCAAAGACGCCACTCCAGAAGGAGAAGTCACTGTAGCAATCATCAAACCTGATGCCATGCACCCGGCAGTCATTGAAGAAATCATTGAAATCATGAAACGACACCGTCTAGATATCATTCGTAAACGTAAACTGTGGTTAAATACTGATCAGGCTGGACAGTTTTATGCTGAACACAAAGAAAAGGCGTTCTATCCGCATCTTATCAAGTATATGACGAGTGGTCCTGTGTTGGCTTTCTTGTTGCATAAGGATGAAGGGACGATCAAGGCCTGGAGGGAGTTGGCTGGACCCACGAATTCCAAGCTTGCTAAAGATACGGCACCAAAATCGTATGTCTTCTTCTTGGATTGTTTTTTTATGTAGATCTCGTATGCTGATTCTTTTCAATTTGTAGTATTCGAGCCCAGTTTGGTACAGACGGCACCATGAATGCGGTACACGGATCAGATTCACCAGCTTCAGCCGCTCGAGAACAAGCAATACTATTTGATGACCCTTCAGTGCTAGAAATGATCTTCCCCAAAGTCGAAGGAGCCGCCGCATTACAACAAAAGACATTATGTCTCGTCAAGCCCGATGCTATACCCCATTTGGACGAAATCATCGAACGAATCCTCTTCCATGGCTTCCAAGTTATTAAACGTGAAGAAGTTGAATTTGGATCTTCGGATCGTACGAATGAAATGTTGCAGGATATCTATCCTGAAGGGCCTGTTAGAGATGAGGCTGTTGCATTTTTGGACAAGTGAGGACGATGTTTCTCACTTTTTTTTTGGTTGATGTTACTGATGTGGTGTTTACTTGTCATAGTTCACCGTCAGTGGGTCTTGTACTTCGTGGTGATGATGTGATTCGAGCATGGTTGGAATTGATTGGACCTGCTGATCCAGAAGAAGCAAAACGTACCTACCCAATGAGGTTTGTCTCTACATCAATGTTTCAGTTTTTGTGCGTTTCACTAATTTTTAAACTTCAACCAGTATTCGAGCCATGTATGGTACCGATTTCGTGCATAACGCAGTACATGGATCCACCTCTCCCGAAACAGCTCAACGAGAAATCAACTTCTTGTTCCCCAAGGCCGGTTTGAAGGTAATAAACACGCATACCCGTTCTGTCGGAAGCCGTATGCTGATTGACTTAACTTCAACATAGTCTGCCTCATCGCAATGGCTTGCATCATCAAACCCAAGCTTGACGGGATCTAAAGGCAATCTTGTCAAGGGATCTAAAGGCGATTTGGTCAAGGGCTCCAATAATGCGCTTAGTAATCAGGCGCCATGGGCTGGATCCGCCAAGAGTGTTGCAACTCCTGTTGCGTCTCCTCCAAAGGAGACTGTTTCACTTCCTGAAGCTAGTGAGTTATCGCTTTCAGAAGCTACTGAATGAGCTAGAGCTGATTTGATATTCCTCTAGCTCCACCTGCCACTGAAAAGAAGGCAGGCTCAAAGGACATGCTCGCCAAGAGTCGGGCCAATAGCAACAATGTGTTGAATGACAATGTGAAGAAGGTTGGAATGTCTGTCTCTACACTTGAGAAGGGGCCCAAGGCACCCTCAGAGGGTAAATCACCTACGAGACCAGGCAGTGCTGCATCACCATCTCGTCCTTCGAGTGGTTCTCCAACTAAATCAAAATCGAAGTCGAGTCTGGTTGGCAAGCCTGATGACATGAAGAAATCAAAAGCTTCATTAAAAGAAACACCAGCCCAATAAGATTTGTTTCGGATGACTCTATATATATATATTGTGACTTCTCTATTATTTCTAGCCCCAAATATAACCGTATATCCGGACTAAATGGTCTGTAAAAACCTATACGTGACTTCAAAAGCAGCAAATGTAGCACCAGCGCTTGGTATTGTTCTAGCTACTGCCATCGAATACCCTTTGACGAGGCCTCGTACTCCTGTACTCCTGTACATTTCTGATAAGGCTTTGAATGGGTTTGCTGTCATTTGACCTGGATCCGTCTGCTGTATCCGTGATTTTATGATATCGAGTGGATATGACATTGTCCAATATGCGAGCCCTAAAGCACAAAAGATTGTAAGCGGACGAAACGGGCAATGTCAAAACTCAAGAACAAGGAAAACACCTCCACAAGCTCCCGATGCAGCTAATCTAGGAACCGATAGACCTTCGCCGGGCTTGTTTCCTTCTGGTGTAAGGAGCCGCTTGCCGAGATGAAAGCCCTGTAAAGTCGGTAATGTTGATTTTTGGTTAGACAATGGGGGTGGTTGGGGAGAATAGCGGAAAAACGACCACCACCACAACACAACATCCAATATAAAACACGGCGTGCAACTATTACCCCATAGAATCCCGCATTGGCAGGTATCTCTCGAAGTAGAGTAGCAAAAGTTCCTCGAAAGAAACCCTTGGCAATTCCATAATGTTTTATGAGCTGTCGTGCCGCATCTGTTGGTGATTTGTACTTTTGAGGTGTTCCAGAGCCTCGCTGGGCTTGCATTCGGATCTAGAAAAGTGACAAGTTTACAAGTTCAGAACAGAGAATGAAAACAGCAACGCGAAAATGGGTCCTAACCTTGAGCATCTCGATTGGGCCAACTACAGGAGTATTTGCAATTCCAGCGAAAGCACCAGCCTATGTGAGAATCATGCATGAGGCCCATCGCGCTCCTGTTCATACTGGCCACAATGCGTCAAAAGTCAACGAGGAAACAGCCCATACCAGCGCGATTTGGTAAATTGTGAGATTGTACATAGCATGAGGTCCATCACCCTCTTGTTGATACTGGGTAGCCCAGCCAAAAGCAGTGAATAGCACAGCATTGACAAACGCTATGCCCATGAGAGGCGATCCCATGCCTTTAAAGAGGCCAAGAACACCTTCATGTTTGATAAGCTGCTTGATGCAGTCTATTGGACCTCTGTATAGATTGTTCTGATCGAGTTGTAGCCTGATGCGGATAGTGTCCATAGGATGTCTAAGTGAAAAGGAGGAGTGGTTAGTTCAGAGATTACAGATTGTGACCAAAGTTTGGGGTTTACCCTGCTAAGACTTGAGCCATGCCACTGACTCCTCCTGCAACGAAATCTCTCCATCCTGGCAGTGGGAACTTCCTTCTATGAGCAGGTTTTTCTTGGGAGGTCATCGACTCGTCACGTAAACGGGGTTTCTTAAAGATTGCGAATTTGGAGATTGCAAAAGGTTGCAGACGGTAGGTTACGTGATCCCGTGACCATCAACGGTGTTGAATGCTGTATCGGACGCGTAAAATCACGTAAAACTTGTTCGGCCTCGCTGTTTCATGGCTGGTTTTCTGCTGCTGAAATGTGAAAGGTGAATACAATTCGACACAAAACGCAAACCCGAAAATCTGAATGGAATGCCGATAACATTCATTAAATCTGACATGCATAGACTGGCCTACTACGTCTCTGGTCACGGGTATGTACTTGCTCGATCAATCGTACTGGACTCGAGCGAATCCTCGTCTCATGTTATTTAATGAAACTTTTGCTGTGATCACTGTGGACATTATTGTGTTGAAAACCATATCTCTCAACATATTTTTGCATTTGTGCTGTCTTGAATTGATCTTACAAGCTTCTGTCTAATCTATATCACTCATCCATCAATAGGTTTGGACATGCGACTAGGGCAATGCCAATTATCGATGCCTTAATACATCGAGGATTCATCATTCACATTGTCACCAATGCACCTGCTTTTCTATTTGATTCTGCTCTGAAATGGACACACCAGTGTCATCTGAGACCATTGATTGTTGACGTCGGTGTCATCCAGGTCATTTCTTTGTTACTACGCACACTCACAAATGATTTGGATGAGACATGTTCTGAAATCTTCTCTATGATACAGTCAGATGCAATCACACTGGACAGGACCAAAACCATGGATGCCTTGGAAGGATTTATGAAGACTGACTCTGAATGGATTTGCACTGAAACACAATGGTTGCAACAGAATGATATTTCGATGATTCTTCTTGATGCCCCATTCTTACCAGCTTTGGCAGCTAAAGCCATCAACATTCCTGCTGTCGTGGTTTCCAACTTTACATTTGATTCTGTAAGAGCAGTGGTTTGCACGTGTGATTCATTGACACATCATGAACACGTCAGCACTCACTGATTTTATCATTTTATACCTTCATGAAAGAAATCACCAACAAATCTTTCAATCATTCCACATAGATGTACTCTTCATTATGTGAATTGCCTACACCTAAGGAAACCAAGATTCTCGAATCTGTCTACCTCGCATATGCAGCCACGACAAATCTCATACAATTACCAGGAGAAGTCGATATACCAGCATTCACAAAACGAGACGGTTTGGTCTACAAAGTACCCCTTGTAGTCAGACATTCGACAAAACGAAGGGATGTATTACGTGCTGAGCTTGGAATACCTATTGACGCTCAAGTATTACTGATATGTTTTGGTGGACATGAATTGCTGGTTGGTTCATGGTCGCCAGATACTGTATTGCCAGATGATACGTGGTATGGATTGGTTGTTGGCTGGAATTCCAAGAATTCGACTAGTCGACTCAAGTCTGTTGGTCAGAATGTCTTTATGCCTGATCTCATCAACGTAAGCATTTAAGCCAAAAAGGGGAATGGTTTACGGACGTATCATGGGTTCTCAGTTCTCATCAAACACACTTTCTCAAATAATATAGTGCAGTGACGTGGTCCTTGGAAAAGCTGGATATGGCCTATGCTCAGAGGTCGTGGCTCACAACAAACCGTTGCTATACATCAAACGAAGTGGATGGGCTGAAGAATCAGGCTTGATCAACATGATGAACTCATACGGTCATGCCGTGCAAATGGAATACGCAGACTTTACAGCTGGGAGATGGAAACATACCATTTTGAAAGCTGTTGAATTGAATCAAACATCCCCTCGAGGTCACTTACATACTGATGGAGCTGACAAAGTGGTGGAGGTTATTGAAGGCCTCATGAAAATATAGACTTATAAACATAGTAAAGAGAACTTGTACAGATCACTCACACTAACAAATATACACATATCATATCATTAAAGACCACTTTATTCGCGCAACGAAATGCTACAATCTATTCTTCATTCCAAGAGGCCCTCTGTATTTTCTCAACCCGGGCTTGGGACCGGCTATGGCCACATTACATCGGCACGTGTGTGTTTGTATTCGTAGCTGCATCACCCTGCTCTCCTACCAAGACTTCTTAGTTCCATCAGCTACTACTGGTCCAGTGCAAAAGCCGCTCAGCATCGCGACCTCTACTCATGTCGATTGTAGAGTTTGCTAGCTATGGGACTTCAGCAAGCTGTGACCGTGCAGTGCAACTGATGTGTAGAGTCAAGTAGAGCCATGCAACTGATCAGAGACTATTCCATTATACTGGGTCTAGGCCATCTCGGCTCTGTTCCACAATTGGAGTAAGAAATTACCAGACCACTTGATTTGTGGAAAGAAGGTCCGAAACAAGGAAACACATATACGGTTAAGTGAGGGAGGAGATTGCCACTCATTCTAGAATCAATGTGGGCTACGCTCCACACTCGGACAAGGCGTCTGGAGCAGGCCATCAGCGGATATATTCCACAATTGGAACATTTACCGGAACCAGGTGGTCCCTTGGAGTATGCTCTTTCAAATGAGAAACTCTTCATGTGTCAGAGACAGGGAGGATGACTTGGTTGCATGATCTATGAGATATATTGGGTTCTCAGAGCGATTCGGAGTCTTTGTAGACTGTCCATGCTGACAGGAAGGTATGGTTTGAGCAAAATGACTCAGATATGATGAATAGAAAAACGCTATATCTGACGTATGCTAGTCAAGGAAAGGCAAGGCGACCTACTTTGATGACAGATTTAGTAATAGATGGCATTGGATGTCTCTCCAGATCCTTGGATTCCTTGATAATTGTTCTTGAAAATTCTAAACGCGGCAACCAAGATAAATCAGTCAGAATATCTCTAGATCTGGTTGCCACCCAGGCTTGAATCTTCAAAGGATGTAACGTACTGCCCATATAGCATGACGAGAGATGTCTCTGTTCCTCTTGTATCTCCTTTCCTCGGACTTCTTGCCGTGAAGAATCTTTGGAATCATATGTCGGAATGTTATAGCTTCTGGCAGAATAGGGTCCAAGGAATAAAATTTAGTGCCGCGTAGACTCACATGATAATTTCTGAGAGTGTGTTCATGCCAGCGTACTTCCCGTTTCATTTGCAGGCAAGGTTGTGAATTCGCTGCCTTCGGTCCAGGAATTGAAATTGAGTGCTTTCACAGCACAGAAAGAACTGAAATGCTGCTTTACGGATCGTATTGTGGGCCTCATGTAATCTATTGACCCAGCCTGTGTTGGCCATTAGCCTCTAGTCACACCTGCATGCTACTGCAAAGCAACTCGAATTTTTGGTTAACAAGAAGATATATTATAAGGTATTTTCCTTTCCTCATCTGGTATACAATGAAATCACTTCCAAGCAGCATTTAAATTCCGTCGTGCAACAAAGTATCGTGCAACAAAAATGGCAACTGCCAAACCAATCATGGTCACAACCAAATTCACTCGATTAAAATCTTGACTCAGCAAGTCAAAGGTCTTTGATGGTGCTCGTCGTAGACAAAACATATCAAGACCGTAAGCTACGACAATGGACGTCGATTCAAGTATACTGGGTGCAGATACAATCTGAGATACACCTGCCACTTCTAGATGATACGACAAGACCTCCTTTGGATTATGTTGGATGTATGCAGTGTATTGGACCAGGCCTTCGTCCTTGTCGTCGGCCGACAAGGATATGGGTCGTCGGGGATCCAAGACACGTTTATTCACGGCGAGCAGTTGATTTGAGGTAGTGCCGACTAAGGAGAGAAAGAGTGGTGTGAGTCCAGGTTGTAGAAGCCTTTTTTTTGGGAGAGGGGGGGGGGGGGGGGCAATTCTTCGCACTTACATATGACATCTCGAGTAGAAATTCCTGCTGGAGTCCTTGTCACTCCGATGGCAGTTACTCCAGCTGGGAATTCATATGCTTCTGAGAGCACATCCGGCCGTAATCCATCAAATGACGAGAAGGTATCACTGTCACCAAACAAACAAAAGCGTGTTGAAATGACTGCAACGGTTACATTTAGAAGTAAAGCGCTTACCCCTCGAATCGTTTATCCTGCTTACTACTTTCAAACAACTCCAAGACCACCACTTCCATAGCTTTGACCTCCGGAAGAGAAGCACGTTGTGCCTTCTTCTTGCCAGACTTTCTCTTTGGAGTCTTAGCGTCACCTTCAGGGGCTTCATCTGCTACCACAACAGACTCAGCAGCGTCTGGTCCATGATTCCAATAGGAATATACAACCCAATTTTCACATTGGATGACATGAACTGAAGGGATCGAGTCTAGATTGCCACCTCCAGCATGGACTGCATGATATAGCAATGCTCCAGTAATAGCGTCAACGAGATATACAGAGGCTGTCGTTGCGGTGTCACTCGTTTTGAGAGTGGTAAAGGCTAATTGGTTGGAGTTCAAGTATTTATACAAGACGGCTCGATTGCCCAGCACTCGACCGATAGATGCAATATGATCTGGCAGGAGACTTGATGTTAGTACGATGAAACATCCCACGACCAAGCACCAGATAACCATATCATGACATTACCATTCCTGTCCTTCTCCGACACACTAGCAATGACTTCACCCTCTGGCAATGAGAATTCCCACATTTGACTGGCTTCAAAGCAACCCTGTGGTAAAGGGGTATTAGAACCTTTACATTCGTGTACTCACGGTATTGAAAGGACGCGTCTACCTTCTCTCGATTCAGAGGACCCAAAGCATTGCCATAGATGGTTTGTGACCCAGCACGTAGCCCGGCAGTTACATAAAAGGATGGTCTCATCTTCTCAAACTGCATCACTGTATCATCAGATGTTGGATGTAAGCGGACATTAGAATTGGTATCAACTAATGCCAAAACATGTAGTCTGTCTTGCGTTGTCTCAATGGGAAGGACTACTACTTTCTCCGTAACGCTAGACAGAGACACGGAGGCTGTTATGGTTTCTCCAGTCAAGGCGTTGAGTTCATGTATGGTTGTCTGTAGAAAACGAAGGTGAGAAAAACAGGCAAACAGAGTAATATTTCATCATTCTTACACTTGTTTCTGTCACAGCCACCAAAGCTGTTATGGGTGGATACTTCACAAAAGAAGCACGAAGTGTCTTGACAGATATAAATTTGCCCATTCCAAGTCCAAACATTCGTGACCAGATTATTTGACCATGTTTTGTTTCCAAGGCCAACACTTTTCCAGTGCTTGTCGTTACAATAAACAATTTGCGGAATGCATACAAGTCTTGAGTTGCATTCTGGACGGGTGCAGCTTCTTGAGGAGAGTTTGGTGCCGACACGACGAATTGATTGACAGCAGCCTAGATCGGATCATAAACATTGTCAGAAAGAAACTCCTCGCTATAGTAAACACATGTAAGAAAGCGTACAGAGAGCTTCTTGATATGAGTTGACAAGCGTTTAGCATATCGAGTAACTGGGTTTGTAGCTGCTGACTTGGACGCAGGTTCGTCTGAAACGAAAAGTAGTGGTCAATTGTTAAAATGAATTTCAAAACAAAAACTGTCGACTTGAGGCACCTACCCATTTCATCCAATTCTTCTGATAGTAGCGATGGAGCTGGAAGTTCAACAAACTCTGAATGTGTGATCTGAGCGAGAGACTCATCACGAGACCATTTCAGCTCATTGCCTTGCACAAAGTGTATCGATCCATCAGAGCTAACAATCAACAGTTTGGTCAAGCCTGTTTTGCTCGATGCAAATGCCTGTGAAATTTTGCGTCAGTTATTGGTTCCAATGCATGATACGGTCGTCCATTAGCGGAATCAAGTCCTTGAAATGTCTCATACCTTGGTAATTGTGCCATACTCGGAGGCTGAAAAAGGGATCAATATCGGTTTTGATGGTTGGCCTTTGCCCATAGCAACGGTTTCAATCGAGATCTAGACACAGGGAATCAGCGAAAAAAGCTTCCTAACAACTGAACATTCGTACGTACCGTCGAGTCATCTTTCGTATCAACCGCAACTACGGCAATATCCTTTTCGGTTGTGATTGCAAACAAAGCAGGTGATGCTTGAGATCCCATCTAAACCAGGCCGATGAGGAGATAGTGGGAATCATAAATGCGGTAATGCTATACATACTGGCTTGAGTCTGCGAACAAGCTCAATACCACTAGTTTTGGGCTTCACTAGAAAGACTGATCCAGCAACAGTCGTCATAACAAACTCAAGATGAATCGACGATGAGGATATCGAAGACACTGCTGAAATTGCAGAGGAATCATCGGAGAATGACTGAAAAAATATTGTTTGAGTCATTATTGTATCCAGATTGAATAATGGAAATTTCAAAACGTACTGCGACATCCAGAGCTATTGGACGACTTGACTCGGCCAGAGGAGACAACCAACTCTTGCCCTTAGCGTCTACGTAGACTACTAACACTTCTTTTACTGACCCCACCAACTCATATTCTGTGTTTGCGCTATGAGCACTTTTGGTGACAGTGATGCCCTTTGTTTCACCAGTAGTGGCATCTAATACTGCACTAATGAGAGATCCGTCGGTGCTATTCGCCGAGCTTCCAACAGCTTGAGCTCCTTTAGAGTCTGCGACCAGTCTCGACAAGCAAGCAGGTGTTCTATATCGACAATTCGAGTTGAGCCGGGCTAACCAACGAGAGAGCAACTAGGTTCAGGAGCTCACTTGACTGGTGATGATGTCCATGCAATATCTCCAGACTTGACGTTGATTTTGGAGATAGTGAGCCCATTTGTAAGAGTGTATGCAGTTCCATCAACCACGGTCAGATCAAACCCATTGCAACTTGAATCTGATGCTTCCACGACACTCTCCCAAATTGAATACCCAGTTTCAGCGTCCCATAGCCGAAGAGTTGGATGAGATGATCCAGATAAAGTCAAAACACCTGCGGCAAAATATTGGTTGAGTATTGTGCTTGACGTGACACTTCTATACACGCACCATTCTTGGACACGGTCATGGCTCGAATTTGGTCATTTGGAAGTAATACGTGTCTCCAGACTAGAGGGATGTGAATGAGAATGGAAGTGATGCATTCGTTCAAATGTTTTGAGCAAAATGCTGAGAAAGCGTACCGATGGAGTTAGATGCCGAGTTGATAGCAGCGACCGCATTCTTTTCTGTAGACAAATATATGAAATCTGATAGATTTTCGTCTCCAAATTGAACGTGAACTGGAGTGCCGACCAGTTGCTTAATCCTTCAAAATACAATTATGTGAGCTTCGCGTCTAGATGCAAATAGTAAAGGAGACTGTACCAGTCATAAGAGCCAACTTCATCTTGAAATAGACCGTCTACTACTATCAGCCCAAACAGCAGGAAGAGAAGCCGCATTTTTAGATGTGAATGACAAAACTTTGTTCAAGCAAGTTGGTGGTGAGAATTCGCAGACATGTAGAGATAATCTAATTCAATTTTTGTGTTGAGAATACGCGTTCTTTCATGTATAAATGCCCTCAGCTCTTAACTCATTGTTGCAAACATTGCTGAAAACGTTATGGCTATCATCGCAAGTTGACTGCGTGTCGAGAGGAGGTATGCCTCTATAGAGATGAAATTATGTCTAACTACTTCCTGTTATTGCATTAAATTGATGTTTTGAAGTGCTTGAAACACAAGCCAAAGACAAGTATAATCATACTTCTCGCTGAGCGTTGTCAAGTAGAATACTTCACAGTGCCAAGCAACCAAGGCTCAAAATTCTTCATCCGATCGCCGGATTGCCACTATTGATTGTCATAAGCTGTGTCTGAACGCGAAAACGAACGACATCATCAAAACGCAAGTTTGCTTGCTTTCCAACCCAAGGATTCAAAAGTACCTTCCAGTATTACTGTATTACTGTATTTGAATATACACTGATGCGTCTTGATATAATCAATAGTAGTATGAGACACTGGTAGCTCGTCAATTGAATGTTGCGTCTGTTCCTCAAAAAAGATATTGACGTTACTGTCTGTTGCGATTCCAAAGCATATTGAACAAGATCTTGAGACGTCGTGCATATTCTCTCTGATTTTACTCAAGGTTGACTGCCTTCGTACTCTCGTCTATACAGTATTTTATGTTCTCTGCTTTCTTACCAATCGAGGGTCGGGAAATTATAGTGACTCGATGGACCACGCTTTCCCTTTGGTATCTGGATATAGGCCGTAGATTAAAGAGTCCATGTCGAACTTGCTGTCATATAGCAGAAACTCGCAAGAAAATATCGCTTTTTTGTTGGAGAGGTTGGACGAGTATCCAATTTCCGATAGAATTGGTGAAGATCAGACAAAAGTTGGTTGATTTTGCTGGAGTGCTTAACCTCACTCGATCTCAAACTTTAGGACGACTTCATCTACATGCCTGGTGAACACATCTCCTCAGATATCCATGGTTTAACACCTCAAATGGATGGCCGACTGAATATGCACAATGCTGCTTCGGCTGCTTCTCCGCAAGGAGGTTCCTCATTCGCCGAATCCTCGCCGATCCATTCTGCATCAACAAATTCGCTGCAAGGCTTCCTACCACCATCGAATTTTGTCGTAATTCCCACTACGCTGAAGGGGAAAACCTCGCATCAGAAGCACCAAGCAGAAGCCGCTTATTATCAGAATCTACCGTCTAGACCATCGACACAGCAACACGAAGCCGTCCGAATCGGCATTGGAGTTTTTAGAACAGCCAATTCAGCAGATGCTATAGAGAAAAGACGAGTTTCAGATCCTGATCGCCAAAATCTTGGAGTCGCCAATTTGGCCCGTGATACTATAACATCTGCGAAACTCCGTATTCGTCAGTCTGTCGCAGGAAGAGATCATACTCGAGATGATTCCTTTAAACGAGAATCAGTACCAAAACCAGCTGAATACATGCCAGAAGATGCAGAACCTACTACAACAGAGTCTCGAGAAGTCGAGAGTGAGAATCGAGATACCCATACTGGGAGGCGGCATCGTAAACAGCACCATCATATGAAAGACAATGATAAAGTAGTCACTGAAACCGAGTCCAATGGACCTTTACGCAGTGATAGGAAACATCGGTCCATGCATGTCAAGATTGATGTGAAGCCAGAGGTTGAATCCTCACCCGAGACTGCCGAGATCCAAGAACCTCAAGCTATAGATCACGCCGATGAACGGGACCCCAATATGGTGCACGATGAGTTTGCGCAGGATGTGGCAGATTTACTCCAGACGGAATCAGTACCAACGAGCCCTCGCCGATCTAAATATGAACAACGACAGCCAGCATCCAACCCTTGGAGGTTAACGGAGCACGATGTGCAGCATAGCGCACTTTCTATTCTAGTTAGCCAAAAGATGCAGCAAATGGAAACAGGAACTCCGATTGTAACCCGCCCCTTGCCAGCTGGTACCATGTTGACCACAAATCCAATAAAAATTTACTATGCTATACCGACGTCGTATGCTGGTCAGACTTTTGATCGAAGAATTGGCAGCAGTCAAGAACGTGAGCGAGCACGTACACCATCACCTCGTGGTCGTAAACGAGGTCCGCCGTCTCCTACTTCTCGACAACGAACAACGCAAATTGGACAAGTGGAGGCTCTAAGTGCAGACAAGTTACGAATGCCAGAAAACGCTTCTCGAATTAGTCTGAATGAACGGGCAGCGTCGCCGGACACTCAGCACTCAAATGGGCATCATGCTCTGCATCAGTCTCAACATCTCGTGGAGAAGACTGTGGAGATGCCACGAATTACGCACAGTGACAGATTAAGGCACTCAACGTCAGCCACAGCTTCAGACGCTCTTCCACTGTCTCGTCCTCAAGATCACCAACTATCGCATGCTCCAACACCAACACTAAAGTTTTCGGAACGCCGAATTCTTCAAGACAATTTGTCGGACATGAAGATTATGAAGACTGACGTGAAAGATGGGCTGGTGCTTGAGCAAAAGCCTTCCAAACGAGGTCATTCCTCAAGCCGTGCACAGTCATCGTCTGGTATGCAATCAGACATAGAGAATCATTTGGCATCGCCAGTCGCAGCATCACCAGCTATAGTACCTGATACTATAAGCGAGATAATGCCCAAATCTACGAGACGGCTGTCTCGTCATCGTCAAGAATTGGTGTCTAACGACGAGGTCTCAAAGGATCCAATACAGTCTAAATTTCCAAAAGCTGACGACGAGCGTGGAAGACCATTGTCTAGGGGCAGTCAGAGATCAACTGCTAGTGATGTAGTAGCTCTAGATTCCGAATACACAACCCACTCGAAGCCCCATAAAGAAGGAGACTCCATATCGAACATTCCTCCCAACTTTGGCAAACGAAAATCAATGTCAAACCCACTTTCGGAAGATAAGCCAGTGTCTCGTCCTGTATCTAGAGGAGTAGATTCATCAACAGAAATTCCTTTGAAAGCAAAGGAGGTGGAAACAACACCACTTCTCTCTCGACCGAATTCAAGAGGACAAGACGTGACGGTTCCAGCACGACCGGCTTCAAGAGGAGCTGATGCTACATTTACCACACAGATGGCGCCTGAACGGCCAGTATCAAGGGGAACTGACGTTACATTTGCAACACAAATGGTCGTTGAACGACCAGTATCTAGAGGTGCCGGTGAGACAACAAGTCGACCACCTTCTCGATTGCATGAACGACCACCGTCACGAGGAGAAGAAGTCCGGTTTGAAATGCCGGCTTCTCCTGATGCGGAGCCAAAGGTTAGGGACAAGAAAGATTCCCATTGGACAGCATCAACTGTGACTTCAAGAGACGATCGACGTCGATCTCAAGCTGCGGTAGCTGCCATGAGCCCTCCACGAACCCCTCGACAGCTTACACCTACAGAAAAGACTCATCCATCAAGAATGTCTCGATCGTTCTCGCCGCCAAGTCATAGGCCAAGCACGACTGGAGCTCCACTGCAACACAGTCTAGCTGCACATCTTCGTGAAAGAAGGAGAACCATGTCAGCAAATCCCAACGAGAAAGAATTGACGAAACCGGCAGCACCATTCCAATTCCAACCTCCCAAAAGCAACAACCTCAGAACAAACGTAATTACGAAACCCAAGGTGGCAGTCATATCACCTTTCCTACCTCCTGAATTGTCAGCTGCACCACCAAAAGTTCGAGTGCCTCCAGCAACCAAGAAAGCTGCTGAAAAATCAACAACGGCGTTTAGTCTTCGTATAGCACCAGCCAGAGAGATGCATCCTCTACCTCAGGTACAAGCTCCTGAAGGACCGTTATTAAAAGTAGAAGTTGATGCGCCAGGTGGATTGGCACCTGATGTACCAAAAGCTGTCCGTGGCAAACCACTGGATGCAAAGAGAAGACAGTCGATGGCTCCAAAACCAATGCCAACCTGGAGACCTGGTGGTGTTGGAGATCCAATCAAACGGAATGAGTTTCTTCGAAATCGTGAGTTTCAATACTTTGTTGCTGTTTATCAGGCAATGACGTGTCCCTTACGCAATGTGGCTAATCTAGGTGAAAGGGCTAAGCAGATTGCTCAATTATTACGGACCAAGCTCTTTGCTAATGATAGTGATTCTGACTCTGACGACGACTCCGAAGAGGAAGAAGAACAGCAATTCTTCCCATCGAATTTACCGAAGTTTACTGGAGATCGTGAAACTATTATTTCGAGGATAGAAGAGACTATTGATCACGAGGAAGAAGGTAAAGCAAAGCCTTGATCAAGAACTGTGAAATTTCGTTCCACATTGACTAACTGAAATCTAATTTAGAACCAGAAGAAAACGAAGAACAGCATTCTTCTCAATATTACAAGCTCATCTTCTTGAATGGTATATACTGACCTGGAGATTGTTGTGTGGATGCTAGATCTAACAAACTCTATCATTCGCTAGATTTCGTTCAATTGGAAGCCCGTGATTCTGATATGAGAGACAATCAACGAGCCTTCATTATCCGCGACACTTCTATTGTACCAACCAAAATGATTACAAGGTTGACCGAAGAGGATGCAGCCAAGTTCTGCTACCATATGTACAGATACATTCGATCGGTAGTGGAAAATATTATACCTGGTAACATCACTTTAGATATACTGAGAGTCGCTGGTAAGGAAGATCAAAGAACTCATTTTCCAGGAGATTCTGCCTTTTTTTGCTAACTTTTGCTATGATTACTACAGAGGAAAGCGAAGATGATGAAGCCATTGCTGCTTCTTTGAAACGAATCATTTCCAAGGTGCCAAGGAGCGAATATTTGTTGCTGAAGGCAATCTTCAGTCATTTGCAGAGGTATATTTCAATTTCATGTTGTTCAAATGTGTCAATATACCATCATGAACCAGAGGCCTAAATCTTCAATAACTAGGATATCATCGCTATGTGATATTGACATCGTACGAAACCTGGGTGTTGTATTTGGCCCAGTGATATTCCGAGTAACAACTGATGGCCAGATACCTGGAGACTCTGTTCACGGTGCCAACCACCGTCACCATCATCATCACCACCATCATCACAACAATGCCAGTCTTGCCAATGGTATACAAAGAGCGGCCGCCATGCTAGGAGCAGAAGGTCAAGCACTCGCATCTCTTTTTGAACACGATTTCGCCTCAGACAATATGAATGCCACCATCATGTCTGAAACAGCCAGTGAATTCACCCGACCAGGATTCTTTGATGTTGAATTGTCTACCGTTGATGGATCTGAAGCAGGTGACCGAATTGCTGCCATGAGACCTCCTCCTCCCTCGAAACGTGGCGGCCCACCACCGGTATCTCGTCCACCCATGGGATCCTCTTCAGGTGGTGGGTTGGGACCACCAATGAATCGAGCAGCAAGAACTTCTGTTGCTATTATGGACGATATGGATGAATACGGTCGACAATTCTTGGAAGCTATTCAATCTGCGACACAAAAGGCTGCAGCAGCTCCTGCTATTGAGGAAGAGTCCGAAGACTTTGATGACGACGAGGAAGACTCGCCACCCCCACAACCAACTTCAGACGAAGACAATAAGCCGTCTGATCCCAATGACATTTTCGACTTTGCAGCATTCAAGGAACGTTCTCTCACAAAAGCCATATTTGTGGACTCAACAGCATCGACGGCTATAGCTGCAGCCACCGAAGTTATTATTCGACGAGTTGATGCTATTTTTGGGTATAATGTGCATTCTGATCAGCAAAAACAACGAAAGAGGTAGTTTCAAATGTAGTTATAATGTTCCATAGCTCAAATAGTACAAAATACACGGATTTCAGTTGAAAGTTACACGTTAGATCTAGTCCGGCTCGTGTTTGTAGCTTTGACAATTGAATGTCAGTTTTTCAAACACAATCGGCTTCGATGAACCAGCCAATATAGCATAATCCGATGGAGGGAACTGATCAAGCTCAGCGTGAACGAGAGAAAAAACTCGCCGCAGCCAGAGCAAAGCTACAAAAATTCCAAAAAACTCGAGTCGCAACAACATCAATCGCAGAGCGCAATGAGGTTGCTACTGCTGCCACTCATCCATTGGCCTCATCATATACAAGTACAGAACACTCTGGCTCTACGGCAGCCACAGTCTCGATACTAGAAGATCTGGAACTAAATCCTTCATCACGATATTCACAATCAACACCAACACCTTTATTGACGAATGGCTCAAGATCAAACACGCCCGCATTATTGGATGCCTCATACGGGCAAGCAGTTTTGTTTTCGTTTCGTTGCACCGCGTGGATGTTGGAGCTAACGCCGCACAATTATTAGTGTTTCGCTTGACACTCAGAGAGGACGCAGCAATTCGACTTCTAAAATTCCTGTATGGGGCTACATGAATTTATGTGACTGATTCGGCCTACGTGTTAATATTTCTTTCAACTAGGTCTCAACTAGTCGAAGTCGCTCAACGTCAATGAGTCCAACGAGGAATGCTCCTCTGGTAACTAGAAGAAGACAAGTCTTGATCCCTGTTTCAATTTTAAAGAACGCGATACTGAAATTACAATACATAGCCATTCTCTGATCCTGCCAAAGATCTCGTAAAGTCCACAGAGCTCGAAACCCAAAACACCTTTTTGCATGGACTCAATGCCACTCTCACATCAGAGAATCGTGGCCTACTAGATAAGCTGTCACAATTACAGGCAGATTTATTAGCAGCATCACACGAAAAGGAAGCCTCCGAACGTCGCGCTGAAGCGGGCGAACGGTTGGTACAACGAGCTGAAGCTGCAGAACATGAAGTGACAGAACTAGAAGATAAATTAGCCAAGGCACAGCAGGAAGCCAAGGTCCATGAAGATCAATGGACTAAAGATTACGAAGAGCTAGAAGAGTCTCGTCTTCGTCTTCGATTGTTGGAAGATGATAATCGCTTTTTGCAGGATTCGCTAAACGTGCTGGAGAATAAATTACAGGAGCAGAGCAGTGCTTTTGCTAGTATTGATGCAGAGACGAATAAGTTACGAGCAAGGTTGGACATTGCGGATTCGTTGGAAACTCAGGTATGTTCTTGTACAGGATTGACTGCCAAATTTTGTTTGGCTGATAAGTGATGGCCTTTTGTAGAATTTGGTCTTGAGTCCTCAGCTGGAATCTATACAACAGTCCCTGCTCGTAGCACAAACCGAGAATGCTCGACTTGTAGCAGAGTTACAAAATAAGGAACCAATAGCTAGCCTCGATGAGACGAGACATCAGATAGATGCCCTTTCTGCAGAATTAGAAGCCCGTAGTAAGGTCGAAGCTGATTTACGACGAGGTCTTGAAATCGCCAAAGAATCCATACGAGATTTACACGAAAAACTGGCTTTGGCCACAGCCGAAAGAGATTCAGCAATAGCAGAACGAGACTCGGCTGCTTCCGAACGTGAGACTCTGGTCTCGGAGCGAAGCTCTTGGCTGTCGGAGAACGAATCGCTACTATCAGCACGACAGTCAATAGAATCAGACTATAATTCCCTCATGTCAGAACGTGATTCGCTCTTGTCTGAGCGACAGTCGTGGACTTTTGAACGTGATTCGCTGCAATCAGAGCGTGACAGTTTGATATCTGAAGCTAGCACTCTGATATCAGAACGAGATAAGCTGATCTCTGACCTTGATGCTCTTGTATCGGAACGTGATGCCATCAAGGCCAAGTTAGAACAAGTTGAATCAGAATCTCGAGATTCTAACAAGCTGGCGGAGATGGCCGTCCTGCTCGATACGTATAAAAGTCAGCTTGAAGAGAAGATTGTTCAACTTAATGACGCGACTCGTAGTATAAGAGATCATGAATTAGCTGCTGAGCAATTTGCGGAAGGTTTGTCGGGCATCGCCTTATCAGGGTTTTCATTTCCCTATTTTTCGCTCACACATGTTCAATCTAGTCGTGGAATTGAGTGAAGCTGAGGCTACCGAAAAGATAGCCCGTCTCGAGGAAGAGCTTGATCGGCTTCGCTCTACCGTGCAGTATCCTCAAGGAACCAATGAACTGCAGGCTCAAGTAGAACAGCTATCGAAAGATTTAGCATTGACGACCAAACAATACAAGGACGTCGAGGCACGACTAGAAGCCGCCCTTTATCATAGTGATGAGCTACGCAATAGTCGTGATGCTGCAGTAGCTCAACATGAGCAGTTGAATGCACGTGTGGACGGTTTGACCCAACATTTAGTAGAGCTCGAGTCAAATCAACGTAAAGAATCTGACGAACTGGCCGCGGAGCTAGTAAATCAACGTAAAGAGTCTGAACAATTGGCCACGGAGCTAGTAGAAGCTATTAAAGAACGTGATAGAGCTAGACGTGACGTTGATAAATTACAAGATGGTGTCTCGAAAGGAGCTCAGGATCAGGAGCTCATACTGGAGAGTCTCCGTGATTTGACTGAGCAGGCAGCTACACTTAAATCTCAGTTGGAAGGTGTAACTTTAGAACGTGATGAGCTCAACGAGCAAGTAATATCCTTAACGACACGTCTTGATGATGCTCAATCCAATCATGCTCATACTCGACAAGTATTGTCATCACAAGCAGATGAATTAAAACGTAAAATGGAAGCCATCACGACTAGTGCAGAAGCAGAACGGCAGAGTTGGCGAAATAGTAGTACTCAGCTCAACGACGAGGCCATTAGCCGTTTAGAATCCGAGAGAGATTCAGTTTTAAATCAACTCAAGTCTGCTGAAGCTGAACTGATCAAAATTACTCAAAAGGCGACTGAAATGTCGGAAGAAGTTGAAGATCTGACTTCACGTCTTCAATCTGTATCTCAGGAGCGTGACAGCTTGAAATCTCAAGTCGACACCAATAATGCCGAAATGGAGACACTCAGTCGTAACGTCTTGGCCATACAACATGAACGAGATGAATCTCGTAATCAATCTCGTGAATCGTCCAGTAAACTTGAGTCTCTTGAATCTACTGTGGCTGATCTGCAAACTCAGGTTAGTTTTCTTTTCGGTAAAAGAATTCGGCAAGCGCAAAAAAACTTAAGCATTGCGTTTGATAGATTGGTGAATATAAAGTCGCTTTGCGCGATTCAGAAGCGGAACTGGACGCTGCTCAATTAGAGAATAGAAGATTGACAGCCAATCTCACTGAGATTGGAAGCCGAATGACTGATGTTGAAGTCGATCGTGAGACATTCCAGCAAAAACTCTCGCAATTAACGTCAGAACGAGACAGTTTGCAAGAGCAAGTATTTGCACTACAAGCGCAGTTGTCTGTGTCTACATCAGAGTTGGATCGGGTGACTTCCGAAATGTCTCATGTGAGACAGGAAGAAGCCGACCTACAACATAAATTGGCTCAAGCAACTGAATATTTACGTTCTGTACTCAAGGAACGTGATGAAGCCAAGACAATAATATCTAGCGGAGACACAGAAAACACGTCTTTGACCAATGCCCTGAAACAAGCAGAGGCTAGTGTAGTTGCTATGAGAACGGAGTTGGAAGAGTTACGAGAACAGGTAAACATTATCCAGTCAGCAAAGGGGGTTTTTTTGTAAACGCTAACCAGCTTTGATTTTTTGGCTCGGTTCAGGTCCATAGCTATGCCATATCTGCAGAGCACACCAAGGTCCAACTAGACGTTGCTCAAGCAGAGCGTAATAGTGCCATTGCTCGACAAGATGAGATTCAATCCGCTATGACTGATTTGGAGCGAGAAAAACGTGACATATTGAGTCAGTTGCATCAGCTACAGACTCATGTAGAACATAAAGACACAGCACTCACTCATCTAACACAACGTCTATCGGCTTCAGAAGAACAGCTATCAGGAAGGCATGAATCGCATGGTGCAGAGATTGCCCGCCGAGATAGAGTAATCGATGAAATTACTGCCAAACGAGACGATTTAAATGCACAATTATTGGAACAAGCATCACAAATAGCTCAAGCCAATGAAGAGCGTGAAGACTTATCTCAAACGCTCAAAGAGCTTCAAACCGAGTATGAGTCATTATCTGACGAATTTGCTCGTATTGTAAAGGAACGAGATGATTTCTCAGCTGACCACGCATCCGTAAATGAAATGTTGACTAGTGTATCTCAGCAGCGAGATACGGCTATAGCTCAGAGCCAGACATTTGAACAAGCTTTAAACGAGGCTACAGCTAGGCTAGACCAAAGTATTAGAGATGCTCAGGAGCTACATCAGAGACTACAGTCTTTGACAAGTGCTCATGATACGCTTCAAATAAGCTATAATCAAGTCGTATCTGATTCTCGTGAAATCTCGTTACGAGCGCTGCAAGAGACCGAGTCTTGGGCAGCTGAGAGAGAGAAACTAATGGAGGGCCTCATTCAAGCTAAATCACGTATACAGGCACTCGTGAGCGGAGAGGAATTCCTCAATAAACGTATATCAGAGTTAGAGCTTTCCAAATCCACTGCCATCTCAGAGTCTACTCAGCTTGGTCATGAATGTGATCAGCTACGAGCTCGTCTGGATGCTATAACTGGCGAATTATCGGATGGTCAACAAAAGCTGTCCAATCAACTTGATATTTTAGCTGCAGAAAATGCTCAGTTGGCTCGTGAACGTGAATCTCTGGCTAGATCACTTGGTGAGGCTTTGTCCACTGGAGAAACGGCCATCGCAGAACGTGATGCTTTGTTTGATGCAGTCTCTATCCTTCGTAAAGAAAAGGAAGATATTGAAGCTGAACGTGACTTGTTCAGTCAGTCAAATGCTGCTCTCAAGGAAGAGTTGGATGTATTGAGGAATGCAAATGAGAGTCTTGATACTGTCATCAAGTCTGGAATTGAAAGTCTCAATACCTTCAGGTACTGCACGTTGATTTTTGGCACTGAAATAGGTGTCATTTCACTCATCTGTCATTTGTAGGAATGAAAACTCTGACCTCAAGAGCCAATACGACGGTCTAGCACAGCAATTATCTGTAGCTCGTCACCGTATAGAAGAGCTAGAAGAGACAACTGAATCAGAAAGATCCAGACTACGGAAAGAGAAGGAAGCTCTTATACGTGAAGGTGCTTCTCTAACAGAAGCCTGTGATGCTATGAGGACTCAGCTGGCCGAAGCTCAACGAGAGAGTCATCAGACAAAATCCGCTCGAGACGGACGAATTGCCGAACTCGACGCGATGATGATTACTCTCAAGAACGAGAAGAAGGTCATATCACATGCATTCACTGAATTAGAACGTGATGCCAAAGAATTACGGAAACATCTTGAAGATCAACTTGAACATACTCAAAAGGCCTTGTCTGAAGCTCTAATCGATCTTGCTCTCGAACGAACTCAAGCGTCAGCTCAATCGGCTCTTATTAGCAAACTACAGTATGACTTGGATCATGAAGTAAATGCCAATAAAGCTGAACGCGAACGATCTGAAGAAGCACATACAGTCGCTACAGCTCGTGCCGATGTATTACGAGCCGCTGAAGAAGAACGTGATAATGCTCGAAGCCAACTTGAAACCCTACGAAAGGAGATGTCTGACAGCCAAACCACAATGCGAGATCGCCTCACAGAAGCCGAACTAGAGTTACGAGCAGCGCAAGATAGATCTTCGTCACATGCATCTGAACTGCTTGGTCGTATAGAAGTATTAGAGAGCCAACTTACTGCATATCAGGACCAGCTTCATGATTCGAATGCTGCATTCGAGCATCTGCAAACTCAGTGGACGGCATCCAACGAGACTGTAGAACACCTGCAGTCCGAGTTATCGGCATCCTCTGAGACTTTGGAACGTCTTCAATCAAAATTGTCTGTATCCGAGGCGTCTGCTAGAAATCTGGAGGAACATTTATCGTCGTCGGCAGCCTCCGTAAATAGACTAGAAGCCGAATTGGTATCAGCTCGTAATGATGTAGAAGCCGCTCAAGCCCAATTGAGCTCAGCGCGTACTCAATTAGAATCAGCTCAAAGTCAACTAGAATCAGCACATGCTCAGATCAACCAACAGGCCCAATCATCTCATAATCAATCTGTATTGCTAACTCAGCTCGAGGAAGCCATGTCCGCCAAGAAAGTAGCGTTACAAGAGCTTGAATCTATTCGAGTATCCTATGAGAAGTTGGTAGCATCAGAGGAAAGTGCTCAGAATGATTTGGTCGAGCTTGTCCAAGTAAGAGCACGACTAGAAGAATCTATGGCAGAACTAGCAAAATCAATAGAATCCAAATCTAACGAAATTGGTCAATTGGAAGAAGATAATGATGTCTTAGAAGCTACCGCAATACGATTAGAGCAAGACATGGAATCATACAAGAAACGAGTAGAGGATGATCTCAAACACCAGGAACATGACTCCCGTAAAGAGAAGGACCTCCTTGCAATTGATTTGAATCAGTTAAGGATGGTTGTAGATGAAAGGACTGACCGAGTCTCGAGTCTTGAAGCAGAATGTCAGTCTCTCCGCTCGCAGTTTGAAGGATTGCAGCAACATAGGCAGGCAGTAAGGAGCTCATTGTCGGATCTCTCCGCCAGACTGCCTTCCCCAGTCGATGCTGATTTGGCCACTGTCGATGAAATAGAATATCTCAGAGTATTGTCTAGTAAACTTGATACCATACAGGATCAATTGATGGATGCTCATAAGAGCTATGATGCAGCAGTCAGTAGAGCAGCGGAGTGGGAGAGACATGCTGAAGATCTCAAACGAGAGCGTGACCAAGCACGTAAACAGGCTTCCGAGCACGGTGGTAAACTAAATGATTTGTCTCATCAATTACTCTCTATTGGTGCTCAGGCAGAATCAGTGCATACTCAACAGATGGTTGAATTACAACAAGCCACCGAGAAAGTCAGCTCGTTAACTGCGGAGCTCGATACTAGAAATCGTGAAGTCAACCACCATCTTACCTCAATACGCCATTTACAAAACGAGGTTGAAAAGTCGTCAGAAGAGTTAGCACGACGAAAAGAACAAGACTTGCAGGATGGAGATCTTGATGATCGTCTCGCCGCTGCCAATGAGCGTGTAGAATCGTATGCTCAGCTTGCTGACAGTGCAGTCAAGTCTATGGAAGTATATCGAGATGAACTCAGTCGTAAACAGCTTCAGTTGCAAAAGATGGAGATAGAGATTGGAAGACTGCAACAAGATAGGAGTCGTGTGGGCAGTCTACAGCAGTCTGATATTGAGTATACATTTTCCTCCTTCTCTGTCGCTGTCTGTTTGCTGACGATTTTTTTGATTTAGTGAACTTGGTTCTCGAGCTATCGAAACTGGTGTCTCTGCTATCGATGAACTTGTCCGGGCAGTATCTAGTGCTAGTTTACGAGGGCCTCCTCAGACTATGCCCGCTAACTGTTGTGGCCATGTCGAATGTCATCGTGGATGTATGCTTGATAACGATGCCGATGTCGATGGAAATCAAGCCGAAATACTCCAACATCTCGTAAAACAAGTATCCACTATAATGAAATCGTCAGCTGACCATGCCGAGACTTCGAAGAGGATCTTGATGGAATTGTCTTCATCGGCTTCTGAAGCAGGTCATAGTCCTTCTAGAACGAAAGAATCACCAATTAAACCCGAATTTTCAGCTGCTAAAGAGGAACGTGTTAGGAAACTGATCAAGATGCAGTCCAATTTGCTTGAAGAGCATCGCCTCTTTTTGGCAGAAATGGAGTCGGCATCTCAGTCCTTTAGTAGACGATCTGTAAATCCTGAAGAATTATCGGCTAGATTTGTAAAAGTTGTTGGTGGATATCAAGGAATTGTCGCTGAGCTCATTGAGAAGACCAGCGAGATGGTTGATTCTATCAGTGGTAAGCGCAACTTCAAGTAGTGGCAATGAATTTTTTTTACTGACAAGTTTTACATTATGACACACAAAATCAGACAAACTTCCGGATTTACGAGCAGAGATTTCGTTTTTGGCTTCGGAATTGCGAGAAGTCATCTTACAGCACCAAGGTCTGTCTCGACATGCCAAAAACTTGCTGTCTGCAGTAGAGAAGAGTAGACGAGTAACTCGGTTTGCTGATGATGGAAACACATCCTTCATGAGCTATAATGGTGCTGGTGACATGAGTACTGTAACCAATGGAGACGTATCAGCCTATCGTATCAACTTTGACGAATTTGCAGAGTTGGCAGCAAAAGCCGCTCAAGCAGAAAACTACCATGCTCAGTTTGATAACTGTCAGTCCATCCTGAAGGATCAAGAAAAAGAGATTGATGTACTCAAGGAGGCTATAGAAGCTATGACTGCACGACCGGTAGAAGGTTCTGCTTCTGCTGACTTGGTTGCACTCAAGTTACTTCAACGTCAAGTAGAAGAGCTACGCAAAGTCTGGTCTCACGAATTGTCTGCGAATAGTATTCTTCGCGGACTGATCATGAAGACCCAGCAGGAGGCCGTCGCTGCTGCTGAAGAAGCTCAATTCCGTGAGCAACAGTTGAGAGCTGAACTAGATGAAGCGGTAGTTTTGTGTGAGCAAACGGCAAATGATGCTCGATTAGTTGCTGAACGAGAAGTTGAAATAATACGTCGAGTATCTGCAGATATGAAGGCTTACGATGATAGACTAGCCTCTCAAATATCAGAAGCGGATATGTCATCTAGTCGTGTTGCTGCACTAGAAGAAGAACGAGATCAAGTGGCTGCTCAACAGGCTCGAAGTTTGTCTCGTTTACAACGTGAGTTGAAACAAGCACACGAAGAACGAGATTCTTTATTAGAACAGCTCAAGAATGTTGAACTGGAGGTCTTGGATCTTCAACAGTCTATAATGGATGACAAGCCCTTCCCAGACAAGAAGGAGCCTGACTGGGAGACCCAACGTAGTAGATTAGAAGCTGAATTGTCGGAATCAAGACGTAAAGAATTGGATTTACATAGTCAACTCGAATCTACTTTCGCTTCAGCTTCCGTGACGGAATCGAAGCTCAAACAAGTCAGTGACGAACGTCATAACCTTGATAATGAAGTACGTCGGTTGATGCACGAACTCAACCAAGTTGGCAACAAGTCCCTCAGGTCTGCAGCCACCTCTCCAGCACGCACCTTATCTAGTCCACCTCGCTCCTCCGCTGAGCTACAAAAGATTGAAAGAGAGCGAGATGCTGCTCTCAGCAAAGTCAAGGAGCTCATAGAAGATTTAGAATCACATAGGAGCAGCTGGAACCGAGATCGTGAAAATTTGGAATCAGAGCTCTCTGCCTTGCGTCAACAGCAAGAGGAGGAGAAGAATAGAGTGCTCAACGAAAATCAATCACGACGACCTCGATTCTATTCTGCCGTAGACGAACATAGTGACCATTCCAGTGAACTTCGTAGAGTACACGAAGAGCAACTAACAAGACTTGCTAGTGCTGAACGTAAACATGCCGATATTATTGCTCAATTGTCGCGTGAACATACCAAGCAGCTCGAAAAACTCACGAAGGAATACAATCTCAACTTGTCGTCACTACAACAGCAAATCCAAGATATAGAAGTCCATCGTGACAAGGTAGCGGATAATATGCAACATGATTTTGCTACTCAATTGGATAATCTGGCTCGACAATATGATAAAGTCATTGTTGAACATAAACGACAGATTGCCACCCTAGAACGTCTCGTGCATGCTGGTGAAACCAGTATACATCAAGATCTGTCGAGTCAGCTAGATTCTGTAAGACAACAACGTGATGAGCTACTATCAGATCTAAAGACTGTGAGATCTGATTTGGAGAGGACATTGAATCATGAAAAGGCCCACTGGAGCAAAGAACGTGAAGCCTTACTCGCCGAAGCGGATTCAGCCAAACGAGCTCTTTACGAATCAACTAGTAATTTATCTGGGCAATCCGCAGAACTAGCTGAAGCCAAACAACGAGTCGATGAATTAGCAGACTTGCTAATTGCAAGTGAAGAACGAGAACGTACCATGGCAGCTGCTAAAAAGTCTGTTGAACGTCGTTTGGCCGATCGTGATCGGGCTAGTAAAGAAGGCATTCTTGAATTTGAGAAGACCTTCCGAGAACGAGAAACAAGATGGACTATTGAAAAGCAGGAATTAGAACAACGGCTGGTTCGTGAAAGGGCTGTTTTGGCTGATCAGCTTGCTGAGGCACAGTCTGCTTGGAATGTCGAGCGTAAAGCTCTTATAATAGAAGCTGATAATGCTAAAGAGGCTGCCGAGTTAGCTGCCAGTCATATTGATGAAGCTATGACTGAACGTGCTGCTATTCAACGGGCGTTAGAAGTCCAGGCAGAGGTATTTGTTATTCGACATAAATGTCGCTGTTTTGCTCCTTGCTTTAACGTCAAACTGTCTCTCGTTTCAGCGCTTTGGCAAGATGGATTCTACAAAGGACGCTCAGATCCAGAGATTGGAAGCCATGGTCAATAGTCTCAATGCTGGCAAGTTCTTGATTCCCCTTGTAACGACGAATCGTTTTTCGCTTGACACCAACCACCATCAACTTCCCCGTAGCTATACGAGCCAATGAAGCTGAATTGGCCGCATCTCAAATGGATCGAACGCAACAGTCTCTTCAAGAATCAACGTTACAGCAGTTGGCTATTTCTGAAGAGGTACAGCAGGAGTTTTGTTGAATGAGCGTAATGACGAAATTAACACCATTCACACCGTTAGGCTCGCAGGACTGAAAGAGAGAGAAGCAAACTTGTCATTGCCAAGTACAAGAAACTGAAGTCAGACCATTCTAGGTAAGTGGATTGTACCAAACCTCGTGAGTTATTTTTGCTCATTTGACTGACTCTATTTTGTTAGATTACGTGAGGATTGTCGACTTGTTTTACAAGAACTGGCCTATTTGAGAGCATATGTTACACGTTTGATGCAGTGGAGGAAAGATCTCGGTTACCAGAAACTGTATCTAGATATGACAATTACCAATTTGCTTGAGACGTAAGGTTGCTGTGACGGCTTAGATGCGTCCGAGCAAAACAAATCTGCATGACACGGAGTTATCTTATACTCACACTAAGCTCTTCATCCTTTACAAACTAGTCACAAGACAACATTGAATCTCATACATGGAATGGGAATTGATTCACCTGACGATCAGGGAGATATTTCACCTGTTCGCAAGTTACATCGTTGTGTCAAGGTGGTAATTGCGTGTGTCCGAATGAGGTAAGAGCTTAAATGGTTGTGACGTGAGTTGTGTTGAAGTAACTTTGAATTTGATCGGAATAGGAACATGGCGTTTCACTGGCAACATATTTTATCGGAAAGTGGAAGGCCACACACGTCCACCATTGCATAGTTTTGTTGTATATAGGATGTCTTGTATTTTTTTTTTTTTTAACAGTTTTATTATAACCGCTGGATAACTCCATCAGGAGAAACCGTGGGACAGATTTAGAATACATATGATTTATGATATTGGAATTAAAGACAGCAAGTTGGTGTTCACTTCTAAAGACACAAGCTGAACGAAGTTCCTGACTTAGCACGTGTTGAATGTCCGACGGAAGACTTTGTTGTTGTCGTTAATACTATATAAGAGACCATACAGATGAGAGATCAGAGCAGTGCCGTGACTTTAAAGCCTCACGCGAGCCAGATGGAAGACAGAAAGTGTTTTAAAGGCCCCACTCGGGCCAGATTGAGCAATACTGTAAGCCTTGCTCGGGCTGTAGAGATGGTAGAAGCAGAATAAAGAACACCGGTAAGACCTAAACTACAGGTTTGACGGTGGTGTAAAACTCTCCGTGGGAGACAATGCAAGATGTTGAGAAAAAGTGGAGGCCAAGGAGCATGATGAGATTCTATAAAGACGGAATACTGTGTGGTATTGTCGGATTGTGGAGAGTCGCGGTGGTCCGAAAGGCAAGACAGCTGAGATTCAGTCATTCGTTCAAAAGGGCACAGGTAAAGACAGATTATGGAGCATAGCGCCCCCAACGAAGGGGGCCAACCGACAGGGAGCTCACTACCGGGTGTACCCTATCTATGATTACTGCTGCAATCTTATACGTTTGATCTTATAGTTTGATCTTATGATATATGTGGATTTTTGTTTTGTGTTGTATATAGGTGAAGTTCAAATGTTCTCAGCGTAAGGTTGGCGAGAGTTGAGGAACGCGTTTTCACAGTGGTGTGCACAGATGACGCGCACGCTTGCTCGTAATCTGCTTGTTCGTAGTATTTCGAAATAAGCTTTTTCTGATTTATGTTTGGTCACAGTCGGAGTTTTTGGTTGAGCAAGTGATTTCTCTTGAAGTACAGAGAGAACAGCCAGCACGGCGCAGGTACTAACCTTCTTTTCTAGGATGTCCTTTGATATATAGCTATCGGTCCCTTCGTTGTCCTTGTAAGGAAGCGACACCTGATCTACCCAGTATCCACGACGCTACAAATGGCCTCTCGGCACGATAACGCCCATAGTACAGATGATCCAGCAGATACATATGATGCAAACTATGCTTCCAAGACTCCCAAATCTAATCGAAAGGAGCAGTACAAGACTGGAACTGCAATGTCATCAACTTCAATGAGAGAACGACGGGTCACCAAATCAATGGATATATCTCGTTCGAGAAGGGAAGAAATCATATCAAGGAGAAGGTGTAAGTAAACCAACCATCGTTCTCACTTTAGATTTGTGTGTTTTATGTAATGTCACTAACACATTTGCAAACTACCCAACAGCAAACACCGTCGAAGGCGATACAGTCATTGAAGATGCCATACCAATATTAAGTGCTACATCTCCGTCACCTTCCCTGTCTTCACAGTCCGCTTCAGTATATACCACATCACAATCTCCAGATCCGCAGGAATTCTCGCTACCACCACCATCGCTCATGTTCTTCTCAGCATCATCGTCCTCGTCTTCCTCGTCCACTTCGTCATCGTCGTCAAACGATTCCATGGGTATAAACGAACCACGATCCAAAAACCAATTCATGAAGAGGAAGCTATCGTTTAAGAATCGAGATTGGGTGTCCAAGGCTACGACTGCTGAACGTGTTAGGAGGTATGCAATCCTAGGAGGCTGTGTTCGTTCACAAGCCAAAAACTAACTATGTACATCACGAAAGTTTTATAAATCTAGCCAAATTCAATCACGACTCTCATACATTCAAGAACCGTGGTCTAGCAGGTGTACAGCTCGGAACTGAAAGGTATGTGAATTATACGTGATGCACGCAAAAATCCTCGTTCTTATGCTGGTGCAAATCACATTAGGATGAATCTTGGAGCCGAACTAGGTCTCACAACTGGTGGCAGCAAACACTTTGACCGATCCTTTGACCGTGACAGAGACCAAACCATCAGCCAAGCAAACTTTGTTCCCCGGAGCGACTTTATCCAAAACATGTATTTCGTAACGATACAACCACCTATCAAAGATCCCAGATATCTAGCCCTCTTTATGCAAGCCAAAAACCTCGTAACCAAGGAATTCGCTCTAAAGAATTATGCTATAACATTGGATTGTGTCGAAGATGAATTCTTTAGTTTGGAATTACTGGTTGCTCCTGATGCCATCTCTGGACAAGATACTGTATTAGGTGCTGTGACATTTGTGTTTCTCAAACAGTATGTGTGGGTTGAAAGTGTCGTGGTTTCGTCGCACAAGCAGAGGCAAGGGCTTGGTCGTGTTTTGCTTAGGAGGATTCTACAGCTTGCTAGAGAACGTGGGAAGGAGGTATGGGTTGCAGAAGCAAAAAATTGCTCTTGGTCTACCTGGGAATTTTTATCTCACATGAATCCTCGTTTAGGTCTTGCTGTATGCCCTCGTGGACGTTCTTTCATTTTATACAAACGCAGGCTTCAAACAATCAACAAAATGGCCCATTGGACAAGAAGACCGTGGCAGATTCCTAGTTTGTCAATAATAGCAGGGAGGAAGACACATTCAACAGCACCGAAGAGCTTAAAAATCATCTGAACACACGCATACACACAATCAATCAACTCTTTTTTACCATATCATGAGCGAAAGCTATAACATAAATTTTGTATACACAGCTTTATATTAAGTTCATTTAACAGAACAAACAAATGTAACTTGGAACTGGGGTATTTATATGCTGCGTGCAAAGCTTCCAAGCGTTTGATTTGCGGGTCTGTATCGTATCACATTGCGCTTGCTTCAACCTGTGGCTTAATGAAGTGTCACGTCTGCATAGTCTCCTAAACTCTCTAACGTAAACCTCACAGTACTATCTGAGCAACATACTTCATCAGCAGGTTGTACAGCAACCCAACCAGAAATCAGAATAGTGCAAGTTAAAGGTGATGCCGAAACTGGTGATGTCATAGCAGATGACCTTGCTCCTCAGGGTCACGTAGATGGCAGATGGGCCGTCCCATACGCTTTAGGCGGCCAGATCTTCCTACACATTGGTAGTGGTACCCTGTCATGTTGGAAGACGGAAAACTCGGAATCACGTATGTCAACTCTGGTGATACCCAAGTTACGTATCCGTCGAGTAGTTGGGGAGATGCTGAAAGAGAGTGAGTTTCATGTCTTGGTGCACCAAGCTGCTGTTTTTTTTTTTTTTGGATTACCACAATGACGATTTCGCTAATTCATTCCGGGTCTTGTTGTTTAGGCTGCATGTCACCAACCGAGGTCCGATTATCAAGTATGTATTCATTCCAGGTTGAATACTTTGAGGTGGAAACGTTTCAGCTTGGCTAATTGTTGTTTGGTCTTGTGCATAGATTCCGACCTGTGTATTGAGGAGTCTCGTTAAATCGAGTAACGCTTCAAAATTAAACCATAGAATACGTTACTTGATATCATGAAAACATAGTTTGCTTACACCAATTGTTTCATCTGCGTTCAAAGCGGAATACTGTGTTGATGTTCAAATTGCTGTGCAAGTAAGGAAATAGTGCAACACGAAGTTCAATGCCGAAATAGACTCAAACGACCATTTCAAAAGCTTGCAGCAACCTTCAAATCCTCTTGTTCATCCTCTCCATCCTTCAAATGTAATCACATTCTTGTATCGATTTAGAGCAGCAAGATGATTTCTGGAGAAGCCTCAAGTAGCTCACATCTTCCACAGGCACCTGATATAGAGACTTCCACTGTCGATCTGGAGCCATTCCGTCTAGTAAATGCACCTCCCAGCATTTATTATCTCCCTGATTTCATTGAGGAGCAAGAGGAAGAAGCATTGCTAGCCAAGGTGTATTCTGCTCCCAAAGTATGTTTTCATTATGAATATATATTTGAAGACGTCCGTCTTCTACAATTTACAACTGTTTTTGCATTTCCGCATCACGACATTTCTTGAAATGTGAAGCACTCGTTCCAACTCTTTGAATCGACTCACATTATTCGTTTGTTAGCCGAAATGGACGACTTTAGCTTCTAGAAGGCTTCAGAACTGGGGATCATCTCCCGTAAACTCATCTACGAATGTAGCGTTACATGAAGCATTACCTCCATGGCTCCAACGACTAGCAGACAGGCTAGGAAACATGGGCATCTTCCATAATGGACAAGCACCAACACAGTGAACCAACCTTAATGTTCTCTCACACTACATCACGAACTTACACAACCCACCCACTTCTAGCTGCCTCGTAAACGAATACCTCCCAACCCAAGGCATAATGCCACACGAAGACGGACTCGCATACCATCCAACCGTCGGCACAATATCGCTTGGCGAATCCTGCTTTCTCGACCTATACAAGGTTGAAGACGTCAAGAATGGAATCCAGAGTGTTGCATGTAGTATATATCTCGCGCCACGGTCATTGATTGTCTTGTCGGATGAGGTATATACGTTGTATCTGCATGGAATTCGTGATGAGGTGGAGTATGTGGTGCATGATAAAGTGGTTAATGCGGCTTTGGATGTTGGTGTGAGTGTGAGGAGGGAGAAGACGAGGGTTAGTTTGACGTTTAGGAGTGTCAAGAAAGTTGCGAGGTTGAATGTGAATAAGTTGTTGGGTGTTAAGAGGAGGTGAGCGTGGTGGGATGGCGCTGTGGCTTGCTGAAGCTGTTGGAGTTAGAGTAATGTTGTGTGGTAATTTGTAATTTTAAGTAATTAAATTGAGCTCCCTACTGGAGTCTTTGACGGACATGTTTGTTGCTCTTCTTTCCGTGCCCCCATAAGGACGCCATTTATTATACACCTTTCTGTTCTTTGGCAACGGCTTGGAGTTTGTTGGCGTCCATGAAGCCAAAGCTCAGAGGTTTAACTTTCTTAACGAGACAAAGGCAGACAGAATGTACACAGAAGTTTCTGAGCTCTCTTGTTGTATGCAGTGCAGCTTCATCAACAATACAATCAAATTAAAGTTAGTGTATTCACTTCCTGCTATAAACAGTGATGGTTCCAAATGACTGGAATAACAAATATGAGGCGAAGAAGAAGACGGATCAAAGATCACATCCTTGCAAGAGCCTCCAGTCTACACGCCACTCCTTGCAGGCATGTAGTATGTGAGGGAACCGCATTGATTGGCAGTAGCGTCGGCACTGACATACACATATATCACCAATCCTTTCTTATCTAGTATACCTAAAACAGGATAGTGATGAAAGAAATGTCAATCGTGCCAGGTACTGAGTTATTTTTTTCCATGGCTTTCGGACCCGTCGTCAGCGCAAACAGAAAGGTATATGGAAAGGATCAATGGCTCACTTGCCAACTTACAGCACACAACCTCCTTGGGATTCACAGCAGATGATTGCAAAAACTTGATGAAATCACGTACATCAATCCTGGCTTCAGCATATAAAGCAGGATCACGATCCACTTGTGGGATGTCTTGAGATAATTTTTGTGAGTCATCTAAGTATAAGAAGAGGTGAGAAGCGTTGAGTATCCTCACATGCGAATAAAATAAACGATCATCTTTCAACACTACCAACTCTTCTCACACTGTAACTCACAAGTCACAACATACAAAATCACCAATATGACTTGCCTAATTCAGGATTGATCAAGTCTCTATACGCCGTCTCCACCTTGACTTTAGCTTCAACCCTCATACGGAAATCTCCAGAGTTGTTGGCAGAGATGGTGACAAAGTTGCTGAATGACTTCATTTTCTCGACAATGGTTTTGATGCTTGTTAATGGTGGCATCATAATGTATATCTGCATGTTAAAAGAGAGGACGTTTGAGTGTGAGAGTATGAGAAAGTTACCTCTGGCAAAAAAAACAAGGGAGACCCGTATTGAAACGTAGCGCTTCACGTTCTAATACCTCTGAATTTCCGACGGTAGGCTCACGAAGCTCTCTAGTCTGCTGTGGAGTCATGACACGTACAGGCACGTCCTGCATCACGGTCACATTCTTCCCACTTCGACTCTGTTGCGTTTGTCGAAGATGAATGATGAGTCTCGAGTATACAGTAAGCCAAGACATGCAGCCGCGAAAAAAAAGGAAACACAAAACCTGGTTATTACCTGGTTGGACATAACAAACGACAGGACCGGTAAATCGTCCTTTTTCGTCAATTTCAACACGACGTCATGAGCATGAAACGTGGATTTCAATGCCTTGTGTAGGAATTCACCAGATAACTCGAGCCATATTTCGTTTTGCTGTGCGGATTCGATTCTCGTGTCTTCAAATATGGCATCCTAGTGTTTTGGAATTGAGTCAAGGACAAGTATAACATGTGATCAAATTCACGAATCGATATCCAAAACATGCAAATAAACTTACCATATTAACTTGACCCCAAACTTGTAATCCCGAATCGACATCTGACTTTGCGACAATAAAATGGAGACGATCTGGTGTTAATCTCAACACCCACTAGGAAGAGAAAGAAGTTAGATGCAATATTGCGGTATACATTCAACAAGATAAGTGATAAATCCATACAGTTTTGCTGAGCTTTTCCAAGCTTTGACACATTCCTAAATTGAAATTAGTTAGCTTCCCACGCTAATAGAACTGACAAGACTTACGAGCAAACAAGAAGCTATTAGCTACTTTAGCCTTCAATCTCATATTTGGAGGCGCCTTGCTTTGCTTCTCTGTATTGTAATGGCTGTTATTCTAGCTCCTTTTGCTTGTTCACAACCCAACCGAAGAGAGCTAGGACAGTTTCGGCAGATCACGGATAGATCACAGATCACTCCTTACGCGTATTCGAAGCGTATATATGTAAAATCACCTTGAACGTCGCGTGCAATAAGGCTCAAGCTAGGCCATACATCAGCAAATAGCCTACTGATTGACTCTCTCGCAAGCATGACGTGGTGCTCTTCGGTGATTACTCATGTTGTAAGATGTTTCGAATCTCGAGAAGGCCAACAGTATCTTATAATCATACGATATACGTTGTTCATTGTGGTGATTCGATGTAAACTGAATGAGAATGTTTGTTGGAATGGAGGATTCTTTTAGTGACAGAATACAGAATTCGAGAATTTACGGTATTCGACACGAAAATCTCTAGTCTTGCCTATATAGTTCAGTAGTATGGTCAATATTGTCTCAAAGCAGGGAAGGAGCGATCTTCTGTCTGCGCAATTCCTAACATTCAAGAAACATGGCTGAAGTCACGACACAGAGGAGAGGGAAGAAAACTCGCGGACGTAGAAGGCCGAGCTGTGATCTTGGGCTGTCGTGCACTAGGATATGAGGTTTAGCACTTTCATTCTGTAGGGGGGAGCCACACTGATGCTCCTCATCCTAGTGCCTGCCAGTCGTTTCAAACAAGGTCTGTTTCCCTAGTAATCCACGAACGAGTTGCTGCTGGCATATCGTTGGGACGAATGAGATCCAAGGCGTATCGCAATATCCAGACTCACCGTCTCCTTTTGGTACCAACGGTCACCGACATCAGAAAAGAGGATGTTGACTTGTTTGATGGGTTCTCTAGATAGACTGGTAACCGATTCGTTGTAATGGTTGTAGTCAGTGCTATGCGCTATGCAGCTGCTCCTGTCTAGCACTCTTGGACTGTACGACGGACTCGACTCCACTCCACAAACACACAGTGTAATTGTACAGGAGCGGCAAGGCTGCATACTTGTATTTATACGTAGATTCATATCATCACCAAACAATACGCCATCCTCATTACAATGTACATGTATGCGTTAATGACTTTCTTATTTCGACCACATCAACCTCAAAGATGTTGTTGCATTCCACGTTATCCGCTGTTCACATACCTGAAATACTGAAATAGACAGACCACTCTTCATCATGATGATCGCCGTGTATCTTTCTCTTCTAAGCGTTCTCTGACTGAGCTTCAAACTCCCGTTCCAAACGACAGAGAAGATTTCAATGAAGGCTTGTCAATTTTGACGTGCAGTGACGCGAAATTCGAGGCCATCGTGACATATTACACGTTATAGAGTTCTCCAAACAGGTCTCCTCGAACTCGTTCATATTCTTTCAAGCGAGTTGACAGTTTGAAAGAGCGAAGCAGAGCTAGATGATACAAGATGCATATCAAGCAGGCAGGTTCAAGATCACGTAGCTCTGATCCTCAATAATCAGCTAACTCTTACTTGATTACACATAGATATCTATTCAAGGCTTCAAGAGCTATCGAGAATCAACTGTGACTGATGAATTCAGTCCAAAACACAATGTCGTCGGTATGTGCCAAGGTATAGCGAGTATAATTAAAGCTTACATACAATTACATATAATAGTGGGAAGAAACGGATCTGGAAAGAGTAACTTCTTCTTGGGTGTGTACATCAATAATTGAGACATTTCGAATGAGTGACTGATGCAAACCTTGCTCAACGTGTTTATAGCTATTCGATTCGTTCTTGGAGATGCATACCACAGCATGAGTAAAGAAGAACGACAATCGCTGCTACATGTAAGAAAGATCAGTGTTATGGAAGTTGAATGACACCTCCTACTGGGTTTTGCTGCCAATCCTTGTGCTCACACCTTAATACTCGTTTGTAGGAAGGTTCAGGTCCTGCGACAATGACTGCCTATGTAGAGATCACATTTGACAACACAGACAATCGATTTCCAGTAAGAAGTTTCTGATGCTTCATCGAGTGTCAGCTCCTCAATCCTCCTGTTTTCCCATAGACTGGCAAAGATGAAGTCGTTCTGAGGAGGACCATTGGTCTCAAGAAGGATGAATATTCGCTAGACAAGAAGAGTGTCACGTATGCTGACATTATTCCAGTTTGTTGGTTGTTTTTTTCACCCTCCGAAATCTCGATATAGCAAACAAGACGTCATCAATCTTCTGGAGGCTGCTGGGTTCTCACGATCCAATCCATACTACATCGTGCCTCAAGGACGAGTAAGCATACGCAAACACACGCTCGTGCTGGGATTGTATGGTCTTAATTAGCAGCTCTCTCACAACAGATAACCATGCTCACAAACGCCAAGGACGCAGAGAGGTTGCAGCTACTTAAGGATGTAGCAGGCACTCGTGTTTATGAGCAAAGGAGGCAGGAGAGTTTAAAGATTATGGACGAAACTGGTATGGATCCTGCATCGGTAGTTTGCATGAAGCGATTCTTTTGTCTGACAGATTTGCTTACCGTTAGATGCAAAACGAGCCAAAATCAATGAACTTCTGGAATACATTCAAGAACGTCTCACTGAACTAGAGACTGAAAAGGAAGAACTGGTCCAGTTTCAAGAAAAGGACCGAGAAAGACGATGTCTCGAGTATTCAGTCTACCATCGTGATCAAACTGAAGTCAATAATCAGCTGGAACAGGTAAAGCTGGAAGACTTTCTTTGGCAACTTCAGATTGTTCATACTAACAACTCATGTATCGATAGCTCGAAGAAGACCGTCGCTCAGATGCAGAAGGAGCTTTTGAGAAGCAGAATGCATTCAATGATCGAGAAAAGCACATTGCTGTGAGTGATTGTTTTGTCACAAACAATATACATCAATACATAGCTGACTTTTTTTATACAAACATAGGAAATCGAAAAGGAGATTAAGGCGTTCCGTATTGATATGGCTGATCTCAAGAATGAAAAGCAACTTCTCGATGACGATTTGCAAGAGTATGTTCGCACTCATGAACATACGACATTGGGTCTCGATGAGTTGGTCGAGAATGCTCAGCACGGGCAAGAACGAAAGGTTGGTACTAGTTACCATGTTCATATACGATCATGTCACCAACTCCGGTTCATAGCAACGAGTCACAAATGAACTGAGAACTGTAAACGCTGAGATTCAAGTCAAAGAAGCTTCAATGGCCGATTTATTGCCTCGATTCACAGCAGCTGCAGCTTCTGAACAAGAAATGCGGGAAAGGTAAAATAAGAAAACGTTTTTCTTGGGCTGTAATGACAAACCTCCTAAATTCTGTTCCCTCTTGCTCGAAAATAGGCTAGAGACGTTAGAGTTAGAACGAGATGCTCTCTATGCCAAACAAGGTCGTAATGCTCAATTCAAAACTCAAGCTGCTCGTGATGAATACCTCAATGCCGAAATCAGGGCTATAACGAACAGCATCACTGCTCAAACTTCTCAAATTAAGCAATTGGAGCAAGATAAGATCGATACTCAAAAGCAAATTGGAATATTGGATGAAGCCATCAAGGCACTCAAAGCTCGAGTCGAAGATATTTTAACAGAGACTGTTCGATTTGAGGCTGATGTTGAAAAACTACAAACTGCTCTCACAGAATTGGACGAACACAAGAGGTAAATGTCTTGTGCTCATTGCAAACTATAGGTGTGTCTCTGATCCTTGTTTGTTTAGGGTATTCTGGCGCGAGCAAGCTAAAGCTACTCAAGCCGTTGCCCAGTGTGTTGATGAAAGGCAAAAAAGTGAAAGAGCACTGAGTAGTACCATGCCAAGAGTAAGTTAACAAAGTTCTCGCAGGCTCTCTGTTCGCCATGCCTGATGTCTTTTCTTCTAGGAAATCGGCGATGGTATCAGAGCCATCAAACGAATTGTTGAGCAGCGCGATATACCTGGTGTTCACGGACCCATATATCAGCTATTTGATGTTGATGAGAAGTATCGTGTTGCAGTCGAAGAAGTTGCTGGCAATAGGTAAGCAACAATTCTTACGAACTCGTATCAAGTTTTTCTTGTTCTAACAGTGAATTTTCTCCGATAGTCTGTTCCATGTGGTGGTTGACAATGAAAACACTGCACAGGTTCTTCTTGATGCTTTGAACAAGGAGAGATCTGGAAGAGTTACCTTCATACCTCTCTCTCGTGTTCGAGCCAAAGATTCTACATACCCAGACAGCAGGGATGCTGTGCCCATGATTCGAAAGCTGCAATATGAGGCCAAGTTCGCACCCGCTTTTAAGAATGTGAGCGAGAATTATCTCGATTAACAACACAATTCAGTGTGGAAAATAAATCGTTTGCTCTTTCATTAATGCTACTTCAATATTTTGGCATCTAGATATTTGGAAAAGCCATCATTGTACCTTCATTGGAAATTGGAGCACGATTTGCCAAGAGCCATTCATTACAAGCTGTGACTCTAGATGGTAAGGGTGTATATTCGACGCATGAGTCGTTACAGTCCTTGCGAAAAGAGATCTTTAATCAGTACTTTTTTGCTTACCTTTTCAAAATGCTTCTTAGGTGATAGCGCGAATCGTAAAGGAGCACTGACTGGTGGATGGCACGACACGAAACGATCAAGACTTGAAGCTGCCAAAGCCGTCAAAGGCTGGCAAGAGAAACTTGGAGCAGCAGAAGCTCGACAAGAGCAGATTGACAAAGATCTTGCTCTTCTCGATCAAAAAATTAATACCCATCGTGCTCAGCTTGCTCAATTGCAGGCTCAACGTACCCAGATGTCGAATTCTGGTACTACTAGTGCCTCGGAAGCTTATGAAAAGGGTAAAGAGATGGATGCGTTGGTGAACTCGGTTGATGCCATTGTAAGGCAGATTACATTCTCTGGTAACTCTGGTAATTGGTCTGGTTTTTCGCTTATCTTTCAAATTGATATAGGAACGATCCATTCGGGATTTGACGAATAGTACTCGCAATTACAAGATTCAACGAGAAGCTCATCAGAAAGAGCTTCAAGTGCCATTAAGTCGCAATTTGACTGATGTAGAAACACGTCGTCTTGAAGAGTGTACGACTGAAATTGATAAATTAGAAGTTGAGAAAGCTAATATGATGAAGGCCCGACTGCAGGTATCCAATCTTGATTATAGCTGAGATTTTGTCGTCAATTCGTCTCACAGGTGATATGTTTTTCCTCCTTTATTTTCGCAGCTGGAAATGCAAAAAGTGGTACTCGAAACAGAATTGACTGGTGTCAAGAAACGACACGAAGAGCTTACGCAACGTCTCTCCAAACTCACTGTGGAGTCTAATGTAACTCGCGTTGAAGCTGCTAAACGAGCTGAATTGGAAAAGTTGAACAAGAAGATTGCTGATACTCAAGCTCGTTTGGAGGGTAAGCACTGATGATGTGTGTGAATTTTGACGACGAAAGATTGACACTCCCTTCTGTTTAGAAATTGATCAAGAGGTTGATGCTATAGTGGAGGCAATGGAAGACAAGCAAGAGGATCTTGAGGGAGCCAAAGTAAGTTTTAGGGTTCCAACTCAAGATTTTTTTTGTTGTGGGTTTCTATGCTCATCGCAACTATCTAGGCCAGGCAAACTGAAGACCACAAGACATTGGAACGAACTCAACGTTCCCTTGAAAAGTATCTTGCTACAAAAGCAGTGTTGCTCAAACGAAAGGACGAATGTGTCAAGAACATTCGAGATTTGGGTGTCTTGCCTGAAGAAGCTTTTGAAAAGTATCGTGATGCTCAGCCTGCCAGGGTAAGTCCGAGCATTAGTCTTTTCGGAGAGCAATACCGCCTGTTACTCACTTTTTATTTGTATATTTCCGAATCTTTTAGCTTCTGAAGAAACTTCATAAAGTCAATGAGGACCTAAAAAAATTCTCGCATGTCAACAAGAAAGCCCTTGAGCAATACAATTCATTTACTCGACAACGAGAATCTTTGGATAAAAGAAAGGAGGAATTAGATACTTCGTCAAAGGTATGAAGGGGAAAAAGTGACTCGGTCTCCTTTCCGGCTGCAGATCTGCAACTGATCCTTCTCTCACTCTGGAACTGCACAGTCTATCGAAGATCTAATCAAGAAGTTGGATCAAAGGAAGGATGAAGCTATTGAACGGACATTCAACCAAGTTGCAAAGTTCTTTGGAGAAGTATGGGAGAAGCTTGTACCTGCTGGACGTGGTGAGCTCATCATATTGAGGTCTGATGATCAGGTAATTTGTTATTTGAATGAAATAGAGTTGTTTTTGGAGCGTTCCCGCTTCAACTCGTATCTTAATAGACGTATCTTTTATTTTCATAACAGACCGACGCTATGGATGAAGACGACGAGGAAGATGCACCAACAAAGTCAATAGATAGTTATACTGGAGTAGCCATCAGTGTATCCTTCAATTCACGAAAGGATGAAGGATTACGAATGAATCAGTTATCTGGTGGTCAAAAGTCATTGGTGGCTCTAGCTCTCATTTTTGCTATTCAGCGATGTGATCCAGCTCCCTTTTACCTCTTTGATGAGATTGATGCTGCTCTTGATGCTCAGTATAGGACTGCTGTAGCAAGTGAGTTCCTTATGGCTGAGTGGCAGAAGAAAACTGCAGCACAAACATGTAATTCATTGAAGCATGACTTCTGACGCTTCATCACGTTTTCCTAGGTATGGTTCACGAGTTGAGTGAAACCGCACAATTCGTGACTACGACATTTAGACCTGAATTGTTGGTTCACGCCGACAAGTTTTATGGAGTCATCTTCAACAAGAAGGTGTCGACCATTCAAGTCATCACACGCGAAGAAGCTAGCGGGTTTGTGGACTTGGAGCAACCACAGTAGGAGTGTTTATTGTAGTATGTTTTACATTGTACAGGAACTGTATATGGTTGAGCTAAGAGATTTTTCAAAAGATTTTTCATTATTTAGTTAAGAAAGAAATGTTTTTGCTTTCCTCTTGTCGCATGTTTTATTGACAATTTCGTGAGCGACCTTTGATCCTGGGTCGGTTAACTACAAAATGCTGCTGGACATGTTGACATCGTCAGTTCATATTTGTTGAAATTGTGTTTAAAAAAAGCTCACCAAAGGTTAACCAACCATTTTCAAACAAAGTAGGTGGGACTCCACAACAACACTTCCACCTCGATCCAATTTACGAGTCTCTCATCACGTGCATCAAATCATCCATAAAAGTATTCTTGTCCAAGCCATCAGTATTGGGAGCAGTATGGTCGACATGCTAGCAATGAGAATTATATGTTACTTCCGGTCAATCATGCATTCAATCAAAACGCGACGTGCCAAAAGCGTCTATCCAACCAATGATTTCAACTTGTATCGCAACTAACCTTGAGCATCCAGCCGTTATACCATCTAGCAGTTCTGTTTCGGATATCCCATGATCCTAGGCGAAATAAGCGGTCATGCTCTTCTGGGACATTTTTCATCCGGCCATTCCTGTTGATCGACTTCAACTCCTGTATTACTTCTATTAATAGTATTATGACTATTGGTGTGAATGACAGAATCAACTAACGAAGGCGTTGGAAGATGGATTTGGTGTCGGTTCTGTCGTTTGTTTACTTCCCCTTTTGGCTAGATACTCAGCTCTAATCTCTGCCAGTAGTCTCAAAGGGATCAAGGCCTTCTCGATAGGCAGGCTGCGTTGGTCTTGGCTTTACGTAGGATGCGTTTGGTTTGGGACGGTTTGGCTTGATGAAGACGATCACGGATGGATCCGTCGGAAGCTTTTTGAGATCGCGTTGGTTCAATGGTTCAGGTTTTATATAATTGAGTGTATTCACTAAACCAGGTTTGTTTGTTGTAAGTTGTAAGCAAGAAATGAAGCTTCGAGGAGGAGGTGCGAGGCGCAGGTTGACAAACACGTTCTAAATGAAAGCTACGTGTCATCAAAAGACGTCCAAGATCCAGAGATCTATCATAACGTATCTGGATCCTTGCTCTGTTGCTATTTTGCTTGCGACGACGCCTGCTGGAATACGTATCTCATGAACGGTCTGTCGTTACGGACATAAAGCCTATATACATCGAAATTAAGGTGTCGTCGATAAGAGCCACCAATTCTCGTTTCATGCGTAAGGCTAGTCTCGCACCAGCTGTCTCAAAACATAACACGAACAAAATGTTGAAATTCCACCACGAGCGATCGTACCGCCAACGCCCTACTTATGATATCAGCAGTGGAGTACGGTCCCACCTCCACTTGCCATATTCAACGGTCGTGAACACCACACAACAAATAGAAACAACCCATATCGCAATGGTGACAATAGTCGAGTGCTTCGATGCAAAGTAAATGAAGTGAGATTCTAGGTATATGTATGAATGCAATGCTATTACTCCTCTACAATTACAGTGTGTTTTGAATGTGGTAGCTATAGGGATTGTGGTGCTTAAAATATGGTTTCCAGTCCAACGTGACGTAGTCCGAGAGTGCTTGACAGAAGCAACTGCATAGTACCGACTACAGTTACTGCAGTGAGCCTTCTACCGGCCCACCCCGAGAAACTGCGAACTAACATCGCCCCTACTCTGATGTCGGTGACCATCGGTACCAAAAGGAGACGGGCATGTCGAGCTGTGAGGCTTTCCGACAGGCCTTAGATATCCTTCGTCCCGACGACATGACATCAGCAACTTGTACTGGATTAGTAGGCAACAGACCTTGTTTGGGATAACCGCCAGGCACTAGGATGAGGAGCGAATAGAACGGCTCCTCTCCAAAGGTAAAAATATGGTATCTCATATCCTAGCGCCCGGCAGTCCAAGACTACAGCTCGGCCCTCTACTTCCATGAGTTTTCTTCCCTCTGCTCTATATTTTCTTTAAACGTTAGTAATTGTGCAGACAGACAATCTGCATTTACCACCCTACCAAGGATTTGAAACTATATTGACGGGACAAGTGATTTAGGTGCTAAACTCTAAACTGCCTAAATTGCGGAAATTCGTGGTATCTCATCACATTCCATTCCACCAAAATGTAAATATTGGCATCAAACCGGCGAGAGTGACAACCCAGGTCAGTCCATATGTGGTCTCTTTGAATACTACTCTACCGAGTCTGCCGTTGCTTGTGAAGCACCTGATGCGATGTATGAACTGTCCTTAAAGAAATACTAAATGTACACGCATTAGATCTGTTTGCATTAATTTCTCGCCGATAAACGCGAAGAAGCGCGTTCAATTTCATTCTGGAATGTCTTGACTCTTGATAGCTTTATGGGCTTGATCCCTTATTCCTTCAATTTCCTTTACGCTTCACCAACACTTCAAATAACATCATTCTTTGACCGACTAGAAGAATGGAAATAATTGACACCGCATTACGAACTCTAGTAGGGCCGGAATGTACGCAGACATTGCTGTCCTTAGGGTTTGAAGACTATACTTGCTTAAGACTGCTGGCTTCAAAGGGGCTTGGATTGGGAGTCGTTGCAGGTGGAAGCATACTCAAGGTACCTCAGATACTCAAAATAGTCGCATCTGGATCTGTCACTGGCATCAGTGCTGCCTCCTACTTGTTGGAAACCGTCGTATATCTCGTCTCGTTGGCTTATAATTACAGAAATGGGAATGCATTCTCCACTTATGGTGAAGGCAAGTTTGCTTTACATGTCGGTCTTGATGTGAATATTGTATTATCATGTATTTATTGCATTGCTTGCCAGCACCTTCCCAACAATGGATGAATCTTCCATACATCACATACTAACACACATTCTAACACACTTCATTCTCCAGTCGCCTTCATCACAATGCAAAACTTTATAGTCTTGCTACTCCTCTTCACATACTCTCGTCAAGTAGTCATCCTCCTAGCAGTAGCCGGTGCTCTCTCCGCTGCAACATACGCCCTTTTCGATCCAACTCTCGTAAACTCTAATCTCCTAGTCCAGTTCCAATGGGGAACCATATTCTTGGCTCTCGCTGCCAAGCTTCCCCAGATCTATACAAACTATAGCAACTCATCCACCGGCCAATTGAGCTCAATCACGGTCTTGTTGACGCTAGCTGGTTCTGCTGCTCGGGTCTTTACTACTTGGCAGGAAGTCAAGGATCCTGCTATATTGACGGCTTTTGTAGTCGCAACTGTCTTGAATCTTGTGTTGGCCTTGCAGGTTGTCATGTATCCTAAACCAGATGTGAGTGACTTTGAACTTTGGTGCAAAAAAATGCTGTTAATCCCAGGACGCAAACCACTCTTCATAGGCCAAGGCATCACGACCTAAATCTAAAAGTGCTCGGCCTATAAAGAAACCAGTCAAAAAGGCAGAATAGTGTAGAAGCTGGCATGCCATGGGTTTCGAATGAATCGTGGTTTTTTTGCATTTTCAAGACATGTATTATACAGTAGTTTTTTCTGCAGACACGTAGAATATCTTTTGTAGATTTGCGTGTGTGTAGTTGATGATGTGAATAGCTGTGACAGTAGTGCATCCAAGTGTCGCGGCCAAAAACATGCGCAGCATGAGTGGTTGACATGGAGAACAACTACAATCCCACCAGGAACACCAAAGAGTATAGATCACGATGTCCGACTTGGAGCCTATGACCAGTGACGCGCCAGAGACTGCAGATCTAGGACCTGAACAACCAGCAAATGTCGAGATCTCTGCATCAAATTCGTATGTCGATGCTGAGATATCTGAACAACCAGTAGCTGAAGATCCCGTAATAGACACCGCTAGCATAACGAACGAATCAATACCCGATTCAACCACCATAGAACCTCCCACCTCCCTCCCAGACCAACAGATCTCGCAAACATTAAATACGATACCAACCGACGACGCAAATGAAATACGCCCACAAGATACCCAAGAGATTGAAGCCGTGGAATCAAAAGCCGAATCAGTTTCAGAACCTGCTGTATTTTTAACCGAGGTTAATGTCTCCCAGCCTTCGACTTCTGCCTTCCCACCACTGGCTGACAATCAGGCTCCATCGTCTGCTCGTATCATGGCTGAACACGGATGGAGAGAGGGTAGTGAAGTTGCACCGAATACCATGGAATTAGCGAATGATGAGGCTGATGATGAAGAGATGGAGGTGCTGGATGCTGATAACGTATGTGATTTGATTGGGACTTATATTTTTAGCATTGACGCCAACCTTTAATGCAAAAATGAAAACTGACGGCAATTTTATACAGCCATTGATGCAACGAGTCCAAGATGCTCTATACAAACAACTCTCAGAACGAAATGCTGCTTTGGAGTTGAGTCTTCGTGAACGTGAAGAATCCGTGAAGCAAGCCATGACGAGACGAGAATCTATCGGTGTGGAATTATACGCTCTACAACAACGACTCGCTAGTTTGCAGCAAACTCTGGAGTCCGCTGATGGTTCGTATCAGGAAATCAAGTCATTCCGTGAAGAGACCGAAAGCACGCTTAAAGTAGCTTCTGAACGGTACAACAATCAGAGGCAGGGACTGAATGAACGTGAACGGACATGTGAGTGCCACGAACTATACGCAAGAATAATGAGCGGTTCCCGACCTGATATCTTTTTTTTTGTTAGTGGACTCACATCGTCAGGAACTCGAAAAGATCACAAGAGCCATCAAACAAGTCGAACTTTACAATGAGCAACTCAAATCTGAGATCTCGGTGGCTCGACGAACGACTCTAAAGGCCGAGCAAGACATGCTAAAGCAGGAAATGGAGAAAAAGAGACAGGTTTGGCCAACTGAAATAAAGAGACACCAGTAGAGCATGATTACTAACCCTCTCTATGAGCTAGGACTTCTTCATCGACAGCTTGACCGAGAAGCACCACCGATTAAACGAGCAAAAGTCTCTCTACGAGTCCCAGTACGAATCTCAACAGCGTGAAACCAAGGCTGCTCAAGAGACACTCCAAGATGCTGCGATGGAAATGGAAGCCATTCAGTTTGAGAAGAGACAACTGTTGCATCAGTGGAAGTCTTCCTTGTTGGCTTTACAGCGACGTGATGAGGTTTTGAATGGGATCGAGAAGGATATTGCGTGAGTGCTTTCATCAATTGCAAAGCGACCTGAGATTTGTCCAACAGAATGTGACACCAAAATAATTCAATATCCTTATAGAACCAACAAGGAAACAATTCAGAACATCCAGAACGAACTCTCAGCCTTCCGGACATCCCTACGCAAGGCTCAAGAGCAAGCTGAATCTCTGTCTGCTACAGTAACCAAACTGGAAACCGAGACAGATTACGTTCAACGTCAAATGGATAACTCTTCTGACGCCCGGTCTAAATTGAGTCAAGATTATTCGGTTCTCAGCCATGCTATTCAGCAGAGTGAACAAGAGTTTACGAGAGCAACTCAGGTTTGTGCAAAAACAACATAATCAGTAATAATGGTGTATGTATACAGGGATGTCTCAACGCATTTCGTCTTTATAGGAACGACAAGCCATCCTGCTCGAGCTCTCAAGTCTAACCAAGACTCTCCAAAAAACCAACGCTGAAGCACGAAAAACCGAAATCGAAGTCCACGAAATGCTGCAGACGCAACTTTCAGCCACAAAAGGTTCTCACGGTGCACGCCGTGACATTACACGTGTAGCAGCTCTGGTCTCTGAAAAAGAAGCTCTCGCAATACAAATTCGAAATGAAATCTCCAACGCCCAGATGGAATCCCTCCAGGTATTCGGCCGAATTCAAGAACTCGAGAAATCAAGTACACGAATCGAAGACCAGACCCGAGAACGTGAAATGCTGATTCAGCGATACGAGGACGATATACGTCGTGGGCAAGAGACACTGGCTAAACGACAAGGGGAAGTGGATTTGCTGAATAAAAAATACGATCAATTGCAATCTAATCAGCTGGATGAGACTACTGGGCCACTCGAATCTGCTATCAGTAATTTGACGAGGACTATTTCGACGAGAGAGGAAGAGTGTAGTGGACTGCAGCAGCAGTGGTTGCGAGTACAGAATGAGTTGGTCGTGTCGGCTCGATTGCATGCTGAGGTGGCAGATCAGATCAGCGAAGCTAGGACGAGGCTGGCTGTTTTGACGAGGAAGAGGGCTGTCGTCAACAGTAAGTTATATCGTTTGCAAAATCAAACTGCGTTGATGCCGCTTGCCTAAGACCTTTCTTCCTTCAGATGCATTCGAAACCGAGGAAGCAGAAATCCGATACCATCAACGACAAGTTCGGCAGCTACAAGCTGATATGGTTAAAATCAATACCCTTGCTGCTAAACAATCAACAATCAAGTCGAAGATTGAAGAGAGTAATCTCTTGTTGGAGCAAGATTTCAGGGCGAAACTCAAGGTAAAAGAAACGGGGCAAAGTCAGCTGGATGTTGCTGATATCGAAGTCATGTTTACTATAGGATGCAGAATTGGATTCCGTTAGACTTGAACAAGCAATTGAAGATTCAAAGGCTGAGCGGGAACGTGCTCTGCAAGGCTTAGTTGAAGCAGAGTAAGTCTCGCTTACACATATGGTTCCGAGTCTGCTTTCAATGTTTTTCTCACTTTCATTCCTTTCACAGACGCCAAATAATGCTCTGGCAAAAGAAAATCCAACTCGCCAAAGAAACCCAATCCGCACTAGACCCAGAAGAAGGAGCATCAGAAATCCGGGAGATGACTGCTGAGATACATCGGATGCGTCTTCGTGCTGCGTCTCTAACCAAACTACAAGAACAGCTCGTGCAAGAAATGGAGCGTGCTGTGTTGCGGCGGGGAAGTATTGCCTTCCGAGCTGGTGTCAACAAGGCGACTGGCAATGAATCTGGCAAGGATATATTGAAAAAACAAGCGCAAGATATTGGAAAGAAGTTGAAGCAGGCTATGGGAGATGCCAAGGCTGCTGAAGAAGGTAAAGGGGGCAATGTGTGACGGGTTGTAGCATGGTCGACGACTAAACCTACGCTTTTTTTTAGTTCTTCAAATGTTGAGAAAATCATTATCTCAAGCCATGGAACAAGCTGAGTCGTCTGAATCTTCGTGTCAGACAATGGAAGCAAAGGAACGTGCTCTCATACTTCAGACTGAGAACAAGATGACTGAAAAGCAGTTGGTATGGATGAATTTTGAAAGGCTTGTTACGGCAAAAATAACGTGGACAGGAAACTTATCAATAATCTTTTAGATTGGAACTTTGGCAATCATATCTCAAAAGCAAGCTAAACGATACGAGGAAATCAAGGCTGGTGGATACAAGCTTCAATGGAAGGTACCTGAAAATCGTACTGCGGAGTTGGATAAGCAGTATGAGCGTGCTAATAAGGTACTGGATACCATTAAGGATTTGGAGGTAAAATAATAAGTTTGAAATTCGTGACACTATGTAACGAGTCTTTACTCATCACCACACTCTTTTTTGATAGAACCAATACGGGCAATTCATATCCGATATGGTGAAGAACTATGTGGCTGCATCTTCTAAACCATACCCACCAGCAATTTCCGCATCTCGACCCTTATCGGTGCTCGATGTTGGCAGGGACTGAACGATGAAAAGACAGTCGTTATTTAAGAATATAGTATCAAATCCGCATCCAATTTTTTTGCAGCATCGCCATCTTTGTGGTTTTCAGGCTTCGAGCCTTTTGAACTGGTAGTAACAGTATTGATAGCTGAAACGCTTGCAAAAGACAGTTTCAGCATTTTTTGTGTCGTTTGTGATAAAACCTCTATCTGGAAGGCCAAAAATCTTGATGAATATCGATGGCCGATCACGGCACAAGTGTCCCCGTCTTTATGTAACAAGCGTAGCAGCTCTAGCCGCCGAAACGAATACCCAGCAAAGCAGCTCAATCCGTAACGAAATTTTCAAAATCGGTTTCCCTCGGACGTCTAATTGCGAAGAATGTTTGGAATTCATGGTTAAAAGGCGCCCGTTTTGGCAACTCAACTAAAGTATCCTGAGACCTATATTCACGAGGTGATTCCACAGATATTATGAATGATATGTCGTGTCTGGCTCGGGGCTGTAATACCGTGAACTTTGTATCAAACGCCTTCGATATACGTGGAATTGTGAGAGTCAGAGAGAGGTGAGCTTATGCGCGTACCTCGTATAATTATCAGAACTGGAACTGCTGGTAGTTTGCGCTCTTCAGATGAAAGAGATCTGACTGCGCCAGGCGCAAAGCAACATCAATCATCAAAGGTTTACGAACAGGCAAACACCAAAGCCGACGCGCCAAAGAAGTTATCTCAGTAGCTGCTGCAGTTTTGTAAGAGCGCACAACCCAGTACAATCTATGAAGCTCCTAAATTGGCACTCTGACACGTCTATTAGCAACAAACATATACAAACGTCTAATCATATTGCCTTTCCTCGTTGACGTAACTGCGGTCAACAGCACCAAAGTGGGTAAGATTCATAGCGCCATTGGAGTATCAGAACTCTAAATGGAATACCAGCAGCCAAAAATATCTTTTGTGACGGCACTCTTGTTTTTCAACCACATGCTAACTCTTTCATACTTTGACAATAACAGCCGGGAAAGAAGGTTGTTCTTCTGTCGCGAGCAATTCCAGTTCAGAAAAGTATGTGTTACTCGCAACATTTGTCAAGGGACTTGAGAGTTGTCAGAATCCTTGACTTCACAACTTGTCCAGCTCAACGCACATTTGATTTGATATTTGACACTTTTTTCTGTTCGCTAGGTCAGTCAGCTCAAAGGTAGCCTAAGCTCTCGTGGCGGTAGCGGAATGGTCAGTTTTGGAACTCCCTCCATGTCTAAACGTTTGCAAATGAACGGTCTTGCCGTGATTCCTGCTCCTCCAGCAAATCTACAGTGATAAATACGATCATAGCAGACAACCACAATGCCAGAGAAACTGATGAAGAAACGCTCGGTCCCATCAACCGTACTGACGTCAAAGTATCCTCACTCTACTCTTTACGAGGCCTGCCTTGGCTTACTGTAAAAAGTCAAGAGTGAGATTCCTGAAAATATCTGCTTGCTCTGAAAAATGGAGGTGATGGCCTCTGTAAAGCTGTTGGCAGCCACTCCAAGTCTAGAAGGGGATCCAAGGTACCAATGGGTGGGGTTACTACCCTCACAGGAGAGGGTTTCCTTCTCGAAAAGGCCAAGGCACATGGAGCCATCACAATGCTTGTCAGCAAGAGACTCGACTGAAGGTCTTCTTTGGACCTACTGTAAACACCCCAGTGGTTTACCTTGGGCCTCATCCATGCCACAGGACAGTAACTGCCCAAAGGCAAGCGACGTCAGGGATCAAATGCAGATACTATTAAATAGTATCTGCATATACAAACCAGTGCAGAGGTTGACTGCCGGTTCACATGTTTGAACCGCATAGCGAATCCAGCCTTATTAGACCAGTTTGCTTGATGATCTCTGGAGCAGATGCTCCGTTGAGATGGTCTGACTTCCTGATAGGTTATATATATATATATATATACAGGAGGTATGGAATGGAATGAGAAAATTGAAATCAAAACAAAACAAAAACGACGACGAACAGCAGGAAGACAGTGGTTACCTAGATGATGCCTTGATAATAGATCCAGGAGTGAATGGTTTTGTAGCTTCCCTCAGATCCTTGAATGGCTTGATAATCGTGTTGAGAAATCTAAACCCGGCAAGTTGATGTGTCTTTGAGAAACCACACAAAACAATAACAAGAGGCAGCAACAAGGAGAGAGATATACCGGAAACGTAGATCCAGTAGTGAATAGCCTTGGGTGTACCTTCATTCCCCTCCTTGAATCGATAATTGTGTCGGGAATTCGTAAAAGCGGCAAACTAGTGAAATTGCAAGAAAGTTAGGATATCTCTAGATCTGGATGCCATCCAGGCTTGAATCATGAATGGATGCCATGTACTAACCATGAAGCAGTGGCTTGAAGTGTCTTTGGCTGTCCTGCATCTCCATCTCTCAGATATCTTGTTGTGAAGGATGTTGGGAATCATGTGACGAAAGGCGTCGTATTCATAGGCTGGAAGCACAGGGTCCAAGGGAAAATATTTTGACTCGAGTAGATTTACGTAATATCTCATGATATATTGCATAGGACGTTGTCCTGCTTCTCTCTTGGGCAAGTGAATTCGTTGTTTTATGAACAAGAACATTCGATTTGGCAGAGTCGCATATTCAGTAGATGAAAACAAACATTACAGCAGCCTTTGTCGTATTTTTTATTGCATATTATTTGATAATTTTCCTTCCTGATCCTTCTTGTGCCTTTTGACCTTTGTTCCATCGGAGAACTCAATCTGTAGATGAAGCTATTGTTATGAAAATCAGGTTAAAGGATGGTGCCACACAAGAATTCATGTCGAGTTTGGGGAATCAGAGCTATGAATGTCATGTAGGTTATGGTTGCTCTCTGTTGTATCCTATATTTGATAAATGTCGAAATTGTGAAAATGATTGTACATGGTGTATTCAGACAATAAATACTAGATCAAACGCATTGTTGACTTAAATATTGGAGAAAGTTATTGAGATCTGCACCATTCTGTTCTACGAAACATATATAGCAACAATGAACCACGCTTTCTCCACCGAGCTTGGGAAGCTACACACAAGCTACACCCCGGATAGAAACCACATACTATTACTACATAAAATCTATTTTCAAAATGATGCAAGCGCTACAGATATATATGCAAACAGAGTCCTCTCCCATATCTTACACCTACCCTTCTTAACCGCACCACCACAAAGTCATTACAAGTATACGAACTACGTTGACCGGTGCGGCCTCTCCCCTCTTAAGAATCTCGGATCATTGAAGATATCACTGGCAGCTAGATGATACGCAGTATGTTGCAACAACCTATCAGCCTCTATAGTGTTTTGCTTGACAGCATTAGGAGCTACTTGATTCAGCACTCTCTCATATTGAGCTTCATCATGTGCGTTTACCACGGGCGAGATATGCACTATACGACCATCCGATGCTTCTCGTAGCCTTTCTATAGGGTCTGGATTTGTTGATATGACTGTTGGTGCTTCTGTAGAGTTTATGATGGTGGGTGCTCGTGTTACCGGCTGCGGTGGCTGTGGTGGATATGTATAGGAATCAGGCATGCCACCGTCTATAGGACTGTCAAATGCCTGTTCGAAATCGTATGGGTTTGTAAATGTGGGTTGAGTTACAGGTGCAGGCGACATGATGGTATTATACAAGTCCGTGTCCTGGAACTGAGGATATTCTGTATTATTCGTAGTGCCATCGAAACCGTATGCGTATACTGGTTGTGACGGTGATGATGTTGGTTGAGGTGGACTTGGTATTATTGGATGGCGTGGCATGAAATTACCACCTGCTAGACCTGTGAATTTAATTTACAGCGTCAGGGAGACCATGCGGTCAAAACTAGTATTCAAATGTGACTCACTCTCAGTTGATGAGGTTCGTTCTCCCCTCTGATCGTCCATTTTGTCGTCCGTGGTAGTATCGACCAGTCTTAACGATACGAACTCGGCATCAAAGTCAGTCGCACTGTCTTCTACATTCTTGCCCTTCTTTGCGGTAGTGACTCTAAAGTAGGACTTGTCCCTTCCGCGATTTCTGTATACATCGTACTCTGAATCAGTCACAGAAAAGTTCAACACAATGTTTCCCGATAGAGTTACTAGGTTGAAAACGTTGAGTTAACTACAATTGTCTGAGCGTATTAGAATCGGCAATGCGTCTTACATGTGACTGGTTTCAGAATATGTGCCTTCTGGCATTCACAATCGTTCTTACCCTTCTGAGACTTTGTTCGGCACTTCGAGCAGTGAGTTGTAGGTCTCCCGATTCCTTTGACCTCCGTTAGAGGTCGTAGTAGATGATCGCAAGTTGATGACCTGGCCATTGTTGGGTAATGTGTGAGTTTCCTTCGAACTGATTGAAGAGGAGACTGCATGAAATGAGATCAGCGTACCGATGTCCCTGAATGCATTTCTCACAAGCGAACTTTCTACTATCCACCAGGATCATGTCTTAAACGTCCGAAAATGTGATTTGAGCTGATTCCTTGGCAAATGCTTCCAGCTGTCTATGGCCCGTCCGGATCTGCGAATAAGCGAGTCTAGTCTCAGTGTATGCTCGTTACAGATAGCTTTCCTTCTTCATTCTACCAGCTTCCAAGTTCATATCGTCGGAGGCAGCGGTTTGAGCGAGATTTTTGGAAAAGCACTCACTCGATGACAAAACAATCAGCTTGAAGCAACGGAAGACGAGACTTCCCGCTCACTTCAATGTACGTGTCTGCTCATAATAATCGCCGCTTTGACGCGTTGGCGTTCTACTTTCAGCTCGTAATTCAAGCTCACAACTCACGTTTCATAGAATGCAGGATGATCACGGCTTGAAGGACACTGAAACTCTCATCATCATCTCTGTTTCATTCGTGATATTCGCTGTGCTGCTAGGTACGTGATTGCTACTAGTTGGGTTCTTCAAAGAGCGCTGACATCTGAACTAAACTTAGGTATTTCGTGGCTCGCCTTCTCAAACACGCCATGTGGACGTCAATTCTTGATTCATCTATGGAATCAGTTCTTTGAAAGGCCAAACAATCGCCATGATGATGGGTTCAATGATGTGAATGTGGGATTGACTCGAAGCTTTACTGGCAGACGAGGGCAACGGCGTGGTTATTCTCGAGTGCAGAGAGATAGCTCAGAGGATGATGAGCATGTGGAGCTGTCTACATTCAGTAGCAGCACTTATGCCGCTCCAGGTTACGAAGAAAGTGCCGAACTTGATGAAGCTCAATTTCGTTTGCGCGGTTTGTAACCAAGTCTGTATGATAACCTGTAAATATAGCATTTATCTATTTAAATACAGACATAGACACGTAATTCAAGCTAATTCTTTCGCGAAAACCACCATTTGAAATTCCTCAGAAATCACGTCAAAACTTCCATCACACACCAAAAAAAGACAAGATGGACGTCAAGGTCGGTGCACCACGAAGCTGTCCTCGCAACAAGATCCTGGATTCTGTGCTAGACCATATTGGCGGAACTCCCCTTATTCGACTGAATCGGATTGGAAAAGCTGAAGGAATTGAAGCTGAAATTCGTAAGATTTTCTCCTTTTGATGTGCATCGTATATATGAAGACGATGAACTACTGAACGATTCTATATGTCTTCTAGTCGTGAAATGTGAATTCTTTAACGCTGGAGGCTCTGTCAAGGACCGTATTGGAAAGCGAATGGTCGAAGCTGCTGAACGTGATGGCAAGCTGAAGGCTGGATATACAATCATTGAGGTAATAATTGATCTGATCTGGTCGTGCCTTTTCGAATCTATGCTAATATCCTCTTACTTAGCCAACGTCTGGAAACACTGGTATCAATGGAAACACTTCTGTCATGGCACGATCGTGACTGATTCCTTTGCTGTTTTTACAGGTATCGGTTTAGCATTAGCTGCCGCAGTAAAAGGATACCGTGCAGTCATTACGCTCCCTGAAAAAATGTCTCAAGAGAAGGTAATGTCAATGGACACGTCACTCACCTGTCAAGCCCAACAAAAACACTGACTCACAATTCAACAGGTTGATGTTCTGAAAGCTCTCGGAGCTGAAATCATCCGTACGCCAACTGAAGCAGCATGGGACTCTCCAGACTCTCACATCGGAGTCGCAAAACGTCTAAACCAAGAAATACCGAACTCGTTGATTCCAGATCAATACTCAAATCCAAATAATCCACTGGCGCATTATGAAGGAACTGCTGAAGAAATCTTGGATCAGTGTGGAGGACATCTTGATATGTTTGTTGCTGGTGCTGGTACTGGAGGTACTATTGCTGGTGTTGCTAAAAAGTTGAAGGAACGATTACCAAATATCAAGGTATCGAATCAAATGAAGTCACGTTTTTTGCCCGTCTCCATCCATATTCTCAACATGATTGACTCCTGCAGATTGTCGGTGCAGATCCGAATGGATCCATCCTAGCACTCCCAGACTCTCTCAACCACGAGGGCATCCATTCATACAAGGTCGAGGGTATTGGATATGACTTTATCCCTCAAGTCCTTGAACGAGAATATGTAGATGAATGGGTTAAGACTGATGATAAGGAGTCATTTATCATGGCAAGGAGATTGATTCGAGAGGAAGGTCTTCTTGTTGGTACGACAATGTCCTCATTTGTCCCATTTTTTGCATATCGTTTGCTACACTTGTCTAAACTGATTCAACAATAACAGGTGGATCAAGTGGAACTGCTATGGTTGCTGCACTAAAAGCAGCAAAGGGTTTGAAGAAAGGACAACGTGTAGTTGTTTTGCTTCCAGACTCTGTTCGAAACTATATGAGCAAGTTTTTGAATGATGATTGGATGAAGGCTAGTGGTGAGTGGTTGCTGTCTGGAACAAGCATTACGAAATAAAACCAAGCCTTGTTTGCCACGCAGGGTTCACTGACGAAGTCACCAAGAAGGCTGAAGAAGATGAAAAATTACAATGGCATGGTGCTACCATCAAGGATTTGAGTCTTCCTCAAGCAGTGTCTGTACCTCAACATGTGTGTGTCTGATGGGTTGCCATGGAGGCAGCAAAAAAATACGCACTATTTGAGCCTGGAATGTCTCACACTTATTTGCTTGCGCGTAGATCTCTACACGGGAAGCAGTCGAAATAATGCAATCTAAAGGATTCGATCAGCTTCCAGTGACTGGAAGTTCCTCATCTCGGCTTGTTGGTCTTGCTACTCTAGGTAAATAAAACGATTCGTTCATAAAAGTAACGCTTCAGCTCACTCGTCTCCCCATCCTATAATCTTTTCTTTAGGAAACATATTGGCAAAAGTGGCATCCAAGCGAATCACTCTTGATGATCCAGTATCATCTGCAATGTTTGTCTGGGATTCTAAACGCAAGTTTAGCGAGATATCACAAGACACACCATTGGATTCGTTACAACGTTTCTTTGAAAAGCATGCATCTGCATGTGTCACTGAAAAGGGTCCTGATGGAAGTCATTTTGTCAAGAGCATTGTTACCAAAGTTGATTTATTGTCGTATTTGGCAAAGACGAGTGCTTTGTCACAATAGATGTATTCATATTTTGTGGAATACAGTGAATGAAACTTGAGAGATTGTGTGTTTGATGGATTTGCCGTTTGGTTGCAAGCGCCCTATTGATAGTCAGCTCTACGCTGAAGATTGCAACGATGTCGCAGTTCCTAGTTGCACCAATCAATATTTCACAAACCCAAGATCGGAAAGAGCGTTATACGGTTCCAAATTGGTTTATACTTTCACGAAATGCTTGTAAAATCGGACAGATCCGTCGAAATGAATTGGGGATGGCGACATTTACCAACTCTGTCAATGAAGGTGATTTTGGAGGGGTTGAGCTCTTTTATCACAATTATCATCTATATGATACCTAGGTTGTGGCTGTAATCCCATTTTCGCGTGATCGTAGTAGCTTGGAGCGTCTGTGATTAGAGTTATGAATACAAGGAAACATTTTGCATCGGGACGGTGATTATTTCTGGCGGTTTGGTCTCGATCAAATCATCGAGACTAATTCTTTAAACATTATCTTGAATCTTTGATAATGCTTTGGCTTTTTCAAAGTTAGAATGACGTGCGGTCGTGCGGTCCAGATGCAAATTCATGAATGCCGCAAGTTTCGATGACTGTCGAAAGGACACCCAATAATCGTGAAGAGCACTCAAAGTCCACTCTTACTTACGAGTTTTACGCTGTTCAGATGTTCTGGGAGCTTACAATACTCAAAAATGACCTCACATTGTTGTCTCCTCACACGAAGTAGAAAGACATTTGGACGAACGACAGATGGTACTTCAAAGAGCAAAAACGACAGATGCTGGTTCGAAGATCAAATTACGATATCATACGGTGTACTCGATTGAAAACCACTCTTGAAGTACCATGCTGCTTTTTCTGGGTTGCTGCTCTTCGCATCAGCGTCGTCTTTTCTCCTGTTCAAGCTCATCTTCCTAATGTCGCTGAATAGCTTTTGACTATAAAAGATGTATATAAAGCGAAAACGTGCTTCTACCATGGTAGGAAATCACCAAGAATAGTCTAAATATACCTGTTTTTGATGTCAGTGACCCCGCCTTCAAATATCTAGCGTTTTCGGACCTCTGGTTCGTAGATAGATTCTTCGCTAAAGTACTCCTACAGCCGGTCCGCAAACCAAGGATCTACACATTAGCGAACGCTACAGACAAAACAGCACAGGATCCACTAGCACAAATGTTTTGGCTCTTGAATTAGATCTTTTTTTTAGATACGGTCCACCCTCTCGAAACAAATGCAGCCTCACGATCCTTTCAGGCTCCAAATCCGAACGCCTCCACAATCATTGGATTTAGCAAATCCTCACACTAAACTTCTCAATCTTTTGTAGATTACCTCCCACCATCAGATCCTCAGTACCAGCCGCCGTCGCCATTTGGTATATCTTAGACAGTTAGATGATGGTGGTGGAGTTATTGAGTGACCAGGCGACGTACCAGATAGTGTCGTTGATGGGCCTCGAAGTTCATATATCAGTGACACCAATCGTAATGATCTTAACGACTAACAGTACAGTAACTTGCTGTTGCTGCGTTTGGGTCCTCTGGTCGAGTAGTCTTATACTGCCAAGGTTTCGGGTCTAACCAATGATTCGGCGCGATCGTAGATTGGGATCAAAACCCACACCAGCTTTTTTTGGAGAATTAACGATGCGAGGAGGAAATAAAGTTAAAATACAGTGAAGAGGTGGAGTATGTGAAACAGACGATCCAAGGTATAGTTGTGACAATGTACGTGTGGTTATAGACCGCGAGTTATCCGAGGACAAGTTTGAGACCTCCACAAGGTCTCTCCTCTATTGAATTGGGGATGAAAAGGTGGGCGATGAATGGAAACTGCCATCCGCCATTTATAGAGACTTCAAAGGTTGTTTGTTGATGTCAGAAGGACAATCAACCCAAGGGTTTCAAGCAATACAAGTAAATAAGGATTCCATTTCTGCATATATAAACAAGGAAGAATTTGTTAGTATCAAGGTGATGAGGCATGTATTCGATAAACTGCAGCCATCAGCGTCGTTGAAAAAGATTAGAGACTGTCGTTCACGTACTTTCAAGCCTTTTCAATCAGAAGCGCGACAGTTCTGACAAGTTATATAGCCACATTATCCATTGCTGGTTCTAATGACACGCCCTATAAGCGAATAAGAAGTAAACTTGTTGTTTGATCAGCCAGTATCGCTGTTGAAATCGACGTGTTGAAGAGCAGTCTTGCACCAATAACCAGTAATAAGGGCGTAGACAGCTCGACTTGTGAAATACTTGACTGAATCCTTTGAAGCGTCAGATCACTCAAAAACCTGCAATTCACATTCTTCTGCTCCACCTACAAAACAACAAACCATTTGCGTGCATACCAATAAGTGGATCCAACAATGGCCAATCTGCCATCGCTGTCGTCGCTTGGCAATGTCAACTTTTCAAAGAAATTTGGGCAATTGTCTCAGTTTGTTGGTAGAATCTTGTTTTGGCAAATCTTTTGTTGGTTTCATGTGTACTGATTAGTCCTTTCTTTATTATAGGAGAAAAGCTTGGAAATACCCAAAAGACAGGTACATGATCCTATACGTACTAGGCAGTCCCTCTGTTTGTCGAGATATCATCAAACATTCAGTCAACATCCCACAAAAATTTTGATATCCCGACAACTACCCCAAATCATAGAAACGAGTGAAGAATTCAAGAGGCTAGAAGAGGAAACTGATCTACGAAGGATACAGACTGAACGCGTCCATCTGGCTTGTGAAGGGTAGGAGTAACTCGCCTCTGCGTTGACGTGTCTTGAACCATCCTGATCTCTATGATCTCTGTATTAGATATCTACGTACACTATGTAAGACGCTTAGGAAGTGCTTCGTGTCGTTGATGGAGTTGTCTGCAAACTCCAATGCTAAATAGACAACCTCATTTTTTGCTTGATGAATGTAGCAAAGAAGAGACCGTCGCCGGAAGACAAGACAGAAGGAATGCCATTAGAGATCATGGGAACTTGTATGAATCACTTTGGATCCATGATGCAGGAGGATTCTCCTTATGGCAAGTCATTGTGAACTGTGTAATGAACATCAATCATTCTCAAGTGCTGACCCAGAAGGCACACGTTAGCTCGCTTACTAGTCAAATTCGGTCAAGCTCAAACCAAGTTAGCAAACATTCAATACGACTATGTATGACTCTCTATAGTGAATCACTTTTGGTTGCCAACACACACTCACCGACTACGAACCACCACTAGTTCCAACAAGCACGAGACGGATACGTCGGAAATCTCAGTCGATGCTTGCATGATATGAAGGAATACGCTAAACTGAAAACCAAACTGGAGAATAGAAGATTGGATTTCGATGCAAAGTTGAACAAGGTGCACAAGAGTAACAAGGAGAAACCTGAATTGGAAGAAGGTGTGATTAGGATGATTTGTTTTCGCGTTCTTAGGCTTTCAAGATATAATGAAGTGACTTGGTTTGCTTTCTTGTAGCAACTCGACAAGCTCAAGCAAAATATGAAGAGAGTTTGACTGAAGCTACTAACGTCATGGTTCGGTTGAATGCTAATGAGGTACCGGCCTGTTCGTTCTGAAGGAGAGTTTGTTGTCAAACATCGCAGGCTCTGACCTAAAGTGGTTTTCGGCTGTGTCTGTAGGAAGAGCAAATAAGCTACCTTTTGGCCTTCTTGGATGCTGAAATGGACTATTACAAGCAATGCACAGAGACATTATCAGCTGTAGCCAAAGAGTTTGCCTCGTATGTGCAGCTGTTTCTCGGAACTCTATGGTTTTCTTGCTCACGAATGCAACTCTTCCTTCAAATCTTAGACTGCCACGATCAGCAAATCTACCAAAACAGACACCATCGAGCTCATCACCATTCGGCGATGACAACAACAATCCATTCTCTAGTGAACCAACGTCACCACTAGGTTCACAAACCCTAGCATCGCCAGCAACAACATCAAAGCAAAACTTGTCTGGATCAAGTCTAGGATTGGGTAATTTCGGATCGATGAGAATCAAGGATCCAATAAGTGGACCTATTGGTGGAATGAGTCTTGGTAGTAACCCTATGAGCGGTAATAGTAATAATGTGAATGGTGGTGGTTCCTTACGAGGACTGCCGTCAAGTGAACGTATTGGTGTAAACAGCCCTGCCTTTGGAGGAGTTGGAACACCATCGTTTGGAAGTCCTAATATTGGAGGTGTTTCGATTGGTAGTTCAAGGAATGGGTCGCCAGCTTTACCATCAAGAACAGGTATGATCTCCTTGTAGTTGTTTTTTGTAGCAAGTGCTGCCCTTTCACACCATACTTTCTTGATGCGTTAAGGTGTCCCTGCAAGTGGGACGAAACAAGTGAGAGTCACATTCGATTTCGAAGCTGAAGGGCCTGATGAAATGAGTAGTACGTTATCGTTCATGTGCAATGTCACGAGTATACATAACTGACCAGTCCTTTTCTCGTTTTCGTGTCATAACAGTACACAAAGGAGATGTCATCAATGTGATTACAGAAATAGATGAAGGATGGTGGGAAGGCGAAATGGCTGACGGAAGTGGACGTGCTGGCATGTTCCCATCAAAGTAAGTTGCAGATGTTCAAGCAAGAAAATGCACGGTCGAGTGTATTAACCAATCGATTCAATCACTTGTCACTTTTTTTTGAACTAGTTACGTCGAGTGAGTATCACTATACTGGGCCTAACGGGACGCGCGTGAGGAGATATGAGCACGTATTTATGTACCTTTTTCGATTCTCTTAGGATTGTTTCCGATACATCAGCTCCTGTGAATAACAACCCCTCGGTAAGACCGTATTCCTGTATCATTTACCTTTTTTGGGCATCCACCGTTTCACGGATAGCAAATGACTTGGGCTCACAAACCTCGTCTCACCAACTAGCGTGGACTAACAAGCAGCATATCAGGCTCAAATATACGAAGCGTGGGATCAAACCCAAATATTTCCAAAGCACCTACCAACAATCTCTCGAATTCACCATCATTATCAGGTTCTAGATCCAACATGTCGTTATCTAATGCTGCTCGAGGAACGACAGGCATGACTCCTAGTACGAGTTCGAATGCTTTGAGCAATGATGGCGGTGGTGGTGGACCGTGTAGTACATGTGGATGCAGTGATTTTTCACAACATAGTTTCAAGGCCGGTGTGTGCTCACATTGCTTTCATAAACATTGAAGTAGGCTGATCTTTTGTAGTTTATTTGCCACATATATACCGATGAATTACATGTGTGGAAGGAGAGGTGTTGATAACATTTGGGCATCTTTGGTTTTCCATGTGCTTCAGAGTTTCAATGTGATTCCGGTACTTCTTCTTGGTACATGCAATGATCAGAGATGCAACTGGCTAAACAACTTTGTAGGTGACAGTACATCAACTACGAGGAAAGCTAAGGTTGCCAATACCTTCCATTCGCTAGTGAGTGTGTGGCTCGTAATTGTGTCAGTTTTCGGAAGCTTAACGTCACAAAATCTATTAGGATATTGTAAGAACGCGGTCAGATTGGGCATGCTTGGTACAATTGTGTTACATTTCACATATGTCGCTGGATGCTATCTATTATTGCATATAATCCTTCGTCCCCTCAACGGCCACTGTTGAGATGAACAACTGACCACAATTCCATTGTTGCAACGCCAAATGTCGATTCTGGACTTGCTGGTTTTAGGACAACTTAATTCGGTAAAATCACATGCAATTTGGATCTGAATCTGCCGGTTTAATCATTCTTCGTTTTCCCACATTGCCTTCACGCAGGACGCAGTATTCAAAGACATGGGAGTCAACTTCCCAAACCAAAAGGACGCATGGCTTGGACTTATCTTATGCAAACGAGACCTACAGTTTCACGTTTCACCCTCATGATGGAGTCTTGAAGTTGACGAAAATGGAAGACTTGGCAGGTGGTATGGGTTATCATATCCAAAAAGGTAGTTTCAAGTGCAGAAGATGGTCTTTTTGTAGCATTTCGTGATGCTAAACTCTGTGATTTGTTATCTTTACTTTAAACAGAGTCAAAAATGACTCCACAGAATCTGGAGAGCTTTGTGAGCTTGCTGTCGGACCGTTAAAGGTACAGAACGCAGCCTTTGACGTGTTTACAAAGACTAACTCAGTCGTTTCCTTTGCCTGACGTATTTTGTTGTGCTCTCGCCCTCAAGCATTTTCTCGTTCTGTTTGACGGACCTGATACTTATGTTTTTTAGTTGTGGTTGTTTTTGCATGCCATGATATTGAATCTTTTTTTAGATTATAATTCACAAGGATAATCTTGAGATGCATGACATGTGGATTGATCCAGCTCTAGTAACTGAAGCCAAGAACGCAGGCAAAGGAAACTGGATCAAATATGAAATGGGGTGTTCGGTATTGGCTCTTACACTAGTGCTAGCATTCGTATGTCAGATGGAATGCAATTCCACATTGCCGTGTATCAAAAGGAGTCAGTAAACCCATTCGGCTTCGGCGACTGGAAGCTGAAGAAAGAACTCTTGCACAGAGCCATCTGGCACATGGATACATCGTGTCGGTCTCGGATTAGGAGTTTGGCAAATAACAGCCCAACAACAATACTGGTGTGCCGAGACGGCAGTTTCATCCATCAAGAAGCTAAACTTGCGACACGGCGGAGTCGCTGACCCTAGTGATTTGACAAGGGCTTGCCAGTGACCTCCGCCAATGGCAACAGAATCAACCTTGCATTTTCACGTAAAGAGTCAGCTATGCCATTGGCAGGAGAAGATGCAGATGAGCTGCTCGATTCATTATAGGCTTGGGACGCAAATTCGTTTGCTGAAAACGGGTATTGGATGGGATCGTTGTCGGAATCTGGTGATCCAGCTGCTCTGTGTTACTATGCTATAGGAGAACTGCAGAAATCTTGGACGATTCAGGTGTTAAAGCAGATGTTAAAGCCGTAGTCTGATAACCTCCAACTGTATGATGGTTTGCAATAGGAGGTGAAGTGCTGCTGAAGACGAGTCAAGGCACTTGTAAGCATATTAATACACTACCAAAATTGCCTAAAAGGCCAAAAAATCAAGCAATGGTTTGGGATTGCATCATGTTTGTTGGGTGGATGAGGAGCTTGTCACGTAACGCGTACACGGCAGTTCCAGAAAGAGCCACGAAAGAAAATAGACTAGCAAGGACGATCTCTTCTTGTTTGAGTCACTCCGCTGTTTATTACAGTTTCTTCTCTTTTGCTCGGCATTCGGCCAGTAGAAGTTTTGCTTGATGTCTTGTTTTTGTTCCTGCCGCCACATCGCGAACAAGACAAGTGTATAGTAGAGTCGGTGCCCTATTGAGTTCATCTGTAGGCAGATATCCGGAATCTCTAGAAGCGCTATAAGGCAAGTTTTATCTCATTTGCAAAAGCAAAAAGCAGACCTTTCTTGTTCTCGCCGCTTTTGGACGGTCTCGCACTTGTAAATAGTTAGAGCAAGAGAGGAACTGGGCCTGGAATACATCTGGATGAGCGCTAACTAGGCCATCAATAGATTCTACTCATTGGAACCAGGCGGACTTGATTCACATTCGATCATTTGAAGCAAATACGTACAACATTGAAAAGTCATGGCAACTGAACTGTCTACATCACCTGTTGCTTTGCCAGCAGTGGCTCCTGCTCCAATACCAATCATATCTCAGGACAACCTGCCTGCTCCAAGAAGGTAACTGTTGGATCTACTTGGTCATGAGGATTGCTCGTCCAAATGAGCCTCGTGTACCCACAAGCAATCCCACACACGCACAACACACATGCTTTGATTCCATGCAAATCATCATCATTTGAATCGCTCTGATCATTCCCTTTATCTCTAGGTCTCGATCAACTCCAGTTGGGAAAGCTGCCAACGTAACAATTGCAACGCCGCCACCCAAACTTATAAGAATCCAACTCTTCCCACATACCGAACATCATCGCCCCAATCATCTATCAAGAAGCGACTCAGATCTGCATTTCTCATTCTCCCCGATCGAAAAGGACTTGAAACCAGGCACCCTTATAAAAATCGGACGAAAAGTCGATCGGAAACGAGAACGAGAGCCTACCTCCTCTGCTCGTCATGCCAGTGCATCACATAAACATCAACATGATGATGCGAATGGTGGTAGTAAGAGCACAACAGGTACTACTGGAGCTGAAAGGAGTAAAACATTAACTGAACGAACAAATCATGTTGGCTCACCGCCAAGCCCATCGGCTGTTACAGCAGCTACTCAAGCAGGCCTTGAACCTCACGTCGGTGGTATGGTCGGTGGTGCTAGTAGTGATGTCGTCGCAGTGGATACCACCACGGATTTGGCGTCGGATGATGTATTGTCAATATCTCCTCCAACTAGTTCAGCTACTTTGAGACGATTATCTGCAGGGCCATCTGCCTTCCGGTTACCAAACAGGTCGTCATTGCTTCCAACGCCAAACAAGGATAAGGAGACTGTCACTGCTACTTCGTTGGCTAGTCATCGGAAAGTAGAGTTTGTGGCCTTTAGAAGTAAAGTCGTGTCGAGGACGCATGCTGAGATTTGGATTGGTGCTGATGGACAGGTAAAGAAAGAGCGAAAAATGCAGGTTCTGGGTTTCCATATGCGACTTTGTTGAAGCTGCAATCTGCAATTTTTGGTTGTTTATTAACTCTCCGGGGTCTTCCTTTGCTAGGTCTACTTCAGAGATGTCGGAAGTTCTTCTGGCAGTTTCTTGAACCGGTTACGGCTGTCCCCCTCTGGTAAAGAGTCGCGTCCATATCCAGTCAAATCGGGGGACATTATTCAACTCGGTGTTGACTATCAGGGACGTCAAGAAGGTAATGGCGGGCTTCCAAAGACGTACCCTTTTTGTCACAAGTACTAATTTTCGCGTTTTTAGATATTTACAAATCAGTCATGATCAAAATATTTATCACAGTACAGAGCGGTAACAGACCGAAGCCCAATGCAGCAAAGTATGTGTTTCTTGGCCTCATTTCATCGTCCCAAATTTTGTTTTTTTGTGCTTCCTCAACTTGCTCACCAATGTGAATTTTAAATCAGATTAAGAGCTGCTCTCAGATCATTATTGGGTGCTATGAATGGTGGTGCAAGGGATGATTATGCTACTACCGATTGTTGCATCTGTCTGTGCGCTATATCTACCAACCAAGCACTCTTCCTCGCTCCTTGCTCTCACTGCTTCCATTATAAGTGTGTAATACCCTTACTCGGATCAGCACTCATGTTCCAATGCCCCCTTTGTCGGCAAGTCGCCAATTTGGAGGCATCGGTAACTGGAGAAGACAGTCAAGCAACGTCGTCACCACAATTAGAAGATGTAGAAACCAAGGATGTAGACATTGAAGAAGAGGAAGAAAAGATGGTTGATGGTACAGCGAGATGGGCTAGTCTTGCTGAACGAGGTGCTAAAGCTTCACGAAGGATTAGTGTCATGACTGTATCTCGAGGACATAGTAGTGATGATTATGACTCTGATGATCGGGAATTACCCTTGCCACCTGCTCCTGGAGGCAGTGATGATGCTGCTGGCCCGGCAACACTGTTTCGTAGTCCACGACATGTTGTTGGATCCGACGATGGACACTCGACAGAGTAAATTGCATAAGATGGGACGGCAGGAGAAAGGGACAGTGAAAAAAAAATAGTATAGGATTTAGCACCTCAAGTTAACTTTTTATTACTTGGAAGGCTTTTTGAAGTAGTTTGTGGATATACGAGGATAGAATAGTAGTTTTTGTGGTTTTGAGTTTGCAGGACGGTAGTAAATATAAAAGGTTGAAGGGAGCAAGAACAATTGTTTCATTGGAGTGGCCCTCCTCTCTTTGACGCGCTTCTTGTGTGCAAGGTTTGTCAACGGTTAGCGGGCGTTGCGCCTTCCTTTCAGACTGCGGCAAGCTCGCAGCGATAGACAGGACGTCAAAGACTCTTAGAATATTTCTCACATTGCCAATTTTCAGTCCGCAGCTCGAAAACATGCGTTACTTTGCAGATTGAAGATCAGAGTAACCATATGCATTGTTATGCATTACAGAGTCGAGAGGTGCTCATGAATTGTCATGTATGTCGCAATTGGAATCCGATGTATAGTCTTTGTGGGCTCATATTTTTTTCTCATTGTCACAGATGACGCACGTTGATAAAATGCCATCCATCTCTTTGACCGCTGAGGCCAGTGTATTTGGAGCGGTGTACGAGCAGGCTCTGCAAAGTGCTGCTCGTACGCCATATGCTGTGGACGAAAGGAAGCGTAGAGTGATGGTACGGAATATGCTGCTGAAACGTGATGCATTCGGTTTTGGTTCCCTTTTTTGGCTGTCTGTCATCTTCTACGCAACACCATTTTGTGACCATTCTCGTTTCAAAACCGAACTTATCACGCCTTCGTACTAGATTCTTGGAACAGTAGAGCATGGCTGAGGCTGCCAACGCTCAGGCTGAATATGAGATTGGCCAACAATAAGCATCTAATCCTCAAAAGGAGTGAGGAAAAGATTGTTTCGAAAAGAGTGTTTCGAGAAGCTGTATTGTCTCTCTTAAACGGGACTTGATCCCAGCTTGTCAAGATGATGGACACAAGAAGTGCAACTTGGCCTCCATTGGAAGAGGCGATCAATTTGGCTATCACCTTCTACGCATGTTGAGACCCCTCCCTTCCAACACCGACCCTCTCACGGCTTTCTCATTGAATCCTTGGGATAGTTGAGCAAGGCTGAGGCTGCCGCAACTGCGGCTCAATACGAGGTAAAGCTGCTCAATTATAGGTAGCCAATGCTGCAGAACTTGGGAACACTCGAATGAAGTGTTTTAGAGAAGCTACATTGTCGCTCTTCCGACGTTTCCGACGCGAGTTGATTTCAGCTTCTAAGAATGACTGATATAAGGAGATGCACATTATCTATGCAAATAGTCTGTCGTGCTTTTTTGTGGGTGGTTGTGATGTATAAGTTGTGCTAGTATTTTGTGGAGTGCGTTTTTCAACAATGTAGCAAATATAAAGATTTTGAGGAACAGAAAACTTTGCTAAGTTTTGTTCGAGTTGGTATTTTGCCTTTTGTCTGTGCGTGAAGGTGTTTCCAGCCTTTTATTCTTGTGACTGCAAAATCAACATACAGCATACCGGTCGGTGCACGTTTGGACCTACTTCACATACATCATAGAGTAGCAAGCAACGAGACGTGTCGCGGCTAGCATCCGTTCTCCAAAACGAAAGCTTGACCACCTTGAAAACTTTCAAAACCTCAAAAACATTTGTTAAAACGATGCCCATTCAGAAAGTAGGAATACCTGGTCGGGAAGGGAAGCTTGTTGGTCTGCTGCAGACCATAGATGAGTCAGTCACTATAGAGAACGGACATGGAGCTGACATTGTCGTTCTAGTCCACGGTACAACACCACGTCCAAACTGTGACGTAAGAAACCCAACATAAGCTCACGCATCAATTCATAGGTGGATGGTCACATAAGAATCTAATATGGCCTGAGCTATGCCACGAACTGCCATACAGTTCATTTAGATTCGACTTTGCCGGCGAAGGTGAATCAGATGGCAGATTCACATTTGGAGGATACCTAGACGAACTGCAGGATCTTGAAACTGTGGTTTTTTATTTAAAGCAAAGGAATTGGAGACCTAAATATCTTATTGGGCATTCTCGTGGGTCGAATGTTACGCTATTGTATGGGCTGAAGCATCCGACTGTGTTTAGAGGGATTGTCTGTTTGAGTGCGAGATATGATATATCGCATGGATTTACTCAGAGGTATATATTTGAATCATGAATATCTGTCATTTTCCGATGGGTGTTTTTTTGGTGCTGTTTATCTTGACCCTCTCGTTCTAGACATTTAAAGGACTTGGAATTCATGAAAGAACACGGCCATTTTGAATTCTCCTTACGCTGGAGAGGCCAGACGCGAGCATTCAGAACCACAACAGCCGAATGGGCCACCTTAATGACTATAGATTCTCACTTGCAAGGCAAACTACACACAATGGACCCATCACTACCTGTACTCATGCTTCACGGCACCTCAGATACAGCAGTCAGTTTCCGCGAAATGGGGCACTACATGTCGAATCTCCCATCCCGGAACAAGACATTCAAATTAGTTAAAGACGCTGATCATAATTGGACGTCTGCTGCTACGAAACGGACGCTCTTTGATATTATTTTGGAGTGGCTGAAGACGCAGGAGACATCTATGGGTGCGTTTGTGAGGACTTTTGGTGGGAGCGATTTGTACGAGTTTAGAGCTCTACCTGGGATTCGGAATGGGAGGGACATAGGCGGGTATCCTACAAGGGATGGAGGACGTGTTGTTATGGGGAGAGTTATGCGCAGTGCTGGGTAAGCATTTCTCTGGTGCTTTTAAATGGTAATTTGCTCCTTTTGTGATGATTTAGTTTTTATTTTCGTTTAGAATCATGCCAGACGTTTCTGACCAAGGAGCACGAGCATTAGCTATCCGTGGTGCTAAAAAGGTGTATGATTTGCGCAGTGATCAAGAAGTTAGAGCTGCTGGTGGTGCTTATGATTTGAGGTATGTCGCAAAAAAGAGTATAACAATCAAGAAGCTGATGCTCACCAATGCCTTTCGCTCTTCATCAATGATAGTGGATACGGAATAGAACGTGTCCATCTACCTATATTCCCTAAAGACGACTTTTCACCAATATCGATTGGAATCAGATTCCGATTGTATGAGCTTGGTGTTAATGGATTTCCTGATGGTATAAATCACTATTTGATCTGCGAATTTTTTCGGCTCGTGCAACTTTTCACCGCCTCTTCTCAAATTTATAGTATACATGACAATGCTCAAATTCGGAGCCCCAATATATGCTCAACTATTTCGAGCAATAATACAAGGCGAGAGATTTGGATTTCATTGCAGTGGTGGTAAAGATCGTGTTGGAGTCTTTACCATGCTGCTGTTGAGTGTTTGTGGATGTGACGATGATATCCTGTGTCGTGAATATGGATTGACAGAGGTGCTGGATCCCCGTAAGTTACTTACATACCCTAGGATTCCAGTTTTTTTTCTCCATCTAATTACCTATATTGATTTTCTCGCAGCACCAACAGCATCAGTCCCAACATTCATACAAGTGGATGCTAAACATGCTGGGTTGAAGCAAATCAAGATTACCCCTGAACGGGCTCTTGATTTGTTATCGTCAAGACCTGAAGCTATGCGGTTGACTCTTGAACGGATTCGTCAAGGTAGAGCACTACTCCAGTTTCACTTCGTTTTGGCTGTAATGAATTTACTCACGCTTGTTTCAATAGAATGGGGAAGTATTGATTCGTACTTGCGAATTGTCGCTGGGTTAACACCTCAGGAATTAAACCAAGTTCGAAAGATCATGGTGCAGAATGAAGAGGATATGTCGCCATCTTTAATAGTATCTAGATTGTAATAGATGAAATACTGAAACTAGCTAGTTATGAAGAAGTGGACGAGAAGGCCTTTGTTCAGTGAGAGTAGTTTGTTATGGCAGCACGCACACATCAGACTTCATTTACTAAGAAACTAGACTTCAAAACGATGCATCGACAGGTACTGTATCCAGGCATTTATTGATCTCCGAGCGATCGCTACACCTCTACTGGTCTTTCTCGATAAAAATGATTTGGCTTATTCGCAGCAAGCAAAAAGCGAGCGCACAAACCACATCCAAGATGCTCCACATTAAGATAGGTTGGATTTCACGCCGGCAGATTAAAATGGATCTTTGACGTGGTCCCAGTCACCATGGGAAGGAATTCCTTGTATGGAGGTATCCACTGACTTTTTGTGAAACTTGGATTCACACGTTGACTCCTAGTTCTTTCTTTGAAAGTTGGCAAGCAGAGCTCAAGACTCGAAACGATGACGCCAGCTCTGCCAACATCCGCAAAGATCCCTACTACCTTCCCAATTGTTGGACAAGTCGAACCAGGATTTGAACGGTTGCGTGAGGCTTTCAAGGCCAATTTTGATGCTGGTGAAGAGCTTGGCGCTGGAATCTGCTGTTACTTGAATGGTAATACCGCATCAAATGCATTGATTCTCGTCCTTGTTGCATTACTGTTGAAAGTGGAACATCACTAATTGCTACATATTTTGTTTTGAACACATGTAGGCAAGAAAGTCGTGGATTTAGAAGGAGGTTACTTTGATGAAACCTATGACCGAGTCTACGCCGGTAGTTTGCAAGTAGTGTTTTCATGCTCCAAGCTCGTGGAATCCATTCTTGTTGCTCATGAGGTCGATCAAGGCACTTTCGGTAGGTCAAATTAGTTATAAATCGATTGCAATGATTGCTCACTTAGCGGAAAACTCCAAGGACTAACAAATTCTCGTTTTGCAATATTCAAGATTATGACGACAAGATTGCTAAATATTGGCCTGAATTCGGTCAAGGAAAAAAGGAAAACGTGCTAGTTAAAGAGCTGATGGCTCATAGAGCAGGTGTTGAAGGGCTGAAGGATAAGCCTACAATTAAGAAGATGCAAGGTGTGTTCGGTGCAGTATGTGCATACTTTCAAGGTCTGCTAGCACAACTTTTTTACTGTGCTCCTTTCTTTGTCATAGATCTGGACGCCATGGCACGTCATTTAGCTGCTCAGCCTCATCTTCATGAGGGTGTCACTACGGAAGTGTATCACGCCTGGACTCGTGGCCTTTACGCTAACGAACTGGTTCGCAGAACCGATCCCCACAAACGTAACATGGGTCAGCTAGTGCAAGACATAATATCGAAGCCTCTTGGAGTGACCTTCTATTTCGGAACACCGAGTCACGTCGACGAGCGTATCTCACCAGTGGTCTTGTACCCATACTCAAACCGTCCAAGAACTGTGGTCGATGAAGCCGATCGTGCAAAGGGAATTCCAGCTCCTCCACCCGGACTATTAGAGACGTTTGATCTAACTATAAATACTGTTGACGTGACGGGCTTGCCACCCCATTCATCTGTACCGATATGCGTTGCGAATACTCGGGAAGGACGTGCTATGCAAGCACCGTCATCTAATGGAGTAACAAATGCGAGGTCTTTGGCCAAGATTGGAGCTGCTATGGCTAATGGAGGGAGTTTCGATGGGGTGACAATCTTGTCGAAATCGGGAATGGATAGGGCTGCTGTTAAGCAGCCTCGAATGGACGTAAGTATCGATGATGTGATGTTGGTGACTGCTGTTGTTTTCAGCATCATCTCGTCGTGGTGGTAGCTTCTGGCTATTCCCCAAAACTCGTTTTTTGTGCCCCTGGGGATGTAACCTCTAACCCTCTCAACGTATGACCAACAGAATGCTCTCTTCCCGGGAACGCAACTCACATGGACAGCTGCGGGTTGGGCATCTTGGGATACTGAGATTGTACCTGGCAGGTAAAGTTCTCACTCACAAATCAACATCAAACTTTCACCATTCTGTCGAAACTAACATCCTCGCTCATTCCTTGTTTAGGCCAGATCTTGGAACGGATCCCGACGTATGTTTTGAAGGATGGATGGGATATGGAGGCTCCCAATTCCTCTTTGATCGCAAAAACAATATCAGTTTTGCGTACGTGATGAACGGATGTGTTGCTGATTCCGTGAGTGGAGACAGACGGACTCCAGCGCTCATTAAATGCTTTGTTGAATGCTATAAGGCACTGCAACAGAAGCAATCGCATCTGTAAAGAGGAATATGGCTATGGACAGAGGCATTGTGACGTATAGTTTCAAGAACAGAGGCATGTAGTTTCAAGTTATCTTTGTGGCCAGTTTGGCATGATTAATTTAAATGGACTATGGGATTTGAAGTTTGCTTGTTGTGTTTGTTACCATCACACCTCAGGGTGTAAAGAATTATTTGTTGGAGTGCTAGATATGATGTATCCTATTGATTCGCTGAACGTAATCTTGGAGGGTTAATCGTAGTTCATTTTGGGGACGTCTTTCTTTTGTGCCAATTTGTCGCTGTCTGCCTGACAAGCAAGTTCGCGCCCTATTAGATCTCTAAAGACTTTTGAGTCCATGAGCAAACACAAATCACTGTGTTGGAGAGGCTAAACACGAAGAGTCTCCAGAACTGCAACCTTCAGAATCGGCTACACTAAGGACCACGGATCCATACTTGCAAGGAAACTACACACATCGAGCCCATGTCTCCGCGTACTTTGGGACATGGCATACAGCCTTGCATTTTCTTTAATCGAGACAAAATGCATCCAATATCCCATCTCGTATCACGAGACTCAAATTGGACATGACTTTGATCCTACTGGAGGAACCAGTGCATCGTACTCTATATTCACGAAACGATGACGTCCCGTCAGCATGAATTCAAATCAGATATCATAAGCGTTTGGAGTGATTCCAGGTATCTGATCTATGATAGGGGGTTTGTCATATGGTTGTTTTGAGGGAGCCGTACGCTTGGAAAAGACTTCAAATGCAGGTAAAAAGCGTTTTAAATCGCTTTCAAAATGCAATTGGTATCCAGATCTCAAATAAAATTGTGGCGATCGCTACGCCTCATAGTGCTAATTTCAAAGTTCAAAGTGTTTGGCCTTAAAACAAGAAATTGTTAACATCAGAATGCCACGGAAGAGAACTCTCAACATTCAAATCATGGATTTCATATCAGGTAATTTTTAATAAATTGTTTACTTATTCCCTGCCGCCTTCCAAATGAAATCTACTTCTTGTGTTATCCACGGACTTTTTGTGAAACTGAATCCTTGTTCGCAGCTTCTGAGATTTTCATCGTAGGGGTTGAAGAGGACGGCTTCATCGCCACTTTGAGTTAGGAAATGTCTACCATCAAGATCCCTACCACCTTCCCAATCGTTGGAAGAGTCGAACCTGGGTTTGAGAGATTACGTGAGGTGTTCCAGGCCAATTTCGATGCTGGAGAAGAGCTTGGCGCTGGAATCTGTTGTTACGTTAATGGTAATACTGCATCAGTTTCGTTGGCTTCTTGCCACTGGTTACATCGCTGTCGAAACCGCTTAACATCCAGACACTTGTTCTGACAAACACAATCCCATTTTGTTTCGAACTCCTGTAGGCAAGAAAGTTGTAGATTTAGAAGGAGGGTACTTTGATGAAACGTATGACCGTGTATACGCCGGTAGTTTGCAGGTAGTGTTTTCATCTTCAAAGCTCGTGGAGAGCATTCTCGTAGCACATGAGGTCGACCAAGGCAATTTCGGTACGTCAAACCCAGCTTGAAATCGATTCTCTTCTTTGAGTTCAATGCGTACTATCAAATTGACTTCTTCTTAGACTATGACGACAAAATTGCCCAACATTGGCCTGAATTCGCTCAAGGAAACAAGGAAAACGTGCTCGTCAAAGAGCTTATGGCTCATAGAGGAGGTGTTGAAGGGCTGAAGAAGAAGCCCACGCCAAAGAAGTTGCAAGGTCTGGTATATGCACACTGGCTGTGCCATGATGTCTTTGCTGTTACCGATACGTTGTTTGAACTATAGACTTGGACGCTATGGCTCCTCATTTAGCTGCTCAACCACATCTGCACGGTGGTAAGACCACCGAAGTGTATCACGCATGGACAAGGTATATACCATTTTGCCAGCCAGTGTTTTGTGCAAGGCCTCAATAACTGACCGTTCTTCGCTTGTACTAGAGGATTTTATGCAAAGTGAGCCCCATCAACCTGAACTACGAACAAAACTCTAAAAGGCAGCTCATGCTTTTCTTCCATCCTCTCAGTGAACTGGTTCGACGAACTGACCCCAAGAAACGCGACATGGGACAACTAGTGCAACAAGTAATCTCCAAACCCCTCGGATTGACCTTCTACTTCGGAACACCCAGTCAAGTAGACGACCGGATCTCACCGTTTGTATTGTACCCATATGCAAACCGTCCCAGAACAGCCGTCGATGAAGCAGATCGTGCAAAGGGAATCCCGGCTCCTCCTCCAGGATTGTTAGAGACGTTTGATCTAACTATAAATACCATTGACGTGACGGGCTTGCCACCTCATCCGTCTGTCCCGATATGTGTTGCAAATACTCGTGATGGACGGATTCTACAAGCGCCATCTACGAATGGCGTTACGAATGCGAGATCGCTAGCGAGAATTGGTGCTGCTATGGCTAATGGCGGCAGTCTTGATGGGGTGACTATCTTGACGAAATCCGGCATGGAGAGGGCTGCTGTGAAGCAACCGAAAATGGAGGTACGTTTCATGTTTGGTTTATCACGGTGGTATTGCTGTTGTCTATACAGAGTATCTTAATCGTTGTGGTGGTTGTGCTGCTTCTGTTCAGATTTGCTTTCCGTTACCGTACGATTGTTATGTGTATACCTCCTCTGTCTTTCTCACTCTATGATACGCAGGACGGTCTTTTCCCCGGAATGCAACTCACATGGGCTGCTGCCGGCTGGGCAAACTGGGAGAACGAGATTGTCCCAAATAGGCAAGTACATTTAGTCGCAACCAGATCATTTGGCATCATTTCTTTCAAATCTAACCGCCCTCATTGTTCTACCTTACAGACCAGAGTTTGGAACTGACTCTGACGTGTTTTGGGAAGGATGGAGAGGGTACGGAGGAAGCCAAAACTTGTTTGATCGCAAAAACAATGTCAGCTTCGCCTACGTGATGAATGGAGCCGTGGTTGACAGTGTAACGGGAGATAGAAGAACGCCTGCCCTGATAAAGTGCTTCGTTGAGTGCTTCAAGGCCCTGAAGCTTAAACAATCACGAGAACAGCAGCAACACCCACAAGCACATTTGTGAAAACATGTGTCGCTTCTGGATGTGATAGTAATGAGATGAAGCATAGTTTTAGGACGATTTTACGATTTCATATGAATAATCAATGGAATTAATGATGTCAACTGTTGAACTTTGTTTTCTGTTCACGATGGTTGGTAATTACATGTGTTTGGGTCATGGATCACGTTCTCACACGTTCCACGACGCGTCGTTATACGTATATTCAGTGTATTCACGATAAATATCTTCTTTTGGTCATAATCGTACTCGCGTTCTCACTCTTGGCGCTCGTGCGGTCAGAATGACTACCTGAACCTGAGAAAGCCGTCAATTTGGAGCAAGCCAAAAGATTACCATAGCAAGCAGCAAGGTTACTATAGTAATCAGAAGGAGGAGTGAATGCTGCTCACTGTATAGTAACAAGGAAGTGATCATGTCTCTCAAGGTACTAATACATAGACTCTCTCGCAATCTCATCGTTGGAATCACATTTCTTGGATTTTGGGTGCGCAAAGATCTCACACCAGCCATGATTATCCAATATAGGAAGAACTAGTGAAATGGAACAGTGGAGTCAAGTGCTTTGAAGCTAATGACTACGAGCGCGCTCTGGATTACTTTGAGGTACTATTGATTATCATCATCAAAACGTGCCACTCTCTTTCTCGTTCGGGATCCAACCAGACACAAACAGAAAGGAGACATGTCAATTCAACCCAATCTCATATTGTAATGACTCCATTCATCAGGCTATTCCAGAAACCTCCAAGATCTCATTCAACATTGGAATGGCTTTCTTGCAGATCGGACACGTCGATGATGCTGTATGTTGGAACCGGGTGATCTCTTGTATCGGAGCTTCCTTAGGCGTTGACCCAACCTTTCGTTATATTGTAGCTCAAAGCCTTCTCGTCAGCTGTACGCAAAGACACATATCTCTCTATCGCATACTTTCAACGTGGATGGTGCTACTTTCGAACCAGGAGATACGAAGAGGCTTTCAATGATTATGATTTGGCATTGGAGGTAACCACTACTAGACGATTGTATCTTGTGTATCATCATGCCAACCCATTCGCTTATAGAAAATGAGAGGTGTCCGATTGATTGATTACACTCAACTTGGACTACCATTCAAGTTGTATTCAAGTCATGTCCAATTCAATCGTGGCCTCTGCTTTATCAAGCTGGGAAGTGTGAATCCTGGACTTGAGGACCTCGACGATGCTTATCGAGATCGTCCAAAAGATTCAAAAGCAGGTATTATGATGACCTGGCACATTTTTTTTTCTTACGATTCAGCCTTTAAGCAAACGAGGCGTATGTATTGTTGCTTATCAATATAATAGCTGAATATCGTACAATCTATTAGACAATGAGAGGATTGAACAGGCTCAGGAACTGGGTCCTCGATCTGCCGACAAGCTATCACTTTTTGATGTGCCACCTCAACTATTATACAAGCCACCTGCATCAAAGATTGAAAATACTGCCAAAGTAGACTATTTGGGGTCTTCCAAAGTCGTCGCTGCTGTTGAAGCTGCAGACAACTTTACAGGGTTTAGTGGGAAAAGGCTTAAGGTAAAAAAAATCTTGTCACCCAGTATCTGATGGAGCATACCCCTGGCCTCTTCAAGGTTTCGTTGCATGTTAGTCTCACTCATCTCTGAACAAAATCTAGGCGGCTACTTTGGATCGCAATACAGCAACACGAGGACCTCTAGATGATGTCCTCCAAGTCGCGGCATCAAGTCCAAACCTGCAACGAGCAGCAACTGCATCCGCCAGATCAAGAACAATAGACACTGTTAGAGGAGACGACAGCAACAATGATAGAGGAGGTATTGCCATTACCCGATCCAAAACGATTGACACTACACGATCCGCCGCGACACTCGACACTAGATACGAAAGTAATAACAATAGAAGTATGACACCAACACCACCCAAAGAACGATCATACGCTTCACCCACCTCTGCAACAACACAATCATCACAACCAACATGGACAACAAGCAGAGGTGGTCGAGCATCTCCTGAAGCACGAGAACCAGAACCTCAGTATATACCACAACAACAATCATCACATGATTCCTCATATAGACCACGAAAACAGTCTTTGAAACCAGATGGTAGTCCATATGGGCAGACGAGAAGACCATCGGAGGAATCAGAGTATGGAAATGCTGGCAGTCAGCGTCGACCATCTGACAATCCGTCGGATTATGCAGGAAATGGAAGGAGGCCATCTGGTGATCGAGAGTATGCCAATCTACGACGACCATCTGATCTCATTAGTAATTCCAGAACACCTACCTCAGCCAGACCTTCGTCGCCAGCACTCAGCTCTCCGGATGCTGGTGGAAGGGTACGTACTTGTTTTGTTTTGTATTGAAATTGAGCTGAATTCGATTTTTGAATGACGACAAGCTAACAAAAAATCTGACTGATTTCAAAATAGATCAAGCTCAAGTGCCACTATGGCGACGACACATTCATGATGCTCATCGCACCCAACACGCTCTTCCCAGACCTGTCATCACGTATAGAAAAGAAGTTCCAATCCACTCATCCATTACGATTACGTTATGTAGACGAAGATGGTGAAAAAGTCTTGATGACTGATCAAGAAGATATGGAGTTGGCATTACGTCTATATGGGTTTGGTGGCTCTGGATCTATATCGGCATCTGAAAACAAGCTGGAGATTTGGTGCTCGAATGAATGAAGTTGTTGGAGTTGAAGAAGGAAGTTTTGCATTTATACAAAAGTATATATACCCACATAAGTTTTCTGGCTAGCCCTTTTTGGAGGGTAGGTTTGATCACCAAAAACAACAGTAAACATGCACCTGATACTCCTGCATCCTTTGTCCATATGCATAACCTAGACAAACGAAAAAGAAGACAAAAAAACACTCCCATCTCATTTTTGTTGTTTAAAAATATAAATAATTCTTCAGTATATCAAGTGCGTTGTGTTGCTCAAGTTATCTTGTTTTTAAAATTATCATGGCTCTCTACAATGATATCTACATCAATTCCCATTTCGTTCTTGGTCTTGTCAATACGAGAAAGATACACTCTAAACATTGCCATGTACCATAGCAGGCCTATTGGGACATCCATGCCTTGCGTTTGCAACGACGAAGCTTCAGAAGGTCGAGGAGAGGAAGATGATGCACGCACTGATATCCAGACCTCGAGGAAGTCTTTCATGGCGTCTTGCGTTAGGTCTCTACTTGGTCTATGAAAAGTTGAGAGATGGTGTGTAAGGCAGTCTGTCAATGGTTTGAGCGAGGTGTGTGGTATGTGCGTGATCGAGAAGAGGCGAAGAAATGGATCGCTAGGCCACCACATAGGTTCAATTCAGTCCTTCTGAAGCACCAACTTACAACCCTCGTTCTTCAACGGCACTCCTTAACTCTGTCTGTGATAGGTTGGTTGTGCCTTCTTTTGCCAGGAGCTGTATGCAAACCAAGAGACGTTTAAGCGTAAGAGTCAGCAACCAAAAAAGAATCAATTGCGTTGGATTTTATTAGTCAACACTTACGACATCATCTTGCAGCACCTCATTAAAGTGTTTCCATAACGATCTCTTCATCCACCATGATGGTGCATATGAATTGAAGCCCATGTACCTGAGAAATGGACGTCGTTGAGGAGACGCGCACCGTGTGATATCACATCAAGTAGTGGTTTTTTTGCTGGTATGTACCTCACAAACTGCCGTAATTGAGCCCTCTCCATATTTTCAGGCCGAAAGTATTGTCCTTGTCCAAAAGCTAGTTCGCGAATATAGAACGGAGATAAGAAATCTCGAGGATTTAACTAATGAAAGTGATATTGATTTGAGAATCAGCTTTGGCAAACGAAAAAAAAACCAGATCATCACTGTCTGTCGCCGTACTAGCAATGCCATCTAAAAACTCACCGTACCACCCGCTATAACATCAAGACATGCTCTAGCAGCCATCTCTTCCCTCACTTTAGCTAGATTGTTCCATCCCTTCTCCTATACGAATACGTTGTCTTGAGCATCGAAACAGTAGCTTCCAAACGCACGCCAATAGTGTTCAAAGCTTTCCAAAGCCTCCAAATTTCAATTTCCATTCCAAACACATACAATGTACTCAGGAGTCAAGCAGGCAGACGGTAGAAACCGAGGATAGTACATCAATATGGCTGGCAGGACTTCCGGTATGATCAACAAGACAAAGAAGAATGGGACAGCCTTTCGGAAGTTTGCATCCGAAGTTCTGACCTAGTTTAACGGCAAAAAACCTCAACATTCAAATAGTGTTTTGGGGTTACAATCCAAACGCAAGCTTGGATCTCACAAGTAGAAGCAGCACATGAAGGGCTCTACTCACAGACAGCTACAAAGCACTCACCAGTAAGAATTCTCTACGCGTCAACACGTACTGCTCCAGGTTTATTCGTTTTCGTAAATCTGATGCGATGCGACCGTCATGCCTCATTGTTTTAGCACCTGAGAGTAACTGTTTCATGAATGCACGTGATGATCTGATGTACGTGGTTAGACGGGTCCATACACTTGGGCGAGACGGTTGTGGTGCTGTTGCGTATCTCCTAGTGAGAACAATGTTTGATGTTTGGTTAAAACTGGTTGTTTGGTTGCAAATAGAGATATGAAGAGGGAGGATACTACTGACCTCATAAGATGGTTTCGACATGCCCAGCAGCATCTTCCAGTCATACGATATGGGTTGCTCATTATGGAAGTGTTTACGAGGAGGACGACGAGGATGCCTTTACGTGATGAGTTATGGAATTCAAAAATTTACTAAATTTACGTGATTTGTGATTTGCTGATTTGGCACGTAAATGTGTAGTCCCGTCCAATAGTCCCGACACAAGGGAAAAGGCGTTCTCAGTCTTTTCTGTCTGGCCAATTCCAATTCCTGACATTCCGCAAAACACGGAAAACAGAGGAGAGGGAAGTAGAGCCGAGCTGTGATCTCGGACTGCCGGGCGCTAGAATATGAGGTTTAGTACTCTCATTCTGGAGGGGGAGCCATTTTGTTGCTCCTCATCCTGGTGTCTGCCAGTTATTTCAAACAAGGTCGATTGCCCTAGTAATCCAATACGAGTTGCTGATGTTATCTTTTGGGAAGGATGAGATTCAAGGCAGTCGAAAAGCGTTTACGCTCGATATTGGCCTTCTCCATTGTGGTACCGACGTTCACTGACATCAGAGAACCAGGGACATTGGTGGCAAAGTGATGGGTTCTTGAAGGAGATAGGTAAAAGAATGCGAATTCATTGCGGTATTGTCAGTCAGAGTGTCTGACTCTATTTTCTCGCCTCTTTGAGTGGATCACGCCGTGCTGGACATGGCTCATTGCCAATGGACACATACTCCCTATCACACACTATGGTTGCACCCTTGTAATGATACAGCACTCATGTGTATACATAGATTTCCACTTCATTCACTTTGCACCGAAGCTCTTGACTCCTGTCACAGTTGGAATAAAGGTTGTTCATATCTGTGGTAGGCAAACCCGAATTGTGACGAATTTTGCAAGTAGAGGAGCGCCCGTGCTCGGCAGCAAAGTCGCTTAAGAATAAAATTGGAGGTATTAGATCGTTGCCACTGCTACGCCTCTTTAGATTGTCTTGCTACGCATTAAAAGGAAACCGTTCATTGAAAACGTGCATGGGAATCTTTCAATTTAGCCTATGTTAGTGTTATAATATGTTTACGCAGGGATTTGATACATGTACGGCTGCAATTCCTATTGCAAGCGTCCCATCAGACTACGACTTCAGCACCTGTATCGTCATCCAAGGATTAATCCAAGGATTCTGAAGTTCACCTATGGTAGAGCAACACACAGCAGCTGGATCTCCAGATCCTGATAATGATCCCATCCAATACTCGTTTCCAGCAAACGAGTTTCCATCCCACGCATACGACGCCACAACCAGCTTATCCGCATCGTCTCCGGTCAATAAAGCAGCTGGCTCTCTACGTGAAAATACGAGTTTGATTCTATTGCCATTGGCGTATTCACCAGTACGAGGGTAATCCAGTTTAGCTGGCAGGTCCTTGTCAAACCAGCTAAAGTCCACTACTCCAACATGTGGTAACTTCAACTCCTTGATAGATTCAACTACATTTTCAGCAAACCAGTATTGTTGCTCATCTGTGATCTGCCAAGCTCCTAAACCAAGGCCGACAAGATGTACATACGCGTAACGGTTCAGTGCTAGAGCTCTTCGTTCTGCTTCCAGTAGCAAAAGCTGAATAGGTATACTGACTCTCTTCTTATATGCAGCAATGTTGAATTGTATCCCATTTGATAGACGAGTCCAGGTACTCGTCGAGTCAATACCATAAAACCTATTCCACATATGATCTAGTTTGCTTTGTTCACGTGCTGATTTGATCATGTAGAGAGAATCCATCTTGTCTAAGTGCTCAAATCTGGCTCCCACCAGACCTATATAGATTCCATCGTGTTGAAAAGTACCGGGTTGACCAGGTTTTGCTTCATTGTAACGAGATCCGTTATTAATAAATAGCGTAGGAGAAGATACTCCTGACAGTAAAAAATGATTTAGCTCTCGAGCGAGTGGTTGCCAAAAAAAAGTTCGGGCCTACCGAGCAATGCGGACAACTGCATTTCATCGTATGAGAGGTAGTCGACTAGATGTATCGATTCCTCGTGATCTGTGCCGACTGATAGCCAATGCATGCCGTTTGCACGAACACCATTGCGCAAAAGCGTAGTGTCGCTAGGCCTAGTAGTTATCAACGTCAGTGACAGTTACGTAGGGGTTCTATACTTCGCATCCAATTTACCCAACGAAGCTTTTAGGTCTCTGCCGTATAAGTCTGCGTATGAAATCTATTTCGAGTTGGTGTAAGTCACATGAAGGGCAAAAAAGCGAGAAAATGGCCGTAATTTTGTCAAGAGACAAACCTTGAACATCCATGCCCTCATAAACAGCCTTATCCACACTCGATCCTTCAGCTCGCTTGAGATCCAAGAACTCTTGTAGCAGCGATAATATCGTGTCATGCACTACTATGGATGTTGACTTTGCATGTTCTACAATTGATGCTTGTAATGTTGGACTGTCCCTTCCAAGATGCGCAACCGAGTTCAGATGTGTTGGCATGTCGAATTTCGAGTTTGAAACGAGCGTGTCAAAGTCAGTCATAGTGAATGCCCAGTCCGTCTGAGAGCTCCTTGCTGGTTGGCATTTGATGTCACACTGGTGATGCTTGGACAAGCACGGCTCGCGCCAGAGCGAGGCGACTACAATATAGCCAGATATTATTAAAATATTAAAATTGAATAGATTAGAGTTGACATCTAATGAGCTACATATATACTACGACACTGGAAACTCAGTAAACTCACCAACTCGTACTGTTTGGGCAGAGTCACAGGGCGTCAAGCAGGATCCTGATTAATGAGAACTCAACGGTATATTGTCGCTCAGCGGCTTTTGTATCGTAAGAAGTTTTAGTCTGGCTGTTATAAGACTTTTATAACAGAATGAAGTTCAACACTTGAGGCAGACACTCAAACGCCTATTTACGCATTGAAAATCAAATGCCCAATCTCGATGTATGACAAGCTCACGGATAATGGGATCGACGCACAGAACTAGAGCAAGTTCTTCAAAAGTACAAAATTGTAACAACAGGACGCAAATGCAATTTATAAACTTTCAAAGCATTTGGAGACCTTTGTTCTCTATATTTCAGTTTGTCTAAACATTCAGTTTGTCTAAACATACATGAAAGATACAGCTAATGGTTCAGTATAGGAGATACGATGTAAGAAGAGCACTCAGCGTCCAACTGTCACTATGAAAACAACACCTCTTGACTTGAAAGGAGCAGCACCGACACGTATACCAAGTCACGATAGTATTTCACATCGATGGCATCCCGTACGCGAAGATACACTCCGGATGAAAGCAGTAATGTGTCCAGCATCACCATGAGGCGTAAGGCTTGAAGATCGCCAATTTTACTTCCTCACAGCAAACCCCTGCAAATCCAAAAGCAAACCAAGAAGCTGTACCATGACCTGAAGATAGTGGTGCTGCTGGTGCTATAGTCCCTCACCTTCCACTTCTTCCATATGCCGCAAGGTCTGACATTTGCCAACAGATCGAGTGGCTGTTTCCACCAAGGCCTAACCATTCGACTTATTGATGGAAAGGATTCAGGCACCACTAGGTGTCGGGGGTACCGGTTTTTTTTTTGAGCGCTACACCTTCAGGTAGAAAGGACCGATATTTGGCCAAGCACAGCACCCCGCCAATTCACAAAGACTCAAGAAGCAATGGTATTTTTCAAGGTTTCGGTTTGTGATATCTTGAGGAATCTCAACTGTTAGCAAACGTTGTTGTAGTATCATTCTTGATCGTTAGCACGCCGTTGCCAGACAGTTCAATTAAGCAAACTCTGTAGTAAAATTCGGCTGCTCGGCACTTGTTCTCAATCCTTCAAAAAAACCATGCTTTTCGTAATCGTATTCTCGTTGAACTTGCGTTAGCACGCGGCAACCAAACTGACAAGAATCCCAAAGACTGCCGAGGATTCAATACCACATTGAGAACCAATTCTAAGAGTTTCACATCAATTCCACATATTCGAAGCGCCAAAAGAGTTCATTGGCATAAAACGTCCAACACCTTTACACAATGTGGTGAAATGTTGGAACATTGTGGCCGACAGACCCCATAGTAGAGTTATCTAAGCCGACAATAAGAGTTATTTTGAGTATAAATCATATAAAATAACGAAATGGCACGAATAAAGATACATGTTACGGTCTTTGCTTCCTTGCACACACATTTACAAAGAACAAGAGACAGAGAGAATGCTTCGAGCCGAGACGCAGGCCGTCAAGGAAGAGGAGCCCGACGAAGTGAGCGAGGTCGACTTGACTCCATTGTCCATAGCTCCTCCAGTAAGGCGCAATTCAACAAGCTCGACCTTCTATGTTGCTAACACACATTGGTTTGATTCGGATTCAATAGACGCCAAAGCTAGAACCCGAACCTCCAATAACACCATTGACCATACACACTAATCTGGCTAATCTTCCTGTATGTCTTCTCTGCTGGTGTTTGTGTGCTTCATCAAAACGTAAAACGCTCATACATGCAAACGGTGATGTAGGGAACGCCTAACAGTGCTAAAAGCAAGATCCTAGATGATAGAAGATTACATGACTTGCAAGATGAAAATGAAATGCTCAAATGTAAGTTCAACCATCTGGGTGGAAGATGCTTGCTGTGCCCACCATACGTGACGTGGAAGTTTCGCAACCAGAGCTTCATCGTGGGCACAAATTGAAGAGCCTCTGTTTTCGAACATGGACTGCCCCTGGCAGATACGGATCTGCGTCCTTTTGGTACATCGGATGCCTCTTCGAGATACTGATTTGCTTTCGTTTCTTGCTTTCTAGTACAATTGCATAAGGTCGTAGCTCAACTGGCCAATACGGAATTCACTTTTGCAGGTAACAACAAAAAAGCCGGCTGATGTTATCAAAGCTTTGATCTTCAAACCAACCTTCGCTCCTTTCATGACATTAGAGAAACTGGACAGAATGAATCTCACACACTTGATGGAAGTCGAAAGATTGCAAACTGAAACACAAGCTGATGCTGCAGAGATGAGAACTGTGGTATGTATACAATTCGGCCTATCTTTTTTTTCTTACTTCTTGCACCTCATCTCTCACCAAAACTCATAAATCAATAGATAAACTCGTTAAAAGAAGAACTGGAAAGAACAAAAGAAGAATTGAAAAGACAACACGACATAAACTTGCTCAATGGTAGTGGTGATGTGGACATCATACTGCAACCATCATCGCCAAACTCGCCATCATTATCACCAAACCAACCAAACAAAGATAGTCCAGGTACATTGACGAATAGCATTATAACAGCTACAAATGGATCATCTCCATTACGAGATTGGGGTATGTTACTTGATGTGGCAGCTTTGTCGATGTGTGGGAATGAGAGAGTTCATAGTGATGATATCTTGTTTTTGACCATTACACTTTTTTTGGTCCAGAATTAAAAAAGCTTCAGATGGCCAATGAACGAGAACGAGACCGTCTAAGTCTCGAGCTCAACGCAGCAATGAAACGACAAATGCAATTGCAGACTGAAGTTGGCATGGTTGAAGATCAATTGATGCTTATTAGTGTAAGTACCTATTGCGTTCGGATTTTCTTTGCTTCCTGCTACATACGCAATTTCTCACATCTAGCTCTTCCAAATAGGGAAAATACCAAGACGCAGTCGAAACAATCGACGTGCTAACAAGAGAAAACGAAGACCTCAAGCAACAACTAGCATCTCAACCAGACATATCTTTACACGATGATGATAGCGATGATGACATACATCATATTCATGTGCATGATGATGATGTCTTGTCCCACAACAACAACAATCACATCAATAGCATCGTCAACAAGAAAAAGTCATTGGCATCATTAAACAAGTCTCCACATATAAATTTGCTTGATCTTGATGATTTGGGGCTGTGAGGAAGAAGGTGAGGAAGGCTTTGGACGAACAAAATATCATAATAAATTCTGTTAGTTTGGCTTCTTAAGTAAATATTATCGGGAGGAAAAGCAATTTGTACACTATATAACGTATTTTGAATACTCTAAAACAATGGTTGGTTCATGTAAATCATTCGGAAAACATTCCAAAGTGTATTCAACACTGCAACAGGTTTTTTTTTGTCAACTGGTTTTTATTCTAACTAGGAAGAAAGTTTTACAAAGTTATTTTGTTTTTATGTCCGGAGGTCTCTTTATATCGAAAGTGGAGAAAGGGGTGTATGTGTGGTGTGTGTGGTGTTTACGAGTTATTGAGAGAAGATGATGGGGGATTATTGAATGTTCTAAAAAAAGCAGGCAAATGAATTTTATACAACGCCATTTCTTGGTTGAGGTGGGCCAGATAAGGGCTAGCTTTTTCTTTTGTGTAGAGCAACTCATAGCTTTTTGGTCTTTTTGACTAGCGGCGTCAAAGAAGAGAGAGGAGCAGCAAGACGTAAGAAAGGATGCTAAGATGATGGGAAGGGAATGTTAGACAGAGTGCCTGTAATTATAACGAGTCATTGCGCTTGCTTTTTTTGTCATCACCAACACAGAAGCAAAAAAAACTATTTACGCCCTTTCAATTGAGATCCCGCACACTCACCATAAGCAATTCATCACTAGTCCCACGCTTATTCACATCCACCTCAAGACATCTTCCTAAAAAGTTCTTGAAGACTCCAGACAACTTTTCAGGTGCTTTCAGCGTTGGTGTTCCATTCGTTGCAATCAAGTATAACGCTTTCAGAGGCTCTTCTTCCAAGTATGGTGGTTCACCTTCCACCATTTCAATGGCCATGATACCGAGTGACCAAATATCTACTTTTGCTCCGTATTCTTTTTGTTTGACTACTTCTGGAGCCATCCAATAGGGTGTTCCGACCATGGTAGCTCGCTTGTTTCGTTCAGAGTTTAGTTTTGCACAGAAACCAAAGTCAGCTGTAAATAGTAAAAATTGGGTCGTGATGATTTGTTAGTGCGTGGTAAGACGAATGGGATGGGTACCACTGGTCAAGCAACAAAAACAACCGAGGATGTGCGGTTAATTGATGATTGACGCTCAACCTTTTCTTGCTCAACTTACTTATTTTGACGTGGCCTTCAGAATCCAACAAGACGTTATCACTCTTGATGTCACGATGAATGATTTGTCGTATATGAAGATGATTCAATCCCTTCAATGTCTATTAAGAATGGAGGATTAGTGAGAACAAAAACACTACTTTTTTCCAACGGCGTCATACACTGATATGCCATCACCAAAACACAAACTCAACCAAACTTAAACAACACAAAATCTTACCTCAAAAGTCACAGTAGCTATCTGAGCCTCCGTCAACTGATTAGCATCAATAATATCAGTCAATGGACCACCCTCCATATACTCCATAACAACCCATAATTCACCACGAACAAGGAAGGAGTCCAAATAATTGACAATATTGGGATGTTGAGATTCCTTCATGACTAGGATTTCATTCACAATCAATTCTTTACGTGGTTGATGAGCCAAATCCATTTGTTTGATGGCTACTGTCGTTTGATTAATCATGTTTCGTGCTACATATACAGATCCAGATGCTCCTTGTCCTATTTTCTTGATTTTGGAATACGTTTGAGCTGGATCGTTCTTGGATACTACTCCTCGTAGTTTCACCATGATTTCAGCTTCAGTCATTGTTGACATTCGTTCGGATTTCGTTGGTTTCTTTGCTACGGCGGCTGGTTCCTCATATACTTGTTGTGGTGGTGACAGTGGTTTTTCGTCTCGGATAGGTCGATCTTCTCGAGATTTTGATCTCATCAGTTCATCACCATTCATATCACCATTACCATTATTAATATTACGATCTCCTCGATCAGCACGTTCTGGACGTTCTACTCGTTGTGGTTCAATTCGTTCAGGTGGACGCCTACTAGAGTCTGGCATGGGTCTTCGTACTTCAGGTGGCGGTGCTCGATTAGCGTAATCAACAGGTCGTGAAACTTCTGGTGGTGCTCGTCGAACTGGTGCTTCCATTCTATCACCTCGATTGTCTCGTACATCTGATCTTTGTGATCGAGCATCCCAGTCTTCTCTGTCAATACGTTCATTATTACGATCCCTCACATCACCATCTCTGTCACGGGAATCATACATGTCGTTACGAGCTGGTGAATCATTTCGGTAGCGGTCTTGTTGTAGTCTTTGTGGTCCGGATGTCGGTATGGTACCATTGTCGATGGTATGAGGAGGACGTGGTACTATGGCTGGTCGATTTGGTGGTGGTGGTGGTACTACTCGGGTGTTTACGTGCTAAAAAACGACCAGTTAACATCATATATGTCAACACGTTTTGAAGCCTTTAGAACTTGAAGCCCTTCAAATTACCTGTAATTGTGGTGATGAAGATCCATAAGGCGATGACGATGATTGCGATACATTATCATATCCATTTTCATCGCCATAACCTTTACTATTATACGGCCTTTCATTGGAATCCATTCGCCTCTGACTCGGCGGTGATCGTAATCGACCTGATGCAGCAGCACGATCCTTTTTCATGTTTTCAGTATAGAATTCCAGCACGTCCAATACTGCTTGTGGATTCTTGTTCATGTCTTCCTTTGTAATGGAACTGTTTTCAAGTAAAGCAATCCATTCCTTTGGTAAGCCCTGTGGTAGATAAAAGTGTTAGCGAAAGGAAGGAATACAGGAGAGAATGATTCTTGGTATTGATGGCTACTATTATGGTATACACGTCACTTGATAAAGCAAGACACCGCATACCGTAAACAAGCCACTGTTTGCATCGAAACCAACATGAACGTTATGTGAAAAGTTGGAAGGAGCTGATATTCCAGCTGGTGAGCATCTCTGCATGATAGAAAACAAACTGTTAGCTATGACTCGTCGTCGCATTGTTGTATCGCCACCTCCAACCGTCTTAAACATACCGAGTAAATTTCGTCAATCCAAGAGTATAGCTCTTCGTCACTCTTGCAGGCAATGTAATACGTCTTGTCCTTTGTCATGATCTCAAAGCAGTACGGTTTCAGTTCTACTCTGTTGACTGATTCGACTTCCTTGAGAAAGATGAGAGCTACAGCTTGATAGGCGTTCTAAGCGTTGGATAAGTTGCTTAGAAGTTGTTTTAAGTTCATTCCAATTGCGATTTTGCTGTCAATGTCGGCAGCACAAAGTCAAACCCTCTTGTCTGTTGTCTCAGCTAGTATTTGCATGGCGCGGGTATCACACCGCCAAGATGTTCTTGGATTTAGAGCAAGGAGCAGTACTTGGGTAGCCTGTCTGCAATATAGGAATATGACAGCAATAAATAGACGCATAAACTTGCCTCATTCCTATGGAAAGTCAATGTCTGTTCTCGTAAAAGGAGCCACCTCTTTGGCCACATAAAGCTCCTGAGTCCATCTTCCTTGACGAGTGTGTAGCCACGCTTTACAACGTATGAGGACATGGCTGCCTGTCTGCTATTCCTATCTGCGAATCCAGCCTGCCTTTACTAGCACTGGCTCACTTCCTCAAGTTGTCCGACTCGAAAGTAATGTTAGTGTTGGCTCCCAAAAGATACTAGCTTGCTATGAGATGGAGACACTCGACACGGTGGCGATATTCTCTCTGATCTTGCCTATTCGATATCCTCTCGATCTCGATCTCGTCCTGCTTGGAGAGAATGCTTGCTGCTTGCGAAATTTGTTTCTGATTGGAGGTCAAAGGAAAGAGACTGAACAAGATTGGTTCAACAGCCATAGGGACCGTATCAAGACGTGATTTTCAAGCACTGCACCTCATCTACACGCTTTACCACTCCTTCCTCTTACATGAAATTCCAACATCACGAACAACATTTGTGAAAAACAAGCTCAAGTCAAGATTTACACATACGAGTGCAAGTACCAGTCATCTGCAAATCGCTAATTGAACCTAAAATTTCGTTTTCAACATGAGTCTGATAGTTATATTGTTGCAAACTACAATTCGCATAGTTGCTGCGTTCCTCGTCACCACAAGTCGCAACCACTGCGTCAACTTTACAAGTTTTTTGGCTTGGAAGCAATTCCGAAAGCTTCAGGACTGATCCAAGTTTGTTTACTATCCGTAAAGATTTGTACACTTGGTTTCACCTTGTCAATGTATTGATGATCAATACAACCGGTTTTGATTGCCCGGATGTGTGGGTTTCCACTGGAAAAGGAGTACAGAGAGCTTCCTGGAAAGTTGAGAAAAACAAACGGTGTAAGCATCAAGCTTTGTATGTTTGCGAGGATTCGGATGCTTCTGTTTTACCACAAGTTCCACAGAAAGCTCTGGTATTAACGTTTCCAGAGTCAGATGACTTGTCTTCATATATCTTGGGAGTTCCTTGTGTGATTGTTAATGATCCAGCTAAAACGACAATGTTGGTCCCGAATGCAGATCCACTTGTTCTAATACAGCAACAGTGTTAGATAAACGATGTCTTGAATTGAAAGAGCAGGCAAAGAGCCCTTACTTTTGGCAATTGAGACAGTGGCAAAGAACTGAAGCCAGCGGCTCGTTTTCAATGCTGTATCGAACTTCCCCACAATTGCAACCTCCCGTGATAGTCATACTAGACATTCAGCGATACGGAAGCTGTTAGCTACTATCGGATCTCCTTTTAGACGCTCACTGATACATGCCGCTGTCCGGATGTTTGGATGATCTTCAGAAGTTTGACCATACACATACCTTGATTTGGTTATGGGACCTGAGAGTCGAGATGCGGTTGGAGGCGTAAAATGAATGTTCCTTGGATTGGTTACTTTGAAGAAAAGCTGACTTAAATACTCTCAAAGCTCCAGATCAAAGGCTCATCCAGGGGTCCTAGGTTTTCGGAATAACAGGGGAAATTTTTCTGCGTGTCTTAATAATAATTAAGCCACTATTTCTCATCGCCGTTTGCAATTCAAATCATCCCAGTCAAAGCATTCGTGGATCTGGGCCCTTGCTTTGCGGCGCCTTGCAATCAGGCTTGCAGTTTTAAACCTGTCACAACCTGAGTCAAGCAACCAGTAACTGACATTGACGACGATGAGAGATAGCTGACATGCAACGTGAGGTGTAGGATGTTATAAATAGTAGCTGTATTGCTCATTCTTGTCGTCACGATCATCAAAGTCAAACGACAACTACCATCAACAACCGCCATCGTCTACTGCACTTTCATGAGGTACCGCCCTTGGCGCTAACGACAGTGTTGCAGCACCATCACTCCTCCCTACAGTCACCCTTTCGGCTTGTAAGGAATCTTTAAAGCGTCGGGGTCAAACCAAGTTTGTCGACTGTCAGCGTATATCTGATACGATGGCTTTACGGAATCGATGCATTCGTGATCAAAGCATCCAGCTTTCATGACTCGGAGGTTTGAATTGCCGCTAGACGATGAAAAAATGCTGCTTCCTGTCGGGGCGAACGATATGGTGAAGAATACATCTCAGCGTCGTCGACAATGAAATTTTTTGGACCACAATAGGCATGTTGCTCCAACACCATCATAATAAACAATAAATCAAGTGACAATATGCATGTCATGCATGTGTTCATATCCATACATACCACAATTAGCACAAAACGCTCGAGACAGCGTGTTTCCAGAATCAGTAGATTTATCTTGATATACTTTAGGCTCTCCACTTGTAAAAGTTAGATTATCTGCCATCGTAACCCAGTTGACAGAGAATGCGCCTCCACTTGTTCGTTGGCAGTTCTTGCAATGACAGAGAGTAATTCTGACTGGTTCGTTTTCGATCTTGTATCGGATCTGGCCGCAGTTACAACCACCTGTAATAGTCATCTGATGTTGAAAAAGGTGAGAAAAGCTGGTGCTGTGATATGTAGTAGGATAGGAAGGTCGGCAAGAATGGGGAACAAATTGATCGACATGGCGATGCTGAAGTGTATCAGCAATGATGGGAACTTAATGACATACTCTACGTGTGTAGTGTGGATATATGGCTCTCCTCTGGATACTGGCTTTCTATATGAAGTTGCTGTTTTTTGCAAGTGCGGCAATCGAGTTCGTCCAGTTCGTGTGTCATACGAAACTTCAAGTTAGCGAACGCTTGACTCAAAGAACTAATAAGGACTTACTGGGAACGGCCTGCATATTCGCTTTCTCTTTCGGCAATCCCGTATAAACTTTTAACATTCATGTGTCTGTCGCTCAGGTTGGCACTTTAGATTTATCACACCAAGTTCACTTAAAAGACTCGTGAAATGCAAGCTGACGAACAACGCTCAGTATGGCTTCTTTAGAAGCTATATTCGCTTGCTTGCTGTTACAATAATTAAAGTCCAACACCAACCAACACCAACCAACACCATGGTTTCCCTGTCTTATAAGGTTGCCTCTGAATCTAGCGCCCTTGCCACACCATCAGCACCATCACTCCTACCACAATTAGCCTTTGGGTTTTGAAGGAAGCTTCAAAGTCTCATGGTCGACCCAAGTTTGCTTGGAGTCAGTGTAGATCTGTGACGATGGCTTTACAGAGTCGATGCAATCTTGATCGATACATCCAGCTTTCATGATTCGGACGGCTGGACTTGTACTGGAAACTGAGTATAAGCTGCTACCTGTAGTACGCAAGGAGAAGAAGCAAGAAAAGTCATGTCAGCATAGTCACCATTACATAATGTTGAAACACTGCAGGTATGTTGCTCCAGCATTTTCATAACACAAAAATGTCAGGCAAGTAACAGACATGTTCGTATCCAAACATACCACAATTAGCACAGAATGCCCGACTCATCGAGTTTCCAGAGTCGGTGGATTTATCTTCATATAGTTTAGGCTCGCCCGCGGTAACCGTAAGATTATCCGCCATGGTAATGAAGTTCACAGAGAAGGATGCGCCACTAGTTCGTTGGCAGTTCTTGCAATGGCAGAGGATTGTGGTTAGGGGTTCATTGTCGATCTTGTAGCGGATTTGGCCACAGTTGCAACCTCCAGTGATAGTCATCTGTGGTGTAGGAGGTGAGTCAGTTAGTGTGCCGTTATGTACAGGTGGTCTTCACGCAACAAGAAGTTGGGTTCAAATTGCCCGATGAGGCAAAGCATGTGATGTCGTGCATGGATGATACTGAGAAAGCAAAGACTTACCTTTGAGTGTAGCCTAGTTCTTTACTGAGATATGTCGTTAGGTGCTTGACACTGGTTGCCTATAACAAGTTGCTGTTTTTCTGCAAGTGCGTCAACAGCGGGTCAGAAAATGAGGACTTTACTATTCGCGTGTCGTACAACACTGCACACGTGTGAACGGCACATTTTGTCAATGGTTTGAGGTTGAACACACTATTCATTTATAGGAAATGGCCTACATTGTCGTTTTCGACGTGCCAAAGTTTCTTCCATCAACTGCTCAGCCCAAAAACATGCGTTTGCACTCAATTATGAATTAGTTCGTTCCAAACAAAATGTTCACGTCTACATTTTAGCTTTAGAGTCCATCTTAAAAACCGTATGATCAAACCATGGTTGCTTTGAATTCGTATAAACCTGGGCTTTGGGTCTGATAATGTTGTTGTAATCGGCATCAATGCTTCCAGATTTGATAATCATTATATCTGGTGCAGCCTTGAGTGCTGAATATAAGCTACTTCCACAGTCCGCTATTGAATATAGGGTGTTGGCTAATCAATTCAGTAAGACAACAGCAGATGCGATTCAAGTGCTTACGACAAAATCCTCGGTAGACTGGTTTTCCAGAGTCAGTTCTTCCATCCGTGTAAACTTTGGGGCTTTGCATTCCTGTGAATTTGACATCGCTCTTCTTTACGATCACGTTTACCGAGAATGGGCCTCCACTTGTCTGATATTGAATAAAGGAGATAAAAGAGTGTTAGAAACTTCTGAGATTGGAATCGAATGGGTCTCATCCAGACCATCTCAGTCCTTCCGTTCCAAAAAAAGACAGAAGCGTACCTTCTGACAGTTCTGGCAGTGGCATATCTAACAAACCCCAAATGCACAATGTGAGTCACAAAATGTTGTTGATGAGCTTGGTTCAAAGACACAAGACCAACGAAGGACGGCAAGTAATCATCAATTTAAGACTCGTAATACTCATATTAAACGTTAAAATCCAACACTTTCGCTCTTAAACTCACCAAAGTCTGCAGTGGTTGAGATTCACAGTTGTAACGAACATTTCCGCAGTTACAACCTCCAACGAAACCGTAATCAGTAATATCACCCATCGTCTTCTTCGTTTAGGACTTGGAGAGATTCTTTGTTTACAGCTTAATGGATATTCGATGAGTGGTGATTTGGACGACAAAAAAAAGAGTCACACACCATACAAAGCAAGCACTGACGCAGTGACGCATTAACCCGCAGTGCAGCTACTACGTCAGATACGACAAGATCGACACTTTACGCGATTTCATTGAAGAACGGAAGAAACTAGAACCTATCCTGTTAAAATACCTGGCAGTTGTCGCCGCGACAAACGAAATCAAGACATCACAGCTGAACAAACTCTGGAGCATTTTTTCATCTCGCCTCTCACGCCCTTGTGGTTAGCAAAGCACCTCAGCATGAACTCTGCAGCACACTGGCAAGCACTGTTTCGTCTGACGGATGAATCATTGAAGTGATCAACAGGCATAACAAGCCTCACATAATCGCGCTTTATCACGTCGAAAGACGTGTCTTACTACGTTTAAAATGCTAAATTTATAACATCATATCTGTAATTCGTATACTTTAAATCTGTCCCACGGTTTCTCCTGAAGAAGTTATCTAATAAACATTTAAAACCAACCCCCAACTCCAAACTATTCCTACAATGGATACAACTGCACCTTCGCTACCTGCATCACCATATCAACCTCATCCCTCTGCACCCACTCCTCAGCAATCTTGCCATCCACAAATCTAAAATTGGCAATAGCATTCCAAGTACACGGCGTATCCTTCTCAACTTTAAACGATCCAAGACGTGATCTAAACATGCCTCCGTTCTTAATTACGGTCGTATGATGCACTTGCACGGATACAAAGTTGTCGCTGATGACAAAGTTCGACAACTCGGAATGGAATTGAGAGAAATCAGAGAGTCCGGCACCGAGTGTTGGCATGATTACTTGAAGAGACGACCATTCGACGCCAGGTCTGTGCATCTTTACCTTTTCATGGCGTGAGTTGTAAGTCTCGTGGAATTTCAGAACCCACAATGTTTGACAAAGGCCAGTTCATATTACATCTGGTGTGAAAAGAGTAGGCATCAAATCCACGTTTTTGTTATCTAGCACTTCTCGAAAGTATGTTTCGACTACTGCTTTCCGGTTCATTATTAGATGTTTCCTTGTTTTGGTGAGTTTGCGTCGAAGATTGGAATTACTGCTAGTAAACTCAGTAAACTCAGGACGACCAAAGCAACGACTATTAAAACGCGTCGCCAATCATCATACGGATCATACCAAAAAAATTGACAGACAAGGAAGCCATTCAGCGTGATCTTACGGGTATATAATGCAAAGAAATGGTTCTATATTATATTTGATGCAGTTCGCAATATCCCCTCTTTAAAGGATATACAAGCCCGTCTACAGATATACACAAAGCGTCTCCTCACATCTCAGCAACAGAACCCCTTCTGACTCTTTCTCTGGTACCCTCCATTCCAGGACCATAATACATAACTCCAGCAGTAGTTGACTTTGGCGATGATGAACCACTTTTAGCATCCAAATGATGATTCCATCGATGGTATTGCAGCCTGCTTTGTTCACCATATCTCCATACGTAAAACACGATTGCGTATGCGAATAAGAAAGTGACAGACAATAATGTGAATAGGTATCCTGTTCCTTGTGGTCCCAGTGCTGATTCTAGAGGTGTGACAAAGAGAGCAGACATTGAGCCAGCGAGACTTCGTAGTGCATTGTTTAGTGCCATTATGGAACTTGAGTGGCCTGATTACAATTGAGACTGGGTTAGTAAGACTTTGATCTGGTGTAAACATGTGAGGTAGTAAGCTATGTTTACCAGCGAAACAGTCGACGAGATAGGTGTTGCCAATCACGAACGGTGCCATCTGTCCGGCTCCAAAAATGAATTGACCTAAGTTTTCAAAAAGGCATCAGCAACTTGCGCTATTGTACAGCCCCTTCTGCTAAGTGTTTTACCAAACATTGGAGCATAAAATGGTGCTCCTAGTGCAATTGTCCAACCATGTAACAGCAATCCAATTGGAACCGCTACATTAACAGCCAAGAGTTAGACATGACAATACACTTTTAGGCTGCTAACGGAAGCAGATACTTACTCCAAGATGTAAGAAGAGAACCTTTTAATCTAGCTTCAGGAACCGAGGCAGTTCTATCTTGTTTCAGATTTTCAGCGAGTTTGACTCGAGCGCCCTAGTTAAACAATTGAATTATAAGAACATCACTTGACGAAACCTAACGACATCTAATAATACGATACCTCCATGACCCTATCAGACAATTTACCGGCAAACACAGTACCCAACAAGTTCCCAATCGTCATTGGAATATATGCCAAACCCGCCTGAAACGGATTAAACCCATACTTTATCTGATAATCTCTCGTCAACGACGTAGCAAGACAATACGCAATCATGTATATGATACACGAATTCAGTATCATCAACGATATCGGTGGGTATCTCAAGAATTTAAATGTGTCGAGCGGGTTGCTGAGTTTCGATCCCGACGATCGCAATAGGTATAAGGTGGTGATTTTCGGATCACGTTCTGGGTCGTACCATGTGGGGACGAGTGTTTCGTCCATAAGGAATACCATGCCTAAGAGTACGATCAAGCTGTATGCCGAGAGAAAGTAGAAGATTGAGCGCCATCCCAGATACTGTGTGAACGCCCCGCCTATGAGAGGGCCTGCTAGCGGCCCGATCTGAGGCCCTAAGATGTACCATCCCATAGCTGTGCCTCTCTCGTGAGGAGCAAAGAGATCAGATATCGTGCCTACGACAGAAGGATGAGTAAAGAAGAGCAAAGACTGTTAGGAGAAACAAACAAGAGTAGAGAGTCTTGGAAGAAACAACAAGAGTAGAGACTGTTGGGAGAAACAAAAAAGAGTGTTGGGAGAAACAAACCGTACCAGCTCCAACCGCTAACACACTCGATCCACCGATAGCCTGAGCAACACGAAGCACCAGCAACATTTCAATCGACGTTGAGAATGAAGTTGCAATACTTGTTATGAAGAAGATAAATAGCGACAGGATGTATGTGATTTTGCGTCCCTTGCTGTCTGCTATTATACTCCATAATATCGGACCCCAGCCTATAAGCAGTATGTAGCATGTCACTGTAAGGTTTACCATTGTTGCTGTCGTGTTGAATTCTTGTTGGATGGTAATCAAAGCTCTAAAGGAATGAGCTGTCAGAGTCAAGTACTGTAGTGCGGGAAAGTCAAGTTCTGCGACATTGGCTGGCGACAAGCAAACCGTACATACGGGTAATATATATTTGTACTGAGTGGAACGAGCACCGCAGCACTCGATATAAGCACCAGTGTGCTCCACTTTTGAAATTCGGTGAATCTTGAATACTTTTGTTGAACGACGTCAGTTAGTGCCGGTCACCAGCGAGAAGCAAACAAGCTATTGTTTCTACCTTCCAGTCATTCAGTTTCAACATCCTAGGATCAGAACTATCAAGAGATGCCATAGACATTCTTCCTGATCCAACATCGTCCCCGTCGGTGGTTTCTTTGACATCAGCTACAAAGACGGAAGCACATGAGACCTCGTCCAGTTCTTGTATCTTGACACCATCTTCATCGCCGGGAGCTAGATTAAACAGCGGTTTTAGATTGAACACATGTGTAAAGCGTTGTGTTTCAACATTTGCGATCAATGACAGATTTTACATACTTGGGACATCCAACTTTGCAGCGGAATTGCGCCTGGATCTACGACTCAATGAGGTCGGCAGTTTCAGCGATTCCGACGACGGTGTCGAATTAGTTGACTGTGGACTTGATTGGACAGGCTGTTCGTTGGAGACAGCTCCAGTTTCTTTCAACAGCTGAGTTACAGATCTAGCAGGACTGGTATCAGAGTCCATAGTGCCTTCTTTCGGCAGTCCCATATCCATCTTTGGGAATTGAAACTGCTCGCAATGTGGTGAGAAGTAAAACTTTTCCAAAATCCACGAGATGCAACTTAGCTTTCTTACGTCAAGATAAAAAAACTGACTCGTCCAAAACTAACAAATTCAACCAGGTAAACGAATTATGAAAAAAGGCTGTTCATGCTGCTGCTTTAAGCTGACTTTGATTCTTCGTGGTGCATCCAGATCGCTGTTACAGTGTTGTGTTTTGGGCAGCACATCGGGCAGTGGGTCATGGTGACCTCTATAATAGCTCTTCGTTGTGCTCTTGAGGACGTGTTAGATCTACGTGAGTATCCTTTAGATCATCAAGTATGGACAGCAGAGCGAAGTTGTCCAAGAATCGTTTCCCACAAAAGCGCTTCCATTCTTCTGGGAGAAACGGTGTTTTGAGTAGTAGAAATTGTCGTGAACTACAATGATCTTTGATTTAATTCAGGTATTTGCATCTGCCATTAGGTATCCGGCTTGCACGTTTTCGGAAAAATCCAACATTAAACATAAATCTCACTGAACTAACTGAATAAAGCTTGCAGAGGCAAACGTCCAAACATTGATCATCGTTGGTGCATAACTCAACAATGGGCCTTCATCAACTCTCTCGCTCAAGATGAAACCTTAGCACCGAAGCTCCTCAAGTTATATATTTGCCTGAACCTGGCAAGTCATGGCGGTGTACGTATTGTGGAGTGGACCATACGTCCTGCAAAAGACATGGACCTCCACAATACCATAACCTACGTAGAGCATGCCATGCGAGGTGGAAACGAGGAAAGATATTAGAACACGAATATCATACCAATAACAGAAGTCTATTACCAGAAATTTGAAGAGATAGTGGGACGTTTTGAGGATTACTTGGAATTGAATGGATTCACGTTGATACCGAGTAAGGGGGTCTTCGTTTCCATCAAAGAACGCAACACCATTTTACCTGCAATCACGATCCCACTCACGTGAATTCCGTTGGTCATCAAGCAGTGCTGTCTTATTTGGATCCTGACAGTCTCAACAACGTACAGCGCACCATTTACCTTTGTATCATTGAAAGTTGGAGAGCAGAAGAACAAAGGCTGTCAGCATACCTAACGTCCGAAGGGTTCAAACTCCATAGTAACGAGAAATACATTAAATTCGAGGATTGAAATTATGTATATCAATGCCTCTCAGGTCACCTGAGTGAATTAGGTGATACGTGTATGCAGCATCTATGCCACGTCACTTGTCTTCACGAAGACGTCGGGTGTCAATATAGACGAGAGACCTGCATTACCGAATGCATTATAGATTATAATCTTCACGATCCATCCTCTGTATTGAATCATTGTCAGTGTGGACTCTCTGCAAGCTCCAAGTCAGCCAAGGAGATGCTCGATACGTTTTCTATAGAGCTGTTTGGAGCCACGTGCCATGCCCGAGTCACCGCTAGTATAGACAACAACGGCATAGTATTAGAAGCCACAGAAAAGTGTCTGATTCGCTCTGACGGAGCTCTCCTCGCTGACGAGTGGTTGGGTACTTCTCGTCCGGAACGTATCACGCTAGAGTTGCGCACTTGTGATTGCTCAGGTGTATCATCTGTCATGACTGATGGTATATTGGTTGCTCTCTGTCAACTCCTCATTCAATCTTGGGTTGGTGCTACACAAGCTCGCAATGTAAATCTAGCCAGAATGTATGCGTGCGGTATCCCGGATGATGAGTCAGTACTCTTAGCTGTAAAACGATTATGGAAACCCATGCGTTTCTGTTGCCGCGAAGAGGCGGAAGATGTAGGAAATTTTACAGCTTCATCTTTTCAGATGGTGTCGGATGATCGGCTAAGCCGTTCTGCACTGTTAAAGCCTTCAGTTGCTGCTTTATTAGATGACAACTTAAGGCCATTAAAGAAACATCGACAAGACATTCTATCGTATGTACGAACAGGAATCATATCTCAATCTATGACAGCTATTCTGTCAGGAGAAGATATGCATGAGCTTGAAGAGGCTAGTGAGGCTTCACTTTTGGTAATGGATGCTGATAATTGTATTCACCTTTCGTTGTTTGAAGTAGGCTCGTTTCTAGGTCAATTCGTCAACGAGCCGACCCACTGACCGTGATGAGTCTAATGTGTAGACAATGGAAGATTTAGACTTGGAAGGTGGTGGTGGTGCTTCCAGCAACAATGCAATCCCACCACCACCTCCTCCTGAACTATCAACGTCACGACCGCAGCGTCGCCCCAAGCATTTCGTATCGAAAGTAGTGACGATGAGATACCAAGTCCTAAACCCCTACCAACCAAGGATGCTCAACCATCAAAAAGGAGTATAATACGTGGTAAAGAGTCAGTGGCTGCGGTAAGGAAACCATCAAAGAAGAAACGAAGGACCACTGGTGGTGAAGGGTAGAGACAACAAGATGTATATTCTATTACTTCCCTAATATCGAAAGTAAAAACTAAAGTAATGATGTATTAAAGTAATGGAGTAACTTACCAGGAGCGACCGATACGAGGTTTTCTAAGTTCACCGTTGATGTGTCTAAAGGAGATTTGATTTTGTTTTACATCAAAAGTTCAATGCGATGACCGTCCAACTAGGGTTTTTAGAACAGGTGAATCCTGGTAGCCTGAAGCCAGATATAGCTGATTTCCCCTCCAAAGTTGGAGGACAACCTGTACGTATCAAACTTGACAAGACTTTTGAAGCTACCTAAAAATCATCGTTCGCTCATATAGCTGTGGCTCAATCCGCATCATATACTGCCTGCTGAACGTGCATCATGCGGAACTTGTCGAAATCCAATGGTCCTGCTACTGCAAGTAAGTGTCTTTCATCAGATCAACCTTCATCTACGCTGGAAAAAAAACTAATGTCCTGCACTTTCACAGATCTATACACCTGAAAAGGAACCAGCCGAAGCTTATCATCGCTGCATATACATGTTTTGCTGTAAAAATGGTGCTTGTCATCGAAGAGACTGGAGAAACTCGTAAAATACCGTTTTGATCAAGCATGCTGATTCAAGTTTTGACCATATGTTTCGTAGGTTTAAGGTGTTTCGCTGTCAATTACCACAAGTTAATGACTACTATGATGAAAAGCATCAAGTCGTGGGAGATCGAGGTACTTCGTTCATCAACCTCAAGAATGGACAACAAAAAAACCTAACAAATGTCCACCAAATAGCCAAACAGTGTAAAGTATGTGGCCTAGCAGGTCCCAAACAATGCAGCAAATGCCACGAAGCCTCTTACTGTGGTAAAGAGCATCAGGTATTCCACTGGACACAAGGGCTCCACAAATCACAATGTGGTCAACAGCAACAGAATACCAAAGTACTGGAAGATGATGAAAGGGTTCTCAGAAACTATCTACTATCCGAATACGAAATGGTGATTGAAGACGAACCTGATGTCGCCATTAAGAAACTACGGGATGGGATGAATCGTGTTGAAGTGAATAACAGCAGTGACCAGCAAGGATCGTTAGCTATGGTTCCGTTTGGACAGGAAGAATATGATGAGTCTGAAGTCGGGGTGGATAGAGCGTTTCTGAAGTTTCAGAAGAGGATTACGTTTGAGCCTGAGCAAGTTTTGAGGTATGTGTGGTTTGTGGTTGCAACAAAAACACAATCATTCTCACGATCGATGTAAATCTTTGAAATTAGATATTGCCGCGTAACTCCCTCGGCACTTGACCCAATACCACCACTATGGCCATCCGAACTCGACCTCCCAACATCACAACACATAAAACAATGTCCCAAATGTCAATCACCTCGAGCTTTTGAATTTCAAGTGATGCCACAACTATTAAATCATTTTGACATCAACCATCTTGATGTGAACGCTCTAGACTGGGGTACACTGGCAGTGTATACGTGTAGTAAGAATTGTGTAATTGGAGACGAGTATGCTGAAGAGTTTGTGTGGAGGCAAATGTACTCTGACCATGGAGTGGCGGATCAGTTCAAGCAGAACAGGAATGACAAATATAGTAGAGAGCAGTAAATTATCACGCATTTGTATATATTTCGAGAAACACGTATAGATCTAATAGTCATGTTCCGTGTGTAACTGGTATTTTTTTGAGCAACCTTTGGACCTATAGCCTGATCTAGCCATCACAACCGGAAAGCGTGAAAGGTAAGCACCTATAACCTCATAAACTTAGGTTTCCTGATACTCTCAGTCTCCAAAGTGCCTCCGATCGCTATAGGAAATTCTTCACAATTCTTGAATCAAAAATCCACGCTTCAGCAAACTCAAGAAAACATGGTCTCTGAGTCAGCAAAGAAGGCCATAAGTGAAATTAGATCCCTGAATTTCGGCATTATTGATTGCCATCACCATTTCTGGTAGATACATTTGCATCAAACCTTTGCAAGATAACCTACATTTGACACCTTGCTCAACATTTCACACTATTGCAGGGACAACACGGACTGGAGACGTACGAATTCACGTCTTGCGTACCTCCCACTAGAAAAATACGGTCGTAAACCTCTTGCCAAACCACTGCCACCACCAAGACCAGACCAAAAGACATTTGGTTGGCAATCCATGAGTGCTCAAGATATCGATAAATCTCTAGTGGTATTTAGTTCAACCAGTTCTTTATTTTTTCGCACCTTACTCAGCCCATTATTCTCCTCTTTAAGCAAATGGAGAGAACATATGGCAGTCATCAGCCAATGATGATGAACTACCTCCTGACTGACTTATACGATGATTTGGACGAAGGCAACATACCTTTGGACGGGACAGTCTATGTCGAATGCGGGTGGAAGGAATCTGATCAGGCTGGTGAAACACGATGGGTCCAGACAAATGCGTCTGATCGAACGATGAGAGTTGGAGCTGGGATTGTTTCTCATAGTGATATGTTAAAGGATCCTAAGGTGAGTGCTCTGTTGATTTGATGTTGGTTTTGAATCATGCAAAGGTAGACGGAGTAGAGCCGGAATTACAACATCATCATGTTCTATTCTGTTGCGTGACACCTTCCCTAACACTGTCTATGTAGTACGTTAAAGCAGAACTCCTCCGCCACGCCCAAAATCCTTCCTTCAGAGGCATACGATACCAACTAGCTAAACGCAAAGCAGACCCGGAGACAATGAAGCACCCCACATTCCTATCCAATTTCGCCACTCTGAATGAAATGCATCTTTGCTTTGACCTAATGTGTCACCAGTACCAGTTGAAGGACGCCGCTGAACTAGCACGAAACTTCCCAAACGTAACTATAGTGCTGGATCATTTGGCCTGCCCTGTTATGGCTGGCAAGAATAAGAGTGTTGTGGATGAGTGGGTTGAGGGTATGAAGGCTTTAGCATCGTGAGTGCTGTTTACATGCTGTAGTTCGCCTTGTTTTGGCCTTGATTTGTTTGGCAAGGCGAAAGAGTGTTGCTGATGACATTGCACGTGGCTGCTCAAACTCACAAACATCACAATATTAGAAATCCGAATGTCTACGCAAAACTTTCTGGTCTGATGCCTGTCCTAGGAACCGAATTTCACAAAAGTGAGTTTGCAACAGCGTGGTTCCAGATATTTTTGACGTTGCTGTCGATTTGCATTGTACGAACTCAATACGATTCATTTTTTCAGGAGAATTTACCGATGCTGGACCTACTGCTGAAGAAATTTCTCACTCCATACTGGGAGTCCTTGTCAAGCATTGTGTTGAGATCTTTGGTCCTGACAGGTGACGAAAAACCCCCCATTATAGACAACGATTAATAAGCACCTTTCAGTTAACGCTGTGACATTATTATTGTGTTACAGATGCTGTTTTGCAAGCAACTTCCCAGTAGACAAATGCAGTGCACGATACCCTGAACTCTTATCTGCATACTGGATTATCTGTAAGAGGATGGGACTTGATAACAGGCAGATGAAGGCTATTTTCAGAGACAATTCAGTCAAGGCTTATAAGCTGGTGATGCCTGAAGGAGTGACGCCCAAGTTGTGAAATCAAGTTGTAGTTATGCAATGTGTTTGTGGAAATGAATTGATGTTTTGAATGGTAACAAATGGAATATATCTGAATTTGGAACAAAAGTGGTGATTAATTCTTTGTTGAATGGCTTGTGACGATTTGTTGGGAAAGGAAAGTATTCACTGAAGGTAATGCGACGATTGAAGCACAACTGTGCTGTCCTAATCCTGCACACTATTCTAGATGCTGCTTTGTAAGTAACTGCTCGGTCGACAGATGCAGTGCCAGATACACTGAATTCCTCCCTGCATACGGGGGTGTTTGTAAGACGGTGGGACTTGGAAACAGGCGGCTGAAGACAATTTTCAGAGATGACTCAGGCAGGGCTTAGGAGTTGGTGTTCCTTGAAGGATTTAAACCAAAGTTGTGAAAAATGTTGTACTAAATGGTTTTGGGAAATGAATTTATGTTTGAATGGTAAAACAAAGAGAATATATGAGATTTAGAAACATGATAACGTTTTCAAAGAGCGACGTTATTTGACTGGTATTTTGACTGTTTTGGGTATGTTTAGTTGGATGCGGCGGGCTGTCAAGGAAAGAGAATGTCAGTTACAGGTGTCAAGACCAACCCAAAACTCAGTGCAGAGGTGTAGTCCAATACCTTGAGAGCGTTGGCAATAGGAACAATGATTATTATAAGAATGACGATAACAATGACGGCGATAATGATCTTCAATTTCAAGTCCTTCCACCACCTAATCATCAAAAAAAAATAAGTCAATATCAAACTCACGAGAGACAAGTTCAATGACACTCACATTTGTCGACGAACTTTGGTAGCACCTCTCTTGAATTGCAAAGCACCTTGTTGCAAATCATCAGTCTTGTTTTGAAGAGATTCGAGCTTTTCACCCCGCTGCATGACTTTCTCGATATTGTTTTGCATGATTCCTACAACTTCATCGACCTAAATAAAATTGAGTAGTGAGCATTTAATTGCTATTTGGTTTGAAGATTTCTTTGATCCAGTGACTGTTCAACTAAATTCCACAATTAGATTTTCTTGAGGTTTGATGTCGCAGCCTTCCTATCAAAATTTTCAACTTGCGGTCGGTACCCCAATCCTTTCCTGCCTTCCAACTCCATCATTTCGACTATTTTCGCATTCCTGTCGTTTCCACTTCCAACTTCAGGTACGCGTCCACAACATATCCTGATTGTTGTTGCTTTTCGGCGCAATTGTCATTTAAAGAGTCAAACGCACCTGAGCCTGGACTTGGCCAGTCTTATTTCCTTGAGCTGACATTATTTGTATATATTCCTTGGAGCTTTCTTTCTTGACGAAAATAGTTTGGGGAGTTTGTTGATGCCGATGTGCAGCACACAAACAACAGGAATTACCCTCAAAGTTTTTACACACCAATCACGTTGAGGTTTGATTTTTTCGTGTATGCAGACGCGATATGAGGCGTGAGAGTCATTATTTAAATATTATTGTAATATTGTTACTATGTACTTGTTATGACCAACACGAAAATGCACAATGACCTATTCCAGGTTTTTCATGCCGTCTTGGGATGATAACTAATCTTGAACTCAACAAGGCAATCTTTTACGAAAAGCATCAACCTCGTTTTTCTAGCAATCTTTTGTCCACCATCCATAAAATTGCCCTTGTGCTGCGTGCTTATAGTCAGCTTTATACTATTCGAGTCCTTGAGCTGGAGATCTGTAATGTACATGTCACATTTCGCTGTAAAGTCTTTCGATTGGGTACGAATCCAGTCTAGCACTTTGGCCCTGAACTCCATTATCGTTGATGACGGCGTGTCTGCTGGAATGTCGATTATCACTAAGAAAGATGGGAGTTAGTGGTGCAGGAAAAGCATCTGTGAATGGTAGTAAGACCCACCAGAATCAGACATATCACCGGACCGCCGAATATTCTGAATAGTCTTTGTCGCCAACGACGAATTACTCATGGTAACCTCGGTCCCATCCATCCTCTTGAGAATAGTCGACAACACATGTACCCTCAACACAGCATACGTGACATCATCAACAATGATCTTGTCTCCAACATCATATGCATGTGACATGAAAAGAAACACCATTCCATCAATGACTGACTTAACAGCCGATCCGGCCACGGCGTTGAATAATAGTGCTGCTGATATCATGGTTGCGATATAATTGAGAACGTTGACTTGGTAGACTGTTAGCCACACGAATAGGAGAAGGAGGCCGGCGAGTGTTAAAAGGAGGATGTCCAGTTTCGAGAGGCAGTCTTCGACACTTGCTAGAGCTTTCAGGATTGCTGCCTTTTCTCGAAAGACGGATACGACAACTGGTAGAGGGGTTTGGTTTGTCAGACAAACTCTTGTTGTCGAACAAAACCCCACGCTTGGCGAATACTTACAGTCTTTTAACTCTTTCCTGTCCACTGACCCATTGCCATTCACATCAAATAATTCAAATGCTTGATCCACGATTGAATGAGAAAGATCTAAAGTGATTTAGGAATGAGTTTGAAATCGTGTAAGGCAAAAAAGTACACAGTGCAGAGATCAAGAGGACTGTATAAGTCAAAAAACTCACGTCTACGAAAATCCTCCTTCACAATCTCATCCTTCCCATCCGACAAGAAATCAAACAATTTCTTTGCAACCCGTCTCGCCTCATCCGGCGACTTTCCCACATTCTCACTCTCAGCCTGCTTGGCCAACTGCTTAATAATCGATATAGGTACCGATAACGGTAGAGAAGTCACAGCCATTACAGCAGCAGAATTCTGGTCTGTATAGCTACTCGATTTCTCTGGCTTATACGAACGTGTTTTTCTGGCCTTCCGTTTAGCGTCAATGAGTGTATCAATGACTCGTTCGGCGAATCGACTGGATACGAGACGGGCTTGATATGCTGATGCATGGAATCGAACGGTTATTACGTGGAGTGCCAATTTCTCAAAGAGGACAACTAGGGATGTGAGGAGGGTTCCAAGTATGAATTGGGATACCCACCATAATGAGCATGTGGCGCATATGCTTGGCGCAATCCAATTTGCCCATAAGCCGAAAGATGCTGATGAGACGATAAAGCTGGAAAAGTATGGGCGGAGGAAGGCGAATAGTTCTAGACGATCTTGGCCTCGTAGACCGACGTATTTTCGAGCAATGTTGATTGCCGCGTTGAGGATGTACCTGTAGTGCAGACATTATGTAAAAGGATGATTCTATGCCTTTGTTTGGTGTGGAACTTACTTGGACGCAAGCCATACAAAGAAATTAATGCCAAAGAATAGCGACCATAGACTCAACGTAACATCCCAAAGCGACAGTGAATCCTGGTATGCCCAATGCGAAACAACTCCTGGAAGTGCGATAGCACTGACTGAGATGATAAATGACAGACTTCCTCTAAACCACTCTGGAAGATTCGTCCACCATTTACACTGAAAGCAACTCCCCTCATTGAAATTCGATTCACCGTTGCCTTCATCGGCATCTCGTTCATTCCAATCGAATATGGTCTTCTTCACTGGTGTCTGCTGTTGGCCGATCTCGAGATTGATGCTTTGCGATAATGCTGCTTGTGATAGTGGCGGTGGTAACGAAATCGGTTGTTCTCCCAATACTGATGATGGTTTCATGGGTGTCATGCTTGGGCTGTTTCGATGGCTGGGCAATACTCTTGGCGAGCTCCGTATTTGAATGGTAGGGCTTGTTGGAGTTGGTAGATTGTTGAACGTCTCCTTCTCCATAACACCCGCAAGGACAGATTTCGAACTGCCGAAATCGTCGTCGTCATCGTCACTATCCGAGTCCGATTCCGGTGCCTTCACAGATTTGGAATTTTGTCTTGATCGTCCTTGCCCCTCATTCCACGGTGACTTTTTTCTCCAGTCGCTAAATATAGATCTGTTTCCTTCCGCATTCGATGCTTCAGTCACCAGCACGGTATCGGTCTTGGCTCTTTTATTAGAACCACCAAATAATGAATGACTGCTAGATTCTCGTCGTGAATGTGCCGCAGATGGCCTTTGTTGCGTTGGACTCAAGTTGGATGGCCGTTTAGTCAGCGTACTCGTATGCACCGAAGGAATCGATCCGTTCTCTGCTACTGATGCTGGTACATCTTGTCCTGATTGCTCAAGATCGACTTGATTGGATTGCACAGTTCGTTGGGCCAGAAATTGCTGCGACGCTGATGTTGTTAATGCAGCAGTGACAACCACCGTCTGCATATCTCGATCCGTCATTGGTCTAGATGACATTAATGTATTAAATTTTTTGAGTTGTCGGCTGAAGGGCGAAGTTGGGTGATCAACTTCCATTTTCTCGGAGATTTTTTTTGAGCGAAATCCCAACCCGAAATCATCACATTAAGATCCCACCGTTTGGAAAAAGAGGGCAATTTGGCATGACACACAGAGTGAGGCTTTTAGAAGCGAAAATGCAAAAAATCGTCACAGTTCATCACAAAATATCGACATGTTTGATTAAAACTTAAAACTAACAATAGCCATACAAAACACAGCTTACGAGACTAGTTTAGCGATAAACAGCTCACGAGACCACAGTTGCCTTGATCAATCCCATTTTGCCGTCATCATAATCAAGGAAGGCTTGCTGAATTTGCTCTCTTGTATTCATCACAAACGGTCCATATCTGACCACAGGTTCGTCCAATGGCTGTCCACCAAGTAGCAGAAATGATAGAGGTTTGGAAGCTGAATCTAGGTTATATACGACAACAGAGCTATCGTTGCCAGCAGCCCCTTTATCTTCTCGAGAGAATTGGACTAGATCGGCTTCTTTAGCAAAGGTTCCTTCAGAGTCCTTTGGATCACCACCAAAATAGCCCTCTGTGGAACAAATTTGTTAAGCGGAATTCCACGTTACTAAACTTGCAAGGACTCATACCACCAGAAGCGATGTAACACATCACGTTGAAGTTGTTTTGGAGAGCGTGTGGCACATTGTAGCTGAATGATGCACCCTATATTCAGCAAATATTAGTTCACTGTGCATAGATCTAAGACGATCAACATGACTTACCGCTTGAAGGATAACATGAACGTAAACGGTTGGAGTATCCGTGACAACAATTCCTTCCAAATCATAGACATTCCCAGCAATCACATTAGCCCATACACCATCTTTTTCATATTTCGGTATTTTAGATCCCTTGAATTCCTGGTACAAGGGTGGCAAGAACTACCATAAAGGGGGGTTGAGTACAACTTTCGCTCAGAAAGGAAGGAAGGGCAAGAGTGAAGCCCATACCTTTTGTTCTGCCTTCAGATTGATCCATATTTGAAAGCCTTCAGACTACATAAAGAGTATTAGACTTTGAGTCATATCTTGCACTTGGAAATCGCTTACCAATCCGCCTGTTTCATCAAATTCGTCACTTGGCATCTCACTATGTACGATGCCCGAGCCTGCCCTCATCCATTGCACGTCTCCAGGACTGAGCTTTCCAGAGTTTCCAGCCGAGTCTCGATGCTTCATCTCTCCATGAAGTAAATATGAAACCGTGATGAATCCCTAAATGTGTTGGTGGTTAGCGAGAGCTCGCACTGGACAGGAGGGAGCCAAAATGGAATGTTCAGTTTCCATGAAATATGAAACGAATCGTACTCGATGAGGATGATCAGGAGCCTAATGCAAACAATTATGAGGTCTTGGAATTAATGCTGGGAATGCAAAGCGTTCACTGACCCCAACAGCTTGACCAGGACCATATGTTACTGGCCCCAAGTGATCGATCAGCAGGAAGGGATCAACATGGCTCAACGTGTGTGTTGGGAATGGCTGCAAAATGTGATTTTCATGAGTATGATGAATTTGAACCAAGTAAGGTCAACAAGTCCGCCTACCCGACGAACTTGAAAGCCGCCTCCTTCTCGAAACGTGCCAGATTTAATGACATTCAACACTGGTCGATGCTGTGCCATTAGCGCAATGCAGTTTTCTAGTTGTTTAAGTAGGACGACAGAGACAGAGAGATTTTGAGAGGGTGAGATACCAGCACGAAAGAGTTGTAATAGTAAGCTCAGAAATTTGTTGGTTGAGAGTTGTGGTCCGTATTTCCAATTCGTTTCATTGTCGAATTGCTTGGTAAAACTACGTTACTTTTGCCGAACCGATCCGGCGACCCCACGATGATCAAGGCATCTGTTGAAAGACGAGCTATTATTTCCAGACATTCTCATCTCTAAGCAGGCCAGATTCGCCCTCCTTCAAGTCTGATTTACTGTCCAGTAAACGAAAATGGCCTTTTTGCGTCCGCCACAAATCTCCGTTTCAAAGGTCACCACGAATGCCGCGAGGAAGCAACAAATTTCCATTTGTTCAAGGAATTTATTATGAGCAAATGTAACATATTCCAATTCTCTCAAATACTATTATTGCTAGCAAAGGCTCAAGCGCTTACAATCTACTGCACTCTCAATCAGACTGGTCTAGCTGCTCAAGATTTGCCACAATCCAGCTGGCAGGCTCCCAATCATCATTTTTCTCAACGTCTGCTTTGGCAGAGCAACAGTGTTGATACGATTGACTGACATGACTGTCAACCAATCAGGCTATGCAAAGTCGAATGAGAGGAGCAGCTAGTTAGGAAGTGATGCAAGATCTTATAGGATGAGAGTTGGATCTGAGGCCGTTTTATTGCCATTTAAATTAGTAAACTGACTATTGTCTACTTTCCTTTTATTCCTAGTGGTTAAGCAAGTGTACGTTTTGAAATTTTCAAAACGTGGCCGTAGCCAGTCCCAAGCCTGGTTTAGAAACACTAGAGTGGGCTGGTTTCGTTTTGCCGTGCGCTTATTCACCTTTGTTGTATAGTAGGAAACTCGGTAATAAGATGCCAGCAATAAAAATGCACGTCTTTAAACGCAAGAGGGTCTTTGATTTAAGAGAGGGAATTTACAGATACAGAGAAGAAAATTTTAAGTTACTTAGCAAAAAGAATTTTTTACTTTGTTTTTCTCGGACGTTTGGCAGCACGTTGTTCAGACACTGCACTCATATGCCTCCTACGCTTCCTAACCACCGGATCAAACTCATCATCCGATCCTTCCGCACCATCACGTTCACCATCATCAGGCGACTCTTCACTACTATCACCACCATCATTACCACCTTCTTTACTCTCTACTCCCATAGCCGGATTACTAGCAACATGAACCTCATTCCCCGTCCAGCCATAAATCTTTTTGGCATAGGCCTCCTTCATTTTAGCCATGTTTGCTTTACTAGCTACATCGTGCTCTACAATTGGTTTCGGGTAATCGACTCCGATTATACAACCAGCTTTACGCTGGACGTCGATTGGTGCTAGCCACGGTGTAAAGATGTATTTTTCAGGCATCTTGGATAGTTCTGGGACGTATCGTTTGATGAAGATGCCTTCCTTGTCGTATTGTTTGCCGAATGCGATTGGTGAGTAAACGCGGTAGTATGTGTGGAAGAATTGAGATGCTGTGGTATGGTATGGATGGGAAATGTAAGCTCCGCGAGAGCAAAAAAAAGACAATCCACCAAAACATTAATAAGCGACATACCAGACAGCCACAACCAATTTCCAATATTCAGACTTGGATCACTATCTAGCAACAGCTCATCAAAAACCTCAACACCACGCTCCCACGAAATCCATAAATCACCACGAGTCAAAAAGCAGGCAACTGAATGCCTTGCTAAATGATGAATCCATCCTTCCTTGGCTAGTTGTCTCATAATGGCATCAATCCATGGAAAGCCTGTCTTTCCTTCAGACCATGCTTTCAAGTGAGCAGCTGCTGTTGCATCCTTGCTAGTGTCTCGCCAGGGGATATATAGACAAGCCTTGTTATTGGCCATGGTTGAGTAATTCGGTGTTAAGGCTGCGACGGCATAGTAGAATTCACGCCATAGTAGCTGTCCCAAGAGTGACGTTGGAGGCTGGCTGTGGGACTTTTCTTCGCGGTATACTTGGAGGATTTTGGTTCTGAATAGGCGACACGACAGGCTTCCAAACTGAAAACTCAGGGGGAGTATGAGATCTTGGTGAGCATTCACAACAACACATTTTTACGATACCTTGAGATGTGGGCTCAAAACTGTCGTGTCAGCATTAGGATAAAATGCAGCTGGAGATGTCTTCGGCTTTTCAAACTAACGACAGAAAACCCACTTGAGTCACCAGCTACATTACGTTATTAAACTGCTTACCTTGGCGACTCGTTTCTTCTGGGCAATAAAAGCATCAAGTAGCTTCAAAGCAACAGACTCACCACCTCTATGAGGCGACCGTTCACCTACTGGCGGTTCAACCAATCCCAATTCCTCCAATGTTGGGACATCAAAGTTGCCATTTGGACCAGCAAGTGATGCAAAGAGCTTCTTCTGAGCTTCAATATCAGTCGTGTCTCGAGTTGGTGGAAGCTCCGATTTATGCACAGGGAGAGGAACTGACTCAGACATCATGTCGATTGGTGCTGGTGGAGGTAGACGTGTCGGCATCGTGAGAGGGGTTGGTGGATCAGGCATGGATGATATGGCCTGCAAAAAAAATCGAGGAAGAAAGTGTCAGATTCCGTGAGCCCGTGTCTTACAGTACGTCAAAGCTACCTTTAAGAAGCTCTGGTACGTCATAGGAGGCTTACCACCATTTTTGGCGGCAACAGCCTTTGCATCATACATGGTATGGCCCAGTACCGCAGTAACTTTAACACCCATACCTTTAGCGATTTCGTCGACCTTCTTGTCACGCATGACTGCGTATTCTGTATCCGTATCAATTTCGTAAGCAATGTGATTGATACCAAGTTCAGCCATAATGGTTGGCATGGCTTTTATTGGATCTCCTCGGAACACGTACAGTCGAGAATTGACTTTACGTAGATTTGCATCGAGGTCTCGTAGAGCTTCGAGCCTATCATTTATGAAAAGATGTCAACTTCAGAATGACGTCGTTTTGGAAGCGAATCTCAGTCTCAATTCAATGCGACGAGATGCCACTTTCAAGCTTTCAAGACAAGAAGCAGATCGATGGCCTACAAGAATATCCAGCGGCGGACCTAGTAAATCCAAATAGTGAGAATCGTTGGAACAGTTTTAAAGGGCGAGAACTTACACCGATAGCTCGTTCAAATACATAATGTGGATCAAAGCAGAAAATTGGATAGAGGTTCTGGCAGTTCAGAGATCCTTGAAGCAGCGCTGGGTTGTCGTGTACTCGAAGCGATTTCCGAAACCAGACAATCGTTTTACTCATGTTTGTTTCTGAAGAGCTTCAAGCTAACGCTCAGTCCATTGTAAGCAAGTGTGAAAAGCAGAGTTGCAGCGAAGGTGAAAATGCATCGGCACGTACAGAATGCGATTATTGGAAGCTATTTGACGCGTAATACGCCAATTCTGAACTGTAAACTGCGTGCTTGTAAATATGTGCTCGTTTGACTATCGAAACACTGAACCTGACGCCGTGTGCGATATTCGGGAGATTTTACTACTGAAGTGACGTTCGTTCCACAATTTGATTAGCAGAATGAATCCAGATCTAACGACTCGATGATCGAAATCAAAGTGGAACGAGGTGAATTGGTGAATCTGAGCAACCTTTTTCATATTCATGGTTTTCTCGAATAGTCGAGGTCAAGCAGAGATGAACTCATCCTCAAGAGTTTCTCTTACTATTAAAATTCATCTTGGGACTATTCCACCACCAACAATGGCCAAAACCAACCTCCGAGCATCTCTTGCGTTCTTGCACTCAACCCCTCTCAAACACACGTAACATCGACAAACCACAATTACAACTATTGTAGACTGACAAAGAGAGCTCCAAGGAAGCACGAACGACAATATCAGCACGCATAAGATAGTTGAACCCCCAAGAATGGAGGATCTCTTTCAAGTCCTCACACCTCCAGAAGAAATCATGGACTCCTCCGATGGATTTTTTCGTCGAATGAGACCAGACACACCTAGGCCATCACTCAGTGAATCACATTCAGACCCGACCAGCTCCCACCGTAGCACTGAGAACCTTCGACGTCTCTCCAACATCATGTAAACATCCCAATTGTTTGAGTCGAGATTTCAGTTGGTTTTGGTACACGGTCGCTCACTGATTTGGACCGAAACGATGTTTTTGAAGCTTTCATTATTCATTGATTCTTTACCTGCATCTAGGTATCAACATGGGTTTTTGTCTGGGATGTACTCTGATGTAGTGGTTCGAGCTTTGAAGCATGAGTGGAAGCTTCACAAATTAGTATTATGCCATAACGACTACTTTTCTGGAATGCTTCAAGGACCATGGCTAGAGAAGGATCGAGATACGATTGAAATCAACTTTGATGATCCTAATGTAACTGTGGAAGCTATGACAATTGTACTCGCTCGAACTTATGGTCATTTTGAAATGGGGATAAACATGCGCAATGTGTGTGCGCTGCTAGCAACAGGTGAGAATATCAGTTTCATCGAAGATGCGTTACAGAACGACTTAACTGACTCTTTGATTCATGGAACTTCAAGGGGCTTTTTTTGGTGACAAGGATTTATGTGAAGCCTGTGTCGAATTCATAAACGAGGACTTGTCAAAAGAGACGCTTCAAAATTATTTCGAATTTGCAGATGCTCATTACTATGGAACTTATTCGGATAGTATAATTGACGCTTGCTTTACGAAACTTTGCCGTGACGGATATGACGAGCTTAAAGACGTCTTGACTGTGCTACCACTCAAGTGGTTGGAACGTATACTAGCAGCAGACTGCTTTTACGTACCATCAGAAATGGAGCGATATCGATTCATTAAGGAAGTCATTGCCAAACGTAAATCATTGAATGTGGATGGCAGTAGTGTCGAGAGCAGTAGTAGGATTGAAATTGCTGCCAAAGTCAGTGGAGGGTTGCCACTAACACCGCCCAAAACACCTATACGTGGAATGCGAGTATCCATAGAAGGGCTCTTCATTGGTGAAAGTGACTCACTGAGTCCAAAATCGACTCGATATGATAATTTGGTTGATTCATCTGCTGCTGTACTCTTTGGACCCTTGACTCCAGTAGATGAACATACTGACATGGACGATGGTGGTGAAATGCTGCATGAAGGTGCTTGTGATCATAGCACCGAATATGCAGAAGATGGTGAATCGACTGACTCTGAGGCTAGATCAGAGTCCAGTACTTCTCTGCGCTACAAGGTGGATGAACCAAATCCATATCGTCGTATGCTGGGTCATGGTTCAATATTCTCACATCTCAAGTTTGAGGTGAGTATATATAGCACGTCCATGTCATAATGTTTTGCAAGTCGTCGGTTGACACTTTATTCCTATCAGGACTTGCTGGCGATCCGAGACGATAATAGCATCCTGCCATATACAGTCCCCGAACGAGTACTCCAACGTGCATTGTGGGTGCAACAAGAGCTTCGATGTCGTATCGAATCATCACCAGACGACCTAGTCGAATTAGGTCTCGCATATGATACTCGAGATATAACGGACGCACGCGCGTCATCACCAATTAGCTTAGCCGGGCTGAGCTCACAAGATGTTGCTATTGTGCCTGCAGATGACACCGACAAGATTGATGGCCGGCGACTAAGTGATGTCTTGTCACAACCAGTGTATTCACATTCGGCAATCAAGTTCCCACCTTTTCGATTTGGTGCCGAGTTTACGGATTTGAGGAGGTTGCATGGTGGTTGTCGCTTCTATAGCAAGGTATGATGCTCTGATCCCAGAATATAAGCGATTTTTTTCTCACTCACAACACTGTACTTTAGACGACCTATTATGCCGGTTCGTCCTGGGTCATCTACTTGCAAAAGATTGTCGTCGATGGGATTCCTAAACTTGGTATCTATCTGCAGCGATGGGGTAAATATCAAGAATATCTCCCTCAGCTCGTTATCATGCGCGTTAAAACGATTGTCTTTTCGCTCTTCAATTATAGCACCCGACGCTAACGAGACACCAGATCCGTTACTTGCACCTCCTTCTCATCGCCTGTCTCACTATCTCGATCGTCGAGTTGAATGCAAGGTGTTTTTCAGGATGTATATCTTCTTTGGGTCATCAAAGATTCGATGCTATGTATTGGAATCTAAACCTGTAAGTTCTTGCTGCTTTCGCAAATACTCGAGCTTGGTTATAACATCGTTTTGGGTCTTGTTAGGACTTGTTTAAGAATACTCAGTCGTGGGGATGGAGAAGTCATAGGCTCTTCAAAGGTAAAGAATGATCGTCTCGATTGAAAACCGGCTTCTGACACAGATGATACAAATGCCTCTAACACATCTTTTTTTGGTCGTTTAAAAGATGCCTTATTTGTTGAGATGCCAAGAAGGAATGACTCTATGCGATGTACTGTAGTCATGGGGATTGTCTAATTGTTAGGAACATAATGATTTCGGGACTCGTAACTTAAGTGATCAGCTGCAACTTTCATAATTGCCTTCATACACCGTTTTGCATTCTGAAACGAGATGATTTTGGTTCTCAAATAAAGGAAAAGTGTAATCAACACGAAAAGGATGACTTCAAGATTGCTTGTGTGTTTGGAATTCTTCAGGCTTGGGTGAACGAAGATTGCTGCCGCTTAAGCCATTTCAATTTCATGAGGACAGTTTCCTCAAAAGAGGCATTTTATCTGTTCTCGTAATCATTGCACTTGTATAGGACTCTGAGCTGGGGTTTGCTCATGTTGCTCGCTTTTGCTGAACATCAAACATCCCTTGTGCCTGAATTCTAATAGAAGATAGTCGTGCTTTCATAGCTGTCGATAGTATACGAAACTCATTTGAAATCCCATACGGTGCTAAAACTACCACCAAAGCTCATTTTGCCAGTTGATGAACGCTTTGCGTCAACCAAAACGATATCAAACAACTGCAGAGGGAAAGGAGGTGTCGTAACCAAGCGAACGTGTGCTTTTCAGTTCTTGAATAGTCATACAACATGCTTGAGGATTCCAGTGATGGACGAACTGTCTCTGATGTGCTGTCTTTAAGTGAGGTTTGTGTGTTGAATGCAAAAAGTGCATGACGTCCCTGAGTTCAATGGACTTTGGGTCTGCCTTCAAAACCCCGATGATTTTGAATATTTCGGTGCTTGGCTCCAAGTAACCAGTTGAGTGGCTTCTCACATCCGTCTCCAGGAATGGCTTAAACAGTGAACTGGATATTGCTGAATTGCTGAGAAGTGAAAAGGGAGCGAAAAGACATGGCCATAACCAGTACTTTTACTGTTGCACTTCATTAGACCTATCTATATTGCAAGCTCCATACAAACATCCAACATTTATAACGGTATAGGCTCGTTTTTTGCTTTCTGAGAAACGACGTTCTAGACTTCAATGACAGGTGGCCCTGGAAAATCGACTTGCAACAGATTTGTCGTCGAAAGGGAGCTCCGAAACACGGTATCTATTCGCTTCGATAGTGGATAATATGCAGAAGGAGGTTTGAGTCGTTCTTGGCTCCCATCCAGTTTTCCCAAATATTGTGTTGTTTTCTTTGCTTCGCACGTTAGCATCTGATGGCAACGAAACACCAGATCAACTGCATTGCTCCACCTTCACATTGACTAGGATCGTTATCTTGATTCCTCCTGTACGGATGCAAAGTCGTTTTGCAGGACACACATCGCCTTTTGAGAATCATCCAAGATGTTCCATGTCAAGTGTGGGGGAATCCAAACCTGTGAGGATTGTTGGCTGCTTTCGCAGATCTATAATGTTGAAGACCTACTTTTTTGGGGAGGGACAACATTCAATGACGGGGAATGGCAGAATCAAGTCACGGGGCTCTCTAAAAGTACAAGGTAATCGTGTAGTTTGAAAGACTGATTTTGAGTTTCAGAATATTCATAAAAGCCTTGACCTTTTTTTCTCTCTCTCAGATCCCTTTTGGTGATATGCCACAAAGGACTGACAGTATGAGATGTTCACGACCGTATCAGGCATTATTCAGCTCATCAAATGATGAGCTGGACTGAATTAACGTAATCAGCTGCAACATTCAACAATCCATCATCCAACACCACAACAACACCAAGACAGCCAAGTTATAATGCAATTGCGAATCAAAAATAAAATAGACTGAAAAAGGAGATATCTACAAACAATGCGAAATGCCTGGCTTTCGCGATTCATCCCACACCGTTACAGAAGCATCTAACTTATCCAATCCTGCCCTTCTTGATAACGACATCATCAAATCCAACATCCCATCGTCGTTTTGTCACCATTCCTATCATACAAACCATGTAAGTCATCCCAGCTCATAACTCTCAAATGAATCCAAATGCTGTGTTGATTTACCAACAGTTCCCATAAACAGTCCCATCAGAAACGGAGATATGAAATTATCCTTGAAGAGACGTTGAATGAATCCTATTATGCTTGTGTCTATTGGTTTGGGTGCTGGTGTTGTGTTGTTGGTACTGGCACGATTCATTCTTGACGAAGATGATGGTGTAGGCTGGTGGATGCCACCTAGTTCTTGAGCCATTGAATGTAATTATTGGTTGGTATATAAGCGAGCAGTTAGGTACTAGAGCTGTTATGTTTCGTGGTGAAGCTTGCAAGTTCGGTGAGCAAACAAAAACGAATGACACGATGCAAGAGATCAATGACAAGGACCCACGTCGAGCTTTTCCCAGCTACAACACGACCAATCATATGCAATGTTAACTAGTATACAACGCGTAAAGTATCCTACAAAAAACTCCCAAAAATACACTCATTTACATCTATCACTTGACTTCCTCCTTCTTCAACAGCCTATACAAGGCCGCAGCCTCTCGAATCCTCGAAAACTGTACACAAAATGTCGATATCTCGACCAGATCGTCATTGGTCGTGACGATGCGATTACGTATGAGGGATTGCAAAAAAACACACACCTAACGACAACGTACATGAGTTTCATTTCACACAAGTCAAAGCACAACTCAATCCATCACCACAGCAAGTAGCTTACCAATCTAACTTGCCGATTCTGCATATACTTGTCTCGAATAGTTTCACAGTTCTGAATACAGTTGGTTATATACAAGTGAATGAATTCAGGGGGAACGCCAGATGATGATGTGGCCAGTCGATTCACTACTTCCATGGATCGGAGGGACATGTTGACATTGACTAGTACTTGTAGATACCTATGAGATGATATGAGGGTTAATAACGTGGAATGTGGTTGCACCACTTGCCACGCCATTTTTTGAGGACATACTCTGAGATTTTGGCAGACCCCATTAACCGAATCAAGACTTCAGAAGCGACATTAGGATTGTTCTCAACCAAATCCGGTATCTTGTCTGGTGATAGACCACAATCAAACACTAGTTTCGGATGCCGTTCTAGTTGTCTCATAATTTTCTGTATTCGAAAAAGAGGTAAAATGCCAATCAGCAAAAAAGCATTCACTAAATCGTAAACGATAGAACTCAATTCCCCTTCACATTACCTGTAGTTGCGTAATACTCAACGGCACGGAATACCCCAACAAGATCAACTTTCTCGCTTCATCCCTCTTGGCCAAATCAATCCCTAAATTATAATCCCATTCTAACTGATGTATCGGCATTTTCGGTTCAATCCAAATCACTTGATTCGTGAATGACAGTGGTGGTGGTGGACCAGGATCGACATTTGGTTGGAACCCGAGGAGCTGAGAATGGTTGCCGGGGCCTACGGCTTCGAATAATTGTTTTGCGGCTGTTAGGGCTTCGACTAGGGCTGGTTCGCGTGCGCCACTACAAAGCAAAAAAACTCAAGGTTTTGACTACAAAATTCTGCTTGCTTCAGGAATTTGATTGCAATAGCTTACGGCTCAGGAGATATCAGCATAAACCCAGGAGCAAGGTTCCGAGCATCCTTGTCTACTTGCTCCTGCATCTCTTTAAGCAGTGACGGATAATTTGGATCGAGTAATGCTCTGACTGCTTCAGAAGGTGTTATGCGTTCTATAAGGGAGCGTGCTGATACTGATGCCAACTAAAAAAAGCCCAAAAAATCGCCTCATTAATACAGTTGAAGGTCTAGCAATCCAACACATTATAGCCCTTACAGGAGTGTATTCCTCATAGAGAATAGAGCGCACGACCCATCTCTCACACCAGGATATAGCCAGATTGTTGGACATTCCATCCGTGGACTGATCCGAGTAGTCCAGGAATGTTTTCAGGAATGGGTGCTGGGATACGGGTGTTGTTCGAAAGTAATACCATAGAAGGAAGAGAGCTTGGATCCTCAATATAGGCTATTTGACAGTTGAAAAACATGTTAAATACAAACGTAAAAAGAACCAAGCTGAATCTCAACAACATTTCACATACTGATGGCAACAACACCCGTTCTTTGAGCAAGACAGCCAGGGCAGTAGCGCATACGTGATGATTCACCGAGAGGACACGTGATAGGCCGACAGCGACAGAGACCATCTGGGTATCGGTGTTGGAGAGTGCATTGTAGATGTAGTCCAAGTCTCGGCTGGTGATTATGTTTGAGAGATCTCCTGTGGCAGGAGGAGATTTGCCATTGTTATGAGGCGCATTGTTGCTATTGCTAGCCCATGCAGCGGCATTCATTTCATCGTAAAAGCTGCGTATCCTGCTTTTGGAAGAAGTGTGAAGTTTGTTAAAGAGTTTGGTCAAGCGTTGGGCAGGCTTTCAAGACGGTTCTCTTCTTCAGACGCGTTATCTACGTGATATCGAAGGTATCGAAGCGCTGACGCCCTGAAACAAATATATCACACACGTGTCAGCTCAAACTTCAAAATCAATTCCAAACCATGTATCTATATGAATGCAAACAGGGTCTTTTATACAAAATAATGCGTTATAATTTATACTTGTCGTGATCTACGTATACGTTCAGAGGTCCTTCGTTTCGGTTTCATTTCCGTGACAGCATCAATACTACTTTTGACACGACCATTCGTTTGCTGGTTGACAGACCCGTTCGAGACTAAACCATTCGTAGCAGCTGTTATATCACCATTCATAGCATGTATAGCATCAGTACTAGAAGCAGAATCCATTTGTCCTAATTCCAGTCGTTCCTTTTTTACATACTCCTTTGGCGCATACCCGTCCACCAGTATCCCAATAAACACCAGCCCAACAGACACCCACTGTCCAGCATTCAAATAATGTCCAAATCGGAACACAGACCATAATATTGTCAGCATTTTACGTGTCACCGTGACAGTCACCAGACTGACTGCTCCAAATCGTTGTAGTGTATGGAAGATAAACAGCTGACCTGATGCACCACACAATCCAAAAAGCAAGATATCTGTCATTAGAGATGGATCCTGTTTCATCATTATAACTGCGTTTGATATTTCGGACGTGTATGGGTTTATGAGGAGGTATGTAGCCATGATGGATGCAAGTCCGATATTCATAAAGAACATCATTTGCGGGCCTTTTATATGGTAACGTTTAAACATGGATTCTTGGGTCGAGTTGGTGGCTCCGTCGATTAATAGATTACATGTCAGCAGCAACAGTCCATATGCACTACTACTCTGACTACCCTTACTAGTATTCTCTTGATCATGCAGCAGCATAAACCCCGATACACCAGCTGTTATCAATGCCACAACCACATATTTATACCACGCAAACGACTTGCGATGCAGCACAATCCCAGCAACCATGACAGGCACCAGTTTACAGCTCTTGCCCAATATAACCGTTGGATAATCTATATGTTTCAGAGCTGCATATCCGAATTGGGGTGCGATGGCTTGCATGACGCATACTTGGATGTACTCGTATATCAGTGGTCGTGATATTTTGCCTATTCCTTGTTTTGTGATGAGCACGTATGCGGATGATGCGAGGGATGCGATGATCGATTGTGCCAGATTCAAGAATAAATAGTGCTTGAATTTAATTGTGCCATTGTTGTAGGGCAGGGTGGTGATTCGTTCTTGCATTTCGCCCCATTTTATAAAGCAAATGTAAATGCCTAATACACATATTGCAAGTTCTCCATACATTATACGATTCTAGTAGTAAAACATTGAGTAGTTTTGTGAGATAGTTGAGTAGTTTGGAAGTGTCATTCGATCGAATGGTGGAGAATCGACAACTTATGTAAATGTTGCCAACTTTTGGTCGCAGATACTGAGATGTCAAGCAATGACTAACGGGCAGGGTACATACCAGTGGCTCTATACAATGCTAAACTATCTGGATCTACTCTCTCAGCACTTGACTCTGCCGCCTTCCACCGAAACTCTCGAGCGACAACTTCTTGTTGAGTTTGGAAGAATCGAGTCGTAATTCAGTAGAAGACAATACACTAAACATAGCCAGCAGAATGGAGATGGACAATATACACGTCCCAGATGCCTGTCTCCTTAGAACCGGTAGCTCAAGTCGCGTCGATAGCAAAACAACAAAACAAGCAAGACACAAGAGGAAGTTCGATAATGAAAAGTTCTCACGATTTTATATGCCTTACAAGCGATACCTCTGAATTTACAGCATATGTTTTACCCTACAATAGGGTCCATGACTTGAAAAAATGGTTTGATCAAAAGGATCTAAAAAACCTTCTTCGACTTACATCATTTTGCACGCATCAACTCCCACAGCACAGCACGATTTTCTGCGTTGCCAGACCATACTGTGAATGCCTCTGATTTCGTGACACTGACGCGGTTCCTTAGATGTACAATGTACTTGATAGCAGCGGCCTTCAAAGAGGAGTTGTCTCTAGTATATTTGTATCCTAAAGATAGCAATTCCAAGATGGTCTCATTGCTGAAGTCTCGTATAGAGATCTCTTCTACAATGGCTGCATACAAAGTCTGCAAATCATGGTAATCTGCAGCTCTTAGTAGTTCGAGACGTAGATGAGATTGTTCTGCCTTCCTGGGAAGCCATTCAGTCATTTGTTTTCCATATATATATATGCCAGATTATACGAACGCATTCAGACGAGTAGTCGACCTGAATAGCGATATCCAGATGGATGTCGTCTCGAAGCACAATATCTCGGAACACGTTTGAAGCGTGTTTGAGGATTTGACTGTGTGCTGGAAGGAGTTCGTCAGAGTCTCTTGAATGGAATTGGACATCTGAGAGGTCATGGCTCCCCAACTGATCTTGAATTGATGGCATACCAACATCTCGAAGAGATGAGGCCTGTTCTGCTGAGTATGACACTTGTAAGTACAATGATCCACCACAAATCCAGGTTTCAGTTCGTCCAAGGTTGCAAAATCTTAAGCACAAAAAGTCAGATGTGCCAAGATGAAAGATGGAATCAAACAGCGCGCAAACTGACGAGGCCCGCCCCACGCAGCATTTAAAGAGTTTCTTTTGAATTAAGCTATTGAAATTTTGAAGTATGGCAAGCAATTTACCCCTGCGATAACAAAACACACATTCGGTAGTTTGCTTGAGCCCGGGGCGTAAAGAATATCTAGCGAAAACTTGACCTTCACAGGCGCGACCAGGCCTTCTAAATGTGCAAGTTCCAGAGCTAGATTTGCTGGATTTGGCTTCCTGCCATTTGCTTTTGACACCATGAGTTACCTTGCTCCCGACGCCGTAGAACTTTTACGACACTTTCAAGCCGCGTGGGCTCACGCGCAATCTGCTCGGGTATAGTTGCTCAGAACTTTGTCTTCCGCCGTGTTGGATTCTGTATCATGAAGGGTATTGCACGACAACTTGTCGGTCGTCGTCGTTTGGGTGATCCTATTTGGGGTCTATGAATGTAGAGGTGCTTTTTGGTGTAGATTATAGCTGTAAATCGCTTTAATATACATTTCTTGCATCACCAAAACGAACAAGATTGATATCTGCAAAAATGTGTAGGAGTCGATCTCCCGCGCTCTTTTGATTAGTAATTACGGAAATTAAGCAAGTCTGCCACAACCAAGTGGGGACTTAAAGTAGTATAATTTCAAAATGGGCCGTTGCCCCAGCAGGGGTTCACCAGAGAAACTGTTGCGAAATCATCGAGACAAAATGGTGAGTAATTAGCAACTTAAGTGGGGTTTAGGCAAACAAAAAAATCATCGTGACAAAACAAGTGACAACGAGATGCGGAACTAGCTGGTAACAACGACTACAAAGTATTTTCTAATTACACTAACGACAAACGACACTAAGAACATGACTACCACACAACTTGGCCACAATTTCCTGAATTTCTATGATTTGAAACTTAATGCTGGATCAAGAATGTAGTGAACTCATGTTGTAGTAATAATCTTTTTTGGTAAATCCAAACTATATTTTTGATTTTTGTGTATGAAGAAGATGTCAAATTCAACTTTCGTTAACTTGCATCCAAAGCAGAGCCTGCTCGCCTTTCTTGACATTTTGAGAAATTGCTGCCGTTATATGATTTTGGAGGTGCAAGGCAAGTAAATAGAAGGATTAAATGAGCATTCACGATCTGAAAAGCATGCTAGTAGTGGATTAAGACCAGGCAGCAGTAAAATCCCGTCGCCACACTATGATATCGGAACGTAAAGCATATGAATTCTTGCTTAATACTTGTATAAGAAGAGCTGAAAATGTGAAATGTTTGCTTGTCTCACTCAAAGCCAGTACAGACCGAAAGTTCTCAAGCTTTGATTTCTCAATTGTGAAATTGCCGCTATAGGGATTTCAACTTGCAAGACAAAGGAAACGAAGCGAACGAGGGTCAAATATGAGTTTCATTTACTTCAGACGCCTTATGGGCTCTCTGTTGGTTAAAAATTAGAGAAGGAGGAGCTCCAAGAGCATAAAGTTCAACTTGAACCCAAGTAGCTCCAACCTCACCATCACTCGCGCGCGTTTTATGGAATTGGTGACTTCCAGCATTTCGCAGCGGCAGTGAAAGTTTTGCTTAGCTACAGGAAACACTCGCTTAACTCTTTCAACATTTTGCAAAAGAGTTCGCTCAACAAGCTAGACAAAAATCAAATCGGTTGAGGTGGTTGGCACGGGAACCAACTTTTAACTTGAGTAGTCTGTCGTCAATTTGAAGGTTTACAGCTTTCAAACGCCTGTTTTCTCACTTCAATCACCCACATCCATATCAGGCTCTGCGTTTTCCTTGGGCTATCACGTCAAAATTTCCAGTACACCATGAGTGAGTTTACAGGCACCGTTTCAATGTCACGCTCTGGCATTCTATCAATTGGTGTGTACCGGAATCTGAATCTTCTTTTCCGGCCTATACCGTTTCATCTTGTATCGACGTTCAATCAAGCTGCTGTACAAATCGTTGCATCTCGCTTCTAACTGACAAGAACTGAACTGTCTTGAATTTAAAAGGGCCAAACAAGGAAGCCGTCTGCTTTTCATCAACCACACTAAAGGAACAATCAGTCGCACCATTCGACTATTCGAAATACGTGTCTTGTGGCAGGCTCAATGGAACCACACACTGCATCTCAGACAACGTATCTTCTCTTTTCAGAATGGACGACCCTAGTTGTCAAGTGTTGCCAACCGTTGCTTTAAACCGAGATCCGATACCTGGTAGAGGCAATGTCGAGATATTTGCACTGGGTAATCAGACGTATATGTATGGGGGACTGAATCCACCACTATTCTCAAGTCTTGATATCCATACTGGTATTGTCCTGGATTTGGTGCCGGTGAACATACCGTCAAGACGTACTGGATTTAGCGTTGCAGTCATCAATCCGAACGAGGTATGGGCTGGTAACATGACCGCTTTTTTGCTTCCAAAAAACACATGCCAGATCGGCCACTGAAAATTTATACCATCCTACACATAGTGTCTAATCATGTATGGTCTCGACGACGAATATGGAAATCCAATCCCCGCTAGCGATTCTATATACAAGTACAGCAGCGTTACCGACACCTTCACGCTGTTTAATACCACAGGAACCGCACCACTACCTGGAGCTCAATATCCTACGTGTTTGAGCTCTAGGAAAACAGTCTTTGTGCTTGGAAACGATGTCACAGGAATGGTATAAAGAAAACAAACACAACGGCCACGGCAATTCAACCTGTGAACTGAAAACTCATCTCTCGTCTTTTCTAGTCAACGATATACGAACTAAATCCAGCAACAATGTCATGGACGTCATTCCCGAAACCAGTTGGACAGTATGCTCCGATGAATGGGACACGTGTTGGTGTAGCATGCTTGCCAGGAGACTACATCGCTATTGTACATGAGCCACCTGCTATATATCCTCTCGACTATGTGAAAAAGCAGTTTGTCTCTGTGGGAACTGTCACGGGAGGAACAGGTGCGGTGGGAGGTGGTGTAAATCCTTCTCCAAGTTTTGGATTAAGACCCTCAGAGATGATAGCTCCCAGTCCACCACTAAATCCATTAGTATCTGCTCCATCGCATGCTGCACCTCGTAGTGGTTTCTCACCATCACCGAGTCTCCAAACGCAAACACTAGATGCAATGGGCATCTCACCAACGAAGCCACCAGCCATGCTCCAAACACCAAACGTTGTAGGAAGTCTTCGAGCAACAGCTACTCGCACAGCATTACTCGAAATACCTGTAGTACCCAAAACAGTGTTTATAGCTATAGGTATAATAGGGGTAGTAACGATAGCATCCATCATACTCGTAGTCATACTGGCACTGCTTCGTAGTCGTCAGGATGTGAACGATACGGAGGAAACATATCCGGATAATGATTGGACTGGTCCTAGAGAGGATTCTCAAGCACAGGATTATCAGGCACAGTCTATTAAAGTGCAGCAATATGAGGCACCAACGCATGAAATTGAAAGGCGGGTTCCTCCTCCTCAACAATTTTACGAAGCACAGCCACCACCACATGGGGCTTCTCGGTTGTGAAGAGCATAGTGTGCTGGTTATTTATTGTTGAGCGCTGGACGTCAACCAACTTTTTTGTTATTTTGGATAAAACGATGCCGCAATGCAAGGAGACCAACTCAGTATCATAATGCATCGAGTATTGTTGTAATACAACGGAATTCTAATTCACCAAGGAATAAGTTTTTATAACCTTAGACAGTACAGCAGTTACGAGTTGAGTATGTCTCTTTTCACGGTGAAGGTGTAAAAAATTGATATACCATTGTCGACGGGGTCACCGAAATGGGTCCCAACTACCTTATATGTGGCAAATTTTGCGAGGTCATTATTGCTACATCTTCTCTACAATATCTACATAATCTTCACAACTTCCTTAAACAGCAACAATAACAACTTGTCTCGTCCAGCTTCCATCTGAAGCCTGTATATACCGTGGAGCCAGTACTATATTAGAAGGCATCACTTTCCGTTGAGCTGCATGATTGAATTGCAACTCCTTCAGCAATGTTTGAGAACTACTATTATTTAGAATTAGGGTAGCAAATCCAATAGGTAAAGTCGAAGCATGTATAGCTTGCATGGATTTCTTTGTGAGGCCCCGTGAGGATACAAATAAGCCCAGAGTCAGCCCGGTTTCTTTGGATAATGTGCCTTCGAATTCTCGAATGGATTTGGGGCCGATTGAGGACGCTTCATTTTTACATTGTATTATGACGTTTACATGTGGTGGTTGTGATGGTGGTGGCTGTATATTCCAAGTTCCTCTTAGATCAACTCCCTTGTCATTAGCTCCTCCTACATGTCGAAGATGGAATCCAAGTTGAGAAAAGACTTGGATGGTAGCTAGTTCTAGTTCCAGCCCCTTTTCTAGATTCGTTAGAGGTCGTGATGGGGCTTCTACTATGGCATTCAGAGCCTGTCGTCTGAGAATGGAGGCAGCTCGGATCATGCCTGTTGGAAGATTTGATGTCGGTGAATTCCTAATGTCGAATAGTCGACACCAATTCCAAGGTAGCTTGCCTGAATTAAAATACCAAATGCTCCAGGAAAATTGAGCTTGATGCCGTTCGATATACGTTGCCTTTGAAGCATCAAAAGTAAAGACGCAAAAGCAGTCGTTTCTATAAGAAAGGGCGTGAGTATCGCGAATTCTAGCACCTATCAGAAATCTCAATATAAACCTTAACCGAGAGACAAAAAGTGTCAACGCTCCACTATTTAAGCAAGTTTGCGTTTGCAAGTGTTGACAAAGTTTGGAAGCATGCATGAACTTACTACAGAGAGGAACAACGCGACAACTTCACTTGACTTTGCAGTTTGCAGTTCTATCCAAACATAATAAATTCAAGAGAATTCACGAACGTACTGAAAGGAACAAGAAGATTTCTAGCCAAGCAAAATCGGACATTGTCCAGCGAACGCTCTGTGAAAAACGTGTCAAATGGACGGGACAAGACGAATTTTACGTGATTTGACGCGTAAAAGTATGTCATCCGTAGCTTGAAGTACATATATTTGGCTGTATAGGTCCAATCGCATCGTCCAACTCTTCAAAAAATCCAAACACCGCCGCCATTCCAAACCAGGACGACAGCATCCTTTGATGCCATCATTATAATCCTACAGATCAGTTGTTGTAAATGGCCAATGGACTCGGACGAGTCACGAGCTGTCTTGTTTGCAGTCGAAGACGATGAGCAAGATCAAGACATCAACCAGCAATATCACAGCCAAGGACAGCCAAGTACTAGTAGATCCCTTGCGGTGGACACTATCGCTGCTTCTGCTATACGGCCATCGACCGATAGTGGAGATTCTCCTATAACGTTTGAACACGTTGGACTGCCTCAAAATGTTGGAATGTTGGGGTATGTTACGGGACGATCTTATTTGACACGCGAATGTCGGGTCGGGATCTGACTTTGGTGCATGCTTATATATATAGACGTCAGCAGCTCGATGCTTCGCTCAAACGGAAGAAACGGCCGTCTATTGGCTTTCTGAATGTGCCCAGAAGTGTAGATCAGCTCAGGGTATGTTTGTACAGAGATCGGTGTCCTTTTAGCTTCATACTGAAACTCTGTCTCAAATAGGTTCGAATGGACGATCAACCTAGTAACGATTGGATGACCGATGGAACTGGAAGACGGGTTGTTTATCAGGACTTTACTACGATTGGTATGCACGGACGTTCTTCGACTTTTTGCCCGACTTGACCAATTCAAAATCACATCTCAAACAGATTGGATTTACGATTTCGCGAAAGGTGCAGCTCGACAGCCTTAAGTTATTATATTGGACCTCGTTTTACTCAATCGGCCCAAACACACATATAGAACGACAACGAGTTCGGAAACTCATGTCCTTAGAAGGCTGGAAGGGTCAATGGACTCGTGTATTTGATGCTTCTCAAGCATGGTTGTTGGTTGGGGCTGTTGGTGAGGCCTAATGTTGATTACAACTTATTCTCTTGTTGACCTGCCTTTTTTCGCAGGTCTACTAATGGGCTTACTTGCTGGTAGCATTGATATCGCTACAGCATGGCTATCAGATACGAGAGAAGGATTTTGCTCTGCTGGGTTTTATCTAAACCACAAGTTTTGTTGTTGGCATGTTGGAGGTAATGTGTTGGTGATTTAGAAGCTTTCACAGTGATCTGGAACTGATTTTTGGGCTTTTTCTAGAATACAAGGAATGTGACGAATGGGTCACATGGGGACAAGTGTTTGCATGGACTGATGTTGGTAGATGGGGAATGCAATATTTAATGTTCACTATATTGGGTGGTCTATTTGCTGGTATCTGTGCTATATTGGTTAAGAATTACGCTCCGTAAGTGTACTGGGAGAACTTGGAATAGGTTTTGTTTTTCTGTGCGGAGCGAATCCAGTTTCCTGACAGCGATTTGTCGTCTGTTTCAGATACGCTGCTGGATCTGGAATACCTGAAATCAAGACCATACTGGGAGGATTCGTGATAAGATCGTTTCTTGGTGGATGGACATTACTGGTAATATGACATTATTGGAGCTTTCTTGTTTTCCCCTGTATTATCTAATCATCACGCCATCAAGATTAAAACATTGGGACTCGTCTTATCAGTCGGATCAGGTCTATCAGTTGGAAAAGAAGGTCCATATGTGCATCTAGCATGCTGTCTAGGAAATATCCTCCCGCGAATATTCGACAAGTATGCCAACAATGAAGCCAAAATGCGTGAAATATTATCTGCAGCTTCATCTGCTGGCATATCTGTCGCTTTTGGTGCTCCTATTGGTGGTGTATTGTTTAGTTTGGAGGTAAAGCAAAAATATCGTACTGTGGCAAGATGGATGTCTAGTTAACCTTATGTCCTTGCCATCAAAACAGGAAGTCTCTTATTACTTTCCGTACAAGACGATGTGGAGAAGTTTCTTTGGAGCCATGATTGCTGCTATAACGCTGCAATTGATGAATCCGTTTAGGACGGGCAAGATGGTAGAAAAGATCCTTGTGTTGTGTCGTGGGCGCCTGAGCTCACACTCGTCTCAATTCAAAGGTTTTGTTTCAAGTAACCTATGATCGTAATTGGCATGGGTTTGAGATGTTTCTGTTTGTGTTTCTTGGAGTCCTGGGAGTAAGGCACATTCAGCATTGCAAGTTTGAGTTAGTTCGAGCGACTGACTTGTTTTGTACATCCCAGGGTCTTTATGGGGCTTACTTCATTCGCATGGTATGTGTGAAATGTGTCAAACGAAATGTATGGCTTATGATCAACTCTTATCTCGCCTTTTTGTCCAGAACTTGCGAGTAGCCATGATTCGAAGAACATCATGGCTTCGACTCGTACCTGTATCCGAAGTCGTGCTACTAGCAGTCATCACTTCCATAATATGCTTCAACACTCGTTTCTTACGAGTACCCACAGTGGACCTCCTCGCCAACCTGTTTCGAGAATGTGAAGAAGTAGAAGGAGACTTTCACGGTCTATGCACCAAGAGTCAAGGAGGTGTCACAGCTGGTCTTCTAATAATAACAGCTCTAGTCAAAGCAGCTTTAACCACCGTCACATTTGGTGTACGCGTTCCGTCAGGAATCTTACTACCATCTATGGCAGTTGGAGCATGTGTTGGTCGAGTAGTCGGAATGGGGGCTCAATACATTCAAGAAACGAATCCAACGTGGTTTATATTCAGTAGTTGTCCACCTGGTGGTGCACAGTGCGTGACCCCAGGAACATATGCTATGGTCGGAGCTGCTGCCTTCTTGGGTGGAGTAACGCGGATGACTGTGTCACTAGCAGTCATCATGTTTGAGTTTACGGGTGCTTTGACGTATATATTGCCTGTCATGGTTACCATCATGGTTGCTAAATTTGTTGGAGATGCGTTTGGAGCTGGTGGTATATACGATGCGTTGGTACGATTGAATTCGTATCCGTATTTGGATCCGCGAGAAGAATATGGTGGTCGTGATACTGCTGCCGGTATCATGACTAGAGTGCAGGATTTGGAAGTTGTTACCGCAACAGGTGATTCGCGTGAACCCTTATACCTTTTTTTGCCTCGCTGAAAAGCTTGAAACTCAGAAATCTGCATCTTCACTCTGCTTGAAAAATCAACAGGACATACAATAAACTCACTTGATGAGTTACTCAAGACTACAGACTATAAAGGATTCCCTGTCGTCACTGACTTTCCTGGACTGGGTCTTGTTGGATATGCTGGTCGTGCGGAAATGCGATATGCTATAGGTATGTGTTTTGTGACGGATCAAAGTCGTGGTGGGAAGCAGGAACATGTGTTTTCATTTTCAAAATATGTAGGATCTTTCTTTCCACATTTGTCGCACTTACACTTATATTCGTTTTCTCAACTCGACAAAATAGATCAAGCTAGACTCCAATCTGATATTATTGGATCTAGTCCTTGCTACTTCAGTGATATGCAGCTTTCAGGGAATGAGGCTCCTCATGTAGACATGCGTGTATGGATCGATCAGACTCCGTAAGTCAATAGGAGCTACTTGTAGGATCCTTTTTTTGGTCGCTACTATTGCCAATGCTCACATATCCCCTAATCCATAGAATGACGGTCTCACCACGATATCCAATCGAACTGGTATTAGAATTATTTGCCAAACTAGGCCTTCGATATGTCATTGTGGCAGTAGACAATCGTCTGGTTGGGTTGATTACCAAGAAAGATCTACTACGGCATGTTGTTACATCCAATCATCCAGAATTTGAAGCAAATCCAATGGAAGATGGACCGACAACTGGTCTTAATAGAGAGTCTGCCGACTGGACTAGAGCAGCAGGATGACGTTGAAACAAGCCGTGAGGTCGTACACCGCTTGTTTTCATGTACGAAAATGTTTGGCATGGAATTTCGCATTATTGTTGATTCATCACACCCACATTGTAATTTGCATACAGAATATTCTTATAATAGGCAACAAAGTTCATGTAATGGGACGAGGTTTTTGTGGTGCGGCGGAAAAGCAGCTTGTGATTCGGACGAGTCGCGAGGAACGTCCTGGCTGCGACCAGTACTCGTACCGAGAGTTCACTTACTTTGGTCAAGACTTTGTGACTAGGGTGCAGGATTCGGACATTGCTACCACATCCAAGTGAGTATATTAGGTGGAAACTATAGTCCATTTTTTGGTGGTGTATCTTGTCGGTAACCGTCGTTATTTACTTTCCAAATCGTAGATGAATTAGTATCATTGGAGCCATTTCAGTGGTGTACAACTGACAAAGTCTGGGTCTATTGATTGATTGGGCTTGAAGTCAATTGCATGGCTTTACTGCCTTGATTTTCCCGTACTCTCAACGCAATCATGTCATTGTCTAAACCATAGAATGCCAGTCTCAAGAAATCACGTGTCGTGACAGTTATGTCACCCAGATTCCATTCGAGTGAATGGAGATGGGCTGCCGACTCTAGGATGACACAATGAACTTTTCTCCTTTTTTTCTCACACAAGTGCATCAATTTTCACCGTCATTGTCTTCCTTTGGAGTTTGCATCGTAATCTGCACAACAAGACACATTTTTCATAATACACAGCACGAGATTATATTTAAAGACAAACGACTACTTTTTAGAAAGAATATCAAGTTTTTATAATGTTTCCTTGACGAGGAGAATAAGAGCTGAAGGTGTTTCAAAGGAGGGTTCTCACAAACAAACTCTCTTTCTTAATGCACAAGACCAACAGTCTTAAACACAAGTGGCATTGCCAAAGAAACACAATATCCCACTCCGAAATATGAGCAGAATCTTGCGAATGTGTCGGTGGTGTATTTGGGTAGCTTGAATTGTCCGTTGGGAGAACTAAATAGTGAGAATGAGTTAGTCCTTTTTGCTCTTGTCTTCAAACGACTCCTCAAACTTACTGTGGTCGCTCATGTGGCACTCCACAAGTCTTATACACTGCCTTGAAGACAGGTTTCGACACAATCTTCCATATTATTGCAGCAATGACACCTAAGACAAATGCAGAGAGGGTTCAGCAAAAGAAAAAAGAATTGAACAGCATGGACATGGTAGAGATCCACACTTCCAAATCACACATACCAACAAGCATTCTCAACCCAGCAATACGACTCCATTCACTCCAAGAGATAGCGGCCAGCGCTTCGTCATTTGATAGTGCCATATAAGAGTGTCCCAATGCTCTTACAGCCCAGTTTCCAGTCAGGAAACCACAGACTACAGATGCAAAGCATACCGAGTCGTCATAGCATGGGCAAGCATCATGTGGGTCTGGGTATATCCATAATGAGAGGATTGATATTATGAATAGTATTACTGGAACTATATGAAGTTGTTGGTTAAGTATGTTTTTGTTGGGCCTCATGCAAAAAAGCCTGCCATCATAAAATAATTGACTACTCGTACCTTCAACACCACCATTCAACCACCTCTCAAAAGGCTCCAATCCAATCATATACCCAACAGTAATCAACGCCCCGACAATAGTCCCACCAACAACATCCGTCATAGAATGCATCCCAGTATAGATCCTACTTATGGGTACTGTGATTCCATATAAAACCAAGAGACTCGCCAACCCAATTTGCAAGATCCATTGCGTAAGAGTCCATTCTAACGAAGGCCATATGTAGAAAGCGAGATACGATATACAGTATAATGACACTGAGACAGCGTTTGCGCTGTGTGTTGATGGAAACCCGTATTCGAGATGTGTTGTTGAGGAGGTTGACATTCGGATTAGTGGCGGTGATGGTGGACGTGGTAGGCATAGATAGTCCTGATTTGAGAACGAATTGGTTGGCAAAAAAGTTGATCCGACAGCAATTGATTGAAGACCAAATACCTTCACTAGTCCAGTGATATAAACACCCGCAGCTAGAACCATGAGCAAGCCTCTTCCAAAGTGATGGCGGTTATATTCACTACCATCGTCAGCATCGGCAAAGAAGAGCATTGGTAATAATGTCAAGTAGGCCTGCAAGAAACCCCATGTGAGTGATCACTCCTTGATGCTTTGCGCTTTTTTTGCGGTCAAGCTCAACAGCCCACCACTGCACCACTATCAGCTGAGTTCCATACCTCATGAGTTCCAAATATCCCAATATACGTAAACACCCAATCGTTAAACCCCGACGAATAGTGTTGCTGAAACCTGACAAGTGCAGGTGTTTCACTCCTCACAGACTTTAGCAACCAACTCCTAATAGACTTGCGTATCGAAGATTCAGCAGATCCCGCATTCTTTCTACTATTCTTGAGCAATACACCTCTCTTCTTGAGTGTCGTCCAATACGTGTTTGGTGTTTGATGAAGACTGGAGCCACCAAGTGTTAATGTCGATGAGGGGGGTAAGGAATGATGAGAGGATGCTTCAGCGGCCGGTGATATGTGTCCATTGCTGTTATTTCTGCTGGATAGGAGCTTGTCCGGGAGTGATGAAGCTAGATTCTTTGCGGCAGGAAACGATGCTGATGTCTTTGGGTTTAATGCCACTCGTTTGCTGAGGGAGGCTTCTTGTTGTTGCTTGCCCCCTTTGCCCATAGTTTCTTGATGCTCTCTCCTCTACTCTGATTCCACTTCCCTCACCTCTCTTCTTCCTAATTATTTTGTCAACTTTCGCTCCCCACAAATTTTAACCAGGCAAAAAGCGCAAGATCTGCCTGAACAGTGCATAGAAACGCAACCAAACAAAGATCTCAATAACAATACAGCAACTTATATTTCATTTCATGACAACTATTTTGTTTAAATAGCGAGGCTTACAACTTGATCTACTATTTCATAACTTTTCATGCTTTTTTCAATCCATAAGACTCGGAGGCCTCCATCCAGGTGGTCCCTGATTTATTGGCGGTTGTTGCTGTCCATAGACTGGTTGCTGCTGTTGGGGTTGATTATAGGCTGGTTGTTGCTGTTGTTGACCATACCCATATTGCTGTTGCTGTTGAGGTGGTTGCTGTGATTGACCTGCATACCCATACCCGTTGGCAGGATATGCGGGATTTGAGTAGGATGTACCCATAGGAGCTGCCCCGTTTGTCGATGCCTGAATAGTCGAGGCTGGTTGATATGCTCCGTTACCAGTGTTTGTATAGGGTGCCTGCTGTTGTTGACTACCGCCTCCTCCTGCTGCTGGTGCGGAGTAGCCTGGTTGCTGGTATCCACCTTGCCATGATGGTTGTTGAGTGGGTGGTTGAGGCCTGTATACACTGGAAGCTGGTGGCTGTTGTGAGCTCCAACCTCCTGGTTGGCTATATCCTGCTTGGGATGCAGGTGGGGCCCCAGAGTTGATCTAATAGATCCAAAAGCACATTCGAGATGTCAGAATTCATGTTATTTTGTTCAGTTCCCCATCCATCGAAAAAACCTTGATTCAACCGCCGAACGACACATTCAGCCCAAAACATCAGAAATGATTCGAAATAACTTACATTGGCATTAATGGGAGGCCTTGCGTATTGCTGTTCGCCTGCCCCATATTGAGGTGTATTGTAGCGTGGATATGGATTACTATATCCTGCTGATCCTGATGGCGGATTCGTGTTGCTGTTGGGGCCTCCATACGATGAGTTCGGCTGTTGTTGGACTGACGTTGGTGGTGGAGCATAGTTGGAGTTCGGTTGCGGCAAATACGATGACGGCTGCTGCTGTTGCTGTGAATAGACATTTTGATTGACAAACGGTTGAGGAGGAGGTACGCCAGTCGGAAGCTGTTGCTGAGATGGTTGATACGAGTTGCCAGAGTTTGTTGGAGGGGCGTTTGTGTATGCTCCACCAGGATTAGGCGCTGCCAAATTTGCAGGCGCAAAGTTGGTGTAACCTGACGTTGGATACTGTGACTGGGCAAATGACGGAACATGTTGGGGCGTGGCAGTTGCTAATGATGGTGCAAAGTTGCCTGGTGATGGGCTAGGATTGGCAGGCACACCATGCAAATTTGATGGATTATTATATACATACGGATTTGGTGGCGTCGAAGGAGGTCTGGCTGGTGGCATACTACTATACGGAGGTTGACTACTGTTACTATTATACGATGGAGATGATGCATATGGACTTGGTGGTGGAGGTGCAGCAGGTGCATATGATGCCTGAATTGGAGGCATACTTGGTGGTTGAGAGGGAACATATGAGGGTTGCTGCGCGGGTATATACGATTGCTGCTGCTGTTGTGGCTGTTGTGATTGCGGTGGATAGTGGGGTGCTTGAGGAGTTTGCGGCTGTGGTTGTGGTGGTGGAGGCCCTTGTTGAGGGTGATAAGTTGGAGAAGACGGCTGTGTACTCAACCTCCGTAGCTGCTCTCGTAATGCCTGTTGACCCTTCTCTGCTTGATCATCTTCAATACGTTTAACTAGTTGAGTTCGTTCGGAATCTCGTTTGTTGACGAACGTAACAACAGAGTCTTTTAGCCCATCGACCAATTCACTCAATCCAGAATAAAACTAGTACATTATTGATGTATTCTTAGTTTCAAAACGTGTGATAATTTCGGAACTTTAAATCAACTTACTTGAATACCACGATTCAAACCTTCACGAGTTTCCACCCATCTCATATAGTATTCACGCCATTCAGCAACCAGTTTGACTTTACGGCGATCTCTAGCTTCTAATGTCTTGAGTCCACTAGATGACTCTCGTAGTCTTCCGTACTCGTTGCCCAACTCTTGCAACATTTGTTGGTGAGCTTGCAAGTTTGCAGTCAATCGAGCTTGAATCGGTTTAAACTTGGCTATCTCAGATATAAATATCTGAGACTCCTTGTTCTTGTTCAATAGCAATAATGAAGCAATGTCATCTTGTTGAGTCTAAGAAGGAATGTAGTTGTTGAGCACAAAAAAGTCCCTACATACCGAAACTCAAGAGTCACTTGAGGACTTCATCGCAAGGTAACACGTACCTTCTGCTTGAGATCCTCGATGATCTCAGCACGTTCCATTTTAAGTCCACGTAACCGAGACAAGAGTTGATCCAACTTTTCAACAACCATCTGCTCTCCCAAAGTATTTAGTCCTTTACCATTACTAACACCAGCAGAAGCCGAACCATCGTCATCTAGCAAGCTAACTACAGGTGCTGCTTGTTTTCCTGATGTCGTCGTATTGTTTAACAAGACGATTTCAGCAAATATGGATTCTAATTCATCTGAATTCCGTCTTAAATCACCAATTTCGCGACGAGATTCACTAACTCGTTGTAATAGAGCCGTATCGGTACTAGCAGCTTGATCAAAAGATTCACGATGTCGACGTATATCGGATCTTAATGTACTGGTTAATCGACCAGATGGCTCTTGAGTCCATTGATCCATATATTTTACTCTCATGGCTTCGCAGGCACTCTGTTCTTTATCCAATAGTCGACCGATATCATCAAGTACTTCTCGTACTTTTTGCTTCAGAGTATCTAGTATTGATCCTAGTTCCTCTGTGCGAGTACCTCCAGATTCTTCAGCAGTTCTAACATCTTGATTCCATGCACGTACTTCGTCTGGTAATCGTGCAGAATCGTCAACAGCTCCAGCACCTTTCACAAACCGTTTCAATCTGTCTAGTATTGGAATCAAGTCCATAGATATCAATGAAGCTTGCAATTCACCATCTGCGGAAATAGCCCTATCTTTTTCGGCTCTAACAAGCTTATCCTTTTCTTCAGAATATACCGAATTCGATTCGTGTACTGATAAAGGCACCAGTTTGGCAAATATATCGGGTCCAATTATTTTGGGTATATCGGCTGCACCGCCAGCACAAACTTCAGCAAACGTGATTGGTTTGACGGCTGCCAATTTGTCTACAGCAGGTATAGTATCTGGATTCGGTACGTTTTCGTGATATATCAGGTCATTATCTTTTGTTGCTCTAGTTTTATGATCTGAAATCACATTCACATTTAGTTTTGTGATTTCAACCAGAGCAGCTGCTACTGTAGTAGACTGTCCAGCTGATCCCGAATCTGATGATGTGGTGCTTAATGATGTTGTGGTAAAGGATGGGAAGGAGCTCTGGAAGGATGTAGCCAACTTTTGTGCTTCCCTGGCATATATCTCTGCCAGTTGCAAGTGACCTACAATCTCTCCATACTTGTTTTCGGTTTCTAATTGTAATGCTTTATGATACATTGATATGGCCTGGAAGTGTTTGGCCTTGACCTGCATTGCAAAAACAAGTCAACACGTGTGCACATGATGCTGTGAAACAGAAATACATACTCTGACTAGGTCAGCCCAAGCCTTCTCAAACTGCCCCTTGACTGAAGCATTACCCAATCCTTCCAGAGTCAAAGTGTACTGATGAGAAGCTTGTGCAGCAAGCTTGGCAACTAGAATACCTCTCTTCTTTTCCATGACGACTTTTTCCAAAAAGCATTCCTGAGCTTGAGCCAAAACGAGATCTACCAGTGTCTTTATAGAGTCACGAGACAGGTCTGTTGATGGAGCATGTAAAAAGTTGTCGTTTATATAGGTGAAGAGACCAGCAGCCGCTTGAAAGTAGTTGAATGCCATTTTCAGTCCACTTGCTTCAAATCTGTTTTGAAGAGCAGCGATGGAAGAGCAGGCTAACAGTAACATATGTTTTAAATATCTGAAAGTTGAATATGTACATGGTTTGATACGTACTGGCAGCAATATTGAAGATGGTGCACGCCTTTTCATAAGCAATGGAATACTGCGATACCGTCTTGTTTGAGAAAGCGTCATACCTATGAAATATTCCAGTCAATAAATATCTATAATAATCTCAAATGATCAATGTCTAATATGTAATGCTCACCAAGTGAAGAGCACCTTGACATTCTTCTCGTCAATGGGAAATCTCAGGTCGAGCAGCTCCAATTGTCCATAATATCGATACAGGATATCTCGACCCGTTAAATCCTTGCCGGCACCTCGAGTATCCTGTCGTAATCTATTCAAATGGCCAATCTCGGCACTGTACTTGTCGGCATCTTCTTGATATACGGTTTGAATATACGTCCTAAAAGAGGCCGCAAAGTCTACCTCGTCTCTCTTTTTGGTTGGAATATGAAGTAGAGGTGAATTCAGGGAAGTCATCGTCCTTGTTCCTCCTCTCGTTGTTTGAGACTGATTTATGTGCTTTTGCTACTAATGGAAGGTGCTTACGAATTGCGCTGGGCTTTTCGAACACACTATTCAGAGAAGAAAGGAATCTGGACGATAAATATACGCGTTCTTACTCCTTGTCTCTTGCCCCCATTCAACTACCTATTCATGACGCGTCGTGGTAACTTCAAAGAAGATCAAAGCATGAAGAGCACGATGAGGACTGTTTTGATGTTACATGCCAACGCTATGCTTTATTCATTTTGATTTTCACCTCTTTACATATCTAGCTTTTACCTGCATGGGTTTTTGACAACCAATAGCGACGCTTACTTATTACCATTCTGTGACGGCGACGGAAATACGATCACCAATTGAGATTTCCATCACTCGTTTTTGAATTCTTCCCGTAGGAGCCATAGGAGCGAGTAGATCGAATCCTGGCAACTGTCATAGGTTCTTAGTTCGTCATTGCAATACGAGAATTGATTCTTTACATTTTGAACTGACTTCCATCCCGCTTTTCATACTAGGCTCGTGAAGATTCTACGGTAATGCTATCACGATATCAATTTCAGTGTCGAAGATCGTCCATTTAGAGTGCGACGTCGTTTTTTGTTGCTTACAACCACAAACCTAGGGCAATTGTAGCTCAGGTTGCGTCTCTTGCAAAAGCTACATTATAAGACTATGATTCAATCACTATAACTAGACTACATCTATTCCATGTAACTCTTTGTGGTTGCGGACTCACTAACACACAGACACCACTAAAAGCCCCCTAACGGACACAATCGCAAGCACGAAGTACACCCAAGCTAAGCTTTGATCTTCCCTTTCTCATCCCTCTTAAGCTCATCAGCCCTCTCCTGCATCTCACGGAACTGATCCTGCATACGAATCATATCCTCATCCGTCTCTCCAATTTCAGGGTGCACGTAAATAGGTGGTGATGCAGCCTGAGAAGCTAAAGACAAGGACGGCTGACTCTTACGACGACAGCCACTAGTTTCACGAAGGAATGGTGACACCGCAACATCACTTGCAGGCAAGTATGGAGTCAATACTCGTTGTCGTGAAGACGGGGGAGTAACAGACACATCTACCCCACTGTATCCGTGATCTTCTGGTGGCACACTATACAATGGTCGACCACCAGTATTCCAATCATTGTCAGGATACGATTCTAGATTATTTATGTCCTGGCTGCGACGACGATATATGAGCATCAATACAGCTAGTATTGATAGGGCTGCTAAAATTCCGATACCACCAACGGTGAGCAACAGGATACGAGGCACGCTTGCTACTAGGAGAGGACAGGCTGTTGGATTACCGTTAACTACTGCAGTACACGAAGGGCTAGCTGATGGTAAGATTATTAGAGATGGAGATACGAATATACTAGATGGGACGATTAGATTACTGGGTCTTGGTGAGAAACCACTAAGTGTTGGTGATGGCGATGCGAATGCATTTTGCGAGGGAGTCGGCGATACGAAGACATTTAATGTCGGTGTTGGCGATACAAAGATATTGAACGACGGTGTTGGCGATACAAAGATATTGAACGATGGCGTTGGCGATACGAATACGTTAAGCGATTGTGCTGGTGATGCTCCCCTAGAGGGCAATAGTCCAAGACTTGGCGAAGGATTGATGACACCACCGCCACGTATTCCTCCTCCAATTACAGTTCCAGGTGGCACGAATTGTCGATTCACATAGTCTAAAGAATATACAGCTGGCGGGTCAAATATCATGGCAAGGTAGTTTCCAGGCAGACATGCTACACCAGTACGAGTTCCAGATTGAGGAGCGTATTGTCCCGTTGGTTTTGGAAACGACGTCCATATCATTGTAGAGGGATTCAGTTCGTACACCGTTGGCTAAAAAACGAAGCTGAGCAAGACCCATAATTGTTGCAACTTTTTCGTAACAGTTGGATTTACCATTCCAGTAGCATCATTAGCCACCACAAAGACAGTATTCCTAGAGTTCACACAAGTAGGATACTGAGATCCTGGTGGCGGTGCATTGCCTGTTGTTGCCACTGGTGTAAACGAGTTGCTCGTGAGGCTGAACTTGTAGATTGCATCATTGTTGGGAATTGGATATCCTCCTTCATCGTATTGGCCGTACATGACGAGAACCTATAGGAGCGATTGTGTGATGAGTCAGTGTTTGATGTTTACCACGAGAATGGTTGTGAGGAAGAAAACCCGTGTCTAGGGAGGTCCAGGTGGGTTTGACTTGTCACCTCTTGCGAATTGATAGCAGCAACGCTAAATCCAACACGCTGCGACAGCATATTCAGTGGCATCAACGTTCTGATTTGACCAGTCTGAACATCAAGGTTGGACAATAGCGGTGGATCCATCCCTCCATACAAGTACATTCCAGATCCTGCTGAAAACATTTGCACGTTTCCGTAATTAGGTATGGGGTCTCGATTCAACGGTGCTTGAGGTACTAGTTGAAGACTTGTGGCATCGAATCTGAAGAGTGTGAGTACATTGTCCGAGATGCAATAGATTTGCTCGTTGTGAGTTGTGCAAGATAGGTACGTTTTATACTCGAATGGTCGGACCGGAATTGCCTGGAATGTGTTTGATGGGATGTAGAAGGCTTGTTTTGAAGGGCCTCCTATAAGAAAAATTGAGTGACATCAACAAGCAGCACTTGACATGTCGTGGAACGGCACCTAACATATCATTCCAAGGAGAGCTGATGCCAACTAGAGACGTGCCCTCTGCGACGTAGATAAGCTTACCAATTGACAGAATCCCAAGACGGGTGCTTGCCACCGTTGTAAAATTTTCAACCATCTCAATTCAGGTCAAGGGAAATGTCAAGAAAAACACGAGACGGTCGGTGAATTCTTTGAGTAAAAGCGATTGATTCGTCTGCAAATGCGATGAGCCTATGCGAAAGCGATGTTAGCTTACGTGTCTTTTGCTGCGTTTAATCCATTTGCGACCAAGATGTTTGGAAAAGATTGCTTACTTGAACCAAACGGAACCAAACGACGTTCAAAAGCACATTATGCCTGTTAACCGACAGTGTAAACGTCTTAGTGCTGTCGTCCTTCCGGGTCTGATTATGGGATGGCTCCGTCTGCTTGATGCAATTTCTAACATAGATTTTGAAAGCTTGAAGCTTGGAGGGCCAACGAACGTATCTTGGGCGACATGCTGAACATGGAGGCCTATTTAGAAGAACGTTCGACACGCTTTAACGTGCTACTTGCTGACTGTGCCATATCAACTTTCTCAACAAGAGGCTTTTTACATGTTTGGTCGCAAACGGACGGAGAGACAGTTCCAAGTTTGTTCTACGTGTTTAAGCACTTGAAATTGTAGTTGAAATGCTCTATATTGGTGTTCGGCGCCATTCTAACACGTGAATTCACACGTTCCAAGTAGTCGCGAATTGCGTAACTTTTGACCTCGATCACAAGGCATCTCTGAAGCTCGACTTTTTAATATCTGACTCACTTATCGGAAAAAGGAAGAACATATAGGTACTGTACTCAACAAGTGATTTCGACTACAACGTTAGTACTAACACCACTACACTTTCTTTATCGATCCAGTCAGCCACAGCGCTGAGATGAAACAACATCTCCTGACTCTGCTTTTGTTGGGATCCACGGCTGCTCTAACAACTCCATCCAATACTGGACGTAATGCTCACCGCCGTGCAAGTTTCGCACCTACCGTACCCCAACTACATGAGCATGGATTGTTTCATAATGCTCAAACACCACTTTTGCAATCGTTCCTTCCATTCCAAAGGAACCTCGCAAACATAAATATACCCGATAAATCTACCAATCCTGTCGATATAGCCAAACTATATGCCTCAGAACGACTAGGTGTATCTCTCGACTCCATATCTGTAACCTCGTCGCATGTCTCGTCGCATACGGGAGTCACCCATGTCTATTTGCAACAATTGCAGGGAGATCTAGAAATCGTTAATGGTGTAGCTAATGTAAATATTGATCGTGATGGACGTGTTATCTCTTTTGGCTCCTCCTTTTACACTTCGGATACAGCTGATGACGAGGAGGTTACGGGCTTTTTAACGGTGCAGTCGGATAAGGCTATTAAATTGAAATCTGTCGAGTCTGAACGAGTGACAACAAATCCTGGATCTAGTGCTTCTGATGCTGTCATGGCTTTAGCTCGCTTTTTGGAAGTGGATGTGGATGAGGTTGTTGAAGTTGCGGTGGATAGTAGTTATGTAGAGAAACGTAGTGCTGGCACCAGTAAGAAATACAGGAAGAAGAAGCATGCAAAGGCTGCTACCTCTAATGACGACGATGGTACTAATGACGATACCCAAGCCAAACCACATACTATAATCAAGGCTCCACAACTGGCTGTATCAGACATCCCAGCTCGCCTTAAGTACATTCAAACATCTGAAGGTACTCTCAAACTAGTATGGGATCTGGAAGTGGAAATGGTTGACTCTTGGTATCACGCTCACATCGACACTGAATCTGGATCTGTAATCTCACTAATTGATTGGGTGTCTGATGCATCCTACAATGTCTTCCCTCTTGGCACCAACTCTCCTAATGACGGTGAGAGAGTCAGTGTGCAAAACCCAGCAAATCAATTGGCGTCGCCACTAGGATGGCACGATCAAGACCAAAACAAACGATTCACCAAGACTTTGGGTAATAATGTCTTTGCTCAGGAGAATCTGGAGGGAAGAAATAATTGGGAGAATAATTATAGGCCTGATGGGGGTGGGAATTTAGAGTTTAATTACAAGCTGGACTTGGGTAGAGAGCCTTCACATTATATTGATACCGCTGTTACCAACTTGTTTTATTGGGTCAATGCTCTGCATGATCTGTTTTATGTATATGGTTTTGATGAGAAGTCTGGGAACTTTCAGGAGGAGAATTTCGGGAGAGGTGGTCGTGGTAGTGGTACGTTGGATTTGGGATTTGAGTTTGATCAGGAAGAAAAAAGTGCCCTACCAAAATGCATTTATATAAATTCTGACCCTTTTCTTCCTTTCGCTTTCTATAGATGCTGTAGTTGCCAATGCTCAAGATGGAAGTGGATACAACAATGCCAATTTCGCAACACCACCGGATGGTCAACGTGGTCGTATGCGAATGTATGTTTGGGATATCACACATCCAAACCGTGATGGTGACCTCGAAGGTGGCATTATTGTACACGAATATTCTCATGGAATGACTATTCGTTTGACTGGTGAATTGAGGCTTTGATAGCAACGTTTTTTGTTTGACTTCATGTACAAGTGCACTAAATCACATATACTCAAACTTATTTTAGGTGGTCCCGCCAACTCTGGATGTCTAGGATTTGGAGAATCTGGTGGAATGGGAGAAGGATGGGGTGATTTTATTGCTACAGTACTTCGTATGACTCCTGATACTACTCGAAACGATGATTTCGATATGGGTAGTTATGCCAACGGAGGTAGTGGTATTCGTAAATTTAAGTATTCAACATCCAAATCTACCAATCCGTCTACCTATGGTTATATTCAGAAGCCTGGTTATTGGGGTGAGTGTGCTCCCATCCGTGTTTTTACTACATCTCTTTTTAATGCTTCGACTGCAAATTAACAATCTTTGTTCGTCCGCAGGTGTTCACCAAAAGGGTGAAGTGTGGGCTGAAATCTTATTTGAAGTATACTGGAGCTTACTAGATGTACACGGCTTTGACTCGAACTGGTTTGATACTCCATTGAACGATCAAAGCACCGACGATGATACCTACTTGGACTTTAGAACTGGTCAACACATCTCTAAACGTAGCCACAAGGACGACAAGGAGGATAACCACGACGACGATGACGAATCGGCTACCAACCATAAGAAGAAACCGCAAGAACGATACCCAACACATCCGCCACCAAAGAAGCCATTAAGTGGCAACGTATTAGCACTCCAACTAGTCATAGATGGACTCAAGTTACAGAACTGTAATCCCAGTTTTGTGGATGCTCGTGATGCCATCTTGTTGGCTGATAATCAAATGACTGGTGGAGCTAATGCTTGTGTATTGTGGAAGGGCTTCGCGACCAGGGGCCTGGGTAAATCAGCTCGCAGTGGTGGTCATGAGGCGTTTGATCTCCCTGTTGGGTGTTAAGGGATTGGGTTGGGATTGTGTAGTATTTACTAGTGGTCTTTTAGTTGTGCATTCATTTGCGCCGAGACAGAGAGTGGTTCTTTTAACATGTATACTTGGTATCTTGAGCCGGTTTGGTGTTTGTGGTTTTGTGAACAGTAGCAGTTAGTGTAGTTTTTTTAAACAGCAAATGGATGCTAGTCCATTGAATAGTCAGTAGCACGTGTAATGAATCTTATATACATTGGATTTGAAGAGTGAATGTCTCCTTCTCGTTTTGTGGTGCATAAAACACTTCCCTTCCCGCCTTGACTTTGCTTCAGAACCAAACACGCTTAGAATCGTTGCTTGATTTCAATACTAATATGAATGAGATGTGCTATCATTTAAAATTACAACAATGAACTACGCTGATGAGATCCATTGTAAAGTGGGTCATGATTGAGAGTGCAAAGTGTCCAATATTTGATCCAAGGGATCATTGATCAAATCACGAGAAAGCTGCTTTCTTCTAGTTCCTCAGCAAATCAATCCAGGGTCCAAGAAGAAGTATGATTAGACTTGATGGTGATGATAGAAAGATCTGTGAGTGGTAGTGCAACAAGCAGTGCGGCTATCGGGCACTTACATCTCAAATCAATTAGTCTGTAATCAAGTAGTCTATAAGAAAGATGTCAAGGTGCTCGAGCATAACAACGAACCTGACGAGTTCAACGAGAATGGCGAAATGGGCCACATGGGAACCCTTCTCTGATTTCTTTCATAGTCCTAGGCCCATAAAGTCATCCCATCCTTTCCTCCCACTTCATTCATCTCTCGATTCACCACCTCACTGATGTTGACATTTTCGAGGAGATAAAGGCATGATAATACAGGAGAAGCAAGAATATAATCACCTGCATATGTCAGACAGACCCTCTACGAAGACAACATATCTAGCTAAAAACGCCACCAGGAACTAGCCTATGAGACAGACGGATAAAGAGTGTAAATGCAGAGAAACATATAAATTCAGGTGCGTTGTGAATACGAGAATGATAAGATCCTCTGCCTATAGCCATGACATACCATAACGTCATCCAGTACGCTCCTTTACTTCTCTGATGCGAAATCTTCATCAAAGCAAGGATTAAGGCATGCGCGATATTTCACGACACGGAGCACCATCATAGAGACAGACCCTCTATCCCAGTGTGTTTCAACCGTTAAGAATGATATGCCCAAACCAGCGACTCTACTCATAGGGCAAATTATCTTGTTCTTGACAAAATTGTCAAGATGTGGAGCCATCTCTAGTCTTGCATTCAAACCAGATCCAGTTGATGGCAAGCCTCCATCCCAAGGTCAACCATTGGATGGCCCACGGTACAGTAAATTTCAAAAGGATTCCCTCCCTCGTCCCTCTCTTTGGAGTGTGTTTTAAAGAGTTGTTGCGATTTGCGGCAAGGAGAGAATCCAGTCACCTGATTACTTAAGACAACCCAAAGACAGCGACGACACATTGCGAAAGAGACATGATTGACGCGTCATTTGCTATGCAAATGCCTACTGTATCAAGCCCATATGCCTTGAGGCGTTGTGCTCTTGAACTTCAACCCAGTTGCTCTTCACAAAGTTGTACTTCAACAAACGTGAATTAAGTGGATGTGAGATACCTCAAAAATATAGATTTTGCACAGATCTATGATTACGATACTTCCAATTCAGACGCCTTCAACAACCTATCGAGAACTATCCGTGAACTTCGTGTTTTTTTCGAAGCTGACAAGGAGTGAGTAGACAAAAGAGAGCAGAGCTGGATCACCGGTAAGTACAGTATAAGTTTTAATTCCACATGAAAGCTGAATAACATAATTGTCGCGGATGTTTATCGCAAAGTAACCAAAACTCGCAGCAGTCATGTGTAAACACTCAAACCATTCCTTCATCCACAGATTGTTTGCCACCACGATGGATGTTCTTTGACGATTTCAATCAAGTCTCGTCGGTTTGCTAGATTTGCTGTGGTGCTTTCAAATTGTCCATTTGCTGCCAGCGGACCTCCGGTGCCGAGTGGACGCATTCGTTGCTTGAAAGTGGACTAGTATTGGGAGGATGTGAAAGTAGCAATACTGAAATACTGGACTCTTGGTATTAACATGTGCCTGACGTCAAAGACTAGTGAGGTGTCATGCACTCTCCAACAACTAACTGATTCGGGTCTGCTACATCATGGGATGCAACCTAATATGTATTCCGCCTTGGCACCAGCTCTCCTAATGATGGTAACGGGGTCAGTATCGAAAAGCGAGAAATCGATTAGAGTCAGCACGACGATGACATGATCAAGATTCAAAAGCACCATTTGCCAGAATCTTGGTGACAATGTCTTTGCTCAAGAGAGACAAATTATTATCGGTCTGCTGGTAGTGGAGAATTAGAGTTCAGCTCGAGGTTGCACTCAGTAGAGAACGTCATATGTTGATACCGGAGTTACAAACTTGTTTTATTGAATGTGGTTCATGATTTGTTTAATGTTATGGATCCGAGGGCAAATCTGGAATTGGCAAAGAAGGGAGAAGATTGTTGGAAATATACTGGAGGCTACCAGATTTACACGGCTCTCTTCTGAACTGGTTTGATACACCAAATGATCAATACACCGTCGATGTCACATACTGGGACTTTAGAACTGGTAAACACAGATCTAAAAGTGGCCAGAAAACGGACAAGGCTGATGCCAAAGATGGACGATAATCACGATGCGATGAATGGATACCCTAACACAGGAAGAAGAAACCCCAGAACGATACACACCTACGCATTCAGGACACAAGAAACAGTACCTCTTCAACTAGTTATAGATGGCCTGAAGCTGCAGAAAAGCAACCACAGTTTTGCGGATGCTGCAGGTGCCATCGTATTGGCAGACACTCAGACGACTGGTGACTCGAAAGCCTGCATGTTGTGGAGGGGTTTGCATAACGAGGTTGAGTAATTCTGCCACTGGTGGTGGACAAGACACTTTTGATATTCGTGTCGGTGGTTTGCGTAGAGGATTGCGGTTGTTTATCACGTACAACTGGTTACGGTTTTGGATGCTCATTGTGCATTCGCTTGCTCAGTGAGAGAGAGGTGGTGCTTAAAGCGTATACTTGACATCTCTTGCCGGTTCGGTGACGTACCTCTGTGAACAGGATCAGTTAGTGTAGTCGTAGATGAATATCACTATTGAACAGTCAGTAACACGTGTAATGCAACTGAAATCTGAAATATATCAAGCTTGAATGAATTTACGCGTCGATTATCTCCATTAATTCGTGAAATGTGTTGTAAGATGGTGCTCCTCAAGCTCTTTTGGCTGAATGGACCGTGGGAACACACGCTCCGACACGTCCAGGAGAATATGACTACAGAACATTCAATTTTTGACGCGGCGTTGTCTGATGATCCCTTTTGGCATATCTTCCATCGTCTCTAAGGTTCCAACACTTCCACATTTTTTGCAAGATAGCCAAAGATGGAAAAGTATCAGGTATGAGAATCCGATTACATGCGCAATCTAGGTCAATGCACTAACAGTCTATTTTCATTTCTTATTACAGAAAATTGAGAAACTGGGCGAAGGTACTTGAAGATAAACCCCAAATTTTCAAATGTAAGATAGCCCTATTGACTCTTACCTTCGACTATAATAGGAACATATGGAATTGTATATAAAGCACAGAACAAGGATCTGGGAGAGATTGTCGCTCTGAAAAGGGTGGGTTGCTGTGTATTGTCGCTCGACATCAATTTGAAGCTTACAAAACACAATCCGAATGATGGTAGATACGGTTGGATAACGAAGAAGAAGGAGTCCCTTGTACTGCTATCCGTGAAGTATGTTGACCGTCGTAGCCTTATCCCTTATATCGTACTCAGGTCTACAAGTCTAATCTACCGCTATGGCTTTAGATATCTCTTTTAAAGGAATTGAAACACCCAAACATTGTCAGGTATCTCAATGCATTATATGGGCCATCGTATATACATGCAGGCACTCATTCCCGTCTACATCGACCACAGACTATACGATGTCATCCATACCGAAAAGAAGCTGACCCTGGTATTCGAGTACTTGGATTCAGATCTGAAAAAGTTCTTGGATACCTATGCCGGCGATATCGATGTACCCACAATCAAAGTATGCATGCTGCTGATTGTATTCCTGCATGGGCGGATCAACCCGCAACGTTTTCTTCCCCAGCTAATAATGTTGACTAACAACAATATACTTACTCTAGCTCCTGATGTACCAACTGCTCAAGGGAATCGAATACTGTCATGCGAATCGAGTACTGCATCGAGATCTTAAACCACAGTATGTATCATGGTGTTGTGTGGACCCATAAACCAGCACCTACAGCCTTTTTCCCCCACACCCACACCAACGCTTCCAATTAGAAACCTGCTAATCAACAAGAAACTGGAACTAAAATTAGCAGATTTCGGTCTTGCTAGAGCATTCGGAATCCCAGTTCGAAGCTACTCTCATGAAGTCGTCACATTATGGTATCGAGCTCCCGATGTACTCATGGGCTCGAGGCAGTACTCTACGTCCATTGATCTGTGGTCTGCTGGTTGTATTTTTGCTGGTAAGCTTGTGCTGACAAAAAAGATGTGCCCAAAGAAAATTGTGTCGCATGAAGAACAATGCGGTTGCATACGACCAACTCGTCTTCTCACCAACTTTTTTGAATGTTAGAAATGGCTATGGGTGAGCTTCTGTTTCAGACTATGACTTGTTACACCTTTTACACCGTTTGTGCTTTGACCAACCCGCATCTCACTATTCAGGACGATCATTATTTCCGGGAAGCTCTGCTCGAGATCAACTGCTTCGAATTTTTAAGGTGCTCGGAACACCAGATGAAAAGGTAAGTAGCTGATGACCAGTTTCTGTGGTACATCTGAGTCGCTCGAAACCCGTTATAAGACAACGGCTTACGTGTCTGTCTTTAGTCATGGCCCAAAATAGCAGAACTGCCAGATTACAAGACAGACTTCCCAATATACGCCAAACAACCGCTGGATGCTCTAGTCCCCAAACTAGATCCAAGTGGTATTGATTTACTTTCCCGACTTATTGAATATCAACCGGAAAAGAGAATTAGTGCCGAGAAGGCACTTCAACGTATGCAAACGGAGTCGGTGATCGTGTTTTTACTAAGTTTCTAACACTCTTCTTTCTTGTACAGATCCGTTCTTTGATGATTTACAGTTGCAGAATAGATGATTAACCAAGAGGGACTCACACATCAGATATTTTGCATCCCCTTTTTAGTTTTCGCAAGCACATACTTCCACCTTTGTTGCTTTCTTTAGAAATATATTGTTAAAAAGAAGATTCTTCGTGTCTACGAATTTCGTGATTTCTCCAGTTTCACAGATACCGTTTCATTACGAAGTAGAAGGAGTGTATACCGAAATACGTGAAGTACATTCGCCATCGTAGCCTATTAGCTTATTTGTGAAGCTAAACCTCCACGAAGTTGTTTAGACATCACTCTTGAAGGAATGGAAGCACTCAAACATTATCCTATGACTTTATGGTTTAGATGGGCTATCGAATACACTCGCAGACAGTCATGTCCATGTATTTCAAACACAGGCTATACGAATTTATCGACATTGGAACGAGACTGACTCTGGTATTATCGTACTTGGATTCCGATCTAAAGAAACTTCTATGCCTGTGTCTACGTTATCGATGGATCCACAATCAAAGTGAGTGTTCCAGCGGAACATCAGTATAGATGGTGCTTGGTGAGGAGTATTGTCTCGCTATGTTGGCTAACAACAATTTGCTCATTCATTAGCGCTGTTTTTCGTCTCACAGTGTTGGTTGCCAGCAGTGTCCTCGCTCAATATTGATGCCAATAAAGAGACTTGTACATTGTCATGGAAACCGAACCCCTGATCGAGATCGTAAGCCGTGGTATGTATCGTTGTGTCTTGTTGTGTTGACAGTGTTCTCATGCGCCATCCTTGTGTTGCGCCTTTTTTGCTTTATATCGACAAACGACCCTCTCCGAAAACGACTCCCAAACCATTAGACACGTTTCAAGTTTCTGGACCACGAGATGAAAGGGTATATAGTTGGATGTCAGCAAGCAGTGTGTGGTGTTTGTTGGAGTCTTGGCATTCAATCGAAAGGGAATCGACTGCTTTTTTCGCAGTCTTGGAGCACACAGCAGGACTAGCATTTTGCAAGGCAGGCTTACCAAACGCCAAACAACCACATGTTTTCCCTAGTTCCCAAAAAAATGGGTCCAACTGGGATTGAATTTTTCGACTTATTGAACATCAATCGGAAAAGCAGACTTACTTTGAAGACGCTCTTCAAGTTCTCCATACGCGTCGGAGTATTTTTTTAGTGAGTCTCCCAGACAATTTTGTCCTCTCCACCATATCCATCCTTTCATTATTTGCACTTTCCGAATAAATGATTTCCCTCAGAGTGGCCGATATCAGCTACAGCATGCTTTCACTCATCGAAATACACCCACATTTCTGTTGCTTTTGTTCTTTTAGGAATTATTATTGAAAACATATACAATATGATCTTAATATTTACGAATGTTGTAGTTTCTCAAGTTCAGCATGTCGATAACTCCAGTATTTGGCACGAATAGGATCATGCTCTATTAAAAAGTTCAATGTCTAGGTAGGAAAGATGTTAACACAAGGAGCAAACAAGATTGTTTCAATGTTCATTACCTCTTGAGCAGAGTTCAAAGCACTCTTATCACCCGTTTCCAATTGCAGCTCGTATACATCTAATAGGTATAACAGAGCTTGTGGGATTTTCGAGTTTATGTACGACTTTGCGAGATCGTACACGGGTGTTATTTCGTCCAAGGACTTAGAGTTGTGTGATATGATCCTTTTTATTGGTTGCAATATGTGAAAGTGGGGGTGAGAAACGGCTGAACGAAGAAAGAACCCAAAAGAGACTCCAAGCCATACCCTCTTGCATAATTCCAAGGCGATTCGTTCCTTGGTGCCAGCTTAATCTTAGTCATGACATACCTACAAGCACGACACAAATAAATCAGTCAAAAGACAAACTTGACGCACAAGAAAATCTGGTGCCAGAATGGCCATCAAGCTGTGACACTCACTGTATCTCATCATCCAAACTCTCACCAAATCCACCAGGCCGATTTACCAGCACGAAATACCGATGCATCCATGCTGAATTATTCCTCACATCTTGATCAATCAACACATTTACGTCACTCAATTCATCGTCCCATAGAGCACCACCGAAATGAGTAAGCAGCCATTGACGATACGTCCATAGATGGTAGTTCTTGGAATCGTCTTGGAGCATGTCGTTTAGGAAGGCCTTTTCGGTTGATGTGTCGTTTAGACGTTCCATTATTACTTGGCGATGATGCCTGTTGAAGAGAGTGGTTCGTTTAGGGGAGCGAACAAAATGGTATGCAAGAGGTGGATATCTACCAGATCTGATATGATTTCGGTTGTGATTCAACCAATTCCGTGACCCATTCTAATTCTTGATGTAGATCGGATTTGAGTTCTTGCAGGACGTCTTGTCTGCACTTCCTACATACGATTTGAATGAGGTTTGATTAGACACTTCTTTACAAATGCAAAAACAAAACAGATTGTTTGGAAACACATGATGATGTGATGTGGATTTACAACACATACCATACGGTATAGTGAGCAGGATTATGCGATATAATAAAGGAGGTCAAATCAAGTACACGTTGACTCTTTTCTCCTGAAAGAGCCACAGCTCGAAAGTAGTCCATTGCTGATTGATCTAAAGTTGATGTTTGATGTTTGGATGTTAGAGATCTGCAGTGATTCAATACAGCAAAGAGGACAACCAATAATTTAGAGGAAACGCAAGTAATTGATAGGAATTACATTCAGGACGGTATATGATTGACACGACCGGGTTTGGCCCATCATCTTGAATTCTAGGAGCGATGTCAGACCATTCAGGGCGCTGGTTGTATGGTACGAAATCAGCCATCAATAAGAAGCGGCTATATAAAAGATCTCTTTTGGCTTGTTTCTCCTGTGCCTCCTCGTCAAGGATGTGGTATGTGGTATTGGAGGTTTGGAGTTGGGAGCCTATTTATACGATTATGGAGTGATAACTGCTTCGTGATTTTACGCGTCAAATCATATGAATAATGAATATGAATCTTATAATCTAATCATTTAATCAATAATAATTTAGAAATTTACCACTAGATCTACACTAAAGCCTATCATAGAAACACATACAACGTGCTCTTAAACACTAACCAGCTCTGTGTTTCTAAACCAGCCTTGGGACTGGCTAAGGCCACATTGGGTTAGTTTTGTTAGAAAGGAGTCACAAGGTATATCTGCTTCATCACTGGAAAGGATCAAAGTAATTACCAAGTGATCACCATAACAACAAAGAGGTCTTCAGATCCAACTCACATCTGGTATTAGGCCTCCAGCTCCTTGTTCCAGCTCTTAGCTAACTGCTGTTCTGATTCATGTTTACACGGACTTCTAGGATGATCTGTGAGTTCTAGGATGATATATGAGAACTCACAAAAATATGTCGCCATAAAAATCAAGGGACACACATACCATGCAAACAGGTGATTTGAGAGGAATCTTTTACGCAAGCCTAAACCCACTTCCCAGAGAAACACACTGACAACTGACCTCGAAAGGAAACGATACCGTCGAACAGGATCCTTATGAGCATCCACCACCCACCTATACTGATCAAACCTTGCCAGTCGAACCCCGTGTTCTTTGCAATGGTCCAAATGCCATTCATCCAAACAATAGGGGCACAATCGTTCAAATCCTCCCCATGTCTTACCGGATCAATTACGATGGATTTGGCGAGGCGACTACTAGCAAATGGAATGTCGTGCCTATCTGAGGGGAAGAAACTGACACTTTTGGCTTTTGGATTATCTCTTAGTTTACATCTGGAAATTCTTAATTTGTTTTGATTTAGGGTGAAAGATTTTTAAAAACTCACAATAATTTGGTCTGGGAGTGAGTAATGGGAGCAAAGCAAATTCTGAATGATGAAGTTGGTTAGTTGATTGACAACAAACGTAGCACTTTCACTTATACGTACGTTTTTATATCGAAAGGATTCAGTCACTGAAACCATAAACAATACAGCAGAGGAAGGAAAAAACTAAAACTAATCTTTGCATAGCCAGTAATAAGCCCATTTGTTTCTTGACATCCAAAATTCTCGTGCTCAAAAGTACAAAACACGCGAATCAATCGCCGCAGTAGATCACTTTTACACACCCTTCACAAGCAACAGTCGCACAGAATATGAACAGGCGCAAAGGCAATTGAAAAATGTTAACAAGGTTAACAATTACACAAAGTTAGCAGCGGTGGCAACGGATAGCAACATCAGCAAACACCACACGTCCCCAACCGGTTCCATCGGTTCCATCTTTGGTGGCAATGTTAGAACCGGTCACAGTTCAACAGCACTTCAACAAGAGACAACGGCGACAACGCGTTCACAGGTCAGGCATATCGATAGGGCAAACACACTGCTAAAAGCAAATCCGTATCGATAAGAATTTCAATTTGTATTGGTCTTTACTGGCTTTTCTCTGAGCACACTTTGACTTTGACATTACAATTTAGAGTCCTCTTTAATAGGAATCTGCCATTTACCCTTCAACTGGTTGTTAAATTTGACGCCCAGTTTATTGATGCCCTTAATGTCTTCAACACTCTTGGCGATGCCCAAACGCCAAGAAGGATTGATTGGAAGGTTTAGGGCCTCAGCTCGTGACTTGGAGTTTGGATCGAAGTACGAACGGTCGCCCATTACAACAACTCTAGTCCCACTAAATAAAGCGGTTGAGAATCAGATTTGAAGCTGCCGATGAATGCAAAGAATTTCTAGCGGCATCCTGTGGCTTACGTTCGACTAGATGGATAATAGTCCCAAGTTGCTCGATGTTGAGTGGCTCGATTGTCCCATAGAGCAACAGAGTTCTTGCTCCATTTCCAACGAACCTATTAATCGATTATAATGGTTATTTATGATGTTTAGAAAGCTCGTTGGGTCACATGATTTTCTAACCTGGAATTCAATTCCTTTTGCAACGTGTTCGTTAAGGAAGTTCAACAAATTATCTGACTCCTCCTTAGAGAAACCTTTGATTTGCTTGTTCCCTATCGACAACAAAAATTCAATTCAGTTATTTTGTCAAGTATCCCGGTCCATGAGATCTTACAAGCTCGATTGGTGTAAAGAATCCTCCAACCAGTGACTGGGTGAGTTCTAATCAATGGATGCTCTCCACGAGCCGGTTCATAGCTGTCATCCTGTGGGTAGTAGGACCCCTCTTGCAACGTTGACAATCCTTCCAGTTTCTTTCGGAATTCAGGAGAAAGTTTATCATACGCAGCATAAAGCGAAGCCTAAGCAAGGAGAGTAGTACAATTAGCTATAGCCTACTCTGATGGCCATGAGAAACATGTCATACCCATTGAGTGTCACCCCCGACTTCATCCTCTGGTAAGTCTCGGATAACCAAGAAAGTAATAGTCGCAGGCTCTTCGTCGGCCGAGTGGTCCCTAATTCACGATTGTCTTCAGTTCTTATTCAAGTGACATCAGCTTTTAGTATGTCATGAATAACTTACTGATGCCAAGAGTCAGGTGCACGGACTGAATTCTGGTCGACATGAATGACTTGAACATCGTTGGCAGCTGATGGTCCAACACCGGGAACTCGATCATGTAATTTGCCTAGTGTTCGTTCGTATTGTTGAGTCAGCAAATGTGGCTTGCTCCAGTAGCTACCATTAGGACTTACCCCATCGTAGTCCAAGACGACGTTGCTCTTCAACAGACAAGTCCTATTTGAAGAAATGGTGTCACAATTTTCTTTAATCTTGGGTTCTGCACAGATCGTCATACTTGGCTTCTGAAGAAGACCACCCCACGCTCTGCAATTAAAAGCGCCAAGTCCTCAGCCTGTTGATCGTTCAAATCCTTCAACTAGCAGTGAAACGTATACAAGTTTAGATGAATGAGATATAGACATGGAATGTTTCGGTGTGACGTTAAACCAGAAGTAAAGGCGATACGTACTTGTAAGCCAACGATTTCGGTACCAATATCTGGTGTCAAGTTTACAAGTTTTACACCTGCAGCAGCATATAGAGACTTCTTTGCCGGATCAGCTCGGGTCCCTGCCAAGTGACCTGGCTTTCGAGTGACAGAAACTACATGCTCCTGGTTGTGGGGGATGTTTGATTGGGTTGACATTTTGATCAGTGCTATGAAAGATGAGCTCAGAAGATAGCCACTATAACAATGCTGAAAGTAAATGGTTGAGTTGTTGTAAAGTCTTAATTCACAGCTTATGCTTTGTAAATCAAATCTTAAATCACAAATTGCGCAATCGCCTGTCGACAGCAGTCTGTAAACATTCTAGAACGTGTGTTTGACAAACTTTAATAGACCAATGAACGCGACATCCGGGTTCTGAATTTCGTAAATCGCGTCGAAAGACTGCAGTAATCGTCATCTTGTTATTTTTTCGCGTCATTTGTATAATGGCGTGTAAGTGCACAATAGCCTTATATTTTGGCGTCTTGGACCTCATTGGCAAGTTGTATTCCGTAGAATTTTACACTGTCTGGTGCCAAGCTATAGTTTCCAAAGCTCTAGTGTCAACAAGTAGGATAATCACGTGGTGAAACACACTCGACGATGGCCTTTCAAGTGAGGCCCGAAATTGCAGAGTCCAAAAAGGAATCAAAGGTGGCTGTAATCGGACCAAGTCAGGAGACTGGCATACAAAGAAGGAGTTGGGTTAGCATCTTTTGGGATGAAGATTTTGACAGCAAGTCTCCTGAGGAGCAGAAATTGGTCCGTAAGATCGATATTGGGTAACTAATTTTCCTAAACATTTCACACGCGCATGGTATTTTAACATTCGTTTCTAGGATCTTGATCTATGCTTGTTTCGGATACTTCGTCAAAACTCTTGATCAGAACAACATCAACAATGCCTTTGTTTCTGGTATGCGCGAAGATCTCGGCATGTATGGCAACGAACTCAATTATGCCACTTTGAGTTTCAACGTCCCTTATTGTGTGTGAGTATGACTTAAGTTGTTTCGTCGTGCTTGGATTTTAACAATGTCCACCACTTTGTAGCCTAGCAATTCCATCAAACATTCTTCTAACCAGAGTGAAGCCCTCACTATATCTCCCGATTCTGGAGTTGTTCTGGGCTGTAATTACGATTGGAAAGGCATTTTCCAATACCCCACAACAACTATATGTAGCTCAATTCTTCTTGGGGATGGTAGAAGCTGGATATGTAAGCAATATTAAAATGCCATTTTCTACAAAACCCTGTCTAAACCACTTTGCAAATTTCACCATTAGTTTCCTGGTATCATCTTTTTAATTGGTAAGGGATTTCTAAATTCAGAAGGCTTTGAAAATACTGAAAATTAACTCGCCAGGTGAATGGTATACAAAGACCGAGCTGTCTAAGAGATTCGCTCTGTTTGCTGTCACTAGTTCTCTTGGTGCCATGGTAAGTCCATCGTTAAGGTGAATGCGATGCTAACACAGATTTCATATAACCACCATCTCAAAATTAGTTTTCTGGATACCTTCAAGCTGCGGTGTACACCAACTTAAATGGCTCAAATGGCTTGGCAGGGTAAGCATTGGCACTATTGTAGAAAGACAACGTCTAACCCATAGTTTCGGTTCAGTTGGAAATGGCTTTTCGTCGTCGACGGGTTTATATCTCTTGCATCAGCAGTCATTGGCTTTGTTCTCATACCAGATTTCCCAAAGACGACTACATGGAGATTTTTCACAAAAGACGTACGTCATGTCTTGCTATTATGTCTGTTACTTTAGGTGTACTGACAAAACATTGTTGTAGGAAATTGCTTTAGCGGTTTCTCGGCTGGAAAGGGATGGGCGACAAGAAAAGCTACGTTTTGATTGGAGTGTCGTGAAGCGAGTGCTTGGAAGATGGCACTTCTGGCTCTTTGTACCTCTTTATGCCATTTATAATTCTGCATCGACTGCATGGAGCTACTTGTCCTTCTTGCTCAAATTTACACCGTAAGAGAGCAGCATGAGCCCCGATTTTTTTTACTGTAAGATCACCTTATCGTTTCATTGATTCAGAGGCTATGCCGTATGGCAAATTAATATTTACCCCACCGGAGTTTATGCCGTTACCGTGGTTGCTTACTTAGTGTGAGTGGTCCGTTTGAGATGCATGTTGTTTTTTGGCTACTACAAAGGATTTAGGAAGTTAATCAAACAAAATGAACTACAATTTTAGAACCGGATGGTATGCTGATTACTTCAACGACCGCTTCAGTGTAATATTTTATCCCATGGCTGTGTCATTTGCCTTTGTGACTATTCTGGCTGTATGGAATGTGCCATTCAATCTCTTATTTGCTTCATACTTTGGAGCTGCCGTATCAGCCCCTATTGCAACATCGATGGCATATTTGACTGCTATTGTGGACTCTGATCCGGTTGAAAGAACGTGCGTCTAAAGAATGAAACTTACGATTTCCGAACATGCTTTCTGACATCTCAACCTTAGACTGATCATTGGAGCTATGAACTCCGCCAGTTATGCCATATTTATCATTGGACAGATTTGGTTATGGCCTACCGTATCGGCTCCTAGTTTCCGTGAGTCCGGTGGATTTTAATACTGCCGTAATACTGCCAAATGCTAAATCATTCGTCTCACGTCCGTTAATAGCTGTTGGATACTCCTACACTGCCGCGTCGTTAGGTGTCGGTCTCGTAGTAACGATTACCATTCAATATCTGTGGAAACGTGACCTGAAGCGTGGAATTGTACACACAGCGGATGGGTCCTTTGTGAGACAAAAAGAGAATCTCACCGTCAGAAAGCAGGATGTGGAAGTTTCTAAAAGCTAATAGTGGCATCTGAAGGACTATTGCGAAATTAATACAAGATGGTGACAGTGATGTTTTTCATTGTAATAGACCACATAGGTGAAGTTTGGAAAATAAAGATTTCTTGTTCTCGTTGATTCATTTTAGAGCTTTTGAAATAAAGTGTACTAGTCATTTAAGATTTAGGCTTGACAACCTAAGGCAAAGCCTGGATTTACTCAGTTTCAAAAAACGTCACATGCTTTCACTGCAAGTTGGTCAACTTCGAACGTGTGGACAGTTGATGTGATATACTACCGTGAGCTAGATATTCTCTTTAACGTTCTGAGCAAGGGTAACGTTAAACTGATTCTTGAAACTACACGAACGCCCAACGGAATCGAACCATAGATTGCCAATCACTACCTAAAGACCTAAACCTTCATACAGTGGGAGCACGTAGTGTATGAGTGGTCAGTTGCAGTTAAGGACACAGCCAACCGTCGATCTCGCAACACTTTGGCATTGGCGATTACCTTTTCTCCATTTTCAGTCTCTCCAGTTCCAGCCATAACGGATGGTATTGCAGTAATAAGGTATCTTTTATGTTTATATCTACGCCATTGGCTTGTGCCTTTGAAGTTGGCCTTTGGCCTTGTAATCTATTCCTATGTGAAGAAACTTGCGGTTGAACAAATAATGTAGACACATTATGAACATTTTCATACCTCACGTTTATAGACTGGACCATATTCTGTTTGTAGCTGGGAGTTTCTTGGGCAGAGCGGCCAACCGCTGATTATTGTGTTCCATAAAACTCTTTGCCCTCAATTCATCCGTCTTGCTGGTTGCGCCTTTGCATGCCCCGTGTAATCTTTGACTTACTTGACAAGCAGCAGCAACGAGACTGGAATGACAAATGTTTTGAGGGCACATTTTCTTTTAAATCAGACATGGAGTCATGTTGGGCTGTAGGGATAAAAGTCTTGCCATTCAGTTCTTATGACACAGGTTGCCAGCAAATCAAACTCCATCCAGAGCCGTCGAATTATAAATACAAAAGACTCATTAGCCATGAATAATTCTGCCTTGGAAGATGCGATAGACAACGTGGACGAGTGTCATAACGATCTTTAGATTAGCCACAGATGCAGGCTGATTCTCTTGATTCGTCTTGGTTATTTGATTCTTCTGAGTCTTCGAAGCTTTCTTGGAGGTTGTGCGAGGATGAGGCAGTGACTTTCTTAACTCTCAACATGAACCTCCGCATCAGGACAAATAACTCAGAAAGCAAACATCATGGAGGCAACTTCCGAATTCACTTGCCCCTTATTTACCTTGACGTTAATCTCCTCCCTTTTTCAGAGCCGCCTGCTTTGGACGCAACACTGGAACTAGACATCAGCAACTGACGAGCTCAAATTTTCTTGTCTTGTCGAAAAGAATCTACAACTTATACAACTCCTTGTTTCTGGCCTCAAACAGTAAATGAGGAGTTTCAAACTCCTTCCTTCTAGAATAATCATACTTCCAGATTCCCAAAAATGATGAAAGATCGTCTTGATATTCCTACAGGCAAAGTTGGATAATTTAAACCTTCAGTCACCTATAAGTACACCAAATTCTGCGACTTACCGTCTGGAATAATGTCATAACCATTGCTGCCTTCTCATTTCGATTCTAAATTGAAAAAGAAGCATTCGAAAATTGTTGCAAATTCCCATTTCGACTAAACATACTGAAGCTCCATAATGTTTAGCATCGGCTTCCTCAATCTCTACAATTTCAGAGATAGTGTTTGGTGTAATCTGAATTTGCTGGCTCCATAGCTTAGCTACCAAGGCCGCCTGGATTTCGAAAAGTGGAAATGAAAGCACTTTAAGTGGCAGGCCAATAAACACCAACGTTGGATTGTAGGCGTATACGACTTTCTTCCATAAATTGACCTACAGAGTGAAGAGTCAATTTTTTCCTTCCATTCTTGACAATCTGCAAACTTGCAGAACAAGTCTTACGACATTGCATCCCGTTCCCTCAGCAATCAACGTGGCGTACTCTTCGTCTGGTTTATGAACCCAGTAATCCGATAACGGACCACCGTTTCTCAGGAATGGAAACTCAAAAATATAACCAGTTGCAAATATGACAACTTCCTATGGCCAGGAAAGAGATTTAGTATCATCGCCTTAGAAGTCCACGTAAACACAACAAGGCACATTTCTACTTACAATATCAAGCAATTCCTGACCATCGACAAGAATTACTGCACCATCTCTGAACTCTGATACTTGGGGCACTTTGGTGATGGACGCCTTTGTCGCATGAATTAGCTGGTCTAATTGCTCCATCTCCCAGGACTTGGTATATTTTAATGAGACCCATATCTTGGACCCATGTACCATGAGACCACGGGCTATATCCATAGCTGATGTCCCTGTTGAAATTTATATGTTACGGTAACTAGCACGTTTATAATGTGTCAAAATTACATACCACTTCCAATAATTAAGACATTCTGCTGTGAAAAATCTTCTCCTCTTTTATAATCATGAGAATGTATAAATCGTGCTATTTTTGAATGTGTTTGGAATTTTATCTAGGTTAATTTCGAAAGAATTGCATGCCCGTACCTTTGAACGCCTCCACACCAGGTATTCGAGGAATACTTGGTACTGCATAATGCCCATTTGCGACCACTATGGAGTCAAACGTGTGGCTCTCCAAAGTTCCATCACCCATATGACGGGATACTAAGGTCCACGTTTGCGCTGGAGCGTTCCATTGGACATGCTCAACCTTCGACTTGAATGAGATAAGGCGGTATATATCCCTGGCTCTAGCGTAAGCTTCTAAATACTCTCGTATCACGTCGGCAGATGGAAATAGCTGTGGTACGGTCGGAGCAGGAAAGTCTCTCATCTCGATGATTTTCAGCGGTACATTTACACGCATTCCTGGATAGCTTGAAGGCCATTCGTAAGGATCACGTCGAGGTTGAGATGAGCTTGATAAGTCTAGATCTTCGCCGCGATCCTCTGTGGTATACCTAACAAGGTCGACGGCGATATAAGTGTGTAAGAACGTTTGTAAAGATACAAAGGGTGGTTCATGGCAAAGCTTGTAATTACCAAACTCCACCGAGTTTTGGCTGAATCTCAAAGATCGTGATGTCTTGTATGTCTCCCAAATCTCTCAGCTCCTTCGCTGTTATTAAGCCAGAGGCACCAGCACCGATGATGGCGACCTTCTGCGGCTTCTTCTGAATTTGAGGTATGATAGTCATGAATTTGGTACAAGGCTCTTTGACATGGTCTTGGAAGTTTCTTGTATGCGAAGTTAGAGTTTCTGACCTGGCATCATAAATTGCACCATCACCATTACAACATTCTACAGATACACCAGAAAAGGGCGCCTAGCGTGAATATTTAGCAATGATAAAGATTCAGCTGCGAGATTTCTGAGGGTGAAACCCCAATAGTTCAAGATAGATCATTCATTGTATAAAACTGGGACTGAATTGTTTAAAGTGCACGTGTCAATGTAGATTTAAGACGAGTTCCTGTGTAGTTGGACCGCTGCTTCAGACACAGCTCCTTCAACGATTGCCCTCCAGAACCTGAACTTGCTCTAATCTGAGGTTTGGAGGAAAGATGCTGGAGGAGCACACACTTGAATATGGATGTAAACTCTTTTGACGGAATGAACAGTTTGCCGAAGCAGTATTTGTGAACGATTGAACCATTCTTTTGATAGTATACTGGCCATGACGGTCTTCATTCTGTCCATATCGCATCGATTTTGAATCGGATATCTCATCGCAAGTGATGGAAAACACGCAACTACAAATTCAATCACTGAGATCTCCCTACCAGAGAGTATACGCCAAGAGGCGAGAGCTTTCATCTGCAGTAAGATGATGTCTCAAATTTTCTCACTTCATTTGTTGGTTTGCCTGGGATTTGCCAACATAGCGTTCTCCACGACATGATATATTCATCCCACTAAACTCCCACGACGGATCCCACGAGCTGTCGTAATATAATAGAACTCCGCACGATACTATCAACCAATCCTCTGAAGGATTCTTTCATCGCTTTCTGAGACGAACGGGCCAAGTCAGAACTATGGTCAGAATACGATGATGATTAGTGGCAGAATGAAATTGCATCCTTCAAATTCATCATTGCCACTTGGTAGAAAAGAATCAATCAGCTTCGTTTTCAGAAGATAGACGTCGTAGATTAGCCGCTAGAATCTACCAATGTGGTTCCTCATTTTTCAATTAGTTATTGGCACCCAAAAGGGATTGTGATTTTGGAGTATTCGAGATATTACGTAAGAGCTGGTTTAAAAAGCAGACCTAGCAAAAGATGTTTTAGTTTAGCGGTAAGGGTATACATACACAACGGAAGTCAGTCGTCACAGAAGGCGTCGATTTAATAGCAGCTCGACACGGCAGGATTCAAGGAATAAAACATCATAACACGAACATCGTCAGGAGAGCGTTTGTTGCTTTGCTTTTGGTGGTTTGCAAGGCCTTTATATGAGTCTCGACGGGTGATGTTTTCGTGATTCTACATTTCATATCCATGAAAATAATCTATATATGTATAATTTACATGTACCATCATTTGAAACAGCTCTACAGCAGCCGATGTGACTTGAACGCCTTTACGATACTACCAACATGATCAACGATAATCCCATCAACTCCCCTTTCAGCTTGCATCAATGCAATCTCCGTATCATTACTCAATTGTCCATACGTGAAGAGTAGCTTGTTGGCTTCCTTAAACATACGAACAAGATTTGGATTATTAACGATGGGAGGTACGTGAGTTACGACACCAGCAATTCCAAGTGCTACTGAGTAGTCCAGTGCTCCTTGCAAAGAGGTTACACGTGGATCAGTCCATGAAGGATCATCGTGAGTCCCACCCTCTGTTAGGAATAGGATTGGGTAGTGTGTCTGTGAAGAGAGAATGATGTCGTGAGCTACACGTCTTTGCTACAGGCTCAAAAAAAAGAGTCACGATCATTTTATTTTCATACCTGCTTGAGAGATAAAGCTCTAACAACCTCTGGATGAAAACTCGAAAACACAATCTCACGATCCCCACCATATTCAGCAACAACCTCCAATATCTTGTCGACATATAGATTAAGCTCTACCGGATGAGCGACTGATGTTTCCTTATCACCCATTGGATACTTGATTTCAATGTTGAAGCCTGTACGTATAGGTACCTTTAAAAAGAACTCCTTCAGTGTTGGGAAGGAGCCCTGTATTGTTCCTGCTCCATTCTTGCCGACCGTGTATGGCCTATCAGACGATGGTGTATGAAGTGTATCAAGTGACTTGGATCGTTTTATAGTACTGTTTGGTGATTCTCGTAACGCCAGGAATTGTGATGCGTTGAACGAGGATATCGGTATCGGTACACCAAATTCTTTGAATTCGACTAGTCTGAGACAGTGAGATTCTTTTGCTTTGTTTGAACCTTAGAGACCTTAGAGGAGCGGTCACTTACAGTCATGATAAATAATGGGCACCAGATCCTTGCTCAACTGAACATCGAATTCAACCATCGTAGCCCCAAGTTCACCCCCCTTTGTCAATGACAAGACAGTATTCTCGCCGATTTGAAGTCGTGATTGTCCATTCCTTATTTCTCGGTTGGCTCCTAGTCCTCGATGTCCAATGATCTATCGCGTGAGGTTTTGTTATAACTTGCATACAATGCGAAGATCAAGTAGAGAAACCAGCACCAGCTTATAAATCGAATTACGTACTTGAGGCGTCTTGTAATGCCACGTAAACGGTTGACCTTTAAACACCTTGTCTAAGGGCGTAACAATAACCACTTGAAACGACATATGGACCATATTTTCAGCACCATGTCCATTCGAAAACGTCACTTTGTGTAGACCTCCCAACGGCGATTGTTCTCCCCAAAGTGCTTGGTGTGGAGCATCAATAGACCATGCAGCTGTGCCAACAACATGACTGGTTTCACCAGATGAGAAGAGCTCAAAGTGGAATGTTAGAGGTCTCCTCTGTGTATTATATAAATACGGCACGTCGAATGTCACTTGGGAGTCAGATTGACCCTTCAGAACTACGAAATAGCCTCGCTCTATTCCTTCTGCTAGTCTCACTACACCATATGCACCGTCCTTTACTGCTCCGTCGTCAAATTTAAAGTTACTGAGCATTATTCGAGGCATCCTTATAGCTGATTGACCTTCCATGATCTCTCTTGATAACTTCTCGCAAGGTCCTTAACTGCAATTGTACGCAAGCGAGAAGAACTCAATCCCCACAGATCGCGATGCCACACCGTACTCTCAACAAATTTGCAACGTAGACATATATGGTTTAAAGTGTTAACCCTGTTTATCCTTCTCTGCAAAAATATTACATTTTTTATGACACTATGTTTGACGGCTTAAGCCCTCAATCTTTGTAATGCCCTCTTCCTGGTGAGTTTGGGCACCAGCTTGGTGTCAGCAGCTTTGGGTACAATCTTCTCTTCTTCAGTCAAGATAACCTCAATGTGTGAAGGGCTGGCCATAAATGGATTGATACGACCGTGAGCACGGTATGTTCGTCGACGTTGCTTTGGAGCTTGGTTGACTTGGATGTGTTTGATTACCAAGGTTTCCACATTCAATCCTTTGACCTGTATGGGAAACATGTTGGGTTGAGTAAAGAGCAGCAAAAAAGCTTGAAGCAAATAGCATATGTTCTAGCAAATAGCATATGTTCTGTCCTCGTGACCACATATTCAAGCTTTCAAACTTGATTCCAATACCAAAACACTATAGCACCATTGCCTTCCTTTCAAGTAACTTACAGCAGCATTGGATTCAGCATTCTTCAACAATCCCAATAGGAACTCAGCACTCTTACTGGGCCATCTGGCCTGTGTAACACCATGGACCTTAGCTTGAGCAGTTCGTCCAACACCACCAGAGTATCGTCGGTATGGTACAGCTTGTTCGTGGTTTTTCACGGCTTCCAAGTACTTTTGAGCCTTGGCTAACTTCATGCCGCGAACGGCCATGGCGGTTTCACGGGTGTTTTTGAAGTGTACTCGGAGGTATGAGCCTCGAGTTTTGGCCGCTATACATATGTAATGTGTGAGTTGAGAGGGAAAAACAATCACCAAAAAAAGCTACGATGGGTGTCTGTAGCCCACGAGACGGCAGAGATTTGGATCATCTTGAGGCAAGAATGGTGTCGGAAATGGATTCAAGAAGGGTTGATTTGTAAGGCAACTTCCAACCTAAGAGCTCAAACACTCTGCTTCAGCATTTCATGATTCTGCATCCAAATTCCTCTAGCTGCTAGTCCGTCTAGGCAATCTCAATTCTCATTATGCCTGAATGCTCCTTGATTACATGTCATCCTCTCCTGACTTGTCTTTCATCTGTCTTTTCCAAAATTGCTATCGAGTGTTTCCAAACCCATTCTTGCTCTCCCAAGATGATTCTCTGCCACCTTTTCTCTTAACATCTAGACTTCCAGCTACGGAAACTTACACTTGGTCGGGTTGACTTCAGCTGCACTGTATCGAACCATATTTCTATCTAATGTGAGAAATGTGTGAGTAAACTTGTACTGGATTCTAACATCAAGACTTTTATTAAAGGAGGGCTGCGAATGCATGCATCAGAAGTACAGAGCACTAGCTCTCCCTAGTCTTGTCACAACACTTCAAAAAGCTTCCTTCTGAGTGTCTAACACAACAGTTCCAACTTTTGAGCGATTGAGCTTTTGAACAGCTTTCAGGTCAATAAAGTGGAATAACAGATATGATGCATACAATTCGACAGCGATTCTCTATCTCCTCGTTGGCACTAACCTTATTCACAAACGTTGGATGGATGCGATTGGATTGTTTTCCAAATAGACTGTTAGTAAGCGATTACAAAATCACGAAAAGCCAGCGGCGATGACGGGAGCAAGGAAGCGAGTTGTTGATGAGTTAACCGTAGTGTTGATTATTCAATATAATCACATACTGTCTAGCTGACTCGCTAACTCTGCCCACGATCTTTAACCCTACACTTGGATGTTTTGATTCGATGACACCTCAGCATTCGATTCATCCAACTATTCATGAGGAAACCTGGCAAGAAGACATTCTAAACTGCTAAAAACGATAATATTTTATTCCCAAAATACTTTTCAAACCCATAACACACAGAGACCTACAGTCGTCGTAAAAAGCACGCAACCACAAAGAACACCGCACGCACACCCACAAAGACTTCATTCTTATACATCTTTCTCATAAATCACTGTTTACCAGATGACTCTCCCTCCTCATTTCCACCAGCTGGTACAACAGTTGTAAGATCAGTTGACGATCCCGTTGCAGGAGTCACGTAGATAGGTGGCGTTCCTGTCAAAGGAGTTACGTAGACTGGTGGAGGCGTTGAATGTAAGGGCACACTCGGGACTTTACGACGCCGTTGCGATCCACCAACTTCACGAAGGAATGGCGCACCAACTTCTGCTACACCATATTCAGTGGGACCTATTTGTCGTGTGGGTGCATAAGCTCCTTCTACTGCCTGCGGGTATTGTCCCAAAATCATACCAGCATCCACTGTTTGTGGATATTGTGGTTGTGGTGGTGGATCTCCTACTATGTGTAATGGTTGTTGTGGGCCCATATATCCTTCTACTATTTGGTGTGGTGAGGCCATGACTTCTTCCTGTAAAGTATCACGGTTAGAGTTATAACCACCATAGCCATTATTACTATCACCAGTACCACGAGTATTACTGGGAGGAGTGTCACGAGCAGTACTGGGTGGAGCTTGATACGTAAACCCTTCCCATCCTTCACCTCGTTGTTGATTATTTTCCTCGTTCTCTCGACGACGATTCAAGTAAACCATCAAGAAGACAGCAATTGTAACCAATACTGTGAATGCTGCAACCCCTCCAACAGCAATTAATATCGGATTCGGGACGTTTGCTCGCGAGACTGGTAAGAGTGGGACTACTACCTTTGGTGTGGCACTAGATGTTGTCGAAGCGTGTATCGATGGTTTTATACTAGATGCTGGTGAGAATCTTAAAAGAGCCGGAGACGTGATTAAAACTGAACCTGCCATTAAAGCAGACGGCTGTGAGATAACAGGAGTCGGCACGCCAGGCGGCAGCATCGGAGCTGGCGAGAAACCACTAAGAGTTGCTGATAGAATGGCAGATCCTGCACGAGTAGGCGATGTGACTACATTTGGTGCAGTTGCGATTGGTTTGACTGATGACGTTGGAGTTGCCATCATTGTAGGTGATACTAATCCACCAGCTGGAGAAGGATTGACAACACCGCCGCCGACACCTCCCATCACAGTTCCCGGCGGCACGAACTGACGACTGACATAGTCTAAAGTGTATACAGCTGGCGGGTCAAATATCATGACCAGATAGTTTCCTGGTAGACATGCTACACCAATACGTGTTCCAGATTGAGGGGCGTATTGTCCAGTTGGTTTGGGAAATGAGGTCCATGCCATTGTGGTGGCATTCAGTTCGTATACCATGGGCTGGAAAATGGACGACGAGAGTCAGTACTTTGAAAGCGACAGTATTTCATCCAAAAATTGCTCTCACCATGCCAGTAGCGTCATTAGTAGCCACAAAGACAGTATTCCTAGAGCTCACACAAGTAGGATATTGAGATCCGGGCGGTGGTGCATTGCCTGTTGTCACCACTGGTGAAAACGAGTTGGTGGTGAGGCTGAACTTGAAGATTGCATCTTCGATGGGAATGGGATATCCTCCTTCACCGCTTTGGCCAAACATGACTAGAACCTATAATAACGATTGTGAAGTGAGTGCTTGATTTTGACTTGAAAATGTGGATTGCCAGTCTCAACATGGTGAAAATTCTCACCTCTTGCGGACTCATAGCCGCAACACTAAATCCAGTACGCCTCGACAGCATATTTAGTGTCATCAAAGGCTTGACGTCACCAGTCTTAACATCAAGGCTTGACAATAATGGTGGATCCAAACCACCATACAGGTACATTCCAGATCCTGCAGAGAAGACTTGTACGTTTCCATAACTAGGAGCTGGATCTCGACTTAAAGGTACTTGTGGCACCAGTTGAAGTGTTGTAGCGTCGAATTTGTAGAGAGTCGAGACATTGTCGGAGATACAGTAGACTTGCTCCTTGAAGTTTGAGCAAGATAGGTACTTTTTATAGTCGAATGGCTGGATTGGAATTGGCTGAAAAGTGCTTGATGGAATGTAGAAGGCCTGTTTCGATGGACCTCCTGAGCAGGCAAGAAAATAGAATAAGAGCCAACACGAAGATAAAGGCGTTGACAAATAAGACGACGGACTGAAATGTGAATTTGATCAAAAGACGTACCAATAGACAAAATTCCAGCGTTTGTATTGGCGATAGCCGTGACGTCGCCCATAGCAAATTTTTTAATGGCTACAACAGGTTGAATAACGACTGTGAGATCAACGACAAAGAGTCCTGACAAGAGGCAAATTTACGGAGCACTAAGCCGATTCGGAAACGATTGCTGAGAATGACTTACTGGTCTGGTTGAGTTGTTTGAGGTTTGTATCTGAAGAGTTAGTAGGAGTGTCTGGCCCCAGTTCTTGTTGGATCCCAAACGGTTATCGATACTCGCAATTGTTTCAAATAGTTAGAAAGTGTAAAGTAACAAGAAAACCGAGCTTCGTTGCTGAGATTGTCGGTCGAATTGGTGTAAGCTTGGAAAAGCAAAAGTTGGAGTTTGGGAGAAAATGCGTTTGGCGATGGAATGAGTGGCCCATGGAGATGTAGGTAGAAGGAGACGGTTCCTTTATTTCAGCCTGAATTGAAATTTTGGCGATTTCGGCTGACACTTTGAGTTCTTTACAATTGCGTCTCTCTGTTCACAATTCACTTTTCCAGCCAAACACAACGAATGCTTCTTCGTTTACTGAGCAATCGGCCAGGGATAAATACAGAGTGTGGTACTCCTATGCGTAAAGGCCGTCTGGATGTGTAGGAGTTCTTACATCTCTGCATAAAATAACCAAATATCCTCTGTTGAATGCTGGTTGAATTGTAATCACAGACAGCAATAACACCAAAATATCTGAGATGGCATGTGATGTTAAGGCTGATACGATTCATGAATTGCTTGATGCCGTTATCGTATGGCCATTGTTCTGAGTGTTAAAATTCAAATTGATACTTGTGGCGTTGTAATTGATTGATTCGACGGCATCTTTACTGACTGTTCATAATAGAAAACGCAACCATTGACCTATAATATCGCCATGATGCATCTCCTATGTCTTGGTTGGTCGTGATTGAGGACTTACAAGCCAACATCAAATCTTGATGAATTTGCTGAATGTACGTGTAAGCACGTTTGCTACATGATGCCGAACCTCACTCCCGATTCTGGCCTACTCAGGCTTCTACATGGCTCGCGAAAGTTGATGATTCTACACATCTTTACACGACTCATCTGAAACAAAGTAATGAGATTCAACATTCGAAATTCACACGGCATCTTCTACCAAAATTGTGAATGCTTCGGCACTTCAACCTATGGATCGCCTCTATGCTTATTGCTTTATCGGGAATTGGACTGAATGTTTGCTCCTCTGTTTGTAAAAACCACTTACTGGAACCCTCCACAACTTGACCAGACTAGAGCAACTTTTGATATTTGGTTATCCTGAACTGCTGGAATCCTCGCTATTACGTCTGTCTTCAACACAACAACAACTCTGCATACAGTTTTTGGTACTGAAAAGCCGAAAGGCACAAACAGCCCCCAATCACAAACCCGTTTTCGTGCTTGATGTTAGGCTAGGTAAAGAATTTGTATTGGACAACGAAAAACAGATAAAATCTTTTGGAGATGGAATGGTTTGCGCCTTGTCTGGACCCTTTCGTTCAACTCAGTCGCCCCTTTTCTTCAATCAAAGTGCAATTTCAACGTCTCTCCTTATTTCAAAACATCCATTACATCCATCACGGTCGCTATAAGTATCAACGCTATAGATCTAGCTTAAAGTGTCCTCTCAGCTACAAAAGCCGAGCATGCCTTTGCAACAGGATGAAACGGGTACGAATTATACTTAATGCCGACTTTTGTTATTGTATAGCAAGTGTCAATAGACAAACTTCAACCCCAATTAACCACGCTTTTGTATCCGGTAGATGCCATACTTGCCGGCGATAAGCAATTCTTGGAAGAACCTCCACTCTACTGGCCTTTGCCTCGCTATATCACGATTCGGACGTCTCAAGCCACTGTTCCGACTCGTATCAACTCGGTCGATCTCCTCCGAGCATACAAAACTTGATTGAATGGCTACCTGGCTAAAAAGCCCTCTGATGAAGCTCGAACTGAAACGGCCAAAGGCCTTCTCTTGTCATTCGAGGTAAGATATACAGTTTTAAGAGGTAGAAAGGACCATACCAGGGATGGGCCATGTCTCCACGGACTGGCACCATGCGAATGAAGCAATCCCTCTTGGGAGGTACAGCCTTTCGGGATGGAAGCAATAGGCTTGGGAGGGATTCGTTCCATTCCATTCTGCGCTTTCAACATATGACAGCTTGATGTTTGTAACAGCACCAAGTGGTGCCTTTCGGCTTATGCTGAACTGCACTAGATTGCGATTGAGTCGGTAGTGTCAGTCTTTGTTCTCTGGTTTGGATCACCTCTCCTCTTCACCACGTGGAAGCACAGTACTTCCTGCTGTTGATTACTGAGCCCTTTGGGCTGACACACGCTTGTTAAAGACTGATAGGAATACTTGCAATGCTCGCCTTAATGAGCTCGATGCTATTGCCATAGCTGCTGCTACTCCTCCACCTCAAGCTGAAATACCGTCTCTAAAGCAGGGAGCGGATGTTGTTGTTGAAAATCTACATGAATTCACTGCTGGTAAGTTATTCGGTTTGATGTTGTCGTTGTTGATTGATTCGTTTTGTATGTTGGTGTGTTAGGTGGCGGCTTTGGTGTTGATGCAAGACTTGAAGCCCGTGAAGTCATAAAAGCACATTCTAACTCCCCTACTCTTATCTTTATACTCCAAGGTGTCAAATGTCCTCGTTTGTATGAAAGACAACATGTCTTCTTGGAGAACGAGAGGCTGAAGATCGAACTTGCTGGTGAAAGGGCATGGACGCAAAGGCTCACGATGGAGCGAGACGAGGACCGTTCTCGTCAAATCCAGTGGCAACAAGATCACCTGAATAAAAGCCGAGCTGATGTACTTGCAATCACCGATGCAAGGGTTGCTGAAATCCAAAAGTTTGAGCAGGAGAAGATAGTGGTCTCCTTGCAAGTAGAGACGTGGAGGAGGAGAGCTCATGGTCTCGAGGCTGCTGTTGATGCTCGTGGATTTTGTGGTAAGACAGCCTTCTGTCGTTGTTGTTACACCTTGTTGTGGTCTCGTTTGATGTTGATGAACGATGTTGCAAAAATGTGTTGATGACTCTAACACAAATCAAATGCTTTCAGAATATCTGGCTACTGTAGTCTCATATGAGCGACACTTTGTCGGAGAACGAGCACATCCTGTCAAGATAAACTGGTTGTCACTACCGAACTCCAGTACTTGTTTAAAGGCCGACATGGAGAACCACAACCAGCCACCGACACAGTATTCACAAAATTTGCCACACATCTTCGCTCCATGAGTACGGCAAACGGCCTATTTCTCGAACAGCTGGTGAAAGAAACCAACAAAAATGTACGAAGTCAGTAGCAAAGTACACGGTGGTGCCAACATCTCCAAGGTTTTCACCAAGGATTTGTTTGACAATACATGTGCTTTTGCAGCTGTTACTGCTGCCGCTGACTTCTTTAGGATTCCTTACGAATGGAGGGATGATGGCAACGTCAAACATTCAAGTGCAGTAAAGATCCCATATCCAGTGGCAAAGCCGAGTGCACCCTCATATCAACTGGGACACCACTTGGGAATCATTGTGGTTCGACAGCCGGCAACTCTCGATCAACAGCATCATCATCAAAGGAATCTGGTGCTGCTGGTGGTACTACGAAAGCAAAGGGGACTCAAACCGGTGGTATGTACGATTGGAGTCCATCGTGTACCATTATGTAAAAAGCTGTCAAACAATAGTAATAAATTAAAATAAGATCGTAGTCTCAGTGTTTTTGTTCTTGTGAATGCAAACATGCTTTTATTACTATTTGGGTAAATCTCAATGATTACATGCAAGAACCAATCCTATACAAAGGGTAGGGTATTTATAAAACAAACCTATTTCACTCAACGGTCGATGCAGGCGGCACGACTTGCTCTTCAGATTCCTTGGCTGGTCTAGTCCAATTGACTCTATACCCAGAATCACCCCAAAACACTGCATCAGACTGCCAGTCCTTATCGTCTAATTCAGATACGAATCTCGGAAAGTTGGCTTCTGTCCATTCGTGAGATGACCGCAATGCTATTTTATCATGTGATGGGTTGAAGGTCATTTGTTGAGGTTCTTGGGATGCGTTTACGGAGAGATCGTGGTGGTATCGGAGAGAGTGGAGGACTGCTTTTATCACGTCCATGGCAGCCGCGTCTGTGTGTAAGACTACACAGATTTTGCCGTCTGATTTTCTTGATATGAGGTAGTTCTCATTCTGTAAGATGAGTATTGGGAGAAGTCAGCAACAAAAAAACCTTCAATCTGACAAACGCGCCAATGTAAGATAACATACCCTCAACACGTCCAACGCAATTTGCACTTGTGCAGAACTATCAAAGGCTTTACGAACCACATCTCCCAAGACAACAGTCGGCACTTTCTCACCCAACCTTATCGACTCTCCAAAATAGCTTTCTCTGGGCTTTAGCTCCTTCATAGACGGTACTCGATTCGTATGCAGGAAGGCATCTGAAATTAAGACGAGTTTCGAGCCGTTCAGTACCTCGAATTGGGCTTCTCGTACTGTGAAAGACAAGAGATGTGGTGAGGTCACCATGATTTAGGATGGCCTGCCGGTTTTCTTTTACTTCATACCAAGTCTCAATGTTGAAAAATAATGGAGAGGCCCCAGAATAGCAAACATGGTAAATAAGGCTGTCGGGGAGTGTGAGAGACTTATAAGCCCGACACCAGACACCAGTCCGAAGAGATGAGCAACCGACATCTGACTGTCGTCTTTTGCTACAAGACTATTTCCGATGTTGTTTGTGAGTGCTTATGTACATAGCCTATGACACCAAGCACAAACCACATACTCTCCGACGTTTCCTTGCAATGCAAAATTTCGAGTGAAAGTCATATGCCTGCATTTAACAAGGTTTTGTGAGAAGCGAAAATACCAAAGACTGGAGGTGGTTTATGCTCACGTTGCAGCCCAGATCGAGAAGTGAATCGACCGACAAGCATATCCCAGTGATGCAAGTGGTAAGAACGCCGACGCTGGAGCAACCACCGTCATAAGTTGCACAAATGATCCAAACAGCGACGAGGCTTCGCCCACTATCTTCCACGATTTAGGATGTCTGCAAATGAGAGGGAAAACCGGCTTGAGCAAAGAAGAGGACATCAGCAATGTACAGCGATGAAGACACTTACGAATCAAAAGATTTTGCAAAACGTTGAATGAAGAACAGCTTTCCAATTTCACCAAATCCGTCCTTCAGCACCCACTGTATGGCGACAGCACCACCAGCTGCAGCAGGTGCGCCAACTCCTAGCGAAGTCAACATGGCTTCACTACATAGTACACCGACCTAAAACATGCAGTCAGTGACCCTTTTCACTGCACGAAGGCGAACGTTGTTGTATGCTACATGAACATTCCACTTTTGTTTACCATGCTACCAACATAGGTCTCGAGAAACTGCCAAAAGTGAACTTTGGCATCTAGAAGACAAAAAGTCCAAACTTAGAAGTCGAGTCACGTTCCAACACGTAACATCCGTTCACATACAGGTGGGATGCACGGATTCAGGATAGCCCACAGGCAGAAACAGGGTTCGAAAGTACGCAGCGACTCTGCGTGGCAGAATTTGTTCGAAGAAGGACAATCCCGATGAAGGTATCCAATCCCAGATCAGATTGGTAGTGTTTGGCAGATGCTTGTATACTCTGCGTCTTCCATGTACGATTTCGGTCAATAATATCGTTGGTTTGCTGTCTGCGTCCACGTTCTTGTTCGGCACGTTATTTGAGGATGGATTTAATGGTTGGTTGGTGGAGGAATGTCGATGAGCGAGTATGTAGGGATGTATTATGCATGGCTTGTAACAGAGTCTGCTGCTCCCTATGGCCGTACGCGTAAGCAGAATGTTGAGCTTCAACATGTTTCGTGTTTACGTTTTTTTGGCAATAGAAGTTGGAGCAGACAGACATTGCAACATCACCGACTCATAAATATGACGTTCTGCTGGTTTTATAGACACTTTAGAGCCACGATCACGCCTCACGTTAAGCCTTGGGGTGCAGTTTGTCAGTGTGTGGTTCTCGTGTTTGAAGCTTTGGCAGTCGTGCTTAACCCGAGTCGAACGGTACGTTTTAGCGCAGATCTATACTTCTTCAACCTCAAAATTGTAACTCACCGCGTAAGGACTGTTGTTATACGTAACTATTGCAGAAAGAGCTGACATGGACCACACTTTTTCGTGATTTCAATGTAAAAACCAAAGGGATCACGTCCCTCTCAAATAAAAACCGGAATTGCTATCAATACTGCACATGACTTTCGCTTTTGATCGAGTGGGAGTCTCATATAACACCTGCGCATCTTCGTCGAGTGTCAGACATTTCCTGAGTTCAAAAAAACTCGAGATCAGAGTCATTACGCACGGAACGAAAGGAACTCGACCATATCTCATTACAATCCAATCACAGGTCGCCATATACTCACCTGCATAGCTTATATCAAGGCTCCTCTCTCTCATCGACAACACTCCAAACTTCATCAACCAAACATTTACATCTCAACCAATACAACCGACTAGATACATATATATCGTATCGAAATAATACTCTATACACGCGATGGAATCGGCCAACGACAAGAAGAAACCATCCTTCTCATATCCCTTGCTCAAACCTCCTGAAGTCACTCGATGTATGAATGAATGTCTGCAAGTCCCATTCACAGACGATGATCTATCAAAACCAAATGGCCCTCGCATGCTCAATGTATATGAAGGAATCACCGAAATATTCATGGGCATATCTAGAGACAGCTACGCTCATCCAAACTTTGCTGTCCTCGAAATGTTGGACTATCCTGATCTACATGTAGATGCTATTGCTTTTATGGCTTTCTACAGGCAATTGTAAGTGCGACATGATTGGTATCTATGATTAGACTGTTGGTGTCGAGTAGACTTTGAAGATTTTGGTCTCGTCAAGGGGTGGTGTTGGTTGGCCTCAAAAACAGAAGAATGGAGACGAACATTGGCGATCTCTTATATCCTTTAATCTCACTCTTTCACATTACACTAGGCTCAAGCTGATGGCAAAAGTTGGATATGAAGACTTTAGTTTACGAGACTTGCAAAAACCTGAACCTGGTCATGTCAGACGAATATGTAGTGCCATCATCAACTTTGCAAAGTTTAGAGAAGAACGAATGTCAGTGTTTGAAGCATGTACTCAGAAAACGGTATGAACATTGTGAAATCATGAAGTTCCTTTTGCAACAACAAAAGGAACTTGTAAACTCAATGATATTGCTCATTGATGATTAGGATGAGCTCAACGACCAACGAATGCAACTACAAACTGCGAATGCAGAGTTGGCTGAACGGGTCAATAGTATACGACTGAAAAGAGCTGAAGAAGAACCTGCTGTGCAAAAGCTGAAAGAGGCTAATAGTGTCTTGCTGGGAGAATTACGAGAACTCAAACGACAACAAACAACGTTGACAAATGAAATGGAGAGTAGAAAGAAGGAAAAGACTGAGATGACTGATACAATGGTATAGAAGCACACGACTAGGGCGCTTTTTTCGCTGTTGCTCACACATTTGCACGTCGACATAGACCAACAACCATCTCTTGATTGCAAATGTCAAGCAAGAATGTGTTCGATTGCGCTCACGTATTGTGGTTTCACCTGATAAACTCAAGCAGGTATGAGATGTCGATCGTGACTACTTTTGTCATTTGCGTAAACCAATAATGTTATTTTCTGTCTCAGGCCTTGGTGGACATGAATGCATCTCTGGTGGCTGAGAAATCGAATGTACAGGCTTTGGAAAAGAAAGCCAGAGATATTCAAGCCAGAATCGACGTGATGCACCTCGTAGAACAGGTATACCTTGAGTGATGTTTAATTTTTTTGCGCATTTACATTCTATGCATACCTAAACCTCCCTCTTTCATTCAACGATTAGGAAGTCAGCACTAGCATCAAACTCTTGACCGAATGTGAAGAACAAAAGAACAAGTTTGAAGAACAACAAACGACTGTAGCCACTGAACGTGATTCAGCAGCTAGACGAGAAGCAGAACTACGAGAACTCAATATCAAAGAACATTCCATGAAGCGACAATTATTGAATAGTCAAGAAAAGTTGACGAGATTACAAAAGTATGCATCTACGAAACGAACTACTTTGGAAGCTAGGCTTGTCAAATTACGAGAAGAATATGGTGCATCTCACACTGAGAGAGCTGCTACACAATCCAAGATGGATGAGTGTATGGCTGCCAGTCAGGAGGTGGAAGAGAAGGTTCGTCCTATTCTACATGTTCGACAGATGGTTTGGTTTGGCACCAATAAGCTAACCTCCTTCCAATCTTTTCCTATCTAGTCATTCGAGTTGATGAGATCTATTGATGCTGAAATGACGTCCAGACAGTCTGACTTTACCAGGGTCAAGAGCCAACTAGAATTGTACATGGATGAAATGAGGGCTGCTATGCAAAGTGACACCCATATAATGGCATCAGTCACAATTTAGATCATCAATCCCAAGTCATAGATGTTTTTTTCTTCATCATAATTGAATATAATGTGTATTTGTACATTGACACAAGGGGTTTCCTCTTGACATTTCTTTGTGGGTATTGTCAAATGTGTTTCTTATGGTGATGTGATTATGTTTTTATGGTCTTTTGTATTTATGTATGAGGTAATGTCCAGATAATTGCCTCCTTACTCTTCTACTTCGTGTTCTTCATCCTCGTCAGAGTTGAGATTGATATACTCTCGAAACAATAGGCTCTCTTCAGTGTCTGCTCCATCTCCATGAGGTTCAGTAGCAGCAGGATGAGCAAATGGTCCAGCTAGAGTTCGAGCAGCAGGAGATGATGATGAAGTGGCGTGTGATTGTCCATAGACAGATGTCGAAGCACCAGATAGAGTATGTTGTCGTGGTTGAAGAGATGGAGCAGCAGTAGTACTGACAACACCGGTTGGAGCACCCGATAGACCAGGACGAGCACGATGATCTCGATGCAATTGTTCTTCAGGATGTTCAGAGAATAGGAGATTGATGCCTGGATCTCGTTCGTATTCCTTCAGGAACTTACGCTTACATTTTTTGTTTGAGGTAATGTAAACAACTTGTGTCTCACTGTCTTACTTCATCATCCTTGTCAATCCATTCCTCTACAAGATCAAGAGCCTTTTCCAATGGAATCCTAGGGGATTAGTGAACTGCTTGAGTGCCTAGTGCAACGCGACGAATTCATGGTAGTGTTCCTGTTTTTACCATACGCCCTTCAATTGCACAGAGCCACACTTGTTGACGATTCGATCAGTTTGGGTTTTCAAGATGGCGTCTCGACGGCCTCGTGTCATTCCCTAATAGTGTGGTACATTTCAGCAAAATATCCGAAAGTGCAGGAAAGGTGGATGAGCTGAATGTCTTCATCAGCTCACAGTGCTGTTAAGCAGCTTGGTAGCGTTGATCATATTGTTGTCCACACGTCGTGAGAGTACGGAGTTGTTGACTTCAATTTGATATACTACGATCAAAACAGACTTGTTTCAGTATCTTCACTTCATTTAGAAGGTAATGCAAATGAAGCACTTAAAATCGGACTAGCATACCTCGAGTGCGTTCAGTCTCCCAATCGACAAGTCTCAAATAATGTTCCTCTTCGTCTTCTTCATCACCATCAGTATCTTTCGACCCAGTATCAGAATGCTCACTCAATACATCATCTTCATCATTCCCATTTGAATGACTACCATTCGTCCCAGCATCAGCACCAGTATTTGATTTGACTTCACTGCCATCATTTTCAGCAACATTCGTTCTTGACATAGGAGTAGCAGCATTTTCGTGGAAAGATCGACCAAATTCAGACGTCATGTAATCCTGAAATGCGCCACTGCTGCTTGCACCACCACCACTATGATATGCAGCAACTTCAGAATACAGTGGTCGATGCATGGGTGAGATTGGAAGCAAGCCCATAGTATTCATGTGATATTCATGTCCATTGTATTGTGGTGTGACGTCGTGCATGGATACGTATGGTGCTACAATGTTTATTGGTGATGGGAGAGTGTATGTGCCGTTGGTGTTGGTGAGCTGAGACAGATGAGGTAAAGTGGAGTCTCTATCGTTTGGTGGTGGATAGAATGATGGTGGGCCATTGTTGATGATTGTCGAATATTGAGGTTGTGGCATAGCTAGGGAATGTGATTGTGATTGAAAGTTGGATTCAATACAAAACGCACAGCTTTCTTTTGCGTGAAATCAAGTAGATCATACTCTTCAACGACAATCATACCTGCTAGCTGAGCTGGTGGTACTGGTGATATAGCCATTGGATCATTCCTTTCACGAGATGGACGAATCACTTCTTGCCATGAATGAGAACTTTCTTCTGAAGAATGTCGGGGACTGTTCATTTGACGTATACTTGAGAGACAATGTACATTTGGTGTTTGGTGGTGATAAAAAAGAATTAAGCTCCCACCCTGCGTCATGTTGAAGATTAAGCTCTTAACCGAGCCACTTTGACACTTTGACAGGTTACAGATTGATTTTGTGACGGGTGATTGACAAGACGAAAAAAAGCAAGCCTCGGGCCTGGATTGAACAGGCTGCCTCGGCCTTTGCAGGGCCACGCTCTGCCATATGAGCTACCGAGGCGATGAATTACTCATGTGGGGAAACGGTCGATTTGGTGGTTTAATGCTGACTTCAGTTTGACAGGGACATTTGAATTTGGCCTCCATGTGACTTTAAAAGATATCCCACCCTCAAAAGTGAATGTTCATAAACTGGTGGCCTTAGAATTGGGGAAGGCGACGAACTCAAATAATGTTGTTATGATTTCAGCGGGATTTGGAAACATTTGACTTTCAATGACACTCTCCCCTTTAATTGTCATCAACGAATACTCATAATATGAATCAATTGAAAGTGTTGACGCTGTGATGAGGTTTGTTTATGTCAGGCGTAGAGTCGTCGATAGCAATGTTCGTAATGTTTTACTTCACTCCAGGACAAACACACAGCTAACTTCTTCATAAAAGACAAATCAAAATTCAAAATTTGCAAGCTTATTAAGCTTCCATTGTCACAATTTTTCGTGCTCAGAGACTGAACAATTTCGAAATGGGTATGATCCCGCCAGAAATTTAGATGATCCACTTACTCCAAAGAAGGAAACTTTCAGAAGTTGCAGGGAACCTGCTTGTTTGATGTCAGCAACTTGGTTTGCGATCTCGTCACTTAAAAAGAAGTCGACGACTGCAGCCTTGGCGGACAGTTATTAAGATCACAAAAGCGTGCCTCAGACCTGGATTGAACAGGCTACCTCATCATTTCAGTGGCTCCAAGATGTGCTACTAGTGATGCGCTCTACCAATTGAGCTACTGAGGCGAGCTGCTCGTTGATGATATGACTTTGTTTCGTTGCTCACTTATTGTCGAATTGAATTTGACAGGTATAATATACCAGTAGCAAAGGAGCATAATCGTGTCCACTTGAAAGCAGATGCTCGTTGAGGTGGCCCTTCAACATACTTTTGGCCTTTGACGTCCAAATTGATTCTTAACAACTCGGTGGACCGAGCATGTCTCAGATCTGCACCAGCGGTATCTTCAGAAGCCGTACTCTATGCGAATGACCATTCAATAAGTCATTATCATAACTTCCATTTGAATCACTACCAGGAGTTGTCGCAATATCAGCACTAGTATGTGATTTGGCCTCACCACCATCATTGGCAGTTACGGCATTATCATTCATATTCACATGTACCCCTCCAAAGTCAACCGTCAGATAATCCTGAAAAGCACCAAAGCGACTTGCACCAGCACCATGATATGAAGCAACCGGCACAGCGTAGAATGGTTGAGACTCTGGCAATCAAGTCCATAGAATATATATGTTCTTCAAGCCTCCTTTGTTGTGTTTCGTACATAGATAAGTATGGCGCCGATGCTGTTAGACGTTATGTGCCATTAATGGCCGTGTGAATAGAATATGGTCGTCTGAATATGATAGTACTCTGTCGTCATCGTTGGTAGTCCTGGCAGCAGGATGGAGAGCTTGTAGTGGTGTAACTAATGGAAATAATTTTGAGTTGGCTTCAGTAAATATGCAAAGGAAGAGTTCAAGAGACGATTCCAGACGTCATTTGTACCTGCTTATTGAGTTCTTTGTGTTGTTAACACTAGCGCGGATCATGAAATTTAGGTGACAAACGAGTCCCATTCTGCCATTAATGCGAAAACCCAATTGTTAATTCTTCTTGAGTTAAATGATGAACTGGAGACGGAGGGTTTGTTCTAGCAATTTAAACATGTCCATACTTAAATGTATGCATATGACTGTTGAAACTGCCAAAAAGCTTGCCTCAGACCTGGATTGAACAGGCTACCTCAACATCTCGAGAATTGTGAGTACAAGTGTTGCGCTCTGCCAATTGAGCTACTGAGGCGACGACAACAGTTAGCGAAATCTGTCATTTGTGAATCCATTTGACAGGTATGAAAATTTCAGGTCCATGTTGCGACAATAGCATAGCTTGTGTGTATTACCCTTTCCCAAAACCGAAACTCAAATGATGTCTTCCCTCTTCCTCTCGTTATCAGTATTTTCATCATACGTGGTGTCGTGCACAGAGATATTATGATGCGTTCATGTTGGGCTGGTTCGTACTAGAGTGTGGCACCATTGATGCTGTTGAGACTCGACGAGGTTAGGAGATTTGAGTCTATGTAGTTTGGTGGCTATGATGGTAGTGTGCCACTCCTGTGAGCGATGGGTGCGTCGGAGTTAGTTTCAAGGCAAAAAAAGCGGAGAAGATTAACTTTCATGAAAGACTTAGATCAGAGTTTCCTTAAGTACTCATATTTACCCAGAACTTATGTTACAAATGCCTCAGGCCTGGATCGAACAGGCTACCTCAACATCTTCAGTGTTGCGCTTTCCCAGATGAGCTACTAAGGCGACAATGATTTGATGAAGGTTTGAGAATTCGTATTCTGTCTTGATCCTGAATGAATCTGACAGTTACGAACTGTCTGGTAGGACTTACACGCTGTCATGCTAGTTGTCATCGACAGGTCAGAAGAGCTTGCTCGTTGGCGAGAGTGTCTCGAGATTCGGTGTTGGGTAGACGTGGGATTTGTCTCGACGAAAGTTGCTTCGGGTCCTCTTTTTTTCTTTCAACAAGTTTGTTTCGCTCGTTTAAAAGACAGGAAGTCCGAAAACGAAGCACGACAGTGTCGTTTTGTTATGATGAGGTTTGGTGTATTAAAAGAAAACTCATCGAGTTGGTAGAGCCCTGGCTATAGGGCATCCAGGCCGAATATTAATCTAAATTGTTCATACAATGGCATTGCCTATCAGGAATTCAGAGCTTATTAGATAGTGCGGTTGCCAGATCTCTGACGCTGATCTTACTATTATAAAATGTGGACCCAGACGTAGATACGAAGGTACCTATCGAGGGAGGAGGATTATTTCAATACTTCTACCCAAACGTAATTACGGAAACCATGTTCATTTTTACCCATCCTCTAAATAATTTACTGGGACCTTCTTTGGTCAGAATTTGACTGAAGCAGTCCATAAAGCCTTTATATATGGGAGGAGCTCCTTTGTGCTCTAGGCCGTGAGTAGATGACTGAGATAGCAGTCTCGTCTTGACAACATCAGCCGGTGCACAGACGGTCGTAGCTACCAGTCCGGCAATTAAGGATGAAGCGACGTGAAGTGGAACTCCTTCTTTTAATATGCCATACTGTTTCAATAAGACTAAAGATTGATATGCGACTCGTCAGCATACGGTTTCGACTGATGGGGAGCAAACCTGCAGACAAAGCCGAGGTTGGGTTTTGACCTTTTGATTCGTCATAACTGCTCATTTGACCTCCAGTCAATAACGCAGCTCGTATAGCAGTAGCTTGTATCCCTCTATATAGGCCTAAACAATTGAGAAAAGCAGTTGAGCTTTCGACATGCAGCCAGGCCAACCACTTGCAGTTTTATGGTGTTGAACTTAGAGGTGCTTGCCTTTGAAGAACCCTTCGTTCCTTACAATTGTATAGAAAGCATGAGCCGTATTCCTATATGTAGGCGGAAGGCCTCGCCTCAAACCAGTCACATATACTCCATTCTGTATGCGCCCGGCTTCAGATTGGAAGCGTATTTTGACTAGATCTGTGGGATTGGCAAGACTGCTACCGATAGCACCTGTGCATACGCCAGCAAGGAGCTTCAATACGAAGGGTTCACTGCCCTTTGGTATTGACAGTGCAGTAGCTAATGTGTCCTTCACAGGAGAGTAAAGTCCAAACCTCATCGAGCTATACGACATTTCTCTTAGTATAGCTGGTGTCAAGCCAGGCAGCCAGAATCCGCGAATGCCCTCTTCCAAGATAATAGTTCTAGCTGCAACACCAAAGCTTGGGTATAGTCGTCGAACGCCGGGCACGATGATTTCATTTTGCATGCGAATCTGATGAAAGCCAGCGGTTAAAAAAGGAGTTCCTGATCAAAAATCCCAGCTACACGTTCAGATATATAGTTGCCTTCGTGACATCGCTCCAATTGGTACTAAACTGAGAGCACTATAGCAACTCCAAAATTAAAGTCAGCCAGAGTCGATTCAAAACGAGACAAAAGCATAGTAAATACGATTTCATACCGAGTTTGCAAAGCCGCCGCACATGAGGTCAAGTAGGATGCGGTCCAACTGTGATCTCTCGGTCGTCATGACGTCTACTTGCTGCTTGTTCGGAGATTTGGACGAACGTGGACGTTTTTAGACGAGAACGTGTTTTCGTTGGAGAAAAGTGGAGCTATTGAAGAATTCAATCTTTCTGAAATGTAAAGATTCTATAATACGTGGCTTGTGGTGCACCGACCGCATATTGAATTTGGAATCAGAATCAAAACACACATCTATAAATTCAACACGATTGCTTGAGTGAAACTGCAATTGGAAGCTCTGACACTCTTTTGTTCTCGTGCTGCTACGATAACGTCGCTTCACATTCGAAGGACGTCGATGCTGTATTGATTTGGTTTGCAAGTGTCACGGCACAAGCTGGATATAACATAAATCGCGATATACTCCGTCCCAACACTTTGAATCTTAATGCCGCTTTGTGTTTTGGCTTTTCTGGAACGTTTTGGATGTCCCATTGGGTATCGTAAAATACACACGAGATCTAACTATACAATGACCAACTCCAGCCTAAAATTTCGGGAGTCGAGAAACCACTCTCATGAACACGATATGTTAAATTAGAGAAATCGAAATGCAAACACCCGTGGAAGTTTGGCTGACAATCTGTTTTAACATCGGGTTTGCACTCCACAGCTTGTCTGACAAGCACCATAGTCTCAATGGATCAAGAGAACTATACGAACCTCAATTTGAATCTCAACAACGAAACTCTAAATCTGCTCAAGGAACACTGCAATGAAAGTGGAGGCCATCGAACCGAAAGCGGGCCAAACGCTGCATTAAGTCCTGGGAAATGCAAAAAGTGCTGAAGAAAGCTTGATGAAGTCCACTTATGGGGTTTGCATCAAAATCTTGAGGAATTGCTCATTTTACAAGTAATGGAAGTATGTGTCTTGTGCATGCGCATACCAGTTGACTAGAATCAAAGGAATGAGCTCTCAGCCTCCAGGGAGACAGCAACGACTGAAATGCACTTGGTCGGTGATTCGGAACCCCTCAAAGAATTGTAGTATAGGTATGAAAAATATACACGTACGTTTACGAATTTAAAAATAATCCTGATGTTGAAACACGGTCGTTGTTTTAAGCTGTGCGTCGCTTGCAGATTTCAAGACTGTACGTTTCCACACATTCTGACTATTTATTACACGATCGGCCAAAGATAGAGATGCAGCGTGAAACTCCTAGTGTTCAAAGCTCGTCTGGACGTGGTCGGAGCTCAGTTGTCTCTGCATCGGGTATGCCTTCTCCATGTTGAAATATTATTGATGTTTTTCGTGAATAATGACCTATTAATGTAATAATAGATAAGGAATCATCATCTGGACGACGTACCGCATCATCGAAAAGCAATAATGAGGGCGCTAGCCGTCCCAAAACGAGTGCTAGTCGACCCAAAACTGCGACATCACGAGAGAACTCTGTCATTGTCTGTATCAGTCAAGGAAGAGGGGTCGCTTCTGATATTGGCATGGCATCTATGGATATCAAGACTAGTGAATGTATTCTACATCAGGTAATTATAAAAATTGAAGATTCGGGACCATGAAGTTATGGACTTTGCATGCTCAACTTCGCACCATGATTCTAGTTCGGTGATACTCCCAGCTATGTCAAGCTTTTACACAAGCTGCACTTGTACAATCCTCTGGAGGTACCCCATCTGTCTATATGGTCAAAAACAGTGATGCTAATTGCTGGCTAACATGAGTCTCGCATCGAGTAGGTACTCATGTCAAGCACCATGAATGAACCACCCAAGTCAAAGATATGTGAAGCTATCGAAGGGGAATTCCCAGATATTTCAATCGCTCCCGTGGATCGAAAATACTTCAAAGATAGTGCAGGTTGGAAAACGTTGAATGTGTAACCCTGACTACGTGTCGAATGAGAAGTTTAATCCTTTATTCCATTAGGTCTCAACTATATCAAGGAATATGGACTTGAAGCTGACATACCTAATTTGATTGTCGGCATTCAGAAAAAGTGTGTATAAATGTTTTGACCTCGTCGGTTTTTTTGGAAGCCGATATAGGTCATTATTTCTTCAGGTACTTTGCACTCACAGCTCTCGCATCGTTACTCAAGTAAGTTCACCAAAAACCTGGTAGTTGTTGGAATTACACTCAGTAGTCACTCGCTTAGACACATTGAACTACACCGGAGCATTGGTTTCCCTCAACATTCAATCCAATTCAAGTTTCAAGCTATCGATGGGACAGTTATGATTGGTAATGAGATGCTTCTGTTGATCTTGCAAGTCTTATCTGATTCAGTCTGGTATTGCTAGATGCTGTCACGTCAAGAAACCTGGAACTTGTGACAAACATTACAGCTGGTCATCATGGATTTTCTCTCTTCTCGGTCCTTAATCACACATGTACGCCTATGGGTGCTCGCTTATTAAGGACGAATATCTTGCAGCCACCTTCAAGTATGCACTTACGCAAACAAAATCCCGGCTGGTTGTTAACCACCTCTGAAATTGTAGACGAGAGGACTATCAATACAAGATTGGATTCTGTGGAAGGTTAGTATCAATCCTTCATTGTCTTTGGAGATTTCGGATCTTAACGACTCTGCTTTTAGATTTAATTCACAACCAGGTATTACCTGTTCAACCAAACATGCAATGATCGGAATTTGACCCTGGTTTTTGGCTTCAGGAAATGTTCTTTGCTGTCAAATCAGGTAAATTGAAGCTTCACAACAACAACAACCATATTTGTGTTGTAACACCCATGTTCTAGCTCTCAAAGGATTTCCGGACGTACATCATCTCATCACTAGTGTAAGTATATATGCCATGATTCCCCTTATTTGCACCTGTATTCACCGTCTTAAATGTTTCCACATAGCTCATTCAAGTCAACAAGAAGCCAAGTGTAAAGCACTCCGAACAATCCACCAACCACGTAATCACTCTCAAACATACTTTGGAATGTGTTGGACCTCTTCAAGCGGCGCTCACATCAAGTCGGTCTGAACTGATACGGTCCATATATAAGGTACAGTAGCTTCAGATTTTGGGGTAGCTGAAACGACATTTGGGATAACACTTCGTGTTTTTGCTCTGACAGACTATCGCTGGTGATGATTTGGAACTCATGCGTACTCGTATTGATGAAGTCATCAATGAAGATGTTGCTTTGCAACGTACTCCAATTGGTCTTCGAAACCAGCGATGTTATGCTGTAAAGGCAAGTTCAACTGGAAGGCTCTTGAAGGATCGTCAAGCACTCAACATGTTCACACAATTTTAGGCTGGATACAATGGATTGTTGGATGTTGGTATGTTCTCAAGTTTGTTTGAGTGGTGGGGTTCAACTTTTATTCTCAACGTATTATTATAGCTCGTCAAACATACAAGGAGACAACGGTGACCCTGACGAAGTTCGTATACCTTGTATAGATGTGACACTAATGTTTTGCACTTGTGTAGAACGACATTTACGAAGCAACCACGCAATATAGTCGTAAGAGACCGACTCGCATCAGAACTTCATGAATCAACCTGACGTGTTTCTCGTAGAAAAATACGAATTGGATCTCAAACTTTCCTTCTCCTCATCGGTGAATGGCTTTCTGTTGTCGACTACAAAGGAATTGCTCGGAGATCGTGAGCTGCCTTTGGAATTCATCAACGTCTCACACAAGAAGAATGTTTTGTCATTCACTACCTTGAGGATTGTAAGTGTGGCATCGTGTTTTTTGCCAACAACAGAAGAATATCGCCGACAACATGTTATGTTCTAGATGGCGATGAATGATCGGATCAATGAGAGTTTGACTGAAGTCTACCTCATGTCTGATAGGTAAAAGGGGTCTTCAGATCATTGAGACCAATCTTTTTCGTACTCGTTGTAATACACCTTCTGGCTTTGACATAGAACAATTGCTGAACTCGTCACTTTCATTCGAGCACACATCGCCTATTTGTATCGCCTGTCAGAATGTGTTGCTCTGCTTGACATGATCATGTCCTTTGCTCATTACTCCACAATCACCAACTGCAGTAGGTGTGACGTTCATCTCATTCAAAATTCATTGTGCTCATATTCCATCCCCCTTGATTCAGCTCGACCAGAATTCACGCAAACCTTAGCTATTCGATCTGGTCGCCATCCTATCCGGGATGCTCAAAACATTGGCTCCTTTGTACCAAACGATGTCTATGCCGTCGCAGGCGGCACGTTTGAGATTGTGACAGGACCGAATATGGCAGGGAAGAGCACGTACTTAAGACAAATCGCTCTAATCAATATTGTTGGTCAGCTTGGATGTTTTGTACCAGCTGAGTATGCCTCATTTCGAATTATTCATTCGCTATTCTCGCGTATTGGGAATGATGATTGCTCTGAGGTTGGTGCAAAAATAAGCTATTTTTCGAGCCACTTTTTTGCTCGATACTGATTTTTCGTTTTTCATCTCAGGCAAATGCTTCCTCATTCATGATTGAAATGAGAGAAGCAGCCTACATTCTTCAAAATGCTACTCCTCGCTCATTAATCATCATTGATGAATTGGGTCGAGGAACATCAACGTATGATGGATTGGGAATGACTTTTGCCATCGCAGAAGACTTGATTGACACCAAAGCATTCGTTTTCTTTGCCACTCACTTTTCCGAGTTGGCTCATGACCTTGATTTGCAACCCAATGTCGTCAATCTGCATCTCAAAGTGACTACTTCTTCAGCATGTGCTCATTATACTTCTCAGATGAGTACTACAAGTTTGCAGCCAGGTGGTTTGCACTTTACATATTGTATTGGAGATGGACCTATGGAAGAAGGAGCACATTATGGATTGCAGTTGGCTAGTGTCTCTGGTTTCCCAAATAATATTATTGAACGAGCAGAAGTTGTGGCCATCAAGGTATCAACGCTGTGCAAGATTAACCCCCAAAAAGTTTATTAATCTGACGATTCGCACCCTTTCCTGACAGCTGGAGAAAATGTCTGCAGAAGCGAGGATGCGAAATCAAGTTGAGCATCAAGAGAATGCTTTGAAGATGCTCAACACACAGGTACGAAGTTTTGAGAATTTGTTGAGCATATTCAGTGATCAGTGAACTCACTCCTGGACATCTTCATAGTTTGCACAAAGGCTCTGTCAAGCACGCAGATCATCAAATCTGTCAGAGCCTGAACTTCGTAAATACCTTCATGATTTACAAACTGAGTATTTGCAGAGCAGACGAGTATTGGAAGGTGGTAGTAGTGCGCCTTCAAGCAACTGACTACGGAGGACTGCACTACGAGGTTGTTATGCATATGAGATTGTATTTGTGATGTATAATACAAGCATGAGTTGAAATTGAAGTGGTATGCAAAGCATGAATCATTATCGTTGTACTTGTTTGTGGTGGAGGCCCTCTGTGTTTCTCAACCCGGGCTTGGGACCGGCTATGGCCACATTGCCTCGACAACATCCCCTTCTTTCCAAGGTGTACAGTGATGTGTCAGTTCAAATTGACCAAACATGCACGATGAAGGACTGTCTGTTCCTTGTTTGGAGCCAAGACTTGCTTTTAGGGTGGCCAAAACCTGGGAGATGCGCCAGTGAATACCGGCCAGGTCTCGGCGTCACTTGTTCGCCACATTGGCGATAACCAACCAATGCAGAGGTCTCGATCCAGCTGTCATCGTTGTCTGAGGTTGAATTCCTTGTGAGTTGTCTATAGTTTTGGAAAATGTGATGAGAGGCTGATGTGAATAAGCGGAAGTAATCAGTACAAGCAAACACGACAACGCACCGAGGTGGAGGCATGATGCCTGTTATACCAGAAGACCACAAGAGCGAAACGAAGGGACTGGGGACTGTTCCCCGGAAGACCAAGAGGGCCCTTCTTGGTCTTCATTCCTCATCAGCTTGGCAATCTTGTGGGTAGAGCCAGTACCTACCTGTAGAGAGGAGAAATGGGATGCAATGAGCAATCATCATTTAAAAAACAAAACGTCAAATATTGAACAACAACAACGCAGCATAGTTTGCACGGTGGATTGATTCTTCTTCTTGCAGGTGGAAATTCAAATGAATTCGACGTTTCATGAGCTGTCAAGCAAATTGTCAAACTTACAAAAACCGAGGTTGGTCGTATCTCTTGCAGTTCCCTCATCGGCTCCTTTCAACTATATGAAATCGGTTAAGAGTTTATTGGTGTAAGCCTTGCATGTGACATCAAACTTACCAGTTTGGCCAAGACCTTGACGACTGCGTTACCAGGTAAATGGCTCACACCAGTCATCATTATAAACACGGTATTTACAAAGAATGAGATAGGACTTATAGCTGTTGCCGCCAAGACCACAAGTAGACCACTTAGAGCATAAATAGGAGATATCAAAATGTAAACGATGTCACCAGCATTTTCGAGAGCGCTAGATCCATAGACGATTGCCACAGTTCCAAGGTGGCATGTGACTCTGTACCTGCAAAGATTGGGAAATTACTTGATGACTTACCCAATGGTTACTGTTCCGAGTGTTAAAACTTTGATTTAATTAAGGTTGAATGTTTGTCAGATGCCAGTAACCCTGATGCTCGTAAGCATCAGATACTTACATGCGACTAAACTTACAAGGCACAACATACGTGGGTTTCTCACCTAAGCATCTCGATTGTGTTTTTCCTTTCAGGCTACCAGAACCAACATTATCAAACACGAAGTTGCAAATATTACAGCAATCACCAACACACCTAGCAACACACAACAGTTCACACTTATGTAGATTTATTTTTTTGCTACACTCTCAACAAAACTTTGATGCAAAAGGGGGCCACTTTTTTAATAGAAACTATGCGTTGTTTTTCTCTTCATGAATCTTCTTCATTCGATGTTTGAAGTGACAAGAGCCATTTGTCCACCTTCTGTTGTTCCGCTGGCGGCCGTCCTTCGGTATTATTGGCTGCAGCTTTCTTCCATGCAAAACAATTAGGCTCGTCGACAATATCATGTTTAAGGAATAACCTAAACAAGTTTTCCAGCAAGCCTATAACAATGAAAATTTGTTCAAGAGCATTAACAAAAAATAATCACAGCATCATAAGAAATGCGAAAAACCATTCTTTAAACTCAACAGCGTAAGAACTTACTTGGTGGGAAGCTCACTTCAGCGCAATAGGCTTCAGTGGCCATGAGAATCTCAACCTTCACATCATCTTGTTGAGACTTTTCCGCCATATTTATAACATGCTCTAAAACTGGCTTGACGACCGTCGACACCAGACCGTCAATCTTTGTAAACAGGTCCACACTCATTTCAACTGGTGTTTTAGATCCATTGGCGAATATGGTCAATGATGCAACGTATCGACATAGAGTTTTGGTGATGACATGTATATACTGATGGCTAAATCCACCAACATCGGTGGAAGTTGACTAAAAGTATTGACAGAATATTAGCGTCATTAGCGTCGATTTCTTTTGCGACTGCAAACACAAGACACTCACATCAAGAAAAGCTGTTATTTTGGTGACATCATCTCTACCCAACATGGGCCTTAGACCTCTTGACACCTTAAGTGATGGCTCCAACTCAAACAACTTTTTATCCTCCAACTTATTGTCCAAAAATTCAGCTATAGAATCATCATTCCGCCTTGTTGGTGGGAACAACTCTCGTACATTAAACCCACTGTCACCAATCGAGGCAACAAGACGGTCACCACCATACTCTCTTCTGAATTCATATAGTGTCTCAGCCAATAGTTTAGGTGCTGGAAGCGACAAGGCAGTAGCATTGACTATAGATGAGCAGATATCTGTGAATTGCGTCAACTGAATGACACCCAAGTCAAGCAGCCTCGAGAGAATGACGGCAAGATTTCCAAATACACCAGGTACATCAACACTTATGTCTTCAATGAATTCCACATATTGCGTAAGACTAATTGAAAAGCAAATGGAAGTTCAGAGAGAGAAATATTTGGCTGAAGTAAATGAACTACTTACCATGTCACGAATGTATCAGCTGAGACAATAGTATTCTCATAGAGATAACAGAATAAATCAGCAGTCTTTATGTAATCCGGTCTCTTCTTATCCGTTGCTTTATCCAATATAGCTGAGAGTGCTCGAGCATGCCACTCTTCACCCAACTCTATAAAGTCCTTGCCAGCTTCAATATTATCATAATTGGCAAAGAATTCTTCAATCATGGCATCAATCTTCCTGGTAGCTACTTTTTCGGTGAGTTTGACTGGTTCCGCTGACAGTGGAGGCTTCTCTTCAAACGTGACCTTCTTGTCAGCAACGTCCGTGTCTATTACAGGATGTTCACCATCATCTACTGATTTACGTCGGTCACCATCGGCTGCCAACAATCCAAACATGTTGGCGTTAGCTTCCACACCAGCAACAGCTTTCGTTGGTAAGACAGCAGAAGGAGCAGCAGTTACAGACGATTGACTGCTAGTAGAAGCAGTTCGAGCCATAGCTGTTCCAGAATCTGTCTTTGGCGTCATGGCCCATCCTTTAGCTCCAGTACCCATACCAGTACCAGGACCTAATCTCATAGTAGATGGATCTGAATCCTTTTTGATTGCTGACTGTACACGACCAAATTGTGAATGATCCATTTTTTCAGCCTTGGCAGATGAACCACCACGCTGTATATTAGTCCATCCATCTGTAGTAGGTGGTACACCACCACCACGAGATGAACGACCCATTTGGTCTGACATGGAAGGCATGTTTCTGCTACCAGAGCCTTGTCGTCCGCCTCCGCCACCTCTAGATTGGTTGCGTATACGTTCTTGCTCAGCTTCTTCTTCCTTCCTCTTGGCATCTTCACGAATCTCAGCCAAGGTCTTTGGACCTGTAGACTGCTGTCTAGCCTGCCATCCAGCCTTACGCATATCTATAATATCTTGCACCATAAACCGTATACGTGATGAAAGACGGTTGTCATTCACTAGTTTTTTGAGTTGGGTAAAGTACGTGTCCATGAATTGCTTGGCAACTGGACGATCGAGCTGTTGACCAATGGTGGCAATAAGTTTACAGAGGGATTCAGTTTCTTCTTCTTCGGGATCACTATGGTTTCGTAGTAGTTGCTGTATACATTCGTGCATGATCTTTTCTGTAATAAGAGATTGTTTGAAGAGCTCTCCAACGAATCTAATATTGCCTAGCGTACGACGCTTGAGCTTGTCTCGTTGGTATTGAGCCTCAGCAAACTCTTCTTTTTCTTCGGCAGTCATCGTCTAAAGAGAAAAAGAGAGTGAGTGGGTTTGAAAGCGGATTGCAATTCGTTGATGTACTCAAAGACTGTAATCTTCACAAGGAATGTCAGATAGCTAATAAATGAACTGCAAAACTTACATCAACCTTCTTTCTCATCTCACGAGCTTGATCCTCATCCTTGGCCCAACTCTTTCCGGACTGGAATTCACGTTGGCACTTGTTCAAGAGTGCTCTTCTAAATTCACTGTTGCGAGGATCGTTCGACATCCATGGCTGTCTTTCAGGTAGCTCTTGATGCAGCTTATTACATAATTGGGCATACATGGCACCAAAGTTTGGCTCGTCTAAGGCCTTGTCAAAGATAAGTTCAATGACACCTTCCAAGATATCACGATTAGTTATACCGACATCTCTGACTTGTATAGCCAAAGAGTCGAATCTCTCCAATGTCAATTTATTTAACAAGGATTTGACCTTTCGTAAGATCTTGGCGAGTTCTGGATCTACGTCGGCTTCTCCTGGACGTTTTGCGCCTGGTACTGGAAGATTATGAGGTACCCAGGCATTGTCGGATCTATTTAATGGTACTATGGGTTCTGGAGGTGGTCCTCCTCTTGATGGTTGTCGTCCACCTCGAGAATCAAAGACACCACGACCAAATTGGCCTTGGTCACGACCACCTACTGATTGTCGTGATTGTTGTTGGTCTCTACCACCAGCCAAATGATTCAATCCAGTACCAGAACCAGTTCTTCCACCCATACCTCCTCTAGCACCTTGTGACGGTTGAACTCCTGATGACATGACACCAGTAAATCCTCCACCGCGAGACAGTGCTCCTTGTTGGAAGCGTTGCTCTGAGGTTGAAGGTCTGCCACCAGCACTACCCATATTCGCTAAGTCTGATTGAGATCCTACTCGTGATACAGCACGTCCTCCTGCAGCGGAGCTACGGGCAGACCCACCAGCAGATGGTCTTCCAGCTGACTTGGGTTCGTCAAATGCTTCATGGAAGGCTTGTAATGCAGACGGCTTCCAAATAGGTTTGGCTAATGCACCTAAAGCACTCAAGAAGCTAATGGTATATCGAATACGTTCTCCATCTTTTTTAGGAGCTTCCACACCAGATGGATACTTGACACCATCGAAAGAGGTTAAGAGAGATGTGACTTTCGGTGCTCGAGATGTACTGATTCTTAGACTAGGTGATTGTTGACCATCGACCTCCTCTGTGGCAGAGTCAGCTATTGGCTTGGATTTACCATCATCTACTACTTCACCTTCTTCTAATTCGACCTTTGTACCATCCGAATCGCTAGAGTTCGAAGCTTGTATAGGCTCTTCTACAGATATCGAAGCCTTATCCTCTACTGGCGTCGATGGCACTACTGCTTCTTTGACAGCTTCCTTGACTGTTTCCTTTGCTGGAGTTACTACAGGAGTTGGGAGTACAGTGACTTCCTTTGTAGCTGCAGGTGGTGGTACTACTGCTGGTTTGACTGGCTCCTCTACTTTTGCAGCACTAGGAGCAGCCTTGACGACGTCTGCCGGTTTTTTTACTGGAGAGGGTGATCGTCGAACCTCCTTGACTTCCTTTGCTGGGACTGCCACTTCCCCATTAGCAGCTGGATAAGCAATTACTGCAGCCGCTGTTTGAGGAGTTGCTGGTGCTGGTTGTGGTGTTTTGGCTCGTTCCTTCTCTTTAGGATTGACTATCGGTATAGCTTTGGATCCACCACTTGTAGACAATCGACGACCAGTTTCACTAGTTGAAGGGACTGCTAGTTCCAAAGTAGTTGCAGGTACAACAGGAGGTACTACTGCAACCTCGGGAGAAGCAGCACGTTTCTATGTAAAGGCAAAAAAAGATGATTTGTATGAGGTTTCAATAAACTTTTCTCCTCTAAAAATAAGAGAAGTCTTCGAGTTTAACAAATTTACCTGAGCAACAGCTGACTTCAAATCCTTCAGAGCGACTTCTTCTCCAGTAGGAGCCTTGATGACGATCTTTTTAGACTTTGGTGGTTCAGCTATTGGCAAAGCAGGAGATGTCATCGTCGTTGCTGGAGCTCCGACAGGTGGCGCAGGGCCACCGTATCGTTGTTGCTGACCACCATTGGGCGTCATTGGCATATTTCCTTGTGTAGGCCTAGCCTGCTGTTGTTGATAGACAGGTTGATACATGCCATTTAGTAACATTTGATTACTATTATACTGGTCAGACAGCTGTTTGTAGTGAAAATGCTGTTGTTGATTCCATGTAGACGGATCGGGAGGAAACTTTTGATATTCTAACCCAATCGCATACTGGCTCTGCTGAAGTTGGGCGTAAAACATTTCTTGTTGGCGTTGTTGTTGATTGCCCATATATTGTTGTTGTTGTGGGTATACGGCTTGCACAGGTTGCATCGTTTGACCTACGTACTAAATATAGATTATGTATTAGCAAAAAATAATACGCCAAGATTTCCGAAGGTACTATCTCAATGCACAAACTTACGGCCTGTGGTTGCGGCCGAGGAACATAGCTTGTACGTCCATTATTTACATATGCACCTCCACCTTGCTGCTGATTCATGGGTCTCTGTTGTTGTCGTTGTTGATATTGCATACCATTCGGCATTTGCTGTTGCTGTTGTTGCATACCACCCTGCATTTGCATCTGCTGAGGAGGAACAGATTGCTGCTGTGGTTGCTGGTGTTGAATCGGCATGCCTGACATGGGTATAGATTGTGATGGTGAAGCCAATGGCATAGATGCAGCAGAAGCTGGTTGCATATTTATAGATGGTTGTTGCTGCTGCTGTTGAGGAGCTCCTGCTACTATAGAAGGAGAAGGGTGCTGTACATTTATATTTTGTTGGGTACCTGGCATCACAGCAGGTCTTTGTGGACCGTTCATAGTTGGTTGTGGTGGTTGTGATACAGCCACTGGCCTCGAAGGAGAACGTACAACCGAATCTTCGGTTTCAGCTGGACCCTGAGTACCAAATACTATATTTCTTCCAGATCCAGTGCTGGACGCATTAGCATTAGCAGTAAGACGAGTTGGCACAGAACTTGATGGAGTACTACTAGCAGTATTTGATGACGGCGTTATGACGTCCGGTGAGATGGCAGCAGGGTTTGGTGACGGAAGGCCGTTTGAAGTGAGAGAAGCTTGAGGTGATGCAGCTGCGGCAGCAAAGCTCAATATAGGTCTAGCATTTACTACGGGAGCAGCTACTACTACCGGAGATGCTATAGCTGGTACTATTGGTGAAGATGCAGCTACAACTACAGGAGGAGTCGGTTGAACGACAGCTGCCTGCTTATGTTGTGCTGGTGTCGCTACAGGTGCGACTGATGTTGGTTGTGGTGCATTTATACTAGCCGCAGGAGGTTCTTGAGGTTTGATGCTGCTTTTAGCTTTGTCGGCCCAAGAGAGTTTCGGGGCAGGAGGTGTGGTCATTTGATAATGATTCAATATGCTATAATTGAATATAATGTCAGCCACGTTGCAATCAATGCAATAAACAGAAACAAAACCATTTCTTCCTAGTCTTTTTTGACAACATACGAAGTGAGAGAATATGAATCTTAATGGAGAAAATAATGGAGGCTCACTCAATCCGTCTTGAAAGACCTAGATACCATAGAGTTAAATCCAAGAATGGAGCGTGTTTATCAAAGTTGAACGGTTATTTTTTTTCATGGTTGTGAATGCAAAATGCTGGCAGCTTTGTCAGAAGAGACTTGATGTAAAGGAAGGAAGCTCGATGCCGTGCATCCTGTTCGATTCAATATCATACAATAAATGCTGCAATGAGACATCCTTGACAGTCTCTTGCACAAATCAAGCTCCATTTTTTCTTCAAAATCCAAACTCACCCTTTGAGTGTGAAGTAATCTAAATCAGCTGCCTAAGTTCAGATGAGACCTGGCGAGCTAACCAAATATAATATATCGTAGACGAGGAGTCAATGGAACTCTCTCCCGTCCGAAAAAAATTGATTATGGTCTTGCGTTTTCTTTCAAGTGTAGGGAAATATGCTCAGCAGAAGAAAACACGTTTCGCGAAAGGAGCGACAAAGCAACGAGAAGAATCCTCATAAAATCTACTTTTGATTCCAGTATATTATTTACACGTGAAAAAGTTCAAATATTGGTTCTCAGGCTTCCGCATTCAAATATTGCGTTTCAGCATTAAATTAACTAGGTTGTTCCAGTAACGTAAACACGCTCTTCCTCTCTCTGTGCTTCAGAGCTTTTCCCTCTCTCAACAACTTAATGGTGGCCTCCAAGTCTCCCTTCTGTAATCTCAAACTACCTCTCCCCTTTCCAGCAACACCAACAGGAAGCGACTCCTCTGACCTCTCAAGGCCCGCCCTCTCTTCATCGTCTTCCTCATATAAATGTTGAACTGGCTCTCCCAGCGATTCTATACTACTAGTAGCAACAGTTGATCGTGACCATGTCGATGCACGGTTTGGATCTTGGACATACGAGTACTTGTTCCCACTGGCTGATCCACGGATTGTTGTGCCATGTCGAGCTGAATCATACATGCTAATCATGCGTGATGGTGGGACTTGAGATAGTGTCGAATTTTCAGAGACACTACCATAAGATATCTGTGCATCTTCTGGTTCGTCGAGAGTACCCATGGTGATTTCGGATGCTGTATCGTTCGATGGTTCGGCTGCAGGTGCAATCAGCGGTACCATTGTTGGGTGATCTGAGACCGGTTCATCGTTGATGGTCTTTTTCGTAACAACTCGTTGAGCCTGCCAAAACAAGAGTCAGACGTGCCTATCAATGAATCGACTTTCTAACTGGAACGGGACGTACCTTCTTTGCTGCTCGTCTATCAGCTTCTTCGTTATCCTTGATTGCTTTCTAAAATATCACAGAAAATGAGAACGAAGTAATGACCAGCGCTGAGAGGAACAATAGCAGTACCTTAACAGCCAATCTGAATTGACTCAAAACACCGAAGAAATCCTCTGGCTCCGTCTCAGAAGCCTCTTCTCCAAACCACATTAGCATCTCCTTGACTTCCTTATCCGCCAAGTCACATTCTGCCTCAATCGCAATGATTTTTGGTTCAGCCTCAACCACAAATGCCTACGAGAAAAAAATCAGACCAACAAACAAAATGACATGTCTTTTGAAACTCCATTTCAACATGCTGCTTACATTCATGACATTCAGGAACTGATCTCCACTATTCCTCACAGCCATTCGCTTCAGTTCAAGAATTTCAGACTTGATTAAATCGATTTCATGTCGTAACGATCTTACAGATCCCAGAAGTACAGCGAAACCGACTACAGCGATAAAAAAGCCCAATGAGTTGGAGTATTAATAACACACTCAACGTCAGAGACACACCTCTTGAGGCAGTAACAACAGCAGGCATATCATCAGCGAAATTCAATGCCTCTGCATCCTTCTCTTGTAACATTCGTACTAATAAATGCAGTAAAGTCGCTACCCTCATGGAGTTTCCTTCAGCTGCCTTCGTTTCAATAAGCTAAAGAAAGATCTTGTAAGCAATATAATCTCAGATGTCGAGTGTGAACAAGTTTACCTTTGTCAAGCTTTCAATCCTAAACCCGTAAGCACCTCCCCTGAAACTCGATCCATTCAAAGCATTTCCCAATAACAAGACTGTTTGAAGAACCCTCCTAAAGGGTTGCGAGCTCATAACTTCACGAACTGCAGATCGAACCGCCATGATGTCCTGAGAAAACTCTGATCAGCCGCAAAAAAAGCAGGCACTTGTATAAAAGACGGATTGCAACATACCGGCACAATATCAGCCATCTCACTATCCAGACACCGTCTGAAGAGCATACATTCTACACAAAGTCAAAAAGATTTACTTGCAGTGGCTTCATAAAACGCTTTTGACAAACTTACGCAACCGAGTCTTCAATCTCGGAATCACAACCATCTCCTTCACATATCGTTCGGCGATACCAACTGTAGCAAAATCTCCTTGATATTCTTTAACTAGATCTCCTTCTTCCTGAGTTGGTGTTAATACTAGCATGGCTCGGAGATTCTCGACGCTCAACATGTTGTCGTCGAATGATAGTACGGCATCACTTATTTCACGAACTGGAAGTTTCATTCGTGTCAACATGATTGCTATCGAAGCAAAAAAAGATCAAATGTCACAAACGAGCAAAGAATGGCTAAATTGGAAGGATAGCTAACCCATGTTATTAGCTCTTCCGAGTTCTAACAATATAGTAGGAGCCTTTCTGTTACCGACACTTCCTCTCACACTAGAAGTAGTCGATGTTCCTGAGCGATCAGAGTTGTCTGCGAAAAGGAATCATTCGTTAGGATCGTGATTGCTCGTCAAAAACAATGTCACATGCTTTACCGTCATATTTGCCAAATAACTCCTCCAGCCCAGTCATAGGAACACCAAACAGCTGTGCCGAATTGCGAGCGTCTTTACCACTTCCATACGCATCAGACACGACTTCCTTCCATACGGTTTGATTGACTTGCCGGACGGGTACTTTGGTCCACAGAACACCCTATCAATCAGTCCCAGTTAGACTTTCTTTAAATTGAAAGAAAACTATGGCAGATAACCACCTTGAGAGGAACTGTCGACTTGTATGGCTTGAGACTAGGCAGCCCAACTGGTGCAGGCGCTATAGTCGCCCACCCACTATTCGGATCTGACAGAGCACCAGGAGGTGGTGGAGCTAATGGAACTAGGCCTCCAAATGGTGGTGGAGGTGGCGGAGGAGGAGGAGCATCTTCGCCTTCTGCTGAAAGCATAGAAGGAGGCGGTGGTGGAATTGGAGCACTGGAATCAACAGCATCACCAGACACGGAAAGATTCCCAGAGAGTCTCTCCTCAGCAATTCTAGCACGCTCAAGTGCCTCATTCTTGAGCTTGTCAGAAGCTTCTAGTAGCGCTCTCAATTCTTCAGCCTCGTTCTTGAAAATGCTGGCTATACCAGGTCTACTCGGTAGCGGGGCCGCATTTGGATTATATTGGTAGGCACCACGAACACTACCAAATATATTTTCTCCAAATGCTGCAGCGAGATTTGGTACTTGTTCTGCACCAGAGCCCAAAACTCCAGAGGAAGGAGCAATTCTCGTCATAGATCGCTTCAAAAAGTCCATTTCTTTTTTCAGTTGATCCAGAGATTGCTGAGAGTCGGAATACTAAAGACGGAACTGTTGGTTAACCATGATTCCGAGACGCGAAAAATCTGTTCTTTAGAGATCTGTCATATACCATTCCTTTCCAACGTTCCATCTCTCCAACAACAGCCAGCAATGGCGTCTCTGCCCGATCAACAACAGTTTTCATTGAAGACACAGATCCAGGCCTCTGGTACGCCTGTGCAGAAGAAGGCAATCCTCCCAACGAAACTCCAGAGTTTTTCTCGACAGCAGCCAATAACGAGACACTCAATGTTCTCATTCTCGTCTCTCTTTCACCGTCCAGCACACTAGCGTTACGAGCCAGGACTTCGAGCACTTGTTCTGTCATAGAAAGATACTCGGCTCGTTGATCTCCCTCATACGGTATATCATCAGAGCGAATCGAGACTAGAGATGTGAGGTGCGCCAATACGCCAAGAGCTAAATGACGCGCCCTTTCAGGTCCTGGAAGCGTTGCTGTTGATGCAAATAGTCGTATGACTGTCTCCATGGGTTTCCTAAACTTGCAGATGTCATTCAAATAGTGTCTTGGGGCTTTTTCGCTGCTTAGACTTACGGTTTTGAGCTATTTGAAGCTTTGTAATTTGACTCGAGTTGAGCATAGTCTTCTCCTCGGCCATCTTCATACACTCGTATTTGAGTCAAACATGATTCTGGAGGATTCATATCGTTCAATAACTAGTAGGGCCGACTCCGGTGAGAAAACTCATAAAAAATCTGAGGGAAACTTTTTTTTACCGTGAGAGCATGTCTCAATTCAGCACGTTCAGCTTCAATCCTCAATCCCCAACGTTCTTCCACTAGCTCTGGAGCGCCAACTGCCGCATTAATGAGTTGTAACACAGCAGCTCGAAATTCAAAGAGGTCTGCTTCTTCAGCTCGTTCGACTCCTCCAGATGGAAAAGGATCCAAGACAGATTGTACAACTGTTGAGAATCGATAATCGTCAAGTTTGGTTATACTGAGAGCATCCAAGACCAATCTGTGTAAGGAGGCAAGAAATCAGCTTATGCTATGGATAAATGTGTCATGATTCAGATGCACAAATCAAACCATTTGTACGTACGTGTGTCCTATTGGGGACACTAGACATAACGCGGCAAGCACTTCTGCGACCATAGACCTCATTTTGAGGTTGATGCGACTTTGCCGATGGTCGCTCATGGGAATACTTGGAGGTTGCAGACATCTCGCCGATTGTACTACAACGCCTCCAGCTGAAGTGACAGCTTCGGACCCTGGTCCGGTATTCAGCAGGATTCGTAGACATCTACAGCAAAAATGATAAATTTGGCTGTTGTTTCCGTATATTCTGGCGTCAAACTACCAAAGCACATACCGAACAGCCTCAAGACGAACTTCGTCCTCAATCAAAATATCTTCCGTAGAGCCCGAAGTCCATCCCATAGATGCAGCAACACTAGCAAGACCAGCGAAACGCGTCCCAAGCGTCTTGTTTAACTGTCGATTGGAACGATATCGATCATTCTGATTTTCTCTACACCGTTGTAATGCACATTCGAGTGCTTCAGCTCCACGTAATGGACCTCGTTCGGGATGCTCTCCAGCTCTCGTATTAACGAATTCTGTCATCCAAGCATTTGGGGCAGTTGACAAGGTTACTCTCAGAGCGGTCAAATGACGTGCTAGAGATTTGAGAGGGGTCGATTTGTTGACGAGTCTTTCGATATACCAGGCTGGACCACGTTCTTCAACTGGTGCTGGTCCATGATGAGCGGGTGGAATGGCTACTGGTGTTGGTCCACGTTTTCCTGATGACACGTCATCAAGTGAATCTTGAAGCTCCCGGAGCTGTCGATCTCGAAATTGTTTTATGAAGGCTGGATGAAAAGTGGCCGTTAGCGAGAGGAAGCAACACACAAAATGTATGCATTAGTGCTCACATTTCTTTCGGGAGTACTCCAAGTTTTCCATGTTGACTCTACGTGGACCACGGATATCCAATTCGGTCTGCAGAAACAACGTATTGAGAATCGTTTCTGAAAAACTGTGAAAAGAAACTTTACCAGAACTGATTGAAACACTCTATCCAGTTCTTCGCCATCCATTGTGTCGATCTCTCTATCAGTCGGCGGTCTTATAGACTTGATAGAAGGCCTTTGTCTAGGCTCTTTAACGGCATTGACGCCAGACCACGCAGCCTCTATATCCATGCCCGTTACTTGCTCAAGCATAGGCCCAACAGTAGCAAAAGCTAGAGCTGAAGCAGGTCCAACTGTTGCCTTTGCACTTGAAAGAAACGCTGATAGAGCCATTGTTAAGCCGTAGACACCCGATGGTGTTAGAGTCTGTATGGTAGCTTCCGTGCTGTGTGTTATGACGTGGTATATGTCACGATTGGGTAGTATGAATTCCTTGTCTGCAAGAATTAACGGAAAGCTTCAGTCGAAAAGCAAACATTCTTTCGTTGCGTTTACACTTACCGGTCAGCAATCTCGCTTCTCCTGTACGTAGTTTGACTTCCTTTAACAGGTATCCATTTGGGTATGGATTTCGAACTCGAAACAAATCCAGGATCGACTACCGTTGAGAAATGTTTATGAGAGAGATACCCTTGAATGCAGTAAGATTGCATCCCTTACAATAATAACTTGTCTAGCAGACACATTTGGCCCGGCATGAATAGCAAACGTTGGCCTGCCGTCCATTGTAATTGAAACTCGACCTCCCTCTGCTGCAGGTGGTAGTCCTTGCGATGTACACGCCGAACCCAGAATTACTTCATCGCATATTTCAGGCACGTCTAAGATAGAAAATAACGAGCGGACTTGAGCTCTCTTACGGCTCAAAAGTTCAAACCTTGAACTTAGCATACCTTCGAACGCAACTCGTACAGCAATTGCTGGTATGATCAATCGTAAAGTAGGCAGCGGGCCATCTTTAGGTCCAAATGAGTCACGTGCAGAGTCTCTTTCGGAGGTTGGCGGTTGTGGTGGTCCACGTAGAAATCGATGAATCCTGGAATTTAGAGGAATTGGTTGATCTAAAGGGTGGTTTGGAGGTACAGATCAGTCATGGATTCTTCAAAGATGCATGTTTTCAGATGTAAATAACCGATATTCGACCTTCTTCCGCTATGGCCTTGAGCTCTTCCAATGTAATAGCTGTTTGGTGCGAAATGTGTGCAATTAGTTGACTTTCAGGCGATCAGAAGAGGGAAACGGAACCGCAACTTACGAGCATGAGTCTGAAGTCTATTCTGAGGCTTTCGGTAAGTTAGTCTACACTCTTGGAGCGTGGCTTGAGTCGATCCCAAAGTTGCCTTGATTTCAGGCCAAATTGTCTTGACTAGATCTTGAGCCGTAGTGCTCCGCTCGATAGATGCAGGCCTAAGTATTCCTGTTGGCAGAATGACTTGCACGAAATCTACAGACATTTGCCCGCTGCCAATGATCCTACGTACTGATGCATATTCAAGCAAGGACAGGACAGGTCGCGCCGAAAAGTGAGCCGGAAAGTGACTTGCAGAGTATGAGAAAGTGAGTCAAACCGCGTACTTCATAAATTACTATCGTTTTCAAGCTTCAAATCGCGTTAATGAGGTCTCAATGTGTTGCAATAACCTTCCTCATGAAACCATTGAAGTTTGGAAATTTTAGAAACCATCTAGTTCTAGCGGCGGGGATGTCAGCTCATTAAAAAGAGGGACCGTAACCAAGCTGCAAGTTAAGGATTGTCGCTGATCTATTCTTCCATTTCACGAAACATGAGCAATTGGCCTGTGGGAGAGGATCTAGATGAAATCGCGGACACTGTGGAAGAAACACCATTGTTAATACAAGATCAGCCTCTCAATGTACAAAGGCAAGCTATATTCATCTTTCCACGTCGTTTATGCTGTCTTTGAACGCTTATGATCGTGCAACATTCCCTTCATTAATTAACATCAACCACGGGTTGTCTTTTTTGTAGAGCTTTGAGGAAATCATTCCAAGTTCGAGCTGTTGTTCGAAAGACACTAAGTTATCAAAAGAGACAATGGTTTACAAATATCGTTTGTGTCTCGTAAGTCATTTGAATCATCGCAGTGGTTTGGAGCAGATCAGGGAATACTCACCACCAGCACGCATTCGATCTAGTGCTTGTCCTATGATGATGATTCTCGTATCTGCCATGCTGGCCTCATATTTAAATGGTTTATTGAAAGCTGCTCTTGACAATGATGGTGAGATCCGGTTTAAACGATTCTGTGAACCAACCTTCTGAGTCAACGACGAGCTCGACTTCTAACACAGCTACTTCTTATAGTCTTATTATTATGCTCAAATGTGCCTTCCATGACAGAAGACAACTTCCCATATATCAATCCTCGAGATGAGAATGTACCGATATTACCTCCCGAATCAGCCCCAGGTGCCAAGTCGCCTGTCAAACACGTAAATTTCCAAATCGAAACAACCGAATTTACTTCCGGTATTGGACTCCCGCAGCCGTGTGTATATTGGTTTGGTGGAAACTATCCTTACTCGGAGCCATACGCAAGGAAACCAGATTTGGCCTTTGGGTTTTCTGATAGAGACACGTAAGAGCGTGTTTGATTACAGAGCTTGCTATTTTCGTGAAGCTCACAGTCACGTAATTCTTGGATATTCAGGACATTCATACCACAACCCATCAACGGTTGGTTTGGCACCTTCACATCAGCTATAGTACAATATCTTATAGAAACTCAAGTCCGACCTTGGTTCTTCTATGATTACTCAGACGAATTCAATCCTCAGTGGTTGGGTAAACGTGTAGAAGCAGATCCGATATCTCCCTTCAAGATACCCAGTCAACGGTTTAGATTTGCAAACCAGAGTACTGGTATTCTAGATACCATCGAAACTCGGTATTACGTTGAAGCGGATCTTCTGAATGGATCTATTCCTACTGGCGATGACGATGGTGGTGGATTGTGGAGTCGTGATGATCCTGGTGAAAAGTATAAGGTCTTTAAAGCAGTCCCATTCTTTGAAAAGGTAACCAGGCTTTGCTTGCAGAAAATCTGGGAGGATCCCCCCTGGCTCCTGGTGCTCCTCACTCACACAGTTTATCGCTTTAGAGCAAAGTTGCCACGTTGGACGTCATGATTGCGGACAGGATTCAAAAGTAAAGTCTCAAAGATTTCACGAATATTGCGTTTTCAATACCAACAGTCCTTTTAAATTTGATAGATTACTTGCCGAACTGGCCAAGATTGATAAGCACATTTTATTCAACACTCAGCCAAGTCAGTCTGAAGTTGCTCAGTATCTGATAAATGTATCGGCGATAACAAAGGACATGCCATTTGGAGGTCTGAGCACCTTTGAATCTCCCAACCACAAAACCCATCAAACTAATCACATCCTCCCGCTGTTTAGGTATCCACTTTGAGGCAGTCGATCAGATCGATTCGACGCGTCTCTTCTACAACTATACTCTATATATTGGAAAGGATCGTCGTCTATCGGCAGCCTTCGGATATCCAAGACCAGGGTTTCGGCAATTTGTGACGCAGGCTGAAATGTCGAATGCTATTTGTAAGCATGATTGTCAAAGATCGTCTCATTGATGCCGATAGTTCTAAACCGAACAATTGCTTAGTACGATTCAGTAATCCCAAACTTGGAGCGCATTCAATCACTCAAGGTGTCAGGGTAGGCAGTTTCCTGGTAACCATTGGGTCTTTTTGCCAGCTCTAATAATCGTTCACTTAGGCATTCCCTCAACTGGTGGAAACTCGAATCAACTTGCCATTTGGAACAGTCCTAGGACGGCTCTTGTATCCGTTTGGAGGTGAGGTCGCAACGTTTTACTTGCTTTTGTGTCGCTTTAACTTTGCTCGTTTCTCGTAGTGTCGTTTCTGCTGCCAATTTTTGTCATTGTGAGCTAGCTCGCTTGGTCCAAATCGACTTTGTCTCCTGACAACGATACTTACACACTTTTGTCTCAACAGACGTTGGTTCGAGAGAAAGAAGAACGGATTCTCATGATGATGCGCATGGTTCGTCGAAAATGTCGAAAAAATAGGAACTACGTTATAGCAAAGCTTCTCATTTCTTTTTGCCCTTCAACTAGAATGGGTTAAAAATGTGGATCTACTACTTTGCTCATTATCTGCATTTCTATTCTCTCCATACTATCTCCAGCTTGGTGTTTATCATTGCTGGCAAAATCTCAGGAACAGAGTTCTTTAGTCTCACAAGTTGGTGGGCTCTACTGGTGGTCTTCTTTGTATGGGGGTTTGCACAGGTTGCTTGTGCCTTCTTGTTGTCTGCTTTCTTCAACAGGAGTCGGATTGCTTTAGGTAAGAACCACAAAATCATGAAGCCATTGTGATGACAAAAAGGAGCTCATGTTCACTTTTATCTCAATAGTGTTGACATTCTTGATTGTCGTTTGCGGGGTCATGGTCTCTATCGCTACTTATCAGATTGCTCTTGATGGTCCTCCGCCAGGATATCTGCTGTGGTAATTACAAAATTAAAGGGGCTTGTTTGCGTTCTCAAAAGAAGCTTAATGTTCATTCCATTTTTAGGCCTCCATTTGCATTCTAGTATGATCAAGACCCTTGACATCCAATGAGTCGCTTTTTATGGAGCTCACCTTCTGCCTTTCTAGTTGGCTATTGGCTTCCATGAATGAGGCTTCTATGTCACCGACGAGAACAACGGTGAGGGCCAACAAAGACATCTCACTACTCCTGGATTTCTCTGACATTTAAGAAAATCTTAGGCATACACACTTGGGATGATTCGGCCTGGTGATCCAGTATTTACTTGTCTCATGTATTTGGTGGTGGAATCTGTCATATTTCTCGCATTGGCAGCATATCTTCAGCTAGTTTTGCCAAGTGAATTTGGTGTGCAAAAGTCGTGGAAATTTCCATATGACGACTTTTGTAAATGGTTGAAACGTAGAAGACGTCGTCGTAACAAGGGCAAGGTGAGATCGAATGTCGGTGTAAATGACATTCATCCAACTTAAGCCGTCTTGTTTTCTCTTCGCTACTGCCAGGAGCCACTCGCATCAGGAGAACGCTCCTCTTCAGTAACATCAATGAATGCATTCACACCGACGCAGTCGCTCATAGATCTTGGAAACATGGAAGACGAATCAGTGAGAATTGAACGGGCTCGTGTCTTGAATGGATTGTTTGATCCAACATCTCCTATCGTCATGGCCGGTATGCGAAAAGTATACCCAGCTACTGATGGTAGAGTGCCCAAGATTGCTGTTGCGGATGTCACTTTTGCTGTTGAAGAAGGAACCTGTTTTGGATTGCTGGGTATGCTTCCGGTGAATCCATGCACTTTTTTGGTGAAAGTCTAACATCTTCATTTTCGACTCAAATGCAGGACAAAATGGAGCAGGTATTAACTGAGAGTCACTTACACTCTCAAAGCTCAAGCATAACGCTCATCTTCTCACGAAAACTTAGGTAAAACATCGCTCATCTCCATCTTGACTGGCTTGCGAGATGCTACATCAGGAAGAGCATCTATTGCTGGATTCGACATATCTACGCAGATGAAATACTGCTTCAGGTCTATGGGCATATGTCCTCAACATGACATCTTATGGGAGGACTTGTCCTGCAAAGAACATCTGATGTTTTATGCTCGACTGAAGGTCGGCTTATTGTTGAGGCAGTTCTTTTTGGTCCCATCCTCCCTTGACACTGAATCCATTTAGGGAGTTCCACCAGAAAAAGAAGCAGAGACAGTATTAGCGTCTCTGAAAAAGGTGAAACTCGAATCACAAGCCAATAAACTAAGTCAAAAACTGTCTGGTGGTGAACGACGAAGACTCAGTCTTGCTATCTCATTGGTTGGAGATCCTGGAGTCGTGTTTCTGGTATGTGTCGCAGTGCGAAAAAAGATAATGAAGATTTGTATAAGAAATTTATGCTCTATTTCTCAACAACACAATGATAGGACGAGCCCAGTACTGGTCTTGATGTTGACGCGAAGCGAGGGCTCTGGGAAATCATAGATCAAGCTCGGAGTGGCAGGACCATAGTGCTGGTAGGTTTCGTTTACCACTTGGGTTGCTTGCTGGCTTCGTTATTTAAAGAGTGTGTAACCATCCAATCTCTCTAGACCACACACAGGTATCTCTGATAACACTACGCATGCCATGATTTCTTGCTCACACGTGTTTTTTTTGCAGTATGGAAGAAGCCGAGGTGTTGTGCCAAAGAATTGGCATCATGACTTCAGGCATCTTGAGGTGTATTGGTACACCAGCAGAACTGAAGAAACGTTATGGTGCTGGATTCCGGTTACAATTTACATCGAATGCTGGACAAGGAATGAGACGTGCCAAAAGGTATTCATCTATTACTCCTCCTTTTTTCGTTTCGCTTACCATTTCGTCATCACATTCAGATTTGTGGAATCTATACTACCAGCAGGCTTCTCAATTAGTGAATCATTTACAACGAGTGCAGTATACGAGTTTCCTACTGAAAAAGTTGGTGTTTTGGGCCGTATATTCTCAGAATTGGAGGCTGGAGCTTCTTCGAATGCAGTATTGGAATGGGGAATATCTCAGACAACGTTGGACGAGGTGTTTACGCGGGTGACGTTTGAAGATCAATGTGATTGAAAAAGCTCTGTGTTTTCAAGTAGTAAACGGCTTTTTTGGCTGGTGCTCATTGGGTTTGTTTATATTATTGGAATGAGAATAGCATCAGTTTATGTATCAATCGCACTGGTTCATGATATTTCTCACTTTTGCTTGTAAGAGATGAAGTTATCACAAGAACAGCGGTTTTACACATATCGTCTGCGTCTTGTAAATCAGTTTGCCCTCTGTCGTCATTCAGTGAGGTTCATGAAATCTTCACCACACCGCTTAGCAGAATGGTGCAAGGCGTATCATGATAAGTCTTGCGCCTTTAACGACATACCGTCTGGGTCTTTGGACATCACAAAATAATACGTCTAGTTACCAAATTCGTCAATGGTATCGCTGGAATATAAACACACATCCTGTATCATTATTTTCCACAAAGTTGTACAATGCAGATTCAGTCCAGATGCTAGAGGCAACTACAGTTTCTAGTACATGATCATGCTTGCGAAGACGGTGTTTGAAGTTTGTGAAGTTGTTGGTGTTTGAGTTCGATAGATTGGGGTTGAATCTCAACAGTACAATAGGAACGAGCGAGAGCATCTTGTGAGTATAGTAATATTCACGGGCTGATGGAGATGGAGGACCAAACATCTGAGTTGACGAAGGGAAACGCATGAATCTGTTGAATATGTCCACTACAACCTAAGGGACTCAGCAAGATGAGTCGTCAAAGCAAAGGAAATAGAAAGACACGGTTTAAACTGTTAATATTCCTCGCTCGCCCTCTTTGCCCTATATGTATGAGAACTTTCTCTTTCAAATATCCTTGTGCAGAAAACTGCGAATTCATCACTTTGCCGTGCTCAGGAAGGAAGCAGAGGCCCGCCAAAAGCAATATCTCATCTATTGTCACGTGAATATACGCGTCATAATAGTTTCTTTCCTTGGACACTGTTCCATCTGCGCTCTTGAGAGTAATTAATAGCGCCTTCGCTTCACATGACTTCCAACATCGTTCGCAACAAGATCTCTGAGGGAAGGAGACGCAGAAGAACCAAGAGACACATCTCACTGCGGAATGGTGAGTACAGTGCTTACATTGATCATTCAAGCCCCCGATGGCTCCAGATCTAGAGATATTCTAACAACCACACAACTACCAATTTTCAGTTGCCGCCTTTAACGAATCCGAGGGAAGGGGCCTCAGAAACAGCTCTAGTCTATCTGAACAGGTGGATGCATTGCATTCAAGGTTAACTCAAAACGTCTTTGGCCTCAGATCTATGGATATTCTAACAGTTTTGTTTACACATGCTGGTTGCCGCTTCTAGGAGTTCCCAGCACAACTGCCAGGAAACCCACAATATCTGATGAGGCCGCGAAGCCATCCACAGCTGACGTCCACGTTTTCGGTATGCTCCAATGTCTCATTGTTATTGTATTAGGTTGTGCTCTGTTGTTGCATTTTTGACTATGATGCTCATTCGATCCTATCTCACCCTAGATATGCTTACAAGCAGCCATCTCATCACACTCCAGCAACATCGTGACCCAATCAGGCCTACCGGGTGGCCCATTGGTCGCCATTCGAATTTCGAACCTCCTTCGTCCTCGAGACTGGTTAGCCACACAAGCCAATTGATTTGAGCCAACAGGGCTGCTGAGAAGACCAATAGGCGTCGTCCGTCGCAAACGGCTTGGTGCCCGAGACTGATTGGGAAGCGTGTCTAGAGATTTGATGTGTTGGTGCTCGCTCGCGGCCTGCTACAAGGTCAAGTTCAAGTTACGAAGACGTGAGGGACAAGGAAAATGCTACTGTTGGGTATCACCATTGTTGAGAATAGAGCCCCGACCTGGCCAGTTTACTAGGGCCTCTCCCAGGTCTGGGCCATCCAAATAGCAAGTCTTGTCTTACACATCGGATGGACATCCCTTCCTCGTGCAGGCTGGGACTTCTGTGTGGATCGACGTGCCAACTGGTACTCTCATCTCAGTGAGCTTGCATTCGGTTTGCTCCATTAAATACGACCAACAATACGTCCAAAGGCAGTTATGGAATCTACAGAGTTTGATGTATGGGTGGAAAAAGGATGATTCTGCAGAGCATTTGGGTGACCTGCTAGCGGCTCTTGGGGAAGAAAATTGGTAAGGAGTCATTCACTCAAATGTCAGTGGTCAAAATAGCTCACATTCTCTCATACTGCATACCATCAGAGAGATGAGTCTGGGGAGAACTTGTATGAAATGTGGTAGAAAGGTGCTACTTGTGAGATTGGACGTGTTCGCGGTAGCTGTATAGCGTGAAATAAAGGTGGTTTACAGAGAGAACTCATGTGATCTTTTCGCGTTGAAACTTTCCAAAAAGCAAATTTCGAAATTCATAATTATCATTCAAGTCATTTTGTCTTCGCTTCTATCTCCTTGCCTTCACTAGTGCGTTTTATGCCAAAAAAATCTTGTAGTCTTGTAGTAATCTAACACATGCCAAAGCCCAAAGGCACCAGATTCTCCGAAGCAGTACTCGATTGTATTGACTTTAAATCACTGTTACAATTCTCTACTCTACTACTACCATTCACTAATTGCTCTGTCAACATAGAACTAACTCATCATCTCCCATTTTTTGTTCATCCAAACTTCCTTGCATCTCCTCCTCCCACTACAACAATCCCTGTCCTTAGATATCCAGATTCACAAACTCAACCTGCTTCCGAATCCCAACCACTCTACTCTCCACATTCTCCCACCACACACCTTCGCTAGCACAACTATCTCTCAACTTTTCCAATCCAGATTGTTTGGCTTCTGATTCAGCCATCATACCCAAGAATTGTATCTTGAATGTTCCTAATGATGCCCGTAGGGATTTGCGCATGGCGTTGGCTAGCCTTGCGGAATGCGTATTGACGAAGTTGATGTGGTTGAAATGAGAGCGAAGCTTGCGTGATATTTTACGGTCAATGGTTTTCGGCAGGCTACTTAGCATATACACCAAGTATCCGATACCTATTGGGTATAGTTGTCGTTTAGATATTTGGAATCTGACGTGTGCAAAAAATAAACGCCGACACTCTGCATCCAGCGATTTGACAGGCAAAACTCCTCTGCTAGAAGTCATATCAAGCTTACCACTAGCCGTGATAGCAGCGAATCCAATCCTAACAGTATTAGCAAATCCAATAGAAGACCCAACTCTAAACAGCCCATGAGCAATCCTCCATTGCATACCAGCATATCCAACAGCACCTAAAGCAACAGCTATTGTCCCAGGCACATATTCCTTAACCAACTCGTTTATAGCAATAGGCTCAAAGAAATCCGTAGAGTCCAATACGAGGGAATTTCCACGAGTAGCAGCTAGAGTTGACATGCCAGCTTCCTCATCGAATATCTGGCGTATGACATCTTCATCTAGAGGTGGTAGATTCGGTAGTGCCATTGCAGCAGCATTATATACAGATGATGCTCTGTCTAGTGCATCATTTCGTGCCTTTATCTCGCACCGTCTAACTTGATCGGTAGATAGTTTTAAGACACATCGCACGAGTTCTCGACCATACTGGTATGCGTATAGGAAGCCTGGATACTCGAGGTGAGGTACTAGGTGGTCTATATTATCGGGTGAGATGGAATCTACGAGGTTCTTGAGTAGCAGAGTGGCATTATTCTGCACTTGTTCCGAAGCAGCATCGATCATGACATCGAGAGAGTCTAAGAGCTTTGTCTTTACATCCTTCATACTAGTATAAGCTGGTTCAGCTTGCTTTAGCTCCACGGTCATCTTTTTTGCTCGAGTCTTTAAGATTGATGCGGTATAACTCGAGAATGTATACATGTCTGATAATAGATTGACCATGTATTGCTTGGCTGGAGCTAGTTTCGATCGAGCTCGCTTCTCGAGTATGAAGGTGCGAAGACGAGCTTCCAGTTTCTCAAATTCGCCTAATAGGATTGGATCTGGATTCGGTATCAGCCTTTGCTTGGCAGATACGAAGTGGACTAGCGATTCTGCATCTTCGTATGTTGATGGTGATATTTGGCGAATCTGGTCGAGGACGTCTCGACGACACCTGTCCTTTTTCTCGATCTGGTCAAACCTATTTACGACTATAAAGACATATGCCTTTTCTTTACCAGCATTCGACAAGAACTCTCGAGCCTATATTGTGAGTGTAAAAAATGTGTGAGTTCAGAACATCGATAGCAAAAAAGCCAGAAAGCAGAATATGAATATTGCTCAACGGCGTAATGCCAACACAACCATCAACTCAAACGAGAACCTACGGAGAGTGTAAAGTGATTCTCAGCATTGACCATGAAAACAATGACATCTATTTCCTCTTGGCGAGAAAAGAGAGCCGTGGTCTTCATCTGGTCAATGTTCAGACCAGGAGAGTCGATCAATGATATATCGACCAGACCATTATGTAGTAACGAGTCGGACGATTCTCTACGATCTCGTACATAGGCTCGTAGCAGTCCAAAGCCTTGGGTATTATTCTCTACCAGCTCTTCGAGCTGTTTCAAGTCAAACCGTTCATACGTGTGAGGATCGTCTACACGGTATGGTTCTATGTCGTGGATGCCATGGACTTCTTCTATACCACGATTCTGGTTTGCGTCGATTACCTCACAGAAGACGGCGGTACATGGTTGCTGGTCGTGTGGTACGACCTGTCGTTTCAGCATAGCGTTTATGAAGGTTGATTTGCCAGCATTCAAGTCTCCTGTGACGAGCAGCTTTGATCTTGTATCCAGAATTCGAGCCTTTAATTTATCTAGATGGGCCAGACTAGCAGCTATTTCACCCATCATGACATCGTACGAAATGGCGTTGGAGTCGTTACTGGTGTTGGTATCAGGGGAGGCCGAGTATGGATTTTGGATTATATTATAAGCTCGATCGTCCAGTTCAAAGACCTTGAGCTTTTCGTAAGCGTGTTCTGCTATATTCGGTAGTCTGACTGGAGTAGTTGGATGTGATGGACTGGAAGCTCCAGACTTTGGAGTACTTGATTCGTCGTAGGAAGCATATCTCCTCATGGAAACCGGCCTTGTCCTGATGGCAGATGGAGGACAGTAGAAGGTATGGTGGTGACTATTGCTATTACTATTGGTGATGTTCGTGTTGATTGTCATGGTGGTGGTGGGAATAGCACCAGTGTTCTCACTAGTGCCATCCGCTGCTGGTGGTATAGAGGATGATTCGTTCATGATATGGACGAGTAACGACTTGATCAAGTCCATGTAGACCAATAGCTGAGACTTAGCCTGTACAAAGTGAGCTTCCGAATCAGCTAGGTTTGGTGTTGTTGATGTTGGCATAGACGATAGTTTTTTATGGTCGGTTGACGATGGCGTCAAGCCGGGCTTGGTGGCAGCAGTATCGCGAAGCATGATTTGAGTTCTAATTGAGAAGTTCCGTTGACTGTAGGATGTCATTTTTGGTTGTGGTTATGGTTAGTAAAAGAGTCATCTAGTCATGTGCGAACAGAAGATTGGAGTCCAGTAATAGTTGTGATATGGGCTTTACCTGCTGGTAATGCGTCCTCTCCAAGAAGATCTATATTCTTATGTCTAGTAAGTCTGTGCTGAATGGAAACAAGCAAAGTGTGTTTTCGGCAGGCAAAAATTCTGGGGATGACACGTCACTTTCACATCAACGAACTACGGATCATATAGATCTTCTGCGGTTCCTATACCTCAAACCGAGTAAAGATACCTTGTACTCGTTCCTGTGTTGGGCAGAGGTCAACTGCAAATATCGCAATGTCCTTCCTTCCTCCAACACAACTCTGCACGCACGTTCTTGATAGATTTTAACAGTGTAGATACGCGATTCTATACATAAAACACGTAACTACCGTGCAAAAGCACATTAGGAAGCTGTTCTTCCTCCTTCAACCCTTCAATCCATAGTTTGATCCATTGCAGCCGAGGACCATGCACAGCGTATCCAATAGTAGCGTGCTGCATCAGCAGCTGCAGATCGCCCAGGCCAAAATAGTCGCCCTCCAACGAGAAATCGGCAACCTCGCCAACAATAATTACATCCCTGAAGAGCACGACGACAATCAACACGACGACGACCAAGACGACGACCACGAACACGACCATACAGATGCTCATAATAGGCAACACCACATGTCGGAAGATGTAGATGCTAGTAGAACTATGATGGTCACCACTGCTACCACAATCAGCACCAATAACAGTCCAACTCATATCAATGGTCGAAAGTCTCCTGCTGCAATATTACGAGACGACGATATATCCAGTGGTGAGTGTACAATCATTTATTGAGCATTATCTACATGTTATACTGGTAGTCGCCACTCGCTTGTTGGACAACTGGCATGCACACGTTTACTCACACTTCCCATAAACTTATCGCAGAGGTCGCTGCTGCTACCGACGAGTTATTGACTAGGATACGTGATCCAAATGAGCTGCTGCAAGTTCGGCTCGAATGCATGAACTCTATCGCAAAGCTCATCAAAAATGTCCACCAAGGTGCTATTTCTACTCCTGTTCCTGTAATAGCTATCCTCAAAAGGTACTTTTCACTCTCGTTTATGGTTGCCAACGTCGCCGTCCTTATGGATCATTGCTTCAACATCTTTCGTGACGTTTTCGCAGCCCGGTGCTCATTTGATCTCACAAGTCCTCCCTTTCACAGTTTACGAATAGCTCTCGTCGATACCTCAAAGGATGTCCGATCCCATGTATTCAGAGTCCTACGACATATATCTCTCGATTCAGACATGGTGCAATCCATGTTAGATATACATCTGGACCTCTTTATAGTCAGAACCTTGACTCGCGATCAGCGATACGATGCTGAACGGGAGCAAGCTCTGAAACTTATCAGAGGCTGGATTGATGCCCCTGGTGGGGCCGCCATACTACCTCAAAGTCTGGTTCGAATGATGGTAGCTCTTGCCGAGCAGACGGATGAAAAATTTAGGACGGTTTGTGCAGAAACCCTTAGTGAATTAGGTAGGCTATTAAAGGAAAATTATTCGGAGGCGTTTAGGGTGACAAACTGATGAAGGTGGAGAGGACAAAGTCACACAGGATCTTTTTCGAAAGGAGGAAAAAAACGACGCGCCCTTCTTTCTTACTCCCAACCATTTCATCTATAGCAATCCGAAATCCTGAACTACTGGCACTATCGGGAGGCTTTAAAGTCCTCATCCAAGTCCTGTTGGAAGGACCACCAGAATTAACAATGGCATTAACTTCGGCTGTCATCCACATACTGGATTCTCAAGTAACGAGAAAGTACCTACGTCCTGCGGTAGAGCTAGAAGCTGTGATATCACACTTCACGGATGTATATTCCAAAGGCCCGGCTCATGACGAGAGACTGAACTCTTGCTCAAGAGTTGTTATCTTCTTGTTGAGAGGGTGGACGGGTAAGAGCTTGATGTCGCTCTTATTAGCATCAATTGGCCTTTTAAAAACGTAAATTGATGAATCTCAAACTGCCCCATTTCTTCCCCTGCTAGGTCTGCTGTATATGTGTATGGATGATAAGAGAGCTATTAGGACTATAGTAGAAGCTTTGCGATTGCCCACTGACGAGACAAGGGTATGGGGATGTTCCAAGTTGCAGTTTCGCGCGGATGCCCTCGCTCACACTTTTTATGTTGTAGAGAATATTACTGGAAATGTACTTTGTAATCTTCCAAGTAGGCCATCCCCGTAAATCGTCAGAATCACCGAAAACTGGCATACCTGGAACGGACGATATACTATCTCGCCTTGGACCTTCACCTCGTTTCCATGGCCGTACAAACCTCATAGACCAATTCGTAGCAGTCCTACTACTCGTATTCATTGATGCTGGACTACTGGAAGCTCTAGTAGAACTAGCTCAATGTGGTAGTAATAAGATTGTTGTGTCAAAGGCTACGCAGCTTATAGGAGAGTTGATTGATTTGGGAAATCGGTTGCTTCCTTTACAATTTGGTGCTAAGATACAGGTAATTAGTGGTAATTTCATTCTTTAGCGCACATATGCTGAGGTTCCTGATGATGATTTCTCGCTGTAGTCACTGCCGTCTCTCTTCAAGTTGGCATCCAACTTTCAAGATCCATCTCAGAGACATACGGCTGCCGTCGCTCTAGCTCATATCGACAATATTCACATGACCAAGGATAAGCTTATATCTTCGGTGCTGAATAGTGAATCTGCGAATCAGTGAGTTTGTCTATCTTTCTGTAACTTCCCATGTTTTTGTCGCCATACGATGTTTATATGTTTCTGTCTTTTCAAAGGATTACTGAAGGCCATCTAGTTTATGGACGAGTCATTTCAAACCGAAATGAAAAAGTACAAAGACAAGTCGATCATGTCAAGATTCGGATTGGAATGCAAATTGATGATATGCATTTCAAAAATTTGTTGGCTGATACTCAGGTACGCACAAAAAAGTTATGATGGAAACACTATCTTCATGTCCTCGCCAACCTATCTTCCCTTTCCTTTTACAACCACTACTGCCAAACAGCTCTCAGCAAACGAACAAGGGCTGACCAAAGACTACACAAAGTGGAATTGGGATGCCATACTCGAACTACTACAAGGCCCACTTCTCAATCCGAAACGTTTAGACGAAGCGACGAAAAACACTAAATTTATTAAACGTCTCTTGGCCTTTTACCGACCTCAAAATCACCAATTCTCAGATATCCGTAAAAACAAGGCCAATACCAAATATGTGAGAATTGGATGTGAGCTTCTCAAGACTCTAGTAGCTTCTCCTGAAGGTGTTAGGATATTGAGTGAGAATAAGCTTCTGGAGCAGATTGCAGAGTGTTTAGCTCAACTGGATCCGGTAAGACATGTGATTTGGGTCTGATGTGAGCTTCTGACATACGAGTGCGGTCATTTAGTTGATTCATAACCTTTTTTGGTTAGATACAACATGCTGCGATGCCCGGAGAGCACATGTTTTCCAAAGAAAGGATGGAGAAGTACTTGACTGGGGATTACTTTACCATGTTGGCTACTTTGAGTAAGAGTCAGGACGGCGTCAGGTAACCTTTTACAACGTTTTGTAAGACAAAAAAAATCTGGGGTCATGAACTCAGAACACATCCTTTGAATCAGGCTTATGGAACGATTTAAGTTGTATACTATATATTACCATCTGACTGAACTTCGCAGTCGTGATGATTTGATTCGGACCATCATTGAGAGTATGGATTACAACTTGTAAGTGCTGGCAGTACAATCTTTTTTGAGATGTTGTTGTCGAACTGACTGCATTGTTTTCTGTCCTTTGCAGTGATGGACATCCTCGTGTTATACTGTCCAAAGTGATGACGTCGGCCTATAAGGTGCGTATCACTGTCTTCAGATGAATCCGTCAATGTTTCATCAGCACAAAATTAACGCCATATATTCATAGCACATTCGATTATTTGCGACAAATCACCTACGGTCATTGCTGCGTAGTGGTGTAGTAGACTTCTCAGTTTGGGGTGTTCCTCTACTTGTTACCCAGGTATGGCATTAACTACGAAGTATCAAAGGTATTCAGCGACAAAACCATTGATTATCCATGAACTCGAAATAGCTGTATGATCCTACGCCGGAAGTATGTGAACGAGCTGTAGCTGTTCTAGAGGAAGCCTGTAACGACAGACAGAATCTGGAAGCTGCTGTACGATTACGACCTAGTCTGGATTCGCTAGGAATTGTAGCTCGAGACTTGTTCCTCAGGTAGCCCAATTATAACTGCAGTTGATTTTTTCTGTAGAATCAAACACTAAAATGATATCCTTTGACTCGTATCAGCCTATTGTCGATACCGAGTGGGTTTGCATATTTGAAAGAAGTCGGATATGTAGATCGGGAGATGGACTACTGGTATCAAGTAATAATCGCTTTCTTTGTCCCTTACCTTTTGGGTTGTTTCTCAAATTTTCCGAAATAGGAAGGGAACGAACTATACGTCACACTGTTAGAGGTCTCATTACCTCTAGCTGTATTTGATACATGGAAATCTCCTGCGCCATCCACCGATACATCACCTGCAAGGATGGTCAACCCACCAGATTTGGAACTGGAGGAAATGTATGTTGATGAATATTTATTGCGTGCCTTCTTGATCTTTTTTTTTCCTTGTCATCACCGACATCATGACGTGGAGCTTATAAGAAATGTACTATGCTACTTTGTAGGGAAGGACTAGCGACAGCACGCCCACATTTCTATGGTGAATTGGCCAAGACCAAGGAGGGATGTGCCCTGCTACAGGAAAAAAGGCATTACAAGGAATTCGCAGGCTTCATACGGAAGCATGGATTTGCTACGTATCTGGTACCTGCTGACTTGGTTACGCTGAAGGCAATGCTGTGGGCTATGGTATGATGAGTCAATTCACTTTGAGTTTCGACTTTTGTTTTCGCTCACCCAACACTAAAACAACCTTGACCAATTCTAGGGTAAAATTGGCTCTTCAAAGCTGGGTTTAGCGTTTTTAATTGAAGAGGACATTATCAAGGTCATTGTTGAGATGGCTGAGAAATGTAGTATATTGTCACTTCGAGGGTAAGCGGAAAATGCTTCGTATTTTCACTAACTTTTCTCCCGCGCCTTTTTGCTCAACTGAAATTCCTTTGTATGTCCTCGAATAGAACGGCGTTCTATATCATCGCATTACTGGCAAGGACTCCAGAAGCTGTTGAAATTTTGGAAAAGTACGGTTGGGAAGCCGTTTCCCCTCCAACAACCAATATCTTGAATGGGCTTTGTGTGCCTAGAGATATTTCAAAGTATTTAGTGGTATGTGCACACACCAAAGATACGATTTCTCAAAGACAAGGCATCACGAAGAATCATGCCAGACCCCCATCTCTTACATTAATTTTTTATCGGTAGATTCCGCACTGGTATTATATTGCATCGTGGCCAAGACATATGCTACGAGTGCAAAAAGTATTGGAAATGGGTAATTTTGATTCTGTTGAAGAGGAGGTTCTCAAGAGCATTGGGAATATGAGTAACCATATTTTGGCGAATAATGCTTCCAAGTCATTGTCAAAGTATGTCAGCGTGATCGTGTAGTGGCTCTGTTTTGCAAAGATCGTGACTGACACAAAGTATGCCTCATCTTTTACTCATAGGTTACGACACGACCAATCATCCTATTTCTCAAAAGTCGAATTATACATGCAAGTGATGAGAATGCTGTCATGCTACCATTACCGTTTGACAGCACGCAAATTCTTACAAGAAGTATTCGAACGAATATCCTTCACACCATCAACGCTCGAAGTGCTTGACTCTCTAGCCCCCTTATCTCCCTCCCTAAGTCAAGTATCGAATAGCGCTGATGGTGTTGCTGCACCAACAGACGATTTCTCAGGAGAACAAGATGGTTGGGACGACGCCATATACTCTGCCAACGCCAACATGAGTCCGAATAATAATAGTGGAAGCGGAGTTGCTAATAATGATGGAACTGGTGCTGCTGCTGTCGCTGTGGTTGGAGGAGCTGATCAGGGAGGACAGAAGCAGCAAGGTGGTGGTGGTGGAAAGGCAAATGATAGACCGTTACCTGCTGAATCGAATAGCAAGGATAAGAATGATACGAGGCAGAGTCTGGTACCTCAGATGACTATTCGTGGGTTTGTGGTTGCGTAGAGTTCAGTAGCTATTTGTAATTGTAAAGTGTTAGTTATTGCGTATGTATAGAGTCAGGAAATGGGAAGATGGAGTTGGTTTGGAAGTTCTCTCACCGACATAGTCTTGAGAAGTTCAAGACTATGTTCGGTGTGAATGTCTGTGATCAGTGTGTTATATTCAGATAGAGCAACACTTCTACTCGCCAGCATCACTTTGTTCTCTCTCAACAATCAAGGTGACGAAAAAGGAAATTGGAGACGGTCAGAAACCATCAAACTTGGCAACATCTTGTAGATACAAGTATTGCATCAATTTTTTTCCATGCTCGCAAAATGCATAGTAATGTGATTGCGAGATGATTTGAGCGTGAAAATGTTTGTGTTGTCACAAGTTAATCTTGACGTACAGTCAAATCAAGTCGTTGATGAAGTGCAGTCGCAGTTAGTTTACCGTAATCGCAGTGTATGTATGAGCATGCTGTCCCTTGAATTCTCCTGGTTTCGCTTCATGGTCTGTTAGCGTCCTTCTTGGGTTTGAAACATTGAAACATGCCGTATTTGAAGTGCAGAGCATCATTGAGCCATTCCCAAAACTTCCTAATATATGCGAAGAGCGAGGCCGTCCTCATGCTGCCATTTCCACCTAACACCCCGTGAATCATCTAACAGCTGTGATGGTCTCGCTACTCTAAACTCTATACCAACATCCAGTTTCTCAGCAGAAGAACAAGGAAGCTGGAGTGAGTACATCAGCCAAAGCCATTCTCTGCATAATATATTGAAAATGGCGTTGCTAGCAATGGTGGAACTGGTGTTGGTGTTGGCGTTGTGGCTAGAGGAGAGCTGATGAGGGACAGCAGACAGAGTTGCACGGAGCTAGCTGGTGAATGAGAAAGCGTTAACAGCACATGAAGGTACATGACAGACCGTGACTTGCCGGCGCTTCATCGAAAAAAAGGATTAGAATGATAGTGGCCTGGGCCGAATGCTCCAATGTTGCTTGAGCTAGGAGATTGGAATGTAGGCAGTTTCGCCCAACTTCTGGCCCAAGGTTTTGCAAGACGTTATTAAATATTGAATCACTCCATACGCTTAATTCTTGATTCTTAAATGTTGGATCAACTTTTCAGATCAATAGTTAATATTACATATATTGCCCATTTTAATCCAAATGTCGACCAGCACACTCTTCATCAGACTCTCCAGACCATTTTTACAAGTCTAAAACATACTCTGAACATTTCGGGCAAGGTCCATGCTGCAGCACAACACCTCTGAGAAGCATGCCAGTTATCCCGGACCCTTTTACTTTACGTTCTACTGACGTAGGTGGTGGTGGCTGTTGCACTTGTTTCCTAGATGGTGTAGTTTGCGGTATTGTATCTCGTTCATCGTATCCTTGTTGCAGTTGAGATTGTTGCTTCTTGGTATTTTTGTTGGTGATGAATCTGTCTGGTGTTGGTGATAGGATTGCTGAAGTAGCCAATGATTCAGCTATTTCCTGTCCCGAGGTTCTGTTCACGCGAGAAACAAGCCTGTCCATCTGGTCTTGCAGTGCCCTGATTTGCAGAAGGATAGAGAGGAGGAGGGAGGGTTGTAAGTACACTGGGGAATTAGAAAGTGCAAGCATTCTTGTTTCTTTGCTGTCTCATAATATCGAAAAATGCCGAAACCACCAAACTCACTTTCTCTCTTGATGATATAAGCTAATATAATCAGATACCACATCAACTGTGCGGATAAAGAAACAATGTGTGAGAAACTTCATCATCGTGAGAGGGGGAAAACCCAAAATGTCCTTCTGAATTACCTTCAGCAGATAACAGCGTATTAATCCTCCTCTCTTCAGCCAAAGCACCTTCAGCATTTCTACATCGTCTCTCCAATTCACCTAATCGAGACCGCAAACCCTCTCCATCATTATACAATGCAACCAGCTTTTGTTGCTGCGAATGATACTGCTTTTCGTATTGTTGTATCAGGAGTGCTGTGTCACCGTCAGATGCACCATTGCCACTATTACTCCTACCATTCTCTTGGTGCACAGGCGTCATTATAGATGATGGTAGTATTGGTATGGGTATTGGATCTGTTTGCTGTTCTATACTAGTCATTGTCGGTATAGCAGCACTGGTAGTCTGTATGTTTTGACTGCTACCGCTACTAGTACCACTGTTATTACTATTACTTGTATTGGGTACTGGTGATGATGGTTGAGTGTTTTGAGCACTGCTCGTTCTGTCTTCATCTGAATCCACACCAGAATCGGTTTCTTTGGAAGCCATTTCACGTAATTGTTCACGTAGTGTCGAATTCTCTACACGGGCGGCGTCTAATTCTTCTCGTGTCCTCATTAAAGTAGTTCGTAGATTCAAGATATTTAGAGCTTCTGGCGGTGTTGCAATTGTTGACGTAGGATTTGTATCGATGATGGATTGTAGTCGCTATGCAGATGAGGAAAACGTGAGACTGGAAACACATACAAATGCATGGAGTACGTTCTTTCCAACCCACTTCATGCCTTTCATACCTGTAATTCAGACTGATACCTTCCAATATCAGCTTGATACTGAGCAATCACTTCAGATTGCTTTTCTATCTCTTCTGTCTGTTGCTGCTGATGTATTTGCTGATTCTGCAGCGTCTGACTTTGCTGATGACTCTGTTGATTTGACTCGCCTACAACAGGAGTAGTCACCGCTACTCTCCTCCTCTCCATATCTAAGGCATCAGCAAGACCAGCTTTCTGATTCGACAATTCTATGATCCTCTCACGTAATTCAGCCAGCTGCTGAATCAATTTCTTATTCTCCACCACCAATCTACTGGTTCTCTCATTGGAAGCTTGGAAAGCTTCAGACTGTCGTTGGGCCTTTTCTATCTCGGTCTTTTGTGCTTCAATAGCCTTTTGCAGGTCCGCTATACGTTGAGACATGCTTGTTTTTAATGTCTCGGCCTCCTTTAACGATGCATTTAGAGATTGTGTTTTGGTTGTAAGGGATACAGCTTCACGAGCACGTTCAAGGACCTGAGCCGACAGAGTAGATAATTGAGATTCTGCATGGGTTTTAGCAGCTCGTTCGGTCTCTATTTGCGTTGTGTAGGATGATATTGAGGATTCTAGTTCGACCTGTTTACGTTTAGATTCAGCTAGCGATAATGACAATGTTTCAATCATGTCTTGCTTTTCTTCTACTAGTTTTCGGGTATGCTGGAGGTCTTCGTAGACCTTGTCTGTCGAGGTTGGCATTGATGAGGAGGTGGCTGATGCTATAGAAGCTTTCAATTCCTGGATGACTACATCACGACCAGCTAATTGAGCTTGCAAGTCTCTCTTTTCCAGAGACAATCTATCGGCTGTTTTCCTTGACTCTCGTGTCTGAAGCTCCAGCTTTTCGACTCGATTCTTGAGAGACTCTTCTCTGACACGAGCTTCATCCACCTGTTGTCGTAGTACGGCGGATTGATCTGATATTGAGGGTGTTATATGACGTTGCTGCTGTTGTTTTTTTATAGATTCGAGGTCTAGAGCAAGTTGTTCGTTTTCGAATCGTAGTTGAGCACGCTCAGATATCAATAGAGAGATTGTTTCACGCATCGAGCCTACATCAGCGTGATTCTCGGCTCCCTGAATTTGATAGATTCGTGAGTTGCAATACTATGTTGAATCCAAAGGAGCAGAGTGTACATTTCCGTTAGTTGTTGACACGTTTGACGGGCTGTTTTGAGGAGAAGTGGCGTCTGCCACAGATTCACTATATATAAATGTAGACGTGTCAATGAAATGGTCAGCTCTGATAGGAAAATGAGTGTGTGCTCGTACAGTCTCGATGAGAGCAAATCGTGATGTTGTGAATTTTCGAGAGCAGCGACATCGAGACCAGCAGCAGCGGAAGCCGGGTCGTTCGATATTGAGTTTCTGCTTGGATACATGCTTCCGACTGAGGTGGAACTGCTCTTTTGCTGGAATTTGGCAAGCTAGTTTGTCGAAAGTGAAGGAGATTGTTATTACCAGATATACTAGGAGATCATAGCAGATGCAATAATACTGATCGTTTACCTTCTTTTTGGCGGCGAGCAAGAGCTTCTCCCTAGGGTCTGCCATCTGATCTCCTCTTCCCAATCGTTCAGCAAATTGTATGAAACTGCAAGAATGTGCACATGTTGCATTGGGCTAAAGTGAAAAAACCAAGCAGAATAATTTGTAGTTCGGTAATTCACGCGTCAATATGATCGTCCATGCGCTCTCCAAACAGTGTTGATAGTAAATAATACAAGTCTTATGGATCAAGGGGTTGAAGTGTAGTTGTTTGAATTCCCTGCTGTATGTGAGACTAGTATTTGTCGTGACGAAAGAACAGAACCCAAATATTCTCACGTTGATACACGACACTGCCGTTTTTTTCTCTAAGGAGCACCTTCTTCACTCCTTATTCAAACTCAGTCACCCTCCTACACCCAGCGTGAATTGAAAAAACAAGATAATGTATCCAAGCAAGGAGAGTCTAGAAGGACGGCAAGACAAGGTCCTCGCTACATTCAATGCCTTCCTGTCTCTAACAACGCCAAACACGGCTGGTGATGCGTAAGTTGACAATTATGTATTGTTTAGAATATGTTGATCTCTCGTTAACGTACATGTTATTAGGTCTTTGATCCAAGAAAAGGAATCTTCTCTAGATGCTCTACTATCGCTGCTGAATCCGGAATCTGGATCTGCAAAGAACTGGTCTGATGCATGTAAACATGAAACATCACACATTGCACTTCATATCATCATTACCCTGGGACAAACACTCACCGCCACGGTACCATCCATTTGTTAGTAATATGCAAAGCATTTGAATGTATCAAAGTCATGGGTCGTGAAAAGGACGGTTCAGATCCACTCTACACTGATCAAGTATGGATTGAGTTGAAGACCAAGAAAAAACCATGCTATGGATCAAGGTGAATAACACACCGTGTCGCTCATAGGGAATCAAAACACTCTCGTATCACGCTGGTCTAGTCTCCACGTCGACAGTACCAGTAGACTCGCAACGGTCATTAGAAGCTATGAGGTGTCTAGCAAACATCCTCCTACTGGAACCCGAAACAAGGTTACCATTCACGCTGGTCGCGGGCGTGTCTTCTCTTGCCAAACACATTCAAGTAAGTTTAGGGGGAAGAGCACAATGGCAAAAAAAACCGTTTGAAAAGTAGCCGATGAGACAGTCCGCTCGACAGTGTGCTCATCACTCTTCTTCTAATGTTAGAATCCTAATCTATCACTAGACTGTCAGTTCTTGACATACAGGCTCATATTCCTAGTCACCGCAAACAATGTAGAACAATGTAATGATTTGATTGCCTTCCCAAAAATGGCTACTATTGCTCTAGATGTAAGTGCCGACACCAAAAAAAACTCATGACCACTATGTTCTTATTCAATTCGCTGATTTACCACTCTTTCTTCCTCCTTCCGCATTAGCATGTCAAACCACTTGTAGCAAAAGCAGTGTCAGCTACATTAACACCTGGCGATAAACACATGATGGTGTTGGGTGAAATATTTAAAGTAGTGTTTAATATTGTCTCGGCTTTCGAAACTGCTGAAGATCCAGCTCAGAAGCCTATAGTTCAGAGGACAACACAGGATCAGATTGATGCCTTCCAGACGTGAGTGCTGTGGATTCTCTGCGTTTTTGTGGATGATTGACAGCATGGTTTCATCAATGGCAAAAGAAAGAATGCCGTAACGCAGTTTATCAACATATTTTGAATAGGCTCGTATACTACGTAGCACAGTACGTAAAAGCCATTAAGATCCCATCGCCACCATTATCACCTCCTCTAACAACGGCCATTCATGCACTCATGAATGTGACTTCCCTCTTCTGGAAGGAAGCATACTTTGCCTCTAAAGACTATAGTGTACTCATAAGAGTCCTGGATTTGCTCGAACACACATTAGCGTTACAGATGCTTGTAAAGGGTGAAGGTGAAGGCGATGAGAATCCAGGATGGGAGACGGATTTACCACCTGTATTTATACTGCTGACGAGGATGACTAGAGCGGAAGAGGGTGCTAGGAAGATGATTAGAGGACGGCTGACTCCAGAGTCCATGTAAGCTCCATAGTGACGTATTTTGCAGACTTTTTTTTACTGTATTGACATACGATTTCCAATCTCTCATAGCGATCGCAAAAAGCATCTAAATGAAGGACATTCAATAACAAATTACATGATTCGTTTCATGACTTCAATAACACTACCGCATGTTCGAGAGACAGCATGCGAATTGCTCTTTGCTAGTTTTAATGAGAGTCGTAAGTTACTTGTGTTGGTGAATTCTTTCAATTCTGCTTTGTTGCCACCTTTATTTCATATTATGATTTTGAAACTCATACCAAATCATATATAGCACAAGACCTGGTAGCATACACAGGCCTAGGCCACGCAGCAGGTTTCCTAGTCCAACGCGGTCTCATGCCCTCAACTCTCCCATCAACATCTGCATCCTCATCGTCAGATACAATGGAAGTCGATCCCGTAACAGGTGAAATAAAACGTGATGAGGATGCCGAAGAGGCATGGAATAACATGACGGATGAAGAGAGGGAACAGGAAGCTGAAAAGATGTTTATGTTGTTTGATAAATTGAACAAGACGGGGATTATACAAGTGCTTCCTCAGCAAGGTGGGAACGGACGAGGTGTGGCGAGAGCGCTGGAGAAGGGGGATTGATATGGAAAGGGTTTGTAAGATATTATTAATGTTGTTGTGGTATGCTGGCTCAGTTGTAATAAATTTTACTATGGGCAAAGTACCGGATTTCTCTTTTGTGCAAGTTGGTTCAGGTATGTACTAAAATCGAGAGAGGAAAGAGCCTCATGGTCCTTATGGACCTGGATGTGATACAAAAAAATATGGTGCTTTAGATGCTGGGACATGTCAAGACCGGTGATTGGGACTAGCTGCGACAGTATCCATTTACTTCAAAGGTAACAGAACCTCGGTGTATGTTGTATGCACTTACGTCGAGGAGGCCCTTGTTGATTGTATACATGAAGGTACTGTCAATTTTAACGACTTTCAAAACACGTCAATGCAAAACCTCAGACTGTAAAATAGAGTGAATAATATAACAGTCCATCTATTATTATAATCTCTTCAATTGTTCACAAGCCACAAAAAAATTTGTGATGCAGCCTCAAACCATTCCGTCTTTATGAGCTTCTCCATATCCTATCCGACACTTGAGCAGCATCCTTCATCTCCTTAACATCATGCACCCTCAACAAATCACATCCACCCGCAATAGCAGCTGTACAAGCGGCAGCAGTCCCAAACCCTCTCAACTTTGGGTCAGTAACTCCAGTAGCCACCCCAATAAACCCCTTCCGACTTGGTCCAACAAGCACAGGGAAATTAACCAACACCCCAGTCGAGAATTCAGGCAACCTTCTAATCAAATCAAAGTTTCCAGCACTGTCTTTGGCAAACCCAATACCAGGATCAACTATAATGTTCCATCTATAAATCCCGTATTTGATTGCTCTGGTTACTTTGGATGATATGTCGGTACGTACTGCTGCGACAACATCGTTATTGTCGTATTTCGTCATGCTGCTCATGGTTTTGGGTGTACCTCTCATATGCATGAGAATGTATGGCACATTGAGTGTTGCAACGACATGCAACATTTCGGAATCTAGAGTGCCACCAGACACATCATTAACCATATTTGCACCTGCTTCTATAGCTGCTAGAGCAACTTGACTCCTATACGTGTCTATCGATATTGGTGTAGTAGGATGACGTGCTCGAATAGCTTTAATCACAGGTATCGTTCGAGCTAATTCTTCTTCGAGGGATATTGGATCCGAGCCTGGTCGTGTTGACATTCCTCCGATATCTATTATGTCAACTCCCTGTGTTATCATGGAGGCTGCTCGCTCGAGTGTTGATTCCAGTGACGAAGTGTTACTAATGTTGCTGTCAATGCCTCCATCACTAAACGAATCTGGAGTTACGTTCAAGATACCCATTATGAAGGTTTTTGATTTCCAATACCATATTAATTCGGGTGATGATGGCGATGACGGCGAAGATGGTATGGGAAGGATTCGTTTGATGGGATCTTGAGGTATTTCTGCATGAGATAGTAAGGCTAGCATCTGTTTGTTGCTGCGATATAGTATTGGATGTTCCATCTCTGCAGCGATACTATTGCAGAAAGTTGGAGAGAGGGAAATGGAGGTTAGATGCTGATTCTTGTACAATTGAGGGCACAACAAAACCGGAGACTATTGGTGTCATATAGAGACTGCTGGTCCACCACACCAAACAAGTTCAGCGAGATCAAACAATATCTGATCACATCCAAGCATCCAATACGTAAAACACTTACTCGCACAAAGGTTTCAAGACGAATCCTCGTTCCTGAATCCTGGGATGTGGAATGACGAGTCGTTCACTCTTCAATTCTATCGAGTCGTAATAAATGATATCGAGATCAATCAATCTTGGACCATTTCGTATAGTAGGCAGCCTTCCTAATTGATCCTCGATTGTTTTCAAAACATCCAGTAGTGGTATTGGTTGTAAACTTGTTCGGACCTATATAAAAGATGGAAGAAAACATGACGTATAAGAAACAATAGAGAATATTTACAAACCCAACGGCATCTCAAAAGCCCTTTCATTTGGATTACCTTGCATGCCATATTCAGAAACCTTGGCTGATCCGTAACATACATGGGTTCTGTTTCATACAAGAAGGATGTATCGACTAACTGTATCTCTGAATGTTTACTCAGAGCTTCTAAAGCGTGATTCAGGTTATTTAATCGTTCACCAAGGTTTGTACCTAGAGCTATATACACTTCATGCACCAAATCCACACGACGTAAGCTCGGTGACGATGCAGCCGATAGACTACCTGCGTGCTGTATAACACCCGCAGCACCAGCTGGACTACTACTACTGCTCACTATATAATTACTTGTTGGCTGTTCATCGGCGTCATCTTCACCAGGAGTTCCAGGTCTAGTTCCATCAGAATTCAAACCGAAATCTCCTCGATCTCTCGTAATCTCGACTCCAGAAGCACTTGCGAATACAAGAGCTGATGGTTTCTCTACCCGTACAGTGATTTTGGGTACATGGCATTCCTCAATACCTATACGGGCCACAGCGGTAGCTAGAGCTTCGACAGTCTTGTATTTTGAGGCTTCGACGTGTTTGAGGACTAGACGAGAGAGTGTCCTGTAATCGTGAATTTTGGGTACCTTGTCTGCAATGATGTTGTATGGTTGGAAGGAGAGATGGACTATAAGGGTCATGACTACACGTTGCTTTTCTTCTCGTTCCCAAGCGTTTACTCCGATTATAGTGGATACCGTCAAATCATTCACGAAGCTATGTTGGGTTTGGTTTGCTTTAGCAAAAAATGAAGGGCACATTTGCTGGTTGATGTGTTTCACTCACATGAGATCTTCACCAGTCACATCCAACTGCTGACTGTTCCCATCATCACTTGTGGTTCCTTTAGAAGCAGCATCTAGAGCTTCAATATCACTCTTACTCCTGACTAATTCAACACCAGCACAAGCAGCATGTAACAGTGCTCTTGGTTTCTCGACGCGTACTTTGACACGTTCAGCACCACACTTGTCGATGACCACTTTGGCGATACCACCCGCTAGAGCTTCTACACTTCTATATTCCGTTCTCTCTGAGAATTCCTGGACGACTTTGGTGACAGTTCCGTAGTTGATTGAGGAAGTAAGCGAGTCGTGAGTTCCAGCATCTTTTACGTCCGAGTAGATTGAGATAGATATTCTTAGTGGCTGTCGCTTTGAGCGTTCCCACGAGTCTACACCTATAATGTTTCTGACCTGATGATTGTTGATGTGAAAAAAAAGGCAGATTAGATAGAGGTTTGATGTCTACCGATTCAATTGTAACGGCAAAGAACGACATAAAGTTTATCACGATGATCACAAATTAAAAGGGTCTCTTCGGTCTGTTTTACCTCGAGGTCCTTGATGAAAATCTATGTTTGAAACGTCGTCAATCCATCGATTCTTAGCCCTTACCAAAACCAACGAAAGCTCGACTATTGCGTTATACGTACAGTGTCTGATCCCATAATTAGTAAGTTCCCTAGCCTAGATTCCTATAGATTAGACTGCCCTAACTATGGTCTCTCTTATATAGCTATATCTTAATTCTGTGGCAACGCTGTGATTTCTGCAGAACGAGGAGACCAACACGAACTGGAACTGCCGAACTGTTTCGCCTCTGATACTCGGGCAATATTTATAATATTCCTACATTCGAGATCTATTCCCGATCTGATTCTCCACCTGCTTCATCAATATGCCAACCGCATCATCATCTCAAAAAAAGCAGGTCGCTTATATAACAAGAATCGAGTCATTCAGTGCTGCCCACCGCCTAAACGCCAACCTCCTATCAAAAGAAGACAATCTCGCCATATTTGGAAAGTGCAATCATGAAAATTTCCATGGTCATAACTACAAGGGTATGTGTTGACTTGCAGCTGCTTTGTCTCCTCGTATACTAACAAGGTCTTATAATAGTGGAAGTCACTATTAAAGGAGAAGTAGGACACTTTCGATTCAGTCTTGGCGTGCAATGAGAGGCTTACCTTCATTATTAAATAGATCGACTCGACAACGGGAATGGTGGTAAATCTAACTGATCTGAAACTATGGATGCAAAAGGCCATCATAGATGTGCTAGACCACAAGAATATAGTATGTATCTAAGGTTACTGTTGTTAGTTTGGCGGTTGTGCTGACGATCTCACCTCTCACTAGGATATGGACGTTCCTCATTTTCGAGATAGGCCAAGGTAAACACCCTCATCATGCTCGGGCATGCTCGGGCTAGTCATGCGATGCTGACACCAACTCAAACTACCTAGTACCGCAGAAAACATTGCCGTTTTTATATGGCAATCTTTGGAAGGGATTTTAACTGTTGGACAATTACACAAGGTGAAGCTCTTTGAAACCGAGAAAAATGTGGTTACTTATCGAGGGGAATGACTTATTGTAATACTATGTTTTGGTGGACGTTTCTTTATTTAACTTGCGCAATATATTTTCTCTTCTTTGATCAAGCTGCTTTGATGCACATGAGCCTCTGCGTCAAATTTAGCAAGCTGCATCTCCCAACCCAGCTTCCTAAATGGGTTTGCGATGCAGAGTTGTTCGCAAGATGCGATGTCAAAACTCACTCGTTAAAACGACTGAGGATTTGGGCTTCAAAACGTTTTAGGAATTTTTTTCCATCAATCACCCCCAATCCGGCAGAGACAGATTAGTCCTCCTGTGTTGAAAATTCACGTCCACTTTAAATTTTTATAATACCAGCATGTCGACGGCTACTTCTCCCACTCTAAGTTCACTACCACCCCATTTTTCCAGAAGGAGCTCATTAGCATCATCAGTCAACTATACAAACTCATGGAATGACCTGATCTCGTGTCAATCCCCACTACGAAAGCAGCTATCACGTACAAATTCCATTCGAAGCACCCTATCACCATCAACTTCGATTCTCCTCGATCAAGCAATTACTGACGCAATAACACAAATTCAGCAAACCAAGGCAAAGGAGACTACTGAACCTTCTGTTTCAAGTCAGCTGAGGAGCTCAGCATTGCCTAATCCCTCGTTTTATAAACGACAATTACCAAATTCGTGTATACCGTTCAACTCGGAGAGGGGAAAGCAGTTGTTTAGGAGGTCGCTTGATTCTGGTTGCTTAGAGGTGAGCTTCGGCCAATTATTGATTAAAAAATGACTCTACATATCATGGAACGGATGAGATGGTGTGGTGCTGCTTTCGCTCAACATCATTAATTCTTGTCTCGATTATCTAGTCATACTTTTCTCTATCAATGCACTTCTTAACACAAGCCGAACCAGCATTCTGTGGCCTTGCCTCCCTCTGCATGATCCTCAATGCTCTCGAGGTCGATCCACTACGACAATGGAAGGGTGTAAGCCAGGCATAGAAAAACCACCAAGTCAAGGTACAGACACCAACACCATGTTTGATTTTCTTAGGTATGGCGCTGGTACGATGAATCCCTTCTAGACTGCTGTCGGCCACTAGACGACATCAAACAACACGGAATCACACTTCCCGAATTCACATGTCTCGCTAAATGTAATGGACTGAACGTTACTACTCGCCGGCCTGACGAAACGACGAAACAGCAATTTATAGATGATGTGAAGAGGACGTGTGAGAATGATGCCGAGTATATGGTCGTGTCATATGATAGAGGCAGTTTAGGACAAACTGGAACGGGTCACTTTTCACCAATTGGAGGGTTTGATGAGGCTGAATTGATGGTGCTGGTGCTGGATGTGGCGAGATTCAAGTATCCGCCTTATTGGGTTAAAGTTGATACGTTGTGGGAGGCATTACATCCTGTAGATACGTCGACTGGGAAATCCCGGTATAGCAAGGATCTGACAAGGCAATTTTGCGAATTGTTTTGTCTTGCTAACACAACCTCTTTTGAATTTCGTTTGATAGAGGATACACAATCCTAGCACGAGGAACAAAACCATACGTATCCACAGCCCTCTCCCAGCTCGCCGTAAACGGAGACTCTTGGTCTCGTCTGTCTGACGTCCTCTTTCGTCAAATCCCATCCTCTCTCGTAAACCTTCCGAAAAACACCTCCTTACAAGGCCTCATATCATTCATCGTATCCGAAATACCATCTGAAAACGATTCGATAGTTGAACATCGTTTGAAATTATTCATTTCCCCCCTGGTCACTGAAATGCCAGTGGATGATGGTGCAGGTGCAGCAAGTCAAGATGCTATAGCTGGACTATCGCTGGAAGAGTATGTATCAGGACTGGATGTGCTACTGCATCATATTGCCAGAACGGAAATGTATAAGCTTGTTTCCGAGTCTATGGTTTTCAAGACTCGAGGTGTGCCTGTGTGTGGAAGTGTCAGTCGTGCCGGATCCATGCCGTCAAGCCCTTTGGTTAGAAAGCAGAGTCTACATCATAATGAGGAAGATGATGTTTGTGATTTCTTGGCATTCTTGACCATGTGAGTTGCATCCTTCGAGCAATCTAATCTCTTTTTTGGCTATCGACCTTCTTATATAGTTTTGAACTTAAATAGATTCTTATACGCCTTCTTATCATATCAACCAATGTGTGACGCCCTCACACCCGCACTCGCAAACCAAGTGAAATCGATAGTTAATATTGACCAAGATCCACAGATTGATTTGGTTGTGAAGAAGGAGGTGGCATTTTTACGGGAGCAGATTGCTGCTTTAAATGAACTAATAGTGTCATCATAATTACGTTGTGATCGAGTAATATATTATCCAAGCTTCCAGATCGTTTCATCGGCATAGCCCTCTTCAAATTAGCTGCTTACAGAGATAAGCGTCCGTTTTAATCCTCCATTTTTTCCCCGCATTGCGTTCGCTGAACACAGTTCCTCAATTGTACATGATGTAAGTACCACTGTAGCGTTCCATCTCGCTGGATTTTTTCACATCATACTTTGTCCACCAGCTATTGGATTAAAGTTCTGAAGAGATTGAGCGTGAAACGCTCTGAACAATCCACCACCTATGTCACAAGTTCTGACCGATCCATCAAAATGTCGTCCCTCTCAAACATACGTTGATGAATGTGAAACCTTCTTCATAAAGTGGTAGATCTAAGCTAAGTTCTAATTACGATTATGAGGTGCTGTTGATTGAAAATGTTAAGTTAGAAACATTGCTCTTTGAAAGTTGCTCACCATATAGTCGAACTATTTCCAACATCACTTATATACTTTGGCAACCCCCCCCCCCCCCCCCCATACGTTTCGCTCATTGCGAATTCAAGAGGAATCGAATTCAGGAAGGAAATGCGAAAAAAGAGGACACCAGCCTTCTTTGTCTTTTTGAAATGCTGGATTGCAAGTCTTGACAACAAGAGAGACGCTGTCAACAAGACATTCAATTCATTAATCCAGTGGTCGGACTCGTCATCGAAGGCGGCCCAACGGTTTTCGTTTTGTGCGTAGCCAGCTTTAACCAGGATCGAAAACGTGGTTAGTTTGCATGCCATACTTCGACACCAAAGCAGCAGCAACTGCTTACCGTTATTGATCAAGCCATCGTATCCACCAAACGCCGTTTCAGTTGCAGCCATCAAAGCTATGCAACTGTCGACCTTTGAAGCATCACACTGGATGAAGATGATGTCGTTGGGTCGTCCAGTGCTAGTGTCGAAACCACATGATTTGTAAATAAGAATGATGACGCCGCAAGACGACAGAGCACATGCACAGCTTTCAGTTCATCAGCAGCTGCAATCCCATCACGTTCGTTGCGATTAGCCAGCACTAGCTTGCATCCTTCCTTTGCCAAACGTGCAGCGATCTAGTAACAGATTGTCAATAAATGTTCATAATAACGAAGGGAACAAAATTTATGATGATGGTGCTAAAGCTATTGCAGATGCATTCAAGAATCATTCCAAATTGACTACTCTTTATCTCAACGTTGACCGAGAGGTCGGCTGATCATCCTCCTGCTCCTTATCCGAAGATTCTGTCTCACTACCGGAAGAAATTGGTTTCTTGTGCTTTGAGGGACAAGATGCTGGAGCAGACAATGGAAAAGTCATGGAGTTAGCTAGTGATTGCCAATTTACGTCCAAATCTAGCACCTAAAGATGGATTTCTAGCAGGAACTTTTCCTGCTTTTGAAAGAATCTTTGTTAAGAGTCAAATGTGACCACGCGTGGTGCAGCAGTGCCATTCTTGTTTTGTGAGTTCCATCTTGCAACTATGGCAGTTATAAATACTCGGCAACCTGAGGAGGCATTTGTACGTCTTGGACTGATTCTGCAACGACCTCCAAGAGGCAACTTTTTTGTTTCAGCTCTGCTTTCTGCTTTCAAGACAAGGTATTCTGTGACATTACCTTCATTGAGGGTGGGGCATAGCCTGCGCTGATAAATTCAGATATTTTGGCTTCAAGTGGAAGTAATTGTTGTCGTGGTAAAGCGTTGCATACATGGCCTTTGGCGTTCGACATCGTTCACCAGGTGGATAGAAGGACGGAGGTCAAAACCTAAATGACCGACCGGGAAGTTATTGTTTTATGCCAAGCACTGAAAATCAAAAATCAGTACTCGCGCAAAGTGCCAATCTGACCAAATGAGCTTAAAGGAGAAACGGGATTTGAAAAACATGCGCGATTTTCGTCAAACCTAAATTTGCTCTAGCTTTTAAAGAATAAATCCACGCAGTGGTAAATAGAGGTAAAACTGTGGCGCTTTTTTTCTGGTAAACATCCAGTATTTGGTGGTTGTATCCGTGTTTCCGCCGAAAGGCCAGATTTCTGGTTTTAAACCCAACCTTTGATTGAAACGACCAATTGCGAGATAAACACTTACAAAACAGAGGCAGATCAATCTAGCAAACTTGCAATTGAATTGCCGCTCCTTCCATTGTCGGTGTTCTTTATTTGCGATCGATACACAAAATATGCTCCAAAATAATTCCAAAGATTCTCTGGGGTATCTTGGATCTTAAGAATGTACATATTTTCTTCCGAGTTAGAGACTAATCAAGAAAACAATATCTTCAGAATGGTTTCAGTCATAATTCACGTACCATTCCCTAATCAGCTTGCTTTGCTTGTTGCGTTTGGTTTGAAGTCATCATACTAGTCTATATGAAAGGGAACGTCACAGAGTGCACACCTTACACTTACAGAAGATCTACGGCATCCAAGTTTATAAGAAGAAAATTAAAGAACTGGCCGGTAAACGAGATCGGAATATATGTTCGCATGCGGTATCATCATCAATTTACAATAGACACAAAATCCAACAATTCCACCACGATATTCCGCAACTATTACACCGCCACAATATCCATAAGCAACAAAAACTACAAACCATATACCGCAAATGATCAGTAATTCCCCATTCCAGCTGCATGTGGGAAAATGATCTGCATTCGCATCTTGGTGAGTGTGCAAAACGTTGGAAGATGCTTTTCGCTTGGCGTGACCATTATGGGGCCTTGTCTAGAGACTACATTTACCTTGCGGCGATCGAAAAGTGGTCCATCTTCATTCGACGCTGAATTTAAACAGGGTACACCATTCAAATAGGACATTGCATTTTGTTCCGTTTGTAAAGTGAACTAGTTTATATTCCTATCCTTAGGTCCGTAAAAACGGGCCTCAAGCTCTATTGGACGCCAATGCATTTTCAAGTCTACCAGCGCGTGCGTACCACCCACGCTGACGACTGTCTTCTGACCATTCAACCCGCTCCGCCACAGTCATACATAAGAACACTGTCCAGTCTGGCAACAAGCGAATGGCAAGACCGACAGGAAGGGACAGAATCCCAAGTAGCAGGCAAATCAGCCACATGTGCCAGGGCAATGCAATCGTTCTGGAAATAAAGCTTTGTCAACTATGATGCTATCAAAACTGACAATCAAGGGAACTCACAGAAAGACTGGACCACCAAAAGTTACGATAACAAACTGAGTCAAAGTCACTATGATCACTATTGGGAGCAAGAATCTATTCTTTAAGATTCCTTGAAAAACGTGATAATCTAAGAGTACGTGGTGGATTTAACAGTGGTGGAACGGAATGTCAACTTTTCAGAGACTCTCACCATGTCCCAAAACGCGGCAATTGAAAAGATTGCCAATCGTCATGAAAGTGAATGTGTTGAAAACCGTAGTAGCACGAGTCTTGTATGATACGTCTGGCGTATCACTGGAGATGAAAGAAGGCCATACAAAATATATGAGGAGACAAATTGTAACCTGATATGCTACAAGATGAAAACAGAGGTAATGTGTAAGGTATTGGCGTTCAAGCTCCAGAATCTCCTGTGAAAACAACACACTCGACGCGCCGAAGAGGTTTTTCAGCATATCATGGTCCAACAGCGGTTCATCCTTGCGATGCCTGCAGTTTTCGAGGTCAAAACACAGCCCGTTTACAGACGACCAAAAAGCTTGTTCAACAGGCACGTACGGTGGGGCTTCTAAGAGTGCATCAGTGGGGGCATCTGTAGCAAGTGCAAGTGCTGCAAGAGAGTCCATGATGAGATTTATCTGAAACAATTTGAGCGTGATTGGAATGGGGATCGTCGTCGAGGATCTACAGTTATCCTTACCCAAAGCAGCTCCAATGCATTTAGGGCAGGCTCACTTGTTGAGTCTGCAAACGACGTCACCGACGCAATAGTTACGGCTGCCTGAGGTTTACTTTGTGAAATCCCAGCATAAACAATAAGAGGTTTCAAACACTAACCAAGTTCACGCATAGCTGGAACTGGAGGAACTTCCGCAGTGCGGCAAAGACGTTACGACCCCATAGCATTGCTCGAACGATGGAAGCAAAATTGTCATCCAGAAGAATGATGTCTAGTGGTAAATCTCTTAGCAGTGACATACGTTGACCATCTGAGGATCCCAAAGAAGTTCTTTACCAGAAGCCTCTTTGGCAACCTCTGTGCCACAGACTCCCATGGAGAACCCAACATCTGCCTGTTTTAATGCCGGGGCATCATTTGTTCCGTCTCCCGTCACAGCAACTGTCTCTCCCAGCCGTTGCAGCCCTCTCACCACCCTCTGCTTATCTATTGGTGTAGTACGAGCCAAGACTCGCAAATAGGGTAATATCTGATCAAGCTTCTCATCAGTCAGATCTCGTATTTCACGCCCCTCAAACACGGATTGTCGTTCAACGGATAACGGTATGATTGACGATATTGCTTTCGTACTCGAAGCGTCCGGTAGAATCGGCAGAATCGGCAGAATATGGCATTTTCGTGCGATTGATTCTGCAGTGACTCTGGAATCTCCCGTAATCAAGCGAACGGTGATTCCCGCTTTTTGACACTGTCTGACAGCGCTGGGAACTTGGTCCCGAAGAGGATCTTCGAGTGCGACAATGCCGATCAAGGTCATGTCATGCAATCCGACATCGTCAAATTCTGATGGCGGCGGGCTGGTTTCAAATCGTGTTCGAGCAAGACCCAAGATTCGCAATCCTAATAATAAAAAATCAAATCACGAATATGTAATAAGCAACACAAAGTGTGCAACGACTGACCTTTAGTAGCAAAGGAATCAATAATCTTCGTGTAAAAACTTACTTTTTCCTCCGTCAAGTCTATATCAGTACCGTCGCTGGTTAGCACCTTGGAACATCCGTGTAGAATCACCTCTGCTGCACCCTTTGTATACAAGACAAAATATGTGGCACTACCGCTCATCTTCACAAGCGTGCTCATACGTTTTCTCGTCGATGAGAATGGAAATGTTCTGAGCGCTTTGTTATTAAGCCGGTCTAATTCCATGTCTGCTCCAAGTTTTTGCGTAAACTCCACAAGAGCGGTTTCCGTCGGGAGGCCGACGAGGCCAATGGACTTATCTCGGCGTACGCCCCTGTATGCACTGTTGTTCAGATTGATGCAGGACGTCACCTCCAACAGGAGAGGCGGATGAAGGGATAACAATTCCGATCGTGTTTTGGCGTGGATACCCCCAAAAAACGTCTGAAATTAGAAAGACTTATGAGGATTGGTTCGACATTGTAGCTGACAACGGCAATACCTCAACAACCTCCATCTTATTTTGAGTCAGTGTTCCCGTTTTGTCTGATAAATAAGATTTGGGATGTAGGAAGTGACATTGATTTTCATGAACGAACACTTCATACCTGAACATATGGCTGGTAGCAAAATGAATGAGTAGATAACGGTGATAGGAATCCCAAAAAACAGATTAACTCTTACTTGTGACATGTGCCATCGTCTCACAGGAAGTCAACACTCGGACCAGATTGTTTTCGCGGAGCATCTGTAGTGTCGCGTATCCAAGTGCCAATGTGAAAGCAACTGGCATTCCTTCTATGAAATGCAAACCAGTGTCGATCAGATCAATGCGTTACCAGTCTTCTAGTCACTATACTTGGCTCCTGGCTCAACACTCACCAGACACGGATATCACTATGATGGTAACACCAGAAATGAGAATGTTTACGATACTCGACATAATGGTAGCCAGACTATAACATGGACAAAACTTAAAGCCAACATTATTGTCCGGTTGTAACCCAAAATTTCAACTTAACTGACCTCATCGATTGAAATTTCTCCGATATCAAAAATCGAATAATACCCACAACAACCACAACAGCACCTGCGATCGCACCTATTCGAGCAACTCCCTCTCCCAATTTTCCCATTTTGACTGATATCTCACTAACATTGTTGACAGAGCTCGACCGTAAGGCCATATTTGTACGGCCAGACATTGAGTTTGGACCAACAGCAACCACTAACATTGTTCCAATACTGTAAATTGTTGGCCGATTAGCAGAGTTTGATATTCAAACGGTGAGATATTGTCAGTTCTTACCCATCTAGGACGTCGCTGCCCGACACCATGAAAGCATCTCCTGTCGTGTCCTTTGGAACGGGTTCTGATTCGCCAGTAATACCAGACTCGTCGCAAAGTAAGTCTAATAATGAGTGAAACATTGCACGTAAGGCAAATCCGACGGACTCGATGTATAGAAACACCCCCGAACTTGATTTCTTACTGGTTGAAGTGACCAAAATGCCATCAGCGCAGATCACATCACCCGGAGCCAGAGCAACGATGTCTCCTACATTAACCTCCTTGCTTTCCAATTGCACTTTTTCGGGTAACGCTAAGCACTCAACATCCGTATGACGGTGCCGAATGACTGTGACAAGGGTACTATTCAGTTTTGCCACATTTAAAAACTGGATGATGTTCATATTGGCGATTTTAGAAACGATAGTAAAGCTTTAGCATAACGTGCAGTAGAGAGCTTACTCGAAACTGTTTGGCTTTTCGATAGTCGTTGAAGGATTGTACAAGCACAACGATGAAAACTGTACCGTGCAGAAAGGCAAGTTTGAATACGTCTGACAGTTGCAACGAAAAGAGACTGCAAAACTTGCCAGTAACAAGCACAGCGAGGCCTTCAATCCAAGAGGTAGAGTCGTTTTGCACCAGTCCTTCGTAAATCCCAATTCCAATAGAAATCATTGCACAAATCAAGAGCAATATCAGTGTGCGGTCCTTGAGCGCCTTCCAAGCGAAAACAAGAATTCCTGGAACCCGAGCCGGCTCAATATAATTTACACCGTAGCTGATATGAAAACAGGAATGAATTGGAAATGATGTGCGGTACAAGCAAAAACTTACATAGCTCGTCGAGTAGCGAACGACTGGGGAATCGGTAGTTTGGCCGTATATTTGCCCCTCACCTTTTTCCATAGAGTATCGACTCTACGTCTCTGAGTGGCACGTGCATCGCCACGCGATAACTCCATATGGTCCAATCCCACAGTGAGACTCGTATTTAGAGCCTTCGCGAAACCTTGTAATCCTCCAAGATTGACTAGGCCAGTCAGCTGTCGGTCATCAAAGAGCGTTTCCAACTGAGATACAGATACTTTCCAAGTGTACGGCTTTATTGCGCAATTGCTTTTTTCAGGTTCTGATGAGGGTTGATGAGAAGGCAAACTCGACTCGGAGAGGTCCATCCCATCTCCTCCTAATACATCGAATTGAGGCTCGTGTGGGTTGTCCATGTCGTTTGGTTGGGTGACCAAGATGCATAAAAGTTATTTTAAGTAGTCTGGCATGCTTTGGGCATAGGTCGTTTGTAACAAAACATTAAGGTTGTGAGTCTTATATATGACTCATAGCATGGCTCATTTTTGGCCAAATTTATACCTCGCATGAGGAAGGGGGACGTGTTTTGAGGGTTGTAGGTCCTTTAGATGTGCTTTCTTCTTTTCAGTTTAATAAAGGTTATAGGCGATCGGTCGCATTAGCATTATTAGCATAGTGAATTTATAATGTTTGGTGACTTTACTCGCAACAGCCGCAAGGACGCACTTTGTATAGGCATGTCGATCCTGCTACGATTTAGAGACGTTTAATTGCCCATTTGCCCGAAGTTCTTTCGAAGTAAGGATTTGCATCCGTGCAAAAAAATGCGACAAAAAAATCAAACTATGGGCCACAAGAAAAATAAACGCGGCAACCTTGCTGATCACATGCTAGGTCCCGGTGATAATGCTATGCATGTAGATTCTGACGACTCTCCTGCTTCTACGTCTCATAGTGGTTCACCACCACCCCAGTCTCTACAAGTGCATTTGATGCAGCATAGTCTCGCTTCGAGGAACTGTCTCGTCGCTCTCAGCACGTCCTAGCCGCTGCTAATGCCTCCAATGACGATCCTCGCCTCTTACGCCAAACCATTCAAGATTTGACTGGCATGATGGCGACTACTCTCGTTGATTTGCGGCTTTAGTGTCCTTGATCAGTCGATCCTTCATTCTTGAATGACGACCTAGAGCTTCAATGTAGTCCAAAAGTATCGTCACGTGAGTTTTTCAGTCTCTGGTTCCTATGCTCAAAGCTGCCCTGGCGCGTCCGTCTAGCGATGCCCGCTCTGTCTCTGACTATCCCCCCCTGGTCTCTAAGCCTGGTGATGCTCGGGGTACAGTTGCTCAGAACTTTGTCCTCCGCCGTGTTGGATTCTGTATCATAAAGGGTATTGCGCGACAACTTGTCGGACGTCGTCGTTTGGGTGATCCTATTTGGGGTCTATGAATGTGGGGTCTATGAATACAGAGGTCCTGCTTTTTGGTGTAGATTATTGCTATAAATCGCTTTAATATACAATTTTTGCATCATTTGAAGAAAAAGTTTACAAAACTTGGAAGACCCAAGATTCGAACCTGCGCCACATGGTGAAAGAGCAATCGTGTTCAGTTTCAGTTTCTGTTTGCTGTTACTAATATAATGAAATGCTTTGGGATTTTCCGTCATGGCACCGAGAGGTCACCCAACAACAAACAACACACAACTGAAATTAGCGTCAGCTGAATGCCAACGGGGAGGGAATGACGCGAAATGAAACGAGCTGATGTTAGCGAGAAAATGGCCATTACAAGAAACATCCATGCTCTACCTATCTGCATGTAGGGCGACCGCTTAGAAAGATATGTGTGATGAAGCTCTTTTTCAGTTTTAACGAGTTTCAGAAGTCATTCAAGAATACGAACACACAATTACTTAGAATCAAGTGGATCAACTCGAAAACAGATCTAGTTTAGATATGCACACGTATCAATGATCAACCAGAAGAGACGAGAAGAAGGGGCACCCGATCAAAACATGTCATCCACCTTTCAAACTGACTGGACGTGAGAGAATCACAATAAGTGTACAAGTCTACCAGTAACAACAATCATATGCAAACGATACAAGAATCACTCGTGATATGGGACGTGAGCAAGCCAACCCTGCTAATGAAGAAATCGGAGTACCATTTTCGTTTATACGTGAAGTTGAAGGAGACGCGAATTAGACTTCTCTTACCAGGCGTCTATTTCTGATACCAATCGCTTCACGATAACCCTCAAAACGCTCTCGATTGATTTCAGCGACAGTGCTTGCACCAATGAAATCGTTGCGACTAGAGAAGCCCTCGCTAGCACTTGCATCTGGTGCCATGGAGGCTCCCAATGAATCCAAACGTGAAGCCGACAGTTCATTTCGTGATCTTTCATTCAACGGCGATGAATTTGTAACAAGTTCATCCCGAGACTAAAAAGGTATGAATGTTGAGCATTTTGTGTCCACCAAAAGCCAAACCTAAGATGATGCCGGTACACATACGGTATGAGATTCAATGGGATCAGAAAGCGAAGCCAAGTCCGTCGCATCAAAACCCTCCTGACGTTGTTCAGACAATGGATGTCCCTGAAGACTTAAAACACATCCCCCAATAAATCGACTCAACTCAAAATGTGCGTATAGTGAGCTCTTGAGTAGTCGAGCAAAGCCTTCATCAATCACAAGCATTAGAGCAGCGACTGGACCAAGCGCGAGTAGGAGATACAAGCCGATGATACAGGGGATGACAGCTCGTGATTGTTCAAAGAATCCGACCTCTCTGACCATCGTTACGTCGTCTAGAACCTCAACAGGGTGTCCCTGAATGAGCGATGTAAGGTCCATGTCAGATATCAATTGTGTGTGATCAAACTCAATCAGGCAGCGGATCAACAAATATGTATACCTCCATGTTAGAGCTCTCTGCAACCTATATAGCGGAAAAGAATACATGAGATATGCTTGCGTCTCCTCAATGACATCGTCTCTTGCTCTATGATGTACTTACCAATTGACCCAAACTGTCCACCGCACCAAACGTGAACTGAACAACATTTATCACGGCAACCTTCATCACCTCAGTGGCAAGGTCACACGGAGCTTTGAGTTTAGTGCCTTTAAGACTGATTAGAGTAGCTCCAGCATAAAGAGGTAGAACAGCGGCAATAGTCAAAATGTCACCGACTTTGCTGATGACTTTTCGTACTAATCCAAAGCGATGCATACGAGGATGGTGATTTTCATGCTCATCATCTCGTTTAGATAAAGAATGGACTTGAAAAGTAATGGCTGCTGATGGATGGAATGTGTTGACTGCCAAAATATTGGGATTTTGCAGTTCAGAGGGATTGGCAGAGATAGCCGTAGCTCCGAATATAATAAGAATAGCTAGTGTAAGCATCAGACATGCTCGTTCACTCTTCATGTTAGCGACCGTCATGTAAAGTCAAAACTCCTTGAAATTGGCACGAGGACAAAATTGAGGTCAAAGAGAAACTCCCAAGGCCATAGAGACCCCGACCGCGTTTGAAAGCTGACGCAATAAACCAGGATTGTCTGCATATATCGTATATTTGTGTTTATAAAACAGACTATCAACGAAAACGAAAACCAAAATGCGATTAAAAATGTTACTGCGACAACGACGACCAGAAGACCCCACTTTTTACTCGGCAGATTTTGCCTTCTTGCTCTTTTTCTTCTTCTTGTCGACCTTCTCTACTACTGGGCCATCGACTTCCATTGCAGTTTCCTCAGCTACAGGCTCTTCCACAACAGAAGCAGCCTTCTTGGACTTTTTACTCTTCTTCTTCTTTTCACCCTCATCAGCAGTCTCAGCCACCTTTTTTTTCTTTGCTGGGGATTGTACTGGTAAAAGTTGAAAGTTTAGATATCGTTGATCATGATTGCTTATTATGCACCAAATATCAACTTGGGTTCTGGAAATATGCTCAAACTTACTTGGCTCATCATCAACATCCATATCGTCACCTTTGGTAGTCCTCAACTCTGACAATGCCTCCTCCATCATCTCGGTATTTTTCTTGGGGGCAGTCCCATCTTCGTAGAATTTTAGACGTTCTTCAACCTGCTCCCTTAATTTCTCACCAAACAAGCTGGTAGGTGTTTCCAAAAAGCAATCAATACGACTAGCAATAGATGCCTTATTGGCAAGGAATCGAGATATACGACCCTTGTTTTTTGTAGCAGCACGTCCAATAAATGTGGAATGATAAATCAAGCCATATTTGGGGGTGTTTCCTTTAGTCTTTAGGGCTCTAAAGAGGGCCTTTTCGGCGCCTAATATCTGGACTGTTGAGGCTGGATATTTGGCTAGATTGGTTAGGGATCCTGCGTGAGATACGAGACGGGCTCCAACCATTTCACCGAGTAGGGCAGAGAGGTTTGGTGCTACGGCGTGCATTTTGGAAACGAGGTAGGCGTGTAATCGTTTACGGTATTCGGCGAGGGCGATGACTCGGTCGGCAAAGGATTGGATGTTGAGCATGTCTATATCTGATATATCGGTTCCTGATGTTTCACAAAAGGGAAGAGGATTGTTAGTGCTATCAAGGCTCCAAAGAATATGATTACGTAGCCAGATTTGGTCAAGACGAGAGCAAAAAAGGAACTCGAAAAGACCAACGCATCCTCACCCATGGAAGACTTGGCAGCATCGATGACATGTTTGGCGATAGCGGGATCTACACCGACTTCTTCCAATTCAGGAATGTGGTCTTCGGTAAGGTTGGCCTTGTTTTTAACGATTTTGACACATTTAGCATACAGGGCATTATCGTTGACTAGTTTGACCAATTCAGGAAAGTGCCATGAATACCATTCCCTGTTGGTGCATTGATTGATTAGCATACGACTGAATGATTTGCTCAATGTATGCGTGCAAAAAAAGCAAGTGCTTCCTACAACATACCTGACTCTCATGGAAAAGGTGTTTACATCCTTATCCAACTGATCCAAGAGAGCAATACTCTGTATAATCATATTGTCGACACGATTTACATTGAATTTAACCTTTGCACGGGAGTAGGCATGACCAAGACCCAGTTGAGCCTTGTTCAAATCACCATCACTCAATTGCTTGAGCATTTTCTCGCCATGTAGCTTGAGCCCTCGTATGATTTCCAGTATCGAGTCATCAGATATACAGTCGTAGCCCAGTTCGGCCTTGATGGCACCAGCCAGATTCTTTTCACCTACACCGAGTTTTACAGATGACTTTTTACCGACTTTTGGCATGGATTGTTCGAGGAATGCTTTTAGATATGGGTTCATGACCCCTTCGGAGACATCATTCAAGTTTTCGAGAGCGTGTGCGGCGGTTTTGAATGGGATGAAGGAGACTAGTTTGATGAAGCGACCAAATTTCGATAAATCTTGGGCAGCAGCTTGCACTTGGTCTAGTTCTCTGCCGATTTCTTCAGATTGCAGGCGTTCGAAGAGAGCGTATCCTGACGCTGTCTCGTACAGGACATGATAAGACTAAATGAAATGAATGTTAGATTATTGGACTTTTTTTTGCCTTAAATGAAGCTTGGAGCGAAAAACATACCATTTTGAGAGAGCAACACGAGTACTAGTGCAATTTAACGTGTGTAATATATGAGCTGGACGTGGTCTCCCTTCCAGGGTTCTACAGCGAACGGGTTGTTTGATTCTGCTAGCGTTTTGAAAAAAAAAAAAGTAGTTCAAAAATCACAAAAACTCACGTCGCTAGAAGACCAAACAACGGTAAAAGGTAAGGAGGGAATGTGCGGATTTTCTCAAGCGTCACATTTTCACACGGTGTCAACGTATAGCAGTCTTACATCGTTGGACCCTCCTCTTGGAACTAAACGCCAAACACCAAATCGCGTATAGAATCGCTAGATCGTGGGACATTCCACGGCGTTCTTCTTAATTTGTTTGCACTAGTAGTGACTTCTACTCATTTCAGGACTGGGAAACTGCCACCAAACCGTATCACCGCCACTCGCATTTATGGATGTTGCACATCACCCTCGCTCTCTGGTCGAAACATTATTCGAAGTATGGAAACCATTCTTGGTTTCTACCGTGCTATACCATGTCTTATTCAGGATGGCGCTCTCTGTCGCGCCCAAGCTATTTGCCTCAGATAGATCCAGGGCATGGCTCTTAACGTTAACCAGTGCTCTTGTCATGACGGTCGGTGGTCTAGGTTTCGCATTTGCCTTCTTTGCTAGCACTGAGCAGATAAATCACTTCCCTCTCTTGGACGTCGGGTGGGCGAATGCTATCTGCTCCTGCTTTATATCATTTTTGGCTGCTGACATGGTGTTGGGTTACTTGTACTTTAAATCTGAAGTGAATTGGCTTACCGGGTATGTACCTTGAGGATAGCAATACTCTACGGTGCTCGTAAAATGTCTTGCATTGAACTAACCAACCCTAACTTTCGAACAAGATGGGTCCATCATATTGGCTACTCCATTGTTGTCTTTGGATGTATACAGCACAGAGTCGCTGGTGGTTTCCTCACGTTTGCTTCCTTATTGGAACTTCCCAGTATACCTCTGTCACTAGGACATATTAAGAAGGCTTGGAGACGTGATTATCTCTTTGGAGTGCTGTAAGCTGTTTGCAACTGTACACAGCAGACTATACATACTGATATCGTCTCTCTAGATTCTTTGCCACGAGAGTATTGGTGAACTTTTACGTGATACTGCACGTCAGGGTAGCCTATCCCCACTCGAACTTCTATTTAGTAACAGCTGCACCTCTTCCTCTACACATCTTTTGGTTTTACAATTGGGTTCAGCAGCAAATACGCATACGGAAGCATAAGCACACTGATACTGCTACTGCTGCTACTGTGAAAAAAATGGAGTAATCATAAACTGTGTAGCTGCTAGTGAAGATATGGGCAACCTCTTATATTTAAATAATCTGTAAATTGAAATAGATGTGCGAATCTTAGTCTTGATATTTGTGAAAGACGCTTGAAGCTCGTGCGGTGCGTGTAAAACGTTAAACGCTGAACGATGTCGCATTGTCATGACGAAGAGCATGAAGAGGGGCACAATCACAGCCATGAGGGGCACGATCACGACGGACCGGATAGAGGCGAACAATCTTCGTTGTTCAAAGTGGTGGGCGTGAAAACGTTTGTTTTTTGAAATTCAGCTTCTTGGTTTGACCGTGTTATTATAGATTGATGTGGACAGGATACGAGCATTCAATGTCTGCAATGACGAAGAAAGTGCAAGGAAGGTCTTCAAGCCGTGGGATAAACGATTTGATCATGAACCTGTGAGGAACATCAACTTTTCGTAAACTCCAAACATCAACGAGCTTACACGTTACGCTATTAGTATCTGGAAAGTGACTCCGATAATCAGCTTATAATATTTGTCCCGTAAGTATAGTGGATTGTTCCTGGAGTCAGAGTAGTTTTCTTGGAACAAACAAGTGCTAGAACAGTGAAAAGACACTTAGCGCCTACGAACGTCTTACTCACTCCTTTTCACTTGGCTCCTAGCTTTACTGGCATGGTCAAGCTTAAGAGCATTCTGATAATGGGAGGTCCAAATGAGATGATGCCAAAGACTCTCAAAGTTTTTACAAATCGAGAAGATGTGGATTTCGATTCGGTGGATACCACTACTCCACTTCAAGAATGGGGATTGATTGATACTACAACTACTGCCGCTCGTGAAATACCTGAATATCCAACACGAATGGCCAAGTTCACGAGTGTCAGGAATATTACATTGTAAGCAAGAAGAAGTCAGGTTACTGAAAGCATAAATTGCTGAACTTCCACCTGGTTGTTGTATCTTAGATTCATTTCAAACAATTACGGTGACGAAAAGACCAGGATCTCCTATATAGCATTCAAAGGAGAATGGACCGAACTCAAGAAGGACCCATTGATTACAATCGGTGAATTTGCTGCCAACCCTGCAGATCATATCAAACTTCAGGGAAAACATGCCGTGGATCATATGATTAGATAGATGCGATGTTGCTCAAACAATGCCATCTTGGAGCAGTGCTGTGTGTTTTGTTGAATTGCTCCTGTACAGTATTTTATAACGCGTTCTAAAATATAAAACTGAATTCGCAATATTGCTCGTGGACCACGTATTTCTTGCCTCCGGAGCTTCGAACTTCGTGTGTCACATCTGAGTCCAAGCTGCACCATAGTTCTCTAGCTCGAGTAGGCCATGCCTCGTTATCGTAAGGTAAGTTATGCGAGTTCTAGGATTAATTGCATTGGCATTGGTTTTTGAGTTAAATCTAGCGCCGAAGCTCAGAAATTTGACACTAGGTTCCAAGATCGTGATCTAACATCTTTTTTCACCCTTTTGAATAAAGGAAAGACCGAACTCAATCTGCAATCGTGTTTTCATAAGGATACGAGCTCTAGAACTTCTGTTGAGCCCTGAAGAGAGTAGTTTGCAGCCAGCATCACAACCAATTGAAGACAATTAGCAAGAACCTGCTGTGATGCCAAGTACTCAGGAAGATATAACACAAGATCCTTGTACTTATGTAGTTTCAGCGGAATCGTCGTCACAAGAGCCATCTGTAGAAACCCAACCGTCATCCACTGCATCGCAAGCTCCCTCTTCCCCTACACCTTCGCAATCTATGCAGCAAGGAGAATCTGCAAGCGAGTCTCGTACTAGCTATGGTCAGCAACAACAAGCTGTAGGCTTTGCCGTGGAGGGCAACAAACCCGTCAAAAAAGTCGTTGACGTTTGGACACGTTTGCTGTTATTGCCAACATACAAACCGTATTCTAGAACGCAGGCCAAACAATGCAGCCGGCACAAGCCGTATACCCACCACAACAACAATACATGGGCAATCAACAACAACGCCAACAAAAAATGTTTTATGCCCAACTTCAGCAGAGCCACTATGCGATTGGGTTAGAATACCAAAGTTTCCTCCCGATCCGTCTACATGGAATTAACAACAACATTTTCACTACAAGGACAGTCAGAGTGTATATCGAGCGTGGGTATACATACGGCATCTTATTACTTTCGAATCTTGTCGGTAATGGATAGGTTTGAGAACATTGTGTTGTATGATAACTCGACGGCACCTGATGTGACGGGTATGGTATTACGCTCTCCTACAGTAGGAGACTATCAGATACTCATCGTACATCCGTGCCCGAGTTGGCTGTAAAGACGGAAAGTGAACGCTTGTAGATAATGGCATTGGTTGTGGTATAGGGAGTGGTTGTGAAATATTAGAGGAAACATTTTACATGAACAAAATGTGTGTTTGCTTATTTGTCGTGGCAAAAGACGTTACTGTAGCGCCTGAAAGCCTGCTGCTCCAAAATCACGTTGGCCTTGCATAGCAAACTAGGGACAAATCAATGACAAAAGAGCAATTGCTGTACATTACATGGCTTTCCTTCGTAAAAATCATGAGATTTTATATTGTCGGCACATGAAAGACACATCTGTCCATGTAAGTCTGTGGTTGACCAAGACGTGAATGTTGCGGATGCCGTAATGGCACACAGCTGATTGCGCGTCAAGTCACGCGTCATATAAGCCAATAACAAAAATTCGGATTCTGATATGGTTTTAGTCTCTTCTACCAAAAACTTTCGCTTCTTGGGACATTGAGCACACTTCAAAACATCGAAAATCCCAGATTATGACGACAGTAGCATTACCCAGACGACCAGACCATGGCTCTATGGGCAAGGCTATTATGTTACGGGCGAATTTCTTTCCAATATTGAGCATTCCTGGCATGAATTTACATCATTACGAAGTTTCTGTATGTTTGAACTCGGCGACTGTCTTTCAAACAACTTCTTTGCTTCGATCAGTAATATTTCTTTCTTGCTGTAGATACTTCCTGAAGCCAATACTCGAATCAATCGACGACTGTTTGTGGCAAGTCAAACTTGAACATTTCACCCCAAAATGTCTTATAAGATAGCTTACTTGACTCAAACCACGACTATAACAGATCTGGGAAGAACTCAATCGAGCCGGAATTTTACATAATGCCTTCCCGGTCTTTGATGGACGACGCAATCTATTCACTCCAAGAGCTCTTCCTCTGGTAGATGGAACTGCTACCTTCAGTGTGGATCTTCCGGACGACGACGATGATGGTCCACCTGGCAAACACGGACTCAAACTTAGTCAGAATTTTGCTTCACCTCCACCAACGTACGACACCAATGCTGAACTGTGATCAACAACAAATGGATGCTAAAATCTCGATTTTCTTTGTAGGAAACCACGTCCAGCTCGCAAGTTTCAGATAACACTCAAAAAGCTCTCTGATATCAACATGACCAGGCTTCAAAGCTTCCTCAATGGTGAATTACAGGAAACACCAATAGAGTGCCTACTCGCACTAGATGTCATAGTACGACACGGCCCATCCATCACATACACAACAGTAGGCCGCTCTTTCTTCACTCCAGAAGGCAAACAGTTCATAGCCAATGGCGCTGAACTCTGGCAAGGATTCCATCAATCCATACGCCCATCTCGCGGTCGTCTTTGGCTAAACCTCGATGTGTCTGCAACAGCCTTTTATCAACCAGGGCCCGTAGTCGATATGGTTGCCAAAATCCTAGGTCGCAACTCGGCAGACGATATTAGGCAGGCCATGAGTGATAAGGATCGTGGCAAAATTGAAAAGGTGTTGAAAAATGTTAAAGTTATGACTACGCATCGTGGTAATGCGAGACGACGATGGAGGGTATCTAGAATTACTCCTACGTCTGCGTCAAAGACCGTGTTTCCTATGAGAGATGAAGGGAGACAGATGTCTGTAGCGGAGTATTTTCAGGAACGGTATCATATTCCATTGCATTATGCGCACTTTCCGTGTTTGGTTGTAGGCGATCCAAACAAACATATATATTTGCCTATGGAGGTGTGTCAGATCATACCGGGGCAGAGGATATCACGGAAGCTGAATGAGAAGCAAACTGTAAGCTCATTGGATGATAGTATAATGAGTTTTTTTTGTTGACACCAAGTCAATCTCTCTCAAATTAGGCCGATATGATTCGCTTCACATGCCAATCACCACATATACGCTCGAACAAGATTGCAGCAGGCTTCAACTTGATACAAACAGAAGCGAACGCTACTCTAGCTGCATTCGAAACTACATTTGGTCGTGAAATGGGTACCGTGAATGCACGTGTACTTTCAACCCCAATAGTATCATATCATCCAAATTCAAGAGAACCAAACATTACACCACGAGAAGGACAATGGAATCTCAAGGATAAAAAAGTAGCGCAGAGTACGCCGATCTCGTCTTGGGCAGTCATCATCTTTACCTCTGAACGTGAATGTCCGAGGGAAGATGTGCAAAAGTTTATAAGAGAGTTAGTGTCGACTTGTCGCGATACGGGTATATCTGTTGCGACTCCTCAACCACCGTTGAGGTATTCGAATCCTGATGGGAATATTGAACTGATAATGAAGGTATTCTTCTGGCATGAGTCCTTTTTTTTGCTGCATACTTAATCGTTATCCTCATCTCGCTAGAATGGATTTATGGATGCTGGATCTGCTACCGCTGGACGACCACAGATCATATTGTGTATTTTGCCAAATATGGGAGTTCCATTATATGCAGAGATCAAGCGAGTCAGTGATACCATCATTGGGGTAGCTACTCAGTGTTTGTTGGCCAAGGTAAGAAAAATTCTTGCTGAAAAACTCAAACTAGTCAGCCGAACTATTTGATTAAGCTAATCGATTGAAATTCGGTCATCATAGCACATCCTGAATGTCAAGAAGCAATATTGTGCCAACGTGTGTCTGAAAATGAATGTTAAGATGGGAGGAACGAATGCATATTTAGGACCTCAACAATTACCATTCGTATCTGAACGTCCTACTATTGTATTTGGAGCAGACGTGACGCATTCATCGCCTGGTGAAGGCATGAAGCCTTCGATTGCTGCTCTTGTCGGTACGCCTGTTGTCTCGTTCAAGAGAATGAGATTGCCTTAATCTAATTCTTTGATTTCAGGATCAATGGATGCGCAATGCTCAAAGTATGCTGGATCGATTCGAGTGCATCGTGGTCGACAGGAGATCATGTCTGAGCTATCGAATATGGTTGCTGAACTGCTGAGAACCTTTTATCAATTCTGTGGGAGCAAACCACAACGTATTGTGTTTTATCGGTGAGCTGAAATTCTTCTCAGATAGCTTGGTTACTTTATCCCTTTTTTTCTCACAATCAAATTACGCCTGTAGAGATGGAGTTCCTGAAGGTGCATTCGCCGAACTACTCAGATCTGAAGTAGAATCCATCTTCCGTGCCTGTGAATCACTAGAACCAGGCTATCGACCCACTCTATCATTCATCGTAGTTCAGAAACGTCATCATGCCAGATTCTTCCCCATCCGTCAAGAAGATGCAGACGAGAAATCAGGAAACGTGGCACCAGGAACCATAGTAGATCGAGACATTACACATCCAGTAGAATTCGATTTCTTCTTGGCGTCTCATCCAGGATTACAAGGCACATCCAAACCAACTCATTACCACGTGATTTACGATGAGAATAATTTCTCTGCTGATGGGTTACAAGAGTTGACGTATCGGTTATGCTACTTGTATTGTCGTGCTACGAGAGCAGTGTCTGTATGTCCGCCGGCCTATTATGCACACTTGTTGGCTGCACGTGCTAGGTTTCATTTTGATGAAAATGGTAGTAGTGAAGGCAATGATCGTGTTGTGTCGGCTGCTGAGTATTCGTTTCGAACCGTCAAGGTATATTCCTGTATAAATGTTTGTACACCCGTGCTTTTTTGGCCACTGAACTGACATTACCAATTTGTTTGAATTTCTTAGCCTGACTTAGCACGCTTAATGTATTTTTTGTGAACATGTGGTTGTAATCGTGGCTTTTTGTGGGAATATCATGTATTTTTGAAAAAGTCAAAACCCATTGTACGTAGTTATCAGTTGCATCAGGTTACAAAAATACAATGATACCCTTCTTGCATTTCAAAACGAAACAGGGGTTGTAGGTTTTCGAAAGAACTCTCATCTGGATCGTTTCAAGCCTTGCGTCAGTCAGATCTTGAATGTTAGTGCACCAGCAGTTCCAAAACAGCCTGATGGAATCAGCAAGATCGTCGAGCGATGGCGACGTGTATAATGTATGATCCTGGGCCACGTAGAGCGTTAACTTTAGAAGAAAGCACTTCAAACTGGCTTGATCCAGAGACATGGAAGCAGGCAATAATGTATCTTCCGTGATGTCAACACGCCCTTGCGATCCGTGCTTGCTTGGAACAGACATTAGTAGGTCGCCCTTGCGAGCTGACACCAATGGCGGGTCCTTTGCAGCGTTGGAGTACTTCCACGGGCCTCCCTTTTCGATGGTCGCGGACGTCACATGAAATAGGGCAGCAAAACAGACGACGCCGAGATTCTTTGCTGGTTGTATGATCTCCTTTTGGAGTCCTTCAAACACATTAACTATAACTTTTCTCACTTCATTCAGATTGATTCACATTCTAGAACTCTGGGATTGAGCGGAAAGCCAAGAAAATAGTTCTTCCACGGAACTTTTTTGACCCAACCATGAACTCTTGGAACTCGCTTCACCCCAAAATTCAAATTTACGGCACTTACGACACGTGAAACTCCACTCCAATTGCTGCGATGAGAGCTTTGATTTATAGCCTTCTTGCCTTGGGTATGTGATTTTGTTTGTGTGCAATTGGTGTTTTCATATAGACTGGATTTTTAATGATTAACGAACGATGGCGTTTTAGCATATGCTAGCACGACGTTCGCATGTGTCAAAGACTCGAACTGTGCATCGAAAGTGTGCTTGAATAGAGTTTGCCAGGTCGCAACTTGTTCTGATGGTATATCTCACATTTGCGTCTACTTGCGTTTCTTGCAATGAATTCTTTTTTGAAACAGCACTAACCTAACACAATACTTATGATACTGTAGGTGTACAAAATGGATTTGAAAGTGATGTAGATTGCGGTGGTGGTGTATGTGGGAGATGCAATTTAGGGCAGATGTGTAATATCGCGAGGGATTGTAACAGTCATCATTGCAAACGTGGAGTTTGTGTGGATGTTGCTTCTTCTATGTAGGTGGAACTTTAAGAGACGTACTTTGGCTAGTTTTACTGATTTTTGCTTGTAGAATGGAGACTCCGACTCCGTCGTCAGCACCAAGTGTAGTGATAATGCCATCTAGCAAGCCTGCTACGACAACGCTACAAAAAACGAGCACGACAACACGGTTGGCAAATAGTACGAGTGTATCACCAGCAATGATATCGACGAGATCTGCCATTCCTTTAGCTGTTCCTATAGCAAACTCTGGTAAACCGGTTACCAGTACCCCGGTAGGCTCTACAAGAGCATCACCGTTCGTGACATCTAGTCAAGAATTCTCGTCAGTTGGAGTAAGTTCGTCTGCTCCATCAACAACGAGAACAGGGACAAAGCCAATATCAAGCCCAACTACCATCACTACTACTACTAGCAGGTCCACCACCACTACCACCGCCACCACCACCAACTCAGTCGCTCCATCAATCATCCCATCAAGCACTCCAACTCTCCCTTCAGCACTCTTCACCCGCACGCCACGTTCAGTTAAGGCATCACCAGCAGCTCTCCCAACCCTGGGATCCTCATGCACCTCAGCCTGCCAAGGCTCCAGCATCAAATGCATAGACAGCATATGTCAAACATCATGGAAACAACCAACATGGTCATCATCTTCCACACCATCGAACATGCTTAACGGTTGGTCCGTGTCATTCTTTGCATGGGATGCCGCGTCGCAGATAACGGCCAATCCAGATCAAAGTGGTGATTATGTGATGAGGGTCGTGTATCCTGCTGGGAGTCGCAATCCGGCGGCGAGTCCTGTTGGTGGACTTGGAGTATGTGTGGAATTCCCGCAACAAATGAATTCAGGATTGCAGTACGTGAAGATTAACTTTTTCGTGTTACTTAGTTTTATGCAGAACCTTTGGATTTGACTTATGCAAGTGTTGTGACGATTCAGTTTGATGTTTACTTTCCTTCGAATTTCAATTTTGTGCTTGGTGGGAAGCTGCCTGGTCTGTATGGTACGTGTTGCTCTAGCATGGCATCTCTTTGGAGCACAAATTTGGGTGAAGCTAATCTCTTCTTTATTGAATGTATAGGTGGTGCCACTGGATGTTCCGGAGGCGCAAGTGCTGATTCCTGCTTCTCATCAAGGTATCCATCAAGATTTTATGGGCGCCTTTTTTGCTCTTCTTCATTTGTGTACTGGATGCGTATCAACTCGTACTCCATCGACCCGTTAGACACATGTGGAGAACAGGCGGACTTGGGGAAGCGTACCTTTACGTCCCAGTATCAGAACAACCAGCAGACTTTTGCTCTCTCCCTCCACTAACCATATGCAATTCTGATTTCGGAGTCTCACTAAGTCGAGGTGCCTTCACGTTCGCAACCGGCAAATGGAACACCATCAAGCAGAGAATCGTACTCAACAGTTTCGACAAGAATGGAGCCCCGAATATGGATGGAGGCATTCAAGTTTCGTGGTCTGTGGATGGTAATCCTGCGCATGTTGTTATTGACTACGAATCTATGGTGTGGCGACAGTATGAGAGTGTGACTGCTTTGGGTATGCAGGCAAGTCAATAGTATTGCATTCAATCTCTTTTTTTTGCTCTGCTGACTTGACGATCTTCACCCCTTAGTTCGACACGTTCTTCGGGGGCTCCGATGACACTTATAACAGCCCAACAACCCAGTACGCGTATTTCAGGAGAATGAGCATGTCTGCCTACTAGGTTTATGACAAAGTCCCAAAGCGTCCCTTTGGATGCATTTTCTACCACGCACAATACACGTGTTTCAAGAGTTTCAGCATTTCGCAAAACTGGATTTATGATGAAATTCACGTTTACATTAATCTTCAGCTCCTTGAATCAATATTTTCTTAAGCATATTATTTTTCAGCATACAAATACAAAGAGTCTAAACAATAAAGATGCGACCTTATTGCGCGTTTTCATAGGTATTGCCGCTCCTTCCTTGACGTGATCTAGTCTGGTTCAACGTGAACAAAAAGCAGTGACTTTGCAGGATTCGAAAAACACAAGAGGAAGAAACCGTTGTTTGAATGGAATGCGTCTTGTCTGCTGCAGCTCTGAAGCGTAAGTATAATTCATAAGGTCTACTTGCAGTTGTTGGTATGATATGCTGCAGAAGCTTACATCCTGTTTGTTTGGTCGTTTTTAGCATTTGGTAGATTTCTGACATGTCTGAGTCGTATTGGAGACGATCTGCAATTAGACGCATTAGACAATAAGGTATTTATCTCTTTATTTAGGATTCAAGCCCTCTTGTGGCCTAACATCAGCAATTCGTATAGATCATGTTATGGACTGTCAATTCGTCCAGATCTGCATTCTGTCTATTTACCCTGACGGATGGATTCTTTGATCGAATACATATAAATCCTCAAAATCAGAGACAGCATCAAAATGGTGTCTTGACGGGTGATGCTAGAAAAGTTAATTGCAAGCTTCTTCTGAAGGTAAGTTGGACGAAAGCTAGATTATTTTTCACCCAGCAAAAATCTAACATTTATCATCCAACAGCCATTCATGAACATATTCAAAGGCAAAAATAATGTCGACACCGTCGACCGCTGCAAAATATCAATCACATACGATGGTGCAGACAAGGACCGTCTAGTCGTCCAACTCTTCTGTAAACACGGGGTCGTCAAAACCCACAGACTAAACTACCAGGCTTCAGACGATCAAAAGGCACTATACTCGAAAGATGTGTGTAGACACAAACTGGTTATACCGCCTAAAATGCTGGGAGAATTGTTGATGAACTTTGGGACTAAACTGGAAGAGGTTACGTTGAGAGCTGATCAGCAGTCTGTTGTGTTAAAGAGTTTTACGGAGCTTGCTATCCCGGGCAATAATCATCGGACTGGTATGTGAGGCAAAAAATCAAATGGAAGGCACAAATGACAACTCGAGGTTACTTCCTCATTACACTCAATCCACTTAGATGAACCACCAAGACATTTACAGACAGAGTTGAGCATTGATCCAGAAGACTTTGATTTGTGTGAAATACAGAATGAAGCTGAAGTGACTTTTGGGTTGAAAGAATTGAAGGTAGACGTGGATTTGTGATTTTTCGGCTCAATGTTGCTTTCTTGCTCGTGTTCTTGCCTTTGACTTTCTCAAAACCTCTTGCTCTGTATCTCTCTAGGCCATCATTCATTTTGCTGAGAATTCCGGTGAGCCATTGTCAGCTTTCTTTGATCAAAAGGGCAGGTAGGAACCCATTATGTCTTCCACTGGAAGGGTCTTTTTGCTTCAGCTAACAACTACATACGCTCTCGCACGCAACCACGAAAGCCCCATCATATTCTCAACAAGTGTCACGAACTGTTTTGTGGTGGATTTAGCATTGGCCACTATAGCTAGCGTAGATGCATCAAGTCAGCCTTCACAAACATTTTCTCGACAAGCCTCACAATCAAATAAATCTCAATCAACAAGTAATCCTCAAACGACTACGACAAGTAATCCCTCCTCGAAAAGAAATAGTGTGCCCTCTTCTCCTCGAGCTGGACCTATACCCAAACCAACAGACCCTCCACAAGTTAGAGTGGAACGCCCTGCATTCAACAACAACACACCGGTAACATTCAACACCAACGGCTTTGCAAACAACAATGCTGCTGGTCCGTCACGAGCAAATCCAACACCTAATGCAAATGGACCACCTATACCGACACCGACCTCACATATGAAACCACCACCAGCACCATTCGGTCAAGCCAATTCGTCACTGCGAGTAACACCACCAGATTATAATATACCACCAGATAACAATGTACAATTACAAGAAGTAAATTATGAGCTGAATTATGATGATGCTCTTTTTGATGGTGATTTGGATGATTATCTGGTTGGAGAACATTCATATCAGGAAGTGCCGTTGCAGGGTGGTCAGCAACGTGATGGGTTGGGATTCGGAGGAGATGGTGGAGGAGAGCAACAGCAGAATGATAAAGGTGTTGAGGAGGAGCAAGTTGACAATGACGATGAAGAAGTTCCAGCTTCTCCACCTCGGGGTCCACATGTAGATACTTTGCTGAAGCGGCTGGAGGATATTCGGCAGTCAGGTATATGTCGTTGGGTTTGTGGTCTGTCAAGAAAACTATAGGTTGATTGACTTACTTTTTTTGGTGTCGAATTTGTTTTAGCTCATCAAGCAAGGACACGACCAGCCGATGATGACGACGATGAGGAGATTCCTCCTACTCAAGTTCCAAAGAAGGTGAGTCCTGTTTGCTAATTCATTACTTGACGTCCGTGAAAGTCTAACACCAAAGAATAATAATAGATGCGATTCTTGTCAGACCCACCAAAATCAAACAACAAAGACCTCAAATCATAGTGTAGTAACTAGTAGTTTATTTTGAAACCCATTGTAAATTTTTGCTAATCGTTTCAAATGTGATATATAAGTGTAAAAAAGAGTATACTTCTCCAACAGCGGTATTACAAAGACAACACAACCATAATTCTTATTAAAACGACTCAACGCCCTTCCCATCTCCCCTCAACAGTAACCGACACAGTCTCTTAATCCAATCTCCTCAACAGATAATCAACTTCAACCAACTTTGTCAATGGAATGACAAATTTCTCATAAACATCTCTAATAACCTGTGGCCTCACTTTATAATTCTTGACTGCCGACACATCATCAGGATCCTGTCCATAAGCCATCGCTTTCTTCTCCAGCCGAGCGAGTAAACGAGCCTCAACGACTCGATCCGTCAACAGCTCTTCAATTGCAGCACGATCTTGTGCTTTGATGAGCGACACGTATTTGTCGTGTTCTGGACCAATGAATTTTGCTTCTGCTACGAATTTGCCTGCAAAAAACGAGCGTTGCGTTAGGAGAAAACAATAGAGCTATATACTACAGATAGTGGAATATTCTATGCCTCTTCACAACCACAGCAACTGTCTCTTGTATCTTTTAATCTAAAGTATCAACATACCATAATGTATTCTCCGACTAATAGCCTGCAACGCCTCAATATCCCTTGTCGTCGCACTTCCATAGTTCAAGTCATCACCAGCAGCCGCTATAACAGGTATAATCTCCTTGACATAGATATCGAATATCTGTGGGTTGATGTTGATATCGTTGGGGTGCAGTATCGATGGGTATGGTAGTGCTTGGAGTATGGGTGCGGGGAGTGATGATGGTGACGAGAATGGGTATTCGTCTGGGGATGTGTAACGGCGTACTTTTGCTGTAAGTAGAAAGTTACGAGATATCGCGTGAGATGAGGAGAAAAAGGGATATATTGAAGGTTGGTATATACCATGCACAGATTCCACTTCTAGCAGAAACCATGAGAGGAATGATCCCGAGAAGCCATTAGCGAATGCGAATTTCCCAGGCTCGTATATGGCTGCGTTTGACATGAATTGGGCTCGTTCGATAAAAGCTAAGTAAAATGGTAATGTGTTGGAATGCGAAGTTTGGATGCAGTCCTATCGTTTAATGAAATGTAGCTTCCGAGCAGAGACAATGGGTATAAAACCAAACTTCAGGTGCTTATATATAGTTTCCCCCCAAATGCAGTCCATTTCACCTATGAAATCAAACACGCAACGGGACTTACCAAAGATGATTGTATCCTCACAGCGAATGAGGACATCACGGATTTTGGCGAGGGAGAGAGTGTTTTCTTTTAGAGCGAGCAGATTCATGTTGTCGGTTGCGGGAGGCGAGGGCGGCAGTATGCGGTGGATTGTTTCACTGGACGAAGAGCTTTCGGTTTGTTGCACCATGTTTGTGTTGGATGAATTGTGGGTATGTGTGGGCGGAGAAGAGAGATGCAAGCAATCACAGTGAATCACGTAGAGAAACGCGTTACTATAATCATAACATCAAAATATATTATTTGCCGTGTGCAAAATAATAGAGAAAAATACAAAGTTTTTAAATCATTGACAGTGGGTCAATCTTTGACACACAATCGCCCTCACTAATGTCCCATCCCTTAAACGTCAACGTCACCGCCCGCTACTTATGATATTCTCCAATATATCCCTAAATCCACCTAGAGCTGGAAACTCAGAGCTCATACCACGCAACGCCTTCAATACACCAGCTTTGATACGTGATATTCCAAGTTTACCCTTCGATCCAGTAATAGCAGCTTTTGACATTCTAGCTAAACATGATCCAGCCTCAAAGAAGGCAAATGCTGCTTGTTGAGGGATACGACTGCATTTAGGATCGTGAGGCAAAAGGTACTGAGTCAATAATTCTGTTATAGCTAGTGATGCTTGCAAGCAGGTTTTGACTGATGGGTCTTTGGATGCTTGTGATGGTGGGAGTGTCATAATACGTTGCGATGCACGGGGTTGGTGTAGTGATAGTAAAGCATAGTTGTATGTTATATGCAAGAAGCATAGTAGCCATGGTCTAATCATTGAGTAAAGTACGTTAGTTGTGTCACAAAAAAGTGGCAAAAAACCAAGCTGGCAGTTCGACAACGAATCTAAGAATCCCAACCGGTGCTCCCAAATTGTTACACTTACGAGTCAGAAGTAAGGGACGGTTGAAACCCAGCAGAATGTATCGACAAATCCCTATATCGAGCTGGCAATGCATCCCACCACAATCTCATCTCCTCATCAACTCGAGGCAAATCCCGTGAATACTCGTCCGAGTCTCGAGCTTCCATACCAAACTCATCATCCCATACCCGCACTACTTTCAATCGTCCGACAGCAATCGATTCCATATGCTTGGTAATTCCACAATCAGGCTCCATTATACCCCCTTGTTTACGTACAGATCGATAACTCATAGCCCGAGTCAATAACAGTCGTGCTTCAATCAAGTGCACGTATACATCGGGTTCGTTCTGTATTACCAGTGCGGGTTTAATATCCTGTTCGTCAAGCAGTGATGAATGAGGAGGCGTTTCAGCGTCCATTGCCCATCCCATAAGTTGATCGAACATGAGAGACGGACTGGCAGGCATGTAATTTGGTGTCATCAAGCCTGGGAAGATGGGTTCTAATGCTGCTGGGTCGGATGTAAATAAAGGCGGTCGTGACTCGTATACGATGGGTTCAGGTGAAGCTAATGCTGTTGGGTCTGCAGTTTCCCATAATCTTTCACTTGATGGTAATTTGACGGGGTACTCTAAAAGTATTGAGCACAATGAATTCTTTGTTGGTGTAGACATTCCGCCCTTCATGTTTGGCCTTACCTGAGGGTATCAGTCTAGGTCGAGCAAAAGATGCAGACAGCCATGAATCAATCAGATAACAACACCACCACACGCGCCTTTGCCTCTCCTTCTCCAGCCACGATATAGGTTCTCCGCTACTACGTTCATCAGGATCAACATCGAAACCCAGATACAAAGCTAATCGTGCAGCCATGCTGGTAAACGCACCAGCAGCTTGCACCTCGCCCAACCCAAAAGCATACCTATTTTAAAAATCAAAATGATGTTTAAAATTTGTTATTCCAGTGACCCATTTGGAAAACATAAGATATTTTTTCTTTACCGTTCTAGCAACAACAACGCTATAATAGTATCACAATTCGGCGTAGTTTCCACCATTTCAGTTACCAGAGATCGGGCCAACCGGTAAAAGACTTCGCCACGTTGACACCATTGAGTAGAGACACCATTGATAATTGCTTCTTGCTTGGAATGTTGTGCACCGAGAGCACATACGCTGTATAATAATAATTTGTTTGATATCTGTCGTTTGCCTACTAGATCTAGGAATGATGGGCGATGAAGCAGATTCAGGGGTGCGAGAGGATGATGATATAAAAAGTATGATTCGGATAACTCTTGCAAGTCCAACATGTCTGTTAGTTTCAGTCTGAAGGGCCGTTCTATACTGTGTATGGGTTGAGGTCTCTTTGGAATGATTGGTTTATGGCGGATTGCTACTTTAGAGCGAGACTTTGATGATCGTGATGATTGTTGCGACTGTTGTTGTTTCATTTGCAGCTGGAGCTCTTTGAGTCTCTTTTTCAATTCAGCGGCATCTATATGAGCTTGAGTGAGTATTATTGTGTGTAAATCAAGAATGCAACATGGTACGAACATGCGAGATGTTTTGGATCAGCAAAGTCCTCCTCAGCGTTGTAGAATGGATCAAAGTCACATTTGAGTTCTGCAGTTTTACAGTTCCCACATATAGGAGCTACACCATCACATTTCCTCTTCCTTCTTCGACAGTGCACACACGCATGTGATATCTTCTTTCGTGCAGCAGTTCTATGTCGTTGTTGTGGAGCAGCAGCTAGAGCGATCTGAGGTTGCTGAATACCATTCCCTAATGACTCAAATGACATATCCAACGGGTTGAATGTGCTATATGACGGTGTCCCGTATTCAGCATACTCTTCATCGTCCTCCTGCATTAAATTGGGTAATAGATGTGGTGAACCCCACGATGGAGTATTTAATAGTTCGGGCTCATAGTCATCGATAGTTGCCAGAGTCACAGACGGACCCGTGTCCCATGTTGAAGCTGGTTGATGCAGTGCAATCAAGTTCGATGATGTTTGGTTTGGGGATGTTAATGTTGGTATTGCGACATTGTTCGCAGCTAGAAGGTCTACTATTGTTTGATAAAGCCTTTGCTGCTCGTCATTTGATGGCATCGGACCCGAGGAGAACATTGGGGCCATCGAGACAGGCGTACTGGCCATACTGGAGCTGCAAGGAGGAATTGTGTCAGAAAGTATGAATAGAGAAACCTGTTTGATACAGGATGCATACCTGGCTAGTAGTTGTAGTAGCACGCTATGATCAAATCTATGCGTCCTCGCTACTCACTACGCTATAAAAACGTTGATTCCGTCAGAAATGCCGATCTCTGCGAAAAACGATTTCATGGGCAACATCATTTGCATCGAATGGAAGAATTAATTATTCAAACAAACTCGATTTATGCTCAATATACGCGCGATATTATCAGGAGCCTTTCTTTAAGCCTCGAAGAAGACTATTTGAAACGTCCTGTCACCCAACATGTTCTATGTGCAAGATGACTCCAAAGCAAGCGTCGAAGGCTAACCGCAAGCATAGTTCTCGAATCAAAGACTTGCTCGACAGCTCACGAAATCATCGGAATTGCAATCAGTCTCCTGTTGGCACAAAGATCTACAGGCAAACTGCCTCCATACTTTGATTTCTTCTACGTGTTGACTTGACGGAGAGAATTGGACGTGTCTAAGAGCATCCAATCACTCGAGTCGAGTAGCTGACACGTAGTCCGCCCTCAATTGAAGTACTTTGCCTTGTGATATTAGCTTTTCTACCGGTTATTCTGACCATACGTCCAGACTACTCCAGACAAGACAAAGCACTTTGTAACCTCAAGAGCATGAAGCATGAATTCCGACTATTTTACTATTTTACAACATTTAATGCTTGACTGATGCCCTCATTTTTATTGTCAAAGCTTCCAAAAGTTGCAGCTAAGCATAGCTCCCATGTCAAGTTTTGGTGACGTAAAAATACCAAAATCTTTAAACTGTCGAATATCTGATAGCTAGATAGCTGTGAGATAGTAGGCATACGACTGCGGCCCCCTTTTTCACGTGCAGCGCTACCGGTGACCTACGGCTTCTCCACGTGGACTTCAGTTTTCCGGCAAACCATCATCACATAGATATTTATCATGGCCGTAGACGTATTAGTGGACATTGAGCATCCTGTATTATTGGATTTACCTATTAGGAGATCAGTGGAAGTCGCCGTATTCGATGCTCCACCGGTAATCAACCACATCAAGAGGTCGAAGTCAAACAGGGACTCTCAAGCGAGACGAGAGAAGCCAGGCAAGCCAGGATCACGTAGGAGAAGGCGATATGATAATAGTAAGTCTCTCTTCTCTTCTATCTTTGCACATTTGTCCTTATCGTGCATCCAACATTTATATTGTCACTACACTGCCTGATTATGCTTCTTGCATCCTCAATCAGATAGATTACTCGACAATCCGTTGAAGCCGACTGCAGATGACATCTTACCAGTCGATCGTCTGCCATATGTTAGGAGTGCTCCTTCTATATTTTCTATATGCGCCAATATGAAAATCGTTATACCAACAGACGTGGAAACACCATCGTCGCATCCCAAAGAACCTGCCTCGAAATCCCGAAAGCCGCCTCAGCGGCTATCTAGCAAGATACGCGACTACACTTCTGATGCATCGGATTGGATGTATGCTATAGATGGATCCATTCGAGGGCTCGCGAATAAAATCGCTGGTGTCAAGAGCAAGGACCATTGGAATGCTGAGGCTACTGATTCTTTTGGAAGGTTGATATTGCATACTGTGGCACGCTTTTATGGGTTGACTTCAACCAGTAAGAATGTGCCCTCGTTGATGAGCAGACCTCACATGTGTATCAACATTTTTATAACCATTAGGTGTTGCGACACCGAATGGTAGAGTAGTTAGAGTCTATGGAGGAAACAAACAGATATCGGCTCCACCAGCAGAGTCCTTCTTGGACTACATAGCCTCCTTCTAAAGCTCTGCAACTATCAAAGGACTATTTGGGAATCCCAACTACGTTTTTATCTGTGTTTTCGTAATATAAATATTATAGATCTAGAAGCTAGCAGTGATAAAGATGGGTTTTACGTTACTTTACGTGTCGCGACCACTCAAGACTCAAGATTGTGGTGATGGAGCTGTAATTAATTGAATTGAAACTGTTTAAATACCCGTGTATATGCTTATTCATGCCCAAATCACGTCATCAATGTTGAAAAACTGTTCCGCTACACCTTTTCATTCAAAAACTCGACACAAACACAAGTGGCTCTCATCGAAACAGACCGTTGAGCAAGCACGAACATGGTCACGAAAGTACTCATACCGGAAGACACTGTACAGTCCTTTGCAAGCCTGTCTAAGGCCGCAAACAGCAGCAGCAACCATCATAAACATCTGTCCACCATTGCAAGTGCTATTCGTAAGAGCAAACGATGCGTAGTCATTACCGGTGCTGGCATATCTGTATCTGGTGGTATTCCAGTAAGTGAATCTTATCCGTATCTGCTTGCTCTTCTTATTCGCAGCATGCTTCATTTCAACAAACATCCCTACTGAATTTGAATTTGGCAATTGATCAAAACAAAAACACGACGATGAGGAACGAGCTTACTAATTCAATATAATGAATTTCGAATCAATAGGATTTTCGCTCTGCTGATGGTCTATATAGTCTAGTAAAAGCCAAATATCCAAATACGATCGTCAAGGGTAAAGATCTCTTTGATGCCACGCTCTTCAAAGACCCAGTCACGACACAAGTATTCTATTCCTTCATGGGTGAACTCAAAGAGCTGATAAAGAATGCCAACGTAACTCCCACACATCGCTTCCTCAAGAATCTAGAAGACCAAAACCGTCTGCTACGATGCTATACCCAAAACATTGATGGAATGGAGGCTCGCTTGGGCATGTCATCTGACTTGGATTCTGGTAAAAAGACTACTGGTACTCGTGTAGTCCGCCTGCATGGTGACTTGGATACGCTAAAGTGTACATTATGTAAATCGAAATACGCCTTCTCTCAAACGGATGTAGACTGCTACAAGGGTGGATCTGCACCTGCTTGTCCCAACTGTGTCCAAAACGATGAAATTCGAACTGCTATGGGCAAACGGGCCGTCACTGTGGGCTTACTACGACCTAATATAGTATTGTATAATGAACACCATGAATCCGGTGATGTGATTGCTGACTTGACTACTCACGATATACGTAAAAAGCCTGACTTGCTGATTGTCATGGGCACGTCACTCAAAGTGCATGGCATCAAACACTTGGTTAAGGACCTGGCTCAAGCTGTACATGCTGTACCGGGCCGCCAAGTAATACTAGTAAACCGTGTCGAGCTAGCCAAATCTGAATGGGACGATGTGTTTGATTACCATATACAATCTGATACAGACCATGCAGTCATAACTCTTGAAGCTCTTGTAAACAAAATGGAAACTGAAGCTGCTAAGAAGGATGCTGCGAGAAAGGCACTCAAAGCCAGCAGACCAGAAACAGGTGTTGCTGCCATTCCATCTCCAGTCAAACTTATAGTTGTTGGTGGACGTGGTGGGTCTCCTGCTAATGATCAGGAGAATGCTTTTGTCAAGGCTGGTATGAAGAGTACCAAACCAAGGTCGACTACTATTACTCCTGCCGCCGCCGTTAAGCCTTCTTCCTCGTCGTCTATACCCATTAAGAGCCGCTCTTTATCAAATAGTAAACCCAGTGTTGTCACTGATGATAAACCACCGGTCGCTAGCAAAGCCAGAGGCAGCAATCGTAATAACAATAGTAATAACAGTGATGCGGTCATGGGTGGTACGAGTCCTCTCCAACCGAATAGTCCTCTTCAACCCAATAGCAAAGTCATTCCAAACCAAGTAAATGTCAAGGGCAAAGCATCGAATCGTAGTACTGTACTAAAGGAAACTGTATTATATGTAAAGAGCGAGTCAGAGGAGGGAGCAGCTGATGAATTATTAATAGTGGACGGGAAGCAGCAGGTTGATATTGAGTACTTTGCACAAGGTGTCGAATTTGGTAATGCTTCAGATACCACCGATGGTGAAACAACACCCATCTCACCATCGAAACGAAACAAGAAGGCGAATGTATCTCCTACAAAGAAACGTAGGATACCCAAACAAGTTACAGCAACAAAGACCGTTGTCGATGAACAGGATGATGAGGAGGATGAGGATGTCAAGATTATTGTTGAAACTCCCGCGCAACATAATGTAAAATCGAAACTACCAGAGCCAATGATATTAGATGTAGAACAACCATCCAACAACAAGGGTATTCGACCAACCACTCCAGAGACGTCTGCATCTCAGGATTATAGTAGGCAGGTACAAACATCACCGGGAGAACGTGCCAAACTCAGGATACAGTCTCTCGCTGCTACCAAGAAGGCTGCTCCTTCAGCTCCACCACCCGCTTCCATAAATGCATTCATGAAGGCAAAGAAGAGGACTACTGCTACAGCAGCAGCAACAGTAACAAGCTCAGGAAAAGGAAAAGCACCTGCTGCTGTCACTACTACTGATGTTGAATTGCCACGTACTCTCACCAGATCTAATGGAAGAATTGTGCGTGCACGAGGGTAAATATAGAATTAAGTGGGATATACCATCTTTGCAATTAGCACGTCATTTTGTCCATAAAGTCTCTGTGTATATTGTATAATAGCATTAGCAAAACGAACGCTTTAATAAACCCGCCGTGTTGTATACAATTATATTCTTTAGAAGCGTTTGGTCTGTGATTTGCCTGTCGCAAAAGCAAAATACATGCCAGCAAGTAAAGTTGATGCTAAGAGCACAAACCCTAGGTACATCATGCCGGTGTAGAAGTGATTCTAAAGTTCAAAATGAAAATCAGTCTCACAATGAAAGGTAGTGAAAATGGAAGGTTTACCAGCCATGATCCTGATGGAGGAGCGAATATTGCATGCACTACACGTTCTGCTGGTGGACGCATGAGCCCTCGTGCTCGCTTTTCTGGGTTTATGATGCTGGATGATGAGATGCGGAGTATGTCGTGGTGATCTAGTGTAAGGAGGTGATGTGTTAGCATGAGTGGTTGTGTAGATCACGCAGTCAGGTCATGGCTTGTCGCATACCAGACACTTCACCCGTCCAAGCAGTAAATCCTATATATGCGGTTGTGGGAAGCGAAACATTGTTGGCTGTAAAGCATGTTTCCCAGGTGTCCATTCCTTTAACGTTCAAGTCAACCTACGAATACAATATACGTGAGAGAAGGAACATACAGGAGTTGCATACTTTGGCATTGACCACTAGTTTCGCATTACCTGTAAATATTCACCCCGAATATACCTAACTTTAGCCCTCGTACCCACATACTTGTTTCTGAAATCCGAACTACATCCACCCATCTGCTGATCATATCCATCGTTCTCATGCTGGTATTTCTGAGTCCCATTATTCAGGATGCCATACACGTATGGGAACGTATGACGATGTCTTCCATTTGAATACGTGTCAAAGAATACGCCGAGCCCAGTCCATTCATCCTTGTATCCGAATACGGGACCGGGGGTTTCACGTTCAGTAGTAAACCAGAATGCGAATCCGTCGCCGTAGAGGGCGGTAGTGTGGCCATGGACCTTAAAGTCGAATTCTATTTCCCAGGATGCGGATGTGAAGGGCTAATGTGCCAAAAAAATAATGATGAAGAAGCACTATACGATTCGAGCGACTAGATGGAGCTTACGACACGACTCCATAGCCACCCTTGTTTGGATTGGCGATCAGGAGCTAGACGGACATAGTTCATTACTTCGACATAACAATCTATATAGGTAAGTATGTGAGGACCCAGAGTGTCCATCAGAATTGGCACAAGCGAGTTTTTTTTTACCTCCTCCAAAGTTCCACCATCTAGTACAAACAAGGGTAGAATATTTATAAGTAAAAATCCAGATCAAATCCTGCAAAAGAAACAGCAATTGACAACTCACCGGTTGTTTAGATTCTCTTCTACAAATGATCACAGGGCGAAGAACGAGTGAGTTAGAAGCTTCCAACGCACAGAATCACGACTAGAAATATACAAATATATGGACATACCGACATAAGGGGAATGCAAGGAGAATGAATGTAATGGAATATTGGTTTCAGCAGTAGGACCTGGTTTGACGACCTGCTGGTCTCCATAGACCAGAGGGACAAGAAGCAGACAGATGAGGGTATACAGTGGCACCTGATGGGCAAGCATCATGACATTCCGTTCTGGACAAGTGACTTTGATGTTTTGATTTTGTAGAGAAGTGAGTGAATTCAGAGAGGACGTAAGAGACGAGAGGAGACGAGAATACGCCAGCCGTCACGTGGAAATACGCGTAATTCTGGTGTCTCGATTCACATCTTCTTTACAATTCCATATGCAAGACTGCTGGATCTTTACGCAAGCAATTTAATCCAACGATTTAGCTAACAGGTAACGTGTATGTCACAAGTCCTTGCTATCACAGTTCCACTCTTTATTGCTCTTTATAACATTTTATCTTCTGCATCTTCGTTTTAGTCTCCCAAATTCTGGAACTGTCTGCCATCAAACCACAAGTGTTTCAACCAATCTAGAACCACTTTCCAACTAGAATGAAGAAGCTACTGAATGTACTGCTTATATGCCTCATATCATGGATGCATATCACCAATAGCCAGCAACTACCGGGGCTGATCGCTCTGCCATCACCTGTCAAATCCATACAACACGCAGTCGACATTTTCAGCAAGGATAGAGTAAAACGTACAGTAAAACGAAGATCAACTGATTCGAGACATGCTTCTGATGACGTCGTCGTGAGTCGCAACCACGACACTACTTCTTCTCGTAGCCTAGTAAAACGAGACTCAACTGCTTCGTTTGATTCAGAAGATGACGTCCTGTACGCCGAAGAAGCTCGCGCAGCACGGTCTAAACGACTTGCTGCCGTAATGCTAAAGGTCCAGATCGTAGTTGGCTTGGTTGCATCTGTAGCCCTGATTGGATTCGGGATTGCGACAATCCTGACTTCTGGACTATTGCCACCTCTAGTTGGTCTTGGGTTTGTAACTGTTGGAGCCCTGTTTCTCCTCGCTGTATTACTCAAGAGCTCATGGTTTATGCCACTGTATCATCGATGGGATTATTGGAGGAGAGGAGGGGCTGGTCCTATCGTGCCGTATGAAAACGGTCATAGAATGCGTCACCAGATTCATGTGATGATGCACCCTGGAGATGATATTGTAAGAGTTGTGTTTGCTCTTTTGGACGAATACGACAGTCTGAAGGCTAAGAGTGTCGTTTACTCAAAATGCCTATACTCTTAGGATGATGCTCGACATCCGGAGCCTCTAAATGTAGACCCTCCGAGAGTGAGAAATGCAGTGTTGCTTTTAAATCAATCAATTGTAACATCCCCACTTCCAAAATTGTTTGGGCGTGATTTACCTAGACTGTTGAGCTATCTGTAGTGCCTCTCTTTGCCCCGTCTATACCAGCTGGCACTAAGAGAGATTGGCTAGATGCATTCGCAAGCTTTGTAAGTCAATGTCACATTCTCTCAATCCTCGAACGATTTTTGTTTCTGACCTCTAATGTTGAACCCTCATTTTTATCCAAACTTTTCTCTAGCGCGAAATAGATCTGGAGTATGTAGCAAGAAAGAATCTGGATGAAACGGAATCAGCCAATGAGCCATTTATCGAACTCTTCAACTACTGTGAATGGAATCTGAATGCATATTCCAGGGAGCTGGAGGTAAATATAAACGTGCTATTCGAGTGGATTTGGGTTCCGACCCAATAAACTCACTCGTTGATGTTTTGACTAGCATCGTATGGCTCCAACTTTGGCGGTAAAATGGCTTTTGCTAAGAAAAGCATCTTAGTGGAAGATTTCAAACGGCTCGTCTAAACCAACAATAATCCAAGCATAGGCACATGGTATGCACCGCGTACCTACTATCAGGGCTGATTCTGAAGGTGCTGGTAGTAGTACTCGTGGTGGTAGCTCGTTCATTGCAATCGAAAGGTGGCTTGCTACGGGAATGAAGACAAGGAGACGTTTGAATCCAGTACGAATTCTGTGATACCTTTGTTTCTTGCGTTTGTGTTCAAGATCAACCCATCCACATCTTGTTAGATTATCATTCCGGATGCATCCTCAAGAGTCTCGTTGCGTATAGACCCAGTCCAGCTGTCAAAGAAGCAAATTGAGTGGCCTATACGTTTGAGGGATATCAGTCTTTCGATACCGGCAAGTCTTGCGTCCACCTTTCTAACTCACCCCCAAGTCTGCTGAAAACTGGTTTCTGATAGTCTTGCTCTTCTCATTAGACTCATGATTCTGAAATCAATCCGGTTGGTTCAAAATAACGTTTCCAATAGGTCGATCTCTCCTAACTCCTGACTTTCTTTCTGTCTCCAACAGGAAGGAAGCACCGATAGCACAGCACGTACCAGTGGAATGGACCCTCACAGTCCTACTGGAAGCGACGCATCTAGCGCTGATAGGACAAGTTCAGTGAGTGCTTTACTTTTGGTCATAAATGGTTGTGCTTAACTCAAGGTGTCTATACTGATGAAATGATACTCCATCTTTGCAGCCAGCTCCAAAAGTAGAGCCTCCCAACGTGAGAAATCCATTGCTGCTTTGAAGTCAACAACGATCACATCTAACGACTTTGAATTTTGGCGGGTTTTCCTAGTCTGTTCAGCTGCCTCCGAAACCTGTCTATATCCCGTCCATCCCAGCTGGCACGAGAAGAAATTGGATTGATGCTTTCGCAAGCTCTGTAAGTCAAACTCGCATCCTCTCAATTCTCGAGCGATTTTGGTGTGATCTTGATGTTTGAAACCTCCCGTGTTTTTCCCAACTGTTCCCTAGCACGAGAAGAATTTCGATCTTGTAGTCAAAGAGCATCTGGATGTATTAGAATCAAACAATGAACCACTTATGGAACTCGCCAAGTATCGCGAAATGCATCCGGATGCGTATACCAAAGAGCTCGAGGTAGATATGAAACCCGGCTATTCGTGTGGATTTAGATTCGGACTCACTCATTATATTTTTTCGGCCAGGGTCGTCTATCTCGAATTGTGGCGGTAAATGCCTATTGCCAACCATGTTCCAAGATTTCAAACGGGTTGTCAGACTAAAAATAATTCAAATATAGGGGCATGGCTTTCGCCTCGTATCTCCTCGGAAGGATGATTCTAGAGGTGGCAGTAGTAGTACTAGTAGTGATGGTAGCTCAGGCATGACACTTGAAAGATGGCTTGCTATGGGACTGAAGAAAAGGAACCGTCCGAATCCAGTACGAGTTCTATGATACCTCGCTTTCTGCGTCTGTGTCCAAGATTAAATCCTGTTAGGTTGTCTTCTCGGATGAATCCTCAATATGGTCGTCGAGTATGGACATGAGCAACTGGTCACGGTATGAAATTGAGCGACAGAACCGTTTGGGAGATACCAGTTCGACATCGGCAAGTCTTGCGTCCACGCTTTTAACTCACAGTTAAGTCTGCTGAAAAGTGGTTTCTGACACTTTTGGACTTCTCATTAGGCTCATGACTATCACATCCGTCAGGTTGGTTCAAAGCAAACATGTTGGCAGTAGTTTGATCTCTCCTAACTCTCTGTTTGTTGTTTCAGCAACGTGAAGGAAGCACCGATAGCACGGCACGTATCCATGGAATGGAACCACACAGCCCTACTAGAAGCGATGCATCTAGTCCTAATAGGTCCATGACAAGTGGGTTTGAAAGGATACATCCAAATTCAGTAAGTGCTTTACGTTTAGTCAGGACTGGTTGCGTTAGTATTGCTGAATGACACAATTTCTATTTAGTTGATGCCTCAAATCGCTCCTAGACGATGATAAAGCTTTTTGTAGAATCCTTTGTTCCTGGTAGAATAATCTGTCACATTGTCCTGAAGCTTTAGACTTTGCACTATCTTTACTTTGTTGGCAAGAAATCCATGTATATTATTGAACATAATGTACATTTTGCTTGTGCACAAAAAAGGGAGTGTGCTGGTGTTCGACGATGTGGTGGAGATCAAGTTGGCGCAGAGCGGCCAGGAGATGGCACACTCGAATGTATAGGCAGTACGATGAATAGGTATCTTCTCGTAGTAATTCAACACTTAGTACGCAGATGAGAGAATCTCAGCGACGAGACTCATGCAAACTACAACGTTATTCAGAGGCATTCATCATTTTCGGGGGCCTATGCTATAATATATTGGGGGCAAACAGTGCGAAACAAGGAACGAATTATACAAAAAGCAAACAGCAACTGGCTAAAGAAAAGCAACAACCTATAATACAACACCAACATTACTTATACAACACACACAACCACCATACCACCACTCCATCATCAATGATACCTCTTCTTATTCTTCTTCTGCCTAATCTTAAAGTCTGAGGTAGGTGTCTTTGGTCTCATAGCTACAGGTGGCGCTCTCCCATACGCTCTAGCCTCACAAGCAGCCTGTGCTCTAGTTATATAGGCAGCACCCTCACCAGCTGCAATCCACGTTGACGGACCACCATTCTCAGAGCCCCAAAAAAAGTTACTGCTGCTGCTAGACGGAAGAGTACTGGATTCGTTCGGAGACGGAGATCGAGAGGTTGACGGTGACGGTCGAGAGTTCTTTGACTTTGTGTGGTTGTTGTGATGGTTGCCTCTTGATGACGATGACTTTTTCTGACTATTATTACTATTAGTACTACTATTGTTGCTGTTTGTATTGTTGTTGTTGGTGTTGTTATTTTCGGTCGCACTGTTACTAATATCCCTAGTATCCCTATTCCTGTTATCTGCATCACTTGCATTCGCACCACTAGCCCCACCCAATCCTACAACAGAGGGCCCCTTTCGTGAATCAATCAAATCTCTAACATGTTCCATTCTCCAAACCCCATCCCAACTATAATATACCCGCTTAATCCCATAACGATGCATCCATAAAGCACAAGAAAGACACGGCCTCGAATTTTGGAAGTTTGCCCTGACGACGTACATGTCAGCGCCCTTAAGACACTTGAACCCGCCATGGGCGTTTACGAAAGGGCTCGTGGAGTTCTTTAAGACACGGCGTTGAGGAGAGACGCGGCGCCGCCGAGGTCTGAGAGCCAATAGCTCGGACGAGAGCAGCCATCTATAATGAGAGTAAGTAGATTGTTGGTATAAGCTTGATTGGTATGTGTGGCACGAGTTTTGGATGAATCAGAGACAACTGTTCTGGTGACTGAACATGAAGCACCAAATGTTGCATCACGAGGGATGCAAGAGCAAGCCTCCCATTTCCTCACTGAATGCATGAGTAGTAAGAATACAATTGCCCTTTTCGACCCCTTCCAACATGACAATCGCACCAACTGTCAAAAAACCGTTTTTACACAGAAAACCCCATTCAGGTGTGTCTCTCGACCACCATCGAGAGGTACACATACATCCAACGTTCAAATAGCAATAGGAGACAATAAAATAAGAGACAATTACCTCAGCATGGGTGGAAGCGTACGTCTGCCTTCCCAGTCGCGTTCTAGATTGATTGAAGCCAGAAGCAACGACTCTGCCTCCTCGAACGATGACGGCGCCGTGCTGATGGCACATGGGGGAGTTCTGCGACTGCTTGTGCGCCTCCTGTAAATAGACCTGCTGCTTGCACATTCTTGATACGTTGATGATGATATGTTGGTGGATTATAGACTAGTTTTGTGGAAGCTGTTTTTCTTTCCTGTAGGGATTGTGAAGTGGATTACTGGCTGGCTATTTTTTGGGATGGTTGCTGAGCAAGGTGCTGTTCCTGTTTGCTTTATGAGCTGTTCAGTTTCTGATGTTTGTTGTTTGTGTGTGAAAGAAAAATGCACAGGCCTCACTCATTTGCACAGCTGCTGCATGCATCCCGACTTTGACCAATTTTTCTAGTTGGACCGTCAAGACAGGACATCCAGCACGTGTTGAATATGGCGGAAGTCACTCAGCTCGCTACTCCAAATACGGCTCACTCTGTGAAGCACATGTTCCCACCACTCACAATAAATACGCATGTTGCCGAAAACGACGATGGGAGATCCATTGCTCGTCAATCTATCGCTCCCGTCGCATTACCACCATCAGAACTGCAACAATTATTTATCGCTGTGTGCGACCAAGTCTATTCAATACTCAAGAAAAACAAGGATGCGACCAAATTGATCAAATCGTTAAACGACGTCAAGGTAACCTAAATACCCCTAAGATCAAGGCCGTTTTCGGGAATTCTAACTCTATATACACTATACACTCTCAGGATGCATATTTGGCCAATGTCGCTTCACTTTCTCATCACCTGGAGACGAGTTCAAATGTTGCTGCTTCTCGACCGACATCACCAACTAAAACAATTCGACCAATATCACCAACCAAATCAGTCAGATCAACTATGCACTCAATCCATTACCATCCCACGAACCCAGACGAAGTGGAATCAAACTCGTTGCTAGCACACTGGGTGAATGAATTCCGCAGTGCTGTAGTCAACTTGCAAGAACGGTGCCAGAAGGTTAAAGCTGCCAGTCTCATGACATCGTCAGCCAAAAGGAAAAAGCTTGAGAAGGGGATTATTGAAGTTACTGATTGTTGGAATAACCTGGTATGTGAGCTCTGAGAAGGATTTAACAGACACGCTTCTAAACGAAACTCATCCAGATGATGAACTTGAGTATCGCAATTTCTCGAAGTGGGACATCGTTTGCTGCTAATGCAACTGAGCAAGTAGCTAAACTTGCTCTAGCTTCTGGAAATCCGGATTGGGAAGGTTGGAGAACAGGTGCTGAGATTTATCATCCAAGGCACATTTGCTCACCAGTTTTAATAGATCTAGATTTGGAAGATGCCGATATTCTAGTTTTGCAAGGAGACAAGTACATGCTAGGCTTTGGAGTTCGTAAAGATCCAGAAACTGCGTACCGTCGATACGAGGTAGGCAAAAAAATACGCAGATTCTCCCCATGAAAGTCCGGACGATGACATCTATACTCGTAGGCTGCCTCCAGAGCTGGACACCCACAAGCCCTGAACATGTTGGGCTTGATGAACGAACTTGGAATCGGACGAGCACGCAAAGACATAGCAGCAGCAGCCTCCTTTTACGAACAAGCTGCTGGTGAAGGTGATGCTACAGCTCTGACGGCACTTGGAAGACTTTACGAAGGTGGGGTAGGAATACCTCAGGATATGGCCAAGGCTCGGGAATGCTATCAGCGTGCTGCTGAGAAGGGAGAACCTGAGGGAATGTGCAGTTTGGGTATGATCCAGCCATACACTCTGGTTTGTAGCCAGCTGATACTGACAAACTTTGTGTATAGGAATGGCGCTAGAACGTGGTCTAGGTGACCTACATCCAAACCCATCAGCTGCACTTCGATGGTACACGCTAGCAGCAGACCAATTCAACCATCCTCGAGCTGCGACTGCTGCTGGATGTATACTGTACAAGGGGCATCCTGAGATTCAACCAAATGCAGTTGAAGCAGTGAAATATTTCAGACAAGCAGCTGAACGAGGAAATGAGCACGCCATGAACTCGTTGGGAGTTGCTTATGAAGATGGATGTGGTGTTTCAAAGGATTTAGGACTTGCGAAGGACTGGTATCTCAAGGCTTCTGAGAAAGGAAGTGCTGATGCGTTGTCAAATTTGGGGAATATATACCTGACGGAGGTAATGAGACTTTTGAGTTGTTTACTCCAGCATTCTGTGCTTTGTTCTCATTCCGTTTTTGTTCTCTCCGAAAAATAGAAATACTACCAACAAGCCTTCAAAGTCTTCCAACTCGCCTGGTCCATGGGCAGCGTCGAAGCAGCATACGGACTCGGCACCATGTACCAGAACGGCTGCAAAGAAGGCGCCACATCCGACATAATTTTCTTACGGCGTGACATTGCAATGGCCGTCCGATTCTTTACCGAAGCAGCATCACGACACCACCTGCACTCATGTCTCGCACTCGCAAAAATCTACCTCAAGCCCACGATGTCGAATCCAACCAAAGCATATACCCTGATTCGACAAGCTGCGACCGAGATTCCTGAAGCCATGTACTTGCTGGGACATTTGTACGAGACGGGAACTGGATGTGGGAATGTTATGATTGATCAGGCCGTTGTGTGGTATAAGAGAGCCATTGAAGCTAATGAACGCAACGGGTGTGCAATGTTGAGACTGGGTATGCTTCTGGAGCGCGGAACGGGAGTTTCGATGAATATGTCGTATGCTGCTGAGCTTTATGAAGAGGCTGCCAGGAAGGGGAATGTGGATGCCAAGGAACGGTTGGAGGCTCTTAAACGTGTTGGACTGGCTTGATTTATGAAGAACGAATGGAATCTCTTAGACTTGTTGGCTCCGCTTAATGAACTTTGTAGTTATCACAACTATTCTTGCATTTAAATATCATTAATTCTCATTCAATCAATCGCTTGCGACTACACTTCCAATGTTTGAGTGCTTGAGTTTATTTGAGATCAGTAAGAGTGTTACTTACAGGCCGTCTTACAAACACAAAGCCATAATAAGAGCTAGTCCTATCAAATATGCGTTCCTATTGCTTCTTGCTGGTGCAGTAGACCACAGAGATCTCTTGTCTAGTGTTGTTGGTGTAGGAGGAAGTTTTGGTCCTTTGTGTATTCTAGTATCGGCCATTGGCAGGAATTCACCACGTTCTTGAAGCTTTTGTTGTAGAGATGGAGTCTGTATTGGTTGTTGTTGAATCTGTTCGTCCGGCTTGACTGGATCCTCGACTAGACTTGATTCCTCGACCTGTTTTATTGGATCGTTATTAGGTTGGTTTTCTTGCACCTCTGGTGGTGGTGGAACGTCTGCCTCCATGGAATCGACCAACGATGCGACCTCTGAATACACTTGATAGTGAATCTCTCCAACCGCAGACGACGATCTAGTGATACGAACCATATCTGGCAATATAATACGGTTGAATTGGGTGGCGACGGCCAATATGGTGACAAAGAGTGCCAAGAGCAAGACAAACCAACGTTCTGGTAAGAAGGACCTTCGGGTTTCACGTGTATCCCGTTTGGCAGGTACTACAGGCCGTTGAGATGGTAGCTCTTGAGGTTCTTGAATGACGGCTTGTGGTTCTACCATTGGTTTATCGTCCTGTTCCTCGTCGTCGTCGAGACCGGGGGAATTTGAATGCATCTCGCGATACCGAGCTTCGTGGTTATAAGTCAATCGGTTGATGGAGCCCAAGCTAGAGTGTCTGAGATCAACAGAGTCTTCACTGGCATGCCTTCGACGTCTTGCGGAGAGATCCAAATCAGACACTCGAAGCGCTCCTCTTCCCATCATTGGAATCATGGCAATTCTCGATCTATAACGCGTGAATTAATTCAATAATCAGGTTAGCTAGACTAATTCACACTCTTTTCTAAAAATTGCATCTCCTTTCGATTCTTCTGCTTTCAAAAAAAACTCGGCACAAGCATTCAGTAATATATAGATACATACCTTATATAGTATAGGAGATAGCCTTGTTGGCACAGTATCTACGCTGACGGTAAGTGCCTCTTAATCGATGAGATATAGTGTGGCTGTCCCTAATTGACTCTGATGGGATATTGTGTTTTTCTGAATGTGCAAGCTAACAGTTATTGAAACATAGGCTGGACATTAGAGAAAGCTTGCCAGATAAATCAATCCTATTTTGGAGACTGCAAATCTGCTTCAATCCATCAATGGCTACCTCATGGACACCTCGCTCTGAGGGACTTCAGCAATTGATGCAAATATTGCAAGGATGTCAGGCACCAGACGCCAACACTAGGAAACAGAGCACTGAAGTAGGTTACCAACACTGCTTACTTGTATTCTGCATACATTACTGTTGCCAAATATCTGGTCCTTCATGTTACTCCCATCTATATACCGCAAAACTTAACGACCATCTCCATTAGGCACTAACTTCATTCGAACGAGTACCTGACTTCAACAATTATCTGGCTTACATCCTAACTCACGTCACAACTCCAGATATGAACACTACAAACATACGAGCTACTGCTGGACTGGCCCTCAAAAACAATATTAGGATGAACTATGAAGCCATACCAGCTGCCACTCTCGAATATGTCAAATTCTGTGTCCTGAATGCCATAGCTGATGGAATTCCAGCAATCAGATCAACTGCAGGTACCATCATCACTACTCTCGTCGCCAGAGGCGGTATACAGGCATGGCCAGAAGTCCTACCCAAACTGATGGAATGTCTCAATCACCCAGTCGAAACAATCGTCGAAGGTGCTTTCGGAGCCTTGCAAAAGATTTGTGAGGACTCAGCACGCATCTTGAGCTCGGATCCATCTCGACCACTCGACTTTATGATTCCTAAATTCATATCGTATATTGATCACGCCAGTATCAAAGTCCGTGTATTCGCAATCACTTGTATCAACCAATTCATCCTACTCAGATCCAACGCGCTGATGATTAATATGGATGCCTTCATCCAGAAACTATATAGCCAAGTAAACACAAACGATCCCGATATTCGAAAGAGTATATGTCAAGCAATCACATACATATTAGAAGTCAAACCCGAAGGACTGATGCCTGAACTGGACAATGTAGTCCAATTTATGCTGTATTGTACACAGTCTGAAGACGAATCAGTAGCATTAGAAGCTTGTGAATTCTGGTTGGCATTTGCTGAACAAGACGGCCTTGTAGATTTCCTGGAACCACTACTACCACGTATAGTCCCTGTATTATTAAAAGGAATGGTATATAGTGAAGAAGACATCATCACATTGGGAGGTGCTACTGATGATGACGCTGCAGTCCCAGATGCTGATCACGAAATCAGGCCACGACATCACCGAGCAAAAACTCGTGCCGCTGAAGGTACTGCTGGATCTGGAGCCGCCGTCCCATCTCAACCAAAGGCAGCTAATGGTGCCAATGGCGAAGAAGACGATGATGAAGATGACGAGGACGACGACGACGAAGATGATGACGAGGCGTATGGTGAATGGAATTTACGTAAATGTTCCGCTGCTGCTTTGGATGTTTTGGCTACTGTTTTTGCAGACAAGTTGTTGATTACTCTGCTGCCTCTCTTGAAAGGAGAGTTGTTTAGTGATCAATGGCAACATCGAGAATGTGGGATCCTGGCTTTGGGCGCTGTTGCTGAAGGTAGGTTTATTCATAGTAATGACAGTCATGTCACGGTGATTCAAAGGACAGTAGTGTTCAGTTACTTCAGACATAATACATTCATGTTTTTGCCAGCTGACATGCCTCATTTTTCGTTTTCAAGGATGTCTGAATGAAATGGAACGACATTTACCGACCTTGGTGCCGTATCTCATCTCTTTGCTGAATGATCCCAAAGTGAGTGTTAAGCTGGAAAGGTTCGAAATCTGTCATGACGTTCTAATCTGTCATGACGTTCTAATGCTGAACTTTTTAGCCGCTGGTGAGAGCCATTACTTGCTGGACGCTTGGAAGGTATTCAAGGTGGACGGTCCATCCACCACCAGATATCAATCAAGCAGATCATCAAAGAGTCTATTTGCATCCACTCGTTGAAGGGGTACGTGTTTATCAAATCAACCAGCTTTTTTTGCGTTCCATCACTTTATACGACACTAATGAAAACACATTCATAGCTCTTGGCAAAAGTCTTGGACAAGAACAAAAGAGTGCAAGAAGCTGGATGCTCTGCTTTTGCTACATTAGAAGAAGAAGCAACCTACGAACTAGTCCCCTTCCTCGACACCATTTTACGAACTCTAGCATACGCCTTCCAAACATATCAACACAAGAATCTATTAATATTATATGACGCTGTGGGTACTTTGGCTGACTCCGTTGGTCATCATCTCAATCAACCTGCTTTTATCGAAATACTGATGCCACCTCTGATCGCATTTTGGCAACGGCTTGGTGATGATGATCGGGATCTCTTCCCGTTATTGGAATGCTTGTCTTCTGTTGCTACTGCTCTAGGACCTGGATTCGCACCGTTTACTGGACCAGTCTTTCAGAGATGTTTGACTTTAATTGAAGGGACACTGCGACAGGATGCTGTAAGTATCGTTGGAAGGTTAGAGGTTCCTTTTTTCGCATTGTCAGAAAGCAATATAACCTTACTGTCATTCCTTTTCCAAACTTTAGCTGTATCGAGCGAACCCAGCATCCATTGAAGCACCCGACAAAGACTTTATGATAGTCGCCTTGGATTTGTTGTCTGGGATGACTCAAGGTCTTGGTGCTGCTATCGAACCTTTTGTAGCAAATAGCTCTCCGTCGTTGGTCCAATTACTCGCACATTGCATGAATGTATGTACCCTTGATGGGTTATTTGGACAGCACAGTGTTGCTTTGACAACGTCTTTGTACCTTTGGGGGTGTTTTTTTCTCCTACCATGTTTCTGACACTTTTGGTTGATCAACAGGATCCTGCTTCTGAAGTGAAACAATCGGCATTCGCTCTATTAGGAGATCTATCCATATCGGCCTTTTCACATATTAGACCACACCTCAACCAATTCCTGCCCATGGTCATAAATCACATAGATCCCAACGCCGACCCATCTTGGATATCAGTATGTAATAATGCGACTTGGGCAACTGGTGAAATCTCGCTACAATATGGAGACCAAATGCAACAATGGATTCAACCACTACTCGACCGTCTCATCCCCATCTTATTGAATGATCATACTAGCCGAACATTGTTAGAAAACGCAGCAATCACAATAGGAAGACTTGGGTTTGTAGCACCTGCTCAAGTAGCGCCCTTCTTGCCTCAATTCTTACCGACATGGTGTACAGTATCACGTAGTATAAAGGACAATCAGGAAAAGGAATCAGCATTCAGAGGATTGTGTCGTATGGCCGAAGCCAATCCACAAGGCGTATCACAGCACTTTGTATACTTTTGTGATGCCTTGTGTTTGTGGGAAAGGTTGCCACCAGATTTGAATGAGGTATTTAGAAACATATTAACCATGTTCAAAAATATGGCTGGTAATGAACAATGGGCTGCATTGTCGGGTAATTTCCCAATGCATGTGAGGAAGAGGCTTACAGATAGGTATGGCCTATAGTAGTTATACAGTCACCTGAGGTCGAAAAGGAAGAAGGGATATACAGCAAACACATTATAAAAGCATTTGTATTGTACTTTTGTATTTGCAGGTCTTTCTTTTTTACAAATAACGAATTTGCTACGAGCCAAAATAAAGTATAAGACATTTGAACCAGGTTAGAATAATGCGATAAATGTTTCTCGTACAAATGGGTTAAAAAATCATTGTGTATCGTGTGAGGTTGTAATTAAATTCACCCTCTACATCTTAAATGATAGACCAGTCGGAAACACAGCCGTCATAAAGCGTCCAAGCTTCAATCAGCAGATGAGCGAAAAAAATGCTGCAGTGTTGAGATCAATGTAATATATGCAAATGGGAACAATAAAACACTTTCACTGTACAAATAACTATATTTAAAACCATGCTGCCCATCCTAATGACACATGAAAAATGTCAGTTTTCATTCAAACTTACCTCACGCGCAAAGCATGTCAACTTACCTATATACATCTCAGACAAATTTTTCTGGTCTGTGGCGGCGGTAATCAAATCATGGACGTGACCTTCAATAGACAAGTTAGATTCTTTGACTTCTCCCAACAATTTGTTTCGGATTGTTTCCAATGCCTTGATTGCTTCTGGGTTGTCTTCACTGCGATCAATCCCACCCTACGAAGTGGACAAGTAAAACATGCTGAGAATGGACAGGAAAAAAGCCGGATACAACGACCATCTCTGTACAACTAACCTTGCTCTTCCTGACACTCCACTCGACAAAGGGATCATGCAGAACAGCTTCAAGTACACAACGAAGGGACTCATTGCTGTCCCTCATAATTCGTAGTGCAATCTCACATCGTTTGCGGAAGGCACCATCAACTCCAGTCACACCAAATGCATCCACCATATTGTGCGTCAAACGGAAGGGCACCTTTTCTGGTTTCTCAAATGTCTGACCCTAAAATAGAATTGATTGAGTAAAGAATGTATAGGCAACGCCAAAAAAATGAACATGAAGAAGTAATCATACCTTGTCAAACAAGCAATTGAAATCAACATGAACAACTTCCCCAGTCTGTTCATCCAGCAAGATGTTTTCACCATGACGATCTCCCAATCCTACAATCACGCCCACCATAGACATGACTGCACATGATGACGCATATGCTGATCGAGCAGCCAGCCAAGCAGTAGGTTCAGGGAAACTTTCCACAAACCATTCATGCAGTACGGGGGGATACATGGTTACTACTTGATCTCGGAATCCTTCCATTGCATGAGGTTGTTTCCTGTCAAGGACTAGCCCAATTTCCTTGTACTAAAAATCAAAACAAAAAATATTGATATAAAGAGTAAAATGAGGATTACCACAGACATACATACCAGATTGTAAGAAATGTTCTTGGACTTGTATAGGCGTTGCAAGATATGTCGTATAGTCGTAGTTCCTTCCACCCATTCAATCAATCCACATTCTTCATTCAGTGGCATGACCGCATATGTTCGAATTCGTAAATTACGTTTCCTGGCTTCTGGATCCTTCTTCAAGAGCTTGTTGATGACTGAATTGAATTCACACAATCGTGCATCTTTTCGTAAATCATCTTTGGGTTTACAGAGAAACATGTATCGTCGTCCATCAGAACCCAACATCGTGATTTTACGAGGTTTTTGAAGGGATGTCATGATATCGATTTCGTCCAGGAAGCCTTATGGGAGAAACGATTAGAAACTCTGGGAAAAACGAGGACGATACAGGATTGTCAAATCGACACGACACTCACCATCGATATGAGGTAGGTTATCAGGAAACGGTTTATGTGAACTCAAAGTCTTGGCACTGGCTGGTAAAGTCACAGTCATTGCAGACTGCAAAGGAATAATCATTTGACTGGGTACCATTTTCAACAAATTGCGGAAATCATTATTGAATGACAAGGTCGTTTGGCGTTGACCAACAGGACGTTGCGAAATCTCTAAGAGTCCTTCAGTCATTCGTTGAGCATCTTGAATCAATGAATTGTATAGGGTTTTGGTTGCTGTGTTTCGGATACTTGGATCACTCTAAAGCAAAATTGTTAGTCCAGACAAGAAAACAAGCATTGAACGTTGTTGAGTATTAGCTTCACCTTCACGTGATTCAACACCTCCATCACTCGATCACTTCGCAGCTTGGTTAACGATTTGGCCACCATCATCAAATGCCACAATGCTTGTCGAGGATATGCCATCAAAACAGCGGCCAAGATACGTTGCAAGACTATCAACACTTGCTTATTGCGATGGCCAATACGAGAAACTAATTGTGAGAATGCTGTATAGAACTGAGGAAAATGTTAGGGCGATGTGGCCAACAACAAAATCATCATGGAGGCCGCTCCATACCTGATAAGCTGGTAGCTGCTGTGACAAATTCTTGACGCTATGATTGATGATAGCGAAACTTTTGTACCTCCCATCAGCTTCAGGGCTAGAAAGAGACACATACAGTCAAACACCAGGTCAAAAAAAATCATCTGCAAAGCTACCACGATTTTCACAACAAAACTCACACACTGGCATCCGTAATGAAAGTTCCAATATCTAGCCAAACAGTCAATAACTTGGGCATCGTCTGGTAGATATACTTGACACCATAAGTCAATGCCGATCCATAATTCTTGACAATGTGGTGTGTATACGAGATCATGTTGCTAGTCAGGGGATTCGAAGAATTCTTTTTTCGCTCATCATCTTTCTCCTTCTCAAACGTCGTACTAAAGTATCGACCCAAGTAGAAATAGCCCTTCTCCCAACTGTGATGGAAAAAGGTGAGAAAAAGGTGAGATTGATGTTATTTAAACGTTTTTCCGCAGCTTTGGCACACCACTCACTTTGGTTGCTTCTCGGTGACCCTTTTAAACCTCCCGCGAATATCTTGAACAGTACTACTAGTGGTCTCCGCCATCCATCTAGTCAACAAGAGTTGTGTCTTGGCCTTGATGAACTTTTCATTCGTTTGGTCAATAACAACATCACGAGCAGCGACAGCAGCAGGGGCACCTGGTGCTGTAGAAGCAGGGGGAGCACTTGGTTCAGGACCGTCCTTAGCTAAGACTTCTGATAATTCTTGCATGGCACGGTACACATGCCCCTCGGCATGCAACCACTTGGCTCGTTCGATATGTACTACGGGAGTTCCTAATCGTGCAGCATGGAGTAGAGCCGCGTATGCCGCGGAATAAATATTGGCTTTACGAGCTTGAGCAGCGCTTGCCAGCCAGAGTCGTCCTGCATCTGCAGCAGTGTTTTGAAACATGCTATTCAAACAGAAAGCAAAAAAATGAGATTATTCGGCTGCTTGTGAATTTAAAACACAACTTGCCCCATATCATAAATCAAGATCCTTCTCAAATTTAAAATAGGCTCTCGAACTCGTAACGTCGTCACAGTACCAGTCAACCTAGAATCCCATTCACTCATCAACTGCTTAACGACCTGACCTCCAGCTGTACCACGAGACGCAGCCAAGACAGCAGACTCGATTTCATACAACATGTGTAACTTGGTCGTTGTATCATATGCTCGTCTAAATGATTCCATGCTGGCAGCTACCAAAGGAGCAACCAAGGATTCACGAGTTTGTCTTAACTGATTTGTGAAACTCTCGATTTCACCCATACGAGCCATCATTAATAGGGATCCAACTGATACTTCAAACGTTGGTTGATGGTCTTTTTCTAATAGACGTTCCAAGACAGTCCAGGATCCTAATCGCCATGCTGCTTCTATACCAGATGATACAAGAGCAGGTGCCCAAGCAAGATTACGGGTCATGGCTCCTTCGATATGCGTAAGGGATGTTTCTACAAAGTGTTGGTTTTGCTTTAGCAATGACTCAACCACACACAACGCAAAAAAAATATCGTGATTACCTAGATGTCCCAAATTCTTGAGACAGTTAATCAATCCCAAATTGCTCTCCAGCGTCTCCCCGCTCTCTTGTATGATCATCTCATAACAAGTCTGTGCAGTTGTCCATCGTCCAGCAGTCTCATGTTCCAACAATTGTTGTTGCACGGTAGGCTCTCCCATCCGAGCCACCAGGCCTTCCATAGCATCAGGCTCATCAACAAGCGCATAAGCTCGTTGTAGATCTGAATATAATGGTCGTAATGCTGCATCAGCTTCAACTTGTCGTATGGCGGTTACGGGCATTGTTGGTGGGAGTATACGATCTCGTTCTGCACGTAAATGACGTTCAGCATGCATGAGGGCACGAGCGTGTGCTGAGGCTCGTCGAGATGCTTCGGCCATCAAGAGTTGTGGGATTCTGTTAAGGAAATTGGCGACTTGTTCTGTTGATGAGTCGGTATCTGGTAGTTCATCTGGTGATACAAAGCGACCAGCACGTCTAGCTTGTAACTGTTTCTCTGTGTTGGCTTTTACACGTCGGATTCGTAAAGACCGAGTCAAATGGTCGATGAGGGAGAAGATGGTCTATGCAAAATAAAACACAATTGTCAGACAATATGATCGCGCAGTCTTCAATGCATAAAACATCACCTGTGTACTAATCTGACGCTTCTCAGCCTCCTTTTGACTTTCAGCTCCATCGCTCCCCTGATCTTCCAACACAGATGTAAACTCTTGATATACTTCATCAAGTCCAGCCAAGCCACCAAATACAATACGATTCAACACCAAGTGCGGCAACACGGCAGTTATGAAACTTCCATCATCAGATAATCGAATTACAACGGTTAGCACTTTAAAAAGTTTGCCAGCTTCACTTCCAAGAACTCGTTGAGCCAAATCAAGTGCCCATTCTCTGGCCCATTCACGGTATCCTGGTGCAGACCTGTAAATTGGTCGTTCAGGTGCTGGAAAAGTATAATTTTTCGAGAGGGTATATTTGGTATCAAGTAATGGTCGAAGCGTATTTTGCACTTGAGGTGAGAAATGATTCCACTTCTCTCGTAATTCGGCTTCTTGGGTATTTGGTGCTGGTGGTGGCAATATGGCTATACCACCAGACTGTCTAAATTTAGCTGTAGCTCGAACCTGTTGTTCGGCAGCTTCAACTAGCGGTTTATCAAACCCTACATATCTTAATACTTCTTGCAATGCAAAAGAATACTGCCCCTGTTCTTTGGCACCAGCTCCAGCTCTCATAGCAGGCACAAGTCGCGATTGGATGAGCGAGAATGCTAATTTACAACATGATGCTCGATCTCCTAAATCTTCAACTTCGGCTTCCCAAGCTGGTATAGGTGGTGGTGGTACTTCTAATCTGGCAGGATCAAAAGCTCCAAAAGCACCTATACATTCACCACAAAGTACTCCAACATCACTCTTGGATGTTGAAGCATGTTGTGCTAGAGCGTCAAGCATGGCACGAACTACTGTTGCTAGTATTGGATCAGGCACTTCAGCTACGATCATGGTCTGGATTTCACATTGAGAGCGAGTCAAGACCTGATACAAGTCTCGCAAGCCATGGACTACTACAGCCGGACTTTCATGTCTTATGGCTGGAATCAATGCTTGAAGACGTTGAGGTAGTGTAAGTGACTCACGTTTTGCATTTACTGTTTCTGCAATCCTTCGTAATGCAGGATGAGCAGGTAAAGCTGGAAGTGCGGCTAGGTATGGCTCAGCTGCTGTCGACGAAGCCAATTTAGCAAATGCTTTAGCAGCTACATTCATCTCTTCGGGTGTATATAGAGTGGTATCTCGAAACAGAGCGACCGCAGCTTGTGATAAGATAGGGCCAGCATCTAATGGTTTGACTGTCTTTAAAAACATTTCCCATGCGTACAACGCAGCTTTTCGAAGCTCTGCTGTCTCAAGTGCACTTTGAAGAGTAGCAAAGATCTAAGTTGGATGGAGATTTGATGAGTCTTTATAGCAAAAAAGTGCTGACAAGGTAGACGGATCATACCTGAGGAATGACATCCAATATCCCATCCTGACCAACCATGACCACCAGTTCACCCAGTGACCTCACAGCATTTATACGGTGAGCCAGAGTTTGTACTTGTTGAGCATCATTACCAATACACATATTAATATGTGCCACAATAGCCAAGAAATGACGCTTCAAGAATCCAGGTAGTGGTTTACCAGCACCCTTGGCATGAGTTGATGTCGATGCTGATGATGATTCACCCACACGACCATGTAGCAATGTCAATGCTTTAATTGCCTAGACGCAAAATAGATCAATTGAGATTATTGAAAAAAAGGCCTAACCAATCACAATACGACACGAACTCGTTCTTTCTTATGCTCAACAGGATCCCCACACTCCACAACCAACTCAGCAACCAAAGCCAACAGACAGCTCCGCATAAGCGACTCTAGAGTAATCTGTACATCTCCAAGACCCGCTCTCAGCATATCCAGAAACCAATCCAATGATCTCTGAACAACTGATGACTCTGAGTGATTTAAAAACATGTGTGCCAGAATATGATGTGTTTCATTGACACACATTATGAATACTTCCTTGTCGAGGATTTTGGCAATGTGGGTCATGGTATCAACGTCGTTGGCCAGAACTAGTTGTGGGAGTAGTTGAGGAATCATTTTTTGGAAAAAGTCCTTTTCAGATGATGCAAAGACTAGACATGCTTCGTATCCAATTCTTGGCTGGGCTTTTATTAGTTGTGCTATTCGTAGAGCCAGTTTCGGGAGATGTGGAAACATGAGTGACCATGGGCTTTGTTTTCGACGGGTCGCCAAAGCTCTGACCTTTTGAAGATTTTGTGAAACCGTATTAGAATAAAAGGGAGCGCAAAAAAGCTTGAAAGGATCGTTTCTACCTGTTCTGCAGCCACAGCCCGCACAACAGCATCCTCAAATGTGAGGAGGTCAGCCAATAGCTTCAAAGTTGGAGAAAGCAGAACCTCTTCATCACATTCCAAGCCACTCAATCCAGCCAACAAGATCGATATTGTATCAATGACCAGTGAGCCCTTGACCGACACAAGTTTTCTGATATCATTGAGCAGTAACGAGACGTTATTCATCAACATGGCACGAGATTCAACTGTACCCAGTCGTATAAGACGAATAAGGATACGAGTCACAACAATACTATAGCGGGAGAGTGAATGGGTGTAAACATAGTCTTCACTCATACAACAGTTTTTTGCGCGCTTCCATTTCCACAGCACTGAGACTCACCCAGCAGACAAACGCAAAGTCCTAATACCACTTCCAAGCAACTTAGTAAGAGCAGTCCAACGATTCAAATCCAAATCTTGTAGTTTACAATGCGCAACAATTCGCTCGAGACTTTGCACATAAGCAATACGTATCGGCAAATTGAATGCATTGGAAAGATATGGAAGAAAGCCATCAAGAAGACTGAAATCCATGAGGCCCTCTGCTAGGGTAGAGATACTGGCACATACTTTACAATCAACTGGGCTTCCAAATTCTCGTTTAGAGTATGGAGCACATATGATGTCTGCGATACTTTTTGCAGCAGCTTGGATTACTATTTCGTCGTCATGTTGCTTCGGTATACTAAATGAAAACCATCAATGAGGACAACACCACGAAAGAAAGCGAATATCGTTCAAGACACATATCTCATTGACTTACGACAACTCGCTCCACCAATACAACGGCAATCCAGATACTATATGAGCGCACTTCCAAACTGCTATCGCAAGCTGCGACAAGTCTCCCTTGGTATAACGACTGGCCTCGACCAACAAATCCTTGAGATACGACGGTGTATTTGAGAATGCCGCCAATCCCGACAAACATTTAACTTGTAAATCAATCTCTACATCGACTGCACCACCCGCCGTTATAATAGATTGTGCCACTGTCGACATTGCAAATTCTGCAGACATGGCTTCAGATGGTGATGCCATGAATGGAGTAGTGAGGGCGATTATAATAGGTAGTGATGCATTCCTAGACGAGAGAAGAGGTGCAGATAGTGCCAGTACGTGTAGAATGTTTGGTGGGAAGGTTGGCCGTCCATTGAATCCTTTGAAATTCAAGTAACGTTCTGCTAATGCTGATAGATGTGTTGCTAGTTTTTCAACATCTTCAAGCAGTACACTATGTGCCAGGCTGGGCAATATCACAGATAAGACGTTGATGGTAGCTTCATTTGACTTGAGAAATTAATTTGGTTTGTCAGAGGAGAGACGACAGCCGAGGGCAAAAACATGCAGAGCTATATTTGCCAATACCTCCAATGTGGTTTCCTTAACGTTTTCAATGATAACTTCAACACAAGCTCTGACAGCTATATGCATTGAATCATCATCAGCAGGTGGTGAAGGAAGATCATGCGAAATAATCATATTTTTGTTTCTACAGAGAATTGTAGCATCAGCGAAAAACAAAACACCCAGCAGGGCTGGCAAAGATCCTCGACGGAAATTCTTTACCCATCAGTGGGCGCAATCCTCTTGTGTCGTTTAGTACCAGACATGAGAAGTGTATCACTCTTCCTCTTTCTTCCAGATTGAGCCTAGATGCAATGATGGTGAGCTGAGCGAAAAAGACCTCACAACGCATTCAATTAATACCAGAACCTTCGGGACAGGAGCAAATATCTTGCTCATCAAGGATTTGACACTATCTTTCAAATGAGAATGAGCCGCAGCCACTTGCAATAAGTATCCCATCATGATCTCGGAGGGAATCGACTTGGTCGAGGTCAGCACTGTCGAATATAAGTCTAACACAGCGATCTGTTGCGAGAAATGGAACAGACTTAGCTCTCTTTGTTAAAGCTGTGACCTCGACAATTATGCGATACTATGTGCATATACCTGCAAATTACGATCCAACAACACCACGTGTTCAGGCAGCAACAACTGGCATACGACTTTACTAGCGACAGATACAATATCCATATTGACACCAGACCAAGATGAAGACATTAGTTTGGGTAAGATGGCTGCAAAATGATCATCCACGACTGTTACATTCGGCGTTGGAGTCATTGGGGTTGGTCGATTACTATCAGAATTCAGCTTTCGATGATTGACGACGGCAATCAAGGCTCCAAAGACGCGATTTGAGAATTGGATGGTAATGTGCATGGGTATAGCTAGAGGTATTTCTAGACATGTTTGTAGTAGCCATAATAGATCCTGTATTGGAAGGTAGCATAAAAAGTTGGTATTGCTCTAAAATTAACACCATCAAGGTACACGTCACGCACTGTATGCTGTTCAATCAATTCTGCAGAAGCAGAAGCCAGATCACTACTAATCATCAACCAGAGCTTCATTGTTGTATCAGACAATGTATTTGACATGGTCTTGTAGGCTGCTCCAACGATATGAATGATATTTGAACGAAACATGAGTGCTTGGTCTGTAGTCTCGATGTTGATTTCATATGGATCTGGTCCTGCAGCGGCAGCTGCATATGAAGAAACATCCAGGAATCGTCGTCGTGTAAACCCATTGTCTTTCGTAGAAGCAGTATCTACTATTGGACGATTTATAGGTGTTTTACCTTTAACATCAATCTTGCTGCCTTCAGCAACTGTCGCAGCAGTTGGTTGAGGTTGGAGCAACCAAGTCTGTAAATCCAATAGGATATCAATGAGATGTATGACGATTTCTCTAAATAAGAGAATTCCCCCGTCTTGACGACGATCAGCAATCATGTCCAGGATTGCGACGAATCGTTCCACCATTGGTGAGTGTATTGTAGTGTACTCTGGAGTAGCGAGCATTGCGGTGAATCTGGATAGTAGCCATACATCGAATTTTGTTTGGGAATTAGGTGGGGTTGTAAAGTATTGAGGTACACAAGAAAGAGCAGCTTGGAGGACTTTTAATGTGGAAGATACTTGGACTAGATTCTCTCTAGAGATAGATCCTACGACAAGATGAATAGATTTGCGTTAAAATAAGCGATATATTACGTAATAAATGAGATTGCTTCAAATCAACAGGCAACATCAGAATACAATCAACATTCCACATACCAAGAGGCTGCTGGAGTAGGAAAGTGATTTTGTCACGAAAAGGAGCACCATCAGCATCCGGAGCCGGATTTGTGACGATCTGAGCCAATTCCTCCCAAACATCTGCCATCACAGCACGTTTCACTACAAGGACAGCAATGTTTCTTAGTAGCTGATCAAGCGAAGACCATATTTGAACAAAAGCTAGCGAAAGAATGAAATCAGCTCGCAGTCATAATTTTACGTCTTGACGCGTAATACTAAGCGATATGACACTTCGTGTTTGGAACTGTTGGACGAGCCGTGATGGATTTACAACTAGAACACGGGCAGATCAGGCTTCGGAGACAGCTGTATACAGTTCATGCGTGTATACTAATCAGTCCAACACACGTTCTTCACGCCTTCACCTCTCCGTTGTCTTCATCTCTAGCTTCAGTATAAGCTTCACTGTCTCTCGCACTTTCCATATACATTTGGAGACAATGGAGCATATGCCTGGAGGCTGGATACCGCATGATCGAAGAGACCAACAAACTAGGAGTCCTCCCTTGTCTAATCCGATAAATCCCACTCCTGCTGCAACTTCAAGACCCTCAACCGAATCCTTAAACTTGCCACCACGGACATCTTCCACTTCATATTCATTTGACTCCAGTGCTCTACGGCAGAGGAGGGTACAGCGTGAAACTATCAATAGGCCGTCAACCTCCTGGTTATGGGGCAACTCTTCCACATCAACATCAGGTGTTTCGCCAAAGAAACCCACTGCAAGCACTAGCAGCAGCAGTAGCAGTAGTGGCAGTAGTAGAGCTCCTGCTGAAGATGACGAACCCCCATTTTGTTGCAATATCTGTTTAGACACTGCGTCCGACGCTGTTGTCACTATGTAAGCTTGTGTTTGGAGGTGCCTCCTTCATGTCAACGACAAGCATGATCTAACTTGTAACTCTGTACACTAGGTGCGGACACTTATATTGTTGGCAATGCATTCATAAATGGTTTACAAGTGGAAATCCTGCGGCTGCAACATGTGAGCATTCACTTCAGACTTTGTGCCTCTTTGGATACCAAATACTTATAACACGCTTTGCCTTTTTGCAGGCCCCGTATGCAAGTCTATTGCTTCAAAGGAAAAGTGCATACCAATATATGCCCATGGACGAGAATCTAAAGATCCTCGCACAGGTGATGTGCCTGATCGACCTAGTGGTGTAAGGGAAGAAGCTCCACAACGCAGGAGAAATGGTGATAGCATATTTGGAAACGCTAGAGTCTCGTTCGGCCCCTTCCCTGGGATGTTTGGATTTCAATTCGTGAGTGTCAACGTACTCAGTTTTTGGGTAGTGAGACGTTTAGATCTGATTGTTATTCTTCATACATCTAGGATATGGGAGGACCACCTATGGGACAACAGCAGCAACAAACTCCAGCGGAACAACAACAGTTTATGGCAAAGATCTTCTTTGTCGCTCTTTTTGTTTTGATATGGGCTTGGATGTTGCCTTGAAGCCTCGTGGAGATCATAAATAACATCAACACACTAGCTCACCCACACTCTCTATTTAAAATCACGATCGCTTTGCTACTTGGCCCTCATAAAAACGTGGACAAATTTGTTTGTCACTCTGATTGTATGTCGATATATACACTACGACAAAATAATAAATAATAATGGTATCACCTTCTCCCTGTGCTTTCTCGAAACTGAAATACCATGTTCTCCGTAGTTTCAACCACAGTTTGCCAGGTAGCTGATTTTTAGATCGCTTTTCTGTTCATACAGCTTGTTCAAAGTGTAGATCTAATTCGTTAATAGCATTCCACATAGTAACCATAGATTCAAATGGATTCAAAGTCGTCGCCTTGACCACGTTATGTTGGAGTCGTGCCGTGTTCAACCTTCAGTAAAGGTTCAGGCTTGGTGCTACTCTGTAAAGTAAAAGAAATCTTTCAGTTGTCTATGAGATAGTTTGGGTTGAGTCCGGAGATACCTCAGTGAGAAGTGATTCTGAGTGAGGTGGCTTTAGAAGGCGCCAAAATAGCAAGGTTACAAGCCGAAGGTGCATACCCAGCTTTGACCAAATCTTCTCGTCTGGTGATAGTGCTCTTATCTGAAAGAAGAAGAGCGGTTACAGATCCTAGAAGACAGAGTTTTTTGGTTGGCAAGTGAAAACTTACTGGAAGGTGCCTTACAGAAGCTCGGAAATCAAAAATCATTGGAAGAAAGCTATACAATACCATTGTGGTACCTCCATCAATAACCGGAAACGTGAAATGGTTTGAATTTGGAGAGGTGTCTGATGCTTGGTCGAAGGTCTATGTGTCTATGCATGCTTGCTAAGTAATGTCCAGAGTGGTGTGTGCATGTTTGAGCAGTGAAGTGAGAGGTATGATAGCGTAAGCAGCTACAAGTACGAAGAATGCGAAAAAGCTCTTGTTCAAAATCTTCCTGATCCCGACGTTCGATATACCAGGTTCCAGTTCTTAGTCCTTTGTACAGTTTCGTCCGACTCAAATAGCAGACTAGTCTTCTGATTCGACACGTAACCATGAATGTCCTGTCAGGTTTTATGGACCAATGGTGTCCTTGAACTACTGTTTACCCACAGGAGCGAAGCGACTAAACATAAGAATTTTCGTTCAGTGGACCTGCTTGACTTAGAGGTTGCTGATGAGATCGTACTGCTGAGGATAAGAACCTCAAGCAACAGTTTATATGGTGGATACATTTTTTTTCCGTGGCGTCATGGTTTCAACCATCAAAGAGAAGCGACAAGCTCATACCTCCAAGGACTGTTCAAGTTGCGTTGAATCACAAGAGGTTGATTTGACGGAGATTATTACCGAACTATCAGCGTTCAAATTTGGCATCACAATCCATTTGCTTGTCACTACAATACACTATTATTGCTTTCTCGTATATCGATTTATACACAAAGACAATTCCGAAAATAACACCAGAATATCCGTCAGCCTTTGCATCCTAAATATGAGTTGTGCTCAATATTCCATCGATTGTTGGCAGCGTTGGTGATGACACCTGTTGATGATGTAGCAGCACACTCTCTCCTCCCAGCGCAGGCGAGCGCGGTGATGATTTAGCACTAAGAGGGGCAGCACTTGCTCTTCTCCCGTGAACTTTGTTATCTGTACTTGCCCATCCTGCTACCGAGGTTGGTGGGTGTGCACTGGGCCTCCTGCCATTGAATATCGTTAAACTCAATACACTCTTTGAGGTACGTAATATGTCCCATTTGTTTCCAATGTCGGCTGGTTTTGTTGCGATGTATTTGTCTGGCGTCGCTATTTGGTGTTGCTGTTGGTTTGATTGTTGTTGTGTGGGTGGATGCTGTTGTTGATGGATTTGATGCTGCGCGGATGGCGATTTGGGAGCAAGGATGGATCCGCGCTTCTTTACAGTCACTTGTTGTTGGGGCTCGTCTTTTGGACTGCTATTGCTCTTTTCTTCTTTTGGTCGTTGTTCGTCTCGTAGCTTGACCCAATGGGATCGATTCGAGGTCAGGTTTTCTAGCACGGCGGGTATCGGCACAAAGCTATCAAATGCTTCGTATAACGGAATCTGTAATATGGAGTTGGTGATGTGAGTTTTTATAGATCGACCCTTCGCAACAACAAAGAGATATCAGACTCACGCAAATGAATTCAATGAAGCCGATCTGACAGGCAGGTATGTTGACCTTGAAAAACATCAATGGTGAATCTCAACTCAAATGTGCAACAGGAACGAGAAAACTCACTATGTCTCGATCACAATAAGGCGACACTGGCAATCCCATAGCCTTTTCTTGATCACCCTGAGCAAAGAACTCTTGAAGGACTTTCTCCGTCCATTGTTCATAGATATGCCATGACTTTGTAGGGTTGCCCACATCTAAAGCAGACAGATTCATTCGGTCAACAAAAAAGCCCATCATTTCCCACACAATCGGAAACTTGCTGGTTCCCAAATCTCTTCTACACTCACCAGCACATTTGATACACATCTTGAAAAGCAACAACCGATCCTCTGCCGAATTCTTGGGATCGAAACTTCCCGATACTCCAACCTTGTTCTTAAATGTCGTCAGAATTGGGTAGTGTTGTCCTCCAAGATCAGTAGCTAGCACCAATTCGATAATGGTGTTTCTCACGTATCGACGATCTACGGGGACTAGATTCGTCATAAAGTCAAGATCGGGCTGGTAGAGTTTGGCGAAAGCGGATGCTAGATGGTGGTTTTCCAAGACGCTGCGGTCATTGTATAGTAAGGCCCTTGCGTCTGTGGTGGCCACTAAAAAGTTGTTGCTTACTCCAGGCTATGGTAGAGGGAATTGAAGAGGATTGGTTATTGGTACTATCATTCACGAAAACAAATGTTCCTTTTTTGTCATGCCGAAAAATACATACGTGACTAAAAAACGAACACCGCCAGTTAGCCAACAAAGAAAAACGAGAATTGGGTCATAGAACATGAACTTACTCAAAGTCATGTATCAAAGCAGCGGTATAAAGCGCCAACAATTCCAGCGAGGAAGGCTCCACAACTCCAGAGCATCGTTCTTTCAACCAATGCACTCCATGCAACACATCAGCAGCATGCGACGCGTTATGATACGGAACATCCTCTCTATACCCTTTATCCACCTCGGACATGAATGCCATAGCCCGAGACTCATTTAAATTCAGTCTCGAAAACAAGTCTGCACGTTTAAACAAGTAGGATCCGAGGGCCAACAATGGTTTTGATCTTGACAAGTCCTTGAGTGAGAATAATTCGAAATTCCAATGATCAACTTGATCAAGGAGTGCTGCGAGAGCGACGTTTGATCTCATGTCTTCAAGCGAGGATTCAGAGTCGAAGGAGGATTGGTCTGATACTGCTCTTGGAGCGTTTTCAGTCACGCTTTCGGATCTGACTGGTGCAAGAGTACCGCTTATTATAACAGCGTTCTCGTCGGGCACCGTCGGAGGAGTTCGATTCGACATATCAGGTGTAGTGTTTAGCGATGGTTGTTTAGCAGTACCTTCCTGTACAGTTCCTAGTTCCGAGCTACGAGAAAAGTTTTCGACACTATTTTCTCTACTCTTGCTATCACTAGTATCCATAACCTTTGCCCCTGGGTGATTGGCAGGTACAGATCCTCTAGACCGTCTTCCGACAGCTACGGAAGCAGCTGCTTGTGTTGACGCAAGGAAGGCTGTTGGTGTTGGTCTGACTCTGACAGTTTCGGGAAGGTTTGGAACGGCGTTACTGTCGTCTTCCTTGACATCGACTACGACTTCAGTTCCTCGACGAGTTGGCGTTGGGTTCTTGGACCACGAGCCATTTCGTAATGTCTCGTACAGCCATGCCTATTGGAATATTTTTTAGAGATTTGGCAAAAAAACAAATCCAAATAAGTATTGACCTGTTGTTCAGCATCGACAGTATCATTGGCACCATGCCGTATTTCAGGCGTCATCAACGAGTCTGAAGCAAGTAGAGCCAAAACGACATCCAGACTTCTTGCATGCTCGAAACTCAACGATGGATCAAGCACCAAATCTCTCAACACCAGCCCAGCCTTTTCCAATGGCGTTTCCAATTCAGCACGTCCGTCAGCAGTCTGAGTCCTGCCTCGTTGATGTTTACTAATCTTGGATACAGCCTCTAATCTCCATTGTTCCATCAGTCTTTTGGCACTACCATCCAAACCCTGTACTTTGGCAAAATATGCTCTGTACAGGTATTCAGTGAATCTTGAATGGACTGATGAGGCTAGACAAGCCACCAATACAGACATGATTGAGATGACAGCATTTCCCACATCTACATTGGGTATCGACAAGATTGTTGCGATATGAACAATCACTATTATGGCCAACACAGGCACAATAAACAGATGCCGAATCTTGAAAAAGGTGCTGCAGGCGAGCGAAACTAGTATGATTCCGACTGCTGGCTTGTATGTTGACATGAACGGTTCAATTACTCTGTGTCGTGCGGATATCGAGACAACGGAAAGAATCAATATGGAGAGGGCTGCTATTGGATCGGCGAGTCTTTCTACGAACGGCCCATCGAGGAACGACATGAGCAGGATCACGAGGAAAGGTAAAATTGCACCAAAGGACATGATCAGGCCCTAAAGTTCCAAATTCAGAGAACGTTATTGGTATGAATGCGCAAAAACAGTGCTTCGCATATACGTCACTTGAACGTGGTTCAAGTACTAACCTCTGGCAATCCTTGACCTACTCCATCACTGACGTATACTGAATATATAGTCAGGGGTATCACACTCAGCACTCCGATAAATCCAGCCATTCTCCAAAGCGGCCTTCTCAAATCCAAAAACTCTGACAGAAACAGGCTCTCCGAGTATGGATCCTTGAATATCAGCGTCGATGGCGACACAATCATGCTAAACGTCAGTTCGGGATCGAGAGCGACAGGGAATGGTTGGATTTCAACATGGGGTACTTGTTGGACGCTAGTATTCACGGATCCACTATCTCCATACTTGTGGCCCCCGGCTGTGTTGACAGAAAGACCCCTGAATTGGTGTTGAAACATGCTCGATTTTCGTCTTGGAGCAATGGAAACATCTCCCAAAGTGATTTTGCGGATTCCAGAGTAGTGTATGGTGTGGTGAGACAGCTGTGTTGAATTCATCCTATTAAACACAATTCCGGTAGAGCCAAGACTGCTTTGTGATGATTCTCTAGCCTTATTGCGCTGTAATGTCCATCGTGAAGGCGATCGTTCTCTATCATTTTGAGATCGAGGGATGGCAAACGATGAAGACCTAACATTGAGAACCGGAGTTGACGAAATTCCTAAACTTGCAGCTGAATCCAGTCCGGCCGTGTTGGAATGGACCATGGTTGGTGATGTAAGCGAGCCCGGATTGGTTTTTGTTGGTGATGAGTAGGCTGGTGGATGTTGATATACTGGAGGTTCTCTCACATTGCTATCATTTGATGGCGCAGTGTTTGAGCGTAAAAGGGAAGGTGGACTGACGACACGAGATGAAACAGGGCGGTCTGTTGAGACATGGTCTGAAGTTTTTGTGGGTGCAGCTGGGGTAGGTGTGGGTTGTGGAGGTTGATATGTTCGTGGTGAATGGGCAGGCATGTGGTGATCCATACTGATTCTATGAGTCTCTTTAGTCCATGGTATCGGTTGCTGTTGCGGCTGCTGAAAGTTAGAATTCCTCTTCTGGTCCGAGTCTCGTTTGAATTCACCAGAAGCGTTTCTTCCAAGAGACAAGGATTGGGTACTAGAGCTCTCGTTGGAGGCACCGTCGATACTAGATTCTGTTATAGCTTGTTGCAAGTGTATTACGTGGTTCAGTTGGCGTGGCATGGTGCTGGAAGGCCGATCAGCGTCGAAATTGTTTCTGGTGTTCGCTGCTTCTCTCGCATTGGCCGGTCTCATGGTTCCGACTGCAGGCCGTGAATTGGAGATGCCCGCGTTGGATGGTTTTGCCAAGTCATTCGACCTTGAGCTGGCATCACCCATCGTTGCTTCTAATCGAGAGGTCTTGACCAAAGAAGTGATTTCAAGTGAGTGGTTAAACGGGATGATACGCGTCTGGTTCTAAATTGTAGAACAAAATCAGCAATTATATGCTGTCCTTCCTTGGTCTCTTGTTGACTTCGGGACGATACTTGACTTAAGTTTTTAGGTAATTGCCCTTCCAATCAAAAGTCATATTGGTATAAGCGCAGCAACGATCTTGAAGAGAAATCCGACGATACGTTCTGGTTCCAGCCCAAGCAACGTTGCTGTTTTTTGCATGCAATTTCAGGAAGCTGATGACCTGGCACGTACCACACGAATATTCACCAGTTGGAAGTTGCATCAGAAAAGAGGAGACAGCTGGCAGCCCGGTAGAAGAGCTATTTGCCGTTTGCGAATGCCTAGTACATGGCATCATCCCTCGTCTCGCCTGGGCCGGCCTGTTGTAAAATTGTGGGAATGGGTGCTGGTGATGTGGATTTTGCTACAAAACACCACTAGTGTTCTGGCTGCACCTGCTGGAGCTGGCGCCGGTGTCCCCACAACATCAGTACCAACGCCGCCGATTCGTAAGTCCTCAATACCGCTATTCACCGTACAATTCGCCAACATTTTTGCTCCACCCAAAACATTTGCAAACAGCCAATCTGCCATTGGACTTTGTTCACGACCAGAGAGATCAAGTCTGTTTCGCATACCAGCAGATCGCACCAAATTCCTATGCATGGCACTATTATGCCGCAATTGACAAGACAGTGGCAGTCCGCTTCGATGATAATCTAGTACAAGGAAACTCGGTCAACTACTACATAAAGGCCAACAATGCATCCGAACCAAACATCACCATAGTCACAGGCGCTCCTGTGTCTGATCTGGGGTGGGACTTTACAATGCCAATACTCACACAAGGTATACCGCATACATTGCTCGCCGAATTCTCCACAGATGCAGCTACTCAAGCATCGCAAGTGGTTCCCGATGTGAGCTCGACCTCAAAAAAGAAACTGAAACGGTCGGCAAGCATAAGGTCGAAAACTTTGAAAAAAAGAACTATACTGGCAACTGTTACGATGTCGCCGATCTATGCTGTCTCGAACTTCTCAGGTATAACCTGTGTATATCCTAGCTCGGGAGATCCAAACGCCTGGGTATGTTTGTGAATTGTAATCAGCAGACATTTGTTTACTGATGTAAACCATCGACATTTAGATTGCTGGACCGGTACTAGGTTCCATAGCACTCATAATCTCTATAGTAGCCCTCACAATGTACATCCGATATCGGCGAAGGGTACGACAAGAAGCCCGCGGAAAGAAGGTCAAGGGGGGTTGGCGAGAAGAAGAAGAAATGAAGGAGCGAACTAAACGCAGCACTACATTATCTGGTAAAATAGTAGGAGGTGTGGTAGCAGTTGGAGGCACCCTAGGCAAGGTAGTCTCACTCGGTGAGACGCCACCTAGAAATAAGGTGGCCACGGAATCCCAAAATCCAATATCAACCGGTCCTGTAGATAGTGAGGGGTGGCAGGTGAATGACCGAGGAATGTCTGTTGTTAAGTCGGCGGTAGACGATGACGTGGTGCCCGCAGTCCATCGAGCCAAACCAAACCTGCCACCTCCCAGAGGGGCTGGTGGATCAAGTGCATGGGCTCCTGTCGAGCGAAAAGGAGCTCGGTTTAGAGTCATAAGGAACTATGAACCTCTATTGGACGATGAAATAAAGCTGCTGAAAGGACATATAGTCTTGGTCGAGGAGTAAGTTCATTTGTTCAACTTGTGTCTTTCTTTGCCTGGAATTTTGACTAATGTATACGTGAAATTTTTAGGTACTTTGATGATGGGTAAATAATCAATCTCAGGATTATCATTTTCCGATTTCGTGTTACGCCATTTCCGCTGACTATCTCTTGTGTCATCTAGTTGGGTACGGTGCGGCATCGAAGGAGTAAGGCCTAAAAAGCTTGGATTTGCACCATTGATCTCACTGGAAGCCATGAGAGACGACGGTGACGAGTCCGAAGATCATAAAGGAAAAAGAAAGATATTCAGTATAGGAACGCGAATTACGTCGCTCAGCAAAGATGCCGCGACTCACAGTAACGGCACTTCGAACGGAAGTGGAAGCTCCAAATCGAGTGGAAGAAGCTCGCCAAGCGATTCTCCGTCTCTAGTGCCAGTCAAATGATGAACGTTTTACTCTTCTGACACATGTATGCCGCAAAACTGTGGACTTTATCTGCCAAGTCCCACTGTTTATTATATATTGGACTGAATCTGTCTCGCTAGTGCTAGTACTGTCTTCAACACATATTTGTTATGGCAGTTTATAGGCCATACTCTCTTAAATAAATAATTTTCTGGGTTGAAAAATGTTGTGATTTTCGGTGTCGTGATTCAACCTGCAAACAATGTATGCTGCAGCTCCCACGGTACAAAGCTAGCGGTGATTCCGTACGTGTCTTGTTGAATGACAAAGCCCGGAATTGGTCAGGCTGATGAGGTTTTAGTAATTAGTGATTGCGCTTCTGGTTTTTGCTCAGTTTTCGAAAACACTCTGTTTCTGTGTAGAAACTCATCACGATGCCGTTTAATAGAATCGTAGCATCCCGAACTCGTCGACAACTAGCAACCATTTTCAAACCTGCTCTCTCCATCCGCTGCTGAGACACTTACCTTATAGCGACCGTCTTGAACTATCAAAATGATCCAACCTACTGCTATTGGTGAGTAAAGCGTTGATCAAGAGTTTTTTAATTGGCAGTTTTAGTAATATCTTGTTTTATAGAACCGAAACTACATATCTCTGCCAACTACTTCCGTGACTTGCGCCACAACGATGGTTTATCTAACGAGTAAGCACACATCTCACGGTACTTACAGATCAAAACCGACATTACCAAGAAACTAACTTGATCTCTATTTGCCCCCTATTAACAGAATCTCTGCAGTATCCTTCTCTCACAACGGACGCATATTCGCCTCCTTGAATATCTCGAACTCGATCGCTATTTTCGATGTCATCCTCTCTCGTCTCATATGGTGTGTATTGCGTCTTCAAAGTAGGCACAGTTACCGTACACCGAATACTTATCTTCGATTTTGCTAGCACTATTCAACTGGCCGTCACAGCCATTGCATCAAAATCAAAGGCCTCGATGGAATTTTCACCTGATAATTCAAACCTAGCTGTTTTGGCTGGTAGTACCTTGTCTGTATGGAATTTGCACCGTCAAGAATGGCTGCAAGGATTTGATGCGACTTTTGATATCAATACGCTGTGCTGGGTTACTGAACATAAGCTAGTCACTGGTGATATCAATGGCAGTATAAGGGTAACGTCATCAAATTGCAAAGTGTGAGTTATGCATGTTTGCTTACAAGTGTTTTCTCTAGATTTGGGATATCCAAGACGCCGAAGCAACTACTCGGGCTTCGCCACAACCACTAGACTCGATGATTACTGCCGTCATTCCACGTAAACAAAATAACTCCCGTGACTTGGTAGTTACTACTTTGAATGGCATCGTATACACCATGTCCTATCCAGCTCTAGAAATCACAAAGGAAACAGTCTTATCAGCCCGAGTCACCTCCGCATCCATGCTCTCCGAAGGATTCTTGATCGTGGGTAGTACCGACGGCCGTGTAGGAATCCTCAACCACGGCGCTAATACACCACGAATGATAAAGGAGAACAACATTGTCTGGATGAGTCTAGGTAACAAGATCAACGCCAGCGACTCTGAAATAATCTCAATAAAAGTACAATCTCCCCATTGGGGTCTAGCATTGTCAGCCAAGGGCAAAATTACTATTTGGGATTTACGAAATCGCATGATTTCGCTAAATTTGAATCAGTATACACTTCCTGGTCGTAAAATCACTTGTATGGGATTGTCACGACATGGACTTGCTGCTATGGGCATGAACGATGGACAAGCCAAGCTCTATAAGATGGAGTGGGTACAGCCAGGACATCGTAAGCTAGGCTCTCAAAGTACTGGAAGCGCAAGTGCTGCAAACGGAGCAGGAAATGATAATGCTGCTGCCGCTAAATTGTTGGCTATGGCTGCTCTACTCATTACTCGTAAACCGGAATCTGGAAATGGGAATATAGAAAACAACAACAACAACTCTGCTACACCTACTCGTAATGTAAAATCTGGTAAACTGCCAACACGTGCTCGAAAGGTATCTGATCGTGATGATGATACAGAAGATGATGAATATGATGACGAAACTGGTGACGAGGAAGGTGAATCTGATGAGGAATATGAGCCACGTCCTAAATATAGAAAAGTCACTACTGCTGCTCGTAACGGGCAAGCTTGTGGTGTATCTGCATCTAGGATTTTGACCAATCGAAATCACAAGGTATGATACCTATAGCAATTCCAAAATGATGTATTTGAGGATTTGAAAGAACCAAAAATCTCTTGAGTACTAAGTATTTCTTCCCTGTTTTAGAATCATCGCAACGATGTATTGTGACTTGAAGACTCGGATCATTTCACTTCTAATTCATTATACTTGCTATATTCAATGTCATAGGGAGCTTGACCAAAAGTGAAAAGCCTCCTCAACGCTTCTTCTTTGTCGTTTACTATCTTTTGACGGTATTTTTTCGTTGAACGTGGGCTTTTCTCATCACAAAAGTCTCATAAAACCACCATAGTATAAAAATCCATAAAAAATTGTATCTTTTGCCTTTGCCACCGTATAGACATTGCTTTTGTAAACCATAGCTAACTTCTTGGTGTATAGGCTCTGAACGCCTTGCTTTGCAGTTTTTCATTTGTCCCTTTCTAACACTCGTACTTTACCAACATGTCAAGAATCAGAATAATAGGTAAATGATGACAGTCGCGAGCAAGGCCATTAGTATTGATACTGGTACAGCTGTGACAGCTTATTTCTATTTTGTGATTTCGTCACTTACAACGTTGTAGGCGCTTGACACAAAGTTCTGTCAACTTTAGGAACAACCAGCTGTAAGAAGCTCGAATTCTCGCATTAAATTCCACAATTCTACCCATCTCTTCATCATTAGCGTGTTGCTGTCTGGAAGGACTACCGAGTTCACATCATTGGTAGTTACATCAAACTTCGTCGCCTTTAAACATGAAATTCTAAATGCGACAGCTTAATATGATAATTTTTCATATTTAGCCAAAGAATACGGGAATTTAAGCACTCCATCGGTGGTAGCATTCGCGGATCCAACTCATCTGGTTGGGAAGGATGCCATAGCTCTCACAATCAATCCAAGCAACACAGTACGCAACGCCAAGAGATTGATGGGACGTCAAGTCGCCGATCCTGAAGTACAGTCTGACGTATTCCACACTCATCATCTCGGGTGAGTGAGTACTTGTGGCGTTGTGCACGAGTGTTTAACATGGAGTAGGCGACAAAACGAGTGCGCCAAGTACGGTTAACATTTTCACTAACTACCCTCTTTCGTTATATAGATTGTCAACCATGAAGGCAAACCGTTTGTACAAGTGGAATTTGGAGGTACAACCAGAACTTTGGCTCCTGAAGACATCTTGTCTGTAATAATGCTAAAGATGAAGGAAATCACCGAAGCCTACTTGGGCATTCCTGCCACCTTCAACTATTCTCAACACATGCTAGTAAAACAAGCTGTTGTGATGGTTTAAACGTCCTCACTACCAAGAGTGAACCCGTAGCAGCCGCTCTTGCTTGTAGTATAAACCTGAGTCCTCTTAGCCCCCAGCCCCCACCACTCAGATTTCTTAAAAGCTGCAACTGAAAATTGCGTTTTGTGATGAGAATATCTCTACATATGGAGCCAGAGGAGGCTTGAAATAGAAATGTATGGATCGTACTTACTATATAGCAGTGACTAGAGGTGTCTCTTGTCCTGCTGCATCTCCTTCCCTCAGAGTTGTTGTTCCAATGGATGTTAGAAATCATGTAAAGCGAAGGCGCCGTTAAATAGCCTTGAGAGGGTCCAAGGGAATAAAATATCATGACGCATATATTCACGTGGCATATCACGAAAGATTTTGTGTGACGTGCCTTTGCTTCCTTCCTTGGATGTTGAATGTTGAGCGCAGCTTATTCTGAAATGCCTAATTGGGCGACAAGTGTGAGGTAAACAAATAACAAGGACGTATATTTGGAGCATAAAATGTCCATCAACTACGGGATTGAGGTTCTTCCAGCTCTTCAAGCTGTACATTGGCTAGATCGCAATGTTGATGGAGGTCTAAGAAACTTTCAAAACATCTGCTCGGTCCTCTTTTAATTGTAGATCTAGTACTAATGTGTGTAACTAATTATGCCTTCCATATAAATAAAGTATCGTTGCAGATCTAATCTACTTTGACTCCATAGATATAACTCGTCGATTATGTGGTATCTCAATACTGCTCTCAACAGTCTGTATAAATTAGCGATGTGTTAGCTCGATCATGTTTCGAGCTATATGAGAACCGCCTTACCGAGTCTTGGTCCACAGTCTCATCACTAACTTCATCAACAACCGGATAATACTTTTTGCAGGCCTTGCTAACATATACCAATCCCAACAGCACGGGCACTTCTACCAGTGGTCCAATTGTCGCTGCTAGTGCGACTTGAGAAGTAGCTCCGTATGTGGCGATCGCAACAGCCAGAGCTAGCTCGAAATTATTCGATGCAGCTGTAAACGACTGCGTAAGAGCAACTGGGAATGTGACTTTGAGTCTTGCACAAATGTAGATTGTTGAGATAAACACAATTCCAAAGTATAGTAGCAGTGGTACAACGACACGGAATACTGGTCCAATGTTGTGTATGATTGCGTTGCCCTGTAAGTTAAAATGCATTAGTCAAAGGAAGGCTACATACTTTTTTTGCGCAAGCAGTGTAACAAACTTACTTGAAGAGCAAAGATAATCACGATCGTATACAACAATCCCAGTAACGCGAACGGACCAATAATGGGTATGAATGTATCATCGTACCATCTAGCTTGAGTCGCCATCCATTTCTCCTTGGTCATGCTGCGACGCATAGAGAATCTCAGAGCTAAACGAGTGAGGGCTCCTGCGACTAGTGGTATACCGAGAAACACAAGTACACTTCTGAAGACTAAGTTTCCAAAAGTATTCAGTGTAAGCGTTTGAGGCATAATACAAAGATAAGGAAGGGTACAGCACGTACTCAACCACATATCGATACCCAGCGTTGGTCCCTGTCCAACAATAACAACGTAAAAGTATGCTAACGGACCATAAAAGATCACTTGCAATATCGAATTCACCTAGATTCAAACAAAAACAAGTCAAGAACTCTCCAGAGACACCCACACAACACAATATTCAATCAACGTACCGCAACAAGCACAGCACACCATTCTGCATCTCCATGTGCCAACTTGTTCCAAATCAGCACCATTGCAATACATCGTGCCGTGCCAACCAGCATAAGTCCAGCTCGATATTCCGGTAGATCAGGAAGCGTTGCCCATGCCAGTGCAGCCATGAGAGCTGGAGCGAGGATCCAGTTCAGTAAGATTGATAGTGCTAGGTAGCTCACGAAATGTTTTGAGGCGATTAGAGAGGGGATTGTTTCGTATTTCACTTTGGCGAGGACAGGATACCTGAGATATCAGTGATGGGAATAGTTAATATGGGGTATTATGGATGGAGACGTGCCCAGAGCAACAAAGATCAACATTGTTGAAACATGACATACATCATAACCAGCAGTCCCACAGCAACAGGCACAGACACCCCAACGAGCTGAGCAGAGTCCAGTATATTTTGAATCGAGGGCACGAATACTCCTATTAACACTCCTAGCACCATGCATGCAAAGATCCAAACATAAAGGTATCGATCTAAAAGCGATAATTGTGCAGTTGCAGGCAGTTCTTCAACGGTTGGTTTTACATCCTGAATGGCACCGTTGGCTGATACTGGATGCCCTTCTTCGTTAGGATTCATCTTTGGATACAGCTCCTTTGTAGTTGCAAGTGTGAAAGATGTGTGCGTAATTTTCTCGGGGAAGATAGAAAAATGACCCAACACGTTTGATTGGTCCAAAAAAACCTCATACACATTTCTCAGATATTTCTCAGATAACGGCTGACAGACATCGTTTGATTGGTTGAGACAACTCTCATACAGTTTAATTTGTAAACTATTTCGTTACAACAGCACTATCGTATATCCTCCGTACAGGTAAGAAGTTTCTTGCTTCGAATGTAGCCTTGCTGTTGGGCGTCCAGGAACTGCAAACAAACTGTCTTTTCTCGCACCTTTCTTACCTCTCTACATATAGCCAAGCAGGAACAAAAAATGACTGCATCAACTCCAAACTCAATCCTCTTTGTGTGTCGACACAATTCGTGCAGATCTCAAATGGCAGAGGGATTTGGACACCACGTCCTAGCCTCTTCCCAAGGAAGTATCTCACACGTAGACTCGGCAGCCATAGAAGGAACATCAGTCGTAAACCCAAACGCCGTAAAAGCAATGTCGCAAATCGGAATCGATATCACCAAACAATACTCTAAAGGGATATGGGATTTGAAACCAGAGGATTTCGATATTGTGATTAGTATGTGTGGATGTGGTGCTACTGTGCCTGCGGAATGGAAGGAGGGCAAGAGATTCGAGGATTGGAATGTCACCGATCCTAGTGGTGGTGTTGATGAGGATTATGTGGTTGCGAGAGAGGAGATTGAGAGCAGAGTGAATGAGTTGGTTGCTAGCTTGGTGGAGAATAGGAAGCCAAAGTATTCATTGTATGAAGGGGAGGCGTGTCCCTTTGTGCCATTCCGTAAGAGTAAGCCAGCTCATTGACTGCTCGATACTGCGCGATATTATATATCACCATCATCATACTTATCATAGCATACCATTGCTTTTAATCAATAAAACAAACATAGCACTGTCACCACAGCTGATTAATTTGAAAGAAAAACCTTTGTTTTTGGGTATTGCAAACTATACAACAAGAAACTCACTCTATACATATATACGTGCGTGCGTGTTGATTATGAACCAGCATCACAAACGTTCTAAAATTAGGCAAAAAAAAGAGTAAACCTGATGCAACACCCTATGGGCTTTGTAGAACCCCATTTGCAATCACACAAAACGATTCACCAAACACTTACGTAATGCTCATCATCAATAGTCGAAAACAAGAAGCCTTCAGCCACCAGATAGTCGATATCAGCCTTCACTTGTGCTTCATTGCAATGACTTCGTAAATTACCAACAATGACGGCAATATTGGTGCCAGATCCACCAGGAGGAGATGATCGACAAACATCCATGATCTTGTTTTGCACAGCACTTAGACCGTTATCATAGTTGGTTCGTGGTGGTCCTCCACCTTGGTTTGTGTATTGGTTGTTCAGTCCTTGTTGTTGTTGATTTGGCATGCCATAGTTGCCATATCCACCAGCTTGATTTCCATATCCCTGTTGTCCATTAAATCCACCACCATATCCGCTTTGCATGTTGTTGTTGGGCTAGTCGTTTCGAGAGTAGAACGAAGGTCGATGAGCAAAACGAAACCAGTTTCAATGCATATAGTGAATAACGGATTCATTTTCGTCAAAGCACTTACACCATGCAATGGTCCCTTCGTGTAATACAAATGAGCATATTGAGCTTCCAAGTTGTGTAGGGTGATTTCATCAGGATTTCCGATTGGTCGAATGGCATATACAGTCATTGTCTTGTCTTGTGCGGTAGCATTGTTTTTGCTGGCGTATGGTTTGCCAACTGATCCAAACACTTTGACGTCCTGTCCCTCACTAGAATGTAGTTGATATGTGCAATGGCACTTAGAAGGAGTTACCAACACGTTTCATTCAAGTATGATCATTACCTGACTTGGCCCCTCTTTTGAGCATTTGCATCAGTATTGTCGGCATCATCCAACCACTTCCTGGCGATGACTTGGCCAGTTCCGTCATCAATTGTATAGGTGATTGTAGTTGATTGTTCGTTGATGTTGATAATCTTGCCGACCATAGATATCTAGAACATGTATTGAATTAGAAATGGTTTGATTGTGGTGAATGCAAAAGAACAAAACTGATTCATGCTGCCATGGGTGTTTTGACTGCGCACATTTGTTATTTCAGCACCATCCAGCTTGTATGGTCCATCAGGTACGACTTGTTTGGCTTCATGGAATTGTTTGATAGAGACTGGTCGGAGTGATTGATTGTTTGATTTCTATCATGGTGGGGATGATGATTGTCAAGTCATCATGTTTGTATGTGTGGAATGAATGGGGAATCAATGTACTTTTCCTCCACCGCCGCCACCACCAGCACCTCCGCCACCGAAGTCATTGGTTTGAGAGCCATAACCTCCTCCTTGACTTTGGCCACCGCCCATGAAACCACCACCCATATTGTTGTCTTGATTTTGTTGCATTCCACCACCAGGCCTAGCTCCACCACCACCAAATCCAGCAAAACCTCCATATCCTGTAATATGATATTCATTAGCTATAGTAGTTCAATCGTCCAAATCACATCATCACAGCAAATGCGCATGCTTCGAGTTGATCAACGTTCTTACCTCCAGCCATCATTGTTGGGGTTGAAGCAGGATTACTTGTAATTCCAAATCAGATCCAGATATACTATAGTTGACTGGCTTGTGTCCTAGTTCCCGTTTGTTCTCTCTTGTTGCAACAACTGACTTTTTTCAAAGTTGCAGCAGCAGAGTGACTGCAGGAATGAGAGCTTCAACCAACACTAAAAGAGAACGGTTACGACGCGATATTATACGTGATTTTAATCATTTCGTAAATTTTAATATCTCTTGCAGGTCAGAATGCGAAACTTTTATAGATTCAAGAATTTTCAATCAACTTGGCTGCTGAAAGCTCGAGATCCAAGGATTCTTGAACGATCAAAAGCAACCTGATCTGCATTTAACGAGTAAATAATAGTATTAATCCTTTATGTTTGCTCCAAGTCAGAACTGGTACCATCCAATCATTTTTCACAAACAAGAAACCAGTCGTGGAATGGTCAATATGAAGCGACCAATAGAGGATCGGCTCACTGGCCCGCGCATGCCATCAGTCCTCCTCGATCAGTTGGCATCGGCCACTACAAATCCATCTGAAAGGAAGTTTACCAAAAAGCATCAGAAGCCAGTTCACAGAAAGGACAAGAGACGACTGGAAAAGCTGGAGAAAAAAAAGAGAGTCGATGCATTCCATAGTCGCAAAGCTGTCAAACTCCCTGATGAGGTTAGTACTACTGCTTTATTCACATTTGATGGGGATCATTGTTGCGTATGTTTCAAGGAGAAAAAAAACAGCCTACTTACTGAAGTCGTATACAAAAGGTGGAGAAAGCCACTTACTCAAACGTTATATTTTAATAGCCTAAACCTGTCAAGCACAATCCTTTGAAGCGATCGTATAATGAAGATGCTCAAATCTCCAAAATGGTCAAACTCGACCAACCTCAAACACCTCAACCACAGCAGCAACGTCAACCTCAAATCCATAAACCAGTACCACCACCACAAAAGAAGATAACGGCGGCAGACGTAACCCGATTCGCAACCAAAAACCCAAACATTTATAAACTTCTCGTTGCTGACGGTCTAACAAAATCACTACCTCCACCTACTGAACCCACAACCGTTAAAATGGGTCAAGAAGCATTTGAACAAGACGGGTATGAAATTGCCTACTATGCTAAAAAGCTCGGTATCAAGAAAAAGAAGGGTCGTTATAGTAAAGAATTGGAATTGGACGGTCTGGACGATCTCTTGGAAGGATTGGGAGCTGATGGCGTTGCTACTGATACTGCTATTGACTCGAAAGCTGCCACTATTGATGATAGCGATAGTGATCTAGATCTAGAATTATTTAATGGCGAAGAAGAAGACGTCGACCAAGATATGGAAGAAGAGGATCACGACGAAGAGGAGGATAGTGATAATGATATGGATCATCTAGACAGTGACGACGAGCTTATAGGTGAAGAAGAAGAGCTCGACCCCGCAGAAGAAGATGACGACGAGGAAGTGGATGAAGCGATTGCAGATGAACATGGCTCGTCATCGTCATCGGATAACGAACTAGATGATAAAGACAATGCAGATCAATCCTCAAGTCTTTCAGCAACCAAGTATGTCCCACCACATCTACGTCAGCAACCTAAAGGAGAGCAATATGAGAGGTTAAGGAAACAGTTGCAAGGACTTATCAACAGGTGTGCCGTCACGTTTCGAGAAATTTTTGCCCATACTGACCTTCGTAATATTTAGGTTGAGTGACTCTAATCTCGAATCCATCTTCATGGGAGTTGAATCTTGTTTTCAGAATTATCCACGTCATGGTAAACCGATTTCCAGGATGTGAACTCAGATAAAAACGTCCAGTCTAATCTTTGTTTCCTCACCAAACTTCCAAAATCAGATGTCACCGAAATCTTGACAACCCTCCTGATTGCCTCTGTCGCTGAAAAGATTCATTTACTGGACTCGTTTGTTTGTAATTATGCTGCTTTGATATCTGCCATATACTCATTGGTTGGTGGTGACATTGGTAAGGTCAAACCCCAACGCACAAAACCGCATTGTATGGTGGACTCATCCTGATTTCTGTTTGCAGGTGCTCAAATGCTACAATCAACTGTCGAACTCTTCCTGAAAGCTCGTTCAACAAACTCACTCGATGACGCAACAGCATCTCGTCAAGCAAGTAATCTAGCCGCACTATTGGCATTCTTGTATAACTTCCAAGTGGTCGCGTGTGTCTTGATTTATGATCTTGTGCGAGAATGTATTGCTGGATTGTCTGAGACCGATGTTGAGGTGTTGTTGAAGCTGCTGAGATGTAAGCTTTGAATCTATCCTGCAATGTTCTCTTTTCTTTGCTTATATCTTTCAATCTCCAGTATCCGGCTCGCAACTACGCTCGGATGATCCTCAATCTCTCAAAGACATTGTGGCAGCAGTGCAATCTGAGGCTTCGAAGCGAGACATGACAAGTTCAAGGTTGAAATTTTTGGTTGAATCCATCCTTGATTTGAAGAATAATCGAAAGAGAAAGACGGGTGGTGGCAATGTCGATGTTCTTGTTGAGCAACAAGAGCGTGTTAAGAAGATGGTTGGTGGTATTATTATGAAGAGACATGGTGTGTTTCGTACAATGGCTAGCAGCGGCCGTTTTGTGTCATCCACCCTTTTAACTCTTCGTGGTGGTTAGGTCATGGTCACGAAGCACTTCGATGCTCGCTTGACGAAATCAAGTCAGTCAATGAGCGTGGAAGATGGTGGGTTGTTGGTGCAGCTTGGGCTGGTCGTCAACAAACCCAAGACCAGGTGCCATCATCATCGGCACAACCAGATAACAACAACAGTAATCATCACACGACAACAACAACATCTAATAACAACATGTCGGGATTACTGGAGCTGGCTAGAAAGCAAGGCATGAATACTGAAATAAGACGTAATGTCTTTGTAGCCTTGATGAGTTCCGAGGTATTTAACTATGGTTCTGCTTTTGCTTGTGAACATTTCTCATGCACATTTCTCTTTCACAATAGGATTGTACAGACGCGCTATCCCGTCTCGAATCCCTAAAACTAACACCACCACGAGATCGAGAAGCAGTACGAGTCCTAGTGCATTGCTGCACCCGTGAAAAGGCATTCAACCCGTATTACGCATTGGTGGCTCAACGACTTGTAGACCGTAATTTCAGTATGAAGGTCACGTTGCAATATGTCTTGTGGGATGCGCTAAAGAGTTTGGAGGAAGGAGAGGTACGCAAGACTGTACATTTAGCTAGATTGTATGCCTACTTGATTGGAAAGGGTGCTATGAGTCTGCATATCTTGAAGGTAGTTACGCGGCATTTCCCTGCCTTCTTTTTGTCAATTCTCTAATACAAAACAAACATATCGCTCAATTAGATATTAAATTTCGCATCACTGTCACCAGCCCAACAAATATTTTTGACTGCACTCTTTGAGAACTTGCTCAAGATGCCTAAAGAGGGTAGTAGTAAAAAAGATTTACTGCCAAAGACGCTGGCTGATGGGGTCAAAGATGAGGTTGTCAGAGAGGGTTTAGCTCTCTTCTTGACTACATTTGATTCTCAGAATGATGCTCTTGTTGAGAAGAGGGTAAATCTGTTGCGCCAATACCTGCTTCAAGAGGAACAATAATGGCAACTTTAGAGTTTGCGTTTTTGCATCAATCTTTTTGTTTAGTTTGTACTCTGGCTCTAAACAATGAGGGTTTTGCTCCAAGTTTGGATTTGCTTCGAAGGGTCAAAGTTGAATTTATCAAATTTTTGAAGTTGGTGAAGACGATCAGAGCAGTGAAACGGACATGTAGAAAATGAAGAAGGGCTAAGATGTCAACTAGGAGAGCTTCATACCTCTAAATACGACAATAACTCAGATGGGAAATATTCCTTGTTATCACGGCTCTTCATCGTCAATGGATAAAGGACCAAGGTAAAGTTGATGAAAATCTTCAACTCTCAAATAAGTCTTCCAGCAACCAAGTATGCTGAACCACACATACTTCGACAAACTAAGGGAAAGCAATATGATAGATTAGGGATTTTAAGAACTCATTAACAGGTAGAAAATAATGTTTCCAATAGTTTTTTTTTCAATGCCTCCTTCCCGTGCCGTGACTCTATCTGGAATCAGTCTTCATGGGAGTCGAATCTTGTATTCGGGACCATCCACCTATTGGTAAGCCAAATTGCTGTGTTAGAAGATCTGTGAAATCATGAAAACAATGTAGCAGCATTAATGGCATTCCTGTATAACCACCAAGTGATTGCTTGTGTCTTGATTTAAGACTTTGTGAGAGAATGTATTGCTGGACTGTCTGAGAAGCAAGTTGAGGTGTTGCTGAAGTCGCTCAGATGTAAGCGTGTGTCGGTAGTTTGTTCGGCTAACACTCCCAACCTCCTAAACCGCTGCCTCACAATACAGTATCCGGCTCTCAACTACGGTCTGAAAATTGTCCAGCTTTTGAAGACATTATCGCAGCAGTACCATGTCAAGTCAAAGATAGGCATGAAGTACTTCAAGGTTGCAATTCTTGGATGAGCCAAATCCTTTGATTTGAAGGCTAGTCAAAACTGAAACGGGGGTGTTGGGAATGTTCACTCCTTTGTTGAACAACACAAATTGGTTAAGAATTTGATTGGTGGTATTATTAGGCATTTGCGGCTTGTAGGTTGTGTTTTTTTGCTTCGATTGTTTTCATCTTGCTATCTCTATGTCATTCTCACGAAGGGCTTTGATGTCATTTTGACGAAATCAAGTCTTTCCATGAGAATGACCTAGAGAGACCTCTCAAACACTCTCAAACAACACCAGCAATCATTATGTGGCAATCACTCCATCAAATAATAACATGTCTGGAGTATTGAAATCAGCTGGAAAGCCCAACCCTGAACTGCAAGACGCACTGTCCTTGTAGACCCTGATGAATGCTGAAGTATCCATACCTGACTTATGAGCTTTTTTGGCGATTCGTTATTTTCAAAACGTCATATTCAAACTGCTCGCTCTGACTCTCATTCAATCCCTCCCTGCCCTGCTCCACACAAGATGCGACCAACCCACCATCCCATGTTGACTCCCTCCAACCACCACCACGACGAGATTGAGAACCACTGCGAGCTGAACTGGTGAACGGTACATTACAAAGTTTGGAGAAACGATGAGCTAGCGACTAGGGTGCTTGCATGCTTGTCATATTGGGGAATGTCCCTGAGATTGCAAGTCTCTAGGGTATGACTGTCATATCAGTCGCTTTTTTTGCGGTTTTGACTAACTTTATACATATTTCCTTGCCACTACAAATAGATTTTGAATTTTGCATCATGTTAATGACCTGTACAGCAAACATTCTTGTATGCATTCTTTGGAATCTTGTTCATGCCTAAAAGAAGTAACACAGGTTGGACGGATACAGACACTAGCTGATGGCGTTCAAGCTGAAGCAGTTAGAGGGGAGTTAGCTCTCGTTTTGACTACAATTGATATTCAGATGGACGCTCTTATTGAGAGGAGAGTGTATTTGTTGTGTCAATACCTGCTTCAAGGGAAGCAATGTGGAAGCTTTCTGTTGTTTTGGCATTGTTCCTTTTCGTAAGATTGTACACAGAGATGCACAAAACAATGATGACTTTGCCAAATTGCATTCACTTTAGACGATTTGACTCTTGTTGGATTCGTTGACTTATTATTTGTTAGGCGAGACTGTTTTACATGACCACTGCCCATCCATATCCCTTTGTCACAAAAACAAAAGAAAGACCCAACCCCTTAAATCTATACATCCCATTTAAAGCCTCATCTTGCCGCTGCAGCATCCGACTCACTAACAGCCATATGCGACGATGCCGTAGTATCAGCAGCACTAGCAACAGAATTCTCCTTTCCAAACATCCTCTTAAACAATTTTTTTTGATTCTCACGATGCTCCTTTAACAATTCCGAGATTCGGGTATACTCTGTACGTAGAGCAGCATCTTTGGGCTCAAGCTTCACGGCTTGTTTTATATCGTCCAGAGCCTTTTCGTATTCGCCTATTGATGAGAATGATTGCGCTCTTCGGTACAGAGCTTTGGCGGATGTTGGACATAGTGTGACTAGGAAATGGCAAAACAAAACTGAGTTACGAGTCTTCGAAAAACGTACGTGTATCAACGACAGAAGATACCTACCAGCTTTATTAGCTGTCTCGAAAACGTTTGCTTGTCCTCCACTTGCTTTCAGATGACAAGCGCAGAGATTTAGGTAGGCTGGTAATAGTAGCGTATCGACTTGTTGTTTCTCTTCCGGCGTTGAGCTTGTTAGCGTCCCGAGATACGTCACGACCTAATTGTAACAAACGTGATTAACTTTCCATGCTGCAACGATGGCGAAAAATCATAGAAAGGAACTCAATGTATTCCAGTTACCTGATCATACTGCTTAATCGCAGACCGTATTTTTCCCTCCTTGAACAAATCATTGCCCATCAATCTACAAGACTGAGCATCCTCCAGCTTCTCCTCCCGACTCATATCCCATGAATCCTTCTTCTTTTCCCAATCTTCCAAAACGATATCAAACACCAGCTCGTCGTGCTCCTGAAGCAATCCATACTGTTTCGTCAATGTATTCCCAAACCCGTAATCAGCGGGTGCTTTAATGACTGCTGATTCCCCCTTCTTCATTTTTTCAAGTGCTATTTCGACTGCTTCAGGTAGTGCTCCAGACCCCAGAACAAACCAATCATCCACTTTCATGAATTGGTTGCTTGCCTTGTTCTGCATGGCAGCACCAGTTACTTGCACTTTAACTCGATAGCGACTCTTCGGCCTGTCCCAGCCCTCCCCGTCTTTCAGAGTTTTTTTACTTATTACCGATTCGAGCACTTCTACTTCATGCCATCGTAACAATTCTATTTCGTATTCGGTTGTGGATTTGAGAATGCCGATTTTCGGGTCTGTTAAAGGATGGGATTTCGTAGAGTCGTGGCCAGATGTGATGGTGATGATGAGTTGACCGACTTCGCCCTTCTTCATTTTTTTGATTGCTTCGCTAAAGTATGGTGGTGTATGTGCGTCTTTTGAGTCAATTATGAATGTGAAGTCAGGAACTTGAATGAAGGGTTCGTCTTGTCCTTCTATACGCCCAGTGTAGCTGACTAGTTTAAGAAAACAAAATAAGATGAGGAATTAAACAGCAGATTGCAAAACAAGGATGACTTGAAAAGGAAGTACGACTCATGTACACACCAACAACTTCCCAACCACTTTTCGGTGTCTGCCATCCAGCAGGATCAGTCTTGAGCATTTTCAGCACTACCTTGCCATCATCAGACAAGCTATTCACACTCTTCCAATTTATAAGCGTCACTTCGAATTCGAGAGTAGAGTTGGGCGGTATCTTTGGTCCAGCACCTTTACTTCCATAGCCATAATCAGGAGATATGCAAAGAATTGCCTTTTCTCCCTTTTTCATTGTTTTGATGCCTTCATCCCAGCCTTTTATCACCATCCCTACAGGAAAAAAATAAGATAAGAACCATACACCATATCATCACTTCTGATTGAGATAACACGTACCTTGACCCAGCTGAAAGGTAAACGGGCTATTCACATCCTGATTCGAGTCAAACACCTCAGACGTCCCAGCCAACCGCCCAACATACAATACATGCACCTCATCCCCTCTACCAGGTTTAGCCCAACCAGATCCAAGACTGGTAATCTTTTTCGTGACTCCTCCGTCGATAGTTACATTCATGATCTTGTCTAGTACTTCGAGTTCAGGCTTTGGAAGATCCGCAATAGATGAGAATTCATCTGGGCCTGGGTTCATGAATGCGTCTCCTGCTGTTTTATCTTGTTCGTCATCGTCCAGACTATTCTCAATCACGACGTGGCTTGAAGCAGGTTTGTGTACTGGGTGTGTTGTTGCAGCGTGTATCTCTTCAGTAGGCTCGTCAATGTCCATGGTGGGAGCAGGATTTACCACGCCGTCCAAATCCATTGGAACGACAGAGTTCAAGAGCGAGCTGATATCCATTGAATGTACGACACAACGAGGGAGTTTAGGCGGAGTAAAGGGACGAGAGGAAGGCGATGCAGATGTAGGTTCTTATGATGATTCGGTTGGTTGTGGTTATTGTTTTGTTGCAATCACCGAAAGTTTGGATTGCGGCTTTTCGAATGGAAACTCCTCGTAGCTTCTGGTTTGATGCCGAGCGAGAGTATCTAATGACAAAGTAGGTTAGTGTAGGCGACATCAGTAAAGCATATCTAGTAATATATGCGGCTTTTCTAACCTTCTGTGTTTTATTTTGAATATATATCTCGTTTGTTGTTCGAGTTTGGATGTAGTACAACTTCGGCATTCGGCAGTTCTCATCAATATTGCCATCGTCAGCTTGATGGTGGAGAAAGGCTCACTTGATTAATCCACTTGTCGAGTCTCTTACCTTTAATAGCTCTCTTTTATTGTTAACTAACTCCAAACATCCATCCGTTGACATCAATTGATGGCATCGAGCACTGGAGCTTCCTCAGAGTTTTACACTCTATATCAAACTGAACGAGTTGGTAAGAAATAGTCCAAATATTAAATCATCATCATTTGCTTCTAATTCATTCGTCAATCCCACAAATCCATCTTGAATCAACAGGCATCACACAAGATCTAGATCTATTAAAGACAACACCTCCAACTGCAATCGCTGCAAAATGCGACGACTTGCTATCACGAATCAATGCATTGCAAGAAAAGATTAATGCTGCCACCATCTACTTGCCTCAGTATGATCAACGCCAACTCGCATTGGTATGTTGGAATTTAGAACCACGGAATGGAACAAAAGGGATATATTGAATTCTCGATAAACCTTTATACTCACAATTCCATACCAACCGTTAGCAAACCAGACAATTATCGGACGAGTTAGCAGTACAACGCGCTGCTCTCCTACCAAAGTCCAAATTCTCATTCAAATCGACAAGAGCTACTGTTACTGCTCCTGTGGCGACAAAACAGAATGTGGATCCTGTCCCTGCTATAGCTAAACCCGCTGAAGGTAATATGGAGGGTTGCTTCCTTCACGGCCAAAAAAAGCTAAGCTAATACTGATTCATAGATCAGCAATATCAACCATCACCAAACTCGTACTCCATCACAACCAAAGCCAACACATACATAACAACAACACAACAAGACCGGCATCATCAACAAGAAGAAGCATACATACAACAACTCTCATCATGTGTCGTGGACTTGAGTGATATGCCAAGTCTAGCTGCTGTCTATATATCAGATCTACGTGATTGTGTAGTCAGATTGCCACCTGTGAATGGATCTGTTTGGGTCGATCGGTGTCAGAATTTGATCTTGTTTGCTGCTTGTCGACAGGTATAATGTCATTTCGGCGAGCTAGTGAGCAATCATATCTCGCTGACACGATTTTTTTCGTCTGCTCTGTCTTCTAGTTTCGAATGCATCAAACAAGTAAAGCTGATATCTACTTGCATGTTAAATCACACCCCATCATTGAACATTGCACAAAGATCAACTTTGGGAGGTACATACTCTCGGATGAATCACTGCAGGTATGTCCCTTTCACTTTACTAGGCCAGAAAAAAGGAGAACGAATATGTCTAATGCATATAATTCATGCTGTAGAGAACACAATTGGATCCACAAGTCAACCACTACACCTCCGTCGAAGACTTTGACTGGTTAAAACAGCATGCCAGCCCTAACTGGTCTACAATGACTGATGACAAACAAAACAAGACTTGGGAAGCAAAACATCCCAACGAAACTGTAGAATCTTTTGTAACCAGATGGCTGTAAATATATAGATAGAAGGGACCAATTTATTGCACACATAGACGATTACAAAGAAAGAAAGTGTACACAAACCCAAGGTAATTCACGTTATTGAATACAATACCATTGTCAACCTTTGGAGGATCCTTGACACCTTGACATGAAGAACATCACGTTTGAAGGAACTCGAATGAGCATTAGTCTGTACCGGTTTTGATTCATTGGAGACAGAGAAATGCTTATTCTTAGATCCTCCAAACGAAAGTCTTGCCAGCCATTGGAAGGGGACAAACAAAAACAATGATGTCCCAAAATCACCATAATTCCACCATCAGAGTGTGTTTGGAGGATATCAATCACAATAACATTCAATATTGTTTGTAAATATAATGCCTTGGAGGAGTGCCCGCTGCTTGATGTGACATCACACGCAATCAGGCAAAATGGATTCGAAATGCCGTGTGTTGAAAATTGGGCTAGAAGCAGTAAGGAGAGCCCCCATTTGTTCTTGAATGATGAATGGCCTTGGTGCTAGCTTCCATTCGATTCAAATGGTCCTAAATTAAAACTGGAAAATCTGTTTTGACAAAAGGAAAAGTGTTCGGATTTTGTTGCTAATGTCTCACGACTGCATGACGACGAGCTGATATACAAGTGTAAGCAGTTCAAAATACGATTGTTTTTATGACTGATTATCACGTAAGAATAGGGTTTTGCCTTTGCAAAGATTTTCTCACCTCTCACCAAGCAGAATTCGTCGTTTTCTCAGGCAAGGGTGTTTGAGTTGATTATAAGTAACAAGTCAACACACACAACATAACTATGAGCTGTCTTGACTAATCGTTTATGGAAGAAATGGTCGTGGGAATTTAACTGGTCGTGGGAATCTGAAGAAACCATTGTCACGTCACACGTCGGCGAGTCGTTTGTTGTTGTCCCTGAGTAAAATGGCCGTCGGCTCGGCTTCAACCACATTTAAAATGATTACAAACATTTCAGAGCCTCTATCGCATGTGTTAGTGAAACTTTTCAAACCACAAAGGTTTTGATACGTGCATCAACACGTTTATAAGCTCAACCTTCACTTCTTTACACGGCCAGAGCCTGGTCTGAAGGTGACAGAAACTTTGTTAGATTTGCCCGTTCGCCCATCATGTCAGGTCACGTTATAAGTAACGACAGCTATAGCTTCTAGTACTTGTTGCTTCCCTTTCACGTAGAGTCACGTCATAGAGCGAAAGCATAAAATTCAGGTAGCACAGTGAGAAAGTCAAAACGAAACAGTTCTTCGATTTGCGAAATCCGTGTTCCTGCTACTAGAGAGGCAGCTTGGAAATTCTTCCTGTCTTCAATGTAATGCTTTCATGTCACTGGACAGGGTCCACTTATCCGGGTAATGATCCAAAGATCCGAGATCCAATACTCGCCACAGTGACTCTTGTTTGCTCAAAAGCGTGATCAAACTAGCTACGCCCAGGTTATTCTTTGGGAGAATATCAGATTGCTGTCCGATATATACACGTTCTCTTCGGCAGCCAAGCTTAAGGTATTATTGCATATACCTCCTTCCTCACAAACAACATTCAACTTTCGAATAAACGACGATATAGCAGTTCCTAGTATTCCTGTCCTTAAAGCAACTATAGAAAGTTTCCACGGTTCAACTGGACAAAACGGTGTGCCTCTGTAGCCTCCATGCTGCGAATATTGTAGGACGTTTGTCAGTCTGCTCCTTCCAAAGTGCAAACACCAAACAACCCCACGCAAGTCAAGCGATCGGTCATAGTTCGGCTTCTAGAATGATTCTTCAGGGAATTTTTGGGTTTAGGACGCTGTCTAGTTTCCTGATGAGGTTTACGGCGTGTGAATAAATGGTGCTTGACGTTTTCAAAGGAGCATTCGGAATCTCAAGCCACTGTGACGATGTCTGTCTCGAATGCTGAAAGCAGGTGTATACGATATAAAGCGACAAATCGCAGAAGCTTGAGGGTAGCTGGTGCAAAGATTGAATAGTGAATCAGGAGAAGCACTCTCTTGTTGGTCGGGATCATCGTGGCATACTGTTGAGAGAGTTTTAAGATGTCCGTGAGAGCCAGGCAGTGTACGTGTTGTTGACATTCAGAAATCTACCAAGTACAGAGTAAGGTCGTGATAATCCACCGTAAAGAGTGCTGCCAGATGTCATGAAGAGCTGTTCAGTAACCACAATGCCCAAGCTGTCCATTCCTGACCACGAACAAACAGTCCCAACAGCCCTCATTCTACGTAGGCAAGCATCTATATGCTATCGGATGGCGATCTAGCTGTTTTCTAGCTTGTAACTGGTGGTTTCTGTCTTTTCTCCAAATATGGTAGTCACCGTTCGCGTTGACATTCAAGTGGTTGACAAAGTATAGGTTGTCACATGTAATGAAACTAGGTCAGATATTTGGAGTCCTCGTCCCTTGCAATTACGAAATGATGACGGAGAAGTTTAAATTAGAGTTGGCGTCGCACATATGGATGTCGCGTTTGATGACAGACCAGAAATTCCGGAGGAGGGAAATACAGCATTGTTTAGTACTGGCGCTCTTTGATATAGGTCTATTCAATTATTACTAGCTTCATCAAAGACTTGGATATAGATAGAATAAAGTGTGTAGTTATATTATATGCAACAGGTGACAAATGTTACAATGTGTGTGGGCGTGGGACATTGATAAGTTCCCCTCACTCTAAAAGGCTCCAGCGATAGTCCACAGGCGACTGACCGTTAGTATCAACAAGCCAACAACAAAAACGAATGTAAATTTATAGGGGCAAATACCACGTATTGTTTGGTGGAAATTCCGTCAGCATCAGTGCCACTACGTCGACGTGAGTCAGACGCTCACGCCTAAGACTTGAGTGCCAGCCGTCGCCATAGCAGAGAGGCTGATCTGAAATTCCACCTAGAAAGGATAAGAATTGCTTCAGTATCTTGAAGAAAAGGAGGAGGTCATAAAAAACGTTGATGGGGCGAGATGTTGGACGATTCCAACTAGGAGGCAACTACGGCAACAATGACGATTGACGGATGGATGCAGATGTAAAATCCGTCATGAAAGTGACGATGTATTACTGAGAACCCCAAACGCACCACACTTTGTCAACATTCGTCAGATTCAAAAACCTCAAAACGCAAATCAGCCTACCAAACAGTGTGGAAGCCCAATCAGAGGCAGATAGAATTTGGTGGATTGTTCAGACCATGTACCTCGAACATAAATTGTTCGTTCCTCTTCTTCATCTACTGTCTTTTTTGGTTGAGAGTGTAAGTCGGTAGTAAAATCGGAAAACAAGCCCCAACCAAATCAAGCATATCCTTCCATCAAAAGTTTCGTTCGAAAATCAGAGTCTTTTCGCGTTATATCCACGAAATAGTATACAGGGCTCTGTTTGACGCATACAGAACATGGTTAGCGGCTCATCCTAGGCAGCCAGGCGTCGGTCGCTGAAGGAAACATCGACGAACGCTTTGAACTTTGAATATTTCAATGAAATTTGATTAACTTTCTAGAATGAATTCTAGATCTAGAATGAATTCTAGAAGGAATGACCTTCGTTGACTAGTTTAAATACAATTACAATGACCGAAAGACAATAGAAATGCAATAAAAGACAGGTCATCGTTCCAAATGTGTCGAAGACTACTTGAGCAGCCTTTGGAGGATGCTACTTTTCACTTGGCGTCACTCCCGTTTGAGGGACCTCGAGCAAGCATTAGTCTGCTCCTTGAGAACGTTTCCACGGGTTAGTGGAGCAGAGAAATGCTTATTCTTAGATCCTCCAAACGAAAAATCTGTAGCGACGGACTGACGTACGACATGTCAGACTGTCCTGTTGTGTGGAGGATTCTCAAATGACAACGCCAGTCTGAAGGCTCATTGAATGACCAATATCACTACGAACCTGCACGGGGAATTGTGTGTGTTAGTTCGAACAGATTCTGAAACAATAGAATAATCTAAAACGAGCATGGAGTATTAGTTTCCTGTTCTCGCATGCTCTTTATAGTATGATTAACATTGTTACCTAAAAATGAAATGTCACGTACCGTCAATCAACAAGGGATACACCATTCATTAAGAGACCATTGGATTGATTGCACTATGTCTTGAACATATCAGAAATATTTCAAAAACTTACAAAACTCGAAAATGTTGATGGAATATCTTGATGCCAGACGTTTTCAGACCAGAGTCAAGAGACCAGCGGAGAAACTTCGAGGCTCTGTCATTACGAGATCTAAGTGAGTGGATGTTATTTTGGAGTAGCTTTACTGTTGAATTCACAATGGATTGGTCGTCATGTTGGATATTTGCAGCTAGAAGAGTCACGTCAAGAAAGCGACATGAACACGTACTTGAATAGCGAATAAACACTAGTCCGCCCCATTTTTGAATGTTATCAGCTCTCCCCTTGTTAATGATAGCAGTCGTCACTCAATTTCCTTAACACGTCCCATTTTAAAGTTTTTTTAGCTAATCATGAATGCGGATGAACGAAGAACAATCTGGCCAAAATTATAACACACTCATTTTAACCCTGGATTTTTAGTTTGATCTTTGATCTGAGCCAGTTTATTAGTTTCATTATATGGTTCCTTTGTCCATTTGCAGCACCAGCTCAACCATATCCAACGCTACCCCCCATTAACTCGCAATGGCTAATGACTACTTTTCTGCTTTTTCAGAGTAAGCCTTTTCCAATACAGAACATTCGGTAACATGTTTACCATATCACCTGCACTGTATTAAAAACACGCCTGCGTCATACATCTAAATTGTTGTTGCATTACTCATCACAATATGCAACTTGACTAGTGTAGACATGCCAGAGGCAAAAAGAAGGATCACAGATAGAGCTACAATATAGTGCATTGCGTCTGTAAAGAAGCAGTTATCTGCATACACAATCACAAGCAACCGTGAAACACAGAAACACATTAGGACAGAGTGAAAAGGAGACAATCAAGCACCATGCCAACGCGGACGACATTTGACAGAAGAAGCAGTCGGACGAAGGTTTCCGAATGTAGAATGTAGTTTCACTCCTCGCCGTGGCCTCACTGTCTACAGCTAGTCGTGATCCACACCACATCCGTGCCCCAAAAGAATACCAATACAACGAAAGGAAAATAAGCGATCGGTCATAGATCAACCGTTAGACATGCGCTTCAAGCTACTTTTGAGAATAAAAGGCCATTCGTGTGAATCATGACGTGTTGAAGTGCTCGACAAACGACATGTTCAAAAACTCGTGAACTACTCTGATGCAGGTCTTATGCACCTTCGGAGAAGCGATTGAATAAAACGTTCATGTCACAGAAGCTTGAGTATAGCAAAAGCATCACGTATAACCTAGACTTCAGCCAACATCACTCAAACACCACTTGAATCTAAAGAAGTCGCGCTTTGTTGCTTAATTCCAATTGTGTAAAGTTGCTGCGATACGTTCAGTCTACATGTGATACATGGGACTGAGAGTGATAAAAGGTGCCTTTTGGTCGTATTCTTTTCTTCCAATTACGGAATAAAGTCAAGTATTTCTACCAGAAGTTGCTCAAATACATTGGTAGATCTCTTGGAGCACGTAACGGTTAGCAATCTGTCCACAGGGTTCTTTTCAAATCGGTCAGGGATGTTGTCGGAAGATGGTGAACATAAGAGTACATGAGGGCTTCTTTGAATATGAACGTATCCGCAGTGTTCATGATGACGATCTAGCAGCCTCTCAATCTGTCATTGTACGTCCCCCTGGTTGATCAAGATGTTGTCATCAGCATATTGCAAGCACTGGTTGTGGCGTTGTGTTGACAAAGTATGCAATTTCACACGTTCTGAAAAGCGGCTGGCTATCTGATATACTCCTAATTCAACGTCATCATACGAAAATGAAGGGGCTCAAATAGCGTTGGTGGCACACGTAATGTCGTCGCATTGTGAACCAAAAGTTCCGGACAAGCGAATAATGGCATTGTTAGCTACTGGCGCTCTTTGATATAGGTGTATTCAATAATTACTAGCTTTATCAAAGACTTGGATATAGATAGAATAAAGTAAATAGTTATATTATATGCAACAGGTGACAAATGTTACAACGCTGGCATTGATAAGTTCCCTCACTGTAAAAGCTCCCGCGATAGTCCACAGGCGACCGACCTTTAGTGTCAACGAGATAACAGCAAAAACGAATGCACATTTATATAGGCAAATACCAGGTATTGTTTGGTGGAAATTCCGTCAGCATCAGTGCCAGTGTTTTGAGATGTAGACGCTCAGGCCAAGGACTTGAGTGCCATCAGTCGTCATAGCAGAGAGGCTGATCTGAAATTCCACCTAGGAAAGTTAAGAATTGGGTCAGTATGCTGCATAAATGTTGTTGTCATTCAAGTGGCGTGTAATGTCGTTGACGCTTGGAAGGTGCCAGCCAAAAATGCAACCGTAAGTAGATGAAGAATGACAAATGAAGGCTCAAGACATCATAAAATTAATTGGAGTCCTTTAACAACCAGGATATTCCACTGATTACCACCAATTCAGCAAACTGTAAAACGCAATTCAACCTACCAAACATCATGGCAGCCCAAACAGAGTCGAGTAAATTGGTGGATTGTGCAGAACAGCAATATCAATAGACTATATGCATCCTCCCAACTCTCGTATAGACCGCTGGGATGTAGTTGTCGAATGCAAGGTTCCAATGACAATGTTTTTAAGACAACAGGACGGTTTGGAGGAGCATAAACGCAAGAGAGAGCAGCAACATACATCCATCATATACCGTAACAGCGCCTTAAATACGAGATGCGTCAGTAATACCACCTCTCGCGACTTTAGACGAATGGCTCAGATGTAAAACCAAAAACCAGGGGCTGCAGCTAACAGCTCGTATGAGACACGGGGACGTGTTTTGATAGTAGTTGTAGTAGTCTCATTTATAGTGACACGGTTGTAGTTTTAAAGAGACAATGCGAAAAACCAGATCCGTGGTGATGCACACCTCGACATCCGTTTACAATACGCGTCTAAATCGTCTTGATGAGCTGAAGTTCACGCGTATAGGTGTGTTTCGACTCATTCTAGTAGGGTCCACGTCGCAAAGTGCAAACATGTTGATCTTGACAATATATTTTATATTGTCACCATCAACATCATATTGAATGAACAAGACACCTAGAGAAGCCCGAAGATTCATCATGACATTGTTGCCTAAGCAATCTATTGCGTCTTCCCCATGGATATCTCTGAATGTCGAACCAAATGAATTGAAGCTTGAAGTTTTGGATGCCGGCCAATCGTTTGTATGGAGGAAGACGAATGAATCTGAATGGTCTGCTGTCTTGTCATCGAAACTGGTTTCGCTCAAGCAGACAGGTTCGTCTCCTTGACATTCTGATTGTTGCTGCAAATGGGTGTTGCATCATTGCATCGGCTCATTTCATCCTGCCAACACTTAGAAAGCGATGTCTTGTTTCGGGTATACCAGCCCGGCGTAGAAGAGGCTGTACGCAAGGAGCTTTCGGATTACTTCCAACTGAATGAAAACTTGGTCGCACTGTACAAAAGATGGGAGCTCGATGACAATTTCAAAAGGAAGGCTTCCTCGTTTCCGGGAATACGAGTATTGAGACAGGACCCGATTGAGAACGTGTTTTCCTTCATCTGCACCTCCAACAATCACATATCTCGAATCACCATGATGGTAAGTTGAATGTGAACGGACGGGTGTGCACATAAGATCTAATTATTGTTTACGAATAGATTGATCGCCTATGTGAGAAATTCGGAACATACGTGGGCAGTTTGCCGTATCATCCACCAATAGACGACAAGTTACGGTCGTTCTATACATTTCCAACCTTGTCAGCTCTAGCAGCTGATGGAATGGAAGGAAGCTTAAGAGATCTGGGCTTTGGATACCGAGGAAAATATGTTGAACATGCCGCCAAGAAGGCTTTAGAACGTGGTGGTGAAACATGGCTGAAGTCGCTGAGGGACGTGTCATATCAAGAAGCAAAGAAGGCTCTACTGGAACTTGATGGAGGTAGCGGCCTGAGTCTTCTGTTCAGCATCATTTCATTTAATACCCTTTTCATGTAGTCGGACCCAAAGTCGCTGATTGTGTTTGTTTGATGAGTTTGGACAAACGTGGAGCCATACCCGTTGATACACACGTCTGGCAGGTGGTTATATGAAGTATGTCAATCATGATATCAGCGCTCTCTGATTCTCTTGCAATAGATTGCCAAACGCGACTACAAATTGAGTGGAATAACCACCAAAACTCTTACTGCCAAAGCATACGATATAATTGGGGATCGTTTTCGCGAGATATTTGGATGTCATGCTGGATGGGCGCACTCAGTGAGGAATCAAGTATGAAACTGATCTTTGTCTGGACACTGACTTGGTTTTTTCACAGGTGTTGTTTACTGCTGATTTGAGGCAATTCTCCAAGGCTTCTCCAGGCAAGAAAAGAAAAGAAGCTGAAATTGATGATGAAGAGCTGGAAATAGTGACAAATGAAGCTCCATTTGAGGAACCAGAGTCGAATTTCGAAAGTGCTGCCGAGAGAGCCAAAATGAGGAGGAGAATCCGTAAGTGAGACCCATATAATTACATACCGTTGTGCTGTTTATATAGTCCTGTCTCAAATACAGACCACTGTATATATTCTTATATTTTGGCCTTCGCGTGGGTCCCCGCCTTTCTCGCTTTTAATCACATCGCAACCACTTTAATTTTTGGGGGAGGCAGACAGAGTTAGGAATCGGATTATGAATACTGGCAGGATATGGCGATGAAGCTGAGCTTAAACCTGGTCAATCTCGTGAGAGGAAGGCCTGGCACTCCCATATCACCGAAAGAAGTTCACACATCGAATGCCACATATCAAACGTGGCTGTTATTGCTAGCAATCGTACCAGAGGTATTTCTTCGCCCTGAAATTCAGCAGCCTGATATCACTCGATCTTGGCTGTTTTGTCTAAGAATCTCTGGCTTGTTTCCGGAGGAGAGGACATCTCTTGTCAAACAACATTTTGGTGTCGAGAGGTTAAGCTTCTGTTCTAACCATCAAAACACTTTGAATTTGGCATGGATCACTAGGCCCTATTAGACGCAATGCTTGCGCCCTCTCTCCCATATATGCTACGAGCCAGTCTGCCTGAGGTACTGAGTCTATGAGACCACGTTTAAGGTCTACGCTTTAGACCCAAATCTCACACCTTGCTCCTCTGCATTTAGGCCATGGTCGGATTCACCACTGGTTACATACAGTCTAGCTTCTATCTACGTAAGATCTTTATCCAAGTGCTCGCCACTTGCCCGCAATCGCTAACAGCTGGATTTCCACCTCACAGCCCTATTGCTTATGAATTACGTCTGGGGTCGGACTGCCGATGAATATGGTCGATTCCCAGTGCTACTATGCGGCTTAGTAGGCTGCCTTGTTTCATCTTTGGGGTAAAGGTGGTGGTGTTAGTTTGCATCCGACATTTTGATCTCACGCTTCACTTTCTAGCTTGGCCTTTGCCAAATCCTTTTGGCCAATATTCGCTTGCCGATTTGTCGCTGGCTTTTTTGGAGCGAATTCAACAATTGCAAAAGGAACTATAGGTCTGCTGCATCGAGACGATGCTTCTAGATCACACTATTTTGCCATGTATGCCGTCGTATACGGTGTAGTGGGAATAATAGGACCATCTGTTGGAGGCTTTTTGGTACAACCAGCTACGCAATACCCAAATTCCACAATCGCACAATGGGAATTCTTCAAAAATCATCCTTACGCCACACCACCTTTGCTTACATCCATACTGGCAGGCATAGTTTTGGTTGTAACATTAAAATTCTTTCAAGAACCGTCACCGTATGTAGCAATAGGAGACGATGATTCTGATTCAGATGTCGAAATTATAGATGATGACGATGTAGTAGTTAGGAGATCCAGTGCAGAGGACGTGTCTTCTGGAAATGAGGACTTGAGGAGGTCAGGATCCTACTCTCGTCTTGCAGCTGAGACTGTAAGAAGGTCGAAACGATTAAGGAGGAAGCCATCTGATGCTTGTCCTGTACCGATCGAAGACCTGCCCGCTTCCACGTCGTCATTGCCGCCAGTATACCCAACCACCACAAGCAAAAGTGAGAGCCCGACGCATAAGCTTATCGTAGTAGAGTTTCCTCGAGTGTCCCGACCGACTAGTAGACAGAATAGTAGGATACTTTCTGAATCAGAACTAATGCCTGTAGCCCCTGCTACGCCGTTACTCGTAGCAGCTTTTTTATATAGCCTAGTAGCATTGTGTCAGATGTCGTATTCTGTGGCGACACCTCTGTTTTTGAGTTCATCCGGTGAAAATGGGGGATTAGGGTTTCCTCCACGAAACACTGGCTTGTTTACGTCTCTGCTGGCAGGATCTAAACTTTTTACTCAGGTACGCGTCGTTGTGTAGCAACGGGAAATGTGAAGTCGGTCTAAAGACTTTGACTTTGTTATAGGTGGTTTTGTTTTCAGCAGTACACAGACGAATCGGAACCGTGAACTCCTACCGTCTAGGCATGGGAATATTTGTGGTACCGTTGATCTCGGCTCCACTGTTATACTTCCTCTCGACCTCTACAGTTTGGATTGGGGTTGTTATCTTTCAGTGTCTCCTGGGTATCGGCGAAGCACTTTCATACCTGGCCGTTCTAATCATTATAACAGAGTGTTCAACGGCAGCTCAGCAGGGATCCGCCCATGGACTCGCATCTTCAGCTGCTGCTGGCATGAGAACATTCGGTCCTTCTTTAGCAGGTAAGCGCCGATTTGATGTAATGCGAGAAAATGCTTGCTTGACTCGTTTCGTCGTTTAACAGGAGCATTGTGGTCGGTTGGCCACGTCTTTGTCTTCATTGCCTGTGGTGGTTTTGCCATGGTGGGACTCACGCTTGGCGGTTTACCAAATGTCGTGAAAAATAACAACAAAAACTCCAGAAGTACTTCACCTTCAGACCTCAATGGAATAGAACATTAAATCTCTTGGAACACTATACCTTCATAACTCTGTATAACTCTTGGACACAGCACCTTATATCATAAGTTTGTCTAGTAAAAAGATTTTATAAATACATTACTCATCGTCTACCCTTCTTGCTACCACCTTTGCTTTTGAATTTCCCTCCCTTGTTACCGCCCTTTGAGAAGCTCCCCTTCTTACCACCACTGCCACCGAAATCTGCTTTTCCACCTTTAAAGTCTTTACTTCCACCCTTCTTGAAACTAGAACTGCTTTTACTCTTATATTTTGCCCCCGCACCTCTACCACTAGTATCACTCAGCTCGGTGGCAAATCCCCGAGCACCGAAACTACTCTTGTTCTTATTTTGTTGTGGTTTCTTGGGTCCTGATTTTCCTACTGATTTGGGAGCTATAGCACCAATCTTTTTAGGCATTGCTGCTTTTTTAGCTGCTCGTACAGCAAACTTTTGGGCTTTGGGGTTGGCTCCGTCGTTGAGGGCTTCCATTTTGCGTCTCTCGCGACGTGTCTTTTCTCGTTTTGGTTGTGTGGTAGACTATAACGAAAGAGTTGTGAGTTTAATCGATTAGTTGGTTTTTTGCGACACGACTTCAAAAGTAGTGGACTTACGATACTATTGTCATCCTTTTGAGAAGCAGGTATAGCAGATATAGGAGCATTCTTGGATGATTCTGAGACAAAGAAAAAGGTCAGGGTGATCGTCTTGAATACATTCTCACCATGGGGACTTTACCTCGTGCTTTGGACTTGTCAAGTCCACTTTGGAACCAAGAGCGCGCTGGTCGACCCAAAATCTCATCGCGATGATCAATCATATTGGAAGCTTTCATTACCTCCATCTCGGCTTCATTCATCTATATGTTTGATGCTTTAGAGGACACGAGACAGCAAAAAAACACTGGAACTCAAAGATGGTGACTGTGATCCAAATCAGAAAGATTACCTGTTTCTCAAATCCTTCTTGCTCAATAACCTTCTCGATCAACTCCTTGGCAGCATCAATCAACGATTTGAATTTCTGAATGACGACACGTTTAACAGTACGATACGAGACATTACTTGTAGCATTCTTCAATGCCAGTTTCACCATACTGCGGTCTGACTCGAGCACCAATGACACTGCTGTACCAGAATCACTGGCACGAGCAGTACGTCCCACACGATGTATATACTGGGCATATGTAGCAGGCAACGACATGTTTATAACAGTCTTGATTCCAGGCACATCCAAACCACGCGACGCCAAATCCGTAGCAATCAGATATGGGGTATCAGCAGACTTGAATGCTGATAGAGCTTCAAGGCGCTGGGCTTGATTCAAGTCACCGTGTAATTCACCAGCCCTCATTCCGACAACTCCAAACAAGATACGGATACGATGTGCTAGGGCTTTACTTTTCACGAATATTAGGACTTGTTCTTTGAAAGTTCTTTTACATAATGCCATGAGAACCGGCAGACGATCACGGTCTTCTTTGATTCGGACAAATTCTTGGGTTAGACGAGATGCGATGGATTCTGTAGAGTTTATAAAGAGTCTGACGGGTTCCTTCAGGGTTAGCGATACCAGTTGGTCAACATTATCTGTCATAGTAGCACTGAACAACATTGTTTGGCGATTACGCGGTGTTGATGAGATGATTTGGGCCAATTCTTCTTGGAAACCAGCGTCAAGCATTCTAATGATTGAATACGTAAGATGAAGGTTTGAGCTAGCGGCAAAAACCAATTACAATTATACACATACCGATCAGCTTCATCCATAACCAAGATTTCCACATGCTCCACACCCCACCCACGCGCATTCCTCAAATGATCAATAAGTCGACCAGGAGTAGCTACAACCACATCAGGTGCCTTCCTCAATTCAGCTTCCTGTCGTCTCACATCCAAACCTCCGACACATAACGCAGATGTAATGTCTGTAAACCGCGTCAAGGCCGTCAACGAACCATGACATTGTACACCCAATTCACGAGTGGGTACAAGAATCAACACTCGGGTGGTAGGTGGATTACGAGGACGATATGATAATCGTTCGATTATTGGTATTAGGAACGCAGCTGTTTTACCAGAACCTGTTACAGCAGCTGCACAGATATCGCGACCTCGAAGGCCGACTGGGATGGCGTTCGATTGTATAGGCGTGGGAGTCGTGTACCCTGCTGCAGTGATTGCTTTTAATACAGGTCGTGATAGCTTCATGTCTGCGAATGAGCCAATAGCTGGTGCGTCTGGAGCGGGTGCAAAGAATTCGGCTTTTTTCTATGAGATTTGCGTAGGAAGTTGAGATCCTGTTTTCCGACAGACTGCGAGTACAGGCATCAACAAGTTTGTAACTACCTTTTGCAAGACAGTATCACTCAATTCAATATCATCTGCCTCCAAGTCATCCAAATCCAGATTCTGTTTCAAGGCTTCCAAATCTATAGGTTTATTGGTCATAGGCTCATCTTCGCCTTCTTCCTCATCGTCTTCTTCCTCACTGATTTCCTCTTCATCATTCTCAGAGTCGTCGTCCCCAGACACAGAAGATGCTAAAAAAGAATCGGATATTTAGTCAGCACAACACCAAAATTGCAACTCAAACGTGTTAAACGTACCTTCTTCTACATCTTCCATATCCTCTGCATCCTCCATATCTACATCTCCATCCTCTTCCTCAGCTTCAATCTCTATGCCTTCCCTGTCAGTGCCTTCATCGTCGTTTTGACCTAGTTCTGGCTCATCAGATTTCTTGACCTGCTGCTTCTCATCATCGTCTTCCCTGTCCTGGATCATCGACATTTTCGGGCCTAGACCTTGTAGTTTGAAGCTGGCTATTTTTTCTTCAACTGATGTGAAGCCAGAGCGACTCTACACAACACAAGCGATACAGGTCAGAAGAGACAGCGGAAAAGTGATTTGATCACTATGAAAAAGACGATAATAGCTTACGGTTCCCTTTGCCCAATCAAGAACCGAGTTGAAGTTCCAGTTTGCTAGCGATGTAGTGACATCTCCTCCATCAGCATCAAATTGGAAGGAAGGATCAATAGCGGTATCGTTTGAATCTTGACTATCTGCATCTTCGTCTACTCGAGCCTTCTTCTTGGAGGGTTTTACGTTGGTTGTTGTAGTCAGGGGAAGCTTTCTTTTGGGTTTTGTATGCAAGATAGCCATTGCGTCTGGCTTGAGTGTCGCTGGTTCATCGTCATCTTCTAGTGTTGGTACGAACGCTACGGGATCAAACATCTTTGCTGTTTGATTGTACCTGGTCGGGTTTCTCAAAAGTGACTTTTTCCAAAGAGAAAAAAAAGTTGAACAAAGTTGCAGACGAACATGGAAAGCAGCCCCAACGTGAAGAGAAGCGACCTGTTTACGCGAGCATTTGCTAAATTTCACGTTTTCATCTCATACGAGGAGTACTAAATACCCTCGTGGATGTTGCAGTTGAAAGCAACATCCACGCGCAATGATCTGAATCGGAAACGAGACAGTCTCGACGCGTGCACGAATAGATCACGTAAATTTAATATAGGACACCTGCTTTACAGACCCGAAAAGCGAGTGTCGTGGTGAAAAGTAGTATGAGCGACTGGTCTTCGAATCACAGCCAAAAGAAAGAGAGAAAAACGGTCTCCTTTCAGCCCATCGACTTCAACAACAAACAGCAAGCAGCTAATCGAGCTCTGGTGTTCAACGATTGCCTCATCTGCAATCTCAAATTGAACCTTTGCCGTAAAGTGGGCAATAGGTCGCTTCTCGCCACTCTGCAGCGTTGGTTGGCGAAAACATAATGTTACTACCAAGGAGACCGTCGACAACACTAGTCACCCTATCTACAGCACTACTTCTACTGCTACTTATCGCACCATCGCTAGTGAATGCACAAGCTTGCAATGCAGCCTCTCCATGTGGTGCTGCGGCACCTTGTTGCTCTGATTTTGGCCAATGTGGAGTGTCAGCACTACACTGCGGTGGTAACTGTCTGCCATCTGCATCATATAATGCCTCGTGCTACTCAACAAGAGATGTAACCGGTGGCCTGTGTATATCTGGGTAAGTCTGCCAAAAGTGTGGCAAAGCAGTGTCGACAAGGTGACGATCTTGAAATCTAACAAAGGTCAACTATCTAGGCAATACAACTTTAAGACATTGACAAAGAACGGTACATGGCTCGCTAGAGCTGAAGCATACAACGGCAATCCCCTTACGGCAGACTTTACGCTCGATGCCAAGCTGAGCGATCCGTCACTAGCTAATCTCGGTAGACTGAGTCCGAATGGTATATACCTATCCTTGACACAGGGCGACGCGGGTCAGCCTGGAGTTGTGAGTCTCAACTTTTCGCAATTTCAGCACATCGGGACACAGCTCTAATTCTCGCACAATGTCCCACAGAACGCCACAATATCGTCGACATCATATCTCAAATATGGACGGTTCCTAGCGTCATTACGAGCTGCTCCTGGTCCTGGAGTTGTTACCTCATTAACAGCCGTGAATTCAAACTTGGACGCCATCACGTGGGACAGTACGTACAAACGCCTGAGTCCGCCGTGAAGCGCCCAAACTAACAGGCATGATCACCTAGTTTCTGGAGGCGCAAGACCCACACCGCTCTATCAAATGTATTATGGCGGTGTAGGATTCTTCCCGCAGCCAGTATCCTTTCCAAATATCCAAGACGACATTTCTCAGGATTTCCACATATATGAAATCGTTTGGAATGCAGCATATATATCGTACTTGATTGATTCGGTCGAGATATATCGAATCAATGCAGCAGATACATATAATAATGTCACAAAAGTCAGCCGTTTCCCATCGGCTCCTATGAGAGTACAATTATCGATATGGGATGGTGGATATTGGGCTTCGTCCAAGAATTGGACTGGAGGTTTGTGCTTCGTTTATCTACGGTTACCAAACCAGATCACGGACTAACAATGACAAATTACAGGTGCCGTAAATTGGGCAAATTCAACAGGGAAGTACCGCGTCTTCCTGGATTATATCGTCATACAGTGTGAACCAGATCCAACACCGACAGTCCCACCGTTCCGGGACACTAGTTTGGGAGCACCGAATTACTTGTCAGATCCAACTATAAATACAACAGTAAAAGGATTTGCAGATTATGACGCCTTGGTGGGATATACATTAGCAGCAGCCACACCGAGGATACCGGCACTTGGGATATGGGCAGTGATATGGATTGGTATGGCTACCTTGTACAGCTCTCTCTGATAATATTAATGTGTTTTTTTGATGCTGGCTACTTGTTTGGAAGGTGCCGGACGCCTTGAAAGAAACAATCATACCTCTTACTAGTTTTACTGTAAAAATTGAACAACGAATCATATGCAACGGATTACATTTATACGGCTCATGTTATTTGATACAATTTATGATTTTTGGATGGTTGATAGCTTAGATCAATTTTTTATGGTAACCCGATGGGATACTCAATATGAAGTCATTATATGCTTAGGTTTATCAAGGTCATCAAGTGGTATCGTTTCGTCAGGACCACGTGGCTGCAAAACAGCCAATTCTTCTCCAATCCCTGCATCCATCGAATCACTTGTTATTGGACGCACATCGTCAATGATGTCGTCTTCAGATGTACGTGTACTATCTGGTGCCTTGTAAGACGGCAGAGGCACCGGAACTACAGTATGTTTCGGTGGCCACAGCCAAAATGTTGGATAGCCTTTTGACTGAAACATGTTGTTGACAACCAAAGCAACAGCTAGCAGCATGAGTGATCCCACTATGGCGGGAATGATGAAGCGGTACCCGAGAGCTCTAATGAACGAGTGAGCGAAAAAGCGAAAACGATCAGAAACGTAGTGTTATCATACATCAGAGCATCACTGCCAATGACAGCGGATAATGCAGTGGCTCCCCCTGGCGGGTGTGTCTGAAGAAGCGAGACTTTAGAGATGTCCGTGCTTTGCCATCGTTGCTGCGTGTTTTTACTATTGTCTCAACAAAAGATCAAAAACGACAAACAAGTTAACCTACAGTCTTTGTGAGTTGCATCGCCAGTGTTGTCAACGCGACTGCCAGACCAGCGGCAAGCCATGTCAACTTTGGAGTACTGATAGCAGAGAATAGAAGCTGAACTGTAACTCCAATGAAAGCCCCTAGATTTTGCTCATTAACAAACGTTGAATTCATCGGGTGTTCTATATCGTACCAAGTACGTGGCCACCAATGAGAGATCTTTTATAAGCGGGCTTAAGTTAGAAATACGCGTTAGTTTTTATAACAAAAGCGTACCTGGGTTGTGCCAATGGCGATTCACTTGCAGCAAACACGAGAACTGCACTGGCACCAAATGATGTGAGCATAGCAGGGTACACTTCCTCAGCAAACTGTGAAGTTCCAAGTGCAGTAAGCGATGCTATGGCGTGAAGTGAGGTTGCGGATGAGCAAAACCGGGATGATGTCGATGATTGATGAGAAGTCTTGTTCACCAATCGCCTAAATATTGATCAATGAATGTATTAGAACTCGATCTGATCTGGTCGGATATCTGTTTGTTCTGTTCGTTACCTACCAATGTGGTGGCCAAAAAACACGCCAGAAGGTCACCAATAATAGGAATAGCAGGAAGATTCTAGGATGGATCCAAACGTTGATGAAAATGAAACAGGATTTAGATCTTAATACGAGAGCGATTCATATATCTTCCTAGGAGTTTCCCAAAACGTGACAACTCACCCCTCGAGGATGCTCCCGTGCAATAATACGTAGCCACACTTTTTCCCAATATGCCTTCATCTTGGACCCCAAAATCTACCCAACAATGCAGGCAAACCATGTAAACCTCCACGTTTTGGTGACTACTTGCAAGTAGGCAACAATCTTGCACCAAACTCAGAGCCTTCTTTTTCGCGCGTTGAAATCTTAAAAAGCGAAATCCTCGACTTCTTTTATTTTTGCAAGACTAGATCAATCATAGTTCATGGTTCAGTTGAGCTGAATTTCCAACCTTTCTTTGCAAGTTGGTCCATCAGGCCAAAGGCCACCTTCACCAACGCCCTTAGATGCTTTCGTTAGTTGACGCGTAGGGCCTGAGCTTGCATAGCTTCTTACTGTCGTGATTAGAGTTGAGATGTTAACATAACTCGGCGTTAATCTTGATTATCAAGATGGTTCAATCACATAAAACTACTATTTAGCTTAAAGCAGACTCAGGTAGCGTTCCAGGGTGACCAGATCATCTGAATCATCTAAGGTTTGGTTAAGATCCATATGCTTCGACATCGTTTGAAACCTCGAGCCGCGGCCGGACGATTTTCAATCATCAATTTCTTTTTAGTCGATCCGTCATTGCAAATAGAGGTCTACCCTGTTGTTCGTTTATAACTAGATGTTGCTGTCGGAGTACTTCTTTATAAAGCTACTCATCATAGTCGATGGGTATGTACACCACGGTTCTGGTCTTCTGAGCCATTCTTGGCGAGCGCTACTGGTATTGACGCATCTCGTCTTTCAGGTGCTGTAACTGTACATGATGATATATTGCTCGTCTATCTTGTCTGTATCTTCCTCCAAACCGGCCTATTGTCTTCCCATTGGAGCAAAACCATCGCCGTTGGAAGCTTGCATTCATATGGCAATGCTCTATATGGGAGTTGGGAAGACACATATAATCTATTGGAATAGCTGGTATACACAATCCACCAAAGGTTATTTGGCTCTGCTTGGGCTGCCACGATGTTTGGTAGGTTGATTTGCATTTTCAAGTTTTGGACTTCAATGAATTGGTGGCAAAATGGAGTGTCTTTACGAATTTGGAAGAGGGTGAATCAATTGTATAGCGCATTTTGCATCCATTTATCCTTTTTCATTTCGTATAGTTGCACTTGTACTGGCACCTTCAAATCTTTGACAACATGAAACGCCACTTGATTGACCGCATACTGACCCAATTCCTATCTTTCTAGGTGGAGTTTCAGATCAGCCTCTCTGCAATTACGACTGATGGCACTCAAGTCACACGCTTGTGTGTCTTTACGCGTCAAACTATTGGCACTGATGCTGACGGAATTTCCACCAAACAATAAGTGGTATTTGCCCTATAAATTTGCATTGTATTTGGTTGTTGTCTTTGTTGTTACTAACGGACGGTCGCCTTTGAACTATCGTTTGGCCACTTATAGTATGTGGGCAATCCGCAACTGCCCACAATACGCATTTGTAACTTCTATCATAGATTGCATACAATATAACTATGC